GGGATTCCTATCAGTATTCAAGAGGAGTCAGGCATCGTCACCTTTTGAAGCAATGAACTCCGCGTGCCTCTCGAGGAGTCAGCGGGATGTGAGGCATTCCGTCAAAATGAGGCAGGGACCTAGGGCTCTCTCTAAGGTCTCCACAGGGGATTCAGACATCCCTTCATGTTGTGAGATGAAAGACGAGCCTGTATTCAAGCCACTGCAAGGAAATCCGGCCTCCTTTCAAGTTAGGGCTTCTCGCTGTATATTCCCCTTGAGGCAGCAAACTCGGGGTCCCTCCCACATACCTATTGCTGAAAGAAGCCTCCTCCGGAGGTGCTTCTGGGAAGTTGGCATACGTCTTGAGCCTAAGCCAGGGAATCAGCTCGCATCTCGAGACGATTTGGGGTACACGGAGCATTCCTCGAGTTGCTGTGCTGAAGTTGGTGTTCCTCTAGACTTGGGACAGTGTTCTCGGGGCATCTCTGGAGTTGCCTGAAGGAAGTCGAGCCACCGGTCGTGTTGAATGGGGAACGGGGAATGGCTCTGGAGTCAATGCAGGGGAATCGGGCCTCATCTCGAGTTGATTTGGGGCACATGGAGCTGCTTTGCGTTGCTGGGGTGACCTCAGGGTCCGTCTAGACTGGTGACAGTGTTCTTGGGGACTGTCTCGAGATCCATTAAGCAAGCCGAAGCTCCTGACTTGTTTGAATGGGATCACAGAATAGCTCTGCATGCACTGCAGGGGAATGGGGCCTCATCTCGCCTCTAGGGGGAAGTCTCATGGTTTTTCTCGAGTTGCGGCGGGGACCTGGGCTATGTTCTCGACTTACGGCGGGGATGGCACTTCAAAACACGAGTTTCTTCAGTGACGTCAGGACTCCTGTCTAGTAACGAGGGACACCTCAGGAATCTCTTCGAGGCTTGGCAGGGCCAAAGGGACGCTTCTCGAGGTGAGGCAGGGCACCCAAGGACCCTTTCCAGTAGCCACAGGGATTTTGGGATTCCTATCAGTATTCAAGAGGAGTCAGGCATCGTCACCTTTTGAAGCAATGAACTCCGCGTGCCTCTCGAGGTGTCAGCGGGATGTGAGGCATTCCGTCAAAATGAGGCAGGGACCTAGGGCTCTCTCTAAGGTCTCCACAGGGGATTCAGACATCCCTTCATGTTGTGAGATGAAAGACGAGCCTGTATTCAAGCCACTGCAAGGAAATCCGGCCTCCTTTCAAGTTAGGGCTTCTCGCTGTATATTCCCCTTGAGGCAGCAAACTCGGGGTCCCTCCCACATACTTATTGCTGAGAGAAGCCTCCTCCGGAGGTGCTTCTGGGAAGTTGGCATACGTCTTGAGCCTAAGCCAGGGAATCAGCTCGCATCTCGAGACGATTTGGGGTACACGGAGCATTCCTCGAGTTGCTGTGCTGAAGTTGGTGTTCCTCTAGACTTGGGACAGTGTTCTCGGGGCATCTCTGGAGTTGCCTGAAGGAAGTCGAGCCACCGGTCGTGTTGAATGGGGAACGGGGAATGGCTCTGGAGTCAATGCAGGGGAATCGGGCCTCATCTCGAGTTGATTTGGGGCACATGGAGCTGCTTTGCGTTGCTGGGGTGACCTCAGGGTCCGTCTAGACTGGTGACAGTGTTCTTGGGGACTCTCTCGAGATCCATTAAGCAAGCCGAAGCTCCTGACTTGTTTGAATGGGATCACGGAATAGCTCTGCATGCACTGCAGGGGAATGGGGCCTCATCTCGCCTCTAGGGGGAAGTCTCATGGTTTTTCTCGAGTTGCGGCGGGGACCTGGGGTATGTTCTCGACTTACGGCGGGGATGGCCCTTCAAAACACGAGTTTCTTCAGTGACGTCAGGACTCCTGTCTAGTAACGAGGGACACCTCAGGAATCTCTTCGAGGCTTGGCAGGGCCAAAGGGACGCTTCTCGAGGTGAGGCAGGGCACCCAAGGACCCTTTCCAGTAGCCACAGGGATTTTGGGATTCCTATCAGTATTCAAGAGGAGTCAGGCATCGTCACCTTTTGAAGCAATGAACTCCGCGTGCCTCTCGAGGTGTCAGCGGGATGTGAGGCATTCCGTCAAAATGAGGCAGGGACCTAGGGCTTTCTCTAAGGTCTCCACAGGGGATTCAGACATCCCTTCATGTTGTGAGATGAAAGACGAGCCTGTATTCAAGCCACTGCAAGGAAATCCGGCCTCCTTTCAAGTTAGGGCTTCTCGCTGTATATTCCCCTTGAGGCAGCAAACTCGGGGTCCCTCCCACATACCTATTGCTGAGAGAAGCCTCCTCCGGAGGTGCTTCTGGGAAGTTGGCATACGTCTTGAGCCTAAGCCAGGGAATCAGCTCGCATCTCGAGACGATTTGGGGTACACGGAGCATTCCTCGAGTTGCTGTGCTGAAGTTGGTGTTCCTCTAGACTTGGGACAGTGTTCTCGGGGCATCTCTGGAGTTGCCTGAAGGAAGTCGAGCCACCGGTCGTGTTGAATGGGGAACGGGGAATGGCTCTGGAGTCAATGCAAGGGAATCGGGCCTCATCTCGAGTTGATTTGGGGCACATGGAGCTGCTTTGCGTTGCTGGGGTGACCTCAGGGTCCGTCTAGACTGGTGACAGTGTTCTTGGGGACTGTCTCGAGATCCATTAAGCAAGCCGAAGCTCCTGACTTGTTTGAATGGGATCACAGAATAGCTCTGCATGCACTGCAGGGGAATGGGGCCTCATCTCGCCTCTAGGGGGAAGTCTCATGGTTTTTCTCGAGTTGCGGCGGGGACCTGGGGTATGTTCTCGACTTACGGCGGGGATGGCACTTCAAAACACGAGTTTCTTCAGTGACGTCAGGACTCCTGTCTAGTAACGAGGGACACCTCAGGAATCTCTTCGAGGCTTGGCAGGGCCAAAGGGACGCTTCTCGAGGTGAGGCAGGGCACCCAAGGACCCTTTCCAGTAGCCACAGGGATTTTGGGATTCCTATCAGTATTCAAGAGGAGTCAGGCATCGTCACCTTTTGAAGCAATGAACTCCGCGTGCCTCTCGAGGTGTCAGCGGGATGTGAGGGATTCCGTCAAAATGAGGCAGGGACCTAGGGCTTTCTCTAAGGTCTCCACAGGGGATTCAGACATCCCTTCATGTTGTGAGATGAAAGACGAGCCTGTATTCAAGCCACTGCAAGGAAATCCGGCCTCCTTTCAAGTTAGGGCTTCTCGCTGTATATTCCCCTTGAGGCAGCAAACTCGGGGTCCCTCCCACATACCTATTGCTGAGAGAAGCCTCCTCCGGAGGTGCTTCTGGGAAGTTGGCATACGTCTTGAGCCTAAGCCAGGGAATCAGCTCGCATCTCGAGACGATTTGGGGTACACGGAGCATTCCTCGAGTTGCTGTGCTGAAGTTGGTGTTCCTCTAGACTTGGGACAGTGTTCTCGGGGCATCTCTGGAGTTGCCTGAAGGAAGTCGAGCCACCGGTCGTGTTGAATGGGGAACGGGGAATGGCTCTGGAGTCAATGCAGGGGAATCGGGCCTCATCTCGAGTTGATTTGGGGCACATGGAGCTGCTTTGCGTTGCTGGGGTGACCTCAGGGTCCGTCTAGACTGGTGACAGTGTTCTTGGGGACTGTCTCGAGATCCATTAAGCAAGCCGAAGCTCCTGACTTGTTTGAATGGGATCACGGAATAGCTCTGCATGCACTGCAGGGGAATGGGGCCTCATCTCGCCTCTAGGGGGAAGTCTCATGGTTTTTCTCGAGTTGCGGCGGGGACCTGGGGTATGTTCTCGACTTACGGCGGGGATGGCCCTTCAAAACACGAGTTTCTTCAGTGACGTCAGGACTCCTGTCTAGTAACGAGGGACACCTCAGGAATCTCTTCGAGGCTTGGCAGGGCCAAAGGGACGCTTCTCGAGGTGAGGCAGGGCACCCAAGGACCCTTTCCAGTAGCCACAGGGATTTTGGGATTCCTATCAGTATTCAAGAGGAGTCAGGCATCGTCACCTTTTGAAGCAATGAACTCCGCGTGCCTCTCGAGGTGTCAGCGGGATGTGAGGCATTCCGTCAAAATGAGGCAGGGACCTAGGGCTTTCTCTAAGGTCTCCACAGGGGATTCAGACATCCCTTCATGTTGTGAGATGAAAGACGAGCCTGTATTCAAGCCACTGCAAGGAAATCCGGCCTCCTTTCAAGTTAGGGCTTCTCGCTGTATATTCCCCTTGAGGCAGCAAACTCGGGGTCCCTCCCACATACCTATTGCTGAGAGAAGCCTCCTCCGGAGGTGCTTCTGGGAAGTTGGCATACGTCTTGAGCCTAAGCCAGGGAATCAGCTCGCATCTCGAGACGATTTGGGGTACACGGAGCATTCCTCGAGTTGCTGTGCTGAAGTTGGTGTTCCTCTAGACTTGGGACAGTGTTCTCGGGGCATCTCTGGAGTTGCCTGAAGGAAGTCGAGCCACCGGTCGTGTTGAATGGGGAACGGGGAATGGCTCTGGAGTCAATGCAGGGGAATCGGGCCTCATCTCGAGTTGATTTGGGGCACATGGAGCTGCTTTGCGTTGCTGGGGTGACCTCAGGGTCCGTCTAGACTGGTGACAGTGTTCTTGGGGACTGTCTCGAGATCCATTAAGCAAGCCGAAGCTCCTGACTTGTTTGAATGGGATCACGGAATAGCTCTGCATGCACTGCAGGGGAATGGGGCCTCATCTCGCCTCTAGGGGGAAGTCTCATGGTTTTTCTCGAGTTGCGGCGGGGACCTGGGGTATGTTCTCGACTTACGGCGGGGATGGCCCTTCAAAACACGAGTTTCTTCAGTGACGTCAGGACTCCTGTCTAGTAACGAGGGACACCTCAGGAATCTCTTCGAGGCTTGGCAGGGCCAAAGGGACGCTTCTCGAGGTGAGGCAGGGCACCCAAGGACCCTTTCCAGTAGCCACAGGGATTTTGGGATTCCTATCAGTATTCAAGAGGAGTCAGGCATCGTCACCTTTTGAAGCAATGAACTCCGCGTGCCTCTCGAGGTGTCAGCGGGATGTGAGGCATTCCGTCAAAATGAGGCAGGGACCAAGGGCTTTCTCTAAGGTCTCCACAGGGGATTCAGACATCCCTTCATGTTGTGAGATGAAAGACGAGCCTGTATTCAAGCCACTGCAAGGAAATCCGGCCTCCTTTCAAGTTAGGGCTTCTCGCTGTATATTCCCCTTGAGGCAGCAAACTCGGGCTCCCTCCCACATACCTATTGCTGAGAGAAGCCTCCTCCTGAGGTGCTTCTGGGAAGTTGGCATACGTCTTGAGCCTAAGCCAGGGAATCAGCTCGCATCTCGAGACGATTTGGGGTAGACGGAGCATTCCTCGAGTTGCTGTGCTGAAGGTGGTGTTCCTCTAGACTTGGGACAGTGTTCTCGGGGCATCTCTGGAGTTGCCTGAAGGAAGTCGAGCCACCGGTCGTGTTGAATGGGGAACGGGGAATGGCTCTGGAGTCAATGCAGGGGAATCGGGCCTCATCTCGAGTTGATTTGGGGCACATGGAGCTGCTTTGCGTTGCTGGGGTGACCTCAGGGTCCGTCTAGACTGGTGACAGTGTTCTTGGGGACTGTCTCGAGATCCATTAAGCAAGTCGAAGCTCCTGACTTGTTTGAATGGGATCACGGAATAGCTCTGCATGCACTGCAGGGGAATGGGGCCTCATCTCGCCTCTAGGGGGAAGTCTCATGGTTTTTCTCGAGTTGCGGCGGGGACCTGGGGTATGTTCTCGACTTACGGCGGGGATGGCCCTTCAAAACACGAGTTTCTTCAGTGACGTCAGGACTCCTGTCTAGTAACGAGGGACACCTCAGGAATCTCTTCGAGGCTTGGCAGGGCCAAAGGGACGCTTCTCGAGGTGAGGCAGGGCACCCAAGGACCCTTTCCAGTAGCCACAGGGATTTTGGGATTCCTATCAGTATTCAAGAGGAGTCAGGCATCGTCACCTTTTGAAGCAATGAACTCCGCGTGCCTCTCGAGGTGTCAGCGGGATGTGAGGGATTCCGTCAAAATGAGGCAGGGACCTAGGGCTTTCTCTAAGGTCTCCAGAGGGGATTCAGACATCCCTTCATGTTGTGAGATGAAAGACGAGCCTGTATTCAAGCCACTGCAAGGAAATCCGGCCTCCTTTCAAGTTAGGGCTTCTCGCTGTATATTCCCCTTGAGGCAGCAAACTCGGGGTCCCTCCCACATACCTATTGCTGAGAGATGCCTCCTCCGGAGGTGCTTTTGGGAATTTGGCATACGTCTTGAGCCTAAGCCAGGGAATCAGCTCGCATCTCGAGACGATTTGGGGTACACGGAGCATTGCTCGAGTTGCTGTGCTGAAGTTGGTGTTCCTCTAGAGTTGGGACAGTGTTCTCGGGGCATCTCTGGAGTTGCCTGAAGGAAGTCGAGCCACCGGTCGTGTTGAATGGGGAACGGGGAATGGCTCTGGAGTCAATGCAGGGGAATCGGGCCTCATCTCGAGTTGATTTGGGGCACATGGAGCTGCTTTGCGTTGCTGGGGTGACCTCAGGGTCCGTCTAGAGTGGTGACAGTGTTCTTGGGGACTGTCTCGAGATCCATTAAGCAAGCCGAAGCTCCTGACTTGTTTGAATGGGATCACGGAATAGCTCTGCATGCACTGCAGGGGAATGGGGCCTCATCTCGCCTCTAGGGGGAAGTCTCATGGTTTTTCTCGAGTTGCGGCGGGGACCTGGGGTATGTTCTCGACTTACGGCGGGGATGGCCCTTCAAAACACGAGTTTCTTCAGTGACGTCAGGACTCCTGTCTAGTAACGAGGGACACCTCAGGAATCTCTTCGAGGCTTGGCAGGGCCAAAGGGACGCTTCTCGAGGTGAGGCAGGGCACCCAAGGACCCTTTCCAGTAGCCACAGGGATTTTGGGATTCCTATCAGTATTCAAGAGGAGTCAGGCATCGTCACATTTTGAAGCAATGAACTCCGCGTGCCTCTCGAGGTGTCAGCGGGATGTGAGGCATTCCGTCAAAATGAGGCAGGGACCTAGGGCTTTCTCTAAGGTCTCCACAGCGGATTCAGACATCCCTTCATGTTGTGAGATGAAAGACGAGCCTGTATTCAAGCCACTGCTAGGAAATCCGGCCTCCTTTCAAGTTAGGGCTTCTCGCTGTATATTCCCCTTGAGGCAGCAAACTCGGGGTCCCTCCCACATACCTATTGCTGAGAGAAGCCTCCTCCTGAGGTGCTTCTGGGAAGTTGGCATACGTCTTGAGCCTAAGCCAGGGAATCAGCTCGCATCTCGAGACGATTTGGGGTAGACGGAGCATTCCTCGAGTTGCTGTGCTGAAGTTGGTGTTCCTCTAGACTTGGGACAGTGTTCTCGGGGCATCTCTGGAGTTGCCTGAAGGAAGTCGAGCCACCGGTCGTGTTGAATGGGGAACGGGGAATGGCTCTGGAGTCAATGCAGGGGAATCGGGCCTCATCTCGAGTTGATTTGGGGCACATGGAGCTGCTTTGCGTTGCTGGGGTGACCTCAGGGTCCGTCTAGACTGGTGACAGTGTTCTTGGGGACTGTCTCGAGATCCATTAAGCAAGCCGAAGCTCCTGACTTGTTTGAATGGCATCACGGAATAGCTCTGCATGCACTGCAGGGAAATGGGGCCTCATCTCGCCTCTAGGGGGAAGTCTCATGGTTTTTCTCGAGTTGCGGCGGGGACCTGGGGTATGTTCTCGACTTACGGCGGGGATGGCCCTTCAAAACACGAGTTTCTTCAGTGACGTCAGGACTCCTGTCTAGTAACGAGGGACACCTCAGGAATCTCTTCGAGGCTTGGCAGGGCCAAAGGGACGCTTCTCGAGGTGAGGCAGGGCACCCAAGGACCCTTTCCAGTAGCCACAGGGATTTTGGGATTCCTATCAGTATTCAAGAGGAGTCAGGCATCGTCACCTTTTGAAGCAATGAACTCCGCGTGCCTCTCGAGGTGTCAGCGGGATGTGAGGCATTGCGTCAAAATGAGGCAGGGACCTAGGGCTTTCTCTAAGGTCTCCACAGGGGATTCAGACATCCCTTCATGTTGTGAGATGAAAGACGAGCCTGTATTCAAGCCACTGCAAGGAAATCCGGCCTCCTTTCAAGTTAGGGCTTCTCGCTGTATATTCCCCTTGAGGCAGCAAACTCGGGGTCCCTCCCACATACCTATTGCTGAGAGAAGCCTCCTCCGGAGGTGCTTCTGGGAAGTTGGCATACGTCTTGAGCCTAAGCCAGGGAATCAGCTCGCATCTCGAGACGATTTGGGGTACACGGAGCATTGCTCGAGTTGCTGTGCTGAAGGTGGTGTTCCTCTAGACTTGGGACAGTGTTCTCGGGGCATCTCTGGAGTTGCCTGAAGGAAGTCGAGCCACCGGTCGTGTTGAATGGGGAACGGGGAATGGCTCTGGAGTCAATGCAGGGGAATCGGGCCTCATCTCGAGTTGATTTGGGGCACATGGAGCTGCTTTGCGTTGCTGGGGTGACCTCAGGGTCCGTCTAGACTGGTGACAGTGTTCTTGGGGACTGTCTCGAGATCCATTAAGCAAGCCGAAGCTCCTGACTTGTTTGAATGGGATCACGGAATAGCTCTGCATGCACTGCAGGGGAATGGGGCCTCATCTCGCCTCTAGGGGGAAGTCTCATGGTTTTTCTCGAGTTGCGGCGGGGACCTGGGGTATGTTCTCGACTTACGGCGGGGATGGCCCTTCAAAACACGAGTTTCTTCAGTGACGTCAGGACTCCTGTCTAGTAACGAGGGACACCTCAGGAATCTCTTCGAGGCTTGGCAGGGCCAAAGGGACGCTTCTCGAGGTGAGGCAGGGCACCCAAGGACCCTTTCCAGTAGCCACAGGGATTTTGGGATTCCTATCAGTATTCAAGAGGAGTCAGGCATCGTCACCTTTTGAAGCAATGAACTCCGCGTGCCTCTCGAGGTGTCAGCGGGATGTGAGGCATTCCGTCAAAATGAGGCAGGGACCAAGGGCTTTCTCTAAGGTCTCCACAGGGGATTCAGACATCCCTTCATGTTGTGAGATGAAAGACGAGCCTGTATTCAAGCCACTGCAAGGAAATCCGGCCTCCTTTCAAGTTAGGGCTTCTCGCTGTATATTCCCCTTGAGGCAGCAAACTCGGGCTCCCTCCCACATACCTATTGCTGAGAGAAGCCTCCTCCTGAGGTGCTTCTGGGAAGTTGGCATACGTCTTGAGCCTAAGCCAGGGAATCAGCTCGCATCTCGAGACGATTTGGGGTACACGGAGCATTCCTCGAGTTGCTGTGCTGAAGGTGGTGTTCCTCTAGACTTGGGACAGTGTTCTCGGGGCATCTCTGGAGTTGCCTGAAGGAAGTCGAGCCACCGGTCGTGTTGAATGGGGAACGGGGAATGGCTCTGGAGTCAATGCAGGGGAATCGGGCCTCATCTCGAGTTGATTTGGGGCACATGGAGCTGCTTTGCGTTGCTGGGGTGACCTCAGGGTCCGTCTAGACTGGTGACAGTGTTCTTGGGGACTGTCTCGAGATCCATTAAGCAAGTCGAAGCTCCTGACTTGTTTGAATGGGATCACGGAATAGCTCTGCATGCACTGCAGGGGAATGGGGCCTCATCTCGCCTCTAGGGGGAAGTCTCATGGTTTTTCTCGAGTTGCGGCGGGGACCTGGGGTATGTTCTCGACTTACGGCGGGGATGGCCCTTCAAAACACGAGTTTCTTCAGTGACGTCAGGACTCCTGTCTAGTAACGAGGGACACCTCAGGAATCTCTTCGAGGCTTGGCAGGGCCAAAGGGACGCTTCTCGAGGTGAGGCAGGGCACCCAAGGACCCTTTCCAGTAGCCACAGGGATTTTGGGATTCCTATCAGTATTCAAGAGGAGTCAGGCATCGTCACCTTTTGAAGCAATGAACTCCGCGTGCCTCTCGAGGTGTCAGCGGGATGTGAGGGATTCCGTCAAAATGAGGCAGGGACCTAGGGCTTTCTCTAAGGTCTCCACAGGGGATTCAGACATCCCTTCATGTTGTGAGATGAAAGACGAGCCTGTATTCAAGCCACTGCAAGGAAATCCGGCCTCCTTTCAAGTTAGGGCTTCTCGCTGTATATTCCCCTTGAGGCAGCAAACTCGGGGTCCCTCCCACATACCTATTGCTGAGAGATGCCTCCTCCGGAGGTGCTTTTGGGAATTTGGCATACGTCTTGAGCCTAAGCCAGGGAATCAGCTCGCATCTCGAGACGATTTGGGGTACACGGAGCATTGCTCGAGTTGCTGTGCTGAAGTTGGTGTTCCTCTAGAGTTGGGACAGTGTTCTCGGGGCATCTCTGGAGTTGCCTGAAGGAAGTCGAGCCACCGGTCGTGTTGAATGGGGAACGGGGAATGGCTCTGGAGTCAATGCAGGGGAATCGGGCCTCATCTCGAGTTGATTTGGGGCACATGGAGCTGCTTTGCGTTGCTGGGGTGACCTCAGGGTCCGTCTAGAGTGGTGACAGTGTTCTTGGGGACTGTCTCGAGATCCATTAAGCAAGCCGAAGCTCCTGACTTGTTTGAATGGGATCACGGAATAGCTCTGCATGCACTGCAGGGGAATGGGGCCTCATCTCGCCTCTAGGGGGAAGTCTCATGGTTTTTCTCGAGTTGCGGCGGGGACCTGGGGTATGTTCTCGACTTACGGCGGGGATGGCCCTTCAAAACACGAGTTTCTTCAGTGACGTCAGGACTCCTGTCTAGTAACGAGGGACACCTCAGGAATCTCTTCGAGGCTTGGCAGGGCCAAAGGGACGCTTCTCGAGGTGAGGCAGGGCACCCAAGGACCCTTTCCAGTAGCCACAGGGATTTTGGGATTCCTATCAGTATTCAAGAGGAGTCAGGCATCGTCACATTTTGAAGCAATGAACTCCGCGTGCCTCTCGAGGTGTCAGCGGGATGTGAGGCATTCCGTCAAAATGAGGCAGGGACCTAGGGCTTTCTCTAAGGTCTCCACAGCGGATTCAGACATCCCTTCATGTTGTGAGATGAAAGACGAGCCTGTATTCAAGCCACTGCTAGGAAATCCGGCCTCCTTTCAAGTTAGGGCTTCTCGCTGTATATTCCCCTTGAGGCAGCAAACTCGGGGTCCCTCCCACATACCTATTGCTGAGAGAAGCCTCCTCCTGAGGTGCTTCTGGGAAGTTGGCATACGTCTTGAGCCTAAGCCAGGGAATCAGCTCGCATCTCGAGACGATTTGGGGTAGACGGAGCATTCCTCGAGTTGCTGTGCTGAAGTTGGTGTTCCTCTAGACTTGGGACAGTGTTCTCGGGGCATCTCTGGAGTTGCCTGAAGGAAGTCGAGCCACCGGTCGTGTTGAATGGGGAACGGGGAATGGCTCTGGAGTCAATGCAGGGGAATCGGGCCTCATCTCGAGTTGATTTGGGGCACATGGAGCTGCTTTGCGTTGCTGGGGTGACCTCAGGGTCCGTCTAGACTGGTGACAGTGTTCTTGGGGACTGTCTCGAGATCCATTAAGCAAGCCGAAGCTCCTGACTTGTTTGAATGGCATCACGGAATAGCTCTGCATGCACTGCAGGGAAATGGGGCCTCATCTCGCCTCTAGGGGGAAGTCTCATGGTTTTTCTCGAGTTGCGGCGGGGACCTGGGGTATGTTCTCGACTTACGGCGGGGATGGCCCTTCAAAACACGAGTTTCTTCAGTGACGTCAGGACTCCTGTCTAGTAACGAGGGACACCTCAGGAATCTCTTCGAGGCTTGGCAGGGCCAAAGGGACGCTTCTCGAGGTGAGGCAGGGCACCCAAGGACCCTTTCCAGTAGCCACAGGGATTTTGGGATTCCTATCAGTATTCAAGAGGAGTCAGGCATCGTCACCTTTTGAAGCAATGAACTCCGCGTGCCTCTCGAGGTGTCAGCGGGATGTGAGGCATTGCGTCAAAATGAGGCAGGGACCTAGGGCTTTCTCTAAGGTCTCCACAGGGGATTCAGACATCCCTTCATGTTGTGAGATGAAAGACGAGCCTGTATTCAAGCCACTGCAAGGAAATCCGGCCTCCTTTCAAGTTAGGGCTTCTCGCTGTATATTCCCCTTGAGGCAGCAAACTCGGGGTCCCTCCCACATACCTATTGCTGAGAGAAGCCTCCTCCGGAGGTGCTTCTGGGAAGTTGGCATACGTCTTGAGCCTAAGCCAGGGAATCAGCTCGCATCTCGAGACGATTTGGGGTACACGGAGCATTGCTTGAGTTGCTGTGCTGAAGGTGGTGTTCCTCTAGACTTGGGACAGTGTTCTCGGGGCATCTCTGGAGTTGCCTGAAGGAAGTCGAGCCACCGGTCGTGTTGAATGGGGAACGGGGAATGGCTCTGGAGTCAATGCAGGGGAATCGGGCCTCATCTCGAGTTGATTTGGGGCACATGGAGCTGCTTTGCGTTGCTGGGGTGACCTCAGGGTCCGTCTAGACTGGTGACAGTGTTCTTGGGGACTGTCTCGAGATCCATTAAGCAAGCCGAAGCTCCTGACTTGTTTGAATGGGATCACGGAATAGCTCTGCATGCACTGCAGGGGAATGGGGCCTCATCTCGCCTCTAGGGGGAAGTCTCATGGTTTTTCTCGAGTTGCGGCGGGGAACTGGGGTATGTTCTCGACTTACGGCGGGGATGGCCCTTCAAAACACGAGTTTCTTCAGTGACGTCAGGACTCCTGTCTAGTAACGAGGGACACCTCAGGAATCTCTTCGAGGCTTGGCAGGGCCAAAGGGACGCTTCTCGAGGTGAGGCAGGGCACCCAAGGACCCTTTCCAGTAGCCACAGGGATTTTGGGATTCCTATCAGTATTCAAGAGGAGTCAGGCATCGTCACCTTTTGAAGCAATGAACTCCGCGTGCCTCTCGAGGTGTCAGCGGGATGTGAGGCATTCCGTCAAAATGAGGCAGGGACCTAGGGCTTTCTCTAAGGTCTCCACAGGGGATTCAGACATCCCTTCATGTTGTGAGATGAAAGACGAGCCTGTATTCAAGCCACTGCAAGGAAATCCGGCCTCCTTTCAAGTTAGGGCTTCTCGCTGTATATTCCCCTTGAGGCAGCAAACTCGGGGTCCCTCCCACATACCTATTGCTGAGAGAAGCCTCCTCCGGAGGTGCTTCTGGGAAGTTGGCATACGTCTTGAGCCTAAGCCAGGGAATCAGCTCGCATCTCGAGACGATTTGGGGTACACGGAGCATTCCTCGAGTTGCTGTGCTGAAGTTGGTGTTCCTCTAGACTTGGGACAGTGTTCTCGGGGCATATCTGGAGTTGCCTGAAGGAAGTCGAGCCACCGGTCGTGTTGAATGGGGAACGGGGAATGGCTCTGGAGTCAATGCAGGGGAATCGGGCCTCATCTCGAGTTGATTTGGGGCACATGGAGCTGCTTTGCGTTGCTGGGGTGACCTCAGGGTCCGTCTAGACTGGTGACAGTGTTCTTGGGGACTGTCTCGAGATCCATTAAGCAAGCCGAAGCTCCTGACTTGTTTGAATGGGATCACGGAATAGCTCTGCATGCACTGCAGGGGAATGGGGCCTCATCTCGCCTCTAGGGGGAAGTCTCATGGTTTTTCTCGAGTTGCGGCGGGGACCTGGGGTATGTTCTCGACTTACGGCGGGGATGGCCCTTCAAAACACGAGTTTCTTCAGTGACGTCAGGACTCCTGTCTAGTAACGAGGGACACCTCAGGAATCTCTTCGAGGCTTGGCAGGGCCAAAAGGACGCTTCTCGAGGTGAGGCAGGGCACCCAAGGACCCTTTCCAGTAGCCACAGGGATTTTGGGATTCCTATCAGTATTCAAGAGGAGTCAGGCATCGTCACCTTTTGAAGCAATGAACTCCGCGTGCCTCTCGAGGTGTCAGCGGGATGTGAGGCATTCCGTCAAAATGAGGTAGGGACCAAGGGCTTTCTCTAAGGTCTCCACAGGGGATTCAGACATCCCTTCATGTTGTGAGATGAAAGACGAGCCTGTATTCAAGCCACTGCAAGGAAATCCGGCCTCCTTTCAAGTTAGGGCTTCTCGCTGTATATTCCCCTTGAGGCAGCAAACTCGGGGTCCCTCCCACATACCTATTGCTGAGAGAAGCCTCCTCCTGAGGTGCTTCTGGGAAGTTGGCATACGTCTTGAGCCTAAGCCAGGGAATCAACTCGCATCTCGAGACGATTTGGGGTACACGGAGCATTCCTCGAGTTGCTGTGCTGAAGGTGGTGTTCCTCTAGACTTGGGACAGTGTTCTCGGGGCATCTCTGGAGTTGCCTGAAGGAAGTCGAGCCACCGGTCGTGTTGAATGGGGAACGGGGAATGGCTCTGGAGTCAATGCAGGGGAATCGGGCCTCATCTCCGGTTGATTTGGGGCACATGGAGCTGCTTTGCGTTGCTGGGGTGACCTCAGGGTCCGTCTAGACTGGTGACAGTGTTCTTGGGGACTGTCTCGAGATCCATTAAGCAAGTCGAAGCTCCTGACTTGTTTGAATGGGATCACGGATTAGCTCTGCATGCACTGCAGGGGAATGGGGCCTCATCTCGCCTCTAGGGGGAAGTCTCATGGTTTTTCTCGAGTTGCGGCGGGGACCTGGGGTATGTACTCGACTTACGACGGGGATGGCCCTTCAAAACACGAGTTTCTTCAGTGACGTCAGGACTCCTGTCTAGTAACGAGGGACACCTCAGGAATCTCTTCGAGGCTTGGCAGGGCCAAAGGGACGCTTCTCGAGGTGAGGCAGGGCACCCAAGGACCCTTTCCAGTAGCCACAGGGATTTTGGGATTCCTATCAGTATTCAAGAGGAGTCAGGCATCGTCACCTTTTGAAGCAATGAACTCCGCGTGCCTCTCGAGGTGTCAGCGGGATGTGAGGGATTCCGTCAAAATGAGGCAGGGACCTAGGGCTTTCTCTAAGGTCTCCACAGGGGATTCAGACATCCCTTCATGTTGTGAGATGAAAGACGAGCCTGTATTCAAGCCACTGCTAGGAAATCCGGCCTCCTTTCAAGTTAGGGCTTCTCGCTGTATATTCCCCTTGAGGCAGCAAACTCGGGGTCCCTCCCACATACCTATTGCTGAGAGAAGCCTCCTCCGGAGGTGCTTCTGGGAAGTTGGCATACGTCTTGAGCCTAAGCCAGGGAATCAGCTCGCATCTCGAGACGATTTGGGGTACACGGAGCATTCCTCGAGTTGCTGTGCTGAAGTTGGTGTTCCTCTAGACTTGGGACAGTGTTCTCGGGGCATCTCTGGAGTTGCCTGAAGGAAGTCGAGCCACCGGTCGTGTTGAATGGGGAACGGGGAATGGCTCTGGAGTCAATGCAGTGGAATCGGGCCTCATCTCGAGTTGATTTGGGGCACATGGAGCTGCTTTGCGTTGCTGGGGTGACCTCAGGGTCCGTCTAGACTGGTGACAGTGTTCTTGGGGACTGTCTCGAGATCCATTAAGCAAGCCGAAGCTCCTGACTTGTTTGAATGGGATCACAGAATAGCTCTGCATGCACTGCAGGGGAATGGGGCCTCATCTCGCCTCTAGGGGGAAGTCTCATGGTTTTTCTCGAGTTGCGGCGGGGACCTGGGGTATGTTCTCGACTTACGGCGGGGATGGCACTTCAAAACACGAGTTTCTTCAGTGACGTCAGGACTCCTGTCTAGTAACGAGGGACACCTCAGGAATCTCTTCGAGGCTTGGCAGGGCCAAAGGGATGCTTCTCGAGGTGAGGCAGGGCACCCAAGGACCCTTTCCAGTAGCCACAGGGATTTTGGGATTCCTATCAGTATTCAAGAGGAGTCAGGCATCGTCACCTTTTGAAGCAATGAACTCCGCGTGCCTCTCGAGGTGTCAGCGGGATGTGAGGCATTCCGTCAAAATGAGGCAGGGACCTAGGGCTCTCTCTAAGGTCTCCACAGGGGATTCAGACATCCCTTCATGTTGTGAGATGAAAGACGAGCCTGTATTCAAGCCACTGCAAAGAAATCCGGCCTCCTTTCAAGTTAGGGCTTCTCGCTGTATATTCCCCTTGAGGCAGCAAACTCGGGGTCCCTCCCACATACCTATTGCTGAGAGAAGCCTCCTCCGGAGGTGCTTCTGGGAAGTTGGCATACGTCTTGAGCCTAAGCCAGGGAATCAGCTCGCATCTCGAGACGATTTGGGGTACACGGAGCATTCCTCGAGTTGCTGTGCTGAAGTTGGTGTTCCTCTAGACTTGGGACAGTGTTCTCGGGGCATCTCTGGAGTTGCCTGAAGGAAGTCCAGCCACCGGTCGTGTTGAATGGGGAACGGGGAATGGCTCTGGAGTCAATGCAGGGGAATCGGGCCTCATCTCGAGTTGATTTGGGGCACATGGAGCTGCTTTGCGTTGCTGGGGTGACCTCAGGGTCCGTCTAGACTGGTGACAGTGTTCTTGGGGACTCTCTCGAGATCCATTAAGCAAGCCGAAGCTCCTGACTTGTTTGAATGGGATCACGGAATAGCTCTGCATGCACTGCAGGGGAATGGGGCCTCATCTCGCCTCTAGGGGGAAGTCTCATGGTTTTTCTCGAGTTGCGGCGGGGACCTGGGGTATGTTCTCGACTTACGGTGGGGATGGCCCTTCAAAACACGAGTTTCTTCAGTGACGTCAGGACTCCTGTCTAGTAACGAGGGACACCTCAGGAATCTCTTCGAGGCTTGGCAGGGCCAAAGGGACGCTTCTCGAGGTGAGGCAGGGCACCCAAGGACCCTTTCCAGTAGCCACAGGGATTTTGGGATTCCTATCAGTATTCAAGAGGAGTCAGGCATCGTCACCTTTTGAAGCAATGAACTCCGCGTGCCTCTCGAGGTGTCAGCGGGATGTGAGGCATTCCGTCAAAATGAGGCAGGGACCTAGGGCTTTCTCTAAGGTCTCCACAGGGGATTCAGACATCCCTTCATGTTGTGAGATGAAAGACGAGCCTGTATTCAAGCCACTGCAAGGAAATCCGGCCTCCTTTCAAGTTAGGGCTTCTCGCTGTATATTCCCCTTGAGGCAGCAAACTCGGGGTCCCTCCCACATACCTATTGCTGAGAGAAGCCTCCTCCGGAGGTGCTTCTGGGAAGTTGGCATACGTCTTGAGCCTAAGCCAGGGAATCAGCTCGCATCTCGAGACGATTTGGGGTACACGGAGCATTCCTCGAGTTGCTGTGCTGAAGTTGGTGTTCCTCTAGACTTGGGACAGTGTTCTCGGGGCATCTCTGGAGTTGCCTGAAGGAAGTCGAGCCACCGGTCGTGTTGAATGGGGAACGGGGAATGGCTCTGGAGTCAATGCAGGGGAATCGGGCCTCATCTCGAGTTGATTTGGGGCACATGGAGCTGCTTTGCGTTGCTGGGGTGACCTCAGGGTCCGTCTAGACTGGTGACAGTGTTCTTGGGGACTGTCTCGAGATCCATTAAGCAAGCCGAAGCTCCTGACTTGTTTGAATGGGATCACAGAATAGCTCTGCATGCACTGCAGGGGAATGGGGCCTCATCTCGCCTCTAGGGGGAAGTCTCATGGTTTTTCTCGAGTTGCGGCGGGGACCTGGGGTATGTTCTCGACTTACGGCGGGGATGGCACTTCAAAACACGAGTTTCTTCAGTGACGTCAGGACTCCTGTCTAGTAACGAGGGACACCTCAGGAATCTCTTCGAGGCTTGGCAGGGCCAAAGGGACGCTTCTCGAGGTGAGGCAGGGCACCCAAGGACCCTTTCCAGTAGCCACAGGGATTTTGGGATTCCTATCAGTATTCAAGAGGAGTCAGGCATCGTCACCTTTTGAAGCAATGAACTCCGCGTGCCTCTCGAGGTGTCAGCGGGATGTGAGGCATTCCGTCAAAATGAGGCAGGGACCTAGGGCTCTCTCTAAGGTCTCCACAGGGGATTCAGACATCCCTTCATGTTGTGAGATGAAAGACGAGCCTGTATTCAAGCCACTGCAAGGAAATCCGGCCTCCTTTCAAGTTAGGGCTTCTCGCTGTATATTCCCCTTGAGGCAGCAAACTCGGGGTCCCTCCCACATACCTATTGCTGAGAGAAGCCTCCTCCGGAGGTGCTTCTGGGAAGTTGGCATACGTCTTGAGCCTAAGCCAGGGAATCAGCTCGCATCTCGAGACGATTTGGGGTACACGGAGCATTGCTCGAGTTGCTGTGCTGAAGTTGGTGTTCCTCTAGACTTGGGACAGTGTTCTCGGGGCATCTCTGGAGTTGCCTGAAGGAAGTCGAGCCACCGGTCGTGTTGAATGGGGAACGGGGAATGGCTCTGGAGTCAATGCAGGGGAATCGGGCCTCATCTCGAGTTGATTTGGGGCACATGGAGCTGCTTTGCGTTGCTGGGGTGACCTCAGGGTCCGTCTAGACTGGTGACAGTGTTCTTGGGGACTCTCTCGAGATCCATTAAGCAAGCCGAAGCTCCTGACTTGTTTGAATGGGATCACGGAATAGCTCTGCATGCACTGCAGGGGAATGGGGCCTCATCTCGCCTCTAGGGGGAAGTCTCATGGTTTTTCTCGAGTTGCGGCGGGGACCTGGGGTATGTTCTCGACTTACGGCGGGGATGGCCCTTCAAAACACGAGTTTCTTCAGTGACGTCAGGACTCCTGTCTAGTAACGAGGGACACCTCAGGAATCTCTTCGAGGCTTGGCAGGGCCAAAGGGACGCTTCTCGAGGTGAGGCAGGGCACCCAAGGACCCTTTCCAGTAGCCACAGGGATTTTGGGATTCCTATCAGTATTCAAGAGGAGTCAGGCATCGTCACCTTTTGAAGCAATGAACTCCGCGTGCCTCTCGAGGTGTCAGCGGGATGTGAGGCATTCCGTCAAAATGAGGCAGGGACCTAGGGCTTTCTCTAAGGTCTCCACAGGGGATTCAGACATCCCTTCATGTTGTGAGATGAAAGACGAGCCTGTATTCAAGCCACTGCAAGGAAATCCGGCCTCCTTTCAAGTTAGGGCTTCTCGCTGTATATTCCCCTTGAGGCAGCAAACTCGGGGTCCCTCCCACATACCTATTGCTGAGAGAAGCCTCCTCCGGAGGTGCTTCTGGGAAGTTGGCATACGTCTTGAGCCTAAGCCAGGGAATCAGCTCGCATCTCGAGACGATTTGGGGTACACGGAGCATTCCTCGAGTTGCTGTGCTGAAGTTGGTGTTCCTCTAGACTTGGGACAGTGTTCTCGGGGCATCTCTGGAGTTGCCTGAAGGAAGTCGAGCCACCGGTCGTGTTGAATGGGGAACGGGGAATGGCTCTGGAGTCAATGCAGGGGAATCGGGCCTCATCTCGAGTTGATTTGGGGCACATGGAGCTGCTTTGCGTTGCTGGGGTGACCTCAGGGTCCGTCTAGACTGGTGACAGTGTTCTTGGGGACTGTCTCGAGATCCATTAAGCAAGCCGAAGCTCCTGACTTGTTTGAATGGGATCACGGAATAGCTCTGCATGCACTGCAGGGGAATGGGGCCTCATCTCGCCTCTAGGGGGAAGTCTCATGGTTTTTCTCGAGTTGCGGCGGGGACCTGGGGTATGTTCTCGACTTACGGCGGGGATGGCCCTTCAAAACACGAGTTTCTTCAGTGACGTCAGGACTCCTGTCTAGTAACGAGGGACACCTCAGGAATCTCTTCGAGGCTTGGCAGGGCCAAAGGGACGCTTCTCGAGGTGAGGCAGGGCACCCAAGGACCCTTTCCAGTAGCCACAGGGATTTTGGGATTCCTATCAGTATTCAAGAGGAGTCAGGCATCGTCACCTTTTGAAGCAATGAACTCCGCGTGCCTCTCGAGGTGTCAGCGGGATGTGAGGCATTCCGTCAAAATGAGGCAGGGACCTAGGGCTTTCTCTAAGGTCTCCACAGGGGATTCAGACATCCCTTCATGTTGTGAGATGAAAGACGAGCCTGTATTCAAGCCACTGCAAGGAAATCCGGCCTCCTTTCAAGTTAGGGCTTCTCGCTGTATATTCCCCTTGAGGCAGCAAACTCGGGGTCCCTCCCACATACCTATTGCTGAGAGAAGCCTCCTCCGGAGGTGCTTCTGGGAGGTTGGCATACGTCTTGAGCCTAAGCCAGGGAATCAGCTCGCATCTCGAGACGATTTGGGGTACACGGAGCATTCCTCGAGTTGCTGTGCTGAAGTTGGTGTTCCTCTAGACTTGGGACAGTGTTCTCGGGGCATCTCTGGAGTTGCCTGAAGGAAGTCGAGCCACCGGTCGTGTTGAATGGGGAACGGGGAATGGCTCTGGAGTCAATGCAGGGGAATCGGGCCTCATCTCGAGTTGATTTGGGGCACATGGAGCTGCTTTGCGTTGCTGGGGTGACCTCAGGGTCCGTCTAGACTGGTGACAGTGTTCTTGGGGACTGTCTCGAGATCCATTAAGCAAGCCGAAGCTCCTGACTTGTTTGAATGGGATCACGGAATAGCTCTGCATGCACTGCAGGGGAATGGGGCCTCATCTCGCCTCTAGGGGGAAGTCTCATGGTTTTTCTCGAGTTGCGGCGGGGACCTGGGGTATGTTCTCGACTTACGGCGGGGATGGCCCTTCAAAACACGAGTTTCTTCAGTGACGTCAGGACTCCTGTCTAGTAACGAGGGACACCTCAGGAATCTCTTCGAGGCTTGGCAGGGCCAAAGGGACGCTTCTCGAGGTGAGGCAGGGCACCCAAGGACCCTTTCCAGTAGCCACAGGGATTTTGGGATTCCTATCAGTATTCAAGAGGAGTCAGGCATCGTCACCTTTTGAAGCAATGAACTCCGCGTGCCTCTCGAGGTGTCAGCGGGATGTGAGGCATTCCGTCAAAATGAGGCAGGGACCTAGGGCTTTCTCTAAGGTCTCCACAGGGGATTCAGACATCCCTTCATGTTGTGAGATGAAAGACGAGCCTGTATTCAAGCCACTGCAAGGAAATCCGGCCTCCTTTCAAGTTAGGGCTTCTCGCTGTATATTCCCCTTGAGGCAGCAAACTCGGGGTCCCTCCCACATACCTATTGCTGAGAGAAGCCTCCTCCGGAGGTGCTTCTGGGAGGTTGGCATACGTCTTGAGCCTAAGCCAGGGAATCAGCTCGCATCTCGAGACGATTTGGGGTACACGGAGCATTCCTCGAGTTGCTGTGCTGAAGTTGGTGTTCCTCTAGACTTGGGACAGTGTTCTCGGGGCATCTCTGGAGTTGCCTGAAGGAAGTCGAGCCACCGGTCGTGTTGAATGGGGAACGGGGAATGGCTCTGGAGTCAATGCAGGGGAATCGGGCCTCATCTCGAGTTGATTTGGGGCACATGGAGCTGCTTTGCGTTGCTGGGGTGACCTCAGGGTCCGTCTAGACTGGTGACAGTGTTCTTGGGGACTGTCTCGAGATCCATTAAGCAAGCCGAAGCTCCTGACTTGTTTGAATGGGATCACGGAATAGCTCTGCATGCACTGCAGGGGAATGGGGCCTCATCTCGCCTCTAGGGGGAAGTCTCATGGTTTTTCTCGAGTTGCGGCGGGGACCTGGGGTATGTTCTCGACTTACGGCGGGGATGGCCCTTCAAAACACGAGTTTCTTCAGTGACGTCAGGACTCCTGTCTAGTAACGAGGGACACCTCAGGAATCTCTTCGAGGCTTGGCAGGGCCAAAGGGACGCTTCTCGAGGTGAGGCAGGGCACCCAAGGACCCTTTCCAGTAGCCACAGGGATTTTGGGATTCCTATCAGTATTCAAGAGGAGTCAGGCATCGTCACCTTTTGAAGCAATGAACTCCGCGTGCCTCTCGAGGTGTCAGCGGGATGTGAGGCATTCCGTCAAAATGAGGCAGGGACCAAGGGCTTTCTCTAAGGTCTCCACAGGGGATTCAGACATCCCTTCATGTTGTGAGATGAAAGACGAGCCTGTATTCAAGCCACTGCAAGGAAATCCGGCCTCCTTTCAAGTTAGGGCTTCTCGCTGTATATTCCCCTTGAGGCAGCAAACTCGGGCTCCCTCCCACATACCTATTGCTGAGAGAAGCCTCCTCCTGAGGTGCTTCTGGGAAGTTGGCATACGTCTTGAGCCTAAGCCAGGGAATCAGCTCGCATCTCGAGACGATTTGGGGTACACGGAGCATTCCTCGAGTTGCTGTGCTGAAGGTGGTGTTCCTCTAGACTTGGGACAGTGTTCTCGGGGCATCTCTGGAGTTGCCTGAAGGAAGTCGAGCCACCGGTCGTGTTGAATGGGGAACGGGGAATGGCTCTGGAGTCAATGCAGGGGAATCGGGCCTCATCTCGAGTTGATTTGGGGCACATGGAGCTTCTTTGCGTTGCTGGGGTGACCTCAGGGTCCGTCTAGACTGGTGACAGTGTTCTTGGGGACTGTCTCGAGATCCATTAAGCAAGTCGAAGCTCCTGACTTGTTTGAATGGGATCACGGAATAGCTCTGCATGCACTGCAGGGGAATGGGGCCTCATCTCGCCTCTAGGGGGAAGTCTCATGGTTTTTCTCGAGTTGCGGCGGGGACCTGGGGTATGTTCTCGACTTACGGCGGGGATGGCCCTTCAAAACACGAGTTTCTTCAGTGACGTCAGGACTCCTGTCTAGTAACGAGGGACACCTCAGGAATCTCTTCGAGGCTTGACAGGGCCAAAGGGACGCTTCTCGAGGTGAGGCAGGGCACCCAAGGACCCTTTCCAGTAGCCACAGGGATTTTGGGATTCCTATCAGTATTCAAGAGGAGTCAGGCATCGTCACCTTTTGAAGCAATGAACTCCGCGTGCCTCTCGAGGTGTCAGCGGGATGTGAGGGATTCCGTCAAAATGAGGCAGGGACCTAGGGCTTTCTCTAAGGTCTCCACAGGGGATTCAGACATCCCTTCATGTTGTGAGATGAAAGACGAGCCTGTATTCAAGCCACTGCAAGGAAATCCGGCCTCCTTTCAAGTTAGGGCTTCTCGCTGTATATTCCCCTTGAGGCAGCAAACTCGGGGTCCCTCCCACATACCTATTGCTGAGAGATGCCTCCTCCGGAGGTGCTTTTGGGAATTTGGCATACGTCTTGAGCCTAAGCCAGGGAATCAGCTCGCATCTCGAGACGATTTGGGGTACACGGAGCATTGCTCGAGTTGCTGTGCTGAAGTTGGTGTTCCTCTAGAGTTGGGACAGTGTTCTCGGGGCATCTCTGGAGTTGCCTGAAGGAAGTCGAGCCACCGGTCGTGTTGAATGGGGAACGGGGAATGGCTCTGGAGTCAATGCAGGGGAATCGGGCCTCATCTCGAGTTGATTTGGGGCACATGGAGCTGCTTTGCGTTGCTGGGGTGACCTCAGGGTCCGTCTAGAGTGGTGACAGTGTTCTTGGGGACTGTCTCGAGATCCATTAAGCAAGCCGAAGCTCCTGACTTGTTTGAATGGGATCACGGAATAGCTCTGCATGCACTGCAGGGGAATGGGGCCTCATCTCGCCTCTAGGGGGAAGTCTCATGGTTTTTCTCGAGTTGCGGCGGGGACCTGGGGTATGTTCTCGACTTACGGCGGGGATGGCCCTTCAAAACACGAGTTTCTTCAGTGACGTCAGGACTCCTGTCTAGTAACGAGGGACACCTCAGGAATCTCTTCGAGGCTTGGCAGGGCCAAAGGGACGCTTCTCGAGGTGAGGCAGGGCACCCAAGGACCCTTTCCAGTAGCCACAGGGATTTTGGGATTCCTATCAGTATTCAAGAGGAGTCAGGCATCGTCACCTTTTGAAGCAATGAACTCCGCGTGCCTCTCGAGGTGTCAGCGGGATGTGAGGCATTGCGTCAAAATGAGGCAGGGACCTAGGGCTTTCTCTAAGGTCTCCACAGCGGATTCAGACATCCCTTCATGTTGTGAGATGAAAGACGAGCCTGTATTCAAGCCACTGCTAGGAAATCCGGCCTCCTTTCAAGTTAGGGCTTCTCGCTGTATATTCCCCTTGAGGCAGCAAACTCGGGGTCCCTCCCACATACCTATTGCTGAGAGAAGCCTCCTCCTGAGGTGCTTCTGGGAAGTTGGCATACGTCTTGAGCCTAAGCCAGGGAATCAGCTCGCATCTCGAGACGATTTGGGGTAGACGGAGCATTCCTCGAGTTGCTGTGCTGAAGTTGGTGTTCCTCTAGACTTGGGACAGTGTTCTCGGGGCATCTCTGGAGTTGCCTGAAGGAAGTCGAGCCACCGGTCGTGTTGAATGGGGAACGGGGAATGGCTCTGGAGTCAATGCAGGGGAATCGGGCCTCATCTCGAGTTGATTTGGGGCACATGGAGCTGCTTTGCGTTGCTGGGGTGACCTCAGGGTCCGTCTAGACTGGTGACAGTGTTCTTGGGGACTGTCTCGAGATCCATTAAGCAAGCCGAAGCTCCTGACTTGTTTGAATGGCATCACGGAATAGCTCTGCATGCACTGCAGGGAAATGGGGCCTCATCTCGCCTCTAGGGGGAAGTCTCATGGTTTTTCTCGAGTTGCGGCGGGGACCTGGGGTATGTTCTCGACTTACGGCGGGGATGGCCCTTCAAAACAGGAGTTTCTTCAGTGACGTCAGGACTCCTGTCTAGTAACGAGGGACACCTCAGGAATCTCTTCGAGGCTTGGCAGGGCCAAAGGGACGCTTCTCGAGGTGAGGCAGGGCACCCAAGGACCCTTTCCAGTAGCCACAGGGATTTTGGGATTCCTATCAGTATTCAAGAGGAGTCAGGCATCGTCACCTTTTGAAGCAATGAACTCCGCGTGCCTCTCGAGGTGTCAGCGGGATGTGAGGCATTGCGTCAAAATGAGGCAGGGACCTAGGGCTTTCTCTAAGGTCTCCACAGGGGATTCAGACATCCCTTCATGTTGTGAGATGAAAGACGAGCCTGTATTCAAGCCACTGCAAGGAAATCCGGCCTCCTTTCAAGTTAGGGCTTCTCGCTGTATATTCCCCTTGAGGCAGCAAACTCGGGGTCCCTCCCACATACCTATTGCTGAGAGAAGCCTCCTCCGGAGGTGCTTCTGGGAAGTTGGCATACGTCTTGAGCCTAAGCCAGGGAATCAGCTCGCATCTCGAGACGATTTGGGGTACACGGAGCATTGCTCGAGTTGCTGTGCTGAAGGTGGTGTTCCTCTAGACTTGGGACAGTGTTCTCGGGGCATCTCTGGAGTTGCCTGAAGGAAGTCGAGCCACCGGTCGTGTTGAATGGGGAACGGGGAATGGCTCTGGAGTCAATGCAGGGGAATCGGGCCTCATCTCGAGTTGATTTGGGGCACATGGAGCTGCTTTGCGTTGGTGTGGTGACCTCAGGGTCCGTCTAGACTGGTGACAGTGTTCTTGGGGACTGTCTCGAGATCCATTAAGCAAGCCGAAGCTCCTGACTTGTTTGAATGGGATCACGGAATAGCTCTGCATGCACTGCAGGGGAATGGGGCCTCATCTCGCCTCTAGGGGGAAGTCTCATGGTTTTTCTCGAGTTGCGGCGGGGACCTGGGGTATGTTCTCGACTTACGGCAGGGATGGCCCTTCAAAACACGAGTTTCTTCAGTGACGTCAGGACTCCTGTCTAGTAACGAGGGACACCTCAGGAATCTCTTCGAGGCTTGGCAGGGCCAAAGGGACGCTTCTCGAGGTGAGGCAGGGCACCCAAGGACCCTTTCCAGTAGCCACAGGGATTTTGGGATTCCTATCAGTATTCAAGAGGAGTCAGGCATCGTCACCTTTTGAAGCAATGAACTCCGCGTGCCTCTCGAGGTGTCAGCGGGATGTGAGGCATTCCGTCAAAATGAGGCAGGGACCTAGGGCTTTCTCTAAGGTCTCCACAGGGGATTCAGACATCCCTTCATGTTGTGAGATGAAAGACGAGCCTGTATTCAAGCCACTGCAAGGAAATCCGGCCTCCTTTCAAGTTAGGGCTTCTCGCTGTATATTCCCCTTGAGGCAGCAAACTCGGGGTCCCTCCCACATACCTATTGCTGAGAGAAGCCTCCTCCGGAGGTGCTTCTGGGAAGTTGGCATACGTCTTGAGCCTAAGCCAGGGAATCAGCTCGCATCTCGAGACGATTTGGGGTACACGGAGCATTCCTCGAGTTGCTGTGCTGAAGTTGGTGTTCCTCTAGACTTGGGACAGTGTTCTCGGGGCATCTCTGGAGTTGCCTGAAGGAAGTCGAGCCACCGGTCGTGTTGAATGGGGAACGGGGAATGGCTCTGGAGTCAATGCAGGGGAATCGGGCCTCATCTCGAGTTGATTTGGGGCACATGGAGCTGCTTTGCGTTGCTGGGGTGACCTCAGGGTCCGTCTAGACTGGTGACAGTGTTCTTGGGGACTGTCTCGAGATCCATTAAGCAAACCGAAGCTCCTGACTTGTTTGAATGGGATCACGGAATAGCTCTGCATGCACTGCAGGGGAATGGGGCCTCATCTCGCCTCTAGGGGGAAGTCTCATGGTTTTTCTCGAGTTGCGGCGGGGACCTGGGGTATGTTCTCGACTTACGGCGGGGATGGCCCTTCAAAACACGAGTTTCTTCAGTGACGTCAGGACTCCTGTCTAGTAACGAGGGACACCTCAGGAATCTCTTCGAGGCTTGGCAGGGCCAAAAGGACGCTTCTCGAGGTGAGGCAGGGCACCCAAGGACCCTTTCCAGTAGCCACAGGGATTTTGGGATTCCTATCAGTATTCAAGAGGAGTCAGGCATCGTCACCTTTTGAAGCAATGAACTCCGCGTGCCTCTCGAGGTGTCAGCGGGATGTGAGGCATTCCGTCAAAATGAGGTAGGGACCAAGGGCTTTCTCTAAGGTCTCCACAGGGGATTCAGACATCCCTTCATGTTGTGAGATGAAAGACGAGCCTGTATTCAAGCCACTGCAAGGAAATCCGGCCTCCTTTCAAGTTAGGGCTTCTCGCTGTATATTCCCCTTGAGGCAGCAAAATCGGGGTCCCTCCCACATACCTATTGCTGAGAGAAGCCTCCTCCTGAGGTGCTTCTGGGAAGTTGGCATACGTCTTGAGCCTAAGCCAGGGAATCAACTCGCATCTCGAGACGATTTGGGGTACACGGAGCATTCCTCGAGTTGCTGTGCTGAAGGTGGTGTTCCTCTAGACTTGGGACAGTGTTCTCGGGGCATCTCTGGAGTTGCCTGAAGGAAGTCGAGCCACCGGTCGTGTTGAATGGGGAACGGGGAATGGCTCTGGAGTCAATGCAGGGGAATCGGGCCTCATCTCCGGTTGATTTGGGGCACATGGAGCTGCTTTGCGTTGCTGGGGTGACCTCAGGGTCCGTCTAGACTGGTGACAGTGTTCTTGGGGACTGTCTCGAGATCCATTAAGCAAGTCGAAGCTCCTGACTTGTTTGAATGGGATCACGGAATAGCTCTGCATGCACTGCAGGGGAATGGGGCCTCATCTCGCCTCTAGGGGGAAGTCTCATGGTTTTTCTCGAGTTGCGGCGGGGACCTGGGGTATGTTCTCGACTTACGGCGGGGATGGCCCTTCAAAACACGAGTTTCTTCAGTGACGTCAGGACTCCTGTCTAGTAACGAGGGACACCTCAGGAATCTCTTCGAGGCTTGGCAGGGCCAAAGGGACGCTTCTCGAGGTGAGGCAGGGCACCCAAGGACCCTTTCCAGTAGCCACAGGGATTTTGGGATTCCTATCAGTATTCAAGAGGAGTCAGGCATCGTCACATTTTGAAGCAATGAACTCCGCGTGCCTCTCGAGGTGTCAGCGGGATGTGAGGGATTCCGTCAAAATGAGGCAGGGACTTAGGGCTTTCTCTAAGGTCTCCACAGGGGATTCAGACATCCCTTCATGTTGTGAGATGAAAGACGAGCCTGTATTCAAGCCACTGCAAGGAAATCCGGCCTCCTTTCAAGTTAGGGCTTCTCGCTGTATATTCCCCTTGAGGCAGCAAACTCGGGGTCCCTCCCACATACCTATTGCTGAGAGATGCCTCCTCCGGAGGTGCTTTTGGGAATTTGGCATACGTCTTGAGCCTAAGCCAGGGAATCAGCTCGCATCTCGAGACGATTTGGGGTACACGGAGCATTGCTCGAGTTGCTGTGCTGAAGTTGGTGTTCCTCTAGAGTTGGGACAGTGTTCTCGGGGCATCTCTGGAGTTGCCTGAAGGAAGTCGAGTCACCGGTCGTGTGGAATGGGGAACGGGGAATGGCTCTGGAGTCAATGCAGGGGAATCGGGCCTCATCTCGAGTTGATTTGGGGCACATGGAGCTGCTTTGCGTTGCTGGGGTGACCTCAGGGTCCGTCTAGAGTGGTGACAGTGTTCTTGGGGACTGTCTCGAGATCCATTAAGCAAGCCGAAGCTCCTGACTTGTTTGAATGGGATCACGGAATAGCTCTGCATGCACTGCAGGGGAATGGGGCCTCATCTCGCCTCTAGGGGGAAGTCTCATGGTTTTTCTCGAGTTGCGGCGGGGACCTGGGGTATGTTCTCGACTTACGGCGGGGATGGCCCTTCAAAACACGAGTTTCTTCAGTGACGTCAGGACTCCTGTCTAGTAACGAGGGACACCTCAGGAATCTCTTCGAGGCTTGGCAGGGCCAAAGGGACGCTTCTCGAGGTGAGGCAGGGCACCCAAGGACCCTTTCCAGTAGCCACAGGGATTTTGGGATTCCTATCAGTATTCAAGAGGAGTCAGGCATCGTCACATTTTGAAGCAATGAACTCCGCGTGCCTCTCGAGGTGTCAGCGGGATGTGAGGCATTGCGTCAAAATGAGGCAGGGACCTAGGGCTTTCTCTAAGGTCTCCACAGCGGATTCAGACATCCCTTCATGTTGTGAGATGAAAGACGAGCCTGTATTCAAGCCACTGCTAGGAAATCCGGCCTCCTTTCAAGTTAGGGCTTCTCGCTGTATATTCCCCTTGAGGCAGCAAACTCGGGGTCCCTCCCACATACCTATTGCTGAGAGAAGCCTCCTCCTGAGGTGCTTCTGGGAAGTTGGCATACGTCTTGAGCCTAAGCCAGGGAATCAGCTCGCATCTCGAGACGATTTGGGGTAGACGGAGCATTCCTCGAGTTGCTGTGCTGAAGTTGGTGTTCCTCTAGACTTGGGACAGTGTTCTCGGGGCATCTCTGGAGTTGCCTGAAGGAAGTCGAGCCACCGGTCGTGTTGAATGGGGAACGGGGAATGGCTCTGGAGTCAATGCAGGGGAATCGGGCCTCATCTCGAGTTGATTTGGGGCACATGGAGCTGCTTTGCGTTGCTGGGGTGACCTCAGGGTCCGTCTAGACTGGTGACAGTGTTCTTGGGGACTGTCTCGAGATCCATTAAGCAAGCCGAAGCTCCTGACTTGTTTGAATGGCATCACGGAATAGCTCTGCATGCACTGCAGGGAAATGGGGCCTCATCTCGCCTCTAGGGGGAAGTCTCATGGTTTTTCTCGAGTTGCGGCGGGGACCTGGGGTATGTTCTCGACTTACGGCGGGGATGGCCCTTCAAAACAGGAGTTTCTTCAGTGACGTCAGGACTCCTGTCTAGTAACGAGGGACACCTCAGGAATCTCTTCGAGGCTTGGCAGGGCCAAAGGGACGCTTCTCGAGGTGAGGCAGGGCACCCAAGGACCCTTTCCAGTAGCCATAGGGATTTTGGGATTCCTATCAGTATTCAAGAGGAGTCAGGCATCGTCACCTTTTGAAGCAATGAACTCCGCGTGCCTCTCGAGGTGTCAGCGGGATGTGAGGCATTCCGTCAAAATGAGGCAGGGACCAAGGGCTTTCTCTAAGGTCTCCACAGGGGATTCAGACATCTCTTCATGTTGTGAGATGAAAGACGAGCCTGTATTCAAGCCACTGCAAGGAAATCCGGCCTCCTTTCAAGTTAGGGCTTCTCGCTGTATATTCCCCTTGAGGCAGCAAACTCGGGGTCCCTCCCACATACCTATTGATGAGAGAAGCCTCCTTCTGAGGTGCTTCTGGGAAGTTGGCATACGTCTTGAGCCTAAGCCAGGGAATCAGCTCGCATCTCGAGACGATTTGGGGTAGACGGAGCATTCCTCGAGTTGCTGTGCTGAAGTTGGTGTTCCTCTAGACTTGGGACAGTGTTCTCGGGGCATCTCTGGAGTTGCCTGAAGGAAGTCGAGCCACCGGTCGTGTTGAATGGGGAACGGGGAATGGCTCTGGAGTCAATGCAGGGGAATAGGGCCTCATCTCGAGTTGATTTGGGGCACATGGAGCTGCTTTGCGTTGCTGGGGTGACCTCAGGGTCCGTCTAGACTGGTGACAGTGTTCTTGGGGACTGTCTCGAGATCCATTAAGCAAGCCGAAGCTCCTGACTTGTTTGAATGGGATCACGGAATAGCTCTGCATGCACTGCAGGGGAATGGGGCCTCATCTCGCCTCTAGGGGGAAGTCTCATGGTTTTTCTCGAGTTGCGGCGGGGACCTGGGGTATGTTCTCGACTTACGGCGGGGATGGCCCTTCAAAACACGAGTTTCTTCAGTGACGTCAGGACTCCTGTCTAGTAACGAGGGACACCTCAGGAATCTCTTCGAGGCTTGGCAGGGCCAAAGGGACGCTTCTCGAGGTGAGGCAGGGCACCCAAGGACCCTTTCCAGTAGCCACAGGGATTTTGGGATTCCTATCAGTATTCAAGAGGAGTCAGGCATCGTCACCTTTTGAAGCAATGAACTCCGCGTGCCTCTCGAGGTGTCAGCGGGATGTGAGGCATTCCGTCAAAATGAGGCAGGGACCTAGGGCTTTCTCTAAGGTCTCCACAGGGGATTCAGACATCCCTTCATGTTGTGAGATGAAAGACGAGCCTGTATTCAAGCCACTGCAAGGAAATCCGGCCTCCTTTCAAGTTAGGGCTTCTCGCTGTATATTCCCCTTGAGGCAGCAAGCTCGGGTTCCCTCCCACATACCTATTGCTGAGAGAAGCCTCCTCCGGAGGTGCTTCTGGGAATTTGGCATACGTCTTGAGCCTAAGCCAGGGAATCAGCTCGCATCTCGAGACGATTTGGGGTACACGGAGCATTCCTCGAGTTGCTGTGCTGAAGTTGGTGTTCCTCTAGACTTGGGACAGTGTTCTCGGGGCATCTCTGGAGTTGCCTGAAGGAAGTCGAGCCAGCGGTCGTGTTGAATGGGGAACGGGGAATGGCTCTGGAGTCAATGCAGGGGAATCGGGCCTCATCTCGAGTTGATTTGGGGCACATGGAGCTGCTTTGCGTTGCTGGGGTGACCTCAGGGTCCGTCTAGACTGGTGACAGTGTTCTTGGGGACTGTCTCGAGATCCATTAAGCAAGCCGAAGCTCCTGACTTGTTTGAATGGGATCACGGAATAGCTCTGCATGCACTGCAGGGGAATGGGGCCTCATCTCGCCTCTAGGGGGAAGTCTCATGGTTTTTCTCGAGTTGCGGCGGGGACCTGGGGTATGTTCTCGACTTACGGCGGGGATGGCCCTTCAAAACACGAGTTTCTTCAGTGACGTCAGGACTCCTGTCTAGTAACGAGGGACACCTCAGGAATCTCTTCGAGGCTTGGCAGGGCCAAAGGGACGCTTCTCGAGGTGAGGCAGGGCACCCAAGGACCCTTTCCAGTAGCCACAGGGATTTTGGGATTCCTATCAGTATTCAAGAGGAGTCAGGCATCGTCACCTTTTGAAGCAATGAACTCCGCGTGCCTCTCGAGGTGTCAGCGGGATGTGAGGGATTCCGTCAAAATGAGGCAGGGACCTAGGGCTTTCTCTAAGGTCTCCAGAGGGGATTCAGACATCCTTTCATGTTGTGAGATGAAAGACGAGCCTGTATTCAAGCCACTGCAAGGAAATCCGGCCTCCTTTCCAGTTAGGGCTTCTCGCTGTATATTCCCCTAGAGGCAGCAAACTCGGGGTCCCTCCCACATACCTATTGCTGAGAGAAGCCTCCTCCGGAGGTGCTTCTGGGAAGTTGGCATACGTCTTGAGCCTAAGCCAGGGAATCAGCTCGCATCTCGAGACGATTTGGGGTACACGGAGCATTCCTCGTGTTGCTGTGCTGAAGTTGGTGTTCCTCTAGACTTGGGACAGTGTTCTCGGGTCATCTCTGGAGTTGCCTGAAGGAAGTCGAGCCAGCGGTCGTGTTGAATGGGGAACGGGGAATGGCTCTGGAGTCAATGCAGGGGAATCGGGCCTCATCTCGAGTTGATTTGGGGCACATGGAGCTGCTTTGCGTTGCTGGGGTGACCTCAGGGTCCGTCTAGACTGGTGACAGTGTTCTTGGGGACTGTCTCGAGATCCATTAAGCAAGCCGAAGCTCCTGACTTGTTTGAATGGGATCACGGAATAGCTCTGCATGCACTGCAGGGGAATGGGGCCTCATCTCGCCTCTAGGGGGAAGTCTCATGGTTTTTCTCGAGTTGCGGCGGGGACCTGGGGTATGTTCTCGACTTACGGCGGGGATGGCCCTTCAAAACACGAGTTTCTTCAGTGACGTCAGGACTCCTGTCTAGTAACGAGGGACACCTCAGGAATCTCTTCGAGGCTTGGCAGGGCCAAAGGGACGCTTCTCGAGGTGAGGCAGGGCACCCAAGGACCCTTTCCAGTAGCCACAGGGATTTTGGGATTCCTATCAGTATTCAAGAGGAGTCAGGCATCGTCACCTTTTGAAGCAATGAACTCCGCGTGCCTCTCGAGGTGTCAGCGGGATGTGAGGGATTCCGTCAAAATGAGGCAGGGACCTAGGGCTTTCTCTAAGGTCTCCACAGGGGATTCAGACATCCCTTCATGTTGTGAGATGAAAGACGAGCCTGTATTCAAGCCACTGCAAGGAAATCCGGCCTCCTTTCAAGTTAGGGCTTCTCGCTGTATATTCCCCTTGAGGCAGCAAACTCGGGGTCCCTCCCACATACCTATTGCTGAGAAAAGCCTCCTCCGGAGGTGCTTCTGGGAATTTGGCATACGTCTTGAGCCTAAGCCAGGGAATCAGCTCGCATCTCGAGACGATTTGGGGTACACGGAGCATTCCTCGAGTTGCTGTGCTGAAGTTGGTGTTCCTCTAGACTTGGGACAGTGTTCTCGGGGCATCTCTGGAGTTGCCTGAAGGAAGTCGAGCCAGCGGTCGTGTTGAATGGGGAACGGGGAATGGCTCTGGAGTCAATGCAGTGGAATCGGGCCTCATCTCGAGTTGATTTGGGGCACATGGAGCTGCTTTGCGTTGCTGGGGTGACCTCAGTGTCCGTCTAGACTGGTGACAGTGTTCTTGGGGACTGTCTCGAGATCCATTAAGCAAGCCGAAGCTCCTGACTTGTTTGAATGGGATCACGGAATAGCTCTGCATGCACTGCAGGGGAATGGGGCCTCATCTCGCCTCTAGGGGGAAGTCTCATGGTTTTTCTCGAGTTGCGGCGGGGACCTGGGCTATGTTCTCGACTTACGGCGGGGATGGCCCTTCAAAACACGAGTTTCTTCAGTGACGTCAGGACTCCTGTCTAGTAACGAGGGACACCTCAGGAATCTCTTCGAGGCTTGGCAGGGCCAAAGGGACGCTTCTCGAGGTGAGGCAGGGCACCCAAGGACCCTTTCCAGTAGCCACAGGGATTTTGGGATTCCTATCAGTATTCAAGAGGAGTCAGGCATCGTCACCTTTTGAAGCAATGAACTCCGCGTGCCTCTCGAGGTGTCAGCGGGATGTGAGGGATTCCGTCAAAATGAGGCAGGGACCTAGGGCTTTCTCTAAGGTCTCCACAGGGGATTCAGACATCCCTTCATGTTGTGAGATGAAAGACGAGCCTGTATTCAAGCCACTGCAAGGAAATCCGGCCTCCTTTCAAGTTAGGGCTTCTCGCTGTATATTCCCCTTGAGGCAGCAAACTCGGGGTCCCTCCCACATACCTATTGCGGAGAGAAGCCTCCTCCTGAGGTGCTTCTGGGAAGTTGGCATACGTCTTGAGCCTAAGCCAGGGAATCAGCTCGCATCTCGAGACGATTTGGGGTACACGGAGCATTCCTCGAGTTGCTGTGCTGAAGTTGGTGTTCCTCTAGACTTGGGACAGTGTTCTCGGGGCATCTCTGGAGTTGCCTGAAGGAAGTCGAGCCACCGGTCGTGTTGAATGGGGAATGGGGAATGGCTCTGGAGTCAATGCAGGGGAATCGGGCCTCATCTCGAGTTGATTTGGGGCACATGGAGCTGCTTTGCGTTGCTGGGGTGACCTCAGGGTCCGTCTAGACTGGTGACAGTGTTCTTGGGGACTGTCTCGAGATCCATTAAGCAAGCCGAAGCTCCTGACTTGTTTGAATGGGATCACGGAATAGCTCTGCATGCACTGCAGGGGAATGGGGCCTCATCTCGCCTCTAGGGGGAAGTCTCATGGTTTTTCTCGAGTTGCGGCGGGGACCTGGGGTATGTTCTCGACTTACGGCGGGGATGGCCCTTCAAAACACGAGTTTCTTCAGTGACGTCAGGACTCCTGTCTAGTAACGAGGGACACCTCAGGAATCTCTTCGAGGCTTGGCAGGGCCAAAGGGACGCTTCTCGAGGTGAGGCAGGGCACCCAAGGACCCTTTCCAGTAGCCACAGGGATTTTGGGATTCCTATCAGTATTCAAGAGGAGTCAGGCATCGTCACCTTTTGAAGCAATGAACTCCGCGTGCCTCTCGAGGTGTCAGCGGGATGTGAGGGATTCCGTCAAAATGAGGCAGGGACCTAGGGCTTTCTCTAAGGTCTCCAGAGGGGATTCAGACATCCCTTCATGTTGTGAGATGAAAGACGAGCCTGTAATCAAGCCACTGCAAGGAAATCCGGCCTCCTTTCCAGTTAGGGCTTCTCGCTGTATATTCCCCTAGAGGCAGCAAACTCGGGGTCCCTCCCACATACCTATTGCTGAGAGAAGCCTCCTCCGGAGGTGCTTCTGGGAAGTTGGCATACGTCTTGAGCCTAAGCCAGGGAATCAGCTCGCATCTCGAGACGATTTGGGGTACACGGAGCATTCCTCGTGTTGCTGTGCTGAAGTTGGTGTTCCTCTAGACTTGGGACAGTGTTCTCGGGTCATCTCTGGAGTTGCCTGAAGGAAGTCGAGCCAGCGGTCGTGTTGAATGGGGAACGGGGAATGGCTCTGGAGTCAATGCAGGGGAATCGGGCCTCATCTCGAGTTGATTTGGGGCACATGGAGCTGCTTTGCGTTGCTGGGGTGACCTCAGGGTCCGTCTAGACTGGTGACAGTGTTCTTGGGGACTGTCTCGAGATCCATTAAGCAAGCCGAAGCTCCTGACTTGTTTGAATGGGATCACGGAATAGCTCTGCATGCACTGCAGGGGAATGGGGCCTCATCTCGCCTCTAGGGGGAAGTCTCATGGTTTTTCTCGAGTTGCGGCGGGGACCTGGGGTATGTTCTCGACTTACGGCGGGGATGGCCCTTCAAAACACGAGTTTCTTCAGTGACGTCAGGACTCCTGTCTAGTAACGAGGGACACCTCAGGAATCTCTTCGAGGCTTGGCAGGGCCAAAGGGACGCTTCTCGAGGTGAGGCAGGGCACCCAAGGACCCTTTCCAGTAGCCACAGGGATTTTGGGATTCCTATCAGTATTCAAGAGGAGTCAGGCATCGTCACCTTTTGAAGCAATGAACTCCGCGTGCCTCTCGAGGTGTCAGCGGGATGTGAGGGATTCCGTCAAAATGAGGCAGGGACCTAGGGCTTTCTCTAAGGTCTCCACAGGGGATTCAGACATCCCTTCATGTTGTGAGATGAAAGACGAGCCTGTATTCAAGCCACTGCAAGGAAATCCGGCCTCCTTTCAAGTTAGGGCTTCTCGCTGTATATTCCCCTTGAGGCAGCAAACTCGGGGTCCCTCCCACATACCTATTGCTGAGAAAAGCCTCCTCCGGAGGTGCTTCTGGGAATTTGGCATACGTCTTGAGCCTAAGCCAGGGAATCAGCTCGCATCTCGAGACGATTTGGGGTACACGGAGCATTCCTCGAGTTGCTGTGCTGAAGTTGGTGTTCCTCTAGACTTGGGACAGTGTTCTCGGGGCATCTCTGGAGTTGCCTGAAGGAAGTCGAGCCAGCGGTCGTGTTGAATGGGGAACGGGGAATGGCTCTGGAGTCAATGCAGTGGAATCGGGCCTCATCTCGAGTTGATTTGGGGCACATGGAGCTGCTTTGCGTTGCTGGGGTGACCTCAGTGTCCGTCTAGACTGGTGACAGTGTTCTTGGGGACTGTCTCGAGATCCATTAAGCAAGCCGAAGCTCCTGACTTGTTTGAATGGGATCACGGAATAGCTCTGCATGCACTGCAGGGGAATGGGGCCTCATCTCGCCTCTAGGGGGAAGTCTCATGGTTTTTCTCGAGTTGCGGCGGGGACCTGGGCTATGTTCTCGACTTACGGCGGGGATGGCCCTTCAAAACACGAGTTTCTTCAGTGACGTCAGGACTCCTGTCTAGTAACGAGGGACACCTCAGGAATCTCTTCGAGGCTTGGAAGGGCCAAAGGGACGCTTCTCGAGGTGAGGCAGGGCACCCAAGGACCCTTTCCAGTAGCCACAGGGATTTTGGGATTCCTATCAGTATTCAAGAGGAGTCAGGCATCGTCACCTTTTGAAGCAATGAACTCCGCGTGCCTCTCGAGGTGTCAGCGGGATGTGAGGGATTCCGTCAAAATGAGGCAGGGACCTAGGGCTTTCTCTAAGGTCTCCACAGGGGATTCAGACATCCCTTCATGTTGTGAGATGAAAGACGAGCCTGTATTCAAGCCACTGCAAGGAAATCCGGCCTCCTTTCAAGTTAGGGCTTCTCGCTGTATATTCCCCTTGAGGCAGCAAACTCGGGGTCCCTCCCACATACCTATTGCTGAGAGAAGCCTCCTCCTGAGGTGCTTCTGGGAATTTGGCATACGTCTTGAGCCTAAGCCAGGGAATCAGCTCGCATCTCGAGACGATTTGGGGTACACGGAGCATTCCTCGAGTTGCTGTGCTGAAGTTGGTGTTCCTCTAGACTTGGGACAGTGTTCTCGGGGCATCTCTGGAGTTGCCTGAAGGAAGTCGAGCCAGCGGTCGTGTTGAATGGGGAACGGGGAATGGCTCTGGAGTCAATGCAGGGGAATCGGGCCTCATCTCGAGTTGATTTGGGGCACATGGAGCTGCTTTGCGTTGCTGGGGTGACCTCAGTGTCCGTCTAGACTGGTGACAGTGTTCTTGGGGACTGTCTCGAGATCCATTAAGCAAGCCGAAGCTCCTGACTTGTTTGAATGGGATCACGGAATAGCTCTGCATGCACTGCAGGGGAATGGGGCCTCATCTCGCCTCTAGGGGGAAGTCTCATGGTTTTTCTCGAGTTGTGGCGGGGACCTGGGGTATGTTCTCGAATTACGGCGGGGATGGCCCTTCAAAACACGAGTTTCTTTAGTGACGTCAGGACTCCTGTCTAGTAACGAGGGACACCTCAGGAATCTCTTCGAGGCTTGGCAGGGCCAAAGGGACGCTTCTCGAGGTGAGGCAGGGCACCCAAGGACCCTTTCCAGTAGCCACAGGGATTTTGGGATTCCTATCAGTATTCAACAGGAGTCAGGCATTGTCACCTTTTGAAGCAATGAACTCCGCGTGCCTCTCGAGGTGTCAGCGGGATGTGAGGCATTGCGTCAAAATGAGGCAGGGACCTAGGGCTTTCTCTAAGGTCTCCACAGCGGATTCAGACATCCCTTCATGTTGTGAGATGAAAGACGAGCCTGTATTCAAGCCACTGCAAGGAAATCCAGCCTCCTTTCAAGTTAGGGCTTCTCGCTGTATATTCCCCTTGAGGCAGCAAACTCGGGGTCCCTCCCACATACCTATTGCGGAGAGAAGCCTCCTCCTGAGGTGCTTCTGGGAAGTTGGCATACGTCTTGAGCCTAAGCCAGGGAATCAGCTCGCATCTCGAGACGATTTGGGGTACACGGAGCATTCCTCGAGTTGCTGTGCTGAAGTTGGTGTTCCTCTAGACTTGGGACAGTGTTCTCGGGGCATCTCTGGAGTTGCCTGAAGGAAGTCGAGCCACCGGTCGTGTTGAATGGGGAACGGGGAATGGCTCTGGAGTCAATGCAGGGGAATCGGGCCTCATCTCGAGTTGATTTGGGGCACATGGAGCTGCTTTGCGTTGCTGGGGTGACCTCAGGGTCCGTCTAGACTGGTGACAGTGTTCTTGGGGACTGTCTCGAGATCCATTAAGCAAGTCGAAGCTCCTGACTTGTTTGAATGGGATCACGGAATAGCTCTGCATGCACTGCAGGGGAATGGGGCCTCATCTCGCCTCTAGGGGGAAGTCTCATGGTTTTTCTCGAGTTGCGGCGGGGACCTGGGGTATGTTCTCGACTTACGGCGGGGATGGCCCTTCAAAACACGAGTTTCTTCAGTGACGTCAGGACTCCTGTCTAGTAACGAGGGACACCTCAGGAATCTCTTCGAGGCTTGGCAGGGCCAAAGGGACGCTTCTCGAGGTGAGGCAGGGCACCCAAGGACCCTTTCCAGTAGCCACAGGGATTTTGGGATTCCTATCAGTATTCAAGAGGAGTCAGGCATCGTCACCTTTTGAAGCAATGAACTCCGCGTGCCTCTCGAGGTGTCAGCGGGATGTGAGGGATTCCGTCAAAATGAGGCAGGGACCTAGGGCTTTCTCTAAGGTCTCCACAGGGGATTCAGACATCCCTTCATGTTGTGAGATGAAAGACGAGCCTGTATTCAAGCCACTGCAAGGAAATCCGGCCTCCTTTCAAGTTAGGGCTTCTCGCTGTATATTCCCCGTGAGGCAGCAAACTCGGGGTCCCTCCCACATACCTATTGCTGAGAGAAGCCTCCTCCGGAGGTGCTTCTGGGAATTTGGCATACGTCTTGAGCCTAGGCCAGGGAATCAGCTCGCATCTCGAGACGATTTGGGGTACACGGAGCATTCCTCGAGTTGCTGTGCTGAAGTTGGTGTTCCTCTAGACTTGGGACAGTGTTCTCGGGGCATCTCTGGAGTTGCCTGAAGGAAGTCGAGCCAGCGGTCGTGTTGAATGGGGAACGGGGAATGGCTCTGGAGTCAATGCAGGGGAATCGGGCCTCATCTCGAGTTGATTTGGGGCACATGGAGCTGCTTTGCGTTGCTGGGGTGACCTCAGGGTCCGTCTAGACTGGTGACAGTGTTCTTGGGGACTGTCTCGAGATCCATTAAGCAAGCCGAAGCTCCTGACTTGTTTGAATGGGATCACGGAATAGCTCTGCATGCACTGCAGGGGAATGGGGCCTCATCTCGCCTCTAGGGGGAAGTCTCATGGTTTTTCTCGAGTTGCGGCGGGGACCTGGGGTATGTTCTCGACTTACGGCGGGGATGGCCCTTCAAAACACGAGTTTCTTCAGTGACGTCAGGACTCCTGTCTAGTAACGAGGGACACCTCAGGAATCTCTTCGAGGCTTGGCAGGGCCAAAGGGACGCTTCTCGAGGTGAGGCAGGGCACCCAAGGACCCTTTCCAGTAGCCACAGGGATTTTGGGATTCCTATCAGTATTCAACAGGAGTCAGGCATTGTCACCTTTTGAAGCAATGAACTCCGCGTGCCTCTCGAGGTGTCAGCGGGATGTGAGGCATTGCGTCAAAATGAGGCAGGGACCTAGGGCTTTCTCTAAGGTCTCCACAGCGGATTCAGACATCCCTTCATGTTGTGAGATGAAAGACGAGCCTGTATTCAAGCCACTGCAAGGAAATCCAGCCTCCTTTCAAGTTAGGGCTTCTCGCTGTATATTCCCCTTGAGGCAGCAAACTCGGGGTCCCTCCCACATACCTATTGCGGAGAGAAGCCTCCTCCTGAGGTGCTTCTGGGAAGTTGGCATACGTCTTGAGCCTAAGCCAGGGAATCAGCTCGCATCTCGAGACGATTTGGGGTACACGGAGCATTCCTCGAGTTGCTGTGCTGAAGTTGGTGTTCCTCTAGACTTGGGACAGTGTTCTCGGGGCATCTCTGGAGTTGCCTGAAGGAAGTCGAGCCACCGGTCGTGTTGAATGGGGAATGGGGAATGGCTCTGGAGTCAATGCAGGGGAATCGGGCCTCATCTCGAGTTGATTTGGGGCACATGGAGCTGCTTTGCGTTGCTGGGGTGACCTCAGTGTCCGTCTAGACTGGTGACAGTGTTCTTGGGGACTGTCTCGAGATCCATTAAGCAAGCCGAAGCTCCTGACTTGTTTGAATGGGATCACGGAATAGCTCTGCATGCACTGCAGGGGAATGGGGCCTCATCTCGCCTCTAGGGGGAAGTCTCATGGTTTTTCTCGAGTTGCGGCGGGGACCTGGGCTATGTTCTCGACTTACGGCGGGGATGGCCCTTCAAAACACGAGTTTCTTCAGTGACGTCAGGACTCCTGTCTAGTAACGAGGGACACCTCAGGAATCTCTTCGAGGCTTGGCAGGGCCAAAGGGACGCTTCTCGAGGTGAGGCAGGGCACCCAAGGACCCTTTCCAGTAGCCACAGGGATTTTGGGATTCCTATCAGTATTCAAGAGGAGTCAGGCATCGTCACCTTTTGAAGCAATGAACTCCGCGTGCCTCTCGAGGTGTCAGCGGGATGTGAGGCATTGCGTCAAAATGAGGCAGGGACCTAGGGCTTTCTCTAAGGTCTCCACAGCGGATTCAGACATCCCTTCATGTTGTGAGATGAAAGACGAGCCTGTATTCAAGCCACTGCTAGGAAATCCGGCCTCCTTTCAAGTTAGGGCTTCTCGCTGTATATTCCCCTTGAGGCAGCAAACTCGGGGTCCCTCCCACATACCTATTGCTGAGAGAAGCCTCCTCCTGAGGTGCTTCTGGGAAGTTGGCATACGTCTTGAGCCTAAGCCAGGGAATCAGCTCGCATCTCGAGACGATTTGGGGTAGACGGAGCATTCCTCGAGTTGCTGTGCTGAAGTTGGTGTTCCTCTAGACTTGGGACAGTGTTCTCGGGGCATCTCTGGAGTTGCCTGAAGGAAGTCGAGCCACCGGTCGTGTTGAATGGGGAACGGGGAATGGCTCTGGAGTCAATGCAGGGGAATCGGGCCTCATCTCGAGTTGATTTGGGGCACATGGAGCTGCTTTGCGTTGCTGGGGTGACCTCAGGGTCCGTCTAGACTGGTGACAGTGTTCTTGGGGACTGTCTCGAGATCCATTAAGCAAGCCGAAGCTCCTGACTTGTTTGAATGGCATCACGGAATAGCTCTGCATGCACTGCAGGGAAATGGGGCCTCATCTCGCCTCTAGGGGGAAGTCTCATGGTTTTTCTCGAGTTGCGGCGGGGACCTGGGGTATGTTCTCGACTTACGGCGGGGATGGCCCTTCAAAACAGGAGTTTCTTCAGTGACGTCAGGACTCCTGTCTAGTAACGAGGGACACCTCAGGAATCTCTTCGAGGCTTGGCAGGGCCAAAGGGACGCTTCTCGAGGTGAGGCAGGGCACCCAAGGACCCTTTCCAGTAGCCACAGGGATTTTGGGATTCCTATCAGTATTCAAGAGGAGTCAGGCATCGTCACCTTTTGAAGCAATGAACTCCGCGTGCCTCTCGAGGTGTCAGCGGGATGTGAGGCATTGCGTCAAAATGAGGCAGGGACCTAGGGCTTTCTCTAAGGTCTCCACAGGGGATTCAGACATCCCTTCATGTTGTGAGATGAAAGACGAGCCTGTATTCAAGCCACTGCAAGGAAATCCGGCCTCCTTTCAAGTTAGGGCTTCTCGCTGTATATTCCCCTTGAGGCAGCAAACTCGGGGTCCCTCCCACATACCTATTGCTGAGAGAAGCCTCCTCCTGAGGTGCTTCTGGGAAGTTGGCATACGTCTTGAGCCTAAGCCAGGGAATCAGCTCGCATCTCGAGACGATTTGGGGTACACGGAGCATTGCTCGAGTTGCTGTGCTGAAGTTGGTGTTCCTCTAGACTTGGGACAGTGTTCTCGGGGCATCTCTGGAGTTGCCTGAAGGAAGTCGAGCCACCGGTCGTGTTGAATGGGGAACGGGGAATGGCTCTGGAGTCAATGCAGTGGAATCGGGCCTCATCTCGAGTTGATTTGGGGCACATGGAGCTGCTTTGCGTTGGTGTGGTGACCTCAGGGTCCGTCTAGACTGGTGACAGTGTTCTTGGGGACTGTCTCGAGATCCATTAAGCAAGCCGAAGCTCCTGACTTGTTTGAATGGGATCACGGAATAGCTCTGCATGCACTGCAGGGGAATGGGGCCTCATCTCGCCTCTAGGGGGAAGTCTCATGGTTTTTCTCGAGTTGCGGCGGGGACCTGGGGTATGTTCTCGACTTACGGCGGGGATGGCCCTTCAAAACACGAGTTTCTTCAGTGACGTCACTACTCCTGTCTAGTAACGAGGGACACCTCAGGAATCTCTTCGAGGCTTGGCAGGGCCAAAGGGACGCTTCTCGAGGTGAGGCAGGGCACCCAAGGACCCTTTCCAGTAGCCACAGGGATTTTGGGATTCCTATCAGTATTCAAGAGGAGTCAGGCATCGTCACCTTTTGAAGCAATGAACTCCGCGTGCCTCTCGAGGTGTCAGCGGGATGTGAGGCATTGCGTCAAAATGAGGCAGGGACCTAGGGCTTTCTCTAAGGTCTCCACAGCGGATTCAGACATCCCTTCATGTTGTGAGATGAAAGACGAGCCTGTATTCAAGCCACTGCAAGGAAATCCGGCCTCCTTTCAAGTTAGGGCTTCTCGCTGTATATTCCCCTTGAGGCAGCAAACTCGGGGTCCCTCCCACATACCTATTGCTGAGAGAAGCCTCCTCCTGAGGTGCTTCTGGGAAGTTGGCATACGTCTTGAGCCTAAGCCAGGGAATCAGCTCGCATCTCGAGACGATTTGGGGTAGACGGAGCATTCCTCGAGTTGCTGTGCTGAAGTTGGTGTTCCTCTAGACTTGGGACAGTGTTCTCGGGGCATCTCTGGAGTTGCCTGAAGGAAGTCGAGCCAGCGGTCGTGTTGAATGGGGAACGGGGAATGGCTCTGGAGTCAATGCAGGGGAATCGGGCCTCATCTCGAGTTGATTTGGGGCACATGGAGCTGCTTTGCGTTGCTGGGGTGACCTCAGGGTCCGTCTAGACTGGTGACAGTGTTCTTGGGGACTGTCTCGAGATCCATTAAGCAAGCCGAAGCTCCTGACTTGTTTGAATGGGATCACGGAATAGCTCTGCATGCACTGCAGGGGAATGGGGCCTCATCTCGCCTCTAGGGGGAAGTCTCATGGTTTTTCTCGAGTTGCGGCGGGGACCTGGGGTATGTTCTCGACTTACGGCGGGGATGGCCCTTCAAAACACGAGTTTCTTCAGTGACGTCAGGACTCCTGTCTAGTAACGAGGGACACCTCAGGAATCTCTTCGAGGCTTGGCAGGGCCAAAGGGACGCTTCTCGAGGTGAGGCAGGGCACCCAAGGACCCTTTCCAGTAGCCACAGGGATTTTGGGATTCCTATCAGTATTCAAGAGGAGTCAGGCATCGTCACCTTTTGAAGCAATGAACTCCGCGTGCCTCTCGAGGTGTCAGCGGGATGTGAGGCATTCCGTCAAAATGAGGCAGGGACCTAGGGCTTTCTCTAAGGTCTCCACAGGGGATTCAGACATCCCTTCATGTTGTGAGATGAAAGACGAGCCTGTATTCAAGCCACTGCAAGGAAATCCGGCCTCCTTTCAAGTTAGGGCTTCTCGCTGTATATTCCCCTTGAGGCAGCAAACTCGGGGTCCCTCCCACATACCTATTGCTGAGAGAAGCCTCCTCCGGAGGTGCTTCTGGGAAGTTGGCATACGTCTTGAGCCTAAGCCAGGGAATCAGCTCGCATCTCGAGACGATTTGGGGTACACGGAGCATTGCTCGAGTTGCTGTGCTGAAGGTGGTGTTCCTCTAGACTTGGGACAGTGTTCTCGGGGCATCTCTGGAGTTGCCTGAAGGAAGTCGAGCCACCGGTCGTGTTGAATGGGGAACGGGGAATGGCTCTGGAGTCAATGCAGGGGAATCGGGCCTCATCTCGAGTTGATTTGGGGCACATGGAGCTGCTTTGCGTTGCTGGGGTGACCTCAGGGTCCGTCTAGACTGGTGACAGTGTTCTTGGGGACTGTCTCGAGATCCATTAAGCAAGCCGAAGCTCCTGACTTGTTTGAATGGGATCACGGAATAGCTCTGCATGCACTGCAGGGGAATGGGGCCTCATCTCGCCTCTAGGGGGAAGTCTCATGGTTTTTCTCGAGTTGCGGCGGGGACCTGGGGTATGTTCTCGACTTACGGCGGGGATGGCCCTTCAAAACACGAGTTTCTTCAGTGACGTCAGGACTCCTGTCTAGTAACGAGGGACACCTCAGGAATCTCTTCGAGGCTTGGCAGGGCCAAAGGGACGCTTCTCGAGGTGAGGCAGGGCACCCAAGGACCCTTTCCAGTAGCCACAGGGATTTTGGGATTCCTATCAGTATTCAAGAGGAGTCAGGCATCGTCACCTTTTGAAGCAATGAACTCCGCGTGACTCTCGAGGTGTCAGCGGGATGTGAGGCATTGCGTCAAAATGAGGCAGGGACCTAGGGCTTTCTCTAAGGTCTCCACAGCGGATTCAGACATCCCTTCATGTTGTGAGATGAAAGACGAGCCTGTATTCAAGCCGCTGCAAGGAAATCCGGCCTCCTTTCAAGTTAGGGCTTCTCGCTGTATATTCCCCTTGAGGCAGCAAACTCGGGGTCCCTCGCACATACCTATTGCTGAGAGAAGCCTCCTCCTGAGGTGCTTCTGGGAAGTTGGCATACGTCTTGAGCCTAAGCCAGGGAATCAGCTCGCATCTCGAGACGATTTGGGGTAGACGGAGCATTCCTCGAGTTGCTGTGCTGAAGTTGGTGTTCCTCTAGACTTGGGACAGTGTTCTCGGGGCATCTCTGGAGTTGCCTGAAGGAAGTCGAGCCAGCGGTCGTGTTGAATGGGGAACGGGGAATGGCTCTGGAGTCAATGCAGGGGAATCGGGCCTCATCTCGAGTTGATTTGGGGCACATGGAGCTGCTTTGCGTTGCTGGGGTGACCTCAGGGTCCGTCTAGACTGGTGACAGTGTTCTTGGGGACTGTCTCGAGATCCATTAAGCAAGCCGAAGCTCCTGACTTGTTTGAATGGGATCACGGAATAGCTCTGCATGCACTGCAGGGGAATGGGGCCTCATCTCGCCTCTAGGGGGAAGTCTCATGGTTTTTCTCGAGTTGCGGCGGGGACCTGGGGTATGTTCTCGACTTACGGCGGGGATGGCCCTTCAAAACACGTGTTTCTTCAGTGACGTCAGGACTCCTGTCTAGTAACGAGGGACACCTCAGGAATCTCTTCGAGGCTTGGCAGGGCCAAAGGGACGCTTCTCGAGGTGAGGCAGGGCACCCAAGGACCCTTTCCAGTAGCCACAGGGATTTTGGGATTCCTATCAGTATTCAAGAGGAGTCAGGCATCGTCACCTTTTGAAGCAATGAACTCCGCGTGCCTCTCGAGGTGTCAGCGGGATGTGAGGCATTGCGTCAAAATGAGGCAGGGACCTAGGGCTTTCTCTAAGGTCTCCACAGGGGATTCAGACATCCCTTCATGTTGTGAGATGAAAGACGAGCCTGTATTCAAGCCACTGCAAGGAAATCCGGCCTCCTTTCAAGTTAGGGCTTCTCGCTGTATATTCCCCTTGAGGCAGCAAACTCGGGGTCCCTCCCACATACCTATTGCTGAGAGAAGCCTCCTCCTGAGGTGCTTCTGGGAAGTTGGCATACGTCTTGAGCCTAAGCCAGGGAATCAGCTCGCATCTCGAGACGATTTGGGGTACACGGAGCATTCCTCGAGTTGCTGTGCTGAAGTTGGTGTTCCTCTAGACTTGGGACAGTGTTCTCGGGGCATCTCTGGAGTTGCCTGAAGGAAGTCGAGCCACCGGTCGTGTTGAATGGGGAACGGGGAATGGCTCTGGAGTCAATGCAGGGGAATCGGGCCTCATCTCAAGTTGATTTGGGGCACATGGAGCTGCTTTGCGTTGCTGGGGTGACCTCAGGGTCCGTCTAGACTGGTGACAGTGTTCTTGGGGACTGTCTCGAGATCCATTAAGCAAGTCGAAGCTCCTGACTTGTTTGAATGGGATCACGGAATAGCTCTGCATGCACTGCAGGGGAATGGGGCCTGATCTCGCCTCTAGGGGGAAGTCTCATGGTTTTTCTCGAGTTGCGGCGGGGACCTGGGGTATGCTCTCGACTTACGGCGGGGATGGCCCTTCAAAACACGAATTTCTTCAGTGACGTCAGGACTCCTGTCTAGTAACGAGGGACACCTCAGGAATCTCTTCGAGGCTTGGCAGGGCCAAAGGGACGCTTCTCGAGGTGAGGCAGGGCACCCAAGGACCCTTTCCAGTAGCCACAGGGATTTTGGGATTCCTATCAGTATTCAAGAGGAGTCAGGCATCGTCACCTTTTGAAGCAATGAACTCCGCGTGCCTCTCGAGGTGTCAGCGGGATGTGAGGCATTCCGTCAAAATGAGGCAGGGACCTAGGGCTTTCTCTAAGGTCTCCACAGGGGATTCAGACATCCCTTCATGTTGTGAGATGAAAGACGAGCCTGTATTCAAGCCACTGCAAGGAAATCCGGCCTCCTTTCAAGTTAGGGCTTCTCACTGTATATTCCCCTTGAGGCAGCAAACTCGGGGTCCCTCCCACATACCTATTGCTGAGAGAAGCCTCCTCCGGAGGTGCTTCTGGGAATTTGGCATACGTCTTGAGCCTAAGCCAGGGAATCAGCTCGCATCTCGAGACGATTTGGGGTACACGGAGCATTCCTCGAGTTGCTGTGCTGAAGTTGGTGTTCCTCTAGACTTGGGACAGTGTTCTCGGGGCATCTCTGGAGTTGCCTGAAGGAAGTCGAGCCAGCGGTCGTGTTGAATGGGGAACGGGGAATGGCTCTGGAGTCAATGCAGGGGAATCGGGCCTCATCTTGAGTTGATTTGGGGCACATGGAGCTGCTTTGCGTTGCTGGGGTGACCTCAGGGTCCGTCTAGACTGGTGACAGTGTTCTTGGGGACTGTCTCGAGATCCATTAAGCAAGCCGAAGCTCCTGACTTGTTTGAATGGGATCACGGAATAGCTCTGCATGCACTGCAGGGGAATGGGGCCTCATCTCGCCTCTAGGGGGAAGTCTCATGGTTTTTCTCGAGTTGCGGCGGGGACCTGGGGTATGTTCTCGACTTACGGCGGGGATGGCCCTTCAAAACACGAGTTTCTTCAGTGACGTCAGGACTCCTGTCTAGTAACGAGGGACACCTCAGGAATCTCTTCGAGGCTTGGCAGGGCCAAAGGGACGCTTCTCGAGGTGAGGCAGGGCACCCAAGGACCCTTTCCAGTAGCCACAGGGATTTTGGGATTCCTATCAGTATTCAAGAGGAGTCAGGCATCGTCACCTTTTGAAGCAATGAACTCCGCGGGCCTCTCGAGGTGTCAGCGGGATGTGAGGCATTCCGTCAAAATGAGGCAGGGACCTAGGGCTTTCTCTAAGGTCTCCACAGCGGATTCAGTCATCCCTTCATGTTGTGAGATGAAAGACGAGCCTGTATTCAAGCCACTGCAAGGAAATCCGGCCTCCTTTCAAGTTAGGGCTTCTCGCTGTATATTCCCCTTGAGGCAGCAAACTCGGGGTCCCTCCCACATACCTATTGCTGAGAGAAGCCTCCTCCTGAGGTGCTTCTGGGAAGTTGGCATACGTCTTGAGCCTAAGCCAGGGAATCAGCTCGCATCTCGAGACGATTTGGGGTAGACGGAGCATTCCACGAGTTGCTGTGCTGAAGTTGGTGTTCCTCTAGACTTGGGACAGTGTTCTCGGGGCATCTCTGGAGTTGCCTGAAGGAAGTCGAGCCACCGGTCGTGTTGAATGGGGAACGGGGAATGGCTCTGGAGTCAATGCAGGGGAATCGGGCCTCATCTCGAGTTGATTTGGGGCACATGGAGCTGCTTTGTGTTGCTGGGGTGACCTCAGGGACCGTCTAGACTGGTGACAGTGTTCTTGGGGACTGTCTCGAGATCCATTAAGCAAGTCGAAGCTCCTGACTTGTTTGAATGGGATCACGGAATAGCTCTGCATGCACTGCAGGGGAATGGGGCCTCATCTCGCCTCTAGGGGGAAGTCTCATGGTTTTTCTCGAGTTGCGGCGGGGACCTGGGGTATGTTCTCGACTTACGGCGGGGATGGCCCTTCAAAACACGAGTTTCTTCAGTGACGTCAGGACTCCTGTCTAGTAACGAGGGACACCTCAGGAATCTCTTCGAGGCTTGGCAGGGCCAAAGGGACGCTTCTCGAGGTGAGGCAGGGCACCCAAGGACCCTTTCCAGTAGCCACAGGGATTTTGGGATTCCTATCAGTATTCAAGAGGAGTCAGGCATCGTCACCTTTTGAAGCAATGAACTCCGCATGCCTCTCCAGGTGTCAGCGGGATGTGAGGCATTCCGTCAAAATGAGGCAGGGACCAAGGGCTTTCTCTAAGGTCTCCACAGGGGATTCAGACATCTCTTCATGTTGTGAGATGAAAGACGAGCCTGTATTCAAGCCACTGCAAGGAAATCCGGCCTCCTTTCAAGTTAGGGCTTCTCGCTGTATATTCCCCTTGAGGCAGCAAGCTCGGGGTCCCTCCCACATACCTATTGATGAGAGAAGCCTCCTTCTGAGGTGCTTCTGGGAAGTTGGCATACGTCTTGAGCCTAAGCCAGGGAATCAGCTCGCATCTCGAGACGATTTGGGGTACACGGAGCATTCCTCGAGTTGCTGTGCTGAAGTTGGTGTTCCTCTAGACTTGGGACAGTGTTCTCGGGGCATCTCTGGAGTTGCCTGAAGGAAGTCGAGCCACCGGTCGTGTTGAATGGGGAACGGGGAATGGCTCTGGAGTCAATGCAGGGGAATAGGGCCTCATCTCGAGTTGATTTGGGGCACATGGAGCTGCTTTGTGTTGCTGGGGTGACCTCAGGGTCCGTCTAGACTGGTGACAGTGTTCTTGGGGACTGTCTCGAGATCCATTAAGCAAGCCGAAGCTCCTGACTTGTTTGAATGGGATCACGGAATAGCTCTGCATGCACTGCAGGGGAATGGGGCCTCATCTCGCCTCTAGGGGGAAGTCTCATGGTTTTTCTCGAGTTGCGGCGGGGACCTGGGGTATGTTCTCGACTTACGGCGGGGATGGCCCTTCAAAACACGAGTTTCTTCAGTGACGTCAGGACTCCTGTCTAGTAACGAGGGACACCTCAGGAATCTCTTCGAGGCTTGGCAGGGCCAAAGGGACGCTTCTCGAGGTGAGGCAGGGCACCCAAGGACCCTTTCCAGTAGCCACAGGGATTTTGGGATTCCTATCAGTATTCAAGAGGAGTCAGGCATCGTCACCTTTTGAAGCAATGAACTCCGCGTGCCTCTCGAGGTGTCAGCGGGATGTGAGGCATTCCGTCAAAATGAGGCAGGGACCTAGGGCTTTCTCTAAGGTCTCCACAGGGGATTCAGACATCCCTTCATGTTGTGAGATGAAAGACGAGCCTGTATTCAAGCCACTGCAAGGAAATCCGGCCTCCTTTCAAGTTAGGGCTTCTCGCTGTATATTCCCCTTGAGGCAGCAAGCTCGGGGTCCCTCCCACATACCTATTGCTGAGAGAAGCCTCCTCCGGAGGTGCTTCTGGGAATTTGGCATACGTCTTGAGCCTAAGCCAGGGAATCAGCTCGCATCTCGAGACGATTTGGGGTACACGGAGCATTCCTCGAGTTGCTGTGCTGAAGTTGGTGTTCCTCTAGACTTGGGACAGTGTTCTCGGGGCATCTCTGGAGTTGCCTGAAGGAAGTCGAGCCACCGGTCGTGTTGAATGGGGAACGGGGAATGGCTCTGGAGTCAATGCAGGGGAATCGGGCCTCATCTCGAGTTGATTTGGGGCACATGGAGCTGCTTTGCGTTGCTGGGGTGACCTCAGGGTCCGTCTAGACTGGTGACAGTGTTCTTGGGGACTGTCTCGAGATCCATTAAGCAAGCCGAAGCTCCTGACTTGTTTGAATGGCATCACGGAATAGCTCTGCATGCACTGCAGGGGAATGGGGCCTCATCTCGCCTCTAGGGGGAAGTCTCATGGTTTTTCTCGAGTTGCGGCGGGGACCTGGGGTATGTTCTCGACTTACGGCGGGGATGGCCCTTCAAAACACGAGTTTCTTCAGTGACGTCAGGACTCCTGTCTAGTAACGAGGGACACCTCAGGAATCTCTTCGAGGCTTGGCAGGGCCAAAGGGACGCTTCTCGAGGTGAGGCAGGGCACCCAAGGACCCTTTCCAGTAGCCACAGGGATTTTGGGATTCCTATCAGTATTCAAGAGGAGTCAGGCATCGTCACCTTTTGAAGCAATGAACTCCGCGTGCCTCTCGAGGTGTCAGCGGGATGTGAGGGATTCCGTCAAAATGAGGCAGGGACCTAGGGCTTTCTCTAAGGTCTCCAGAGGGGATTCAGACATCCCTTCATGTTGTGAGATGAAAGACGAGCCTGTATTCAAGCCACTGCAAGGAAATCCGGCCTCCTTTCAAGTTAGGGCTTCTCGCTGTATATTCCCCTTGAGGCAGCAAGCTCGGGGTCCCTCCCACATACCTATTGCTGAGAGAAGCCTCCTCCGGAGGTGCTTCTGGGAATTTGGCATACGTCTTGAGCCTAAGCCAGGGAATCAGCTCGCATCTCGAGACGATTTGGGGTACACGGAGCATTCCTCGAGTTGCTGTGCTGAAGTTGGTGTTCCTCTAGACTTGGGACAGTGTTCTCGGGGCATCTCTGGAGTTGCCTGAAGGAAGTCGAGCCAGCGGTCGTGTTGAATGGGGAACGGGGAATGGCTCTGGAGTCAATGCAGGGGAATCGGGCCTCATCTCGAGTTGATTTGGGGCACATGGAGCTGCTTTGCGTTGCTGGGGTGACCTCAGTGTCCGTCTAGACTGGTGACAGTGTTCTTGGGGACTGTCTCGAGATCCATTAAGCAAGCCGAAGCTCCTGACTTGTTTGAATGGGATCACGGAATAGCTCTGCATGCACTGCAGGGGAATGGGGCCTCATCTCGCCTCTAGGGGGAAGTCTCATGGTTTTTCTCGAGTTGCGGCGGGGACCTGGGGTATGTTCTCGAATTACGGCGGGGATGGCCCTTCAAAACACGAGTTTCTTTAGTGACGTCAGGACTCCTGTCTAGTAACGAGGGACACCTCAGGAATCTCTTCGAGGCTTGGCAGGGCCAAAGGGACGCTTCTCGAGGTGAGGCAGGGCACCCAAGGACCCTTTCCTGTAGCCACAGGGATTTTGGGATTCCTATCAGTATTCAACAGGAGTCAGGCATTGTCACCTTTTGAAGCAATGAACTCCGCGTGCCTCTCGAGGTGTCAGCGGGATGTGAGGCATTGCGTCAAAATGAGGCAGGGACCTAGGGCTTTCTCTAAGGTCTCCACAGCGGATTCAGACATCCCTTCATGTTGTGAGATGAAAGACGAGCCTGTATTCAAGCCACTGCAAGGAAATCCAGCCTCCTTTCAAGTTAGGGCTTCTCGCTGTATATTCCCCTTGAGGCAGCAAACTCGGGGTCCCTCCCACATACCTATTGCGGAGAGAAGCCTCCTCCTGAGGTGCTTCTGGGAAGTTGGCATACGTCTTGAGCCTAAGCCAGGGAATCAGCTCGCATCTCGAGACGATTTGGGGTACACGGAGCATTCCTCGAGTTGCTGTGCTGAAGTTGGTGTTCCTCTAGACTTGGGACAGTGTTCTCGGGGCATCTCTGGAGTTGCCTGAAGGAAGTCGAGCCAGCGGTCGTGTTGAATGGGGAACGGGGAATGGCTCTGGAGTCAATGCAGGGGAATCGGGCCTCATCTCGAGTTGATTTGGGGCACATGGAGCTGCTTTGCGTTGCTGGGGTGACCTCAGGGTCCGTCTAGACTGGTGACAGTGTTCTTGGGGACTGTCTCGAGATCCATTAAGCAAGCCGAAGCTCCTGACTTGTTTGAATGGGATCACGGAATAGCTCTGCATGCACTGCAGGGGAATGGGGCCTCATCTCGCCTCTAGGGGGAAGTCTCATGGTTTTTCTCGAGTTGCGGCGGGGACCTGGGGTATGTTCTCGACTTACGGCGGGGATGGCCCTTCAAAACACGAGTTTCTTCAGTGACGTCAGGACTCCTGTCTAGTAACGAGGGACACCTCAGGAATCTCTTCGAGGCTTGGCAGGGCCAAAGGGACGCTTCTCGAGGTGAGGCAGGGCACCCAAGGACCCTTTCCAGTAGCCACAGGGATTTTGGGATTCCTATCAGTATTCAAGAGGAGTCAGGCATCGTCACCTTTTGAAGCAATGAACTCCGCGTGCCTCTCGAGGTGTCAGCGGGATGTGAGGGATTCCGTCAAAATGAGGCAGGGACCTAGGGCTTTCTCTAAGGTCTCCAGAGGGGATTCAGACATCCCTTCATGTTGTGAGATGAAAGACGAGCCTGTATTCAAGCCACTGCAAGGAAATCGGGCCTCCTTTCCAGTTAGGGCTTCTCGCTGTATATTCCCCTTGAGGCAGCAAACTCGGGGTCCCTCCCACATACCTATTGCTGAGAGAAGCCTCCTCCGGAGGTGCTTCTGGGAATTTGGCATACGTCTTGAGCCTAAGCCAGGGAATCAGCTCGCATCTCGAGACGATTTGGGGTACACGGAGCATTCCTCGAGTTGCTGTGCTGAAGTTGGTGTTCCTCTAGACTTGGGACAGTGTTCTCGGGTCATCTCTGGAGTTGCCTGAAGGAAGTCGAGCCACCGGTCGTGTTGAATGGGGAACGGGGAATGGCTCTGGAGTCAATGCAGGGGAATCGGGCCTCATCTCGAGTTGATTTGGGGCACATGGAGCTGCTTTGCGTTGCTGGGGTGACCTCAGGGTCCGTCTAGACTGGTGACAGTGTTCTTGGGGACTGTCTCGAGATCCATTAAGCAAGCCGAAGCTCCTGACTTGTTTGAATGGGATCACGGAATAGCTCTGCATGCACTGCAGGGGAATGGGGCCTCATCTCGCCTCTAGGGGGAAGTCTCATGGTTTTTCTCGAGTTGCGGCGGGGACCTGGGGTATGTTCTCGACTTACGGCGGGGATGGCCCTTCAAAACACGAGTTTCTTCAGTGACGTCAGGACTCCTGTCTAGTAACGAGGGACACCTCAGGAATCTCTTCGAGGCTTGGCAGGGCCAAAGGGACGCTTCTCGAGGTGAGGCAGGGCACCCAAGGACCCTTTCCAGTAGCCACAGGGATTTTGGGATTCCTATCAGTATTCAAGAGGAGTCAGGCATCGTCACCTTTTGAAGCAATGAACTCCGCGTGCCTCTCGAGGTGTCAGCGGGATGTGAGGGATTCCGTCAAAATGAGGCAGGGACCTAGGGCTTTCTCTAAGGTCTCCACAGGGGATTCAGACATCCCTTCATGTTGTGAGATGAAAGACGAGCCTGTATTCAAGCCACTGCAAGGAAATCCGGCCTCCTTTCAAGTTAGGGCTTCTCGCTGTATATTCCCCTTGAGGCAGCAAACTCGGGGTCCCTCCCACATACCTATTGCTGAGAGAAGCCTCCTCCTGAGGTGCTTCTGGGAATTTGGCATACGTCTTGAGCCTAAGCCAGGGAATCAGCTCGCATCTCGAGACGATTTGGGGTACACGGAGCATTCCTCGAGTTGCTGTGCTGAAGTTGGTGTTCCTCTAGACTTGGGACAGTGTTCTCGGGGCATCTCTGGAGTTGCCTGAAGGAAGTCGAGCCAGCGGTCGTGTTGAATGGGGAACGGGGAATGGCTCTGGAGTCAATGCAGGGGAATCGGGCCTCATCTCGAGTTGATTTGGGGCACATGGAGCTGCTTTGCGTTGCTGGGGTGACCTCAGTGTCCGTCTAGACTGGTGACAGTGTTCTTGGGGACTGTCTCGAGATCCATTAAGCAAGCCGAAGCTCCTGACTTGTTTGAATGGGATCGCGGAATAGCTCTGCATGCACTGCAGGGGAATGGGGCCTCATCTCGCCTCTAGGGGGAAGTCTCATGGTTTTTCTCGAGTTGCGGCGGGGACCTGGGGTATGTTCTCGAATTACGGCGGGGATGGCCCTTCAAAACACGAGTTTCTTCAGTGACGTCAGGACTCCTGTCTAGTAACGAGGGACACCTCAGGAATCTCTTCGAGGCTTGGCAGGGCCAAAGGGACGCTTCTCGAGGTGAGGCAGGGCACCCAAGGACCCTTTCCAGTAGCCACAGGGATTTTGGGATTCCTATCAGTATTCAACAGGAGTCAGGCATTGTCACCTTTTGAAGCAATGAACTCCGCGTGCCTCTCGAGGTGTCAGCGGGATGTGAGGCATTGCGTCAAAATGAGGCAGGGACCTAGGGCTTTCTCTAAGGTCTCCACAGCGGATTCAGACATCCCTTCATGTTGTGAGATGAAAGACGAGCCTGTATTCAAGCCACTGCAAGGAAATCCAGCCTCCTTTCAAGTTAGGGCTTCTCGCTGTATATTCCCCTTGAGGCAGCAAACTCGGGGTCCCTCCCACATACCTATTGCGGAGAGAAGCCTCCTCCTGAGGTGCTTCTGGGAAGTTGGCATACGTCTTGAGCCTAAGCCAGGGAATCAGCTCGCATCTCGAGACGATTTGGGGTACACGGAGCATTCCTCGAGTTGCTGTGCTGAAGTTGGTGTTCCTCTAGACTTGGGACAGTGTTCTCGGGGCATCTCTGGAGTTGCCTGAAGGAAGTCGAGCCACCGGTCGTGTTGAATGGGGAATGGGGAATGGCTCTGGAGTCAATGCAGGGGAATCGGGCCTCATCTCGAGTTGATTTGGGGCACATGGAGCTGCTTTGCGTTGCTGGGGTGACCTCAGGGTCCGTCTAGACTGGTGACAGTGTTCTTGGGGACTGTCTCGAGATCCATTAAGCAAGCCGAAGCTCCTGACTTGTTTGAATGGGATCACGGAATAGCTCTGCATGCACTGCAGGGGAATGGGGCCTCATCTCGCCTCTAGGGGGAAGTCTCATGGTTTTTCTCGAGTTGCGGCGGGGACCTGGGGTATGTTCTCGACTTACGGCGGGGATGGCCCTTCAAAACACGAGTTTCTTCAGTGACGTCAGGACTCCTGTCTAGTAACGAGGGACACCTCAGGAATCTCTTCGAGGCTTGGCAGGGCCAAAGGGACGCTTCTCGAGGTGAGGCAGGGCACCCAAGGACCCTTTCCAGTAGCCACAGGGATTTTGGGATTCCTATCAGTATTCAAGAGGAGTCAGGCATCGTCACCTTTTGAAGCAATGAACTCCGCGTGCCTCTCGAGGTGTCAGCGGGATGTGAGGGATTCCGTCAAAATGAGGCAGGGACCTAGGGCTTTCTCTAAGGTCTCCAGAGGGGATTCAGACATCCCTTCATGTTGTGAGATGAAAGACGAGCCTGTATTCAAGCCACTGCAAGGAAATCCGGCCTCCTTTCCAGTTAGGGCTTCTCGCTGTATATTCCCCTAGAGGCAGCAAACTCGGGGTCCCTCCCACATACCTATTGCTGAGAGAAGCCTCCTCCGGAGGTGCTTCTGGGAAGTTGGCATACGTCTTGAGCCTAAGCCAGGGAATCAGCTCGCATCTCGAGACGATTTGGGGTACACGGAGCATTCCTCGTGTTGCTGTGCTGAAGTTGGTGTTCCTCTAGACTTGGGACAGTGTTCTCGGGTCATCTCTGGAGTTGCCTGAAGGAAGTCGAGCCAGCGGTCGTGTTGAATGGGGAACGGGGAATGGCTCTGGAGTCAATGCAGGGGAATCGGGCCTCATCTCGAGTTGATTTGGGGCACATGGAGCTGCTTTGCGTTGCTGGGGTGACCTCAGGGTCCGTCTAGACTGGTGACAGTGTTCTTGGGGACTGTCTCGAGATCCATTAAGCAAGCCGAAGCTCCTGACTTGTTTGAATGGGATCACGGAATAGCTCTGCATGCACTGCAGGGGAATGGGGCCTCATCTCGCCTCTAGGGGGAAGTCTCATGGTTTTTCTCGAGTTGCGGCGGGGACCTGGGGTATGTTCTCGACTTACGGCGGGGATGGCCCTTCAAAACACGAGTTTCTTCAGTGACGTCAGGACTCCTGTCTAGTAACGAGGGACACCTCAGGAATCTCTTCGAGGCTTGGCAGGGCCAAAGGGACGCTTCTCGAGGTGAGGCAGGGCACCCAAGGACCCTTTCCAGTAGCCACAGGGATTTTGGGATTCCTATCAGTATTCAAGAGGAGTCAGGCATCGTCACCTTTTGAAGCAATGAACTCCGCGTGCCTCTCGAGGTGTCAGCGGGATGTGAGGGATTCCGTCAAAATGAGGCAGGGACCTAGGGCTTTCTCTAAGGTCTCCACAGGGGATTCAGACAACCCTTCATGTTGTGAGATGAAAGACGAGCCTGTATTCAAGCCACTGCAAGGAAATCCGGCCTCCTTTCAAGTTAGGGCTTCTCGCTGTATATTCCCCTTGAGGCAGCAAACTCGGGGTCCCTCCCACATACCTATTGCTGAGAGAAGCCTCCTCCTGAGGTGCTTCTGGGAAGTTGGCATACGTCTTGAGCCTAAGCCAGGGAATCAGCTCGCATCTCGAGACGATTTGGGGTACACGGAGCATTCCTCGAGTTGCTGTGCTGAAGTTGGTGTTCCTCTAGACTTGGGACAGTGTTCTCGGGGCATCTCTGGAGTTGCCTGAAGGAAGTCGAGCCAGCGGTCGTGTTGAATGGGGAACGGGGAATGGCTCTGGAGTCAATGCAGGGGAATCGGGCCTCATCTCGAGTTGATTTGGGGCACATGGAGCTGCTTTGCGTTGCTGGGGTGACCTCAGTGTCCGTCTAGACTGGTGACAGTGTTCTTGGGGACTGTCTCGAGATCCATTAAGCAAGCCGAAGCTCCTGACTTGTTTGAATGGGATCACGGAATAGCTCTGCATGCACTGCAGGGGAATGGGGCCTCATCTCGCCTCTAGGGGGAAGTCTCATGGTTTTTCTCGAGTTGCGGCGGGGACCTGGGGTATGTTCTCGAATTACGGCGGGGATGGCCCTTCAAAACACGAGTTTCTTTAGTGACGTCAGGACTCCTGTCTAGTAACGAGGGACACCTCAGGAATCTCTTCGAGGCTTGGCAGGGCCAAAGGGACGCTTCTCGAGGTGAGGCAGGGCACCCAAGGACCCTTTCCAGTAGCCACAGGGATTTTGGGATTCCTATCAGTATTCAAGAGGAGTCAGGCATCGTCACCTTTTGAAGCAATGAACTCCGCGTGCCTCTCGAGGTGTCAGCGGGATGTGAGGCATTGCGTCAAAATGAGGCAGGGACCTAGGGCTTTCTCTAAGGTCTCCACAGCGGATTCAGACATCCCTTCATGTTGTGAGATGAAAGACGAGCCTGTATTCAAGCCACTGCAAGGAAATCCAGCCTCCTTTCAAGTTAGGGCTTCTCGCTGTATATTCCCCTTGAGGCAGCAAACTCGGGGTCCCTCCCACATACCTATTGCGGAGAGAAGCCTCCTCCTGAGGTGCTTCTGGGAAGTTGGCATACGTCTTGAGCCTAAGCCAGGGAATCAGCTCGCATCTCGAGACGATTTGGGGTACACGGAGCATTCCTCGAGTTGCTGTGCTGAAGTTGGTGTTCCTCTAGACTTGGGACAGTGTTCTCGGGGCATCTCTGGAGTTGCCTGAAGGAAGTCGAGCCACCGGTCGTGTTGAATGGGGAACGGGGAATGACTCTGGAGTCAATGCAGGGGAATCGGGCCTCATCTCGAGTTGATTTGGGGCACATGGAGCTGCTTTGCGTTGCTGGGGTGACCTCAGGGTCCGTCTAGACTGGTGACAGTGTTCTTGGGGACTGTCTCGAGATCCATTAAGCAAGCCGAAGCTCCTGACTTGTTTGAATGGGATCACGGAATAGCTCTGCATGCACTGCAGGGGAATGGGGCCTCATCTCGCCTCTAGGGGGAAGTCTCATGGTTTTTCTCGAGTTGCGGCGGGGACCTGGGGTATGTTCTCGACTTACGGCGGGGATGGCCCTTCAAAACACGAGTTTCTTCAGTGACGTCAGGACTCCTGTCTAGTAACGAGGGACACCTCAGGAATCTCTTCGAGGCTTGGCAGGGCCAAAGGGACGCTTCTCGAGGTGAGGCAGGGCACCCAAGGACCCTTTCCAGTAGCCACAGGGATTTTGGGATTCCTATCAGTATTCAAGAGGAGTCAGGCATCGTCACCTTTTGAAGCAATGAACTCCGCGTGCCTCTCGAGGTGTCAGCGGGATGTGAGGGATTCCGTCAAAATGAGGCAGGGACCTAGGGCTTTCTCTAAGGTCTCCACAGGGGATTCAGACATCCCTTCATGTTGTGAGATGAAAGACGAGCCTGTATTCAAGCCACTGCAAGGAAATCCGGCCTCCTTTCAAGTTAGGGCTTCTCGCTGTATATTCCCCTTGAGGCAGCAAACTCGGGGTCCCTCCCACATACCTATTGCTGAGAGAAGCCTCCTCCGGAGGTGCTTCTGGGAATTTGGCATACGTCTTGAGCCTAAGCCAGGGAATCAGCTCGCATCTCGAGACGATTTGGGGTACACGGAGCATTCCTCGAGTTGCTGTGCTGAAGTTGGTGTTCCTCTAGACTTGGGACAGTGTTCTCGGGGCATCTCTGGAGTTGCCTGAAGGAAGTCGAGCCAGCGGTCGTGTTGAATGGGGAACGGGGAATGGCTCTGGAGTCAATGCAGGGGAATCGGGCCTCATCTCGAGTTGATTTGGGGCACATGGAGCTGCTTTGCGTTGCTGGGGTGACCTCAGGGTCCGTCTAGACTGGTGACAGTGTTCTTGGGGACTGTCTCGAGATCCATTAAGCAAGCCGAAGCTCCTGACTTGTTTGAATGGGATCACGGAATAGCTCTGCATGCACTGCAGGGGAATGGGGCCTCATCTCGCCTCTAGGGGGAAGTCTCATGGTTTTTCTCGAGTTGCGGCGGGGACCTGGGGTATGTTCTCGACTTACGGCGGGGATGGCCCTTCAAAACACGAGTTTCTTCAGTGACGTCAGGACTCCTGTCTAGTAACGAGGGACACCTCAGGAATCTCTTCGAGGCTTGGCAGGGCCAAAGGGACGCTTCTCGAGGTGAGGCAGGGCACCCAAGGACCCTTTCCAGTAGCCACAGGGATTTTGGGATTCCTATCAGTATTCAAGAGGAGTCAGGCATCGTCACCTTTTGAAGCAATGAACTCCGCGTGCCTCTCGAGGTGTCAGCGGGATGTGAGTGATTCCGTCAAAATGAGGCAGGGACCTAGGGCTTTCTCTAAGGTCTCCACAGCGGATTCAGACATCCCTTCATGTTGTGAGATGAAAGACGAGCCTGTATTCAAGCCACTGCAAGGAAATCCGGCCTCCTTTCAAGTTAGGGCTTCTCGCTGTATATTCCCCTAGAGGCACCAAACTCGGTGTCCCTCCCACATACCTATTGCTGAGAGAAGCCTCCTCCGGAGGTGCTTCTGGGAATTTGGCATACGTCTTGAGCCTAAGCCAGGGAATCAGCTCGCATCTCGAGACGATTTGGGGTACACGGAGCATTCCTCGAGTTGCTGTGCTGAAGTTGGTGTTCCTCTAGACTTGGGACAGTGTTCTCGGGGCATCTCTGGAGTTGCCTGAAGGAAGTCGAGCCACCGGTCATGTTGAATGGGGAACGGGGAATGGCTCTGGAGTCAATGCAGGGGAATCGGGCCTCATCTCGAGTTGATTTGGGGCACATGGAGCTGCTTTGCGTTGCTGGGGTGACCTCAGGGTCCGTCTAGACTGGTGACAGTGTTCTTGGGGACTGTCTCGAGATCCATTAAGCAAGCCGAAGCTCCTGACTTGTTTGAATGGGATCACGGAATAGCTCTGCATGCACTGCAGGGGAATGGGGCCTCATCTCGCCTCTAGGGGGAAGTCTCATGGTTTTTCTCGAGTTGCGGCGGGGACCTGGGGTATGTTCTCGACTTACGGCGGGGATGGCCCTTCAAAACACGAGTTTCTTCAGTGACGTCAGGACTCCTGTCTAGTAACGAGGGACACCTCAGGAATCTCTTCGAGGCTTGGCAGGGCCAAAGGGACGCTTCTCGAGGTGAGGCAGGGCACCCAAGGACCCTTTCCAGTAGCCACAGGGATTTTGGGATTCCTATCAGTATTCAAGAGGAGTCAGGCATCGTCACCTTTTGAAGCAATGAACTCCGCGTGCCTCTCGAGGTGTCAGCGGGATGCGAGGCATTGCGTCAAAATGAGGCAGGGACCTAGGGCTTTCTCTAAGGTCTCCACAGCGGATTCAGACATCCCTTCATGTTGTGAGATGAAAGACGAGCCTGTATTCAAGCCACTGCAAGGAAATCCAGCCTCCTTTCAAGTTAGGGCTTCTCGCTGTATATTCCCCTTGAGGCAGCAAACTCGGGGTCTCTCCCACATACCTATTGCTGAGAGAAGCCTCCTCCGGAGGTGCTTCTGGGAATTTGGCATACGTCTTGAGCCTAAGCCAGGGAATCAGCTCGCATCTCGAGACGATTTGGGGTACACGGAGCATTCCTCGAGTTGCTGTGCTGAAGTTGGTGTTCCTCTAGACTTGGGACAGTGTTCTCGGGGCATCTCTGGAGTTGCCTGAAGGAAGTCGAGCCAGCGGTCGTGTTGAATGGGGAACGGGGAATGGCTCTGGAGTCAATGCAGGGGAATCGGGCCTCATCTCGAGTTGATTTGGGGCACATGGAGCTGCTTTGCGTTGCTGGGGTGACCTCAGGGTCCGTCTAGACTGGTGACAGTGTTCTTGGGGACTGTCTCGAGATCCATTAAGCAAGCCGAAGCTCCTGACTTGTTTGAATGGGATCACGGAATAGCTCTGCATGCACTGCAGGGGAATGGGGCCTCATCTCGCCTCTAGGGGGAAGTCTCATGGTTTTTCTCGAGTTGCGGCGGGGACCTGGGGTATGTTCTCGACTTACGGCGGGGATGGCCCTTCAAAACACGAGTTTCTTCAGTGACGTCAGGACTCCTGTCTAGTAACGAGGGACACCTCAGGAATCTCTTCGAGGCTTGGCAGGGCCAAAGGGACGCTTCTCGAGGTGAGGCAGGGCACCCAAGGACCCTTTCCAGTAGCCACAGGGATTTTGGGATTCCTATCAGTATTCAAGAGGAGTCAGGCATCGTCACCTTTTGAAGCAATGAACTCCGCGTGCCTCTCGAGGTGTCAGCGGGATGTGAGGGATTCCGTCAAAATGAGGCAGGGACCTAGGGCTTTCTCTAAGGTCTCCAGAGGGGATTCAGACATCCCTTCATGTTGTGAGATGAAAGACGAGCCTGTATTCAAGCCACTGCAAGGAAATCCGGCCTCCTTTCAAGTTAGGGCTTCTCGCTGTATATTCCCCTTGAGGCAGCAAGCTCGGGGTCCCTCCCACATACCTATTGCTGAGAGAAGCCTCCTCCGGAGGTGCTTCTGGGAATTTGGCATACGTCTTGAGCCTAAGCCAGGGAATCAGCTCGCATCTCGAGACGATTTGGGGTACACGGAGCATTCCTCGAGTTGCTGTGCTGAAGTTGGTGTTCCTCTAGACTTGGGACAGTGTTCTCGGGGCATCTCTGGAGTTGCCTGAAGGAAGTCGAGCCAGCGGTCGTGTTGAATGGGGAACGGGGAATGGCTCTGGAGTCAATGCAGGGGAATCGGGCCTCATCTCGAGTTGATTTGGGGCACATGGAGCTGCTTTGCGTTGCTGGGGTGACCTCAGTGTCCGTCTAGACTGGTGACAGTGTTCTTGGGGACTGTCTCGAGATCCATTAAGCAAGCCGAAGCTCCTGACTTGTTTGAATGGGATCACGGAATAGCTCTGCATGCACTGCAGGGGAATGGGGCCTCATCTCGCCTCTAGGGGGAAGTCTCATGGTTTTTCTCGAGTTGCGGCGGGGACCTGGGGTATGTTGTCGAATTACGGCGGGGATGGCCCTTCAAAACACGAGTTTCTTTAGTGACGTCAGGACTCCTGTCTAGTAACGAGGGACACCTCAGGAATCTCTTCGAGGCTTGGCAGGGCCAAAGGGACGCTTCTCGAGGTGAGGCAGGGCACCCAAGGACCCTTTCCTGTAGCCACAGGGATTTTGGGATTCCTATCAGTATTCAACAGGAGTCAGGCATTGTCACCTTTTGAAGCAATGAACTCCGCGTGCCTCTCGAGGTGTCAGCGGGATGTGAGGCATTGCGTCAAAATGAGGCAGGGACCTAGGGCTTTCTCTAAGGTCTCCACAGCGGATTCAGACATCCCTTCATGTTGTGAGATGAAAGACGAGCCTGTATTCAAGCCACTGCAAGGAAATCCAGCCTCCTTTCAAGTTAGGGCTTCTCGCTGTATATTCCCCTTGAGGCAGCAAACTCGGGGTCCCTCCCACATACCTATTGCGGAGAGAAGCCTCCTCCTGAGGTGCTTCTGGGAAGTTGGCATACGTCTTGAGCCTAAGCCAGGGAATCAGCTCGCATCTCGAGACGATTTGGGGTACACGGAGCATTCCTCGAGTTGCTGTGCTGAAGTTGGTGTTCCTCTAGACTTGGGACAGTGTTCTCGGGGCATCTCTGGAGTTGCCTGAAGGAAGTCGAGCCAGCGGTCGTGTTGAATGGGGAACGGGGAATGGCTCTGGAGTCAATGCAGGGGAATCGGGCCTCATCTCGAGTTGATTTGGGGCACATGGAGCTGCTTTGCGTTGCTGGGGTGACCTCAGGGTCCGTCTAGACTGGTGACAGTGTTCTTGGGGACTGTCTCGAGATCCATTAAGCAAGCCGAAGCTCCTGACTTGTTTGAATGGGATCACGGAATAGCTCTGCATGCACTGCAGGGGAATGGGGCCTCATCTCGCCTCTAGGGGGAAGTCTCATGGTTTTTCTCGAGTTGCGGCGGGGACCTGGGGTATGTTCTCGACTTACGGCGGGGATGGCCCTTCAAAACACGAGTTTCTTCAGTGACGTCAGGACTCCTGTCTAGTAACGAGGGACACCTCAGGAATCTCTTCGAGGCTTGGCAGGGCCAAAGGGACGCTTCTCGAGGTGAGGCAGGGCACCCAAGGACCCTTTCCAGTAGCCACAGGGATTTTGGGATTCCTATCAGTATTCAAGAGGAGTCAGGCATCGTCACCTTTTGAAGCAATGAACTCCGCGTGCCTCTCGAGGTGTCAGCGGGATGTGAGGGATTCCGTCAAAATGAGGCAGGGACCTAGGGCTTTCTCTAAGGTCTCCACAGGGGATTCAGACATCCCTTCATGTTGTGAGATGAAAGACGAGCCTGTATTCAAGCCACTGCAAGGAAATCGGGCCTCCTTTCCAGTTAGGGCTTCTCGCTGTATATTCCCCTTGAGGCAGCAAACTCGGGGTCCCTCCCACATACCTATTGCTGAGAGAAGCCTCCTCCGGAGGTGCTTCTGGGAATTTGGCATACGTCTTGAGCCTAAGCCAGGGAATCAGCTCGCATCTCGAGACGATTTGGGGTACACGGAGCATTCCTCGAGTTGCTGTGCTGAAGTTGGTGTTCCTCTAGACTTGGGACAGTGTTCTCGGGTCATCTCTGGAGTTGCCTGAAGGAAGTCGAGCCACCGGTCGTGTTGAATGGGGAACGGGGAATGGCTCTGGAGTCAATGCAGGGGAATCGGGCCTCATCTCGAGTTGATTTGGGGCACATGGAGCTGCTTTGCGTTGCTGGGGTGACCTCAGGGTCCGTCTAGACTGGTGACAGTGTTCTTGGGGACTGTCTCGAGATCCATTAAGCAAGCCGAAGCTCCTGACTTGTTTGAATGGGATCACGGAATAGCTCTGCATGCACTGCAGGGGAATGGGGCCTCATCTCGCCTCTAGGGGGAAGTCTCATGGTTTTTCTCGAGTTGCGGCGGGGACCTGGGGTATGTTCTCGACTTACGGCGGGGATGGCCCTTCAAAACACGAGTTTCTTCAGTGACGTCAGGACTCCTGTCTAGTAACGAGGGACACCTCAGGAATCTCTTCGAGGCTTGGCAGGGCCAAAGGGACGCTTCTCGAGGTGAGGCAGGGCACCCAAGGACCCTTTCCAGTAGCCACAGGGATTTTGGGATTCCTATCAGTATTCAAGAGGAGTCAGGCATCGTCACCTTTTGAAGCAATGAACTCCGCGTGCCTCTCGAGGTGTCAGCGGGATGTGAGGGATTCCGTCAAAATGAGGCAGGGACCTAGGGCTTTCTCTAAGGTCTCCACAGGGGATTCAGACATCCCTTCATGTTGTGAGATGAAAGACGAGCCTGTATTCAAGCCACTGCAAGGAAATCCGGCCTCCTTTCAAGTTAGGGCTTCTCGCTGTATATTCCCCTTGAGGCAGCAAACTCGGGGTCCCTCCCACATACCTATTGCTGAGAGAAGCCTCCTCCTGAGGTGCTTCTGGGAAGTTGGCATACGTCTTGAGCCTAAGCCAGGGAATCAGCTCGCATCTCGAGACGATTTGGGGTACACGGAGCATTCCTCGAGTTGCTGTGCTGAAGTTGGTGTTCCTCTAGACTTGGGACAGTGTTCTCGGGGCATCTCTGGAGTTGCCTGAAGGAAGTCGAGCCAGCGGTCGTGTTGAATGGGGAACGGGGAATGGCTCTGGAGTCAATGCAGGGGAATCGGGCCTCATCTCGAGTTGATTTGGGGCACATGGAGCTGCTTTGCGTTGCTGGGGTGACCTCAGTGTCCGTCTAGACTGGTGACAGTGTTCTTGGGGACTGTCTCGAGATCCATTAAGCAAGCCGAAGCTCCTGACTTGTTTGAATGGGATCGCGGAATAGCTCTGCATGCACTGCAGGGGAATGGGGCCTCATCTCGCCTCTAGGGGGAAGTCTCATGGTTTTTCTCGAGTTGCGGCGGGGACCTGGGGTATGTTCTCGAATTACGGCGGGGATGGCCCTTCAAAACACGAGTTTCTTTAGTGACGTCAGGACTCCTGTCTAGTAACGAGGGACACCTCAGGAATCTCTTCGAGGCTTGGCAGGGCCAAAGGGACGCTTCTCGAGGTGAGGCAGGGCACCCAAGGACCCTTTCCAGTAGCCACAGGGATTTTGGGATTCCTATCAGTATTCAACAGGAGTCAGGCATTGTCACCTTTTGAAGCAATGAACTCCGCGTGCCTCTCGAGGTGTCAGCGGGATGTGAGGCATTGCGTCAAAATGAGGCAGGGACCTAGGGCTTTCTCTAAGGTCTCCACAGCGGATTCAGACATCCCTTCATGTTGTGAGATGAAAGACGAGCCTGTATTCAAGCCACTGCAAGGAAATCCAGCCTCCTTTCAAGTTAGGGCTTCTCGCTGTATATTCCCCTTGAGGCAGCAAACTCGGGGTCCCTCCCACATACCTATTGCGGAGAGAAGCCTCCTCCTGAGGTGCTTCTGGGAAGTTGGCATACGTCCTGAGCCTAAGCCAGGGAATCAGCTCGCATCTCGAGACGATTTGGGGTACACGGAGCATTCCTCGAGTTGCTGTGCTGAAGTTGGTGTTCCTCTAGACTTGGGACAGTGTTCTCGGGGCATCTCTGGAGTTGCCTGAAGGAAGTCGAGCCACCGGTCGTGTTGAATGGGGAATGGGGAATGGCTCTGGAGTCAATGCAGGGGAATCGGGCCTCATCTCGAGTTGATTTGGGGCACATGGAGCTGCTTTGCGTTGCTGGGGTGACCTCAGGGTCCGTCTAGACTGGTGACAGTGTTCTTGGGGACTGTCTCGAGATCCATTAAGCAAGCCGAAGCTCCTGACTTGTTTGAATGGGATCACGGAATAGCTCTGCATGCACTGCAGGGGAATGGGGCCTCATCTCGCCTCTAGGGGGAAGTCTCATGGTTTTTCTCGAGTTGCGGCGGGGACCTGGGGTATGTTCTCGACTTACGGCGGGGATGGCCCTTCAAAACACGAGTTTCTTCAGTGACGTCAGGACTCCTGTCTAGTAACGAGGGACACCTCAGGAATCTCTTCGAGGCTTGGCAGGGCCAAAGGGACGCTTCTCGAGGTGAGGCAGGGCACCCAAGGACCCTTTCCAGTAGCCACAGGGATTTTGGGATTCCTATCAGTATTCAAGAGGAGTCAGGCATCGTCACCTTTTGAAGCAATGAACTCCGCGTGCCTCTCGAGGTGTCAGCGGGATGTGAGGGATTCCGTCAAAATGAGGCAGGGACCTAGGGCTTTCTCTAAGGTCTCCAGAGGGGATTCAGACATCCCTTCATGTTGTGAGATGAAAGACGAGCCTGTATTCAAGCCACTGCAAGGAAATCCGGCCTCCTTTCCAGTTAGGGCTTCTCGCTGTATATTCCCCTAGAGGCAGCAAACTCGGGGTCCCTCCCACATACCTATTGCTGAGAGAAGCCTCCTCCGGAGGTGCTTCTGGGAAGTTGGCATACGTCTTGAGCCTAAGCCAGGGAATCAGCTCGCATCTCGAGACGATTTGGGGTACACGGAGCATTCCTCGTGTTGCTGTGCTGAAGTTGGTGTTCCTCTAGACTTGGGACAGTGTTCTCGGGTCATCTCTGGAGTTGCCTGAAGGAAGTCGAGCCAGCGGTCGTGTTGAATGGGGAACGGGGAATGGCTCTGGAGTCAATGCAGGGGAATCGGGCCTCATCTCGAGTTGATTTGGGGCACATGGAGCTGCTTTGCGTTGCTGGGGTGACCTCAGGGTCCGTCTAGACTGGTGACAGTGTTCTTGGGGACTGTCTCGAGATCCATTAAGCAAGCCGAAGCTCCTGACTTGTTTGAATGGGATCACGGAATAGCTCTGCATGCACTGCAGGGGAATGGGGCCTCATCTCGCCTCTAGGGGGAAGTCTCATGGTTTTTCTCGAGTTGCGGCGGGGACCTGGGGTATGTTCTCGACTTACGGCGGGGATGGCCCTTCAAAACACGAGTTTCTTCAGTGACGTCAGGACTCCTGTCTAGTAACGAGGGACACCTCAGGAATCTCTTCGAGGCTTGGCAGGGCCAAAGGGACGCTTCTCGAGGTGAGGCAGGGCACCCAAGGACCCTTTCCAGTAGCCACAGGGATTTTGGGATTCCTATCAGTATTCAAGAGGAGTCAGGCATCGTCACCTTTTGAAGCAATGAACTCCGCGTGCCTCTCGAGGTGTCAGCGGGATGTGAGGGATTCCGTCAAAATGAGGCAGGGACCTAGGGCTTTCTCTAAGGTCTCCACAGGGGATTCAGACAACCCTTCATGTTGTGAGATGAAAGACGAGCCTGTATTCAAGCCACTGCAAGGAAATCCGGCCTCCTTTCAAGTTAGGGCTTCTCGCTGTATATTCCCCTTGAGGCAGCAAACTCGGGGTCCCTCCCACATACCTATTGCTGAGAGAAGCCTCCTCCTGAGGTGCTTCTGGGAAGTTGGCATACGTCTTGAGCCTAAGCCAGGGAATCAGCTCGCATCTCGAGACGATTTGGGGTACACGGAGCATTCCTCGAGTTGCTGTGCTGAAGTTGGTGTTCCTCTAGACTTGGGACAGTGTTCTCGGGGCATCTCTGGAGTTGCCTGAAGGAAGTCGAGCCAGCGGTCGTGTTGAATGGGGAACGGGGAATGGCTCTGGAGTCAATGCAGGGGAATCGGGCCTCATCTCGAGTTGATTTGGGGCACATGGAGCTGCTTTGCGTTGCTGGGGTGACCTCAGTGTCCGTCTAGACTGGTGACAGTGTTCTTGGGGACTGTCTCGAGATCCATTAAGCAAGCCGAAGCTCCTGACTTGTTTGAATGGGATCACGGAATAGCTCTGCATGCACTGCAGGGGAATGGGGCCTCATCTCGCCTCTAGGGGGAAGTCTCATGGTTTTTCTCGAGTTGCGGCGGGGACCTGGGGTATGTTCTCGAATTACGGCGGGGATGGCCCTTCAAAACACGAGTTTCTTTAGTGACGTCAGGACTCCTGTCTAGTAACGAGGGACACCTCAGGAATCTCTTCGAGGCTTGGCAGGGCCAAAGGGACGCTTCTCGAGGTGAGGCAGGGCACCCAAGGACCCTTTCCAGTAGCCACAGGGATTTTGGGATTCCTATCAGTATTCAAGAGGAGTCAGGCATCGTCACCTTTTGAAGCAATGAACTCCGCGTGCCTCTCGAGGTGTCAGCGGGATGTGAGGCATTGCGTCAAAATGAGGCAGGGACCTAGGGCTTTCTCTAAGGTCTCCACAGCGGATTCAGACATCCCTTCATGTTGTGAGATGAAAGACGAGCCTGTATTCAAGCCACTGCAAGGAAATCCAGCCTCCTTTCAAGTTAGGGCTTCTCGCTGTATATTCCCCTTGAGGCAGCAAACTCGGGGTCCCTCCCACATACCTATTGCGGAGAGAAGCCTCCTCCTGAGGTGCTTCTGGGAAGTTGGCATACGTCTTGAGCCTAAGCCAGGGAATCAGCTCGCATCTCGAGACGATTTGGGGTACACGGAGCATTCCTCGAGTTGCTGTGCTGAAGTTGGTGTTCCTCTAGACTTGGGACAGTGTTCTCGGGGCATCTCTGGAGTTGCCTGAAGGAAGTCGAGCCACCGGTCGTGTTGAATGGGGAACGGGGAATGACTCTGGAGTCAATGCAGGGGAATCGGGCCTCATCTCGAGTTGATTTGGGGCACATGGAGCTGCTTTGCGTTGCTGGGGTGACCTCAGGGTCCGTCTAGACTGGTGACAGTGTTCTTGGGGACTGTCTCGAGATCCATTAAGCAAGCCGAAGCTCCTGACTTGTTTGAATGGGATCACGGAATAGCTCTGCATGCACTGCAGGGGAATGGGGCCTCATCTCGCCTCTAGGGGGAAGTCTCATGGTTTTTCTCGAGTTGCGGCGGGGACCTGGGGTATGTTCTCGACTTACGGCGGGGATGGCCCTTCAAAACACGAGTTTCTTCAGTGACGTCAGGACTCCTGTCTAGTAACGAGGGACACCTCAGGAATCTCTTCGAGGCTTGGCAGGGCCAAAGGGACGCTTCTCGAGGTGAGGCAGGGCACCCAAGGACCCTTTCCAGTAGCCACAGGGATTTTGGGATTCCTATCAGTATTCAAGAGGAGTCAGGCATCGTCACCTTTTGAAGCAATGAACTCCGCGTGCCTCTCGAGGTGTCAGCGGGATGTGAGGGATTCCGTCAAAATGAGGCAGGGACCTAGGGCTTTCTCTAAGGTCTCCACAGGGGATTCAGACAACCCTTCATGTTGTGAGATGAAAGACGAGCCTGTATTCAAGCCACTGCAAGGAAATCCGGCCTCCTTTCAAGTTAGGGCTTCTCGCTGTATATTCCCCTTGAGGCAGCAAACTCGGGGTCCCTCCCACATACCTATTGCTGAGAGAAGCCTCCTCCTGAGGTGCTTCTGGGAAGTTGGCATACGTCTTGAGCCTAAGCCAGGGAATCAGCTCGCATCTCGAGACGATTTGGGGTACACGGAGCATTCCTCGAGTTGCTGTGCTGAAGTTGGTGTTCCTCTAGACTTGGGACAGTGTTCTCGGGGCATCTCTGGAGTTGCCTGAAGGAAGTCGAGCCAGCGGTCGTGTTGAATGGGGAACGGGGAATGGCTCTGGAGTCAATGCAGGGGAATCGGGCCTCATCTCGAGTTGATTTGGGGCACATGGAGCTGCTTTGCGTTGCTGGGGTGACCTCAGTGTCCGTCTAGACTGGTGACAGTGTTCTTGGGGACTGTCTCGAGATCCATTAAGCAAGCCGAAGCTCCTGACTTGTTTGAATGGGATCACGGAATAGCTCTGCATGCACTGCAGGGGAATGGGGCCTCATCTCGCCTCTAGGGGGAAGTCTCATGGTTTTTCTCGAGTTGCGGCGGGGACCTGGGGTATGTTCTCGAATTACGGCGGGGATGGCCCTTCAAAACACGAGTTTCTTTAGTGACGTCAGGACTCCTGTCTAGTAACGAGGGACACCTCAGGAATCTCTTCGAGGCTTGGCAGGGCCAAAGGGACGCTTCTCGAGGTGAGGCAGGGCACCCAAGGACCCTTTCCAGTAGCCACAGGGATTTTGGGATTCCTATCAGTATTCAAGAGGAGTCAGGCATCGTCACCTTTTGAAGCAATGAACTCCGCGTGCCTCTCGAGGTGTCAGCGGGATGTGAGGCATTGCGTCAAAATGAGGCAGGGACCTAGGGCTTTCTCTAAGGTCTCCACAGCGGATTCAGACATCCCTTCATGTTGTGAGATGAAAGACGAGCCTGTATTCAAGCCACTGCAAGGAAATCCAGCCTCCTTTCAAGTTAGGGCTTCTCGCTGTATATTCCCCTTGAGGCAGCAAACTCGGGGTCCCTCCCACATACCTATTGCGGAGAGAAGCCTCCTCCTGAGGTGCTTCTGGGAAGTTGGCATACGTCTTGAGCCTAAGCCAGGGAATCAGCTCGCATCTCGAGACGATTTGGGGTACACGGAGCATTCCTCGAGTTGCTGTGCTGAAGTTGGTGTTCCTCTAGACTTGGGACAGTGTTCTCGGGGCATCTCTGGAGTTGCCTGAAGGAAGTCGAGCCACCGGTCGTGTTGAATGGGGAACGGGGAATGACTCTGGAGTCAATGCAGGGGAATCGGGCCTCATCTCGAGTTGATTTGGGGCACATGGAGCTGCTTTGCGTTGCTGGGGTGACCTCAGGGTCCGTCTAGACTGGTGACAGTGTTCTTGGGGACTGTCTCGAGATCCATTAAGCAAGCCGAAGCTCCTGACTTGTTTGAATGGGATCACGGAATAGCTCTGCATGCACTGCAGGGGAATGGGGCCTCATCTCGCCTCTAGGGGGAAGTCTCATGGTTTTTCTCGAGTTGCGGCGGGGACCTGGGGTATGTTCTCGACTTACGGCGGGGATGGCCCTTCAAAACACGAGTTTCTTCAGTGACGTCAGGACTCCTGTCTAGTAACGAGGGACACCTCAGGAATCTCTTCGAGGCTTGGCAGGGCCAAAGGGACGCTTCTCGAGGTGAGGCAGGGCACCCAAGGACCCTTTCCAGTAGCCACAGGGATTTTGGGATTCCTATCAGTATTCAAGAGGAGTCAGGCATCGTCACCTTTTGAAGCAATGAACTCCGCGTGCCTCTCGAGGTGTCAGCGGGATGTGAGGGATTCCGTCAAAATGAGGCAGGGACCTAGGGCTTTCTCTAAGGTCTCCACAGGGGATTCAGACATCCCTTCATGTTGTGAGATGAAAGACGAGCCTGTATTCAAGCCACTGCAAGGAAATCCGGCCTCCTTTCAAGTTAGGGCTTCTCGCTGTATATTCCCCTTGAGGCAGCAAACTCGGGGTCCCTCCCACATACCTATTGCTGAGAGAAGCCTCCTCCGGAGGTGCTTCTGGGAATTTGGCATACGTCTTGAGCCTAAGCCAGGGAATCAGCTCGCATCTCGAGACGATTTGGGGTACACGGAGCATTCCTCGAGTTGCTGTGCTGAAGTTGGTGTTCCTCTAGACTTGGGACAGTGTTCTCGGGGCATCTCTGGAGTTGCCTGAAGGAAGTCGAGCCAGCGGTCGTGTTGAATGGGGAACGGGGAATGGCTCTGGAGTCAATGCAGGGGAATCGGGCCTCATCTCGAGTTGATTTGGGGCACATGGAGCTGCTTTGCGTTGCTGGGGTGACCTCAGGGTCCGTCTAGACTGGTGACAGTGTTCTTGGGGACTGTCTCGAGATCCATTAAGCAAGCCGAAGCTCCTGACTTGTTTGAATGGGATCACGGAATAGCTCTGCATGCACTGCAGGGGAATGGGGCCTCATCTCGCCTCTAGGGGGAAGTCTCATGGTTTTTCTCGAGTTGCGGCGGGGACCTGGGGTATGTTCTCGACTTACGGCGGGGATGGCCCTTCAAAACACGAGTTTCTTCAGTGACGTCAGGACTCCTGTCTAGTAACGAGGGACACCTCAGGAATCTCTTCGAGGCTTGGCAGGGCCAAAGGGACGCTTCTCGAGGTGAGGCAGGGCACCCAAGGACCCTTTCCAGTAGCCACAGGGATTTTGGGATTCCTATCAGTATTCAAGAGGAGTCAGGCATCGTCACCTTTTGAAGCAATGAACTCCGCGTGCCTCTCGAGGTGTCAGCGGGATGTGAGGGATTCCGTCAAAATGAGGCAGGGACCTAGGGCTTTCTCTAAGGTCTCCACAGCGGATTCAGACATCCCTTCATGTTGTGAGATGAAAGACGAGCCTGTATTCAAGCCACTGCAAGGAAATCCGGCCTCCTTTCAAGTTAGGGCTTCTCGCTGTATATTCCCCTTGAGGCACCAAACTCGGTGTCCCTCCCACATACCTATTGCTGAGAGAAGCCTCCTCCGGAGGTGCTTCTGGGAATTTGGCATACGTCTTGAGCCTAAGCCAGGGAATCAGCTCGCATCTCGAGACGATTTGGGGTACACGGAGCATTCCTCGAGTTGCTGTGCTGAAGTTGGTGTTCCTCTAGACTTGGGACAGTGTTCTCGGGGCATCTCTGGAGTTGCCTGAAGGAAGTCGAGCCACCGGTCATGTTGAATGGGGAACGGGGAATGGCTCTGGAGTCAATGCAGGGGAATCGGGCCTCATCTCGAGTTGATTTGGGGCACATGGAGCTGCTTTGCGTTGCTGGGGTGACCTCAGGGTCCGTCTAGACTGGTGACAGTGTTCTTGGGGACTGTCTCGAGATCCATTAAGCAAGCCGAAGCTCCTGACTTGTTTGAATGGGATCACGGAATAGCTCTGCATGCACTGCAGGGGAATGGGGCCTCATCTCGCCTCTAGGGGGAAGTCTCATGGTTTTTCTCGAGTTGCGGCGGGGACCTGGGGTATGTTCTCGACTTACGGCGGGGATGGCCCTTCAAAACACGAGTTTCTTCAGTGACGTCAGGACTCCTGTCTAGTAACGAGGGACACCTCAGGAATCTCTTCGAGGCTTGGCAGGGCCAAAGGGACGCTTCTCGAGGTGAGGCAGGGCACCCAAGGACCCTTTCCAGTAGCCACAGGGATTTTGGGATTCCTATCAGTATTCAAGAGGAGTCAGGCATCGTCACCTTTTGAAGCAATGAACTCCGCGTGCCTCTCGAGGTGTCAGCGGGATGCGAGGCATTGCGTCAAAATGAGGCAGGGACCTAGGGCTTTCTCTAAGGTCTCCACAGCGGATTCAGACATCCCTTCATGTTGTGAGATGAAAGACGAGCCTGTATTCAAGCCACTGCAAGGAAATCCAGCCTCCTTTCAAGTTAGGGCTTCTCGCTGTATATTCCCCTTGAGGCAGCAAACTCGGGGTCCCTCCCACATACCTATTGCTGAGAGAAGCCTCCTCCGGAGGTGCTTCTGGGAATTTGGCATACGTCTTGAGCCTAAGCCAGGGAATCAGCTCGCATCTCGAGACGATTTCGGGTACACGGAGCATTCCTCGAGTTGCTGTGCTGAAGTTGGTGTTCCTCTAGACTTGGGACAGTGTTCTCGGGGCATCTCTGGAGTTGCCTGAAGGAAGTCGAGCCACCGGTCGTGTTGAATGGGGAACGGGGAATGGCTCTGGAGTCAATGCAGGGGAATCGGGCCTCATCTCGAGTTGATTTGGGGCACATGGAGCTGCTTTGCGTTGCTGGGGTGACCTCAGGGTCCGTCTAGACTGGTGACAGTGTTCTTGGGGACTGTCTCGAGATCCATTAAGCAAGCCGAAGCTCCTGACTTGTTTGAATGGGATCACGGAATAGCTCTGCATGCACTGCAGGGGAATGGGGCCTCATCTCGCCTCTAGGGGGAAGTCTCATGGTTTTTCTCGAGTTGCGGCGGGGACCTGGGGTATGTTCTCGACTTACGGCGGGGATGGCCCTTCAAAACACGAGTTTCTTCAGTGACGTCAGGACTCCTGTCTAGTAACGAGGGACACCTCAGGAATCTCTTCGAGGCTTGGCAGGGCCAAAGGGACGCTTCTCGAGGTGAGGCAGGGCACCCAAGGACCCTTTCCAGAAGCCACAGGGATTTTGGGATTCCTATCAGTATTCAAGAGGAGTCAGGCATCGTCACCTTTTGAAGCAATGAACTCCGCGTGCCTCTCGAGGTGTCAGCGGGATGTGAGGGATTCCGTCAAAATGAGGCAGGGACCTAGGGCTTTCTCTAAGGTCTCCACAGCGGATTCAGACATCCCTTCATGTTGTGAGATGAAAGACGAGCCTGTATTCAAGCCACTGCAAGGAAATCCGGCCTCCTTTCAAGTTAGGGCTTCTCGCTGTATATTCCCCTTGAGGCAGCAAACTCGGGGTCCCTCCCACATACCTATTGCTGAGAAAAGCCTCCTCCTGAGGTGCTTCTGGGAAGTTGGCATACGTCTTGAGCCTAAGCCAGGGAATCAGCTCGCATCTCGAGACGATTTGGGGTACACGGAGCATTCCTCGAGTTGCTGTGCTGAAGTTGGTGTTCCTCTAGACTTGGGACAGTGTTCTCGGGGCATCTCTGGAGTTGCCTGAAGGAAGTCGAGCCACCGGTCGTGTTGAATGGGGAACGGGGAATGGCTCTGGAGTCAATGCAGGGGAATCGGGCCTCATCTCGAGTTGATTTGGGGCACATGGAGCTGCTTTGTGTTGCTGGGGTGACCTCAGGGACCGTCTAGACTGGTGACAGTGTTCTTGGGGACTGTCTTGAGATCCATTAAGCAAGTCGAAGCTCCTGACTTGTTTGAATGGGATCACGGAATAGCTCTGCATGCACTGCAGGGGAATGGGGCCTCATCTCGCCTCTAGGGGGAAGTCTCATGGTTTTTCTCGAGTTGCTGCGGGGACCTGGGGTATGTTCTCGACTTACGGCGGGGATGGCCCTTCAAAACACGAGTTTTTTCAGTGACGTCAGGACTCCTGTCTAGTAACGAGGGACACCTCAGGAATCTCTTCGAGGCTTGGCAGGGCCAAAGGGACGCTTCTCGAGGTGAGGCAGGGCACCCAAGGACCCTTTCCAGTAGCCACAGGGATTTTGGGATTCCTATCAGTATTCAAGAGGAGTCAGGCATCGTCACCTTTTGAAGCAATGAACTCCGCGTGCCTCTCGAGGTGTCAGCGGGATGTGAGGCATTCCGTCAAAATGAGGCAGGGACCTAGGGCTTTCTCTAAGGTCTCCACAGGGGATTCAGACATCTCTTCATGTTGTGAGATGAAAGAGGAGCCTGTATTCAAGCCACTGCAAATAAATCCGGCCTCCTTTCAAGTTAGGGCTTCTCGCTGTATATTCCCCTTGAGGCAGCAAGTTCGGGGTCCCTCCCACATACCTATTGATGTGAGAAGCCTCCTCCGGAGGTGCTTCTGGGAAGTTGGCATACGTCTTGAGCCTAAGCCAGGGAATCAGCTCGCATCTCGAGACGATTTGGGGTACACGGAGCATTCCTCGAGTTGCTGTGCTGAAGCTGGTGTTCCTCTAGACTTGGGACAGTGTTCTCAGGGCATCTCTGGAGTTGCCTGAAGGAAGTCGAGCCACCGGTCGTGTTGAATGGGGAACGGGGAATGGCTCTGGAGTCAATGCAGGGGAATAGGGCCTCATCTCGAGTTGATTTGGGGCACATGGAGCTGCTTTGCGTTGCTGGGGTGACCTCAGGGTCCGTCTAGACTGGTGACAGTGTTCTTGGGGACTGTCTCGAGATCCATTAAGCAAGTCGAAGCTCCTGACTTGTTTGAATGGGATCACGGAATAGCTCTGCATGCACTGCAGGGGAATGGGGCCTCATCTCGCCTCTAGGGGGAAGTCTCATGGTTTTTCTCGAGTTGCGGCTGGGACCTGGGGTATGTTCTCGACTTACGGCGGGGATGGCCCTTCAAAACACGAGTTTCTTCAGTGACGTCAGGACTCCTGTCTAGTAACGAGGGACACCTCAGGAATCTCTTCGAGGCTTGGCAGGGCCAAAGGGACGCTTCTCGAGGTGAGGCAGGGCACCCAAGGACCCTTTCCAGTAGCCACAGGGATTTTGGGATTCCTATCAGTATTCAAGAGGAGTCAGGCATCGTCACCTTTTTAAGCAATGAACTCCGCGTGTCTCTCGAGGTGTCAGCGGGATGTGAGGCATTCCGTCAAAATGAGGCATGGACCTAGGGCTTTCTCTAAGGTCTCCACAGGGGATTCAGACATCCCTTCATGTTGTGAGATGAAAGACGAGCCTGTATTCAAGCCACTGCAAGGAAATCCGGCCTCCTTTCAAGTTAGGGCTTCTCGCTGTATATTCCCCTTGAGGCAGCAAACTCGGGGTCCCTCCCACATACCTATTGCTGAGAGAAGCCTCCTCCTGAGGTGCTTCTGGGAAGTTGGCATACGTCTTGAGCCTAAGCCAGGGAATCAGCTCGCATCTCGAGACGATTTCGGGTACACGGAGCATTCCTCGAGTTGCTGTGCTGAAGTTGGTGTTCCTCTAGACTTGGGACAGTGTTCTCGGGGCATCTCTGGAGTTGCCTGAAGGAAGTCGAGCCACCGGTCGTGTTGAATGGGGAACGGGGAATGGCTCTGGAGTCAATGCAGGGGAATCGGGCCTCATCTCGAGTTGATTTGGGGCACATGGAGCTGCTTTGCGTTGCTGGGGTGACCTCAGGGTCCGTCTAGACTGGTGACAGTGTTCTTGGGGACTGTCTCGAGATCCATTAAGCAAGTCGAAGCTCCTGACTTGTTTGAATGGGATCACGGAATAGCTCTGCATGCACTGCAGGGGAATGGGGCCTCATCTCGCCTCTAGGGGGAAGTCTCATGGTTTTTCTCGAGTTGCGGCGGGGACCTGGGGTATGTTCTCGACTTACGGCGGGGATGGCCCTTCAAAACACGAGTTTCTTCAGTGACGTCAGGACTCCTGTCTAGTAACGAGGGACACCTCAGGAATCTCTTCGAGGCTTGGCAGGGCCAAAGGGACGCTTCTCGAGGTGAGGCAGGGCACCCAAGGACCCTTTCCAGAAGCCACAGGGATTTTGGGATTCCTATCAGTATTCAAGAGGAGTCAGGCATCGTCACCTTTTGAAGCAATGAACTCCGCGTGCCTCTCGAGGTGTCAGCGGGATGTGAGGGATTCCGTCAAAATGAGGCAGGGACCTAGGGCTTTCTCTAAGGTCTCCACAGCGGATTCAGACATCCCTTCATGTTGTGAGATGAAAGACGAGCCTGTATTCAAGCCACTGCAAGGAAATCCGGCCTCCTTTCAAGTTAGGGCTTCTCGCTGTATATTCCCCTTGAGGCAGCAAACTCGGGGTCCCTCCCACATACCTATTGCTGAGAAAAGCCTCCTCCTGAGGTGCTTCTGGGAAGTTGGCATACGTCTTGAGCCTAAGCCAGGGAATCAGCTCGCATCTCGAGACGATTTGGGGTACACGGAGCATTCCTCGAGTTGCTGTGCTGAAGTTGGTGTTCCTCTAGACTTGGGACAGTGTTCTCGGGGCATCTCTGGAGTTGCCTGAAGGAAGTCGAGCCACCGGTCGTGTTGAATGGGGAACGGGGAATGGCTCTGGAGTCAATGCAGGGGAATCGGGCCTCATCTCGAGTTGATTTGGGGCACATGGAGCTGCTTTGTGTTGCTGGGGTGACCTCAGGGACCGTCTAGACTGGTGACAGTGTTCTTGGGGACTGTCTTGAGATCCATTAAGCAAGTCGAAGCTCCTGACTTGTTTGAATGGGATCACGGAATAGCTCTGCATGCACTGCAGGGGAATGGGGCCTCATCTCGCCTCTAGGGGGAAGTCTCATGGTTTTTCTCGAGTTGCGGCGGGGACCTGGGGTATGTTCTCGACTTACGGCGGGGATGGCCCTTCAAAACACGAGTTTTTTCAGTGACGTCAGGACTCCTGTCTAGTAACGAGGGACACCTCAGGAATCTCTTCGAGGCTTGGCAGGGCCAAAGGGACGCTTCTCGAGGTGAGGCAGGGCACCCAAGGACCCTTTCCAGTAGCCACAGGGATTTTGGGATTCCTATCAGTATTCAAGAGGAGTCAGGCATCGTCACCTTTTGAAGCAATGAACTCCGCGTGCCTCTCGAGGTGTCAGCGGGATGTGAGGCATTCCGTCAAAATGAGGCAGGGACCTAGGGCTTTCTCTAAGGTCTCCACAGGGGATTCAGACATCTCTTCATGTTGTGAGATGAAAGACGAGCCTGTATTCAAGCCACTGCAAATAAATCCGGCCTCCTTTCAAGTTAGGGCTTCTCGCTGTATATTCCCCTTGAGGCAGCAAGTTCGGGGTCCCTCCCACATACCTATTGATGTGAGAAGCCTCCTCCGGAGGTGCTTCTGGGAAGTTGGCATACGTCTTGAGCCTAAGCCAGGGAATCAGCTCGCATCTCGAGACGATTTGGGGTACACGGAGCATTCCTCGAGTTGCTGTGCTGAAGCTGGTGTTCCTCTAGACTTGGGACAGTGTTCTCAGGGCATCTCTGGAGTTGCCTGAAGGAAGTCGAGCCACCGGTCGTGTTGAATGGGGAACGGGGAATGGCTCTGGAGTCAATGCAGGGGAATAGGGCCTCATCTCGAGTTGATTTGGGGCACATGGAGCTGCTTTGCGTTGCTGGGGTGACCTCAGGGTCCGTCTAGACTGGTGACAGTGTTCTTGGGGACTGTCTCGAGATCCATTAAGCAAGTCGAAGCTCCTGACTTGTTTGAATGGGATCACGGAATAGCTCTGCATGCACTGCAGGGGAATGGGGCCTCATCTCGCCTCTAGGGGGAAGTCTCATGGTTTTTCTCGAGTTGCGGCGGGGACCTGGGGTATGTTCTCGACTTACGGCGGGGATGGCCCTTCAAAACACGAGTATCTTCAGTGACGTCAGGACTCCTGTCTAGTAACGAGGGACACCTCAGGAATCTCTTCGAGGCTTGGCAGGGCCAAAGGGACGCTTCTCGAGGTGAGGCAGGGCACCCAAGGATGCTTTCCAGTAGCCACAGGGATTTTGGGATTCCTATCAGTATCCAAGAGGAGTCAGGCATCGTCACCTTTTGAAGCAATGAACTCCGCGTGCCTCTCGAGGTGTCAGCGGGATGTGAGGCATTCCGTCAAAATGAGGCAGGGACCTAGGGCTTTCTCTAAGGTCTCCACAGGGGATTCAGACATCCCTTCATGTTGTGAGATGAAAGACGAGCCTGTATTCAAGCCACTGCAAGGAAATCCGGCCTCCTTTCAAGTTAGGGCTTCTCGCTGTATATTCCCCTTGAGGCAGCAAACTCGGGGTCCCTCCCACATACCTATTGCTGAGAGAAGCCTCCTCCGGAGGTGCTTCTGGGAAGTTGGCATACGTCTTGAGCCTAAACCAGGGAATCAGCTCGCATCTCGAGACGATTTGGGGTACACGGAACATTCCTCGAGTTGCTGTGCTGAAGTTGGTGTTCCTCTAGACTTGGGACAGTGTTCTCGGGGCATCTCTGGAGTTGCCTGAAGGAAGTCGAACCACCGGTCGTGTTGAATGGGGAACGGGGAATGGCTCTGGAGTCAATGCAGGGGAATCGGGCCCCATCTCGAGTTCATTTGGGGCACATGGAGCTGCTTTGCGTTGCTGGGGTGACCTCAGGGTCCGTCTAGACTGGTGACAGTGTTCTTGGGGACTGTCTCGAGATCCATTAAGCAAGCCGAAGCTCCTGACTTGTTTGAATGGGATCACGGAATAGCTCTGCATGCACTGCAGGGGAATGGGGCCTCATCTCGCCTCTAGGGGGAAGTCTCATGGTTTTTCTCGAGTTGCGGCGGGGACCTGGGGTATGTTCTCGACTTACGGCGGGGATGGCCCTTCAAAACACGAGTTTCTTCAGTGACGTCAGGACTCCTGTCTAGTAACGAGGGACACCTCAGGAATCTCTTCGAGGCTTGGCAGGGCCAAAGGGACGCTTCTCGAGGTGAGGCAGGGCACCCAAGGACCCTTTCCAGTAGCCACAGGGATTTTGGGATTCCTATCAGTATTCAAGAGGAGTCAGGCATCGTCACCTTTTTAAGCAATGAACTCCGCGTGTCTCTCGAGGTGTCAGCGGGATGTGAGGCATTCCGTCAAAATGAGGCATGGACCTAGGGCTTTCTCTAAGGTCTCCACAGGGGATTCAGACATCCCTTCATGTTGTGAGATGAAAGACGAGCCTGTATTCAAGCCACTGCAAGGAAATCCGGCCTCCTTTCAAGTTAGGGCTTCTCGCTGTATATTCCCCGTGAGGCAGCAAACTCGGGGTCCCTCCCACATACCTATTGCTGAGAGAAGCCTCCTCCGGAGGTGCTTCTGGGAATTTGGCATACGTCTTGAGCCTAAGCCAGGGAATCAGCTCGCATCTCGAGACGATTTGGGGTACACGGAGCATTCCTCGAGTTGCTGTGCTGAAGTTGGTGTTCCTCTAGACTTGGGACAGTGTTCTCGGGGCATCTCTGGAGTTGCCTGAAGGAAGTCGAGCCAGCGGTCGTGTTGAATGGGGAACGGGGAATGGCTCTGGAGTCAATGCAGGGGAATCGGGCCTCATCTCGAGTTGATTTGGGGCACATGGAGCTGCTTTGCGTTGCTGGGGTGACCTCAGGGTCCGTCTAGACTGGTGACAGTGTTCTTGGGGACTGTCTCGAGATCCATTAAGCAAGCCGAAGCTCCTGACTTGTTTGAATGGGATCACGGAATAGCTCTGCATGCACTGCAGGGGAATGGGGCCTCATCTCGCCTCTAGGGGGAAGTCTCATGGTTTTTCTCGAGTTGCGGCGGGGACCTGGGGTATGTTCTCGACTTACGGCGGGGATGGCCCTTCAAAACACGAGTTTCTTCAGTGACGTTAGGACTCCTGTCTAGTAACGAGGGACACCTCAGGAATCTCTTCGAGGCTTGGCAGGGCCAAAGGGACGCTTCTCGAGGTGAGGCAGGGCACCCAAGGACCCTTTCCAGTAGCCACAGGGATTTTGGGATTCCTATCAGTATTCAAGAGGAGTCAGGCATCGTCACCTTTTGAAGCAATGAACTCCGCGTGCCTCTCGAGGTGTCAGCGGGATGTGAGGCATTCCGTCAAAATGAGGCAGGGACCTAGGGCTTACTCTAAGGTCTCCACAGGGGATTCAGACATCCCTTCATGTTGTGAGATGAAAGACGAGCCAGTATTCAAGCCACTGCAAGGAAATCCGGCCTCCTTTCAGTTAGGGCTTCTCGCTGTATATTCCCCTTGAGGCAGCAAACTCGGGGTCCCTCCCACATACCTATTGCTGAGAGAAGCCTCCTCCGGAGGTGCTTCTGGGAATTTGGCATACGTCTTGAGCCTAAGCCAGGGAATCAGCTCGCATCTCGAGACGATTTGGGGTACACGGAGCATTCCTCGAGTTGCTGTGCTGAAGTTGGTGTTCCTCTAGACTTGGGACAGTGTTCTCGGGGCATCTCTGGAGTTGCCTGAAGGAAGTCAAGCCACCGGTCGTGTTGAATGGGGAACGGGGAATGGCTCTGGAGTCAATGCAGGGGAATCGGGCCTCATCTCGAGTTGATTTGGGGCACATGGAACTGCTTTGCATTGCTGGGGTGACCTCAGGGTCCGTCTAGACTGGTGACAGTGTTCTTGGGGACTCTCTCGAGATCCATTAAGCAAGCCGAAGCTCCTGACTTGTTTGAATGGGATCACGGAATAGCTCTGCATGCACTGCAGGGGAATGGGGCCTCATCTCGCCTCTAGGGGGAAGTCTCATGGTTTTTCTCGAGTTGCGGCGGGGACCTGGGGTATGTTCTCGACTTACGGCGGGGATGGCCCTTCAAAACACGAGTTTCTTCAGTGACGTCAGGACTCCTGTCTAGTAACGAGGGACACCTCAGGAATCTCTTCGAGGCTTGGCAGGGCCAAAGGGACGCTTCTCGAGGTGAGGCAGGGCACCCAAGGACCCTTTCCAGTAGCCACAGGGATTTTGGGATTCCTATCAGTATTCAAGAGGAGTCAGGCATCGTCACCTTTTGAAGCAATGAACTCCGCGTGCCTCTCGAGGTGTCAGCGGGATGTGAGGCATTGCGTCAAAATGAGGCAGGGACCTAGGGCTTTCTCTAAGGTCTCCACAGCGGATTCAGACATCCCTTCATGTTGTGAGATGAAAGACGAGCCTGTATTCAAGCCACTGCAAGGAAATCCAGCCTCCTTTCAAGTTAGGGCTTCTCGTTGTATATTCCCCTTGAGGCAGCAAACTCGGGGTCCCTCCCACATACCTATTGCTGAGAGAAGCCTCCTCCTGAGGAGCTTCTGGGAAGTTGGCATACGTCTTGAGCCTAAGCCAGGGAATCAGCTCGCATCTCGAGACGATTTGGGGTACACGGAGCATTCCTCGAGTTGCTGTACTGAAGTTGGTGTTCCTCTAGACTTGGGACAGTGTTCTCGGGGCATCTCTGGAGTTGCCTGAAGGAAGTCGAGCCACCGGTCGTGTTGAATGGGGAACGGGGAATGGCTCTGGAGTCAATGCAGGGGAATCGGGCCTCATCTCGAGTTGATTTGGGGCACATGGAGCTGCTTTGTGTTGCTGGGGTGACCTCAGGGACCGTCTAGACTGGTGACAGTGTTCTTGGGGACTGTCTTGAGATCCATTAAGCAAGTCGAAGCTCCTGACTTGTTTGAATGGGATCACGGAATAGCTCTGCATGCACTGCAGGGGAATGGGGCCTCATCTCGCCTCTAGGGGGAAGTCTCATGGTTTTTCTCGAGTTGCGGCGGGGACCTGGGGTATGTTCTCGACTTACGGCGGGGATGGCCCTTCAAAACACGAGTTTTTTCAGTGACGTCAGGACTCCTGTCTAGTAACGAGGGACACCTCAGGAATCTCTTCGAGGCTTGGCAGGGCCAAAGGGACGCTTCTCGAGGTGAGGCAGGGCACCCAAGGACCCTTTCCAGTAGCCACAGGGATTTTGGGATTCCTATCAGTATTCAAGAGGAGTCAGGCATCGTCACCTTTTGAAGCAATGAACTCCGCGTGCCTCTCGAGGTGTCAGCGGGATGTGAGGCATTCCGTCAAAATGAGGCAGGGACCTAGGGCTTTCTCTAAGGTCTCCACAGGGGATTCAGACATCTCTTCATGTTGTGAGATGAAAGACGAGCCTGTATTCAAGCCACTGCAAATAAATCCGGCCTCCTTTCAAGTTAGGGCTTCTCGCTGTATATTCCCCTTGAGGCAGCAAGTTCGGGGTCCCTCCCACATACCTATTGATGTGAGAAGCCTCCTCCGGAGGTGCTTCTGGGAAGTTGGCATACGTCTTGAGCCTAAGCCAGGGAATCAGCTCGCATCTCGAGACGATTTGGGGTACACGGAGCATTCCTCGAGTTGCTGTGCTGAAGCTGGTGTTCCTCTAGACTTGGGACAGTGTTCTCAGGGCATCTCTGGAGTTGCCTGAAGGAAGTCGAGCCACCGGTCGTGTTGAATGGGGAACGGGGAATGGCTCTGGAGTCAATGCAGGGGAATAGGGCCTCATCTCGAGTTGATTTGGGGCACATGGAGCTGCTTTGCGTTGCTGGGGTGACCTCAGGGTCCGTCTAGACTGGTGACAGTGTTCTTGGGGACTGTCTCGAGATCCATTAAGCAAGTCGAAGCTCCTGACTTGTTTGAATGGGATCACGGAATAGCTCTGCATGCACTGCAGGGGAATGGGGCCTCATCTCGCCTCTAGGGGGAAGTCTCATGGTTTTTCTCGAGTTGCGGCGGGGACCTGGGGTATGTTCTCGACTTACGGCGGGGATGGCCCTTCAAAACACGAGTATCTTCAGTGACGTCAGGACTCCTGTCTAGTAACGAGGGACACCTCAGGAATCTCTTCGAGGCTTGGCAGGGCCAAAGGGACGCTTCTCGAGGTGAGGCAGGGCACCCAAGGATGCTTTCCAGTAGCCACAGGGATTTTGGGATTCCTATCAGTATCCAAGAGGAGTCAGGCATCGTCACCTTTTGAAGCAATGAACTCCGCGTGCCTCTCGAGGTGTCAGCGGGATGTGAGGCATTCCGTCAAAATGAGGCAGGGACCTAGGGCTTTCTCTAAGGTCTCCACAGGGGATTCAGACATCCCTTCATGTTGTGAGATGAAAGACGAGCCTGTATTCAAGCCACTGCAAGGAAATCCGGCCTCCTTTCAAGTTAGGGCTTCTCGCTGTATATTCCCCTTGAGGCAGCAAACTCGGGGTCCCTCCCACATACCTATTGCTGAGAGAAGCCTCCTCCGGAGGTGCTTCTGGGAAGTTGGCATACGTCTTGAGCCTAAACCAGGGAATCAGCTCGCATCTCGAGACGATTTGGGGTACACGGAACATTCCTCGAGTTGCTGTGCTGAAGTTGGTGTTCCTCTAGACTTGGGACAGTGTTCTCGGGGCATCTCTGGAGTTGCCTGAAGGAAGTCGAACCACCGGTCGTGTTGAATGGGGAACGGGGAATGGCTCTGGAGTCAATGCAGGGGAATCGGGCCCCATCTCGAGTTGATTTGGGGCACATGGAGCTGCTTTGCGTTGCTGGGGTGACCTGAGGGTCCGTCTAGACTGGTGACAGTGTTCTTGGGGACTGTCTCGAGATCCATTAAGCAAGCCGAAGCTCCTGACTTGTTTGAATGGGATCACGGAATAACTCTGCATGCACTGCAGGGGAATGGGGCCTCATCTCGCCTCTAGGGGGAAGTCTCATGGTTTTTCTCGAGTTGCGGCGGGGACCTGGGGTATGTTCTCGACTTACGGCGGGGATGGCCCTTCAAAACACGAGTTTCTTCAGTGACGTCAGGACTCCTGTCTAGTAACGAGGGACACCTCAGGAATCTCTTCGAGGCTTGGCAGGGCCAAAGGGACGCTTCTCGAGGTGAGGCAGGGCACCCAAGGACCCTTTCCAGTAGCCACAGGGATTTTGGGATTCCTATCAGTATTCAAGAGGAGTCAGGCATCGTCACCTTTTTAAGCAATGAACTCCGCGTGTCTCTCGAGGTGTCAGCGGGATGTGAGGCATTCCGTCAAAATGAGGCATGGACCTAGGGCTTTCTCTAAGGTCTCCACAGGGGATTCAGACATCCCTTCATGTTGTGAGATGAAAGACGAGCCTGTATTCAAGCCACTGCAAGGAAATCCGGCCTCCTTTCAAGTTAGGGCTTCTCGCTGTATATTCCCCGTGAGGCAGCAAACTCGGGGTCCCTCCCACATACCTATTGCTGAGAGAAGCCTCCTCCGGAGGTGCTTCTGGGTATTTGGCATACGTCTTGAGCCTAAGCCAGGGAATCAGCTCGCATCTCGAGACGATTTGGGGTACACGGAGCATTCCTCGAGTTGCTGTGCTGAAGTTGGTGTTCCTCTAGACTTGGGACAGTGTTCTCGGGGCATCTCTGGAGTTGCCTGAAGGAAGTCGAGCCAGCGGTCGTGTTGAATGGGGAACGGGGAATGGCTCTGGAGTCAATGCAGGGGAATCGGGCCTCATCTCGAGTTGATTTGGGGCACATGGAGCTGCTTTGCGTTGCTGGGGTGACCTCAGGGTCCGTCTAGACTGGTGACAGTGTTCTTGGGGACTGTCTCGAGATCCATTAAGCAAGCCGAAGCTCCTGACTTGTTTGAATGGGATCACGGAATAGCTCTGCATGCACTGCAGGGGAATGGGGCCTCATCTCGCCTCTAGGGGGAAGTCTCATGGTTTTTCTCGAGTTGCGGCGGGGACCTGGGGTATGTTCTCGACTTACGGCGGGGATGGCCCTTCAAAACACGAGTTTCTTCAGTGACGTTAGGACTCCTGTCTAGTAACGAGGGACACCTCAGGAATCTCTTCGAGGCTTGGCAGGGCCAAAGGGACGCTTCTCGAGGTGAGGCAGGGCACCCAAGGACCCTTTCCAGTAGCCACAGGGATTTTGGGATTCCTATCAGTATTCAAGAGGAGTCAGGCATCGTCACCTTTTGAAGCAATGAACTCCGCGTGCCTCTCGAGGTGTCAGCGGGATGTGAGGCATTCCGTCAAAATGAGGCAGGGACCTAGGGCTTACTCTAAGGTCTCCACAGGGGATTCAGACATCCCTTCATGTTGTGAGATGAAAGACGAGCCTGTATTCAAGCCACTGCAAGGAAATCCGGCCTCCTTTCAGTTAGGGCTTCTCGCTGTATATTCCCCTTGAGGCAGCAAACTCGGGGTCCCTCCCACATACCTATTGCTGAGAGAAGCCTCCTCCGGAGGTGCTTCTGGGAATTTGGCATACGTCTTGAGCCTAAGCCAGGGAATCAGCTCGCATCTCGAGACGATTTGGGGTACACGGAGCATTCCTCGAGTTGCTGTGCTGAAGTTGGTGTTCCTCTAGACTTGGGACAGTGTTCTCGGGGCATCTCTGGAGTTGCCTGAAGGAAGTCAAGCCACCGGTCGTGTTGAATGGGGAACGGGGAATGGCTCTGGAGTCAATGCAGGGGAATCGGGCCTCATCTCGAGTTGATTTGGGGCACATGGAACTGCTTTGCATTGCTGGGGTGACCTCAGGGTCCGTCTAGACTGGTGACAGTGTTCTTGGGGACTCTCTCGAGATCCATTAAGCAAGCCGAAGCTCCTGACTTGTTTGAATGGGATCACGGAATAGCTCTGCATGCACTGCAGGGGAATGGGGCCTCATCTCGCCTCTAGGGGGAAGTCTCATGGTTTTTCTCGAGTTGCGGCGGGGACCTGGGGTATGTTCTCGACTTACGGCGGGGATGGCCCTTCAAAACACGAGTTTCTTCAGTGACGTCAGGACTCCTGTCTAGTAACGAGGGACACCTCAGGAATCTCTTCGAGGCTTGGCAGGGCCAAAGGGACGCTTCTCGAGGTGAGGCAGGGCACCCAAGGACCCTTTCCAGTAGCCACAGGGATTTTGGGATTCCTATCAGTATTCAAGAGGAGTCAGGCATCGTCACCTTTTGAAGCAATGAACTCCGCGTGCCTCTCGAGGTGTCAGCGGGATGTGAGGCATTGCGTCAAAATGAGGCAGGGACCTAGGGCTTTCTCTAAGGTCTCCACAGCGGATTCAGACATCCCTTCATGTTGTGAGATGAAAGACGAGCCTGTATTCAAGCCACTGCAAGGAAATCCAGCCTCCTTTCAAGTTAGGGCTTCTCGTTGTATATTCCCCTTGAGGCAGCAAACTCGGGGTCCCTCCCACATACCTATTGCTGAGAGAAGCCTCCTCCTGAGGAGCTTCTGGGAAGTTGGCATACGTCTTGAGCCTAAGCCAGGGAATCAGCTCGCATCTCGAGACGATTTGGGGTACACGGAGCATTCCTCGAGTTGCTGTGCTGAAGTTGGTGTTCCTCTAGACTTGGGACAGTGTTCTCGGGGCATCTCTGGAGTTGCCTGAAGGAAGTCGAGCCACCGGTCGTGTTGAATGGGGAACGGGGAATGGCTCTGGAGTCAATGCAGGGGAATCGGGCCTCATCTCGAGTTGATTTGGGGCACATGGAGCTGCTTTGCGTTGCTGGGGTGACCTCAGGGTCCGTCTAGACTGGTGACAGTGTTCTTGGGGACTGTCTCGAGATCCATTAAGCAAGCCGAAGCTCCTGACTTGTTTGAATGGGATCACGGAATAGCTCTGCATGCACTGCAGGGGAATGGGGCCTCATCTCGCCTCTAGGGGGAAGTCTCATGGTTTTTCTCGAGTTGCGGCGGGGACCTGGGGTATGTTCTCGACTTACGGCGGGGATGGCCCTTCAAAACACGAGTTTCTTCAGTGACGTCAGGACTCCTGTCTAGTAATGAGGGACACCTCAGGAATCTCTTCGAGGCTTGGCAGGGCCAAAGGGACGCTTCTCGAGGTGAGGCAGGGCACCCAAGGACCCTTTCCAGTAGCCACAGGGATTTTGGGATTCCTATCAGTATTCAAGAGGAGTCAGGCATCGTCACCTTTTGAAGCAATGAACTCCGCGTGCCTCTCGAGGTGTCAGCGGGATGTGAGGCATTCCGTCAAAATGAGGCAGGGACCTAGGGCTTTCTCTAAGGTCTCCACAGGGGATTCAGACATCCCTTCATGTTGTGAGATGAAAGACGAGCCTGTATTCAAGCCACTGCAAGGAAATCCGGCCTCCTTTCAAGTTAGGGCTTCTCGCTGTATATTCCCCTTGAGGCAGCAAATTCGGGGTCCCTCCCACATACCTATTGCTGAGAGAAGCCTCCTCCGGAGGTGCTTCTGGGAAGTTGGCATACGTCTTGAGCCTAAGCCAGGGAATCAGCTCGCATCTCGAGACGATTTGGGGTACACGGAGCATTCCTCGAGTTGCTGTGCTGAAGTTGGTGTTCCTCTAGACTTGAGACAGTGTTCTCGCGGCATCTCTGGAGTTGCCTGAAGGAAGTCGAGCCACCGGTCGTGTTGAATGGGGAATGGGGAATGGCTCTGGAGTCAATGCAGGGGAATCGGGCATCATCTCGAGTTGATTTGGGGCACATGGAGCTGCTTTGCGTTGCTGGGGTGACCTCAGGGTCCGTCTAGACTGGTGACAGTGTTCTTGGGGACTGTCTCGAGATCCATTAAGCAAGTCGAAGCTCCTGACTTGTTTGAATGGGATCACGGAATAGCTCTGCATGCACTGCAGGGGAATGGGGCCTCATCTCGCCTCTAGGGGGAAGTCTCATGGTTTTTCTCGAGTTGCGGCGGGGACCTGGGGTATGTTCTCGACTTACGGCGGGGATGGCCCTTCAAAACACGAGTTTCTTCAGTGACGTCAGGACTCCTGTCTAGTAACGAGGGACACCTCAGGAATCTCTTCGAGGCTTGGCAGGGCCAAAGGGACGCTTCTCGAGGTGAGGCAGGGCACCCAAGGACCCTTTCCAGTAGCCACAGGGATTTTGGGATTCCTATCAGTATTCAAGAGGAGTCAGGCATCGTCACCTTTTGAAGCAATGAACTCCGCGTGCCTCTCGAGGTGTCAGCGGGATGTGAGGGATTCCGTCAAAATGAGGCAGGGACCTAGGGCTTTCTCTAAGGTCTCCACAGGGGATTCAGACATCCCTTCATGTTGTGAGATGAAAGACGAGCCTGTATTCAAGCCACTGCAAGGAAATCCGGCCTCCTTTCAAGTTAGGGCTTCTCGCTGTATATTCCCCTTGAGGCAGCAAACTCGGGGTCCCTCCCACATACCTATTGCTGAGAGAAGCCTCCTCTGGAGGTGCTTCTGGGAATTTGGCATACGTCTTGAGCCTAAGCCAGGGAATCAGCTCGCATCTCGAGACGATTTGGGGTACACGGAGCATTCCTCGAGTTGCTGTGCTGAAGTTGGTGTTCCTCTAGACTTGGGACAGTGTTCTCGGGGCATCTCTGGGGTTGCCTGAAGGAAGTCGAGCCAGCGGTCGTGTTGAATGGGGAACGGGGAATGGCTCTGGAGTCAATGCAGGGGAATCAGGCCTCATATTGAGTTGATTTGGGGCACATGGAGCTGCTTTGCGTTGCTGGGGTGACCTCAGGGTCCGTCTAGACTGGTGACAGTGTTCTTGGGGACTGTCTCGAGATCCATTAAGCAAGCCGAAGCTCCTGACTTGTTTGAATGGGATCACGGAATAGCTCTGCATGCACTGCAGGGGAATGGGGCCTCATCTCGCCTCTAGGGGGAAGTCTCATGGTTTTTCTCGAGTTGCGGCGGGGACCTGGGGTATGTTCTCGACTTACGGCGGGGATGGCCCTTCAAAACACGAGTTTCTTCAGTGACGTCAGGACTCCTGTCTAGTAACGAGGGACACCTCAGGAATCTCTTCGAGGCTTGGCAGGGCCAAAGGGACGCTTCTCGAGGTGAGGCAGGGCACCCAAGGACCCTTTCCAGTAGCCACAGGGATTTTGGGATTCCTATCAGTATTCAAGAGGAGTCAGGCATCGTCACCTTTTTAAGCAATGAACTCCGCGTGCCTCTCGAGGTGTCAGCGGGATGTGAGGCATTGCGTCAAAATGAGGCAGGGACCTAGGGCTTTCTCTAAGGTCTCCACAGCGGATTCAGACATCCCTTCATGTTGTGAGATGAAAGACGAGCCTGTATTCAAGCCACTGCAAGGAAATCCAGCCTCCTTTCAAGTTAGGGCTTCTCGTTGTATATTCCCCTTGAGGCAGCAAACTCGGGGTCCCTCCCACATACCTATTGCTGAGAGAAGCCTCCTCCTGAGGAGCTTCTGGGAAGTTGGCATACGTCTTGAGCCTAAGCCAGGGAATCAGCTCGCATCTCGAGACGATTTGGGGTACACGGAGCATTCCTCGAGTTGCTGTGCTGAAGTTGGTGTTCCTCTAGACTTGGGACAGTGTTCTCGGGGCATCTCTGGAGTTGCCTGAAGGAAGTCGAGCCACCGGTCGTGTTGAATGGGGAACGGGGAATGGCTCTGGAGTCAATGCAGGGGAATCGGGCCTCATCTCGAGTTGATTTGGGGCACATGGAGCTGCTTTGCGTTGCTGGGGTGACCTCAGGGTCCGTCTAGACTGGTGACAGTGTTCTTGGGGACTGTCTCGAGATCCATTAAGCAAGCCGAAGCTCCTGACTTGTTTGAATGGGATCACGGAATAGCTCTGCATGCACTGCAGGGGAATGGGGCCTCATCTCGCCTCTAGGGGGAAGTCTCATGGTTTTTCTCGAGTTGCGGCGGGGACCTGGGGTATGTTCTCGACTTACGGCGGGGATGGCCCTTCAAAACACGAGTTTCTTCAGTGACGTCAGGACTCCTGTCTAGTAATGAGGGACACCTCAGGAATCTCTTCGAGGCTTGGCAGGGCCAAAGGGACGCTTCTCGAGGTGAGGCAGGGCACCCAAGGACCCTTTCCAGTAGCCACAGGGATTTTGGGATTCCTATCAGTATTCAAGAGGAGTCAGGCATCGTCACCTTTTGAAGCAATGAACTCCGCGTGCCTCTCGAGGTGTCAGCGGGATGTGAGGCATTCCGTCAAAATGAGGCAGGGACCTAGGGCTTTCTCTAAGGTCTCCACAGGGGATTCAGACATCCCTTCATGTTGTGAGATGAAAGACGAGCCTGTATTCAAGCCACTGCAAGGAAATCCGGCCTCCTTTCAAGTTAGGGCTTCTCGCTGTATATTCCCCTTGAGGCAGCAAATTCGGGGTCCCTCCCACATACCTATTGCTGAGAGAAGCCTCCTCCGGAGGTGCTTCTGGGAAGTTGGCATACGTCTTGAGCCTAAGCCAGGGAATCAGCTCGCATCTCGAGACGATTTGGGGTACACGGAGCATTCCTCGAGTTGCTGTGCTGAAGTTGGTGTTCCTCTAGACTTGAGACAGTGTTCTCGCGGCATCTCTTTAGTTGCCTGAAGGAAGTCGAGCCACCGGTCGTGTTGAATGGGGAACGGGGAATGGCTCTGGAGTCAATGCAGGGGAATCGGGCCTCATCTCGAGTTGATTTGGGGCACATGGAGCTGCTTTGCGTTGCTGGGGTGACCTCAGGGTCCGTCTAGACTGGTGACAGTGTTCTTGGGGACTGTCTCGAGATCCATTAAGCAAGTCGAAGCTCCTGACTTGTTTGAATGGGATCACGGAATAGCTCTGCATGCACTGCAGGGGAATGGGGCCTCATCTCGCCTCTAGGGGGAAGTCTCATGGTTTTTCTCGAGTTGCGGCGGGGACCTGGGGTATGTTCTCGACTTACGGCGGGGATGGCCCTTCAAAACACGAGTTTCTTCAGTGACGTCAGGACTCCTGTCTAGTAACGAGGGACACCTCAGGAATCTCTTCGAGGCTTGGCAGGGCCAAAGGGACGCTTCTCGAGGTGAGGCAGGGCACCCAAGGACCCTTTCCAGTAGCCACAGGGATTTTGGGATTCCTATCAGTATTCAAGAGGAGTCAGGCATCGTCACCTTTTGAAGCAATGAACTCCGCGTGCCTCTCGAGGTGTCAGCGGGATGTGAGGGATTCCGTCAAAATGAGGCAGGGACCTAGGGCTTTCTCTAAGGTCTCCACAGGGGATTCAGACATCCCTTCATGTTGTGAGATGAAAGACGAGCCTGTATTCAAGCCACTGCAAGGAAATCCGGCCTCCTTTCAAGTTAGGGCTTCTCGCTGTATATTCCCCTTGAGGCAGCAAACTCGGGGTCCCTCCCACATACCTATTGCTGAGAGAAGCCTCCTCCGGAGGTGCTTCTGGGAATTTGGCATACGTCTTGAACCTAAGCCAGGGAATCAGCTCGCATCTCGAGACGATTTGGGGTACACGGAGCATTCCTCGAGTTGCTGTCCTGAAGTTGGTGTTCCTCTAGACTTGGGACAGTGTTCTCGGGGCATCTCTGGAGTTGCCTGAAGGAAGTCGAGCCACCGGTCGTGTTGAATGGGGAACGGGGAATGGCTCTGGAGTCAATGCAGGGGAATCGGGCCTCATCTTGAGTTGATTTGGGGCACATGGAGCTGCTTTGCGTTGCTGGGGTGACCTCAGGGTCCGTCTAGACTGGTGACAGTGTTCTTGGGGACTCTCTCGAGATCCATTAAGCAAGCCGAAGCTCCTGACTTGTTTGAATGGGATCACGGAATAGCTCTGCATGCACTGCAGGGGAATGGGGCCTCATCTCGCCTCTAGGGGGAAGTCTCATGGTTTTTCTCGAGTTGCGGCGGGGACCTGGGGTATGTTCTCGACTTACGGCGGGGATGGCCCTTCAAAACACGAGTTTCTTCAGTGACGTCAGGACTCCTGTCTAGTAACGAGGGACACCTCAGGAATCTCTTCGAGGCTTGGCAGGGCCAAAGGGACGCTTCTCGAGGTGAGGCAGGGCACCCAAGGACCCTTTCCAGTAGCCACAGGGATTTTGGGATTCCTATCAGTATTCAAGAGGAGTCAGGCATCGTCACCTTTTGAAGCAATGAACTCCGCGTGCCTCTCGAGGTGTCAGCGGGATGTGAGGCATTGCGTCAAAATGAGGCAGGGACCTAGGGCTTTCTCTAAGGTCTCCACAGCGGATTCAGATATCCCTTCATGTTGTGAGATGAAAGACGAGCCTGTATTCAAGCCACTGCAAGGAAATCCAGCCTCCTTTCAAGTTAGGGCTTCTCGCTGTATATTCCCCTTGAGGCAGCAAACTCGGGGTCCCTCCCACATACCTATTGCTGAGAGAAGCCTCCTCCTGAGGTGCTTCTGGGAAGTTGGCATACGTCTTGAGCCTAAGCCAGGGAATCAGCTCGCATCTCGAGATGATTTGGGGTACACGGAGCATTCCTCGAGTTGCTGTGCTGAAGTTGGTGTTCCTCTAGACTTGAGACATTGTTCTCGCGGCATCTCTGGAGTTGCCTGAAGGAAGTCGAGCCACCGGTCGTGTTGAATGGGGAACGGGGAATGGCTCTGGAGTCAATGCAGGGGAATCGGGCCTCATCTCGAGTTGATTTGGGGCACATGGAGCTGCTTTGCGTTGCTGGGGTGACCTCAGGGTCCGTCTAGACTGGTGACAGTGTTCTTGGGGACTGTCTCGAGATCCATTAAGCAAGTCGAAGCTCCTGACTTGTTTGAATGGGATCACGGAATAGCTCTGCATGCACTGCAGGGGAATGGGGCCTCATCTCGCCTCTAGGGGGAAGTCTCATGGTTTTTCTCGAGTTGCGGCGGGGACCTGGGGTATGTTCTCGACTTACGGCGGGGATGGCCCTTCAAAACACGAGTTTCTTCAGTGACGTCAGGACTCCTGTCTAGTAACGAGGGACACCTCAGGAATCTCTTCGAGGCTTGGCAGGGCCAAAGGGACGCTTCTCGAGGTGAGGCAGGGCACCCAAGGACCCTTTCCAGTAGCCACAGGGATTTTGGGATTCCTATCAGTATTCAAGAGGAGTCAGGCATCGTCACCTTTTGAAGCAATGAACTCCGCGTGCCTCTCGAGGTGTCAGCGGGATGTGAGGGATTCCGTCAAAATGAGGCAGGGACCTAGGGCTTTCTCTAAGGTCTCCACAGGGGATTCAGACATCCCTTCATGTTGTGAGATGAAAGACGAGCCTGTATTCAAGCCACTGCAAGGAAATCCGGCCTCCTTTCAAGTTAGGGCTTCTCGCTGTATATTCCCCTTGAGGCAGCAAACTCGGGGTCCCTCCCACATACCTATTGCTGAGAGAAGCCTCCTCCGGAGGTGCTTCTGGGAATTTGGCATACGTCTTGAACCTAAGCCAGGGAATCAGCTCGCATCTCGAGACGATTTGGGGTACACGGAGCATTCCTCGAGTTGCTGTGCTGAAGTTGGTGTTCCTCTAGACTTGGGACAGTGTTCTCGGGGCATCTCTGGAGTTGCCTGAAGGAAGTCGAGCCAGCGGTCGTGTTGAATGGGGAACGGGGAATGGCTCTGGAGTCAATGCAGGGGAATCGGGCCTCATCTCGAGTTGATTTGGGGCACATGGAGCTGCTTTGCGTTGCTGGGGTGACCTCAGGGTCCGTCTAGACTGGTGACAGTGTTCTTGGGGACTGTCTCGAGATCCATTAAGCAAGTCGAAGCTCCTGACTTGTTTGAATGGGATCACGGAATAGCTCTGCATGCACTGCAGGGGAATGGGGCCTCATCTCGCCTCTAGGGGAAATCTCATGGTTTTTCTCGAGTTGCGGCGGGGACCTGGGGTATGTTCTCGACTTACGGCGGGGATGGCCCTTCAAAACACGAGTTTCTTCAGTGACGTCAGGACTCCTGTCTAGTAACGAGGGACACCTCAGGAATCTCTTCGAGGCTTGGCAGGGCCAAAGGGACGCTTCTCGAGGTGAGGCAGGGCACCCAAGGACCCTTTCCAGAAGCCACAGGGATTTTGGGATTCCTATCAGTATTCAAGAGGAGTCAGGCATCGTCACCTTTTGAAGCAATGAACTCCGCGTGCCTCTCGAGGTGTCAGCGGGATGTGAGGGATTCCGTCAAAATGAGGCAGGGATCTAGGGCTTTCTCTAAGGTCTCCACAGGGGATTCAGACATCCCTTCATGTTGTGAGATGAAAGACGAGCCTGTATTCAAGCCACTGCAAGGAAATCCAGCCTCCTTTCAAGTTAGGGCTTCTCGCTGTATATTCCCCTTGAGGCAGCAAACTCGGGGTCCCTCCCACATACCTATTGCTGAGAGAAGCCTCCTCCTGAGGTGCTTCTGGGAAGTTGGCATACGTCTTGAGCCTAAGCCAGGGAATCAGCTCGCATCTCGAGACGATTTGGGGTACACGGAGCATTCCTCGAGTTGCTGTGCTGAAGTTGGTGTTCCTCTAGACTTGGGACAGTGTTCTCGGGGCATCTCTGGAGTTGCCTGAAGGAAGTCGAGCCACCGGTCGTGTTGAATGGGGAACGGGGAATGGCTCTGGAGTCAATGCAGGGGAATCGGGCCTCATCTCGAGTTGATTTGGGGCACATGGAGCTGCTTTGCGTTGCTGGGGTGACCTCAGGGTCCGTCTAGACTGGTGACAGTGTTCTTGGGGACTGTCTCGAGATCCATTAAGCAAGCCGAAGCTCCTGACTTGTTTGAATGGGATCACGGAATAGCTCTGCATGCACTGCAGGGGAATGGGGCCTCATCTCGCCTCTAGGGGGAAGTCTCATGGTTTTTCTCGAGTTGCGGCGGGGACCTGGGGTATGTTCTCGACTTACGGCGGGGATGGCCCTTCAAAACACGAGTTTCTTCAGTGACGTCAGGACTCCTGTCTAGTAACGAGGGACACCTCAGGAATCTCTTCGAGGCTTGGCAGGGCCAAAGGGACGCTTCTCGAGGTGAGGCAGGGCACCCAAGGACCCTTTCCAGTAGCCACCGGGATTTTGGGATTCCTATCAGTATTCAAGAGGAGTCAGGCATCGTCACCTTTTGAAGCAATGAACTCCGCGTGCCTCTCGAGGTGTCAGCGGGATGTGAGGCATTCCGTCAAAATGAGGCAGGGACCTAGGGCTTTCTCTAAGGTCTCCACAGGGGATTCAGACATCCCTTCATGTTGTGAGATGAAAGACGAGCCTGTATTCAAGCCACTGCAAGGAAATCCGGCCTCCTTTCAAGTTAGGGCTTCTCGCTGTATATTCCCCTTGAGGCAGCAAACTCGGGGTCCCTCCCACATACCTATTGCTGAGAGAAGCCTCCTCCTGAGGTGCTTCTGGGAAGTTGGCATACGTCTTGAGCCTAAGCCAGGGAATCAGCTCGCATCTCGAGACGATTTGGGGTACACGGAGCATTCCTCGAGTTGCTGTGCTGAAGTTGGTGTTCCTCTAGACTTGGGACAGTGTTCTCGGGGCATCTCTGGAGTTGCCTGAAGGAAGTCGAGCCAGCGGTCGTGTTGAATGGGGAACGGGGAATGGCTCTGGAGTCAATGCAGGGGAATCGGGCCTCATCTCGAGTTGATTTGGGGCACATGGAGCTGCTTTGCGTTGCTGGGGTGACCTCAGGGTCCGTCTAGACTGGTGACAGTGTTCTTGGGGACTGTCTCGAGATCCATTAAGCAAGCCGAAGCTCCTGACTTGTTTGAATGGGATCACGGAATAGCTCTGCATGCACTGCAGGGGAATGGGGCCTCATCTCGCCTCTAGGGGGAAGTCTCATGGTTTTTCTCGAGTTGCGGCGGGGACCTGGGGTATGTTCTCGACTTACGGCGGGGATGGCCCTTCAAAACACGAGTTTCTTCAATGACGTCAGGACTCCTGTCTAGTAACGAGGGACACCTCAGGAATCTCTTCTAGGCTTGGCAGGGCCAAAGGGACGCTTCTCGAGGTGAGGCAGGGCACCCAAGGACCCTTTCCAGTAGCCACAGGGATTTTGGGATTCCTATCAGTATTCAAGAGGAGTCAGGCATCGTCACCTTTTGAAGCAATGAACTCCGCGTGCCTCTCGAGGTGTCAGCGGGATGTGAGGCATTGCGTCAAAATGAGGCAGGGACCTAGGGCTTTCTCTAAGGTCTCCACAGCCGATTCAGACATCCCTTCATGTTGTGAGATGAAAGACGAGCCTGTATTCAAGCCACTGCAAGGAAATCCAGCCTCCTTTCAAGTTAGGGCTTCTCGCTGTATATTCCCCTTGAGGCAGCAAACTCGGGGTCCCTCCCACATACCTATTGCTGAGAGAAGCCTCCTCCTGAGGTGCTTCTGGGAAGTTGGCATACGTCTTGAGCCTAAGCCAGGGAATCAGCTCGCATCTCGAGACGATTTGGGGTACACGGAGCATTCCTCGAGTTGCTGTGCTGAAGTTGGTGTTCCTCTAGACTTGGGACAGTGTTCTCGGGGCATCTCTGGAGTTGCCTGAAGGAAGTCGAGCCACCGGTCGTGTTGAATGGGGAACGGGGAATGGCTCTGGAGTCAATGCAGGGGAATCGGGCCTCATCTCGAGTTGATTTGGGGCACATGGAGCTGCTTTGCGTTGCTGGGGTGACCTCAGGGTCCGTCTAGACTGGTGACAGTGTTCTTGGGGACTGTCTCGAGATCCATTAAGCAAGTCGAAGCTCCTGACTTGTTTGAATGGGATCACGGAATAGCTCTGCATGCACTGCAGGGGAATGGGGCCTCATCTCGCCTCTAGGGGGAAGTCTCATGGTTTTTCTCGAGTTGCGGCGGGGACCTGGGGTATGTTCTCGACTTACGGCGGGGATGGCCCTTCAAAACACGAGTTTCTTCAGTGACGTCAGGACTCCTGTCTAGTAACGAGGGACACCTCAGGAATCTCTTCGAGGCTTGGCAGGGCCAAAGGGACGCTTCTCGAGGTGAGGCAGGGCACCCAAGGACCCTTTCCAGTAGCCACAGGGATTTTGGGATTCCTATCAGTATTCAAGAGGAGTCAGGCATCGTCACCTTTTGAAGCAATGAACTCCGCGTGTCTCTCGAGGTGTCAGCGGGATGTGAGGGATTCCGTCAAAATGAGGCAGGGACCTAGGGCTTTCTCTAAGGTCTCCACAGGGGATTCAGACATCCCTTCATGTTGTGAGATGAAAGACGAGCCTGTATTCAAGCCACTGCAAGGAAATCCGGCCTCCTTTCAAGTTAGGGCTTCTCGCTGTATATTCCCCTTGAGGCAGCAAACTCGGGGTCCCTCCCACATACCTATTGCTGAGAGAAGCCTCCTCCGGAGGTGCTTCTGGGAATTTGGCATACGTCTTGAGCCTAAGCCAGGGAATCAGCTCGCATCTCGAGACGATTTGGGGTACACGGAGCATTCCTCGAGTTGCTGTGCTGAAGTTGGTGTTCCTCTAGACTTGGGACAGTGTTCTCGGGGCATCTCTGGAGTTGCCTGAAGGAAGTCGAGCCAGCGGTCGTGTTGAATGGGGAACGGGGAATGGCTCTGGAGTCAATGCAGGGGAATCGGGCCTCATCTCGAGTTGATTTGGGGCACATGGAGCTGCTTTGCGTTGCTGGGGTGACCTCAGGGTCCGTCTAGACTGGTGACAGTGTTCTTGGGGACTGTCTCGAGATCCATTAAGCAAGCCGAAGCTCCTGACTTGTTTGAATGGGATCACGGAATAGCTCTGCATGCACTGCAGGGGAATGGGGCCTCATCTCGCCTCTAGGGGGAAGTCTCATGGTTTTTCTCGAGTTGCGGCGGGGACCTGGGGTATGTTCTCGACTTACGGCGGGGATGGCCCTTCAAAACACGAGTTTCTTCAGTGACGTCAGGACTCCTGTCTAGTAACGAGGGACACCTCAGGAATCTCTTCGAGGCTTGGCAGGGCCAAAGGGACGCTTCTCGAGGTGAGGCAGGGCACCCAAGGACCCTTTCCAGTAGCCACAGGGATTTTGGGATTCCTATCAGTATTCAAGAGGAGTCAGGCATCGTCACCTTTTGAAGCAATGAACTCCGCGTGCCTCTCGAGGTGTCAGCGGGATGTGAGGGATTCCGTCAAAATGAGGCAGGGACCTAGGGCTTTCTCTAAGGTCTCCACAGGGGATTCAGACATCCCTTCATGTTGTGAGATGAAAGACGAGCCTGTATTCAAGCCACTGCAAGGAAATCCGGCCTCCTTTCAAGTTAGGGCTTCTCGCTGTATATTCCCCGTGAGGCAGCAAACTCGGGGTCCCTCCCACATACCTATTGCTGAGAGAAGCCTCCTCCGGAGGTGCTTCTGGGAATTTGGCATACGTCTTGAGCCTAAGCCAGGGAATCAGCTCGCATCTCGAGACGATTTGGGGTACACGGAGCATTCCTCGAGTTGCTGTGCTGAAGTTGGTGTTCCTCTAGACTTGGGACAGTGTTCTCGGGGCATCTCTGGAGTTGCCTGAAGGAAGTCGAGCCAGCGGTCGTGTTGAATGGGGAACGGGGAATGGCTCTGGAGTCAATGCAGGGGAATCGGGCCTCATCTCGAGTTGATTTGGGGCACATGGAGCTGCTTTGCGTTGCTGGGGTGACCTCAGGGTCCGTCTAGACTGGTGACAGTGTTCTTGGGGACTGTCTCGAGATCCATTAAGCAAGCCGAAGCTCCTGACTTGTTTGAATGGGATCACGGAATAGCTCTGCATGCACTGCAGGGGAATGGGGCCTCATCTCGCCTCTAGGGGGAAGTCTCATGGTTTTTCTCGAGTTGCGGCGGGGACCTGGGGTATGTTCTCGACTTACGGCGGGGATGGCCCTTCAAAACACGAGTTTCTTCAGTGACGTCAGGACTCCTGTCTAGTAACGAGGGACACCTCAGGAATCTCTTCGAGGCTTGGCAGGGCCAAAGGGACGCTTCTCGAGGTGAGGCAGGGCACCCAAGGACCCTTTCCAGTAGCCACAGGGATTTTGGGATTCCTATCAGTATTCAAGAGGAGTCAGGCATCGTCACCTTTTGAAGCAATGAACTCCGCGTGCCTCTCGAGGTGTCAGCGGGATGTGAGGGATTCCGTCAAAATGAGGCAGGGACCTAGGGCTTTCTCTAAGGTCTCCACAGGGGATTCAGACATCCCTTCATGTTGTGAGATGAAAGACGAGCCTGTATTCAAGCCACTGCAAGGAAATCCGGCCTCCTTTCAAGTTAGGGCTTCTCGCTGTATATTCCCCGTGAGGCAGCAAACTCGGGGTCCCTCCCACATACCTATTGCTGAGAGAAGCCTCCTCCGGAGGTGCTTCTGGGAATTTGGCATACGTCTTGAGCCTAAGCCAGGGAATCAGCTCGCATCTCGAGACGATTTGGGGTACACGGATCATTCCTCGAGATGCTGTGCTGAAGTTGGTGTTCCTCTAGACTTGGGACAGTGTTCTCGGGGCATCTCTGGAGTTGCCTGAAGGAAGTCGAGCCAGCGGTCGTGTTGAATGGGGAACGGGGAATGGCTCTGGAGTCAATGCAGGGGAATCGGGCCTCATCTCGAGTTGATTTGGGGCACATGGAGCTGCTTTGCGTTGCTGGGGTGACCTCAGGGTCCGTCTAGACTGGTGACAGTGTTCTTGGGGACTGTCTCGAGATCCATTAAGCAAGCCGAAGCTCCTGACTTGTTTGAATGGGATCACGGAATAGCTCTGCATGCACTGCAGGGGAATGGGGCCTCATCTCGCCTCTAGGGGGAAGTCTCATGGTTTTTCTCGAGTTGCGGAGGGGACCTGGGGTATGTTCTCGACTTACGGCAGGGATGGCCCTTCAAAACACGAGTTTCTCAGTGACGTCAGGACTCCTATCTAGTAACGAGGGACACCTCAGGAATCTCTTCGAGGCTTGGCAGGGCCAAAGGGACGCTTCTCGAGGTGAGGCAGGGCACCCAAGGACCCTTTCCAGAAGCCACAGGGATTTTGGGATTCCTATCAGTATTCAAGAGGAGTCAGGCATCGTCACCTTTTGAAGCAATGAACTCCGCGTGCCTCTCGAGGTGTCAGCGGGATGTGAGGGATTCCGTCAAAATGAGGCAGGGATCTAGGGCTTTCTCTAAGGTCTCCACAGGGGATTCAGACATCCCTTCATGTTGTGAGATGAAAGACGAGCCTGTATTCAAGCCACTGCAAGGAAATCCGGCCTCCTTTCAAGTTAGGGCTTCTCACTGTATATTCCCCTTGAGGCAGCAAACTCGGGGTCCCTCCCACATACCTATTGCTGAGAGAAGCCTCCTCCTGAGGTGCTTCTGGGAATTTGGCATACGTCTTGAGCCTAAGCCAGGGAATCAGCTCGCATCTCGAGACGATTTGGGGTACACGGAGCATTCCTCGAGTTGCTGTGCTGAAGTTGGTGTTCCTCTAGACTTGGGACAGTGTTCTCGGGGCATCTCTGGAGTTGCCTGAAGGAAGTCGAGCCAGCGGTTGTGTTGAATGGGGAACGGGGAATGGCTCTGGAGTCAATGCAGGGGAATCGGGCCTCATCTCGAGTTGATTTGGGGCACATGGAGCTGCTTTGCGTTGCTGGGGTGACCTCAGGGTCCGTCTAGACTGGTGACAGTGTTCTTGGGGACTGTCTCGAGATCCATTAAGCAAGCCGAAGCTCCTGACTTGTTTGAATGGGATCACGGAATAGCTCTGCATGCACTGCAGGGGAATGGGGCCTCATCTCGCCTCTAGGGGGAAGTCTCATGGTTTTTCTCGAGTTGCGGCGGGGACCTGGGGTATGTTCTCGACTTACGGCGGGGATGGCCCTTCAAAACACGAGTTTCTTCAGTGACGTCAGGACTCCTGTCTAGTAACGAGGGACACCTCAGGAATCTCTTCGAGGCTTGGCAGGGCCAAAGGGACGCTTCTCGAGGTGAGGCAGGGCACCCAAGGACCCTTTCCAGTAGCCACAGGGATTTTGGGATTCCTATCAGTATTCAAGAGGAGTCAGGCATCGTCACCTTTTGAAGCAATGAACTCCGCGTGCCTCTCGAGGTGTCAGCGGGATGTGAGGCATTGCGTCAAAATGAGGCAGGGACCTAGGGCTTTCTCTAAGGTCTCCACAGCGGATTCAGACATCCCTTCATGTTGTGAGATGAAAGACGAGCCTGTATTCAAGCCACTGCAAGGAAATCCGGCCTCCTTTCAAGTTAGGGCTTCTCGCTGTATATTCCCCTTGAGGCAGCAAACTCGGGGTCCCTCCCACATACCTATTGCTGAGAGAAGCCTCCTCCTGAGGTGCTTCTGGGAATTTGGCATACGTCTTGAGCCTAAGCCAGGGAATCAGCTCGCATCTCGAGACGATTTGGGGTACACGGAGCATTCCTCGAGTTGCTGTGCTGAAGTTGGTGTTCCTCTAGACTTGGGACAGTGTTCTCGGGGCATCTCTGGAGTTGCCTGAAGGAAGTCGAGCCAGCGGTTGTGTTGAATGGGGAACGGGGAATGGCTCTGGAGTCAATGCAGGGGAATCGGGCCTCATCTCGAGTTGATTTGGGGCACATGGAGCTGCTTTGCGTTGCTGGGGTGACCTCAGGGTCCGTCTAGACTGGTGACAGTGTTCTTGGGGACTGTCTCGAGATCCATTAAGCAACCCGAAGCTCCTGACTTGTTTGAATGGGATCACGGAATAGCTCTGCATGCACTGCAGGGGAATGGGGCCTCATCTCGCCTCTAGGGGGAAGTCTCATGGTTTTTCTCGAGTTGCGGCGGGGACCTGGGGTATGTTCTCGACTTACGGCGGGGATGGCCCTTCAAAACACGAGTTTCTTCAGTGACGTCAGGACTCCTGTCTAGTAACGAGGGACACCTCAGGAATCTCTTCGAGGCTTGGCAGGGCCAAAGGGACGCTTCTCGAGGTGAGGCAGGGCACCCAAGGACCCTTTCCAGTAGCCACAGGGATTTTGGGATTCCTATCAGTATTCAAGAGGAGTCAGGCATCGTCACCTTTTGAAGCAATGAACTCCGCGTGCCTCTCGAGGTGTCAGCGGGATGTGAGGCATTGCGTCAAAATGAGGCAGGGACCTAGGGCTTTCTCTAAGGTCTCCACAGCGGATTCAGACATCCCTTCATGTTGTGAGATGAAAGACGAGCCTGTATTCAAGCCACTGCAAGGAAATCCGGCCTCCTTTCAAGTTAGGGCTTCTCGCTGTATATTCCCCTTGAGGCAGCAAACTCGGGGTCCCTCCCACATACCTATTGCTGAGAGAAGCCTCCTCCTGAGGTGCTTCTGGGAAGTTGGCATACGTCTTGAGCCTAAGCCAGGGAATCAGCTCGCATCTCGAGACGATTTGGGGTACACGGAGCATTCCTCGAGTTGCTGTGCTGAAGTTGGTGTTCCTCTAGACTTGGGACAGTGTTCTCGGGGCATCTCTGGAGTTGCCTGAAGGAAGTCGAGCCAGCGGTCGTGTTGAATGGGGAACGGGGAATGGCTCTGGAGTCAATGCAGGGGAATCGGGCCTCATCTCGAGTTGATTTGGGGCACATGGAGCTGCTTTGCGTTGCTGGGGTGACCTCAGGGTCCGTCTAGACTGGTGACAGTGTTCTTGGGGACTGTCTCGAGATCCATTAAGCAAGCCGAAGCTCCTGACTTGTTTGAATGGGATCACGGAATAGCTCTGCATGCACTGCAGGGGAATGGGGCCTCATCTCGCCTCTAGGGGGAAGTCTCATGGTTTTTCTCGAGTTGCGGCGGGGACCTGGGGTATGTTCTCGACTTACGGCGGGGATGGCCCTTCAAAACACGAGTTTCTTCAGTGACGTCAGGACTCCTGTCTAGTAACGAGGGACACCTCAGGAATCTCTTCGAAGCTTGGCAGGGCCAAAGGGACGCTTCTCGAGGTGAGGCAGGGCACCCAAGGACCCTTTCCAGTAGCCACCGGGATTTTGGGATTCCTATCAGTATTCAAGAGGAGTCAGGCATCGTCACCTTTTGAAGCAATGAACTCCGCGTGCCTCTCGAGGTGTCAGCGGGATGTGAGGCATTCCGTCAAAATGAGGCAGGGACCTAGGGCTTTCTCTAAGGTCTCCACAGGGGATTCAGACATCCCTTCATGTTGTGAGATGAAAGACGAGCCTGTATTCAAGCCACTGCAAGGAAATCCGGCCTCCTTTCAAGTTAGGGCTTCTCGCTGTATATTCCCCTTGAGGCAGCAAACTCGGGGTCCCTCCCACATACCTATTGCTGAGAGAAGCCTCCTCCTGAGGTGCTTCTGGGAAGTTGGCATACGTCTTGAGCCTAAGCCAGGGAATCAGCTCGCATCTCGAGACGATTTGGGGTACACGGAGCATTCCTCGAGTTGCTGTGCTGAAGTTGGTGTTCCTCTAGACTTGGGACAGTGTTCTCGGGGCATCTCTGGAGTTGCCTGAAGGAAGTCGAGCCAGCGGTCGTGTTGAATGGGGAACGGGGAATGGCTCTGGAGTCAATGCAGGGGAATCGGGCCTCATCTCGAGTTGATTTGGGGCACATGGAGCTGCTTTGCGTTGCTGGGGTGACCTCAGGGTCCGTCTAGACTGGTGACAGTGTTCTTGGGGACTGTCTCGAGATCCATTAAGCAAGCCGAAGCTCCTGACTTGTTTGAATGGGATCACGGAATAGCTCTGCATGCACTGCAGGGGAATGGGGCCTCATCTCGCCTCTAGGGGGAAGTCTCATGGTTTTTCTCGAGTTGCGGCGGGGACCTGGGGTATGTTCTCGACTTACGGCGGGGATGGCCCTTCAAAACACGAGTTTCTTCAATGACGTCAGGACTCCTGTCTAGTAACGAGGGACACCTCAGGAATCTCTTCGAGGCTTGGCAGGGCCAAAGGGACGCTTCTCGAGGTGAGGCAGGGCACCCAAGGACCCTTTCCAGTAGCCACAGGGATTTTGGGATTCCTATCAGTATTCAAGAGGAGTCAGGCATCGTCACCTTTTGAAGCAATGAACTCCGCGTGCCTCTCGAGGTGTCAGCGGGATGTGAGGCATTGCGTCAAAATGAGGCAGGGACCTAGGGCTTTCTCTAAGGTCTCCACAGCCGATTCAGACATCCCTTCATGTTGTGAGATGAAAGACGAGCCTGTATTCAAGCCACTGCAAGGAAATCCAGCCTCCTTTCAAGTTAGCGCTTCTCGCTGTATATTCCCCTTGAGGCAGCAAACTCGGGGTCCCTCCCACATACCTATTGCTGAGAGAAGCCTCCTCCTGAGGTGCTTCTGGGAAGTTGGCATACGTCTTGAGCCTAAGCCAGGGAATCAGCTCGCATCTCGAGACGATTTGGGGTACACGGAGCATTCCTCGAGTTGCTGTGCTGAAGTTGGTGTTCCTCTAGACTTGGGACAGTGTTCTCGGGGCATCTCTGGAGTTGCCTGAAGGAAGTCGAGCCACCGGTCGTGTTGAATGGGGAACGGGGAATGGCTCTGGAGTCAATGCAGGGGAATCGGGCCTCATCTCGAGTTGATTTGGGGCACATGGAGCTGCTTTGCGTTGCTGGGGTGACCTCAGGGTCCGTCTAGACTGGTGACAGTGTTCTTGGGGACTGTCTCGAGATCCATTAAGCAAGTCGAAGCTCCTGACTTGTTTGAATGGGATCACGGAATAGCTCTGCATGCACTGCAGGGGAATGGGGCCTCATCTCGCCTCTAGGGGGAAGTCTCATGGTTTTTCTCGAGTTGCGGCGGGGACCTGGGGTATGTTCTCGACTTACGGCGGGGATGGCCCTTCAAAACACGAGTTTCTTCAGTGACGTCAGGACTCCTGTCTAGTAACGAGGGACACCTCAGGAATCTCTTCGAGGCTTGGCAGGGCCAAAGGGACGCTTCTCGAGGTGAGGCAGGGCACCCAAGGACCCTTTCCAGTAGCCACAGGGATTTTGGGATTCCTATCAGTATTCAAGAGGAGTCAGGCATCGTCACCTTTTGAAGCAATGAACTCCGCGTGCCTCTCGAGGTGTCAGCGGGATGTGAGGGATTCCGTCAAAATGAGGCAGGGACCTAGGGCTTTCTCTAAGGTCTCCACAGGGGATTCAGACATCCCTTCATGTTGTGAGATGAAAGACGAGCCTGTATTCAAGCCACTGCAAGGAAATCCGGCCTCCTTTCAAGTTAGGGCTTCTCGCTGTATATTCCCCGTGAGGCAGCAAACTCGGGGTCCCTCCCACATACCTATTGCTGAGAGAAGCCTCCTCCGGAGGTGCTTCTGGGAATTTGGCATACGTCTTGAGCCTAAGCCAGGGAATCAGCTCGCATCTCGAGACGATTTGGGGTACACGGAGCATTCCTCGAGTTGCTGTGCTGAAGTTGGTGTTCCTCTAGACTTGGGACAGTGTTCTCGGGGCATCTCTGGAGTTGCCTGAAGGAAGTCGAGCCAGCGGTCGTGTTGAATGGGGAACGGGGAATGGCTCTGGAGTCAATGCAGGGGAATCGGGCCTCATCTCGAGTTGATTTGGGGCACATGGAGCTGCTTTGCGTTGCTGGGGTGACCTCAGGGTCCGTCTAGACTGGTGACAGTGTTCTTGGGGACTGTCTCGAGATCCATTAAGCAAGTCGAAGCTCCTGACTTGTTTGAATGGGATCACGGAATAGCTCTGCATGCACTGCAGGGGAATGGGGCCTCATCTCGCCTCTAGGGGGAAGTCTCATGGTTTTTCTCGAGTTGCGGCGGGGACCTGGGGTATGTTCTCGACTTACGGCGGGGATGGCCCTTCAAAACACGAGTTTCTTCAGTGACGTCAGGACTCCTGTCTAGTAACGAGGGACACCTCAGGAATCTCTTCGAGGCTTGGCAGGGCCAAAGGGACGCTTCTCGAGGTGAGGCAGGGCACCCAAGGACCCTTTCCAGTAGCCACAGGGATTTTGGGATTCCTATCAGTATTCAAGAGGAGTCAGGCATCGTCACCTTTTGAAGCAATGAACTCCGCGTGCCTCTCGAGGTGTCAGCGGGATGTGAGGGATTCCGTCAAAATGAGGCAGGGACCTAGGGCTTTCTCTAAGGTCTCCACAGGGGATTCAGACATCCCTTCATGTTGTGAGATGAAAGACGAGCCTGTATTCAAGCCACTGCAAGGAAATCCGGCCTCCTTTCAAGTTAGGGCTTCTCGCTGTATATTCCCCTTGAGGCAGCAAACTCGGGGTCCCTCCCACATACCTATTGCTGAGAGAAGCCTCCTCCGGAGGTGCTTCTGGGAATTTGGCATACGTCTTGAGCCTAAGCCAGGGAATCAGCTCGCATCTCGAGACGATTTGGGGTACACGGAGCATTCCTCGAGTTGCTGTGCTGAAGTTGGTGTTCCTCTAGACTTGGGACAGTGTTCTCGGGGCATCTCTGGAGTTGCCTGAAGGAAGTCGAGCCAGCGGTCGTGTTGAATGGGGAACGGGGAATGGCTCTGGAGTCAATGCAGGGGAATCGGGCCTCATCTCGAGTTGATTTGGGGCACATGGAGCTGCTTTGCGTTGCTGGGGTGACCTCAGGGTCCGTCTAGACTGGTGACAGTGTTCTTGGGGACTGTCTCGAGATCCATTAAGCAAGCCGAAGCTCCTGACTTGTTTGAATGGGATCACGGAATAGCTCTGCATGCACTGCAGGGGAATGGGGCCTCATCTCGCCTCTAGGGGGAAGTCTCATGGTTTTTCTCGAGTTGCGGCGGGGACCTGGGGTATGTTCTCGACTTACGGCGGGGATGGCCCTTCAAAACACGAGTTTCTTCAGTGACGTCAGGACTCCTGTCTAGTAACGAGGGACACCTCAGGAATCTCTTCGAGGCTTGGCAGGGCCAAAGGGACGCTTCTCGAGGTGAGGCAGGGCACCCAAGGACCCTTTCCAGTAGCCACAGGGATTTTGGGATTCCTATCAGTATTCAAGAGGAGTTAGGCATCGTCACCTTTTGAAGCAATGAACTCCGCGTGCCTCTCGAGGTGTCAGCGGGATGTGAGGGATTCCGTCAAAATGAGGCAGGGACCTAGGGCTTTCTCTAAGGTCTCCACAGGGGATTCAGACATCCCTTCATGTTGTGAGATGAAAGACGAGCCTGTATTCAAGCCACTGCAAGGAAATCCGGCCTCCTTTCAAGTTAGGGCTTCTCGCTGTATATTCCCCGTGAGGCAGCAAACTCGGGGTCCCTCCCACATACCTATTGCTGAGAGAAGCCTCCTCCGGAGGTGCTTCTGGGAATTTGGCATACGTCTTGAGCCTAAGCCAGGGAATCAGCTCGCATCTCGAGACGATTTGGGGTACACGGAGCATTCCTCGAGTTGCTGTGCTGAAGTTGGTGTTCCTCTAGACTTGGGACAGTGTTCTCGGGGCATCTCTGGAGTTGCCTGAAGGAAGTCGAGCCAGCGGTCGTGTTGAATGGGGAACGGGGAATGGCTCTGGAGTCAATGCAGGGGAATCGGGCCTCATCTCGAGTTGATTTGGGGCACATGGAGCTGCTTTGCGTTGCTGGGGTGACCTCAGGGTCCGTCTAGACTGGTGACAGTGTTCTTGGGGACTGTCTCGAGATCCATTAAGCAAGCCGAAGCTCCTGACTTGTTTGAATGGGATCACGGAATAGCTCTGCATGCACTGCAGGGGAATGGGGCCTCATCTCGCCTCTAGGGGGAAGTCTCATGGTTTTTCTCGAGTTGCGGCGGGGACCTGGGGTATGTTCTCGACTTACGGCGGGGATGGCCCTTCAAAACACGAGTTTCTTCAGTGACGTCAGGACTCCTGTCTAGTAACGAGGGACACCTCAGGAATCTCTTCGAGGCTTGGCAGGGCCAAAGGGACGCTTCTCGAGGTGAGGCAGGGCACCCAAGGACCCTTTCCAGTAGCCACAGGGATTTTGGGATTCCTATCAGTATTCAAGAGGAGTCAGGCATCGTCACCTTTTGAAGCAATGAACTCCGCGTGCCTCTCGAGGTGTCAGCGGGATGTGAGGCATTCCGTCAAAATGAGGCAGGGACCTAGGGCTTTCTCTAAGGTCTCCACAGGGGATTCAGACATCCCTTCATGTTGTGAGATGAAAGACGAGCCTGTATTCAAGCCACTGCAAGGAAATCCGGCCTCCTTTCAAGTTAGGGCTTCTCGCTGTATATTCCCCTTGAGGCAGCAAACTCGGGGTCCCTCCCACATACCTATTGCTGAGAGAAGCCTCCTCCTGAGGTGCTTCTGGGAAGTTGGCATACGTCTTGAGCCTAAGCCAGGGAATCAGCTCGCATCTCAAGACGATTTGGGGTACACGGAGCATTCCTCGAGTTGCTGTGCTGAAGTTTGTGTTCCTCTAGATTTGGGACAGTGTTCTCGGGGCATCTCTGGAGTTGCCTGAAGGAAGTCGAGCCACCGGTCGTGTTGAATGGGGAACGGGGAATGGCTCTGGAGTCAATGCAGGGGAATCGGGCCTCATCTCGAGTTGATTTGGGGCACATGGAGCTGCTTTGCGTTGCTGGGGTGACCTCAGGGTCCGTCTAGACTGGTGACAGTGTTCTTGGGGACTGTCTCGAGATCCATTAAGCAAGTCGAAGCTCCTGACTTGTTTGAATGGGATCACGGAATAGCTCTGCATGCACTGCAGGGGAATGGGGCCTCATCTCGCCTCTAGGGGGAAGTCTCATGGTTTTTCTCGAGTTGCGGCGGGGACCTGGGGTATGTTCTCGACTTACGGCGGGGATGGCCCTTCAAAACACGAGTTTCTTCAGTGACGTCAGGACTCCTGTCTAGTAACGAGGGACACCTCAGGAATCTCTTCGAGGCTTGGCAGGGCCAAAGGGACGCTTCTCGAGGTGAGGCAGGGCACCCAAGGACCCTTTCCAGAAGCCACAGGGATTTTGGGATTCCTATCAGTATTCAAGAGGAGTCAGGCATCGTCACCTTTTGAAGCAATGAACTCCGCGTGCCTCTCGAGGTGTCAGCGGGATGTGAGGGATTCCGTCAAAATGAGGCAGGGACCTAGGGCTTTCTCTAAGGTCTCCACAGGGGATTCAGACATCCCTTCATGTTGTGAGATGAAAGACGAGCCTGTATTCAAGCCACTGCAAGGAAATCCGGCCTCCTTTCAAGTTAGGGCTTCTCGCTGTATATTCCCCTTGAGGCAGCAAACTCGGGGTCCCTCCCACATACCTATTGCTGAGAGAAGCCTCCTCCTGAGGTGCTTCTGGGAAGTTGGCATACGTCTTGAGCCTAAGCCAGGGAATCAGCTCGCATCTCGAGACGATTTGGGGTACACGGAGCATTCCTCGAGTTGCTGTGCTGAAGTTGGTGTTCCTCTAGACTTGGGACAGTGTTCTCGGGGCATCTCTGGAGTTGCCTGAAGGAAGTCGAGCCACCGGTCGTGTTGAATGGGGAACGGGGAATGGCTCTGGAGTCAATGCAGGGGAATCGGGCCTCATCTCGAGTTGATTTGGGGCACATGGAGCTGCTTTGCGTTGCTGGGGTGACCTCAGGGTCCGTCTAGACTGGTGACAGTGTTCTTGGGGACTGTCTCGAGATCCATTAAGCAAGTCGAAGCTCCTGACTTGTTTGAATGGGATCACGGAATAGCTCTGCATGCACTGCAGGGGAATGGGGCCTCATCTCGCCTCTAGGGGGAAGTCTCATGGTTTTTCTCGAGTTGCGGCGGGGACCTGGGGTATGTTCTCGACTTACGGCGGGGATGGCCCTTCAAAACACGAGTTTCTTCAGTGACGTCAGGACTCCTGTCTAGTAACGAGGGACACCTCAGGAATCTCTTCGAGGCTTGGCAGGGCCAAAGGGACGCTTCTCGAGGTGAGGCAGGGCACCCAAGGACCCTTTCCAGAAGCCACAGGGATTTTGGGATTCCTATCAGTATTCAAGAGGAGTCAGGCATCGTCACCTTTTGAAGCAATGAACTCCGCGTGCCTCTCGAGGTGTCAGCGGGATATGAGGGATTCCGTCAAAATGAGACAGGGATCTAGGGCTTTCTCTAAGGTCTCCACAGGGGATTCAGACATCCCTTCATGTTGTGAGATGAAAGACGAGCCTGTATTCAAGCCACTGCAAGGAAATCCGGCCTCCTTTCAAGTTAGGGCTTCTCACTGTATATTCCCCTTGAGGCAGCAAACTCGGGGTCCCTCCCACATACCTATTGCTGAGAGAAGCCTCCTCCTGAGGTGCTTCTGGGAATTTGGCATACGTCTTGAGCCTAAGCCAGGGAATCAGCTCGCATCTCGAGACGATTTGGGGTACACGGAGCATTCCTCGAGTTGCTGTGCTGAAGTTGGTGTTCCTCTAGACTTGGGACAGTGTTCTCGGGGCATCTCTGGAGTTGCCTGAAGGAAGTCGAGCCAGCGGTTGTGTTGAATGGGGAACGGGGAATGGCTCTGGAGTCAATGCAGGGGAATCGGGCCTCATCTCGAGTTGATTTGGGGCACATGGAGCTGCTTTGCGTTGCTGGGGTGACCTCAGGGTCCGTCTAGACTGGTGACAGTGTTCTTGGGGACTGTCTCGAGATCCATTAAGCAAGCCGAAGCTCCTGACTTGTTTGAATGGGATCACGGAATAGCTCTGCATGCACTGCAGGGGAATGGGGCCTCATCTCGCCTCTAGGGGGAAGTCTCATGGTTTTTCTCGAGTTGCGGCGGGGACCTGGGGTATGTTCTCGACTTACGGCGGGGATGGCCCTTCAAAACACGAGTTTCTTCAGTGACGTCAGGACTCCTGTCTAGTAACGAGGGACACCTCAGGAATCTCTTCGAGGCTTGGCAGGGCCAAAGGGACGCTTCTCGAGGTGAGGCAGGGCACCCAAGGACCCTTTCCAGTAGCCACCGGGATTTTGGGATTCCTATCAGTATTCAAGAGGAGTCAGGCATCGTCACCTTTTGAAGCAATGAACTCTGCGTGCCTCTCGAGGTGTCAGCGGGATGTGAGGCATTCCGTCAAAATGAGGCAGGGACCTAGGGCTTTCTCTAAGGTCTCCACAGGGGATTCAGACATCCCTTCATGTTGTGAGATGAAAGACGAGCCTGTATTCAAGCCACTGCAAGGAAATCCGGCCTCCTTTCAAGTTAGGGCTTCTCGCTGTATATTCCCCTTGAGGCAGCAAACTCGGGGTCCCTCCCACATACCTATTGCTGAGAGAAGCCTCCTCCTGAGGTGCTTCTGGGAAGTTGGCATACGTCTTGAGCCTAAGCCAGGGAATCAGCTCGCATCTCGAGACGATTTGGGGTACACGGAGCATTCCTCGAGTTGCTGTGCTGAAGTTGGTGTTCCTCTAGACTTGGGACAGTGTTCTCGGGGCATCTCTGGAGTTGCCTGAAGGAAGTCGAGCCAGCGGTCGTGTTGAATGGGGAACGGGGAATGGCTCTGGAGTCAATGCAGGGGAATCGGGCCTCATCTTGAGTTGATTTGGGGCACATGGAGCTGCTTTGCGTTGCTGGGGTGACCTCAGGGTCCGTCTAGACTGGTGACAGTGTTCTTGGGGACTGTCTCGAGATCCATTAAGCAAGCTGAAGCTCCTGACTTGTTTGAATGGGATCACGGAATAGCTCTGCATGCACTGCAGGGGAATGGGGCCTCATCTCGCCTCTAGGGGGAAGTCTCATGGTTTTTCTCGAGTTGCGGCGGGGACCTGGGGTATGTTCTCGACTTACGGCGGGGATGGCCCTTCAAAACACGAGTTTCTTCAGTGACGTCAGGACTCCAGTCTAGTAACGAGGGACACCTCAGGAATCTCTTCGAGGCTTGGCAGGGCCAAAGGGACGCTTCTCGAGGTGAGGCAGGGCACCCAAGGACCCTTTCCAGTAGCCACAGGGATTTTGGGATTCCTATCAGTATTCAAGAGGAGTCAGGCATCGTCACCGTTTGAAGCAATGAACTCCGCGTGCCTCTCGAGGTGTCAGCGGGATGTGAGGCATTGCGTCAAAATGAGGCAGGGACCTAGGGCTTTCTCTAAGGTCTCCACAGCCGATTCAGACATCCCTTCATGTTGTGAGATGAAAGACGAGCCTGTATTCAAGCCACTGCAAGGAAATCCAGCCTCCTTTCAAGTTAGGGCTTCTCGCTGTATATTCCCCTTGAGGCAGCAAACTCGGGGTCCCTCCCACATACCTATTGCTGAGAGAAGCCTCCTCCTGAGGTGCTTCTGGGAAGTTGGCATACGTCTTGAGCCTAAGCCAGGGAATCAGCTCGCATCTCGAGACGATTTGGGGTACACGGAGCATTCCTCGAGTTGCTGTGCTGAAGTTGGTGTTCCTCTAGACTTGGGACAGTGTTCTCGGGGCATCTCTGGAGTTGCCTGAAGGAAGTCGAGCCACCGGTCGTGTTGAATGGGGAACGGGGAATGGCTCTGGAGTCAATGCAGGGGAATCGGGCCTCATCTCGAGTTGATTTGGGGCACATGGAGCTGCTTTGCGTTGCTGGGGTGACCTCAGGGTCCGTCTAGACTGGTGACAGTGTTCTTGGGGACTGTCTCGAGATCCATTAAGCAAGTCGAAGCTCCTGACTTGTTTGAATGGGATCACGGAATAGCTCTGCATGCACTGCAGGGGAATGGGGCCTCATCTCGCCTCTAGGGGGAAGTCTCATGGTTTTTCTCGAGTTGCGGCGGGGACCTGGGGTATGTTCTCGACTTACGGCGGGGATGGCCCTTCAAAACACGAGTTTCTTCAGTGACGTCAGGACTCCTGTCTAGTAACGAGGGACAACTCAGGAATCTCTTCGAGGCTTGGCAGGGCCAAAGGGACGCTTCTCGAGGTGAGGCAGGGCACCCAAGGACCCTTTCCAGTAGCCACCGGGATTTTGGGATTCCTATCAGTATTCAAGAGGAGTCAGGCATCGTCACCTTTTGAAGCAATGAACTCCGCGTGCCTCTCGAGGTGTCAGCGGGATGTGAGGCATTCCGTCAAAATGAGGCAGGGACCTAGGGCTTTCTCTAAGGTCTCCACAGGGGATTCAGACATCCCTTCATGTTGTGAGATGAAAGACGAGCCTGTATTCAAGCCACTGCAAGGAAATCCGGCCTCCTTTCAAGTTAGGGCTTCTCGCTGTATATTCCCCTTGAGGCAGCAAACTCGGGGTCCCTCCCACATACCTATTGCTGAGAGAAGCCTCCTCCTGAGGTGCTTCTGGGAAGTTGGCATACGTCTTGAGCCTAAGCCAGGGAATCAGCTCGCATCTCGAGACGATTTGGGGTACACGGAGCATTCCTCGAGTTGCTGTGCTGAAGTTGGTGTTCCTCTAGACTTGGGACAGTGTTCTCGGGGCATCTCTGGAGTTGCCTGAAGGAAGTCGAGCCAGCGGTCGTGTTGAATGGGGAACGGGGAATGGCTCTGGAGTCAATGCAGGGGAATCGGGCCTCATCTTGAGTTGATTTGGGGCACATGGAGCTGCTTTGCGTTGCTGGGGTGACCTCAGGGTCCGTCTAGACTGGTGACAGTGTTCTTGGGGACTGTCTCGAGATCCATTAAGCAAGCCGAAGCTCCTGACTTGTTTGAATGGGATCACGGAATAGCTCTGCATGCACTGCAGGGGAATGGGGCCTCATCTCGCCTCTAGGGGGAAGTCTCATGGTTTTTCTCGAGTTGCGGCGGGGACCTGGGGTATGTTCTCGACTTACGGCGGGGATGGCCCTTCAAAACACGAGTTTCTTCAATGACGTCAGGACTCCTGTCTAGTAACGAGGGACACCTCAGGAATCTCTTCGAGGCTTGGCAGGGCCAAAGGGACGCTTCTCGAGGTGAGGCAGGGCACCCAAGGACCCTTTCCAGTAGCCACAGGGATTTTGGGATTCCTATCAGTATTCAAGAGGAGTCAGGCATCGTCACCTTTTGAAGCAATGAACTCCGCGTGCCTCTCGAGGTGTCAGCGGGATGTGAGGCATTGCGTCAAAATGAGGCAGGGACCTAGGGCTTTCTCTAAGGTCTCCACAGCCGATTCAGACATCCCTTCATGTTGTGAGATGAAAGACGAGCCTGTATTCAAGCCACTGCAAGGAAATCCAGCCTCCTTTCAAGTTAGGGCTTCTCGCTGTATATTCCCCTTGAGGCAGCAAACTCGGGGTCCCTCCCACATACCTATTGCTGAGAGAAGCCTCCTCCTGAGGTGCTTCTGGGAAGTTGGCATACGTCTTGAGCCTAAGCCAGGGAATCAGCTCGCATCTCGAGACGATTTGGGGTACACGGAGCATTCCTCGAGTTGCTGTGCTGAAGTTGGTGTTCCTCTAGACTTGGGACAGTGTTCTCGGGGCATCTCTGGAGTTGCCTGAAGGAAGTCGAGCCACCGGTCGTGTTGAATGGGGAACGGGGAGTGGCTCTGGAGTCAATGCAGGGGAATCGGGCCTCATCTCGAGTTGATTTGGGGCACATGGAGCTGCTTTGCGTTGCTGGGGTGACCTCAGGGTCCGTCTAGACTGGTGACAGTGTTCTTGGGGACTGTCTCGAGATCCATTAAGCAAGTCGAAGCTCCTGACTTGTTTGAATGGGATCACGGAATAGCTCTGCATGCACTGCAGGGGAATGGGGCCTCATCTCGCCTCTAGGGGGAAGTCTCATGGTTTTTCTCGAGTTGCGGCGGGGACCTGGGGTATGTTCTCGACTTACGGCGGGGATGGCCCTTCAAAACACGAGTTTCTTCAGTGACGTCAGGACTCCTGTCTAGTAACGAGGGACACCTCAGGAATCTCTTCGAGGCTTGGCAGGGCCAAAGGGACGCTCTCGAGGTGAGGCAGGGCACCCAAGGACCCTTTCCAGTAGCCACAGGGATTTTGGGATTCCTATCAGTATTCAAGAGGAGTCAGGCATCGTCACCTTTTGAAGCAATGAACTCCGCGTGCCTCTCGAGGTGTCAGCGGGATGTGAGGGATTCCGTCAAAATGAGGCAGGGACCTAGGGCTTTCTCTAAGGTCTCCACAGGGGATTCAGACATCCCTTCATGTTGTGAGATGAAAGACGAGCCTGTATTCAAGCCACTGCAAGGAAATCCGGCCTCCTTTCAAGTTAGGGCTTCTCGCTGTATATTCCCCTTGAGGCAGCAAACTCGGGGTCCCTCCCACATACCTATTGCTGAGAGAAGCCTCCTCCGGAGGTGCTTCTGGGAATTTGGCATACGTCTTGAGCCTAAGCCAGGGAATCAGCTCGCATCTCGAGACGATTTGGGGTACACGGAGCATTCCTCGAGTTGCTGTGCTGAAGTTGGTGTTCCTCTAGACTTGGGACAGTGTTCTCGGGGCATCTCTGGAGTTGCCTGAAGGAAGTCGAGCCAGCGGTCGTGTTGAATGGGGAACGGGGAATGGCTCTGGAGTCAATGCAGGGGAATCGGGCCTCATCTCGAGTTGATTTGGGGCACATGGAGCTGCTTTGCGTTGCTGGGGTGACCTCAGGGTCCGTCTAGACTGGTGACAGTGTTCTTGGGGACTGTCTCGAGATCCATTAAGCAAGCCGAAGCTCCTGACTTGTTTGAATGGGATCACGGAATAGCTCTGCATGCACTGCAGGGGAATGGGGCCTCATCTCGCCTCTAGGGGGAAGTCTCATGGTTTTTCTCGAGTTGCGGCGGGGACCTGGGGTATGTTCTCGACTTACGGCGGGGATGGCCCTTCAAAACACGAGTTTCTTCAGTGACGTCAGGACTCCTGTCTAGTAACGAGGGACACCTCAGGAATCTCTTCGAGGCTTGGCAGGGCCAAAGGGACGCTTCTCGAGGTGAGGCAGGGCACCCAAGGACCCTTTCCAGTAGCCACAGGGATTTTGGGATTCCTATCAGTATTCAAGAGGAGTCAGGCATCGTCACCTTTTGAAGCAATGAACTCCGCGTGCCTCTCGAGGTGTCAGCGGGATGTGAGGCATTCCGTCAAAATGAGGCAGGGACCTAGGGCTTTCTCTAAGGTCTCCACAGGGGATTCAGACATCCCTTCATGTTGTGAGATGAAAGACGAGCCTGTATTCAAGCCACTGCAAGGAAATCCGGCCTCCTTTCAAGTTAGGGCTTCTCGCTGTATATTCCCCTTGAGGCAGCAAACTCGGGGTCCCTCCCACATACCTATTGCTGAGAGAAGCCTCCTCCTGAGGTGCTTCTGGGAAGTTGGCATACGTCTTGAGCCTAAGCCAGGGAATCAGCTCGCATCTCAAGACGATTTGGGGTACACGGAGCATTCCTCGAGTTGCTGTGCTGAAGTTGGTGTTCCTCTAGACTTGGGACAGTGTTCTCGGGGCATCTCTGGAGTTGCCTGAAGGAATTCGAGCCACCGGTCGTGTTGAATGGGGAACGGGGAATGGCTCTGGAGTCAATGCAGGGGAATCGGGCCTCATCTCGAGTTGATTTGGGGCACATGGAGCTGCTTTGCGTTGCTGGGGTGACCTCAGGGTCCGTCTAGACTGGTGACAGTGTTCTTGGGGACTGTCTCGAGATCCATTAAGCAAGTCGAAGCTCCTGACTTGTTTGAATGGGATCACGGAATAGCTCTGCATGCACTGCAGGGGAATGGGGCCTCATCTCGCCTCTAGGGGGAAGTCTCATGGTTTTTCTCGAGTTGCGGCGGGGACCTGGGGTATGTTCTCGACTTACGGCGGGGATGGCCCTTCAAAACACGAGTTTCTTCAGTGACGTCAGGACTCCTGTCTAGTAACGAGGGAAACCTCAGGAATCTCTTCGAGGCTTGGCAGGGCCAAAGGGACGCTTCTCGAGGTGAGGCAGGGCACCCAAGGACCCTTTCCAGTAGCCTCAGGGATTTTGGGATTCCTATCAGTATTCAAGAGGAGTCAGGCATCGTCACCTTTTGAAGCAATGAACTCCGCGTGCCTCTCGAGGTGTCAGCGGGATGTGAGGGATTCCGTCAAAATGAGGCAGGGACCTAGGGCTTTCTCTAAGGTCTCCACAGGGGATTCAGACATCCCTTCATGTTGTGAGATGAAATACGAGCCTGTATTCAAGCCACTGCAAGGAAATCCGGCCTCCTTTCAAGTTAGGGCTTCTCGCTGTATATTCCCCTTGAGGCAGCAAACTCGGGGTCCCTCCCACATACCTATTGCTGAGAGAAGCCTCCTCCGGAGGTGCTTCTGGGAATTTGGCATACGTCTTGAGCCTAAGCCAGGGAATCAGCTCGCATCTCGAGACGATTTGGGGTACACGGAGCATTCCTCGAGTTGCTGTGCTGAAGTTGGTGTTCCTCTAGACTTGGGACAGTGTTCTCGGGGCATCTCTGGAGTTGCCTGAAGGAAGTCGAGCCAGCGGTCGTGTTGAATGGGGAACGGGGAATGGCTCTGGAGTCAATGCAGGGGAATCGGGCCTCATCTCGAGTTGATTTGGGGCACATGGAGCTGCTTTGCGTTGCTGGGGTGACCTCAGGGTCCGTCTAGACTGGTGACAGTGTTCTTGGGGACTGTCTCGAGATCCATTAAGCAAGCCGAAGCTCCTGACTTGTTTGAATGGGATCACGGAATAGCTCTGCATGCACTGCAGGGGAATGGGGCCTCATCTCGCCTCTAGGGGGAAGTCTCATGGTTTTTCTCGAGTTGCGGCGGGGACCTGGGGTATGTTCTCGACTTACGGCGGGGATGGCCCTTCAAAACACGAGTTTCTTCAGTGACGTCAGGACTCCTGTCTAGTAACGAGGGACACCTCAGGAATCTCTTCGAGGCTTGGCAGGGCCAAAGGGACGCTTCTCGAGGTGAGGCAGGGCACCCAAGGACCCTTTCCAGTAGCCACAGGGATTTTGGGATTCCTATCAGTATTCAAGAGGAGTCAGGCATCGTCACCTTTTGAAGCAATGAACTCCGCGTGCCTCTCGAGGTGTCAGCGGGATGTGAGGCATTCCGTCAAAATGAGGCAGGGACCTAGGGCTTTCTCTAAGGTCTCCACAGGGGATTCAGACATCCCTTCATGTTGTGAGATGAAAGACGAGCCTGTATTCAAGCCACTGCAAGGAAATCCGGCCTCCTTTCAAGTTAGGGCTTCTCGCTGTATATTCCCCTTGAGGCAGCAAACTCGGGGTCCCTCCCACATACCTATTGCTGAGAGAAGCCTCCTCCTGAGGTGCTTCTGGGAAGTTGGCATACGTCTTGAGCCTAAGCCAGGGAATCAGCTCGCATCTCAAGACGATTTGGGGTACACGGAGCATTCCTCGAGTTGCTGTGCTGAAGTTGGTGTTCCTCTAGACTTGGGACAGTGTTCTCGGGGCATCTCTGGAGTTGCCTGAAGGAATTCGAGCCACCGGTCGTGTTGAATGGGGAACGGGGAATGGCTCTGGAGTCAATGCAGGGGAATCGGGCCTCATCTCGAGTTGATTTGGGGCACATGGAGCTGCTTTGCGTTGCTGGGGTGACCTCAGGGTCCGTCTAGACTGGTGACAGTGTTCTTGGGGACTGTCTCGAGATCCATTAAGCAAGTCGAAGCTCCTGACTTGTTTGAATGGGATCACGGAATAGCTCTGCATGCACTGCAGGGGAATGGGGCCTCATCTCGCCTCTAGGGGGAAGTCTCATGGTTTTTCTCGAGTTGCGGCGGGGACCTGGGGTATGTTCTCGACTTACGGCGGGGATGGCCCTTCAAAACACGAGTTTCTTCAGTGACGTCAGGACTCCTGTCTAGTAACGAGGGACACCTCAGGAATCTCTTCGAGGCTTGGCAGGGCCAAAGGGACGCTTCTCGAGGTGAGGCAGGGCACCCAAGGACCCTTTCCAGTAGCCACAGGGATTTTGGGATTCCTATCAGTATTCAAGAGGAGTCAGGCATCGTCACCTTTTGAAGCAATGAACTCCGCGTGCCTCTCGAGGTGTCAGCGGGATGTGAGGGATTCCGTCAAAATGAGGCAGGGACCTAGGGCTTTCTCTAAGGTCTCCAGAGGGGATTCAGACATCCCTTCATGTTGTGAGATGAAAGACGAGCCTGTATTCAAGCCACTGCAAGGAAATCCGGCCTCCTTTCCAGTTAGGGCTTCTCGCTGTATATTCCCCTAGAGGCAGCAAACTCGGGGTCCCTCCCACATACCTATTGCTGAGAGAAGCCTCCTCCGGAGGTGCTTCTGGGAAGTTGGCATACGTCTTGAGCCTAAGCCAGGGAATCAGCTCGCATCTCGAGACGATTTGGGGTACACGGAGCATTCCTCGAGTTGCTGTGCTGAAGTTGGTGTTCCTCTAGACTTGGGACAGTGTTCTCGGGGCATCTCTGGAGTTGCCTGAAGGAAGTCGAGCCAGCGGTCGTGTTGAATGGGGAACGGGGAATGGCTCTGGAGTCAATGCAGGGGAATCGGGCCTCATCTCGAGTTGATTTGGGGCACATGGAGCTGCTTTGCGTTGCTGGGGTGACCTCAGGGTCCGTCTAGACTGGTGACAGTGTTCTTGGGGACTGTCTCGAGATCCATTAAGCAAGCCGAAGCTCCTGACTTGTTTGAATGGGATCACGGAATAGCTCTGCATGCACTGCAGGGGAATGGGGCCTCATCTCGCCTCTAGGGGGAAGTCTCATGGTTTTTCTCGAGTTGCAGCGGGGACCTGGGGTATGTTCTCGACTTACGGCAGGGATGGCCCTTCAAAACACGAGTTTCTCAGTGACGTCAGGACTCCTATCTAGTAACGAGGGACACCTCAGGAATCTCTTCGAGGCTTGGCAGGGCCAAAGGGACGCTTCTCGAGGTGAGGCAGGGCACCCAAGGACCCTTTCCAGTAGCCACAGGGATTTTGGGATTCCTATCAGTATTCAAGAGGAGTCAGGCATCGTCACCTTTTGAAGCAATGAACTCCGCGTGCCTCTCGAGGTGTCAGCGGGATGTGAGGGATTCCGTCAAAATGAGGCAGGGACCTATGGCTTTCTCTAAGGTCTCCACAGGGGATTCAGACATCCCTTCATGTTGTGAGATGAAAGACGAGCCTGTATTCAAGCCACTGCAAGGAAATCCGGCCTCCTTTCAAGTTAGGGCTTCTCGCTGTATATTCCCCTTGAGGCAGCAAACTCGGGGTCCCTCCCACATACCTATTGCTGAGAGAAGCCTCCTCCTGAGGTGCTTCTGGGAAGTTGGCATACGTCTTGAGCCTAAGCCAGGGGATCAGCTCGCATCTCGAGACGATTTGGGGTACACGGAGCATTCCTCGAGTTGCTGTGCTGAAGTTGGTGTTCCTCTAGACTTGGGACAGTGTTCTCGGGGCATCTCTGGAGTTGCCTGAAGGAAGTCGAGCCACCGGTCGTGTTGAATGGGGAACGGGGAATGGCTCTGGAGTCAATGCAGGGGAATCGGGCCTCATCTCGAGTTGATTTGGGGCACATGGAGCTGCTTTGCGTTGCTGCGGTGACCTCAGGGTCCGTCTAGACTGGTGACAGTGTTCTTGGGGACTGTCTCGAGATCCATTAAGCAAGCCGAAGCTCCTGACTTGTTTGAATGGGATCACGGAATAGCTCTGCATGCACTGCAGGGGAATGGGGCCTCATCTCGCCTCTAGGGGGAAGTCTCATGGTTTTTCTCGAGTTGCGGCGGGGACCTGGGGTATGTTCTCGACTTACGGCGGGGATGGCCCTTCAAAACACGAGTTTCTTCAGTGACGTCAGGACTCCTGTCTAGTAACGAGGGACACCTCAGGAATCTCTTCGAGGCTTGGCAGGGCCAAAGGGACGCTTCTCGAGGTGAGGCAGGGCACCCAAGGACCCTTTCCAGTAGCCACAGGGATTTTGGGATTCCTATCAGTATTCAAGAGGAGTCAGGCATCGTCACCTTTTGAAGCAATGAACTCCGCGTGCCTCTCGAGGTGTCAGCGGGATGTGAGGGATTCCGTCAAAATGAGGCAGGGACCTAGGGCTTTCTCTAAGGTCTCCACAGGGGATTCAGACATCCCTTCATGTTGTGAGATGAAAGACGAGCCTGTATTCAAGCCACTGCAAGGAAATCCGGCCTCCTTTCAAGTTAGGGCTTCTCGCTGTATATTCCCCTTGAGGCAGCAAACTCGGGGTCCCTCCCACATACCTATTGCTGAGAGAAGCCTCCTCCGGAGGTGCTTCTGGGAATTTGGCATACGTCTTGAGCCTAAGCCAGGGAATCAGCTCGCATCTCGAGACGATTTGGGGTACACGGAGCATTCCTCGAGTTGCTGTGCTGAAGTTGGTGTTCCTCTAGACTTGGGACAGTGTTCTCGGGGCATCTCTGGAGTTGCCTGAAGGAAGTCGAGCCAGCGGTCGTGTTGAATGGGGAACGGGGAATGGCTCTGGAGTCAATGCAGGGGAATCGGGCCTCATCTCGAGTTGATTTGGGGCACATGGAGCTGCTTTGCGTTGCTGGGGTGACCTCAGGGTCCGTCTAGACTGGTGACAGTGTTCTTGGGGACTGTCTCGAGATCCATTAAGCAAGCCGAAGCTCCTGACTTGTTTGAATGGGATCACGGAATAGCTCTGCATGCACTGCAGGGGAATGGGGCCTCATCTCGCCTCTAGGGGGAAGTCTCATGGTTTTTCTCGAGTTGCGGCGGGGACCTGGGGTATGTTCTCGACTTACGGCGGGGATGGCCCTTCAAAACACGAGTTTCTTCAGTGACGTCAGGACTCCTGTCTAGTAACGAGGGACACCTCAGGAATCTCTTCGAGGCTTGGCAGGGCCAAAGGGACGCTTCTCGAGGTGAGGCAGGGCACCCAAGGACCCTTTCCAGTAGCCACAGGGATTTTGGGATTCCTATCAGTATTCAAGAGGAGTCAGGCATCGTCACCTTTTGAAGCAATGAACTCCGCGTGCCTCTCGAGGTGTCAGCGGGATGTGAGGCATTCCGTCAAAATGAGGCAGGGACCTAGGGCTTTCTCTAAGGTCTCCACAGGGGATTCAGACATCCCTTCATGTTGTGAGATGAAAGACGAGCCTGTATTCAAGCCACTGCAAGGAAATCCGGCCTCCTTTCAAGTTAGGGCTTCTCGCTGTATATTCCCCTTGAGGCAGCAAACTCGGGGTCCCTCCCACATACCTATTGCTGAGAGAAGCCTCCTCCTGAGGTGCTTCTGGGAAGTTGGCATACGTCTTGAGCCTAAGCCAGGGAATCAGCTCGCATCTCGAGACGATTTGGGGTACACGGAGCATTCCTCGAGTTGCTGTGCTGAAGTTGGTGTTCCTCTAGACTTGGGACAGTGTTCTCGGGGCATCTCTGGAGTTGCCTGAAGGAAGTCGAGCCACCGGTCGTGTTGAATGGGGAACGGGGAATGGCTCTGGAGTCAATGCAGGGGAATCGGGCCTCATCTCGAGTTGATTTGGGGCACATGGAGCTGCTTTGCGTTGCTGGGGTGACCTCAGGGTCCGTCTAGACTGGTGACAGTGTTCTTGGGGACTGTCTCGAGATCCATTAAGCAAGCCGAAGCTCCTGACTTGTTTGAATGGGATCACGGAATAGCTCTGCATGCACTGCAGGGGAATGGGGCCTCATCTCGCCTCTAGGGGGAAGTCTCATGGTTTTTCTCGAGTTGCGGCGGGGACCTGGGGTATGCTCTCGACTTACGGCGGGGATGGCCCTTCAAAACACGAGTTTCTTCAGTGACGTCAGGACTCCTGTCTAGTAACGAGGGACACCTCAGGAATCTCTTCGAGGCTTGGCAGGGCCAAAGGGACGCTTCTCGAGGTGAGGCAGGGCACCCAAGGACCCTTTCCAGAAGCCACAGGGATTTTGGGATTCCTATCAGTATTCAAGAAGAGTCAGGCATCGTCACCTTTTGAAGCAATGAACTCCGCGTGCCTCTCGAGGTGTCAGCGGGATGTGAGGCATTCCGTCAAAATGAGGCAGGGACCTAGGGCTTTCTCTAAGGTCTCCACAGGGGATTCAGACATCCCTTCATGTTGTGAGATGAAAGACGAGCCTGTATTCAAGCCACTGCAAGGAAATCCGGCCTCCTTTTAAGTTAGGGCTTCCGCTGTATATTCCCCTTGAGGCAGCAAACTCGGGGTCCCTCCCACATACCTATTGCTGAGAGAAGCCTCCTCCGGAGGTGCTTCTGGGAAGTTGGCATACGTCTTGAGCCTAAGCCAGGGAATCAGCTCGCATCTCGAGACGATTTGGGGTACACGGAGCATTCCTCGAGTTGCTGTGCTGAAGTTGGTGTTCCTCTAGACTTGGGACAGTGTTCTCGGGGCATCTCTGGAGTTGCCTGAAGGAAGTCGAGCCACCGGTCGTGTTGAATGGGGAACGGGGAATGGCTCTGGAGTCAATGCAGGGGAATCGGGCCTCATCTCGAGTTGATTTGGGGCACATGGAGCTGCTTTGCGTTGCTGGGGTGACCTCAGGGTCCGTCTAGACTGGTGACAGTGTTCTTGGGGACTGTCTCGAGATCCATTAAGCAAGCCGAAGCTCCTGACTTGTTTGAATGGGATCACGGAATAGCTCTGCATGCACTGCAGGGGAATGGGGCCTCATCTCGCCTCTAGGGGGAAGTCTCATGGTTTTTCTCGAGTTGCGGCGGGGACCTGGGGTATGTTCTCGACTTACGGCGGGGATGGCCCTTCAAAACACGAGTTTCTTCAGTGACGTCAGGACTCCTGTCTAGTAACGAGGGACACCTCAGGAATCTCTTCGAGGCTTGGCAGGGCCAAAGGGACGCTTCTCGAGGTGAGGCAGGGCACCCAAGGACCCTTTCCAGTAGCCACAGGGATTTTGGGATTCCTATCAGTATTCAAGAGGAGTCAGGCATCGTCACCTTTTGAAGCAATGAACTCCGCGTGCCTCTCGAGGTGTCAGCGGGATGTGAGGGATTCCGTCAAAATGAGGCAGGGACCTAGGGCTTTCTCTAAGGTCTCCACAGGGGATTCAGACATCCCTTCATGTTGTGAGATGAAAGACGAGCCTGTATTCAAGCCACTGCAAGGAAATCCGGCCTCCTTTCAAGTTAGGGCTTCTCGATGTATATTCCCCTTGAGGCAGCAAACTCGGGGTCCCTCCCACATACCTATTGCTGAGAGAAGCCTCCTCCGGAGGTGCTTCTGGGAATTTGGCATACGTCTTGAGCCTAAGCCAGGGAATCAGCTCGCATCTCGAGACGATTTGAGGTACACGGAGCATTCCTCGAGTTGCTGTGCTGAAGTTGGTGTTCCTCTAGACTTGGGACAGTGTTCTCGGGGCATCTCTGGAGTTGCCTGAAGGAAGTCGAGCCAGCGGTCGTGTTGAATGGGGAACGGGGAATGGCTCTGGAGTCAATGCAGGGGAATCGGGCCTCATCTCGAGTTGATTTGGGGCACATGGAGCTGCTTTGCGTTGTTGGGGTGACCTCAGGGTCCGTCTAGACAGGTGACAGTGTTCTTGGGGACTGTCTCGAGATCCATTAAGCAAGCCGAAGCTCCTGACTTGTTTGAATGGGATCACGGAATAGCTCTGCATGCACTGCAGGGGAATGGGGCCTCATCTCGCCTCTAGGGGGAAGTCTCATGGTTTTTCTCGAGTTGCGGCGGGGACCTGGGGTATGTTCTCGACTTACGGCGGGGATGGCCCTTCAAAACACGAGTTTCTTCAGTGACGTCAGGACTCCTGTCTAGTAACGAGGGACACCTCAGGAATCTCTTCGAGGCTTGGCAGGGCCAAAGGGACGCTTCTCGAGGTGAGGCAGGGCACCCAAGGACCCTTTCCAGAAGCCACAGGGATTTTGGGATTCCTATCAGTATTCAAGAGGAGTCAGGCATCGTCACCTTTTGAAGCAATGAACTCCGCGTGCCTCTCGAGGTGTCAGCGGGATGTGAGGGATTCCGTCAAAATGAGGCAGGGACCTAGGGCTTTCTCTAAGGTCTCCACAGGGGATTCAGACATCCCTTCATGTTGTGAGATGAAAGACGAGCCTGTATTCAAGCCACTGCAAGGAAATCCGGCCTCCTTTCAAGTTAGGGCTTCTCGCTGTATATTCCCCTTGAGGCAGCAAACTCGGGGTCCCTCCCACATACCTATTGCTGAGAGAAGCCTCCTCCGGAGGTGCTTCTGGGAATTTGGCATACGTCTTGAGCCTAAGCCAGGGAATCAGCTCGCATCTCGAGACGATTTGGGGTACACGGAGCATTCCTCGAGTTGCTGTGCTGAAGTTGGTGTTCCTCTAGACTTGGGACAGTGTTCTCGGGGCATCTCTGGAGTTGCCTGAAGGAAGTCGAGCCAGCGGTCGTGTTGAATGGGGAACGGGGAATGGCTCTGGAGTCAATGCAGGGGAATCGGGCCTCATCTCGAGTTGATTTGGGGCACATGGAGCTGCTTTGCGTTGCTGGGGTGACCTCAGGGTCCGTCTAGACTGGTGACAGTGTTCTTGGGGACTGTCTCGAGATCCATTAAGCAAGCCGAAGCTCCTGACTTGTTTGAATGGGATCACGGAATAGCTCTGCATGCACTGCAGGGGAATGGGGCCTCATCTCGCCTCTAGGGGGAAGTCTCATGGTTTTTCTCGAGTTGCGGCGGGGACCTGGGGTATGTTCTCGACTTACGGCGGGGATGGCCCTTCAAAACACGAGTTTCTTCAGTGACGTCAGGACTCCTGTCTAGTAACGAGGGACACCTCAGGAATCTCTTCGAGGCTTGGCAGGGCCAAAGGGACGCTTCTCGAGGTGAGGCAGGGCACCCAAGGACCCTTTCCAGTAGCCACAGGGATTTTGGGATTCCTATCAGTATTCAAGAGGAGTCAGGCATCGTCACCTTTTGAAGCAATGAACTCCGCGTGCCTCTCGAGGTGTCAGCGGGATGTGAGGCATTCCGTCAAAATGAGGCAGGGACCTAGGGCTTTCTCTAAGGTCTCCACAGGGGATTCAGACATCCCTTCATGTTGTGAGATGAAAGACGAGCCTGTATTCAAGCCACTGCAAGGAAATCCGGCCTCCTTTCAAGTTAGGGCTTCTCGCTGTATATTCCCCTTGAGGCAGCAAACTCGGGGTCCCTCCCACATACCTATTGCTGAGAGAAGCCTCCTCCTGAGGTGCTTCTGGGAAGTTGGCATACGTCTTGAGCCTAAGCCAGGGAATCAGCTCGCATCTCGAGACGATTTGGGGTACACGGAGCATTCCTCGAGTTGCTGTGCTGAAGTTGGTGTTCCTCTAGACTTGGGACAGTGTTCTCGGGGCATCTCTGGAGTTGCCTGAAGGAAGTCGAGCCAGCGGTCGTGTTGAATGGGGAACGGGGAATGGCTCTGGAGTCAATGCAGGGGAATCGGGCCTCATCTCGAGTTGATTTGGGGCACATGGAGCTGCTTTGCGTTGCTGGGGTGACCTCAGGGTCCGTCTAGACTGGTGACAGTGTTCTTGGGGACTGTCTCGAGATCCATTAAGCAAGCCGAAGCTCCTGACTTGTTTGAATGGGATCACGGAATAGCTCTGCATGCACTGCAGGGGAATGGGGCCTCATCTCGCCTCTAGGGGGAAGTCTCATGGTTTTTCTCGAGTTGCGGCGGGGACCTGGGGTATGTTCTCGACTTACGGCGGGGATGGCCCTTCAAAACACGAGTTTCTTCAGTGACGTCAGGACTCCTGTCTAGTAACGAGGGACACCTCAGGAATCTCTTCGAGGCTTGGCAGGGCCAAAGGGACGCTTCTCGAGGTGAGGCAGGGCACCCAAGGACCCTTTCCAGAAGCCACAGGGATTTTGGGATTCCTATCAGTATTCAAGAGGAGTCAGGCATCGTCACCTTTTGAAGCAATGAACTCCGCGTGCCTCTCGAGGTGTCAGCGGGATGTGAGGGATTCCGTCAAAATGAGGCAGGGACCTAGGGCTTTCTCTAAGGTCTCCACAGGGGATTCAGACATCCCTTCATGTTGTGAGATGAAAGACGAGCCTGTATTCAAGCCACTGCAAGGAAATCCGGCCTCCTTTCAAGTTAGGGCTTCTCGCTGTATATTCCCCTTGAGGCAGCAAACTCGGGGTCCCTCCCACATACCTATTGCTGAGAGAAGCCTCCTCCGGAGGTGCTTCTGGGAAGTTGGCATACGTCTTGAGCCTAAGCCAGGGAATCAGCTCGCATCTCGAGACGATTTGGGGTACACGGAGCATTCCTCGAGTTGCTGTGCTGAAGTTGGTGTTCCTCTAGACTTGGGACAGTGTTCTCGGGGCATCTCTGGAGTTGCCTGAAGGAAGTCGAGCCAGCGGTCGTGTTGAATGGGGAACGGGAATGGCTCTGGAGTCAATGCAGGGGAATCGGGCCTCATCTCGAGTTGATTTGGGGCACATGGAGCTGCTTTGCGTTGCTGGGGTGACCTCAGGGTCCGTCTAGACTGGTGACAGTGTTCTTGGGGACTGTCTCGAGATCCATTAAGCAAGCCGAAGCTCCTGACTTGTTTGAATGGGATCACGGAATAGCTCTGCATGCACTGCAGGGGAATGGGGCCTCATCTCGCCTCTAGGGGGAAGTCTCATGGTTTTTCTCGAGTTGCGGCGGGGACCTGGGGTATGTTCTCGACTTACGGCGGGGATGGCCCTTCAAAACACGAGTTTCTTCAGTGACGTCAGGACTCCTGTCTAGTATCGAGGGACACCTCAGGAATCTCTTCGAGGCTTGGCAGGGCCAAAGGGACGCTTCTCGAGGTGAGGCAGGGCACCCAAGGACCCTTTCCAGAAGCCACAGGGATTTTGGGATTCCTATCAGTATTCAAGAGGAGTCAGGCATCGTCACCTTTTGAAGCAATGAACTCCGCGTGCCTCTCGAGGTGTCAGCGGGATGTGAGGCATTCCGTCAAAATGAGGCAGGGACCTAGGGCTTTCTCTAAGGTCTCCACAGGGGATTCAGACATCCCTTCATGTTGTGAGATGAAAGACGAGCCTGTATTCAAGCCACTGCAAGGAAATCCGGCCTCCTTTCAAGTTAGGGCTTCCGCTGTATATTCCCCTTGAGGCAGCAAACTCGGGGTCCCTCCCACATACCTATTGCTGAGAGAAGCCTCCTCCGGAGGTGCTTCTGGGAAGTTGGCATACGTCTTGAGCCTAAGCCAGGGAATCAGCTCGCATCTCGAGACGATTTGAGGTACACGGAGCATTCCTCGAGTTGCTGTGCTGAAGTTGGTGTTCCTCTAGACTTGGGACAGTGTTCTCGGGGCATCTCTGGAGTTGCCTGAAGGAAGTCGAGCCAGCGGTCGTGTTGAATGGGGAACGGGGAATGGCTCTGGAGTCAATGCAGGGGAATCGGGCCTCATCTCGAGTTGATTTGGGGCACATGGAGCTGCTTTGCGTTGCTGGGGTGACCTCAGGGTCCGTCTAGACAGGTGACAGTGTTCTTGGGGACTGTCTCGAGATCCATTAAGCAAGCCGAAGCTCCTGACTTGTTTGAATGGGATCACGGAATAGCTCTGCATGCACTGCAGGGGAATGGGGCCTCATCTCGCCTCTAGGGGGAAGTCTCATGGTTTTTCTCGAGTTGCGGCGGGGACCTGGGGTATGTTCTCGACTTACGGCGGGGATGGCCCTTCAAAACACGAGTTTCTTCAGTGACGTCAGGACTCCTGTCTAGTAACGAGGGACACCTCAGGAATCTCTTCGAGGCTTGGCAGGGCCAAAGGGACGCTTCTCGAGGTGAGGCAGGGCACCCAAGGACCCTTTCCAGTAGCCACAGGGATTTTGGGATTCCTATCAGTATTCAAGAGGAGTCAGGCATCGTCACCTTTTGAAGCAATGAACTCCGCGTGCCTCTCGAGGTGTCAGCGGGATGTGAGGCATTGCGTCAAAATGAGGCAGGGACCTAGGGCTTTCTCTAAGGTCTCCACAGCGGATTCAGACATCCCTTCATGTTGTGAGATGAAAGACTAGCCTGTATTCAAGCCACTGCAAGGAAATCCAGCCTCCTTTCAAGTTAGGGCTTCTCGCTGTATATTCCCCTTGAGGCAGCAAACTCGGGGTCCCTCCCACATACCTATTGCTGAGAGAAGCCTCCTCCTGAGGTGCTTCTGGGAAGTTGGCTACGTCTTGAGCCTAAGCCAGGGAATCAGCTCGCATCTCGAGACGATTTGGGGTACACGGAGCATTCCTCGAGTTGCTGTGCTGAAGTTGGTGTTCCTCTAGTCTTGGGACAGTGTTCTCGGGGCATCTCTGGAGTTGCCTGAAGGAAGTCGAGCCACCGGTCGTGTTGAATGGGGAACGGGGAATGGCTCTGGAGTCAATGCAGGGGAATCGGGCCTCATCTCGAGTTGATTTGGGGCACATGGAGCTGCTTTGCGTTGCTGGGGTGACCTCAGGGTCCGTCTAGACTGGTGACAGTGTTCTTGGGGACTGTCTCGAGATCCATTAAGCAAGCCGAAGCTCCTGACTTGTTTGAATGGGATCACGGAATAGCTCTGCATGCACTGCAGGGGAATGGGGCCTCATCTCGCCTCTAGGGGGAAGTCTCATGGTTTTTCTCGAGTTGCGGCGGGGACCTGGGGTATGTTCTCGACTTACGGCGGGGATGGCCCTTCAAAACACGAGTTTCTTCAGTGACGTCAGGACTCCTGTCTAGTAACGAGGGACACCTCAGGAATCTCTTCGAGGCTTGGCAGGGCCAAAGGGACGCTTCTCGAGGTGAGGCAGGGCACCCAAGGACCCTTTCCAGTAGCCACAGGGATTTTGGGATTCCTATCAGTATTCAAGAGGAGTCAGGCATCGTCACCTTTTGAAGCAATGAACTCCGCGTGCCTCTCGAGGTGTCAGCGGGATGTGAGGGATTCCGTCAAAATGAGGCAGGGACCTAGGGCTTTCTCTAAGGTCTCCACAGGGGATTCAGACATCCCTTCATGTTGTGAGATGAAAGACGAGCCTGTATTCAAGCCACTGCAAGGAAATCCGGCCTCCTTTCAAGTTAGGGCTTCTCGATGTATATTCCCCTTGAGGCAGCAAACTCGGGGTCCCTCCCACATACCTATTGCTGAGAGAAGCCTCCTCCGGAGGTGCTTCTGGGAATTTGGCATACGTCTTGAGCCTAAGCCAGGGAATCAGCTCGCATCTCGAGACGATTTGGGGTACACGGAGCATTCCTCGAGTTGCTGTGCTGAAGTTGGTGTTCCTCTAGACTTGGGACAGTGTTCTCGGGGCATCTCTGGAGTTGCCTGAAGGAAGTCGAGCCAGCGGTCGTGTTGAATGGGGAACGGGGAATGGCTCTGGAGTCAATGCAGGGGAATCGGGCCTCATCTCGAGTTGATTTGGGGCACATGGAGCTGCTTTGCGTTGCTGGGGTGACCTCAGGGTCCGTCTAGACTGGTGACAGTGTTCTTGGGGACTGTCTCGAGATCCATTAAGCAAGCCGAAGCTCCTGACTTGTTTGAATGGGATCACGGAATAGCTCTGCATGCACTGCAGGGGAATGGGGCCTCATCTCGCCTCTAGGGGGAAGTCTCATGGTTTTTCTCGAGTTGCGGCGGGGACCTGGGGTATGTTCTCGACTTACGGCGGGGATGGCCCTTCAAAACACGAGTTTCTTCAGTGACGTCAGGACTCCTGTCTAGTAACGAGGGACACCTCAGGAATCTCTTCGAGGCTTGGCAGGGCCAAAGGGACGCTTCTCGAGGTGAGGCAGGGCACCCAAGGACCCTTTCCAGTAGCCACAGGGATTTTGGGATTCCTATCAGTATTCAAGAGGAGTCAGGCATCGTCACCTTTTGAAGCAATGAACTCCGCGTGCCTCTCGAGGTGTCAGCGGGATGTGAGGCATTCCGTCAAAATGAGGCAGGGACCTAGGGCTTTCTCTAAGGTCTCCACAGGGGATTCAGACATCCCTTCATGTTGTGAGATGAAAGACGAGCCTGTATTCAAGCCACTGCAAGGAAATCCGGCCTCCTTTCAAGTTAGGGCTTCTCGCTGTATATTCCCCTTGAGGCAGCAAACTCGGGGTCCCTCCCACATACCTATTGCTGAGAGAAGCCTCCTCCTGAGGTGCTTCTGGGAAGTTGGCATACGTCTTGAGCCTAAGCCAGGGAATCAGCTCGCATCTCGAGACGATTTGGGGTACACGGAGCATTCCTCGAGTTGCTGTGCTGAAGTTGGTGTTCCTCTAGACTTGGGACAGTGTTCTCGGGGCATCTCTGGAGTTGCCTGAAGGAAGTCGAGCCAGCGGTCGTGTTGAATGGGGAACGGGGAATGGCTCTGGAGTCAATGCAGGGGAATCGGGCCTCATCTCGAGTTGATTTGGGGCACATGGAGCTGCTTTGCGTTGCTGGGGTGACCTCAGGGTCCGTCTAGACTGGTGACAGTGTTCTTGGGGACTGTCTCGAGATCCATTAAGCAAGCCGAAGCTCCTGACTTGTTTGAATGGGATCACGGAATAGCTCTGCATGCACTGCAGGGGAATGGGGCCTCATCTCGCCTCTAGGGGGAAGTCTCATGGTTTTTCTCGAGTTGCGGCGGGGACCTGGGGTATGTTCTCGACTTACGGCGGGGATGGCCCTTCAAAACACGAGTTTCTTCAGTGACGTCAGGACTCCTGTCTAGTAACGAGGGACACCTCAGGAATCTCTTCGAGGCTTGGCAGGGCCAAAGGGACGCTTCTCGAGGTGAGGCAGGGCACCCAAGGACCCTTTCCAGAAGCCACAGGGATTTTGGGATTCCTATCAGTATTCAAGAGGAGTCAGGCATCGTCACCTTTTGAAGCAATGAACTCCGCGTGCCTCTCGAGGTGTCAGCGGGATGTGAGGGATTCCGTCAAAATGAGGCAGGGACCTAGGGCTTTCTCTAAGGTCTCCACAGGGGATTCAGACATCCCTTCATGTTGTGAGATGAAAGACGAGCCTGTATTCAAGCCACTGCAAGGAAATCCGGCCTCCTTTCAAGTTAGGGCTTCTCGCTGTATATTCCCCTTGAGGCAGCAAACTCGGGGTCCCTCCCACATACCTATTGCTGAGAGAAGCCTCCTCCGGAGGTGCTTCTGGGAAGTTGGCATACGTCTTGAGCCTAAGCCAGGGAATCAGCTCGCATCTCGAGACGATTTGGGGTACACGGAGCATTCCTCGAGTTGCTGTGCTGAAGTTGGTGTTCCTCTAGACTTGGGACAGTGTTCTCGGGGCATCTCTGGAGTTGCCTGAAGGAAGTCGAGCCAGCGGTCGTGTTGAATGGGGAACGGGAATGGCTCTGGAGTCAATGCAGGGGAATCGGGCCTCATCTCGAGTTGATTTGGGGCACATGGAGCTGCTTTGCGTTGCTGGGGTGACCTCAGGGTCCGTCTAGACTGGTGACAGTGTTCTTGGGGACTGTCTCGAGATCCATTAAGCAAGCCGAAGCTCCTGACTTGTTTGAATGGGATCACGGAATAGCTCTGCATGCACTGCAGGGGAATGGGGCCTCATCTCGCCTCTAGGGGGAAGTCTCATGGTTTTTCTCGAGTTGCGGCGGGGACCTGGGGTATGTTCTCGACTTACGGCGGGGATGGCCCTTCAAAACACGAGTTTCTTCAGTGACGTCAGGACTCCTGTCTAGTATCGAGGGACACCTCAGGAATCTCTTCGAGGCTTGGCAGGGCCAAAGGGACGCTTCTCGAGGTGAGGCAGGGCACCCAAGGACCCTTTCCAGAAGCCACAGGGATTTTGGGATTCCTATCAGTATTCAAGAGGAGTCAGGCATCGTCACCTTTTGAAGCAATGAACTCCGCGTGCCTCTCGAGGTGTCAGCGGGATGTGAGGCATTCCGTCAAAATGAGGCAGGGACCTAGGGCTTTCTCTAAGGTCTCCACAGGGGATTCAGACATCCCTTCATGTTGTGAGATGAAAGACGAGCCTGTATTCAAGCCACTGCAAGGAAATCCGGCCTCCTTTCAAGTTAGGGCTTCCGCTGTATATTCCCCTTGAGGCAGCAAACTCGGGGTCCCTCCCACATACCTATTGCTGAGAGAAGCCTCCTCCGGAGGTGCTTCTGGGAAGTTGGCATACGTCTTGAGCCTAAGCCAGGGAATCAGCTCGCATCTCGAGACGATTTGAGGTACACGGAGCATTCCTCGAGTTGCTGTGCTGAAGTTGGTGTTCCTCTAGACTTGGGACAGTGTTCTCGGGGCATCTCTGGAGTTGCCTGAAGGAAGTCGAGCCAGCGGTCGTGTTGAATGGGGAACGGGGAATGGCTCTGGAGTCAATGCAGGGGAATCGGGCCTCATCTCGAGTTGATTTGGGGCACATGGAGCTGCTTTGCGTTGCTGGGGTGACCTCAGGGTCCGTCTAGACAGGTGACAGTGTTCTTGGGGACTGTCTCGAGATCCATTAAGCAAGCCGAAGCTCCTGACTTGTTTGAATGGGATCACGGAATAGCTCTGCATGCACTGCAGGGGAATGGGGCCTCATCTCGCCTCTAGGGGGAAGTCTCATGGTTTTTCTCGAGTTGCGGCGGGGACCTGGGGTATGTTCTCGACTTACGGCGGGGATGGCCCTTCAAAACACGAGTTTCTTCAGTGACGTCAGGACTCCTGTCTAGTAACGAGGGACACCTCAGGAATCTCTTCGAGGCTTGGCAGGGCCAAAGGGACGCTTCTCGAGGTGAGGCAGGGCACCCAAGGACCCTTTCCAGTAGCCACAGGGATTTTGGGATTCCTATCAGTATTCAAGAGGAGTCAGGCATCGTCACCTTTTGAAGCAATGAACTCCGCGTGCCTCTCGAGGTGTCAGCGGGATGTGAGGCATTGCGTCAAAATGAGGCAGGGACCTAGGGCTTTCTCTAAGGTCTCCACAGCGGATTCAGACATCCCTTCATGTTGTGAGATGAAAGACTAGCCTGTATTCAAGCCACTGCAAGGAAATCCAGCCTCCTTTCAAGTTAGGGCTTCTCGCTGTATATTCCCCTTGAGGCAGCAAACTCGGGGTCCCTCCCACATACCTATTGCTGAGAGAAGCCTCCTCCTGAGGTGCTTCTGGGAAGTTGGCTACGTCTTGAGCCTAAGCCAGGGAATCAGCTCGCATCTCGAGACGATTTGGGGTACACGGAGCATTCCTCGAGTTGCTGTGCTGAAGTTGGTGTTCCTCTAGTCTTGGGACAGTGTTCTCGGGGCATCTCTGGAGTTGCCTGAAGGAAGTCGAGCCACCGGTCGTGTTGAATGGGGAACGGGGAATGGCTCTGGAGTCAATGCAGGGGAATCGGGCCTCATCTCGAGTTGATTTGGGGCACATGGAGCTGCTTTGCGTTGCTGGGGTGACCTCAGGGTCCGTCTAGACTGGTGACAGTGTTCTTGGGGACTGTCTCGAGATCCATTAAGCAAGCCGAAGCTCCTGACTTGTTTGAATGGGATCACGGAATAGCTCTGCATGCACTGCAGGGGAATGGGGCCTCATCTCGCCTCTAGGGGGAAGTCTCATGGTTTTTCTCGAGTTGCGGTGGGGACCTGGGGTATGTTCTCGACTTACGGCGGGGATGGCCCTTCAAAACACGAGTTTCTTCAGTGACGTCAGGACTCCTGTCTAGTAACGAGGGACACCTCAGGAATCTCTTCGAGGCTTGGCAGGGCCAAAGGGACGCTTCTCGAGGTGAGGCAGGGCACCCAAGGACCCTTTCCAGTAGCCACAGGGATTTTGGGATTCCTATCAGTATTCAAGAGGAGTCAGGCATCGTCACCTTTTGAAGCAATGAACTCCGCGTGCCTCTCGAGGTGTCAGCGGGATGTGAGGGATTCCGTCAAAATGAGGCAGGGACCTAGGGCTTTCTCTAAGGTCTCCACAGGGGATTCAGACATCCCTTCATGTTGTGAGATGAAAGACGAGCCTGTATTCAAGCCACTGCAAGGAAATCCGGACTCCTTTCAAGTTAGGGCTTCTCGATGTATATTCCCCTTGAGGCAGCAAACTCGGGGTCCCTCCCACATACCTATTGCTGAGAGAAGCCTCCTCCGGAGGTGCTTCTGGGAATTTGGCATACGTCTTGAGCCTAAGCCAGGGAATCAGCTCGCATCTCGAGACGATTTGAGGTACACGGAGCATTCCTTGAGTTGCTGTGCTGAAGTTGGTGTTCCTCTAGACTTGGGACAGTGTTCTCGGGGCATCTCTGGAGTTGCCTGAAGGAAGTCGAGCCAGCGGTCGTGTTGAATGGGGAACGGGGAATGGCTCTGGAGTCAATGCAGGGGAATCGGGCCTCATCTCGAGTTGATTTGGGGCACATGGAGCTGCTTTGCGTTGCTGGGGTGACCTCAGGGTCCGTCTAGACAAGTGAAAGTGTTCTTGGGGACTGTCTCGAGATCCATTAAGCAAGCCGAAGCTCCTGACTTGTTTGAATGGGATCACGGAATAGCTCTGCATGCACTGCAGGGGAATGGGGCCTCATCTCGCCTCTAGGGGGAAGTCTCATGGTTTTTCTCGAGTTGCGGCGGGGACCTGGGGTATGTTCTCGACTTACGGCGGGGATGGCCCTTCAAAACACGAGTTTCTTCAGTGACGTCAGGACTCCTGTCTAGTAACGAGGGACACCTCAGGAATCTCTTCGAGGCTTGGCAGGGCCAAAGGGACGCTTCTCGAGGTGAGGCAGGGCACCCAAGGACCCTTTCCAGAAGCCACAGGGATTTTGGGATTCCTATCAGTATTCAAGAGGAGTCAGGCATCGTCACCTTTTGAAGCAATGAACTCCGCGTGCCTCTCGAGGTGTCAGCGGGATGTGAGGGATTCCGTCAAAATGAGGCAGGGACCTAGGGCTTTCTCTAAGGTCTCCACAGGGGATTCAGACATCCCTTCATGTTGTGAGATGAAAGACGAGCCTGTATTCAAGCCACTGCAAGGAAATCCGGCCTCCTTTCAAGTTAGGGCTTCTCGCTGTATATTCCCCTTGAGGCAGCAAACTCGGGGTCCCTCCCACATACCTATTGCTGAGAGAAGCCTCCTCCGGAGGTGCTTCTGGGAATTTGGCATACGTCTTGAGCCTAAGCCAGGGAATCAGCTCGCATCTCGAGATGATTTGGGGTACACGGAGCATTCCTCGAGTTGCTGTGCTGAAGTTGGTGTTCCTCTAGACTTGGGACAGTGTTCTCGGGGCATCTCTGGAGTTGCCTGAAGGAAGTCGAGCCAGCGGTCGTGTTGAATGGGGAACGGGGAATGGCTCTGGAGTCAATGCAGGGGAATCGGGCCTCATCTCGAGTTGATTTGGGGCACATGGAGCTGCTTTGCGTTGCTGGGGTGACCTCAGGGTCCGTCTAGACTGGTGACAGTGTTCTTGGGGACTGTCTCGAGATCCATTAAGCAAGCCGAAGCTCCTGACTTGTTTGAATGGGATCACGGAATAGCTCTGCATGCACTGCAGGGGAATGGGGCCTCATCTCGCCTCTAGGGGGAAGTCTCATGGTTTTTCTCGAGTTGCGGCGGGGACCTGGGGTATGTTCTCGACTTACGGCGGGGATGGCCCTTCAAAACACGAGTTTCTTCAGTGACGTCAGGACTCCTGTCTAGTAACGAGGGACACCTCAGGAATCTCTTCGAGGCTTGGCAGGGCCAAAGGGACGCTTCTCGAGGTGAGGCAGGGCACCCAAGGACCCTTTCCAGTAGCCACAGGGATTTTGGGATTCCTATCAGTATTCAAGAGGAGTCAGGCATCGTCACCTTTTGAAGCAATGAACTCCGCGTGCCTCTCGAGGTGTCAGCGGGATGTGAGGCATTCCGTCAAAATGAGGCAGGGACCTAGGGCTTTCTCTAAGGTCTCCACAGGGGATTCAGACATCCCTTCATGTTGTGAGATGAAAGACGAGCCTGTATTCAAGCCACTGCAAGGAAATCCGGCCTCCTTTCAAGTTAGGGCTTCTCGCTGTATATTCCCCTTGAGGCAGCAAACTCGGGGTCCCTCCCACATACCTATTGCTGAGAGAAGCCTCCTCCGGAGGTGCTTCTGGGAAGTTGGCATACGTCTTGAGCCTAAGCCAGGGAATCAGCTCGCATCTCGAGACGATTTGGGGTACACGGAGCATTCCTCGAGTTGCTGTGCTGAAGTTGGTGTTCCTCTAGACTTGGGACAGTGTTCTCGGGGCATCTCTGGAGTTGCCTGAAGGAAGTCGAGCCACCGGTCGTGTTGAATGGGGAACGGGGAATGGCTCTGGAGTCAATGCAGGGGAATCGGGCCTCATCTCGAGTTGATTTGGGGCACATGGAGCTGCTCTGCGTTGCTGGGGTGACCTCAGGGTCCGTCTAGACTGGTGACAGTGTTCTTGGGGACTGTCTCGAGATCCATTAAGCAAGCCGAAGCTCCTGACTTGTTTGAATGGGATCACGGAATAGCTCTGCATGCACTGCAGGGGAATGGGGCCTCATCTCGCCTCTAGGGGGAAGTCTCATGGTTTTTCTCGAGTTGCGGCGGGGACCTGGGGTATGTTCTCGACTTACGGCGGGGATGGCCCTTCAAAACACGAGTTTCTTCAGTGACGTCAGGACTCCTGTCTAGTAACGAGGGACACCTCAGGAATCTCTTCGAGGCTTGGCAGGGCAAAAGGGACGCTTCTCGAGGTGAGGCAGGGCACCCAAGGACCCTTTCCAGTAGCCACAGGGATTTTGGGATTCCTATCAGTATTCAAGAGGAGTCAGGCATCGTCACCTTTTGAAGCAATGAACTCCGCGTGCCTCTCGAGGTGTCAGCGGGATGTGAGGCATTCCGTCAAAATGAGGCAGGGACCTAGGGCTTTCTCTAAGGTCTCCACAGGGGATTCAGACATCCCTTCATGTTGTGAGATGAAAGACGAGCCTGTATTCAAGCCACTGCAAGGAAATCCGGCCTCCTTTCAAGTTAGGGCTTCTCGCTGTATATTCCCCTTGAGGCAGCAAACTCGGGGTCCCTCCCACATACCTATTGCTGAGAGAAGCCTCCTCCTGAGGTGCTTCTGGGAAGTTGGCATACGTCTTGAGCCTAAGCCAGGGAATCAGCTCGCATCTCGAGACGATTTGGGGTACACGGAGCATTCCTCGAGTTGCTGTGCTGAAGTTGGTGTTCCTCTAGACTTGGGACAGTGTTCTCGGGGCATCTCTGGAGTTGCCTGAAGGAAGTCGAGCCACCGGTCGTGTTGAATGGGGAACGGGGAATGGCTCTGGAGTCAATGCAGGGGAATCGGGCCTCATCTCGAGTTGATTTGGGGCACATGGAGCTGCTTTGCGTTGCTGGGGTGACCTCAGGGTCCGTCTAGACTGGTGACAGTGTTCTTGGGGACTGTCTCGAGATCCATTAAGCAAGTCGAAGCTCCTGACTTGTTTGAATGGGATCACGGAATAGCTCTGCATGCACTGCAGGGGAATGGGGCCTCATCTCGCCTCTAGGGGGAAGTCTCATGGTTTTTCTCGAGTTGCGGCGGGGACCTGGGGTATGTTCTCGACTTACGGCGGGGATGGCCCTTCAAAACACGAGTTTCTTCAGTGACGTCAGGACTCCTGTCTAGTAACGAGGGACACCTCAGGAATCTCTTCGAGGCTTGGCAGGGCCAAAGGGACGCTTCTCGAGGTGAGGCAGGGCACCCAAGGACCCTTTCCAGAAGCCACAGGGATTTTGGGATTCCTATCAGTATTCAAGAGGAGTCAGGCATCGTCACCTTTTGAAGCAATGAACTCCGCGTGCCTCTCGAGGTGTCAGCGGGATGTGAGGGATTCCGTCAAAATGAGGCAGGGACCTAGGGCTTTCTCTAAGGTCTCCACAGGGGATTCAGACATCCCTTCATGTTGTGAGATGAAAGACGAGCCTGTATTCAAGCCACTGCAAGGAAATCCGGCCTCCTTTCAAGTTAGGGCTTCTCGCTGTATATTCCCCTTGAGGCAGCAAACTCGGGGTCCCTCCCACATACCTATTGCTGAGAGAAGCCTCCTCCGGAGGTGCTTCTGGGAATTTGGCATACGTCTTGAGGCTAAGCCAGGGAATCAGCTCGCATCTCGAGACGATTTGGGGTACACGGAGCATTCCTCGAGTTGCTGTGCTGAAGTTGGTGTTCCTCTAGACTTGGGACAGTGTTCTCGGGGCATCTCTGGAGTTGCCTGAAGGAAGTCGAGCCAGCGGTCGTGTTGAATGGGGAACGGGGAATGGCTCTGGAGTCAATGAAGGGGAATCAGGCCTCATCTCGAGTTGATTTGGGGCACATGGAGCTGCTTTGCGTTGCTGGGGTGACCTCAGGGTCCGTCTAGACAGGTGACAGTGTTCTTGGGGACTGTCTCGAGATCCATTAAGCAAGCCGAAGCTCCTGACTTGTTTGAATGGGATCACGGAATAGCTCTGCATGCACTGCAGGGGAATGGGGCCTCATCTCGCCTCTAGGGGGAAGTCTCATGGTTTTTCTCGAGTTGCGGCGGGGACCTGGGGTATGTTCTCGACTTACGGCGGGGATGGACCTTCAAAACACGAGTTTCTTCAGTGACGTCAGGACTCCTGTCTAGTAACGAGGGACACCTCAGGAATCTCTTCGAGGCTTGGCAGGGCCAAAGGGACGCTTCTCGAGGTGAGGCAGGGCACCCAAGGACCCTTTCCAGTAGCCACAGGGATTTTGGGATTCCTATCAGTATTCAAGAGGAGTCAGGCATCGTCACCTTTTGAAGCAATGAACTCCGCGTGCCTCTCGAGGTGTCAGCGGGATGTGAGGCATTGCGTCAAAATGAGGCAGGGACCTAGGGCTTTCTCTAAGGTCTCCACAGCGGATTCAGACATCCCTTCATGTTGTGAGATGAAAGACGAGCCTGTATTCAAGCCACTGCATGGAAATCCAGCCTCCTTTCAAGTTAGGGCTTCTCGCTGTATATTCCCCTTGAGGCAGCAAACTCGGGGTCCCTCCCACATACCTATTGCTGAGAGAAGCCTCCTCCTGAGGTGCTTCTGGGAAGTTGGCATACGTCTTGAGCCTAAGCCAGGGAATCAGCTCGCATCTCGAGACGATTTGGGGTACACGGAGCATTCCTCGAGTTGCTGTGCTGAAGTTGGTGTTCCTCTAGACTTGGCACAGTGTTCTCGGGGCATCTCTGGAGTTGCCTGAAGGAAGTCGAGCCACCGGTCGTGTTGAATGGGGAACGGGGAGTGGCTCTGGAGTCAATGCAGGGGAATCGGGCCTCATCTCGAGTTGATTTGGGGCACATGGAGCTGCTTTGCGTTGCTGGGGTGACCTCAGGGTCCGTCTAGACTGGTGACAGTGTTCTTGGGGACTGTCTCGAGATCCATTAAGCAAGCCGAAGCTCCTGACTTGTTTGAATGGGATCACGGAATAGCTCTGCATGCACTGCAGGGGAATGGGGCCTCATCTCGCCTCTAGGGGGAAGTCTCATGGTTTTTCTCGAGTTGCGGCGGGGACCTGGGGTATGTTCTCGACTTACGGCGGGGATGGCCCTTCAAAACACGAGTTTCTTCAGTGACGTCAGGACTCCTGTCTAGTAACGAGGGACACCTCAGGAATCTCTTCGAGGCTTGGCAGGGCCAAAGGGACGCTTCTCGAGGTGAGGCAGGGCACCCAAGGACCCTTTCCAGTAGCCACCGGGATTTTGGGATTCCTATCAGTATTCAAGAGGAGTCAGGCATCGTCACCTTTTGAAGCAATGAACTCCGCGTGCCTCTCGAGGTGTCAGCGGGATGTGAGGCATTCCGTCAAAATGAGGCAGGGACCTAGGGCTTTCTCTAAGGTCTCCACAGGGGATTCAGACATCCCTTCATGTTGTGAGATGAAAGACGAGCCTGTATTCAAGCCACTGCAAGGAAATCCGGCCTCCTTTCAAGTTAGGGCTTCTCGCTGTATATTCCCCTTGAGGCAGCAAACTCGGGGTCCCTCCCACATACCTATTGCTGAGAGAAGCCTCCTCCTGAGGTGCTTCTGGGAAGTTGGCATACGTCTTGAGCCTAAGCCAGGGAATCAGCTCGCATCTCGAGACGATTTGGGGTACACGGAGCATTCCTCGAGTTGCTGTGCTGAAGTTGGTGTTCCTCTAGACTTGGGACAGTGTTCTCGGGGCATCTCTGGAGTTGCCTGAAGGAAGTCGAGCCAGCGGTCGTGTTGAATGGGGAACGGGGAATGGCTCTGGAGTCAATGCAGGGGAATCGGGCCTCATCTCGAGTTGATTTGGGGCACATGGAGCTGCTTTGCGTTGCTGGGGTGACCTCAGGGTCCGTCTAGACTGGTGACAGTGTTCTTGGGGACTGTCTCGAGATCCATTAAGCAAGCCGAAGCTCCTGACTTGTTTGAATGGGATCACGGAATAGCTCTGCATGCACTGCAGGGGAATGGGGCCTCATCTCGCCTCTAGGGGGAAGTCTCATGGTTTTTCTCGAGTTGCGGCGGGGACCTGGGGTATGTTCTCGACTTACGGCGGGGATGGCCCTTCAAAACACGAGTTTCTTCAGTGACGTCAGGACTCCTGTCTAGTAACGAGGGACACCTCAGGAATCTCTTCGAGGCTTGGCAGGGCCAAAGGGACGCTTCTCGAGGTGAGGCAGGGCACCCAAGGACCCTTTCCAGTAGCCACAGGGATTTTGGGATTCCTATCAGTATTCAAGAGGAGTCAGGCATCGTCACCTTTTGAAGCAATGAACTCCGCGTGCCTCTCGAGGTGTCAGCGGGATGTGAGGGATTCCGTCAAAATGAGGCAGGGACCTAGGGCTTTCTCTAAGGTCTCCACAGGGGATTCAGACATCCCTTCATGTTGTGAGATGAAAGACGAGCCTGTGTTCAAGCCACTGCAAGGAAATCCGGCCTCCTTTCAAGTTAGGGCTTCTCGCTGTATATTCCCCTTGAGGCAGCAAACTCGGGGTCCCTCCCACATACCTATTGCTGAGAGAAGCCTCCTCCTGAGGTGCTTCTGGGAATTTGGCATACGTCTTGAGCCTAAGCCAGGGAATCAGCTCGCATCTCGAGACGATTTGGGGTACACGGAGCATTCCTCGAGTTGCTGTGCTGAAGTTGGTGTTCCTCTAGACTTGGGACAGTGTTCTCGGGGCATCTCTGGAGTTGCCTGAAGGAAGTCGAGCCAGCGGTCGTGTTGAATGGGGAACGGGGAATGGCTCTGGAGTCAATGCAGGGGAATCGGGCCTCATCTTGAGTTGATTTGTGGCACATGGAGCTGCTTTGCGTTGCTGGGGTGACCTCAGGGTCCGTCTAGACTGGTGACAGTGTTCTTGGGGACTGTCTCGAGATCCATTAAGCAAGCCGAAGCTCCTGACTTGTTTGAATGGGATCACGGAATAGCTCTGCATGCACTGCAGGGGAATGGGGCCTCATCTCGCCTCTAGGGGGAAGTCTCATGGTTTTTCTCGAGTTGCGGCGGGGACCTGGGGTATGTTCTCGACTTACGGCGGGGATGGCCCTTCAAAACACGAGTTTCTTCAGTGACGTCAGGACTCCTGTCTAGTAACGAGGGACACCTCAGGAATCTCTTCGAGGCTTGGCAGGGCCAAAGGGACGCTTCTCGAGGTGAGGCAGGGCACCCAAGGACCCTTTCCAGTAGCCACCGGGATTTTGGGATTCCTATCAGTATTCAAGAGGAGTCAGGCATCGTCACCTTTTGAAGCAATGAACTCCGCGTGCCTCTCGAGGTGTCAGCGGGATGTGAGGCATTCCGTCAAAATGAGGCAGGGACCTAGGGCTTTCTCTAAGGTCTCCACAGGGGATTCAGACATCCCTTCATGTTGTGAGATGAAAGACGAGCCTGTATTCAAGCCACTGCAAGGAAATCCGGCCTCCTTTCAAGTTAGGGCTTCTCGCTGTATATTCCCCTTGAGGCAGCAAACTCGGGGTCCCTCCCACATACCTATTGCTGAGAGAAGCCTCCTCCGGAGGTGCTTCTGGGAATTTGGCATACGTCTTGAGCCTAAGCCAGGGAATCAGCTCGCATCTCGAGACGATTTGGGGTACACGGAGCATTCCTCGAGTTGCTGTGCTGAAGTTGGTGTTCCTCTAGACTTCGGATAGTGTTCTCGGGGCATCTCTGGAGTTGCCTGAAGGAAGTCGAACCACCGGTCGTGTTGAATGGGGAACGGGGAATGGCTCTGGAGTCAATGCAGGGGAATCGGGCCTCATCTCGAGTTGATTTGGGGCACATGGAGCTGCTTTGCGTTGCTGGGGTGACCTCAGGGTCCGTCTAGACTGGTGACAGTGTTCTTGGGGACTGTCTCGAGATCCATTAAGCAAGCCGAAGCTCCTGACTTGTTTGAATGGGATCACGGAATAGCTCTGCATGCACTGCAGGGGAATGGGGCCTCATCTCGCCTCTAGGGGGAAGTCTCATGGTTTTTCTCGAGTTGCGGCGGGGACCTGGGGTATGTTCTCGACTTACGGCGGGGATGGCCCTTCAAAACACGAGTTTCTTCAGTGACGTCAGGACTCCTGTCTAGTAACGAGGGACACCTCAGGAATCTCTTCGAGGCTTGGCAGGGCCAAAGGGACGCTTCTCGAGGTGAGGCAGGGCACCCAAGGACCCTTTCCAGTAGCCACAGGGATTTTGGGATTCCTATCAGTATTCAAGAGGAGTCAGGCATCGGCACCTTTTGAAGCAATGAACTCCGCGTGCCTCTCGAGGTGTCAGCGGGATGTGAGGCATTGCGTCAAAATGAGGCAGGGACCTAGGGCTTTCTCTAAGGTCTCCACAGCGGATTCAGACATCCCTTCATGTTGTGAGATGAAAGACGAGCCTGTATTCAAGCCACTGCATGGAAATCCAGCCTCCTTTCAAGTTAGGGCTTCTCGCTGTATATTCCCCTTGAGGCAGCAAACTCGGGGTCCCTCCCACATACCTATTGCTGAGAGAAGCCTCCTCCTGAGGTGCTTCTGGGAAGTTGGCATACGTCTTGAGCCTAAGCCAGGGAATCAGCTCGCATCTCGAGACGATTTGGGGTACACGGAGCATTCCTCGAGTTGCTGTGCTGAAGTTGGTGTTCCTCTAGACTTGGCACAGTGTTCTCGGGGCATCTCTGGAGTTGCCTGAAGGAAGTCGAGCCACCGGTCGTGTTGAATGGGGAACGGGGAGTGGCTCTGGAGTCAATGCAGGGGAATCGGGCCTCATCTCGAGTTGATTTGGGGCACATGGAGCTGCTTTGCGTTGCTGGGGTGACCTCAGGGTCCGTCTAGACTGGTGACAGTGTTCTTGGGGACTGTCTCGAGATCCATTAAGCAAGCCGAAGCTCCTGACTTGTTTGAATGGGATCACGGAATAGCTCTGCATGCACTGCAGGGGAATGGGGCCTCATCTCGCCTCTAGGGGGAAGTCTCATGGTTTTTCTCGAGTTGCGGCGGGGACCTGGGGTATGTTCTCGACTTACGGCGGGGATGGCCCTTCAAAACACGAGTTTCTTCAGTGACGTCAGGACTCCTGTCTAGTAACGAGGGACACCTCAGGAATCTCTTCGAGGCTTGGCAGGGCCAAAGGGACGCTTCTCGAGGTGAGGCAGGGCACCCAAGGACCCTTTCCAGTAGCCACCGGGATTTTGGGATTCCTATCAGTATTCAAGAGGAGTCAGGCATCGTCACCTTTTGAAGCAATGAACTCCGCGTGCCTCTCGAGGTGTCAGCGGGATGTGAGGCATTCCGTCAAAATGAGGCAGGGACCTAGGGCTTTCTCTAAGGTCTCCACAGGGGATTCAGACATCCCTTCATGTTGTGAGATGAAAGACGAGCCTGTATTCAAGCCACTGCAAGGAAATCCGGCCTCCTTTCAAGTTAGGGCTTCTCGCTGTATATTCCCCTTGAGGCAGCAAACTCGGGGTCCCTCCCACATACCTATTGCTGAGAGAAGCCTCCTCCTGAGGTGCTTCTGGGAAGTTGGCATACGTCTTGAGCCTAAGCCAGGGAATCAGCTCGCATCTCGAGACGATTTGGGGTACACGGAGCATTCCTCGAGTTGCTGTGCTGAAGTTGGTGTTCCTCTAGACTTGGGACAGTGTTCTCGGGGCATCTCTGGAGTTGCCTGAAGGAAGTCGAGCCAGCGGTCGTGTTGAATGGGGAACGGGGAATGGCTCTGGAGTCAATGCAGGGGAATCGGGCCTCATCTCGAGTTGATTTGGGGCACATGGAGCTGCTTTGCGTTGCTGGGGTGACCTCAGGGTCCGTCTAGACTGGTGACAGTGTTCTTGGGGACTGTCTCGAGATCCATTAAGCAAGCCGAAGCTCCTGACTTGTTTGAATGGGATCACGGAATAGCTCTGCATGCACTGCAGGGGAATGGGGCCTCATCTCGCCTCTAGGGGGAAGTCTCATGGTTTTTCTCGAGTTGCGGCGGGGACCTGGGGTATGTTCTCGACTTACGGCGGGGATGGCCCTTCAAAACACGAGTTTCTTCAGTGACGTCAGGACTCCTGTCTAGTAACGAGGGACACCTCAGGAATCTCTTCGAGGCTTGGCAGGGCCAAAGGGACGCTTCTCGAGGTGAGGCAGGGCACCCAAGGACCCTTTCCAGTAGCCACAGGGATTTTGGGATTCCTATTAGTATTCAAGAGGAGTCAGGCATCGTCACCTTTTGAAGCAATGAACTCCGCGTGCCTCTCGAGGTGTCAGCGGGATGTGAGGGATTCCGTCAAAATGAGGCAGGGACCTAGGGCTTTCTCTAAGGTCTCCACAGGGGATTCAGACATCCCTTCATGTTGTGAGATGAAAGACGAGCCTGTGTTCAAGCCACTGCAAGGAAATCCGGCCTCCTTTCAAGTTAGGGCTTCTCGCTGTATATTCCCCTTGAGGCAGCAAACTCGGGGTCCCTCCCACATACCTATTGCTGAGAGAAGCCTCCTCCTGAGGTGCTTCTGGGAATTTGGCATACGTCTTGAGCCTAAGCCAGGGAATCAGCTCGCATCTCGAGACGATTTGGGGTACACGGAGCATTCCTCGAGTTGCTGTGCTGAAGTTGGTGTTCCTCTAGACTTGGGACAGTGTTCTCGGGGCATCTCTGGAGTTGCCTGAAGGAAGTCGAGCCAGCGGTCGTGTTGAATGGGGAACGGGGAATGGCTCTGGAGTCAATGCAGGGGAATCGGGCCTCATCTTGAGTTGATTTGGGGCACATGGAGCTGCTTTGCGTTGCTGGGGTGACCTCAGGGTCCGTCTAGACTGGTGACAGTGTTCTTGGGGACTGTCTCGAGATCCATTAAGCAAGCCGAAGCTCCTGACTTGTTTGAATGGGATCACGGAATAGCTCTGCATGCACTGCAGGGGAATGGGGCCTCATCTCGCCTCTAGGGGGAAGTCTCATGGTTTTTCTCGAGTTGCGGCGGGGACCTGGGGTATGTTCTCGACTTACGGCGGGGATGGCCCTTCAAAACACGAGTTTCTTCAGTGACGTCAGGACTCCTGTCTAGTAACGAGGGACACCTCAGGAATCTCTTCGAGGCTTGGCAGGGCCAAAGGGACGCTTCTCGAGGTGAGGCAGGGCACCCAAGGACCCTTTCCAGTAGCCACCGGGATTTTGGGATTCCTATCAGTATTCAAGAGGAGTCAGGCATCGTCACCTTTTGAAGCAATGAACTCCGCGTGCCTCTCGAGGTGTCAGCGGGATGTGAGGCATTCCGTCAAAATGAGGCAGGGACCTAGGGCTTTCTCTAAGGTCTCCACAGGGGATTCAGACATCCCTTCATGTTGTGAGATGAAAGACGAGCCTGTATTCAAGCCACTGCAAGGAAATCCGGCCTCCTTTCAAGTTAGGGCTTCTCGCTGTATATTCCCCTTGAGGCAGCAAACTCGGGGTCCCTCCCACATACCTATTGCTGAGAGAAGCCTCCTCCGGAGGTGCTTCTGGGAATTTGGCATACGTCTTGAGCCTAAGCCAGGGAATCAGCTCGCATCTCGAGACGATTTGGGGTACACGGAGCATTCCTCGAGTTGCTGTGCTGAAGTTGGTGTTCCTCTAGACTTCGGATAGTGTTCTCGGGGCATCTCTGGAGTTGCCTGAAGGAAGTCGAACCACCGGTCGTGTTGAATGGGGAACGGGGAATGGCTCTGGAGTCAATGCAGGGGAATCGGGCCTCATCTCGAGTTGATTTGGGGCACATGGAGCTGCTTTGCGTTGCTGGGGTGACCTCAGGGTCCGTCTAGACTGGTGACAGTGTTCTTGGGGACTGTCTCGAGATCCATTAAGCAAGCCGAAGCTCCTGACTTGTTTGAATGGGATCACGGAATAGCTCTGCATGCACTGCAGGGGAATGGGGCCTCATCTCGCCTCTAGGGGGAAGTCTCATGGTTTTTCTCGAGTTGCGGCGGGGACCTGGGGTATGTTCTCGACTTACGGCGGGGATGGCCCTTCAAAACACGAGTTTCTTCAGTGACGTCAGGACTCCTGTCTAGTAACGAGGGACACCTCAGGAATCTCTTCGAGGCTTGGCAGGGCCAAAGGGACGCTTCTCGAGGTGAGGCAGGGCACCCAAGGACCCTTTCCAGTAGCCACAGGGATTTTGGGATTCCTATCAGTATTCAAGAGGAGTCAGGCATCGGCACCTTTTGAAGCAATGAACTCCGCGTGCCTCTCGAGGTGTCAGCGGGATGTGAGGGATTCCGTCAAAATGAGGCAGGGACCTAGGGCTCTCTCTAAGGTCTCCACAGGGGATTCAGACATCCCTTCATGTTGTGAGATGAAAGACGAGCCTGTATTCAAGCCACTGCAAGGAAATCCGGCCTCCTTTCAAGTTAGGGCTTCTCGCTGTATATTCCCCTTGAGGCAGCAAACTCGGGGTCCCTCCCACATACCTATTGCTGAGAGAAGCCTCCTCCGGAGGTGCTTCTGGGAATTTGGCATACGTCTTGAGCCTAAGCCAGGGAATCAGCTCGCATCTCGAGACGATTTGGGGTACACGGAGCATTCCTCGAGTTGCTGTGCTGAAGTTGGTGTTCCTCTAGACTTGGGACAGTGTTCTCGGGGCATCTCTGGAGTTGCCTGAAGGAAGTCGAGCCAGCGGTCGTGTTGAATGGGGAACGGGGAATGGCTCTGGAGTCAATGCAGGGGAATCGGGCCTCATCTCGAGTTGATTTGGGGCACATGGAGCTGCTTTGCGTTGCTGGGGTGACCTCAGGGTCCGTCTAGACAGGTGACAGTGTTCTTGGGGACTGTCTCGAGATCCATTAAGCAAGCCGAAGCTCCTGACTTGTTTGAATGGGATCACGGAATAGCTCTGCATGCACTGCAGGGGAATGGGGCCTCATCTCGCCTCTAGGGGGAAGTCTCATGGTTTTTCTCGAGTTGCGGCGGGGACCTGGGGTATGTTCTCGACTTACGGCGGGGATGGCCCTTCAAAACACGAGTTTCTTCAGTGACGTCAGGACTCCTGTCTAGTAACGAGGGACACCTCAGGAATCTCTTCGAGGCTGGGCAGGGCCAAAGGGACGCTTCTCGAGGTGAGGCAGGGCACCCAAGGACCCTTTCCAGTAGCCACAGGGATTTTGGGATTCCTATCAGTATTCAAGAGGAGTCAGGCATCGTCACCTTTTGAAGCAATGAACTCCGCGTGCCTCTCGAGGTGTCAGCGGGATGTGAGGCATTGCGTCAAAATGAGGCAGGGACCTAGGGCTTTCTCTAAGGTCTCCACAGCGGATTCAGACATCCCTTCATGTTGTGAGATGAAAGACGAGCCTGTATTCAAGCCACTGCATGGAAATCCAGCCTCCTTTCAAGTTAGGGCTTCTCGCTGTATATTCCCCTTGAGGCAGCAAACTCGGGGTCCCTCCCACATACCTATTGCTGAGAGAAGCCTCCTCCTGAGGTGCTTCTGGGAAGTTGGCATACGTCTTGAGCCTAAGCCAGGGAATCAGCTCGCATCTTGAGACGATTTGGGGTACACGGAGCATTCCTCGAGTTGCTGTGCTGAAGTTGGTGTTCCTCTAGACTTGGGACAGTGTTCTCGGGGCATCTCTGGAGTTGCCTGAAGGAAGTCGAGCCACCGGTCGTGTTGAATGGGGAACGGGGAATGGCTCTGGAGTCAATGCAGGGGAATCGGGCCTCATCTCGAGTTGATTTGGGGCACATGGAGCTGCTTTGCGTTGCTGGGGTGACCTCAGGGTCCGTCTAGACTGGTGACAGTGTTCTTGGGGACTGTCTCGAGATCCATTAAGCAAGCCGAAGCTCCTGACTTGTTTGAATGGGATCACGGAATAGCTCTGCATGCACTGCAGGGGAATGGGGCCTCATCTCGCCTCTAGGGGGAAGTCTCATGGTTTTTCTCGAGTTGCGGCGGGGACCTGGGGTATGTTCTCGACTTACGGCGGGGATGGCCCTTCAAAACACGAGTTTCTTCAGTGACGTCAGGACTCCTGTCTAGTAACGAGGGACACCTCAGGAATCTCTTCGAGGCTTGGCAGGGCCAAAGGGACGCTTCTCGAGGTGAGGCAGGGCACCCAAGGACCCTTTCCAGTAGCCACCGGGATTTTGGGATTCCTATCAGTATTCAAGAGGAGTCAGGCATCGTCACCTTTTGAAGCAATGAACTCCGCGTGCCTCTCGAGGTGTCAGCGGGATGTGAGGCATTCCGTCAAAATGAGGCAGGGACCTAGGGCTTTCTCTAAGGTCTCCACAGGGGATTCAGACATCCCTTCATGTTGTGAGATGAAAGACGAGCCTGTATTCAAGCCACTGCAAGGAAATCCGGCCTCCTTTCAAGTTAGGGCTTCTCGCTGTATATTCCCCTTGAGGCAGCAAACTCGGGGTCCCTCCCACATACCTATTGCTGAGAGAAGCCTCCTCCTGAGGTGCTTCTGGGAAGTTGGCATACGTCTTGAGCCTAAGCCAGGGAATCAGCTCGCATCTCGAGACGATTTGGGGTACACGGAGCATTCCTCGAGTTGCTGTGCTGAAGTTGGTGTTCCTCTAGACTTGGGACAGTGTTCTCGGGGCATCTCTGGAGTTGCCTGAAGGAAGTCGAGCCACCGGTCGTGTTGAATGGGGAACGGGGAATGGCTCTGGAGTCAATGCAGGGGAATCGGGCCTCATCTCGAGTTGATTTGGGGCACATGGAGCTGCTTTGCGTTGCTGGGGTGACCTCAGGGTCCGTCTAGACTGGTGACAGTGTTCTTGGGGACTGTCTCGAGATCCATTAAGCAAGTCGAAGCTCCTGACTTGTTTGAATGGGATCACGGAATAGCTCTGGATGCACTGCAGGGGAATGGGGCCTCATCTCGCCTCTAGGGGGAAGTCTCATGGTTTTTCTCGAGTTGCGGCGGGGACCTGGGGTATGTTCTCGACTTACGGCGGGGATGGCCCTTCAAAACACGAGTTTCTTCAGTGACGTCAGGACTCCTGTCTAGTAACGAGGGACACCTCAGGAATCTCTTCGAGGCTTGGCAGGGCCAAAGGGACGCTTCTCGAGGTGAGGCAGGGCACCCAAGGACCCTTTCCAGTAGCCACCGGGATTTTGGGATTCCTATCAGTATTCAAGAGGAGTCAGGCATCGTCACCTTTTGAAGCAATGAACTCCGCGTGCCTCTCGAGGTGTCAGCGGGATGTGAGGCATTCCGTCAAAATGAGGCAGGGACCTAGGGCTTTCTCTAAGGTCTCCACAGGGGATTCAGACATCCCTTCATGTTGTGAGATGAAAGACGAGCCTGTATTCAAGCCACTGCAAGGAAATCCGGCCTCCTTTCAAGTTAGGGCTTCTCGCTGTATATTCCCCTTGAGGCAGCAAACTCGGGGTCCCTCCCACATACCTATTGCTGAGAGAAGCCTCCTCCTGAGGTGCTTCTGGGAAGTTGGCATACGTCTTGAGCCTAAGCCAGGGAATCAGCTCGCATCTCGAGACGATTTGGGGTACACGGAGCATTCCTCGAGTTGCTGTGCTGAAGTTGGTGTTCCTCTAGACTTGGGATAGTGTTCTCGGGGCATCTCTGGAGTTGCCTGAAGGAAGTCGAGCCACCGGTCGTGTTGAATGGGGAACGGGGAATGGCTCTGGAGTCAATGCAGGGGAATCGGGCCTCATCTCGAGTTGATTTGGGGCATATGGAGCTGCTTTGCGTTGCTGGGGTGACCTCAGGGTCCGTCTAGACTGGTGACAGTGTTCTTGGGGACTGTCTCGAGATCCATTAAGCAAGCCGAAGCTCCTGACTTGTTTGAATGGGATCACGGAATAGCTCTGCATGCACTGCAGGGGAATGGGGCCTCATCTCGCCTCTAGGGGGAAGTCTCATGGTTTTTCTCGAGTTGCGGCGGGGACCTGGGGTATGTTCTCGACTTACGGCGGGGATGGCCCTTCAAAACACGAGTTTCTTCAGTGACGTCAGGACTCCTGTCTAGTAACGAGGGACACCTCAGGAATCTCTTCGAGGCTTGGCAGGGCCAAAGGGACGCTTCTCGAGGTGAGGCAGGGCACCCAAGGACCCTTTCCAGTAGCCACAGGGATTTTGGGATTCCTATCAGTATTCAAGAGGAGTCAGGCATCGTCACCTTTTGAAGCAATGAACTCCGCGTGCCTCTCGAGGTGTCAGCGGGATGTGAGGGATTCCGTCAAAATGAGGCAGGGACCTAGGGCTCTCTCTAAGGTCTCCACAGGGGATTCAGACATCCCTTCATGTTGTGAGATGAAAGACGAGCCTGTATTCAAGCCACTGCAAGGAAATCCGGCCTCCTTTCAAGTTAGGGCTTCTCGCTGTATATTCCCCTTGAGGCAGCAAACTCGGGGTCCCTCCCACATACCTATTGCTGAGAGAAGCCTCCTCCGGAGGTGCTTCTGGGAATTTGGCATACGTCTTGAGCCTAAGCCAGGGAATCAGCTCGCATCTCGAGACGATTTGGGGTACACGGAGCATTCCTCGTGTTGCTGTGCTGAAGTTGGTGTTCCTCTAGACTTGGGACAGTGTTCTCGGGGCATCTCTGGAGTTGCCTGAAGGAAGTCGAGCCAGCGGTCGTGTTGAATGGGGAACGGGGAATGGCTCTGGAGTCAATGCAGGGGAATCGGGCCTCATCTCGAGTTGATTTGGGGCACATGGAGCTGCTTTGCGTTGCTGGGGTGACCTCAGGGTCCGTCTAGACTGGTGACAGTGTTCTTGGGGACTGTCTCGAGATCCATTAAGCAAGCCGAAGCTCCTGACTTGTTTGAATGGGATCACGGAATAGCTCTGCATGCACTGCAGGGGAATGGGGCCTCATCTCGCCTCTAGGGGGAAGTCTCATGGTTTTTCTCGAGTTGCGGCGGGGACCTGGGGTATGTTCTCGACTTACGGCGGGGATGGCCCTTCAAAACACGAGTTTCTTCAGTGACGTCAGGACTCCTGTCTAGTAACGAGGGACACCTCAGGAATCTCTTCGAGGCTTGGCAGGGCCAAAGGGACGCTTCTCGAGGTGAGGCAGGGCACCCAAGGACCCTTTCCAGTAGCCACCGGGATTTTGGGATTCCTATCAGTATTCAAGAGGAGTCAGGCATCGTCACCTTTTGAAGCAATGAACTCCGCGTGCCTCTCGAGGTGTCAGCGGGATGTGAGGCATTGCGTCAAAATGAGGCAGGGACCTAGGGCTTTCTCTAAGGTCTCCACAGCGGATTCAGACATCCCTTCATGTTGTGAGATGAAAGACGAGCCTGTATTCAAGCCACTGCATGGAAATCCAGCCTCCTTTCAAGTTAGGGCTTCTCGCTGTATATTCCCCTTGAGGCAGCAAACTCGGGGTCCCTCCCACATACCTATTGCTGAGAGAAGCCTCCTCCTGAGGTGCTTCTGGGAAGTTGGCATACGTCTTGAGCCTAAGCCAGGGAATCAGCTCGCATCTCGAGACGATTTGGGGTACACGGAGCATTCCTCGAGTTGCTGTGCTGAAGTTGGTGTTCCTCTAGACTTGGGACAGTGTTCTCGGGGCATCTCTGGAGTTGCCTGAAGGAAGTCGAGCCACCGGTCGTGTTGAATGGGGAACGGGGAATGGCTCTGGAGTCAATGCAGGGGAATCGGGCCTCATCTCGAGTTGATTTGGGGCACATGGAGCTGCTTTGCGTTGCTGGGGTGACCTCAGGGTCCGTCTAGACTGGTGACAGTGTTCTTGGGGACTGTCTCGAGATCCATTAAGCAAGCCGAAGCTCCTGACTTGTTTGAATGGGATCACGGAATAGCTCTGCATGCACTGCAGGGGAATGGGGCCTCATCTCGCCTCTAGGGGGAAGTCTCATGGTTTTTCTCGAGTTGCGGCGGGGACCTGGGGTATGTTCTCGACTTACGGCGGGGATGGCCCTTCAAAACACGAGTTTCTTCAGTGACGTCAGGACTCCTGTCTAGTAACGAGGGACACCTCAGGAATCTCTTCGAGGCTTGGCAGGGCCAAAGGGACGCTTCTCGAGGTGAGGCAGGGCACCCAAGGACCCTTTCCAGTAGCCACAGGGATTTTGGGATTCCTATCAGTATTCAAGAGGAGTCAGGCATCGTCACCTTTTGAAGCAATGAACTCCGCGTGCCTCTCGAGGTGTCAGCGGGATGTGAGGCATTCCGTCAAAATGAGGCAGGGACCTAGGGCTTTCTCTAAGGTCTCCACAGGGGATTCAGACATCCCTTCATGTTTTGAGATGAAAGACGAGCCTGTATTCAAGCCACTGCAAGGAAATCCGGCCTCCTTTCAAGTTAGGGCTTCTCGCTGTATATTCCCCTTGAGGCAGCAAACTCGGGGTCCCTCCCACATACCTATTGCTGAGAGAAGCCTCCTCCTGAGGTGCTTCTGGGAAGTTGGCATACGTCTTGAGCCTAAGCCAGGGAATCAGCTCGCATCTCGAGACGATTTGGGGTACACGGAGCATTCCTCGAGTTGCTGTGCTGAAGTTGGTGTTCCTCTAGACTTGGGACAGTGTTCTCGGGGCATCTCTGGAGTTGCCTGAAGGAAGTCGAGCCACCGGTCGTGTTGAATGGGGAACGGGGAATGGCTCTGGAGTCAATGCAGGGGAATCGGGCCTCATCTCGAGTTGATTTGGGGCACATGGAGCTGCTTTGCGTTGCTGGGGTGACCTCAGGGTCCGTCTAGACTGGTGACAGTGTTCTTGGGGACTGTCTCGAGATCCATTAAGCAAGTCGAAGCTCCTGACTTGTTTGAATGGGATCACGGAATAGCTCTGCATGCACTGCAGGGGAATGGGGCCTCATCTCGCCTCTAGGGGGAAGTCTCATGGTTTTTCTCGAGTTGCGGCGGGGACCTGGGGTATGTTCTCGACTTACGGCGGGGATGGCCCTTCAAAACACGAGTTTCTTCAGTGACGTCAGGACTCCTGTCTAGTAACGAGGGACACCTCAGGAATCTCTTCGAGGCTTGGCAGGGCCAAAGGGACGCTTCTCGAGGTGAGGCAGGGCACCCAAGGACCCTTTCCAGTAGCCACAGGGATTTTGGGATTCCTATTAGTATTCAAGAGGAGTCAGGCATCGTCACCTTTTGAAGCAATGAACTCCGCGTGCCTCTCGAGGTGTCAGCGGGATGTGAGGGATTCCGTCAAAATGAGGCAGGGACCTAGGGCTTTCTCTAAGGTCTCCACAGGGGATTCAGACATCCCTTCATGTTGTGAGATGAAAGACGAGCCTGTATTCAAGCCACTGCCAGGAAATCCGGCCTCCTTTCAAGTTAGGGCTTCTCGCTGTATATTCCCCTTGAGGCAGCAAACTCGGGGTCCCTCCCACATACCTATTGCTGAGAGAAGCCTCCTCCTGAGATGCTTCTGGGAATTTGGCATACGTCTTGAGCCTAAGCCAGGGAATCAGCTCGCATCTCGAGACGATTTGGGGTACACGGAGCATTCCTCGAGTTGCTGTGCTGAAGTTGGTGTTCCTCTAGACTTGGGACAGTGTTCTCGGGGCATCTCTGGAGTTGCCTGAAGGAAGTCGAGCCAGCGGTCGTGTTGAATGGGGAACGGGGAATGGCTCTGGAGTCAATGCAGGGGAATCGGGCCTCATCTTGAGTTGATTTGGGGCACATGGAGCTGCTTTGCGTTGCTGGGGTGACCTCAGGGTCCGTCTAGACTGGTGACAGTGTTCTTGGGGACTGTCTCGAGATCCATTAAGCAAGCCGAAGCTCCTGACTTGTTTGAATGGGATCACGGAATAGCTCTGCATGCACTGCAGGGGAATGGGGCCTCATCTCGCCTCTAGGGGGAAGTCTCATGGTTTTTCTCGAGTTGCGGCGGGGACCTGGGGTATGTTCTCGACTTACGGCGGGGATGGCCCTTCAAAACACGAGTTTCTTCAGTGACGTCAGGACTCCTGTCTAGTAACGAGGGACACCTCAGGAATCTCTTCGAGGCTTGGCAGGGCCAAAGGGACGCTTCTCGAGGTGAGGCAGGGCACCCAAGGACCCTTTCCAGTAGCCACAGGGATTTTGGGATTCCTATTAGTATTCAAGAGGAGTCAGGCATCGTCACCTTTTGAAGCAATGAACTCCGCGTGCCTCTCGAGGTGTCAGCGGGATGTGAGGCATTCCGTCAAAATGAGGCAGGGACCTAGGGCTTTCTCTAAGGTCTCCACAGGGGATTCAGACATCCCTTCATGTTGTGAGATGAAAGACGAGCCTGTATTCAAGCCACTGCAAGGAAATCCGGCCTCCTTTCAAGTTAGGGCTTCTCGCTGTATATTCCCCTTGAGGCAGCAAACTCGGGGTCCCTCCCACATACCTATTGCTGAGAGAAGCCTCCTCCTGAGGTGCTTCTGGGAATTTGGCATACGTCTTGAGCCTAAGCCAGGGAATCAGCTCGCATCTCGAGACGATTTGGGGTACACGGAGCATTCCTCGAGTTGCTGTGCTGAAGTTGGTGTTCCTCTAGACTTGGGACAGTGTTCTCGGGGCATCTCTGGAGTTGCCTGAAGGAAGTCGAGCCAGCGGTCGTGTTGAATGGGGAACGGGGAATGGCTCTGGAGTCAATGCAGGGGAATCGGGCCTCATCTTGAGTTGATTTGGGGCACATGGAGCTGCTTTGCGTTGCTGGGGTGACCTCAGAGTCCGTCTAGACTGGTGACAGTGTTCTTGGGGACTGTCTCGAGATCCATTAAGCAAGCCGAAGCTCCTGACTTGTTTGAATGGGATCACGGAATAGCTCTGCATGCACTGCAGGGGAATGGGGCCTCATCTCGCCTCTAGGGGGAAGTCTCATGGTTTTTCTCGAGTTGCGGGGGGACCTGGGGTATGTTCTCGACTTACGGCGGGGATGGCCCTTCAAAACACGAGTTTCTTCAGTGACGTCAGGACTCCTGTCTAGTAACGAGGGACACCTCAGGAATCTCTTCGAGGCTTGGCAGGGCCAAAGGGACGCTTCTCGAGGTGAGGCAGGGCACCCAAGGACCCTTTCCAGTAGCCACAGGGATTTTGGGATTCCTATCAGTATCCAAAGGAGTCAGGCATCGTCACCTTTTGAAGCAATGAACTCCGCGTGCCTCTCGAGGTGTCAGCGGGATGTGAGGCATTCCGTCAAAATGAGGCAGGGACCTAGGGCTTTCTCTAAGGTCTCCACAGGGGATTCAAACATCCCTTCATGTTGTGAGATGAAAGACGAGCCTGTATTCAAGCCACTGCAAGGAAATCCGGCCTCCTTTCAAGTTAGGGCTTCTCGCTGTATATTCCCCTTGAGGCAGCAAACTCGGGGTCCCTCCCACATACCTATTGCTGAGAGAAGCCTCCTCCTGAGGTGCTTCTGGGAAGTTGGCATACGTCTTGAGCCTAAGCCAGGGAATCAGCTCGCATCTCGAGACGATTTGGGGTACACGGAGCATTCCTCGAGTTGCTGTGCTGAAGTTGGTGTTCCTCTAGACTTGGGACAGTGTTCTCGGGTCATCTCTGGAGTTGCCTGAAGGAAGTCGAGCCACCGGTCGTGTTGAATGGGGAACGGGGAATGGCTCTGGAGTCAATGCAGGGGAATCGGGCCTCATCTCGAGTTGATTTGGGGCACATGGAGCTGCTTTGCGTTGCTGGGGTGACCTCAGGGTCCGTCTAGACTGGTGACAGTGTTCTTGGGGACTGTCTCGAGATCCATTAAGCAAGTCGAAGCTCCTGACTTGTTTGAATGGGATCACGGAATAGCTCTGCATGCACTGCAGGGGAATGGGGCCTCATCTCGCCTCTAGGGGGAAGTCTCATGGTTTTTCTCGAGTTGCGGCGGGGACCTGGGGTATGTTCTCGACTTACGGCGGGGATGGCCCTTCAAAACACGAGTTTCTTCAGTGACGTCAGGACTCCTGTCTAGTAACGAGGGACACCTCAGGAATCTCTTCGAGGCTTGGCAGGGCCAAAGGGACGCTTCTCGAGGTGAGGCAGGGCACCCAAGGACCCTTTCCAGTAGCCACAGGGATTTTGGGATTCCTATCAGTATCCAAAGGAGTCAGGCATCGTCACCTTTTGAAGCAATGAACTCCGCGTGCCTCTCGAGGTGTCAGCGGGATGTGAGGCATTCCGTCAAAATGAGGCAGGGACCTAGGGCTTTCTCTAAGGTCTCCACAGGGGATTCAGACATCCCTTCATGTTGTGAGATGAAAGACGAGCCTGTATTCAAGCCACTGCAAGGAAATCCGGCCTCCTTTCAAGTTAGGGCTTCTCGCTGTATATTCCCCTTGAGGCAGCAAACTCGGGGTCCCTCCCACATACCTATTGCTGAGAGAAGCCTCCTCCTGAGGTGCTTCTGGGAGGTTGGCATACGTCTTGAGCCTAAGCCAGGGAATCAGCTCGCATCTCGAGACGATTTGGGGTACACGGAGCATTCCTCGAGTTGCTGTGCTGAAGTTGGTGTTCCTCTAGACTTGGGACAGTGTTCTCGGGGCATCTCTGGAGTTGCCTGAAGGAAGTCGAGCCACCGGTCGTGTTGAATGGGGAACGGGGAATGGCTCTGGAGTCAATGCAGGGGAATCGGGCCTCATCTCGAGTTGATTTGGGGCACATGGAGCTGCTTTGCGTTGCTGGGGTGACCTCAGGGTCCGTCTAGACTGGTGACAGTGTTCTTGGGGACTGTCTCGAGATCCATTAAGCAAGTCGAAGCTCCTGACTTGTTTGAATGGGATCACGGAATAGCTCTGCATGCACTGCAGGGGAATGGGGCCTCATCTCGCCTCTAGGGGGAAGTCTCATGGTTTTTCTCGAGTTGCGGCGGGGACCTGGGGTATGTTCTCGACTTACGGCGGGGATGGCCCTTCAAAACACGAGTTTCTTCAGTGACGTCAGGACTCCTGTCTAGTAACGAGGGACACCTCAGGAATCTCTTCGAGGCTTGGCAGGGCCAAAGGGACGCTTCTCGAGGTGAGGCAGGGCACCCAAGGACCCTTTCCAGTAGCCACAGGGATTTTGGGATTCCTATCAGTATCCAAAGGAGTCAGGCATCGTCACCTTTTGAAGCAATGAACTCCGCGTGCCTCTCGAGGTGTCAGCGGGATGTGAGGCATTCCGTCAAAATGAGGCAGGGACCTAGGGCTTTCTCTAAGGTCTCCACAGGGGATTCAGACATCCCTTCATGTTGTGAGATGAAAGACGAGCCTGTATTCAAGCCACTGCAAGGAAATCCGGCCTCCTTTCAAGTTAGGGCTTCTCGCTGTATATTCCCCTTGAGGCAGCAAACTCGGGGTCCCTCCCACATACCTATTGCTGAGAGAAGCCTCCTCCTGAGGTGCTTCTGGGAAGTTGGCATACGTCTTGAGCCTAAGCCAGGGAATCAGCTCGCATCTCGAGACGATTTGGGGTACACGGAGCATTCCTCGAGTTGCTGTGCTGAAGTTGGTGTTCCTCTAGACTTGGGACAGTGTTCTCGGGGCATCTCTGGAGTTGCCTGAAGGAAGTCGAGCCACCGGTCGTGTTGAATGGGGAACGGGGAATGGCTCTGGAGTCAATGCAGGGGAATCGGGCCTCATCTCGAGTTGATTTGGGGCACATGGAGCTGCTTTGCGTTGCTGGGGTGACCTCAGGGTCCGTCTAGACTGGTGACAGTGTTCTTGGGGACTGTCTCGAGATCCATTAAGCAAGTCGAAGCTCCTGACTTGTTTGAATGGGATCACGGAATAGCTCTGCATGCACTGCAGGGGAATGGGGCCTCATCTCGCCTCTAGGGGGAAGTCTCATGGTTTTTCTCGAGTTGCGGCGGGGACCTGGGGTATGTTCTCGACTTACGGCGGGGATGGCCCTTCAAAACACGAGTTTCTTCAGTGACGTCAGGACTCCTGTCTAGTAACGAGGGACACCTCAGGAATCTCTTCGAGGCTTGGCAGGGCCAAAGGGACGCTTCTCGAGGTGAGGCAGGGCACCCAATGACCCTTTCCAGTAGCCACAGGGATTTTGGGATTCCTAACAGTATCCAAAGGAGTCAGGCATCGTCACCTTTTGAAGCAATGAACTCCGCGTGCCTCTCGAGGTGTCAGCGGGATGTGAGGCATTCCGTCAAAATGAGGCAGGGTCCTAGGGCTTTCTCTAAGGTCTCCACAGGGGATTCAGACATCCCTTCATGTTGTGAGATGAAAGACGAGCCTGTATTCAAGCCACTGCAAGGAAATCCAGCCTCCTTTCAAGTTAGGGCTTCTCGCTGTATATTCCCCTTGAGGCAGCAAACTCGGGGTCCCTCCCACATACCTATTGCTGAGAGAAGCCTCCTCCTGAGGTGCTTCTGGGAAGTTGGCATACGTCTTGAGCCTAAGCCAGGGAATCAGCTCGCATCTCGAGACGATTTGGGGTACACGGAGCATTCCTCGAGTTGCTGTGCTGAAGTTGGTGTTCCTCTAGACTTGGGACAGTGTTCTCGGGGCATCTCTGGAGTTGCCTGAAGGAAGTCGAGCCACCGGTCGTGTTGAATGGGGAACGGGGAATGGCTCTGGAGTCAATGCAGGGGAATCGGGCCTCATCTCGAGTTGATTTGGGGCACATGGAGCTGCTTTGCGTTGCTGGGGTGACCTCAGGGTCCGTCTAGACTGGTGACAGTGTTCTTGGGGACTCTCTCGAGATCCATTAAGCAAGTCGAAGCTCCTGACTTGTTTGAATGGGATCACGGAATAGCTCTGCATGCACTGCAGGGGAATGGGGCCTCATCTCGCCTCTAGGGGGAAGTCTCATGGTTTTTCTCGAGTTGCGGCGGGGACCTGGGGTATGTTCTCGACTTACGGCGGGGATGGCCCTTCAAAACACGAGTTTCTTCAGTGACGTCAGGACTCCTGTCTAGTAACGAGGGACACCTCAGGAATCTCTTCGAGGCTTGGCAGGGCCAAAGGGACGCTTCTCGAGGTGAGGCAGGGCACCCAAGGACCCTTTCCAGTAGCCACAGGGATTTTGGGATTCCTATCAGTATTCAAGAGGAGTCAGGCATCGTCACCTTTTGAAGCAATGAACTCCGCGTGCCTCTCGAGGTGTCAGCGGGATGTGAGGCATTCCGTCAAAATGAGGCAGGGACCTAGGGCTTTCTCTAAGGTCTCCACAGGGGATTCAGACATCCCTTCATGTTGTGAGATGAAAGACGAGCCTGTATTCAAGCCACTGCAAGGAAATCTGGCCTCCTTTCAAGTTAGGGCTTCTCGCTGTATATTCTCCTTGAGGCAGCAAACTCGGGGTCCCTCCCACATACCTATTGCTGAGAGAAGCCTCCTCCTGAGGTGCTTCTGAGAAGTTGGCATACGTCTTGAGCCTAAGCCAGGGAATCAGCTCGCATCTCGAGATGATTTGGGGTAGACGGAGCATTCCTCGAGTTGCTGTGCTGAAGTTGGTGTTCCTCTAGACTTGGGACAGTGTTCTCGGGGCATCTCTGGAGTTGCCTGAAGGAAGTCGAGCCACCGGTCGTGTTGAATGGGGAACGGGGAATGGCTCTGGAGTCAATGCAGGGGAATCGGGCCTCATCTCGAGTTGATTTGGGGCACATGGAGCTGCTTTGCGTTGCTGGGGTGACCTCAGGGTCCGTCTAGACTGGTGACAGTGTTCTTGGGGACTGTCTCGAGATCCATTAAGCAAGTCGAAGCTCCTGACTTGTTTGAATGGGATCACGGAATAGCTCTGCATGCACTGCAGGGGAATGGGGCCTCATCTCGCCTCTAGGGGGAAGTCTCATGGTTTTTCTTGAGTTGCGGCGGGGACCTGGGGTATGTTCTCGACTTACGGCGGGGATGGCCCTTCAAAACACGAGTTTCTTCAGTGACGTCAGGACTCCTGTCTAGTAACGAGGGACACCTCAGGAATCTCTTCGAGGCTTGGCAGGGCCAAAGGGACGCTTCTCGAGGTGAGGCAGGGCACCCAAGGACCCTTTCCAGTAGCCACCGGGATTTTGGGATTCCTATCAGTATCCAAAGGAGTCAGGCATCGTCACCTTTTGAAGCAATGAACTCCGCGTGCCTCTCGAGGTGTCAGCGGGATGTGAGGCATTCCGTCAAAATGAGGCAGGGACCTAGGGCTTTCTCTAAGGTCTCCACAGGGGATTCAGACATCCCTTCATGTTGTGAGATGAAAGACGAGCCTGTATTCAAGCCACTGCAAGGAAATCCGGCCTCCTTTCAAGTTAGGGCTTCTCGCTGTATATTCCCCTTGAGGCAGCAAACTCGGGGTCCCTCCCACATACCTATTGCTGAGAGAAGCCTCCTCCTGAGGTGCTTCTGGGAAGTTGGCATACGTCTTGAGCCTAAGCCAGGGAATCAGCTCGCATCTCGAGACGATTTGGGGTACACGGAGCATTCCTCGAGTTGCTGTGCTGAAGTTGGTGTTCCTCTAGACTTGGGACAGTGTTCTCGGGGCATCTCTGGAGTTGCCTGAAGGAAGTCGAGCCACCGGTCGTGTTGAATGGGGAATGGGGAATGGCTCTGGAGTCAATGCAGGGGAATCGGGCCTCATCTCGAGTTGATTTGGGGCACATGGAGCTGCTTTGCGTTGCTGGGGTGACCTCAGGGTCCGTCTAGACTGGTGACAGTGTTCTTGGGGACTGTCTCGAGATCCATTAAGCAAGTCGAAGCTCCTGACTTGTTTGAATGGGATCACGGAATAGCTCTGCATGCACTGCAGGGGAATGGGGCCTCATCTCGCCTCTAGGGGGAAGTCTCATGGTTTTTCTCGAGTTGCGGCGGGGACCTGGGGTATGTTCTCGACTTACGGCGGGGATGGCCCTTCAAAACACGAGTTTCTTCAGTGACGTCAGGACTCCTGTCTAGTAACGAGGGACACCTCAGGAATCTCTTCGAGGCTTGGCAGGGCCAAAGGGACGCTTCTCGAGGTGAGGCAGGGCACCCAAGGACCCTTTCCAGTAGCCACAGGGATTTTGGGATTCCTATCAGTATCCAAAGGAGTCAGGCATCGTCACCTTTTGAAGCAATGAACTCCGCGTGCCTCTCGAGGTGTCAGCGGGATGTGAGGCATTCCGTCAAAATGAGGCAGGGACCTAGGGCTTTCTCTAAGGTCTCCACAGGGGATTCAGACATCCCTTCATGTTGTGAGATGAAAGACGAGCCTGATTTCAAGCCACTGCAAGGAAATCCGGCCTCCTTTCAAGTTAGGGCTTCTCGCTGTATATTCCCCTTGAGGCAGCAAACTCGGGGTCCCTCCCACATACCTATTGCTGAGAGAAGCCTCCTCCTGAGGTGCTTCTGGGAAGTTGGCATACGTCTTGAGCCTAAGCCAGGGAATCAGCTCGCATCTCGAGACGATTTGGGGTACACGGAGCATTCCTCGAGTTGCTGTGCTGAAGTTGGTGTTCCTCTAGACTTGGGACAGTGTTCTCGGGGCATCTCTGGAGTTGCCTGAAGGAAGTCGAGCCACCGGTCGTGTTGAATGGGGAACGGGGAGTGGCTCTGGAGTCAATGCAGGGGAATCGGACCTCATCTCGAGTTGATTTGGGGCACATGGAGCTGCTTTGCGTTGCTGGGGTGACCTCAGGGTCCGTCTAGACTGGTGACAGTGTTCTTGGGGACTGTCTCGAGATCCATTAAGCAAGCCGAAGCTCCTGACTTGTTTGAATGGGATCACGGAATAGCTCTGCATGCACTGCAGGGGAATGGGGCCTCATCTCGCCTCTAGGGGGAAGTCTCATGGTTTTTCTCGAGTTGCGGCGGGGACCTGGGGTATGTTCTCGACTTACGGCGGGGATGGCCCTTCAAAACACGAGTTTCTTCAGTGACGTCAGGACTCCTGTCTAGTAACGAGGGACACCTCAGGAATCTCTTCGAGGCTTGGCAGGGCCAAAGGGACGCTTCTCGAGGTGAGGCAGGGCACCCAAGGACCCTTTCCAGTAGCCACAGGGATTTTGGGATTCCTATCAGTATTCAAGAGGAGTCAGGCATCGTCACCTTTTGAAGCAATGAACTCCGCGTGCCTCTCGAGGTGTCAGCGGGATGTGAGGCATTCCGTCAAAATGAGGCAGGGACCTAGGGCTTTCTCTAAGGTCTCCACTGCGGATTCAGACATCCCTTCATGTTGTGAGATGAAAGACGAGCCTGTATTCAAGCCACTGCAAGGAAATCCGGCCTCCTTTCAAGTTAGGGCTTCTCGCTGTATATTCCCCTTGAGGCAGCAAACTCGGGGTCCCTCCCACATACCTATTGCTGAGAGAAGCCTCCTCCTGAGGTGCTTCTGGGAAGTTGGCATACGTCTTGAGCCTAAGCCAGGGAATCAGCTCGCATCTCGAGACGATTTGGGGTACACGGAGCATTCCTCGAGTTGCTGTGCTGAAGTTGGTGTTCCTCTAGACTTGGGACAGTGTTCTCGGGGCATCTCTGGAGTTGCCTGAAGGAAGTCGAGCCACCGGTCGTGTTGAATGGGGAACGGGGAATGGCTCTGGAGTCAATGCAGGGGAATCGGGCCTCATCTCGAGTTGATTTGGGGCACATGGAGCTGCTTTGTGTTGCTGGGGTGACCTCAGGGACCGTCTAGACTGGTGACAGTGTTCTTGGGGACTGTCTCGAGATCCATTAAGCAAGTCGAAGCTCCTGACTTGTTTGAATGGGATCACGGAATAGCTCTGCATGCACTGCAGGGGAATGGGGCCTCATCTCGCCTCTAGGGGGAAGTCTCATGGTTTTTCTCGAGTTGCGGCGGGGACCTGGGGTATGTTCTCGACTTACGGCGGGGATGGCCCTTCAAAACACGAGTTTCTTCAGTGACGTCAGGACTCCTGTCTAGTAACGAGGGACACCTCAGGAATCTCTTCGAGGCTTGGCAGGGCCAAAGGGACGCTTCTCGAGGTGAGGCAGGGCACCCAAGGACCCTTTCCAGTAGCCACAGGGATTTTGGGATTCCTATCAGTATTCAAGAGGAGTCAGGCATCGTCACCTTTTGAAGCAATGAACTCCGCGTGCCTCTCGAGGTGTCAGCGGGATGTGAGGCATTCCGTCAAAATGAGGCAGGGACCTAGGGCTTTCTCTAAGGTCTCCACAGGGGATTCAGACATCCCTTCATGTTGTGAGATGAAAGACGAGCCTGTATTCAAGCCACTGCAAGGAAATCCGGCCTCCTTTCAAGTTAGGGCTTCTCGCTGTATATTCCCCTTGAGGCAGCAAACTCGGGGTCCCTCCCACATACCTATTGCTGAGAGAAGCCTCCTCCTGAGGTGCTTCTGGGAGGTTGGCATACGTCTTGAGCCTAAGCCAGGGAATCAGCTCGCATCTCGAGACGATTTGGGGTACACGGAGCATTCCTCGAGTTGCTGTGCTGAAGTTGGTGTTCCTCTAGACTTGGGACAGTGTTCTCGGGGCATCTCTGGAGTTGCCTGAAGGAAGTCGAGCCACCGGTCGTGTTGAATGGGGAACGGGGAATGGCTCTGGAGTCAATGCAGGGGAATCGGGCCTCATCTCGAGTTGATTTGGGGCACATGGAGCTGCTTTGCGTTGCTGGGGTGACCTCAGGGTCCGTCTAGACTGGTGACAGTGTTCTTGGGGACTGTCTCGAGATCCATTAAGCAAGTCGAAGCTCCTGACTTGTTTGAATGGGATCACGGAATAGCTCTGCATGCACTGCAGGGGAATGGGGCCTCATCTCGCCTCTAGGGGGAAGTCTCATGGTTTTTCTCGAGTTGCGGCGGGGACCTGGGGTATGTTCTCGACTTACGGCGGGGATGGCCCTTCAAAACACGAGTTTCTTCAGTGACGTCAGGACTCCTGTCTAGTAACGAGGGACACCTCAGGAATCTCTTCGAGGCTTGGCAGGGCCAAAGGGACGCTTCTCGAGGTGAGGCAGGGCACCCAAGGACCCTTTCCAGTAGCCACAGGGATTTTGGGATTCCTATCAGTATCCAAAGGAGTCAGGCATCGTCACCTTTTGAAGCAATGAACTCCGCGTGCCTCTCGAGGTGTCAGCGGGATGTGAGGCATTCCGTCAAAATGAGGCAGGGACCTAGGGCTTTCTCTAAGGTCTCCACAGGGGATTCAGACATCCCTTCATGTTGTGAGATGAAAGACGAGCCTGTATTCAAGCCACTGCAAGGAAATCCGGCCTCCTTTCAAGTTAGGGCTTCTCGCTGTATATTCCCCTTGAGGCAGCAAACTCGGGGTCCCTCCCACATACCTATTGCTGAGAGAAGCCTCCTCCTGAGGTGCTTCTGGGAAGTTGGCATACGTCTTGAGCCTAAGCCAGGGAATCAGCTCGCATCTCGAGACGATTTGGGGTACACGGAGCATTCCTCGAGTTGCTGTGCTGAAGTTGGTGTTCCTCTAGACTTGGGACAGTGTTCTCGGGGCATCTCTGGAGTTGCCTGAAGGAAGTCGAGCCACCGGTCGTGTTGAATGGGGAACGGGGAATGGCTCTGGAGTCAATGCAGGGGAATCGGGCCTCATCTCGAGTTGATTTGGGGCACATGGAGCTGCTTTGCGTTGCTGGGGTGACCTCAGGGTCCGTCTAGACTGGTGACAGTGTTCTTGGGGACTGTCTCGAGATCCATTAAGCAAGTCGAAGCTCCTGACTTGTTTGAATGGGATCACGGAATAGCTCTGCATGCACTGCAGGGGAATGGGGCCTCATCTCGCCTCTAGGGGGAAGTCTCATGGTTTTTCTCGAGTTGCGGCGGGGACCTGGGGTATGTTCTCGACTTACGGCGGGGATGGCCCTTCAAAACACGAGTTTCTTCAGTGACGTCAGGACTCCTGTCTAGTAACGAGGGACACCTCAGGAATCTCTTCGAGGCTTGGCAGGGCCAAAGGGACGCTTCTCGAGGTGAGGCAGGGCACCCAAGGACCCTTTCCAGTAGCCACAGGGATTTTGGGATTCCTAACAGTATCCAAAGGAGTCAGGCATCGTCACCTTTTGAAGCAATGAACTCCGCGTGCCTCTCGAGGTGTCAGCGGGATGTGAGGCATTCCGTCAAAATGAGGCAGGGTCCTAGGGCTTTCTCTAAGGTCTCCACAGGGGATTCAGACATCCCTTCATGTTGTGAGATGAAAGACGAGCCTGTATTCAAGCCACTGCAAGGAAATCCAGCCTCCTTTCAAGTTAGGGCTTCTCGCTGTATATTCCCCTTGAGGCAGCAAACTCGGGGTCCCTCCCACATACCTATTGCTGAGAGAAGCCTCCTCCTGAGGTGCTTCTGGGAAGTTGGCATACGTCTTGAGCCTAAGCCAGGGAATCAGCTCGCATCTCGAGACGATTTGGGGTACACGGAGCATTCCTCGAGTTGCTGTGCTGAAGTTGGTGTTCCTCTAGACTTGGGACAGTGTTCTCGGGGCATCTCTGGAGTTGCCTGAAGGAAGTCGAGCCACCGGTCGTGTTGAATGGGGAACGGGGAATGGCTCTGGAGTCAATGCAGGGGAATCGGGCCTCATCTCGAGTTGATTTGGGGCACATGGAGCTGCTTTGCGTTGCTGGGGTGACCTCAGGGTCCGTCTAGACTGGTGACAGTGTTCTTGGGGACTCTCTCGAGATCCATTAAGCAAGTCGAAGCTCCTGACTTGTTTGAATGGGATCACGGAATAGCTCTGCATGCACTGCAGGGGAATGGGGCCTCATCTCGCCTCTAGGGGGAAGTCTCATGGTTTTTCTCGAGTTGCGGCGGGGACCTGGGGTATGTTCTCGACTTACGGCGGGGATGGCCCTTCAAAACACGAGTTTCTTCAGTGACGTCAGGACTCCTGTCTAGTAACGAGGGACACCTCAGGAATCTCTTCGAGGCTTGGCAGGGCCAAAGGGACGCTTCTCGAGGTGAGGCAGGGCACCCAAGGACCCTTTCCAGTAGCCACAGGGATTTTGGGATTCCTATCAGTATTCAAGAGGAGTCAGGCATCGTCACCTTTTGAAGCAATGAACTCCGCGTGCCTCTCGAGGTGTCAGCGGGATGTGAGGCATTCCGTCAAAATGAGGCAGGGACCTAGGGCTTTCTCTAAGGTCTCCACAGGGGATTCAGACATCCCTTCATGTTGTGAGATGAAAGACGAGCCTGTATTCAAGCCACTGCAAGGAAATCTGGCCTCCTTTCAAGTTAGGGCTTCTCGCTGTATATTCTCCTTGAGGCAGCAAACTCGGGGTCCCTCCCACATACCTATTGCTGAGAGAAGCCTCCTCCTGAGGTGCTTCTGAGAAGTTGGCATACGTCTTGAGCCTAAGCCAGGGAATCAGCTCGCATCTCGAGATGATTTGGGGTAGACGGAGCATTCCTCGAGTTGCTGTGCTGAAGTTGGTGTTCCTCTAGACTTGGGACAGTGTTCTCGGGGCATCTCTGGAGTTGCCTGAAGGAAGTCGAGCCACCGGTCGTGTTGAATGGGGAACGGGGAATGGCTCTGGAGTCAATGCAGGGGAATCGGGCCTCATCTCGAGTTGATTTGGGGCACATGGAGCTGCTTTGCGTTGCTGGGGTGACCTCAGGGTCCGTCTAGACTGGTGACAGTGTTCTTGGGGACTGTCTCGAGATCCATTAAGCAAGTCGAAGCTCCTGACTTGTTTGAATGGGATCACGGAATAGCTCTGCATGCACTGCAGGGGAATGGGGCCTCATCTCGCCTCTAGGGGGAAGTCTCATGGTTTTTCTCGAGTTGCGGCGGGGACCTGGGGTATGTTCTCGACTTACGGCGGGGATGGCCCTTCAAAACACGAGTTTCTTCAGTGACGTCAGGACTCCTGTCTAGTAACGAGGGACACCTCAGGAATCTCTTCGAGGCTTGGCAGGGCCAAAGGGACGCTTCTCGAGGTGAGGCAGGGCACCCAAGGACCCTTTCCAGTAGCCACAGGGATTTTTGGATTCCTATCAGTATCCAAAGGAGTCAGGCATCGTCACCTTTTGAAGCAATGAACTCCGCGTGCCTCTCGAGGTGTCAGCGGGATGTGAGGCATTCCGTCAAAATGAGGCAGGGACCTAGGGCTTTCTCTAAGGTCTCCACAGGGGATTCAGACATCCCTTCATGTTGTGAGATGAAAGACGAGCCTGTATTCAAGCCACTGCAAGGAAATCCGGCCTCCTTTCAAGTTAGGGCTTCTCGCTGTATATTCCCCTTGAGGCAGCAAACTCGGGGTCCCTCCCACATACCTATTGCTGAGAGAAGCCTCCTCCTGAGGTGCTTCTGGGAAGTTGGCATACGTCTTGAGCCTAAGCCAGGGAATCAGCTCGCATCTCGAGACGATTTGGGGTACACGGAGCATTCCTCGAGTTGCTGTGCTGAAGTTGGTGTTCCTCTAGACTTGGGACAGTGTTCTCGGGGCATCTCTGGAGTTGCCTGAAGGAAGTCGAGCCACCGGTCGTGTTGAATGGGGAATGGGGAATGGCTCTGGAGTCAATGCAGGGGAATCGGGCCTCATCTCGAGTTGATTTGGGGCACATGGAGCTGCTTTGCGTTGCTGGGGTGACCTCAGGGTCCGTCTAGACTGGTGACAGTGTTCTTGGGGACTGTCTCGAGATCCATTAAGCAAGTCGAAGCTCCTGACTTGTTTGAATGGGATCACGGAATAGCTCTGCATGCACTGCAGGGGAATGGGGCCTCATCTCGCCTCTAGGGGGAAGTCTCATGGTTTTTCTCGAGTTGCGGCGGGGACCTGGGGTATGTTCTCGACTTACGGCGGGGATGGCCCTTCAAAACACGAGTTTCTTCAGTGACGTCAGGACTCCTGTCTAGTAACGAGGGACACCTCAGGAATCTCTTCGAGGCTTGGCAGGGCCAAAGGGACGCTTCTCGAGGTGAGGCAGGGCACCCAAGGACCCTTTCCAGTAGCCACCGGGATTTTGGGATTCCTATCAGTATCCAAAGGAGTCAGGCATCGTCACCTTTTGAAGCAATGAACTCCGCGTGCCTCTCGAGGTGTCAGCGGGATGTGAGGCATTCCGTCAAAATGAGGCAGGGACCTAGGGCTTTCTCTAAGGTCTCCACTGCGGATTCAGACATCCCTTCATGTTGTGAGATGAAAGACGAGCCTGTATTCAAGCCACTGCAAGGAAATCCGGCCTCCTTTCAAGTTAGGGCTTCTCGCTGTATATTCCCCTTGAGGCAGCAAACTCGGGGTCCCTCCCACATACCTATTGCTGAGAGAAGCCTCCTCCGGAGGTGCTTCTGGGAAGTTGGCATACGTCTTGAGCCTAAACCAGGGAATCAGCTCGCATCTCGAGACGATTTGGGGTACACGGAACATTCCTCGAGTTGCTGTGCTGAAGTTGGTGTTCCTCTAGACTTGGGACAGTGTTCTCGGGGCATCTCTGGAGTTGCCTGAAGGAAGTCGAGCCACCGGTCGTGTTGAATGGGGAACGGGGAATGGCTCTGGAGTCAATGCAGGGGAATCGGGCCTCATCTCGAGTTGATTTGGGGCACATGGAGCTGCTTTGCGTTGCTGGGGTGACCTCAGGGTCCGTTTGGACTGGTGACAGTGTTCTTGGGGACTGTCTCGAGATCCATTAAGCAAGCCGAAGCTCCTGACTTGTTTGAATGGGATCACGGAATAGCTCTGCATGCACTGCAGGGGAATGGGGCCTCATCTCGCCTCTAGGGGGAAGTCTCATGGTTTTTCTCGAGTTGCGGCGGGGACCTGGGGTATGTTCTCGACTTACGGCGGGGATGGCCCTTCAAAACACGAGTTTCTTCAGTGACGTCAGGACTCCTGTCTAGTAACGAGGGACACCTCAGGAATCTCTTCGAGGCTTGGCAGGGCCAAAGGGACGCTTCTCGAGGTGAGGCAGGGCACCCAAGGACCCTTTCCAGTAGCCACAGGGATTTTGGGATTCCTATCAGTATTCAAGAGGAGTCAGGCATCGTCACCTTTTGAAGCAATGAACTCCGCGTGTCTCTCGAGGTGTCAGCGGGAAGTGAGGCATTCCGTCAAAATGAGGCATTGACCTAGGGCTTTCTCTAACGTCTCCACAGGGGATTCAGACATCCCTTCATGTTGTGAGATGAAAGACGAGCCTGTATTCAAGCCACTGCAAGGAAATCCGGCCTCCTTTCAAGTTAGGGCTTCTCGCTGTATATTCCCCTTGAGGCAGCAAACTCGGGGTCCCTCCCACATACCTATTGCTGAGAGAAGCCTCCTCCTGAGGTGCTTCTGGGAAGTTTGCATACGTCTTGAGCCTAAGCCAGGGAATCAGCTCGGATCTCGAGACGATTTGGGGTACACGGAGCATTCCTCGAGTTGCTGTGCTGAAGCTGGTGTTCCTCTAGACTTGGGACAGTGTTCTCGGGGCATCTCTGGAGTTGCCTGAAGGAAGTCGAGCCACCGGTCGTGTTGAATGGGGAACGGGGAATGGCTCTGGAGTCAATGCAGGGGAATCGGGCCTCATCTCGAGTTGATTTGGGGCACATGGAGCTGCTTTGCGTTGCTGGGGTGACCTCAGGGTCCGTCTAGACTGGTGACAGTGTTCTTGGGGACTGTCTCGAGATCCATTAAGCAAGTCGAAGCTCCTGACTTGTTTGAATGGGATCACGGAATAGCTCTGCATGCACTGCAGGGGAATGGGGCCTCATCTCGCCTCTAGGGGGAAGTCTCATGGTTTTTCTCGAGTTGCGGCGGGGACCTGGGGTATGTTCTCGACTTACGGCGGGGATGGCCCTTCAAAACACGAGTTTCTTCAGTGACGTCAGGACTCCTGTCTAGTAACGAGGGACACCTCAGGAATCTCTTCGAGGCTTGGCAGGGCCAAAGGGACGCTTCTCGAGGTGAGGCAGGGCACCCAAGGACCCTTTCCAGTAGCCACAGGGATTTTGGGATTCCTATCAGTATTCAAGAGGAGTCAGGCATCGTCACCTTTTGAAGCAATGAACTCCGCGTGCCTCTCGAGGTGTCAGCGGGATGTGAGGGATTCCGTCAAAATGAGGCAGGGACCTAGGGCTTTCTCTAAGGTCTCCACAGGTGACTCAGACATCCCTTCATGTTGTGAGATGAAAGACGAGCCTGTATTCAAGCCACTGCAAGGAAATCCGGCCTCCTTTCAAGATAGGGCTTCTCGCTGTATATTCCCCTTGAGGCAGCAAACTCGGGGTCCCTCCCACATACCTATTGCTGAGAGAAGCCTCCTCCGGAGGTGCTTCTGGGAATTTGGCATACGTCTTGAGCCTAAGCCAGGGTATCAGCTCGCATCTCGAGACGATTTGGGGTACACGGAGCATTCCTCGAGTTGCTGTGCTGAAGTTGGTGTTCCTCTAGACTTGGGACAGTGTTCTCGGGGCATCTCTGCAGTTGCCTGAAGGAAGTCGAGCCAGCGGTCGTGTTGAATGGGGAACGGGGAATGGCTCTGGAGTCAATGCAGGGGAATCGGGCCTCATCTCGAGTTGATTTGGGGCACATGGAGCTGCTTTGCGTTGCTGGGGTGACCTCAGGGTCCGTCTAGACTGGTGACAGTGTTCTTGGGGACTGTCTCGAGATCCATTAAGCAAGCCGAAGCTCCTGACTTGTTTGAATGGGATCACGGAATAGCTCTGCATGCACTGCAGGGGAATGGGGCCTCATCTCGCCTCTAGGGGGAAGTCTCATGGTTTTTCTCGAGTTGCGGCGGGGACCTGGGGTATGTTCTCGACTTACGGCGGGGATGGCCCTTCAAAACACGAGTTTCTTCAGTGACGTCAGGACTCCTGTCTAGTAACGAGGGACACCTCAGGAATCTCTTCGAGGCTTGGCAGGGCCAAAGGGACGCTTCTCGAGGTGAGGCAGGGCACCCAAGGACCCTTTCCAGTAGCCACAGGGATTTTGGGATTCCTATCAGTATTCAAGAGGAGTCAGGCATCGTCACCTTTTGAAGCAATGAACTCCGCGTGCCTATCGAGGTGTCAGCGGGATGTGAGGCATTCCGTCAAAATGAGGCAGGGACCTAGGGCTTTCTCTAAGGTCTCCACAGGGGATTCAGACATCCCTTCATGTTGTGAGATGAAAGACGAGCCTGTATTCAAGCCACTGCAAGGAAATCCGGCCTCCTTTCAAGTTAGGGCTTCTCGCTGTATATTCCCCTTGAGGCAGCAAACTCGGGGTCCCTCCCACATACCTATTGCTGAGAGAAGCCTCCTCCGGAGGTGCTTCTGGGAATTTGGCATACGTCTTGAGCCTAAGCCAGGGAATCAGCTCGCATCTCGAGACGATTTGGGGTACACGGAGCATTCCTCGAGTTGCTGTGCTGAAGTTGGTGTTCCTCTAGACTTGGGACAGTGTTCTCGGGGCATCACTGGAGTTGCCTGAAGGAAGTCGAGCCAGCGGTCGTGTTGAATGGGCAACGGGGAATGGCTCTGGAGTCAATGCAGGGGAATCGGGCCTCATCTCGAGTTGATTTGGGGCACATGGAACTGCTTTGCGTTGCTGGGGTGACCTCAGGGTCCGTCTAGACTGGTGACAGTGTTCTTGGGGACTGTCTCGAGATCCATTAAGCAAGCCGAAGCTCCTGACTTGTTTGAATGGGATCACGGAATAGCTCTGCATGCACTGCAGGGGAATGGGGCCTCATCTCGCCTCTAGGGGGAAGTCTCATGGTTTTTCTCGAGTTGCGGCGGGGACCTGGGGTATGTTCTCGACTTACGGCGGGGATGGCCCTTCAAAACACGAGTTTCTTCAGTGACGTCAGGACTCCTGTCTAGTAACGAGGGACACCTCAGGAATCTCTTCGAGGCTTGGCAGGGCCAAAGGGACGCTTCTCGAGGTGAGGCAGGGCACCCAAGGACCCTTTCCAGTAGCCACAGGGATTTTGGGATTCCTAACAGTATCCAAAGGAGTCAGGCATCGTCACCTTTTGAAGCAATGAACTCCGCGTGCCTCTCGAGGTGTCAGCGGGATGTGAGGCATTCCGTCAAAATGAGGCAGGGTCCTAGGGCTTTCTCTAAGGTCTCCACAGGGGATTCAGACATCCCTTCATGTTGTGAGATGAAAGACGAGCCTGTATTCAAGCCACTGCAAGGAAATCCAGCCTCCTTTCAAGTTAGGGCTTCTCGCTGTATATTCCCCTTGAGGCAGCAAACTCGGGGTCCCTCCCACATACCTATTGCTGAGAGAAGCCTCCTCCTGAGGTGCTTCTGGGAAGTTGGCATACGTCTTGAGCCTAAGCCAGGGAATCAGCTCGCATCTCGAGACGATTTGGGGTACACGGAGCATTCCTCGAGTTGCTGTGCTGAAGTTGGTGTTCCTCTAGACTTGGGACAGTGTTCTCGGGGCATCTCTGGAGTTGCCTGAAGGAAGTCGAGCCACCGGTCGTGTTGAATGGGGAACGGGGAATGGCTCTGGAGTCAATGCAGGGGAATCGGGCCTCATCTCGAGTTGATTTGGGGCACATGGAGCTGCTTTGCGTTGCTGGGGTGACCTCAGGGTCCGTCTAGACTGGTGACAGTGTTCTTGGGGACTCTCTCGAGATCCATTAAGCAAGTCGAAGCTCCTGACTTGTTTGAATGGGATCACGGAATAGCTCTGCATGCACTGCAGGGGAATGGGGCCTCATCTCGCCTCTAGGGGGAAGTCTCATGGTTTTTCTCGAGTTGCGGCGGGGACCTGGGGTATGTTCTCGACTTACGGCGGGGATGGCCCTTCAAAACACGAGTTTCTTCAGTGACGTCAGGACTCCTGTCTAGTAACGAGGGACACCTCAGGAATCTCTTCGAGGCTTGGCAGGGCCAAAGGGACGCTTCTCGAGGTGAGGCAGGGCACCCAAGGACCCTTTCCAGTAGCCACAGGGATTTTGGGATTCCTATCAGTATTCAAGAGGAGTCAGGCATCGTCACCTTTTGAAGCAATGAACTCCGCGTGCCTCTCGAGGTGTCAGCGGGATGTGAGGCATTCCGTCAAAATGAGGCAGGGACCTAGGGCTTTCTCTAAGGTCTCCACAGGGGATTCAGACATCCCTTCATGTTGTGAGATGAAAGACGAGCCTGTATTCAAGCCACTGCAAGGAAATCTGGCCTCCTTTCAAGTTAGGGCTTCTCGCTGTATATTCTCCTTGAGGCAGCAAACTCGGGGTCCCTCCCACATACCTATTGCTGAGAGAAGCCTCCTCCTGAGGTGCTTCTGAGAAGTTGGCATACGTCTTGAGCCTAAGCCAGGGAATCAGCTCGCATCTCGAGATGATTTGGGGTAGACGGAGCATTCCTCGAGTTGCTGTGCTGAAGTTGGTGTTCCTCTAGACTTGGGACAGTGTTCTCGGGGCATCTCTGGAGTTGCCTGAAGGAAGTCGAGCCACCGGTCGTGTTGAATGGGGAACGGGGAATGGCTCTGGAGTCAATGCAGGGGAATCGGGCCTCATCTCGAGTTGATTTGGGGCACATGGAGCTGCTTTGCGTTGCTGGGGTGACCTCAGGGTCCGTCTAGACTGGTGACAGTGTTCTTGGGGACTGTCTCGAGATCCATTAAGCAAGTCGAAGCTCCTGACTTGTTTGAATGGGATCACGGAATAGCTCTGCATGCACTGCAGGGGAATGGGGCCTCATCTCGCCTCTAGGGGGAAGTCTCATGGTTTTTCTCGAGTTGCGGCGGGGACCTGGGGTATGTTCTCGACTTACGGCGGGGATGGCCCTTCAAAACACGAGTTTCTTCAGTGACGTCAGGACTCCTGTCTAGTAACGAGGGACACCTCAGTAATCTCTTCGAGGCTTGGCAGGGCCAAAGGGACGCTTCTCGAGGTGAGGCAGGGCACCCAAGGACCCTTTCCAGTAGCCACAGGGATTTTTGGATTCCTATCAGTATCCAAAGGAGTCAGGCATCGTCACCTTTTGAAGCAATGAACTCCGCGTGCCTCTCGAGGTGTCAGCGGGATGTGAGGCATTCCGTCAAAATGAGGCAGGGACCTAGGGCTTTCTCTAAGGTCTCCACAGGGGATTCAGACATCCCTTCATGTTGTGAGATGAAAGACGAGCCTGTATTCAAGCCACTGCAAGGAAATCCGGCCTCCTTTCAAGTTAGGGCTTCTCGCTGTATATTCCCCTTGAGGCAGCAAACTCGGGGTCCCTCCCACATACCTATTGCTGAGAGAAGCCTCCTCCTGAGGTGCTTCTGGGAAGTTGGCATACGTCTTGAGCCTAAGCCAGGGAATCAGCTCGCATCTCGAGACGATTTGGGGTACACGGAGCATTCCTCGAGTTGCTGTGCTGAAGTTGGTGTTCCTCTAGACTTGGGACAGTGTTCTCGGGGCATCTCTGGAGTTGCCTGAAGGAAGTCGAGCCACCGGTCGTGTTGAATGGGGAATGGGGAATGGCTCTGGAGTCAATGCAGGGGAATCGGGCCTCATCTCGAGTTGATTTGAGGCACATGGAGCTGCTTTGCGTTGCTCGGGTGACCTCAGGGTCCGTCTAGACTGGTGACAGTGTTCTTGGGGACTGTCTCGAGATCCATTAAGCAAGTCGAAGCTCCTGACTTGTTTGAATGGGATCACGGAATAGCTCTGCATGCACTGCAGGGGAATGGGGCCTCATCTCGCCTCTAGGGGGAAGTCTCATGGTTTTTCTCGAGTTGCGGCGGGGACCTGGGGTATGTTCTCGACTTACGGCGGGGATGGCCCTTCAAAACACGAGTTTCTTCAGTGACGTCAGGACTCCTGTCTAGTAACGAGGGACACCTCAGGAATCTCTTCGAGGCTTGGCAGGGCCAAAGGGACGCTTCTCGAGGTGAGGCAGGGCACCCAAGGACCCTTTCCAGTAGCCACAGGGATTTTGGGATTCCTATCAGTATCCAAAGGAGTCAGGCATCGTCACCTTTTGAAGCAATGAACTCCGCGTGCCTCTCGAGGTGTCAGCGGGATGTGAGGCATTCCGTCAAAATGAGGCAGGGACCTAGGGCTTTCTCTAAGGTCTCCACAGGGGATTCAGACATCCCTTCATGTAGTGAGATGAAAGACGAGCCTGTATTCAAGCCACTGCAAGGAAATCCGGCCTCCTTTCAAGTTAGGGCTTCTCGCTGTATATTCCCCTTTAGGCAGCAAACTCGGGGTCCCTCCCACATACCTATTGCTGAGAGAAGCCTCCTCCTGAGGTGCTTCTGGGAAGTTGGCATACGTCTTGAGCCTAAGCCAGGGAATCAGCTCGCATCTCGAGACGATTTGGGGTACACGGAGCATTCCTCGAGTTGCTGTGCTGAAGTTGGTGTTCCTCTAGACTTGGGACAGTGTTCTCGGGGCATCTCTGGAGTTGCCTGAAGGAAGTCGAGCCACCGGTCGTGTTGAATGGGGAACGGGGAATGGCTCTGGAGTCAATGCAGGGGAATCGGGCCTCATCTCGAGTTGATTTGGGGCACATGGAGCTGCTTTGCGTTGCTGGGGTGACCTCAGGGTCCGTCTAGACTGGTGACAGTGTTCTTGGGGACTGTCTCGAGATCCATTAAGCAAGTCGAAGCTCCTGACTTGTTTGAATGGGATCACGGAATAGCTCTGCATGCACTGCAGGGGAATGGGGCCTCATCTCGCCTCTAGGGGGAAGTCTCATGGTTTTTCTCGAGTTGCGGCGGGGACCTGGGGTATGTTCTCGACTTACGGCGGGGATGGCCCTTCAAAACACGAGTTTCTTCAGTGACGTCAGGACTCCTGTCTAGTAACGAGGGACACCTCAGGAATCTCTTCGAGGCTTGGCAGGGCCAAAGGGACGCTTCTCGAGGTGAGGCAGGGCACCCAAGGACCCTTTCCAGTAGCCACAGGGATTTTGGGATTCCTATCAGTATCCAAAGGAGTCAGGCATCGTCACCTTTTGAAGCAATGAACTCCGCGTGCCTCTCGAGGTGTCAGCGGGATGTGAGGCATTCCGTCAAAATGAGGCAGGGACCTAGGGCTTTCTCTAAGGTCTCCACAGGGGATTCAGACATCCCTTCATGTTGTGAGATGAAAGACGAGCCTGATTTCAAGCCACTGCAAGGAAATCCGGCCTCCTTTCAAGTTAGGGCTTCTCGCTGTATATTCCCCTTGAGGCAGCAAACTCGGGGTCCCTCCCACATACCTATTGCTGAGAGAAGCCTCCTCCTGAGGTGCTTCTGGGAAGTTGGCATACGTCTTGAGCCTAAGCCAGGGAATCAGCTCGCATCTCGAGACGATTTGGGGTACACGGAGCATTCCTCGAGTTGCTGTGCTGAAGTTGGTGTTCCTCTAGACTTGGGACAGTGTTCTCGGGGCATCTCTGGAGTTGCCTGAAGGAAGTCGAGCCACCGGTCGTGTTGAATGGGGAACGGGGAGTGGCTCTGGAGTCAATGCAGGGGAATCGGACCTCATCTCGAGTTGATTTGGGGCACATGGAGCTGCTTTGCGTTGCTCGGGTGACCTCAGGGTCCGTCTAGACTGGTGACAGTGTTCTTGGGGACTGTCTCGAGATCCATTAAGCAAGTCGAAGCTCCTGACTTGTTTGAATGGGATCACGGAATAGCTCTGCATGCACTGCAGGGGAATGGGGCCTCATCTCGCCTCTAGGGGGAAGTCTCATGGTTTTTCTCGAGTTGCGGCGGGGACCTGGGGTATGTTCTCGACTTACGGCGGGGATGGCCCTTCAAAACACGAGTTTCTTCAGTGACGTCAGGACTCCTGTCTAGTAACGAGGGACACCTCAGGAATCTCTTCGAGGCTTGGCAGGGCCAAAGGGACGCTTCTCGAGGTGAGGCAGGGCACCCAAGGACCCTTTCCAGTAGCCACAGGGATTTTGGGATTCCTATCAGTATTCAAGAGGAGTCAGGCATCGTCACCTTTTGAAGCAATGAACTCCGCGTGCCTCTCGAGGTGTCAGCGGGATGTGAGGCATTCCGTCAAAATGAGGCAGGGACCTAGGGCTTTCTCTAAGGTCTCCACTGCGGATTCAGACATCCCTTCATGTTGTGAGATGAAAGACGAGCCTGTATTCAAGCCACTGCAAGGAAATCCGGCCTCCTTTCAAGTTAGGGCTTCTCGCTGTATATTCCCCTTGAGGCAGCAAACTCGGGGTCCCTCCCACATACCTATTGCTGAGAGAAGCCTCCTCCGGAGGTGCTTCTGGGAAGTTGGCATACGTCTTGAGCCTAAACCAGGGAATCAGCTCGCATCTCGAGACGATTTGGGGTACACGGAACATTCCTCGAGTTGCTGTGCTGAAGTTGGTGTTCCTCTAGACTTGGGACAGTGTTCTCGGGGCATCTCTGGAGTTGCCTGAAGGAAGTCGAGCCACCGGTCGTGTTGAATGGGGAACGGGGAATGGCTCTGGAGTCAATGCAGGGGAATCGGGCCTCATCTCGAGTTGATTTGGGGCACATGGAGCTGCTTTGCGTTGCTGGGGTGACCTCAGGGTCCGTTTGGACTGGTGACAGTGTTCTTGGGGACTGTCTCGAGATCCATTAAGCAAGCCGAAGCTCCTGACTTGTTTGAATGGGATCACGGAATAGCTCTGCATGCACTGCAGGGGAATGGGGCCTCATCTCGCCTCTAGGGGGAAGTCTCATGGTTTTTCTCGAGTTGCGGCGGGGACCTGGGGTATGTTCTCGACTTACGGCGGGGATGGCCCTTCAAAACACGAGTTTCTTCAGTGACGTCAGGACTCCTGTCTAGTAACGAGGGACACCTCAGGAATCTCTTCGAGGCTTGGCAGGGCCAAAGGGACGCTTCTCGAGGTGAGGCAGGGCACCCAAGGACCCTTTCCAGTAGCCACAGGGATTTTGGGATTCCTATCAGTATTCAAGAGGAGTCAGGCATCGTCACCTTTTGAAGCAATGAACTCCGCGTGTCTCTCGAGGTGTCAGCGGGAAGTGAGGCATTCCGTCAAAATGAGGCATTGACCTAGGGCTTTCTCTAACGTCTCCACAGGGGATTCAGACATCCCTTCATGTTGTGAGATGAAAGACGAGCCTGTATTCAAGCCACTGCAAGGAAATCCGGCCTCCTTTCAAGATAGGGCTTCTCGCTGTATATTCCCCTTGAGGCAGCAAACTCGGGGTCCCTCCCACATACCTATTGCTGAGAGAAGCCTCCTCCTGAGGTGCTTCTGGGAAGTTTGCATACGTCTTGAGCCTAAGCCAGGGAATCAGCTCGGATCTCGAGACGATTTGGGGTACACGGAGCATTCCTCGAGTTGCTGTGCTGAAGCTGGTGTTCCTCTAGACTTGGGACAGTGTTCTCGGGGCATCTCTGGAGTTGCCTGAAGGAAGTCGAGCCACCGGTCGTGTTGAATGGGGAACGGGGAATGGCTCTGGAGTCAATGCAGGGGAATCGGGCCTCATCTCGAGTTGATTTGGGGCACATGGAGCTGCTTTGCGTTGCTGGGGTGACCTCAGGGTCCGTCTAGACTGGTGACAGTGTTCTTGGGGACTGTCTCGAGATCCATTAAGCAAGTCGAAGCTCCTGACTTGTTTGAATGGGATCACGGAATAGCTCTGCATGCACTGCAGGGGAATGGGGCCTCATCTCGCCTCTAGGGGGAAGTCTCATGGTTTTTCTCGAGTTGCGGCGGGGACCTGGGGTATGTTCTCGACTTACGGCGGGGATGGCCCTTCAAAACACGAGTTTCTTCAGTGACGTCAGGACTCCTGTCTAGTAACGAGGGACACCTCAGGAATCTCTTCGAGGCTTGGCAGGGCCAAAGGGACGCTTCTCGAGGTGAGGCAGGGCACCCAAGGACCCTTTCCAGTAGCCACAGGGATTTTGGGATTCCTATCAGTATTCAAGAGGAGTCAGGCATCGTCACCTTTTGAAGCAATGAACTCCGCGTGCCTCTCGAGGTGTCAGCGGGATGTGAGGGATTCCGTCAAAATGAGGCAGGGACCTAGGGCTTTCTCTAAGGTCTCCACAGGTGATTCAGACATCCCTTCATGTTGTGAGATGAAAGACGAGCCTGTATTCAAGCCACTGCAAGGAAATCCGGCCTCCTTTCAAGATAGGGCTTCTCGCTGTATATTCCCCTTGAGGCAGCAAACTCGGGGTCCCTCCCACATACCTATTGCTGAGAGAAGCCTCCTCCGGAGGTGCTTCTGGGAATTTGGCATACGTCTTGAGCCTAAGCCAGGGTATCAGCTCGCATCTCGAGACGATTTGGGGTACACGGAGCATTCCTCGAGTTGCTGTGCTGAAGTTGGTGTTCCTCTAGACTTGGGACAGTGTTCTCGGGGCATCTCTGCAGTTGCCTGAAGGAAGTCGAGCCAGCGGTCGTGTTGAATGGGGAACGGGGAATGGCTCTGGAGTCAATGCAGGGGAATCGGGCCTCATCTCGAGTTGATTTGGGGCACATGGAGCTGCTTTGCGTTGCTGGGGTGACCTCAGGGTCCGTCTAGACTGGTGACAGTGTTCTTGGGGACTGTCTCGAGATCCATTAAGCAAGCCGAAGCTCCTGACTTGTTTGAATGGGATCACGGAATAGCTCTGCATGCACTGCAGGGGAATGGGGCCTCATCTCGCCTCTAGGGGGAAGTCTCATGGTTTTTCTCGAGTTGCGGCGGGGACCTGGGGTATGTTCTCGACTTACGGCGGGGATGGCCCTTCAAAACACGAGTTTCTTCAGTGACGTCAGGACTCCTGTCTAGTAACGAGGGACACCTCAGGAATCTCTTCGAGGCTTGGCAGGGCCAAAGGGACGCTTCTCGAGGTGAGGCAGGGCACCCAAGGACCCTTTCCAGTAGCCACAGGGATTTTGGGATTCCTATCAGTATTCAAGAGGAGTCAGGCATCGTCACCTTTTGAAGCAATGAACTCCGCGTGCCTATCGAGGTGTCAGCGGGATGTGAGGCATTCCGTCAAAATGAGGCAGGGACCTAGGGCTTTCTCTAAGGTCTCCACAGGGGATTCAGACATCCCTTCATGTTGTGAGATGAAAGACGAGCCTGTATTCAAGCCACTGCAAGGAAATCCGGCCTCCTTTCAAGTTAGGGCTTCTCGCTGTATATTCCCCTTGAGGCAGCAAACTCGGGGTCCCTCCCACATACCTATTGCTGAGAGAAGCCTCCTCCGGAGGTGCTTCTGGGAATTTGGCATACGTCTTGAGCCTAAGCCAGGGAATCAGCTCGCATCTCGAGACGATTTGGGGTACACGGAGCATTCCTCGAGTTGCTGTGCTGAAGTTGGTGTTCCTCTAGACTTGGGACAGTGTTCTCGGGGCATCACTGGAGTTGCCTGAAGGAAGTCGAGCCAGCGGTCGTGTTGAATGGGCAACGGGGAATGGCTCTGGAGTCAATGCAGGGGAATCGGGCCTCATCTCGAGTTGATTTGGGGCACATGGAACTGCTTTGCGTAGCTGGGGTGACCTCAGGGTCCGTCTAGACTGGTGACAGTGTTCTTGGGGACTGTCTCGAGATCCATTAAGCAAGCCGAAGCTCCTGACTTGTTTGAATGGGATCACGGAATAGCTCTGCATGCACTGCAGGGGAATGGGGCCTCATCTCGCCTCTAGGGGGAAGTCTCATGGTTTTTCTCGAGTTGCGGCGGGGACCTGGGGTATGTTCTCGACTTACGGCGGGGATGGCCCTTCAAAACACGAGTTTCTTCAGTGACGTCAGGACTCCTGTCTAGTAACGAGGGACACCTCAGGAATCTCTTCGAGGCTTGGCAGGGCCAAAGGGACGCTTCTCGAGGTGAGGCAGGGCACCCAAGGACCCTTTCCAGTAGCCACAGGGATTTTGGGATTCCTATCAGTATTCAAGAGGAGTCAGGCATCGTCACCTTTTGAAGCAATGAACTCCGCGTGCCTCTCGAGGTGTCAGCGGGATGTGAGGGATTCCGTCAAAATGAGGCAGGGACCTAGGGCTTTCTCTAAGGTCTCCACAGGGGATTCAGACATCCCTTCATGTTGTGAGATGAAAGAAGAGCCTGTATTCAAGCCACTGCAAGGAAATCCGGCCTCCTTTCAAGTTAGGGCTTCTCGCTGTATATTCCCCTTGAGGCAGCAAACTCGGGGTCCCTCCCACATACCTATTGCTGAGAGAAGCCTCCTCCGGAGGTGCTTCTGGGAATTTGGCATACGTCTTGAGCCTAAGCCAGGGAATCAGCTCGCATCTCGAGACGATTTGGGGTACACGGAGCATTCCTCGAGTTGCTGTGCTGAAGTTGGTGTTCCTCTAGACTTGGGACAGTGTTCTCGGGGCATCTCTGGAGTTGCCTGAAGGAAGTCGATCCAGCGGTCGTGTTGAATGGGGAACGGGGAATGGCTCTGGAGTCAATGCAGGGGAATCAGGCCTCATCTTGAGTTGATTTGGGGCACATGGAGCTGCTTTGCGTTGCTGGGGTGACCTCAGGGTCCGTCTAGACTGGTGACAGTGTTCTTGGGGACTGTCTCGAGATCCATTAAGCAAGCCGAAGCTCCTGACTTGTTTGAATGGGATCACGGAATAGCTCTGCATGCACTGCAGGGGAATGGGGCCTCATCTCGCCTCTAGGGGGAAGTCTCATGGTTTTTCTCGAGTTGCGGCGGGGACCTGGGGTATGTTCTCGACTTACGGCGGGGATGGCCCTTCAAAACACGAGTTTCTTCAGTGACGTCAGGACTCCTGTCTAGTAACGAGGGACACCTCAGGAATCTCTTCGAGGCTTGGCAGGGCCAAAGGGACGCTTCTCGAGGTGAGGCAGGGCACCCAAGGACCCTTTCCAGTAGCCACAGGGATTTTGGGATTCCTATCAGTATTCAAGAGGAGTCAGGCATCGTCACCTTTTGAAGCAATGAACTCCGCGTGCCTCTCGAGGTGTCAGCGGGATGTGAGGCATTCCGTCAAAATGAGGCAGGGACCTAGGGCTTTCTCTAAGGTCTCCACAGGGGATTCAGACATCCCTTCATGTTGTGAGATGAAAGACGAGCCTGTATTCAAGCCACTGCAAGGAAATCCGGCCTCCTTTCAAGTTAGGGCTTCTCGCTGTATATTCCCCTTGAGGCAGCAAACTCGGGGTCCCTCCCACATACCTATTGCTGAGAGAAGCCTCCTCCGGAGGTGCTTCTGGGAATTTGGCATACGTCTTGAGCCTAAGCCAGGGAATCAGCTCGCATCTCGAGACGATTTGGGGTACACGGAGCATTCCTCGAGTTGCTGTGCTGAAGTTGGTGTTCCTCTAGACTTGGGACAGTGTTCTCGGGGCATCTCTGGAGTTGCCTGAAGGAAGTCGAGCCAGCGGTCGTGTTGAATGGGGAACGGGGAATGGCTCTGGAGTCAATGCTGGGGAATCGGGCCTCATCTCGAGTTGATTTGGGGCACATGGAACTGCTTTGCGTTGCTGGGGTGACCTCAGGGTCCGTCTAGACTGGTGACAGTGTTCTTGGGGACTGTCTCGAGATCCATTAAGCAAGCCGAAGCTCCTGACTTGTTTGAATGGGATCACGGAATAGCTCTGCATGCACTGCAGGGGAATGGGGCCTCATCTCGCCTCTAGGGGGAAGTCTCATGGTTTTTCTCGAGTTGCGGCGGGGACCTGGGGTATGTTCTCGACTTACGGCGGGGATGGCCCTTCAAAACACGAGTTTCTTCAATGACGTCAGGACTCCTGTCTAGTAACGAGGGACACCTCAGGAATCTCTTCAAGCCTTGGCACGGCCAAAGGGACGCTTCTCGAGGTGAGGCAGGGCACCCAAGGACCCTTTCCAGTAGCCACAGGGATTTTGGGATTCCTATCAGTATTCAAGAGGAGTCAGGCATCGTCACCTTTTGAAGCAATGAACTCCGCGTGCCTCTCGAGGTGTCAGTGGGATGTGAGGCATTGCGTCAAAATGAGGCAGGGACCTAGGGCTTTCTCTAAGGTCTCCACAGCGGATTCAGACATCCCTTCATGTTGTGAGATGAAAGACGAGCCTGTATTCAAGCCACTGCAAGGAAATCCAGCCTCCTTTCAAGTTAGGGCTTCTCGCTGTATATTCCCCTTGAGGCAGCAAACTCGGGGTCCCTCCCACATACCTATTGCTGAGAGAAGCCTCCTCCTGAGGTGCTTCTGGGAAGTTGGCATACGTCTTGAGCCTAAGCCAGGGAATCAGCTCGCATCTCGAGACGATTTGGGGTACACGGAGCATTCCTCGAGTTGCTGTGCTGAAGTTGGTGTTCCTCTAGACTTGAGACATTGTTCTCGCGGCATCTCTGGAGTTGCCTGAAGGAAGTCGAGCCACCGGTCGTGTTGAATGGGGAACGGGGAATGGCTCTGGAGTCAATGCAGGGGAATCGGGCCTCATCTCGAGTTGATTTGGGGCACATGGAGCTGCTTTGCGTTGCTGGGGTGACCTCAGGGTCCGTCTAGACTGGTGACAGTGTTCTTGGGGACTGTCTCGAGATCCATTAAGCAAGTCGAAGCTCCTGACTTGTTTGAATGGGATCACAGAATAGCTCTGCATGCACTGCAGGGGAATGGGGCCTCATCTCGCCTCTATGGGGAAGTCTCATGGTTTTTCTCGAGTTGCGGCGGGGACCTGGGGTATGTTCTCGACTTACGGCGGGGATGGCCCTTCAAAACACGAGTTTCTTCAGTGACGTCAGGACTCCTGTCTAGTAACGAGGGACACCTCAGGAATCTCTTCGAGGCTTGGCAGGGCCAAAGGGACGCTTCCCGAGGTGAGGCAGGGCACCCAAGGACCCTTTCCAGTAGCCACAGGGATTTTGGGATTCCTATCAGTATTCAAGAGGAGTCAGGCATCGTCACCTTTTGAAGCAATGAACTCCGCGTGCCTCTCGAGGTGTCAGCGGGATGTGAGGGATTCCGTCAAAATGAGGCAGGGACCTAGGGCTTTCTCTAAGGTCTCCACAGGGGATTCAGACATCCCTTCATGTTGTGAGATGAAAGACGAGCCTGTATTCAAGCCACTGCAAGGAAATCCGGCCTCCTTTCAAGTTAGGGCTTCTCGCTGTATATTCCCCTTGAGGCAGCAAACTCGGGGTCCCTCCCACATACCTATTGCTGAGAGAAGCCTCCTCCGGAGGTGCTTCTGGGAAGTTGGCATACGTCTTGAACCTAAGCCAGGGAATCAGCTCGCATCTCGAGACGATTTGGGGTACACGGAGCATTCCTCGAGTTGCTGTGCTGAAGTTGGTGTTCCTCTAGACTTGGGACAGTGTTCTCGGGGCATCTCTGGAGTTGCCTGAAGGAAGTCGAGCCAGCGGTCGTGTTGAATTGGGAACGGGGAATGGCTCTGGAGTCAATGCAGGGGAATCGGGCCTCATCTTGAGTTGATTTGGGGCACATGGAGCTGCTTTGCGTTGCTGGGGTGACCTCAGGGTCCGTCTAGACTGGTGACAGTGTTCTTGGGGACTGTCTCGAGATCCATTAAGCAAGCCGAAGCTCCTGACTTGTTTGAATGGGATCACGGAATAGCTCTGCATGCACTGCAGGGGAATGGGGCCTCATCTCGCCTCTAGGGGGAAGTCTCATGGTTTTTCTCGAGTTGCGGCGGGGACCTGGGGTATGTTCTCGACTTACGGCGGGGATGGCCCTTCAAAACACGAGTTTCTTCAGTGACGTCAGGACTCCTGTCTAGTAACGAGGGACACCTCAGGAATCTCTTCGAGGCTTGGCAGGGCCAAAGGGACGCTTCTCGAAGTGAGGCAGGGCACCCAAGGACCCTTTCCAGTAGCCACAGGGATTTTGGGATTCCTATCAGTATTCAAGAGGAGTCAGGCATCGTCACCTTTTGAAGCAATGAACTCCGCGTGCCTCTCGAGGTGTCAGCGGGATGTGAGGGATTCCATCAAAATGAGGCAGGGACCTATGGCTTTCTCTAAGGTCTCCACAGGGGATTCAGACATCCCTTCATGTTGTGAGATGAAAGACGAGCCTGTATTCAAGCCACTGCAAGGAAATCCGGCCTCCTTTCAAGTTAGGGCTTCTCGCTGTATATTCCCCTTGAGGCAGCAAACTCGGGGTCCCTCCCACATACCTATTGCTGAGAGAAGCCTCCTCCGGAGGTGCTTCTGGGAATTTGGCATACGTCTTGAGCCTAAGCCAGGGAATCAGCTCGCATCTCGAGACGATTTGGGGTACACGGAGCATTCCTCGAGTTGCTGTGCTGAAGTTGGTGTTCCTCTAGACTTGGGACAGTGTTCTCGGGGCATCTCTGGAGTTGCCTGAAGGAAGTCGAGCCAGCGGTCGTGTTGAATGGGGAACGGGGAATGGCTCTGGAGTCAATGCTGGGGAATCGGGCCTCATCTCGAGTTGATTTGGGGCACATGGAACTGCTTTGCGTTGCTGGGGTGACCTCAGGGTCCGTCTAGACTGGTGACAGTGTTCTTGGGGACTGTCTCGAGATCCATTAAGCAAGCCGAAGCTCCTGACTTGTTTGAATGGGATCACGGAATAGCTCTGCATGCACTGCAGGGGAATGGGGCCTCATCTCGCCTCTAGGGGGAAGTCTCATGGTTTTTCTCGAGTTGCGGCGGGGACCTGGGGTATGTTCTCGACTTACGGCGGGGATGGCCCTTCAAAACACGAGTTTCTTCAATGACGTCAGGACTCCTGTCTAGTAACGAGGGACACCTCAGGAATCTCTTCGAGCCTTGGCAGGGCCAAAGGGACGCTTCTCGAGGTGAGGCAGGGCACCCAAGGACCCTTTCCAGTAGCCACAGGGATTTTGGGATTCCTATCAGTATTCAAGAGGAGTCAGGCATCGTCACCTTTTGAAGCAATGAACTCCGCGTGCCTCTCGAGGTGTCAGTGGGATGTGAGGCATTGCGTCAAAATGAGGCAGGGACCTAGGGCTTTCTCTAAGGTCTCCACAGCGGATTCAGACATCCCTTCATGTTGTGAGATGAAAGACGAGCCTGTATTCAAGCCACTGCAAGGAAATCCAGCCTCCTTTCAAGTTAGGGCTTCTCGCTGTATATTCCCCTTGAGGCAGCAAACTCGGGGTCCCTCCCACATACCTATTGCTGAGAGAAGCCTCCTCCTGAGGTGCTTCTGGGAAGTTGGCATACGTCTTGAGCCTAAGCCAGGGAATCAGCTCGCATCTCGAGACGATTTGGGGTACACGGAGCATTCCTCGAGTTGCTGTGCTGAAGTTGGTGTTCCTCTAGACTTGAGACATTGTTCTCGCGGCATCTCTGGAGTTGCCTGAAGGAAGTCGAGCCACCGGTCGTGTTGAATGGGGAACGGGGAATGGCTCTGGAGTCAATGCAGGGGAATCGGGCCTCATCTCGAGTTGATTTGGGGCACATGGAGCTGCTTTGCGTTGCTGGGGTGACCTCAGGGTCCGTCTAGACTGGTGACAGTGTTCTTGGGGACTGTCTCGAGATCCATTAAGCAAGTCGAAGCTCCTGACTTGTTTGAATGGGATCACAGAATAGCTCTGCATGCACTGCAGGGGAATGGGGCCTCATCTCGCCTCTATGGGGAAGTCTCATGGTTTTTCTCGAGTTGCGGCGGGGACCTGGGGTATGTTCTCGACTTACGGCGGGGATGGCCCTTCAAAACACGAGTTTCTTCAGTGACGTCAGGACTCCTGTCTAGTAACGAGGGACACCTCACGAATCTCTTCGAGGCTTGGCAGGGCCAAAGGGACGCTTCTCGAGGTGAGGCAGGGCACCCAAGGACCCTTTCCAGTAGCCACAGGGATTTTGGGATTCCTATCAGTATTCAAGAGGAGTCAGGCATCGTCACCTTTTGAAGCAATGAACTCCGCGTGCCTCTCGAGGTGTCAGCGGGATGTGAGGGATTCCGTCAAAATGAGGCAGGGACCTAGGGCTTTCTCTAAGGTCTCCACAGGGGATTCAGACATCCCTTCATGTTGTGAGATGAAAGACGAGCCTGTATTCAAGCCACTGCAAGGAAATCCGGCCTCCTTTCAAGTTAGGGCTTCTCGCTGTATATTCCCCTTGAGGCAGCAAACTCGGGGTCCCTCCCACATACCTATTGCTGAGAGAAGCGTCCTCCGGAGGTGCTTCTGGGAAGTTGGCATACGTCTTGAACCTAAGCCAGGGAATCAGCTCGCATCTCGAGACGATTTGGGGTACACGGAGCATTCCTCGAGTTGCTGTGCTGAAGTTGGTGTTCCTCTAGACTTGGGACAGTGTTCTCGGGGCATCTCTGGAGTTGCCTGAAGGAAGTCGAGCCAGCGGTCGTGTTGAATTGGGAACGGGGAATGGCTCTGGAGTCAATGCAGGGGAATCGGGCCTCATCTTGAGTTGATTTGGGGCACATGGAGCTGCTTTGCGTTGCTGGGGTGACCTCAGGGTCCGTCTAGACTGGTGACAGTGTTCTTGGGGACTGTCTCGAGATCCATTAAGCAAGCCGAAGCTCCTGACTTGTTTGAATGGGATCACGGAATAGCTCTGCATGCACTGCAGGGGAATGGGGCCTCATCTCGCCTCTAGGGGGAAGTCTCATGGTTTTTCTCGAGTTGCGGCGGGGACCTGGGGTATGTTCTCGACTTACGGCGGGGATGGCCCTTCAAAACACGAGTTTCTTCAGTGACGTCAGGACTCCTGTCTAGTAACGAGGGACACCTCAGGAATCTCTTCGAGGCTTGGCAGGGCCAAAGGGACGCTTCTCGAAGTGAGGCAGGGCACCCAAGGACCCTTTCCAGTAGCCACAGGGATTTTGGGATTCCTATCAGTATTCAAGAGGAGTCAGGCATCGTCACCTTTTGAAGCAATGAACTCCGCGTGCCTCTCGAGGTGTCAGCGGGATGTGAGGGATTCCGTCAAAATGAGGCAGGGACCTATGGCTTTCTCTAAGGTCTCCACAGGGGATTCAGACATCCCTTCATGTTGTGAGATGAAAGACGAGCCTGTATTCAAGCCACTGCAAGGAAATCCAGCCTCCTTTCAAGTTAGGGCTTCTCGCTGTATATTCCCCTTGAGGCAGCAAACTCGGGGTCCCTCCCACATACCTATTGCTGAGAGAAGCCTCCTCCGGAGGTGCTTCTGGGAATTTGGCATACGTCTTGAGCCTAAGCCAGGGAATCAGCTCGCATCTCGAGACGATTTGGGGTACACGGAGCATTCCTCGAGTTGCTGTGCTGAAGTTGGTGTTCCTCTAGACTTGGGACAGTGTTCTCGGGGCATCTCTGCAGTTGCCTGAAGGAAGTCGAGCCAGCGGTCGTGTTGAATGGGGAACGGGGAATGGCTCTGGAGTCAATGCAGGGGAATCGGGCCTCATCTCGAGTTGATTTGGGGCACATGGAGCTGCTTTGCGTTGCTGGGGTGACCTCAGGGTCCGTCTAGACTGGTGACAGTGTTCTTGGGGACTGTCTCGAGATCCATTAAGCAAGCCGAAGCTCCTGACTTGTTTGAATGGGATCACGGAATAGCTCTGCATGCACTGCAGGGGAATGGGGCCTCATCTCGCCTCTAGGGGGAAGTCTCATGGTTTTTCTCGAGTTGCGGCGGGGACCTGGGGTATGTTCTCGACTTACGGCGGGGATGGCCCTTCAAAACACGAGTTTCTTCAGTGACGTCAGGACTCCTGTCTAGTAACGAGGGACACCTCACGAATCTCTTCGAGGCTTGGCAGGGCCAAAGGGACGCTTCTCGAGGTGAGGCAGGGCACCCAAGGACCCTTTCCAGTAGCCACAGGGATTTTGGGATTCCTATCAGTATTCAAGAGGAGTCAGGCATCGTCACCTTTTGAAGCAATGAACTCCGCGTGCCTCTCGAGGTGTCAGCGGGATGTGAGGGATTCCGTCAAAATGAGGCAGGGACCTAGGGCTTTCTCTAAGGTCTCCACAGGGGATTCAGACATCCCTTCATGTTGTGAGATGAAAGACGAGCCTGTATTCAAGCCACTGCAAGGAAATCCGGCCTCCTTTCAAGTTAGGGCTTCTCGCTGTATATTCCCCTTGAGGCAGCAAACTCGGGGTCCCTCCCACATACCTATTGCTGAGAGAAGCCTCCTCCGGAGGTGCTTCTGGGAATTTGGCATACGTCTTGAGCCTAAGCCAGGGAATCAGCTCGCATCTCGAGACGATTTGGGGTACACGGAGCATTCCTCGAGTTGCTGTGCTGAAGTTGGTGTTCCTCTAGACTTGGGACAGTGTTCTCGGGGCATCTCTGGAGTTGCCTGAAAGAAGTCGAGCCACCGGTCGTGTTGAATGGGGAACGGGGAATGGCTCTGGAGTCAATGCAGGGGAATCGGGCCTCATCTCGAGTTGATTTGGGGCACATGGAGCTGCTTTGCGTTGCTGGGGTGACCTCAGGGTCCGTCTAGACTGGTGACAGTGTTCTTGGGGACTGTCTCGAGATCCATTAAGCAAGCCGAAGCTCCTGACTTGTTTGAATGGGATCACGGAATAGCTCTGCATGCACTGCAGGGGAATGGGGCCTCATCTCGCCTCTAGGGGGAAGTCTCATGGTTTTTCTCGAGTTGCGGCGGGGACCTGGGGTATGTTCTCGACTTACGGCGGGGATGGCCCTTCAAAACACGAGTTTCTTCAGTGACGTCAGGACTCCTGTCTAGTAACGAGGGACACCTCACGAATCTCTTCGAGGCTTGGCAGGGCCAAAGGGACGCTTCTCGAGGTGAGGCAGGGCACCCAAGGACCCTTTCCAGTAGCCACAGGGATTTTGGGATTCCTATCAGTATTCAAGAGGAGTCAGGCATCGTCACCTTTTGAAGCAATGAACTCCGCGTGCCTCTCGAGGTGTCAGCGGGATGTGAGGGATTCCGTCAAAATGAGGCAGGGACCTAGGGCTTTCTCTAAGGTCTCCACAGGGGATTCAGACATCCCTTCATGTTGTGAGATGAAAGACGAGCCTGTATTCAAGCCACTGCAAGGAAATCCGGCCTCCTTTCAAGTTAGGGCTTCTCGCTGTATATTCCCCTTGAGGCAGCAAACTCGGGGTCCCTCCCACATACCTATTGCTGAGAGAAGCCTCCTCCGGAGGTGCTTCTGGGAATTTGGCATACGTCTTGAGCCTAAGCCAGGGAATCAGCTCGCATCTCGAGACGATTTGGGGTACACGGAGCATTCCTCGAGTTGCTGTGCTGAAGTTGGTGTTCCTCTAGACTTGGGACAGTGTTCTCGGGGCATCTCTGGAGTTGCCTGAAGGAAGTCGATCCAGCGGTCATGTTGAATGGGGAACGGGGAATGGCTCTGGAGTCAATGCAGGGGAATCAGGCCTCATCTTGAGTTATTTGGGGCACATGGAGCTGCTTTGCGTTGCTGGGGTGACCTCAGGGTCCGTCTAGACTGGTGACAGTGTTCTTGGGGACTGTCTCGAGATCCATTAAGCAAGCCGAAGCTCCTGACTTGTTTGAATGGGATCACGGAATAGCTCTGCATGCACTGCAGGGGAATGGGGCCTCATCTCGCCTCTAGGGGGAAGTCTCATGGTTTTTCTCGAGTTGCGGCGGGGACCTGGGGTATGTTCTCGACTTACGGCGGGGATGGCCCTTCAAAACACGAGTTTCTTCAGTGACGTCAGGACTCCTGTCTAGTAACGAGGGACACCTCAGGAATCTCTTCGAGGCTTGGCAGGGCCAAAGGGACGCTTCTCGAGGTGAGGCAGGGCACCCAAGGACCCTTTCCAGTAGCCACAGGGATTTTGGGATTCCTATCAGTATTCAAGAGGAGTCAGGCATCGTCACCTTTTGAAGCAATGAACTCCGCGTGCCTCTCGAGGTGTCAGCGGGATGTGAGGGATTCCGTCAAAATGAGGCAGGGACCTATGGCTTTCTCTAAGGTCTCCACAGGGGATTCAGACATCCCTTCATGTTGTGAGATGAAAGACGAGCCTGTATTCAAGCCACTGCAAGGAAATCCGGCCTCCTTTCAAGTTAGGGCTTCTCGCTGTATATTCCCCTTGAGGCAGCAAACTCGGGGTCCCTCCCACATACCTATTGCTGAGAGAAGCCTCCTCCGGAGGTGCTTCTGGGAATTTGGCATAGGTCTTGAGCCTAAGCCAGGGAATCAGCTCGCATCTCGAGACGATTTGGGGTACACGGAGCATTCCTCGAGTTGCTGTGCTGAAGTTGGTGTTCCTCTAGACTTGGGACAGTGTTCTCGGGGCATCTCTGGAGTTGCCTGAAGGAAGTCGATCCAGCGGTCGTGTTGAATGGGGAACGGGGAATGGCTGTGGAGTCAATGCAGGGGAATCAGGCCTCATCTTGAGTTGATTTGGGGCACATGGAGCTGCTTTGCGTTGCTGGGGTGACCTCAGGGTCCGTCTAGACTGGTGACAGTGTTCTTGGGGACTGTCTCGAGATCCATTAAGCAAGCCGAAGCTCCTGACTTGTTTGAATGGGATCACGGAATAGCTCTGCATGCACTGCAGGGGAATGGGGCCTCATCTCGCCTCTAGGGGGAAGTCTCATGGTTTTTCTCGAGTTGCGGCGGGGACCTGGGGTATGTTCTCGACTTACGGCGGGGATGGCCCTTCAAAACACGAGTTTCTTCAGTGACGTCAGGACTCCTGTCTAGTAACGAGGGACACCTCAGGAATCTCTTCGAGGCTTGGCAGGGCCAAAGGGACGCTTCTCGAGGTGAGGCAGGGCACCCAAGGACCCTTTCCAGTAGCCACAGGGATTTTGGGATTCCTATCAGTATTCAAGAGGAGTCAGGCATCGTCACCTTTTGAAGCAATGAACTCCGCGTGCCTCTCGAGGTGTCAGCGGGATGTGAGGCATTCCGTCAAAATGAGGCAGGGACCTAGGGCTTTCTCTAAGGTCTCCACAGGGGATTCAGACATCCCTTCATGTTGTGAGATGAAAGACGAGCCTGTATTCAAGCCACTGCAAGGAAATCCGGCCTCCTTTCAAGTTAGGGCTTCTCGCTGTATATTCCCCTTGAGGCAGCAAACTCGGGGTCCCTCCCACATACCTATTGCTGAGAGAAGCCTCCTCCGGAGGTGCTTCTGGGAATTTGGCATACGTCTTGAGCCTAAGCCAGGGAATCAGCTCGCATCTCGAGACGATTTGGGGTACACAGAGCATTCCTCGAGTTGCTGTGCTGAAGTTGGTGTTCCTCTAGACTTGGGACAGTGTTCTCGGGGCATCTCTGGACTTGCCTGAAGGAAGTCGAGCCAGCGGTCGTGTTGAATGGGGAACGGGGAATGGCTCTGGAGTCAATGCAGGGGAATCGGGCCTCATCTCGAGTTGATTTGGGGCACATGGAACTGCTTTGCGTTGCTGGGGTGACCTCAGGGTCCGTCTAGACTGGTGACAGTGTTCTTGGGGACTGTCTCGAGATCCATTAAGCAAGCCGAAGCTCCTGACTTGTTTGAATGGGATCACGGAATAGCTCTGCATGCACTGCAGGGGAATGGGGCCTCATCTCGCCTCTAGGGGGAAGTCTCATGGTTTTTCTCGAGTTGCGGCGGGGACCTGGGGTATGTTCTCGACTTACGGCGGGGATGGCCCTTCAAAACACGAGTTTCTTCAGTGACGTCAGGACTCCTGTCTAGTAACGAGGGACACCTCAGGAATCTCTTCGAGGCTTGGCAGGGCCAAAGGGACGCTTCTCGAGGTGAGGCAGGGCACCCAAGGACCCTTTCCAGTAGCCACAGGGATTTTGGGATTCCTATCAGTATTCAAGAGGAGTCAGGCATCGTCACCTTTTGAAGCAATGAACTCCGCGTGCCTCTCGAGGTGTCAGCGGGATGTGAGGGATTCCGTCAAAATGAGGCAGGGACCTAGGGCTTTCTCTAAGGTCTCCACAGGGGATTCAGACATCCCTTCATGTTGTGAGATGAAAGACGAGCCTGTATTCAAGCCACTGCAAGGAAATCCGGCCTCCTTTCAAGTTAGGGCTTCTCGCTGTATATTCCCCTTGAGGCAGCAAACTCGGGGTCCCTCCCACATACCTATTGCTGAGAGAAGCCTCCTCCGGAGGTGCTTCTGGGAATTTGGCATACGTCTTGAGCCTAAGCCAGGGAATCAGCTCGCATCTCGAGACGATTTGGGGTACACGGAGCATTCCTCGAGTTGCTGTGCTGAAGTTGGTGTTCCTCTAGACTTGGGACAGTGTTCTCGGGGCATCTCTGGAGTTGCCTGAAGGAAGTCGATCCAGCGGTCGTGTTGAATGGGGAACGGGGAATGGCTGTGGAGTCAATGCAGGGGAATCAGGCCTCATCTTGAGTTGATTTGGGGCACATGGAGCTGCTTTGCGTTGCTGGGGTGACCTCAGGGTCCGTCTAGACTGGTGACAGTGTTCTTGGGGACTGTCTCGAGATCCATTAAGCAAGCCGAAGCTCCTGACTTGTTTGAATGGGATCACGGAATAGCTCTGCATGCACTGCAGGGGAATGGGGCCTCATCTCGCCTCTAGGGGGAAGTCTCATGGTTTTTCTCGAGTTGCGGCGGGGACCTGGGGTATGTTCTCGACTTACGGCGGGGATGGCCCTTCAAAACACGAGTTTCTTCAGTGACGTCAGGACTCCTGTCTAGTAACAAGGGACACCTCAGGAATCTCTTCGAGGCTTGGCAGGGCCAAAGGGACGCTTCTCGAGGTGAGGCAGGGCACCCAAGGACCCTTTCCAGTAGCCACAGGGATTTTGGGATTCCTATCAGTATTCAAGAGGAGTCAGGCATCGTCACCTTTTGAAGCAATGAACTCCGCGTGCCTCTCGAGGTGTCAGCGGGATGTGAGGGATTCCGTCAAAATGAGGCAGGGACCTATGGCTTTCTCTAAGGTCTCCACAGGGGATTCAGACATCCCTTCATGTTGTGAGATGAAAGACGAGCCTGTATTCAAGCCACTGCAAGGAAATCCGGCCTCCTTTCAAGTTAGGGCTTCTCGCTGTATATTCCCCTTGAGGCAGCAAACTCGGGGTCCCTCCCACATACCTATTGCTGAGAGAAGCCTCCTCCTGAGGTGCTTCTGGGAAGTTGGCATACGTCTTGAGCCTAAGCCAGGGAATCAGCTCGCATCTCGAGACGATTTGGGGTACACGGAGCATTCCTCGAGTTGCTGTGCTGAAGTTGGTGTTCCTCTAGACTTGAGACATTGTTCTCGCGGCATCTCTGGAGTTGCCTGAAGGAAGTCGAGCCACCGGTCGTGTTGAATGGGGAACGGGGAATGGCTCTGGAGTCAATGCAGGGGAATCGGGCCTCATCTCGAGTTGATTTGGGGCACATGGAGCTGCTTTGCGTTGCTGGGGTGACCTCAGGGTCCGTCTAGACTGGTGACAGTGTTCTTGGGGACTGTCTCGAGATCCATTAAGCAAGTCGAAGCTCCTGACTTGTTTGAATGGGATCACGGAATAGCTCTGCATGCACTGCAGGGGAATGGGGCCTCATCTCGCCTCTAGGGGGAAGTCTCATGGTTTTTCTCGAGTTGCGGCGGGGACCTGGGGTATGTTCTCGACTTTCGGCGGGGATGGCCCTTCAAAACACGAGTTTCTTCAGTGACGTCAGGACTCCTGTCTAGTAACGAGGGACACCTCAGGAATCTCTTCGAGGCTTGGCAGGGCCAAAGGGACGCTTCTCGAGGTGAGGCAGGGCACCCAAGGACCCTTTCCAGTAGCCACAGGGATTTTGGGATTCCTATCAGTATTCAAGAGGAGTCAGGCATCGTCACCTTTTGAAGCAATGAACTCCGCGTGCCTCTCGAGGTGTCAGCGGGATGTGAGGGATTCCGTCAAAATGAGGCAGGGACCTAGGGCTTTCTCTAAGGTCTCCACAGGGGATTCAGACATCCCTTCATGTTGTGAGATGAAAGACGAGCCTGTATTCAAGCCACTGCAAGGAAATCCGGCCTCCTTTCAAGTTAGGGCTTCTCGCTGTATATTCCCCTTGAGGCAGCAAACTCGGGGTCCCTCCCACATACCTATTGCTGAGAGAAGCGTCCTCCGGAGGTGCTTCTGGGAATTTGGCATACGTCTTGAACCTAAGCCAGGGAATCAGCTCGCATCTCGAGACGATTTGGGGTACACGGAGCATTCCTCGAGTTGCTGTGCTGAAGTTGGTGTTCCTCTAGACTTGGGACAGTGTTCTCGGGGCATCTCTGGAGTTGCCTGAAGGAAGTCGAGCCAGCGGTCGTGTTGAATGGGGAACGGGGAATGGCTCTGGAGTCAATGCAGGGGAATCGGGCCTCATCTTGAGTTGATTTGGGGCACATGGAGCTGCTTTGCGTTGCTGGGGTGACCTCAGGGTCCGTCTAGACTGGTGACAGTGTTCTTGGGGACTGTCTCGAGATCCATTAAGCAAGCCGAAGCTCCTGACTTGTTTGAATGGGATCACGGAATAGCTCTGCATGCACTGCAGGGGAATGGGGCCTCATCTCGCCTCTAGGGGGAAGTCTCATGGTTTTTCTCGAGTTGCGGCGGGGACCTGGGGTATGTTCTCGACTTACGGCGGGGATGGCCCTTCAAAACACGAGTTTCTTCAGTGACGTCAGGACTCCTGTCTAGTAACGAGGGACACCTCAGGAATCTCTTCGAGGCTTGGCAGGGCCAAAGGGACGCTTCTCGAAGTGAGGCAGGGCACCCAAGGACCCTTTCCAGTAGCCACAGGGATTTTGGGATTCCTATCAGTATTCAAGAGGAGTCAGGCATCGTCACCTTTTGAAGCAATGAACTCCGCGTGCCTCTCGAGGTGTCAGCGGGATGTGAGGGATTCCGTCAAAATGAGGCAGGGACCTATGGCTTTCTCTAAGGTCTCCACAGGGGATTCAGACATCCCTTCATGTTGTGAGATGAAAGACGAGCCTGTATTCAAGCCACTGCAAGGAAATCCGGCCTCCTTTCAAGTTAGGGCTTCTCGCTGTATATTCCCCTTGAGGCAGCAAACTCGGGGTCCCTCCCACATACCTATTGCTGAGAGAAGCCTCCTCCTGAGGTGCTTCTGGGAAGTTGGCATACGTCTTGAGCCTAAGCCAGGGAATCAGCTCGCATCTCGAGACGATTTGGGGTACACGGAGCATTCCTCGAGTTGCTGTGCTGAAGTTGGTGTTCCTCTAGACTTGGGACAGTGTTCTCGGGGCATCTCTGGAGTTGCCTGAAGGAAGTCGAGCCACCGGTCGTGTTGAATGGGGAACGGGGAATGGCTCTGGAGTCAATGCAGGGGAATCGGGCCTCATCTCGAGTTGATTTGGGGCACATGGAGCTGCTTTGCGTTGCTGGGGTGACCTCAGGGTCCGTCTAGACTGGTGACAGTGTTCTTGGGGACTGTCTCGAGATCCATTAAGCAAGTCGAAGCTCCTGACTTGTTTGAATGGGATCACGGAATAGCTCTGCATGCACTGCAGGGGAATGGGGCCTCATCTCGCCTCTAGGGGGAAGTCTCATGGTTTTTCTCGAGTTGTGGCGGGGACCTGGGGTATGTTCTCGACTTATGGCGGGGATGGCCCTTCAAAACACGAGTTTCTTCAGTGACGTCAGGACTCCTGTCTAGTAACGAGGGACACCTCAGGAATCTCTTCGAGGCTTGGCAGGGCCAAAGGGACGCTTCTCGAGGTGAGGCAGGGCACCCAAGGACCCTTTCCAGAAGCCACAGGGATTTTGGGATTCCTATCAGTATTCAAGAGGAGTCAGGCATCGTCACCTTTTGAAGCAATGAACTCCGCGTGCCTCTCGAGGTGTCGGCGGGATGTGAGGGATTCCGTCAAAATGAGGCAGGGACCTAGGGCTTTCTCTAAGGTCTCCACAGGGGATTCAGACATCCCTTCATGTTGTGAGATGAAAGACGAGCCTGTATTCAAGCCACTGCAAGGAAATCCGGCCTCCTTTCAAGTTAGGGCTTCTCGCTGTATATTCCCCTTGAGGCAGCAAACTCGGGGTCCCTCCCACATACCTATTGCTGAGAGAAGCATCCTCCGGAGGTGCTTCTGGGAATTTGGCATACGTCTTGAGCCTAAGCCAGGGAATCAGCTCGCATCTCGAGACGATTTGGGGTACACGGAGCATTCCTCGAGTTGCTGTGCTGAAGTTGGTGTTCCTCTAGACTTGGGACAGTGTTCTCGGGGCATCTCTGGAGTTGCCTGAAGGAAGTCGAGCCAGCGGTCGTGTTGAATGGGGAACGGGGAATGGCTCTGGAGTCAATGCAGGGGAATCGGGCCTCATCTCGAGTTGATTTGGGGCACATGGAGCTGCTTTGCGTTACTGGGGTGACCTCAGGGTCCGTCTAGACTGGTGACAGTGTTCTTGGGGACTGTCTCGAGATCCATTAAGCAAGCCGAAGCTCCTGACTTGTTTGAATGGGATCACGGAATAGCTCTGCATGCACTGCAGGGGAATGGGGCCTCATCTCGCCTCTAGGGGGAAGTCTCATGGTTTTTCTCGAGTTGCGGCGGGGACCTGGGGTATGTTCTCGACTTACGGCGGGGATGGCCCTTCAAAACACGAGTTTCTTCAGTGACGTCAGGACTCCTGTCTAGTAACGAGGGACACCTCAGGAATCTCTTCGAGGCTTGGCAGGGCCAAAGGGACGCTTCTCGAGGTGAGGCAGGGCACCCAAGGACCCTTTCCAGTAGCCACAGGGATTTTGGGATTCCTATCAGTATTCAAGAGGAGTCAGGCATCGTCACCTTTTGAAGCAATGAACTCCGCGTGCCTCTCGAGGTGTCAGCGGGATGTGAGGCATTCCGTCAAAATGAGGCAGGGACCTAGGGCTTTCTCTAAGGTCTCCACAGGGGATTCAGACATCCCTTCATGTTGTGAGATGAAAGACGAGCCTGTATTCAAGCCACTGCAAGGAAATCCGGCCTCCTTTCAAGTTAGGGCTTCTCACTGTATATTCCCCTTGAGGCAGCAAACTCGGGGTCCCTCCCACATACCTATTGCTGAGAGAAGCCTCCTCCTGAGGTGCTTCTGGGAATTTGGCATACGTCTTGAGCCTAAGCCAGGGAATCAGCTCGCATCTCGAGACGATTTGGGGTACACGGAGCATTCCTCGAGTTGCTGTGCTGAAGTTGGTGTTCCTCTAGACTTGGGACAGTGTTCTCGGGGCATCTCTGGAGTTGCCTGAAGGAAGTCGAGCCAGCGGTCGTGTTGAATGGGGAACGGGGAATGGCTCTGGAGTCAATGCAGGGGAATCGGGCCTCATCTCGAGTTGATTTGGGGCACATGGAGCTGCTTTGCGTTGCTGGGGTGACCTCAGGGTCCGTCTAGACTGGTGACAGTGTTCTTGGGGACTGTCTTGAGATCCATTAAGCAAGCCGAAGCTCCTGACTTGTTTGAATGGGATCACGGAATAGCTCTGCATGCACTGCAGGGGAATGGGGCCTCATCTCGACTCTAGGGGGAAGTCTCATGGTTTTTCTCGAGTTGCGGCGGGGACCTGGGGTATGTTCTCGACTTACGGCGGGGATGGCCCTTCAAAACACGAGTTTCTTCAGTGACGTCAGGACTCCTGTCTAGTAACGAGGGACACCTCAGGAATCTCTTCGAGGCTTGGCAGGGCCAAAGGGACGCTTCTCGAGGTGAGGCGGGGCACCCAAGGACCCTTTCGAGTAGCCACAGGGATTTTGGGATTCCTATCAGTATTCAAGAGGAGTCAGGCATCGTCACCTTTTGAAGCAATGAACTCCGCGTGCCTCTCGAGGTGTCAGCGGGATGTGAGGCATTGCGTCAAAATGAGGTAGGGACCTAGGGCTTTCTCTAAGGTCTCCACAGCGGATTCAGACATCCCTTCATGTTGTGAGATGAAAGACCAGCCTGTATTCAAGCCACTGCAAGGAAATCCAGCCTCCTTTCAAGTTAGGGCTTCTCGCTGTATATTCCCCTTGAGGAAGCAAACTCGGGGTCCCTCCCACATACCTATTGCTGAGAGAAGCCTCCTCCTGAGGTGCTTCTGGGAAGTTGGCATACGTCTTGAGCCTAAGCCAGGGAATCAGCTCGCATCTCGAGACGATTTGGGGTACACGGAGCATTCCTCGAGTTGCTGTGCTGAAGTTGGTGTTCCTCTAGACTTGGGACAGTGTTCTCGGGGCATCTCTGGAGTTGCCTGAAGGAAGTCGAGCCAGCGGTCGTGTTGAATGGGGAACGGGGAATGGCTCTGGAGTCAATGCAGGGGAATCGGGCCTCATCTCGAGTTGATTTGGGGCACATGGAGCTGCTTTGCGTTGCTGGGGTGACCTCAGGGTCCGTCTAGACTGGTGACAGTGTTCTTGGGGACTGTCTCGAGATCCATTAAGAAAGCCGAAGCTCCTGACTTGTTTGAATGGGATCACGGAATAGCTCTGCATGCACTGCAGGGGAATGGGGCCTCATCTCGCCTCTAGGGGGAAGTCTCATGGTTTTTCTCGAGTTGCGGCGGGGACCTGGGGTATGTTCTCGACTTACGGCGGGGATGGCCCTTCAAAACACGAGTTTCTTCAGTGACGTCAGGACTCCTGTCTAGTAACGAGGGACACCTCAGGAATCTCTTCGAGGCTTGGCAGGGCCAAAGGGACGCTTCTCGAGGAGAGGCAGGGCACCCAAGGACCCTTTCCAGTAGCCACCGGGATTTTGGGATTCCTATCAGTATTCAAGAGGAGTCAGGCATCGTCACCTTTTGAAGCAATGAACTCCGCGTGCCTCTCGAGGTGTCAGCGGGATGTGAGGCATTCCGTCAAAATGAGGCAGGGACCTAGGGCTTTCTCTAAGGTCTCCACAGGGGATTCAGACATCCCTTCATGTTGTGAGATGAAAGACGAGCCTGTATTCAAGCCACTGCAAGGAAATCCGGCCTCCTTTCAAGTTAGGGCTTCTCGCTGTATATTCCCCTTGAGGCAGCAAACTCGGGGTCCCTCCCACATACCTATTGCTGAGAGAAGCCTCCTCCTGAGGTGCTTCTGGGAAGTTGGCATACGTCTTGAGCCTAAGCCAGGGAATCAGCTCGCATCTCGAGACGATTTGGGGTACACGGAGCATTCCTCGAGTTGCTGTGCTGAAGTTGGTGTTCCTCTAGACTTGGGACAGTGTTCTCGGGGCATCTCTGGAGTTGCCTGAAGGAAGTCGAGCCACCGGTCGTGTTGAATGGGGAACGGGGAATGGCTCTGGAGTCAATGCAGGGGAATCGGGCCTCATCTCGAGTTGATTTGGGGCACATGGAGCTGCTTTGCGTTGCTGGGGTGACCTCAGGGTCCGTCTAGACTGGTGACAGTGTTCTTGGGGACTGTCTCGAGATCCATTAAGCAAGTCGAAGCTCCTGACTTGTTTGAATGGGATCACGGAATAGCTCTGCATGCACTGCAGGGGAATGGGGCCTCATCTCGCCTCTAGGGGGAAGTCTCATGGTTTTTCTCGAGTTGCGGCGGGGACCTGGGGTATGTTCTCGACTTACGGCGGGGATGGCCCTTCAAAACACGAGTTTCTTCAGTGACGTCAGGACTCCTGTCTAGTAACGAGGGACACCTCAGGAATCTCTTCGAGGCTTGACAGCGCCAAAGGGACGCTTCTCGAGGTGAGGCAGGGCACCCAAGGACCCTTTCCAGTAGCCACAGGGATTTTGGGATTCCTATCAGTATTCAAGAGGAGTCAGGCATCGTCACCTTTTGAAGCAATGAACTCCGCGTGCCTCTCGAGGTGTCAGCGGGATGTGAGGGATTCCGTCAAAATGAGGCAGGGACCTAGGGCTTTCTCTAAGGTCTCCACAGGGGATGCAGACATCCCTTCATGTTGTGAGATGAAAGACGAGCCTGTATTCAAGCCACTGCAAGGAAATCCGGCCTCCTTTCAAGTTAGGGCTTCTCGCTGTATATTCCCCTTGAGGCAGCAAACTCGGGGTCCCTCCCACATACCTATTGCTGAGAGAAGCCTCCTCCGGAGGTGCTTCTGGGAATTTGGCATACGTCTTGAGCCTAAGCCAGGGAATCAGGTCGCATCTCGAGACGATTTGGGGTACACGGAGCATTCCTCGAGTTGCTGTGCTGAAGTTGGTGTTCCTCTAGACTTGGGACAGTGTTCTCGGGGCATCTCTGGAGTTGCCTGAAGGAAGTCGAGCCAGCGGTCGTGTTGAATGGGGAACGGGGAATGGCTCTGGAGTCAATGCAGGGGAATCGGGCCTCATCTCGAGTTGATTTGGGGCACATGGAGCTGCTTTGCGTTGCTGCGGTGACCTCAGGGTCCGTCTAGACTGGTGACAGTGTTCTTGGGGACTGTCTCGAGATCCATTAAGCAAGCCGAAGCTCCTGACTTGTTTGAATGGGATCACGGAATAGCTCTGCATGCACTGCAGGGGAATGGGGCCTCATCTCGCCTCTAGGGGGAAGTCTCATGGTTTTTCTCGAGTTGCGGCGGGGACCTGGGGTATGTTCTCGACTTACGGCGGGGATGGCCCTTCAAAACACGAGTTTCTTCTTTGACGTCAGGACTCCTGTCTAGTAACGAGGGACACCTCAGGAATCTCTTCGAGGCTTGGCAGGGCCAAAGGGACGCTTCTCGAGGTGAGGCAGGGCACCCAAGGACCCTTTCCAGTAGCCACAGGGATTTTGGGATTCCTATCAGTATTCAAGAGGAGTCAGGCATCGTCACCTTTTGAAGCAATGAACTCCGCGTGCCTCTCGAGGTGTCAGCGGGATGTGAGGCATTCCGTCAAAATGAGGCAGGGACCTAGGGCTTTCTCTAAGGTCTCCACAGGGTATTCAGACATCCCTTCATGTTGTGAGATGAAAGACGAGCCTGTATTCAAGCCACTGCAAGGAAATCCGGCCTCCTTTCAAGTTAGGGCTTCTCGCTGTATATTCCCCTTGAGGCAGCAAACTCGGGGTCCCTCCCACATACCTATTGCTGAGAGAAGCCTCCTCCTGAGGTGCTTCTGGGAAGTTGGCATACGTCTTGAGCCTAAGCCAGGGAATCAGCTCGCATCTCGAGACGATTTGGGGTACACGGAGCATTCCTCGAGTTGCTGTGCTGAAGTTGGTGTTCCTCTAGACTTGGGACAGTGTTCTCGGGGCATCTCTGGAGTTGCCTGAAGGAAGTCGAGCCAGCGGTCGTGTTGAATGGGGAACGGGGAATGGCTCTGGAGTCAATGCAGGGGAATCGGGCCTCATCTCGAGTTGATTTGGGGCACATGGAGCTGCTTTGCGTTGCTGGGGTGACCTCAGGGTCCGTCTAGACTGGTGACAGTGTTCTTGGGGACTGTCTCGAGATCCATTAAGCAAGTCGAAGCTCCTGACTTGTTTGAATGGGATCACGGAATAGCTCTGCATGCACTGCAGGGGAATGGGGCCTCATCTCGCCTCTAGGGGGAAGTCTCATGGTTTTTCTCGAGTTGCGGCGGGGACCTGGGGCATGTTCTCGACTTACGGCGGGGATGGCCCTTCAAAACACGAGTTTCTTCAGTGACGTCAGGACTCCTGTCTAGTAACGAGGGACACCTCAGGAATCTCTTCGAGGCTTGGCAGGGCCAAAGGGACGCTTCTCGAGGTGAGGCAGGGCACCCAAGGACCCTTTCCAGAAGCCACAGGGATTTTGGGATTCCTATCAGTATTCAAGAGGAGTCAGGCATCGTCACCTTTTGAAGCAATGAACTCCGCGTGCCTCTCGAGGTGTCAGCGGGATGTGAGGGATTCCGTCAAAATGAGGCAGGGACCTAGGGCTTTCTCTAAGGTCTCCACAGGGGATTCAGACATCCCTTCATGTTGTGAGATGAAAGACGAGCCTGTATTCAAGCCACTGCAAGGAAATCCGGCCTCCTTTCAAGTTAGGGCTTCTCGCTGTATATTCCCCTTGAGGCAGCAAACTCGGGGTCCCTCCCACATACCTATTGCTGAGAGAAGCCTCCTCCGGAGGTGCTTCTGGGAAGTTGGCATACGTCTTGAGCCTAAGCCAGGGAATCAGCTCGCATCTCGAGACGATTTGGGGTACACGGAGCATTCCTCGAGTTGCTGTGCTGAAGTTGGTGTTCCTCTAGACTTGGGACAGTGTTCTCGGGGCATCTCTGGAGTTGCCTGAAGGAAGTCGAGCCACCGGTCGTGTTGAATGGGGAACGGGGAATGGCTCTGGAGTCAATGCAGGGGAATCGGGCCTCATCTCGAGTTGATTTGGGGCACATGGAGCTGCTTTGCGTTGCTGGGGTGACCTCAGGGTCCGTCTAGACTGGTGACAGTGTTCTTGGGGACTGTCTCGAGATCCATTAAGCAAGCCGAAGCTCCTGACTTGTTTGAATGGGATCACGGAATAGCTCTGCATGCACTGCAGGGGAATGGGGCCTCATCTCGCCTCTAGGGGGAAGTCTCATGGTTTTTCTCGAGTTGCGGCGGGGACCTGGGGTATGTTCTCGACTTACGGCGGGGATGGCCCTTCAAAACACGAGTTTCTTCAGTGACGTCAGGACTCCTGTCTAGTAACGAGGGACACCTCAGGAATCTCTTCGAGGCTTGGCAGGGCCAAAGGGACGCTTCTCGAGGTGAGGCGGGGCACCCAAGGACCCTTTCGAGTAGCCACAGGGATTTTGGGATTCCTATCAGTATTCAAGAGGAGTCAGGCATCGTCACCTTTTGAAGCAATGAACTCCGCGTGCCTCTCGAGGTGTCAGCGGGATGTGAGGCATTGCGTCAAAATGAGGTAGGGACCTAGGGCTTTCTCTAAGGTCTCCACAGCGGATTCAGACATCCCTTCATGTTGTGAGATGAAAGACGAGCCTGTATTCAAGCCACTGCAAGGAAATCCAGCCTCCTTTCAAGTTAGGGCTTCTCGCTGTATATTCCCCTTGAGGAAGCAAACTCGGGGTCCCTCCCACATACCTATTGCTGAGAGAAGCCTCCTCCTGAGGTGCTTCTGGGAAGTTGGCATACGTCTTGAGCCTAAGCCAGGGAATCAGCTCGCATCTCGAGACGATTTGGGGTACACGGAGCATTCCTCGAGTTGCTGTGCTGAAGTTGGTGTTCCTCTAGACTTGGGACAGTGTTCTCGGGGCATCTCTGGAGTTGCCTGAAGGAAGTCGAGCCAGCGGTCGTGTTGAATGGGGAACGGGGAATGGCTCTGGAGTCAATGCAGGGGAATCGGGCCTCATCTCGAGTTGATTTGGGGCACATGGAGCTGCTTTGCGTTGCTGGGGTGACCTCAGGGTCCGTCTAGACTGGTGACAGTGTTCTTGGGGACTGTCTCGAGATCCATTAAGAAAGCCGAAGCTCCTGACTTGTTTGAATGGGATCACGGAATAGCTCTGCATGCACTGCAGGGGAATGGGGCCTCATCTCGCCTCTAGGGGGAAGTCTCATGGTTTTTCTCGAGTTGCGGCGGGGACCTGGGGTATGTTCTCGACTTACGGCGGGGATGGCCCTTCAAAACACGAGTTTCTTCAGTGACGTCAGGACTCCTGTCTAGTAACGAGGGACACCTCAGGAATCTCTTCGAGGCTTGGCAGGGCCAAAGGGACGCTTCTCGAGGAGAGGCAGGGCACCCAAGGACCCTTTCCAGTAGCCACCGGGATTTTGGGATTCCTATCAGTATTCAAGAGGAGTCAGGCATCGTCACCTTTTGAAGCAATGAACTCCGCGTGCCTCTCGAGGTGTCAGCGGGATGTGAGGCATTCCGTCAAAATGAGGCAGGGACCTAGGGCTTTCTCTAAGGTCTCCACAGGGGATTCAGACATCCCTTCATGTTGTGAGATGAAAGACGAGCCTGTATTCAAGCCACTGCAAGGAAATCCGGCCTCCTTTCAAGTTAGGGCTTCTCGCTGTATATTCCCCTTGAGGCAGCAAACTCGGGGTCCCTCCCACATACCTATTGCTGAGAGAAGCCTCCTCCTGAGGTGCTTCTGGGAAGTTGGCATACGTCTTGAGCCTAAGCCAGGGAATCAGCTCGCATCTCGAGACGATTTGGGGTACACGGAGCATTCCTCGAGTTGCTGTGCTGAAGTTGGTGTTCCTCTAGACTTGGGACAGTGTTCTCGGGGCATCTCTGGAGTTGCCTGAAGGAAGTCGAGCCACCGGTCGTGTTGAATGGGGAACGGGGAATGGCTCTGGAGTCAATGCAGGGGAATCGGGCCTCATCTCGAGTTGATTTGGGGCACATGGAGCTGCTTTGCGTTGCTGGGGTGACCTCAGGGTCCGTCTAGACTGGTGACAGTGTTCTTGTGGACTGTCTCGAGATCCATTAAGCAAGTCGAAGCTCCTGACTTGTTTGAATGGGATCACGGAATAGCTCTGCATGCACTGCAGGGGAATGGGGCCTCATCTCGCCTCTAGGGGGAAGTCTCATGGTTTTTCTCGAGTTGCGGCGGGGACCTGGGGTATGTTCTCGACTTACGGCGGGGATGGCCCTTCAAAACACGAGTTTCTTCAGTGACGTCAGGACTCCTGTCTAGTAACGAGGGACACCTCAGGAATCTCTTCGAGGCTTGACAGCGCCAAAGGGACGCTTCTCGAGGTGAGGCAGGGCACCCAAGGACCCTTTCCAGTAGCCACAGGGATTTTGGGATTCCTATCAGTATTCAAGAGGAGTCAGGCATCGTCACCTTTTGAAGCAATGAACTCCGCGTGCCTCTCGAGGTGTCAGCGGGATGTGAGGGATTCCGTCAAAATGAGGCAGGGACCTAGGGCTTTCTCTAAGGTCTCCACAGGGGATTCAGACATCCCTTCATGTTGTGAGATGAAAGACGAGCCTGTATTCAAGCCACTGCAAGGAAATCCGGCCTCCTTTCAAGTTAGGGCTTCTCGCTGTATATTCCCCTTGAGGCAGCAAACTCGGGGTCCCTCCCACATACCTATTGCTGAGAGAAGCCTCCTCCGGAGGTGCTTCTGGGAATTTGGCATACGTCTTGAGCCTAAGCCAGGGAATCAGCTCGCATCTCGAGACGATTTGGGGTACACGGAGCATTCCTCGAGTTGCTGTGCTGAAGTTGGTGTTCCTCTAGACTTGGGACAGTGTTCTCGGGGCATCTCTGGAGTTGCCTGAAGGAAGTCGAGCCACCGGTCGTGTTGAATGGGGAACGGGGAATGGCTCTGGAGTCAATGCAGGGGAATCGGGCCTCATCTCGAGTTGATTTGGGGCACATGGAGCTGCTTTGCGTTGCTGCGGTGACCTCAGGGTCCGTCTAGACTGGTGACAGTGTTCTTGGGGACTGTCTCGAGATCCATTAAGCAAGCCGAAGCTCCTGACTTGTTTGAATGGGATCACGGAATAGCTCTGCATGCACTGCAGGGGAATGGGGCCTCATCTCGCCTCTAGGGGGAAGTCTCATGGTTTTTCTCGAGTTGCGGCGGGGACCTGGGGTATGTTCTCGACTTACGGCGGGGATGGCCCTTCAAAACACGAGTTTCTTCAGTGACGTCAGGACTCCTGTCTAGTAACGAGGGACACCTCAGGAATCTCTTCGAGGCTTGACAGCGCCAAAGGGACGCTTCTCGAGGTGAGGCAGGGCACCCAAGGACCCTTTCCAGTAGCCACAGGGATTTTGGGATTCCTATCAGTATTCAAGAGGAGTCAGGCATCGTCACCTTTTGAAGCAATGAACTCCGCGTGCCTCTCGAGGTGTCAGCGGGATGTGAGGGATTCCGTCAAAATGAGGCAGGGACCTAGGGCTTTCTCTAAGGTCTCCACAGGGGATTCAGACATCCCTTCATGTTGTGAGATGAAAGACGAGCCTGTATTCAAGCCACTGCAAGGAAATCCGGCCTCCTTTCAAGTTAGGGCTTCTCGCTGTATATTCCCCTTGAGGCAGCAAACTCGGGGTCCCTCCCACATACCTATTGCTGAGAGAAGCCTCCTCCGGAGGTGCTTCTGGGAATTTGGCATACGTCTTGAGCCTAAGCCAGGGAATCAGCTCGCATCTCGAGACGATTTGGGGTACACGGAGCATTCCTCGAGTTGCTGTGCTGAAGTTGGTGTTCCTCTAGACTTGGGACAGTGTTCTTGGGGCATCTCTGGAGTTGCCTGAAGGAAGTCGAGCCAGCGGTCGTGTTGAATGGGGAACGGGGAATGGCTCTGGAGTCAATGCAGGGGAATCGGGCCTCATCTCGAGTTGATTTGGGGCACATGGAGCTGCTTTGCGTTGCTGGGGTGACCTCAGGGTCCGTCTAGACTGGTGACAGTGTTCTTGGGGACTGTCTCGAGATCCATTAAGCAAGCCGAAGCTCCTGACTTGTTTGAATGGGATCACGGAATAGCTCTGCATGCACTGCAGGGGAATGGGGCCTCATCTCGCCTCTAGGGGGAAGTCTCATGGTTTTTCTCGAGTTGCGGCGGGGACCTGGGGTATGTTCTCGACTTACGGCGGGGATGGCCCTTCAAAACACGAGTTTCTTCAGTGACGTCAGGACTCCTGTCTAGTAACGAGGGACACCTCAGGAATCTCTTCGAGGCTTGGCAGGGCCAAAGGGACGCTTCTCGAGGTGAGGCAGGGCACCCAAGGACCCTTTCCAGTAGCCACAGGGATTTTGGGATTCCTATCAGTATTCAAGAGGAGTCAGGCATCGTCACCTTTTGAAGCAATGAACTCCAAGTGCCTCTCGAGGTGTCAGCGGGATGTGAGGGATTCCGTCAAAATGAGGCAGGGACCTAGGGCTTTCTCTAAGGTCTCCACAGGGGATTCAGACATCCCTTCATGTTGTGAGATGAAAGACGAGCCTGTATTCAAGCCACTGCAAGGAAATCCGGCCTCCTTTCAAGTTAGGGCTTCTCGCTGTATATTCCCCTTGAGGCAGCAAACTCGGGGTCCCTCCCACATACCTATTGCTGAGAGAAGCCTCCTCCGGAGGTGCTTCTGGGAGATTGGCATACGTCTTGAGCCTAAGCCAGGGAATCAGCTCGCATCTCGAGACGATTTGAGGTACACGGAGCATTCCTCGAGTTGCTGTGCTGAAGTTGGTGTTCCTCTAGACTTGGGACAGTGTTCTCGGGGCATCTCTGGAGTTGCCTGAAGGAAGTCGAGCCAGCGGTCGTGTTGAATGGGGAACGGGGAATGGCTCTGGAGTCAATGCAGGGGAATCGGGCCTCATCTCGAGTTGATTTGGGGCACATGGAGCTGCTTTGCGTTGCTGGGGTGACCTCAGGGTCCGTCTAGACAGGTGACAGTGTTCTTGGGGACTGTCTCGAGATCCATTAAGCAAGCCGAAGCTCCTGACTTGTTTGAATGGGATCACGGAATAGCTCTGCATGCACTGCAGGGGAATGGGGCCTCATCTCGCCTCTAGGGGGAAGTCTCATGGTTTTTCTCGAGTTGCGGCGGGGACCTGGGGTATGTTCTCGACTTACGGCGGGGATGGCCCTTCAAAACACGAGTTTCTTCAGTGACGTCAGGACTCCTGTCTAGTAACGAGGGACACCTCAGGAATCTCTTCGAGGCTTGGCAGGGCCAAAGGGACGCTTCTCGAGGTGAGGCAGGGCACCCAAGGACCCTTTCCAGTAGCCACAGGGATTTTGGGATTCCTATCAGTATTCAAGAGGAGTCAGGCATCGTCACCTTTTGAAGCAATGAACTCCAAGTGCCTCTCGAGGTGTCAGCGGGATGTGAGGGATTCCGTCAAAATGAGGCAGGGACCTAGGGCTTTCTCTAAGGTCTCCACAGGGGATTCAGACATCCCTTCATGTTGTGAGATGAAAGACGAGCCTGTATTCAAGCCACTGCAAGGAAATCCGGCCTCCTTTCAAGTTAGGGCTTCTCGCTGTATATTCCCCTTGAGGCAGCAAACTCGGGGTCCCTCCCACATACCTATTGCTGAGAGAAGCCTCCTCCGGAGGTGCTTCTGGGAGATTGGCATACGTCTTGAGCCTAAGCCAGGGAATCAGCTCGCATCTCGAGACGATTTGAGGTACACGGAGCATTCCTCGAGTTGCTGTGCTGAAGATGGTGTTCCTCTAGACTTGGGACAGTGTTCTCGGGGCATCTCTGGAGTTGCCTGAAAGAAGTCGAGCCAGCGGTCGTGTTGAATGGGGAACGGGGAATGGCTCTGGAGTCAATGCAGGGGAATCGGGCCTCATCTCGAGTTGATTTGGGGCACATGGAGCTGCTTTGCGTTGCTGGGGTGACCTCAGGGTCCGTCTAGACAGGTGACAGTGTTCTTGGGGACTGTCTCGAGATCCATTAAGCAAGCCGAAGCTCCTGACTTGTTTGAATGGGATCACGGAATAGCTCTGCATGCACTGCAGGGGAATGGGGCCTCATCTCGCCTCTAGGGGGAAGTCTCATGGTTTTTCTCGAGTTGCGGCGGGGACCTGGGGTATGTTCTCGACTTACGGCGGGGATGGCCCTTCAAAACACGAGTTTCTTCAGTGACGTCAGGACTCCTGTCTAGTAACGAGGGACACCTCAGGAATCTCTTCGACGCTTGGCAGGGCCAAAGGGACGCTTCTCGAGGTGAGGCAGGGCACCCAAGGACCCTTTCCAGTAGCCACAGGGATTTTGGGATTCCTATCAGTATTCAAGAGGAGTCAGGCATCGTCACCTTTTGAAGCAATGAACTCCGCGTGCCTCTCGAGGTGTCAGCGGGATGTGAGGCATTGCGTCAAAATGAGGCAGGGACCTTGGGCTTTCTCTAAGGTCTCCACAGCGGATTCAGACATCCCTTCATGTTGTGAGATGAAAGACTAGCCTGTATTCAAGCCACTGCAAGGAAATCCAGCCTCCTTTCAAGTTAGGGCTTCTCGCTGTATATTCCCCTTGAGGCAGCAAACTCGGGGTCCCTCCCTCATACCTATTGCTGAGAGAAGCCTCCTCCTGAGGTGCTTCTGGGAAGTTGGCTACGTCTTGAGCCTAAGCCAGGGAATCAGCTCGCATCTCGAGACGATTTGGGGTACACGGAGCATTCCTCGAGTTGCTGTGCTGAAGTTGGTGTTCCTCTAGACTTGGGACAGTGTTCTCGGGGCATCTCTGGAGTTGCCTGAAGGAAGTCGAGCCACCGGTCGTGTTGAATGGGGAACGGGGAATGGCTCTGGAGTCAATGCAGGGGAATCGGGCCTCATCTCGAGTTGATTTGGGGCACATGGAGCTGCTTTGCGTTGCTGGGGTGACCTCAGGGTCCGTCTAGACTGGTGACAGTGTTCTTGGGGACTGTCTCGAGATCCATTAAGCAAGCCGAAGCTCCTGACTTGTTTGAATGGGATCACGGAATAGCTCTGCATGCACTGCAGGGGAATGGGGCCTCATCTCGCCTCTAGGGGGAAGTCTCATGGTTTTTCTCGAGTTGCGGCGGGGACCTGGGGTATGTTCTCGACTTACGGCGGGGATGGCCCTTCAAAACACGAGTTTCTTCAGTGACGTCAGGACTCCTGTCTAGTAACGAGGGACACCTCAGGAATCTCTTCGAGGCTTGGCAGGGCCAAAGGGACGCTTCTCGAGGTGAGGCAGGGCACCCAAGGACCCTTTCCAGTAGCCACAGGGATTTTGGGATTCCTATCAGTATTCAAGAGGAGTCAGGCATCGTCACCTTTTGAAGCAATGAACTCCGCGTGCCTCTCGAGGTGTCAGCGGGATGTGAGGGATTCCGTCAAAATGAGGCAGGGACCTAGGGCTTTCTCTAAGGTCTCCACAGGGGATTCAGACATCCCTTCATGTTGTGAGATGAAAGACGAGCCTGTATTCAAGCCACTGCAAGGAAATCCGGCCTCCTTTCAAGTTAGGGCTTCTCGCTGTATATTCCCCTTGAGGCAGCAAACTCGGGGTCCCTCCCACATACCTATTGCTGAGAGAAGCCTCCTCCGGAGGTGCTTCTGGGAATTTGGCATACGTCTTGAGCCTAAGCCAGGGAATCAGCTCGCATCTCGAGACGATTTGAGGTACACGGAGCATTCCTCGAGTTGCTGTGCTGAAGTTGGTGTTCCTCTAGACTTGGGACAGTGTTCTCGGGGCATCTCTGGAGTTGCCTGAAGGAAGTCGAGCCAGCGGTCGTGTTGAATGGGGAACGGGGAATGGCTCTGGAGTCAATGCAGGGGAATCGGGCCTCATCTCGAGTTGATTTGGGGCACATGGAGCTGCTTTGCGTTGCTGGGGTGACCTCAGGGTCCGTCTAGACAGGTGACAGTGTTCTTGGGGACTGTCTCGAGATCCATTAAGCAAGCCGAAGCTCCTGACTTGTTTGAATGGGATCACGGAATAGCTCTGCATGCACTGCAGGGGAATGGGGCCTCATCTCGCCTCTAGGGGGAAGTCTCATGGTTTTTCTCGAGTTGCGGCGGGGACCTGGGGTATGTTCTCGACTTACGGCGGGGATGGCCCTTCAAAACACGAGTTTCTTCAGTGACGTCAGGACTCCTGTCTAGTAACGAGGGACACCTCAGGAATCTCTTCGAGGCTTGGCAGGGCCAAAGGGACGCTTCTCGAGGTGAGGCAGGGCACCCAAGGACCCTTTCCAGTAGCCACAGGGATTTTGGGATTCCTATCAGTATTCAAGAGGAGTCAGGCATCGTCACCTTTTGAAGCAATGAACTCCGCGTGCCTCTCGAGGTGTCAGCGGGATGTGAGGCATTGCGTCAAAATGAGGCAGGGACCTAGGGCTTTCTCTAAGGTCTCCACAGCGGATTCAGACATCCCTTCATGTTGTGAGATGAAAGACTAGCCTGTATTCAAGCCACTGCAAGGAAATCCAGCCTCCTTTCAAGTTAGGGCTTCTCGCTGTATATTCCCCTTGAGGCAGCAAACTCGGGGTCCCTCCCTCATACCTATTGCTGAGAGAAGCCTCCTCCTGAGGTGCTTCTGGGAAGTTGGCTACGTCTTGAGCCTAAGCCAGGGAATCAGCTCGCATCTCGAGACGATTTGGGGTACACGGAGCATTCCTCGAGTTGCTGTGCTGAAGTTGGTGTTCCTCTAGACTTGGGACAGTGTTCTCGGGGCATCTCTGGAGTTGCCTGAAGGAAGTCGAGCCACCGGTCGTGTTGAATGGGGAACGGGGAATGGCTCTGGAGTCAATGCAGGGGAATCGGGCCTCATCTCGAGTTGATTTGGGGCACATGGAGCTGCTTTGCGTTGCTGGGGTGACCTCAGGGTCCGTCTAGACTGGTGACAGTGTTCTTGGGGACTGTCTCGAGATCCATTAAGCAAGCCGAAGCTCCTGACTTGTTTGAATGGGATCACGGAATAGCTCTGCATGCACTGCAGGGGAATGGGGCCTCATCTCGCCTCTAGGGGGAAGTCTCATGGTTTTTCTCGAGTTGTGGCGGGGACCTGGGGTATGTTCTCGACTTACGGCGGGGATGGCCCTTCAAAACACGAGTTTCTTCAGTGAAGTCAGGACTCCTGTCTAGTAACGAGGGACACCTCAGGAATCTCTTCGAGGCTTGGCAGGGCCAAAGGGACGCTTCTCGAGGTGAGGCAGGGCACCCAAGGACCCTTTCCAGTAGCCACAGGGATTTTGGGATTCCTATCAGTATTCAAGAGGAGTCAGGCATCGTCACCTTTTGAAGCAATGAACTCCGCGTGCCTCTCGAGGTATCAGCGGGATGTGAGGCATTCCGTCAAAATGAGGCAGTGACCTAGGGCTTTCTCTAAGGTCTCCACAGGGGATTCAGACATCCCTTCATGTTTTGAGATGAAAGACGAGCCTGTATTCAAGCCACTGCAAGGAAATCCGGCCTCCTTTCAAGTTAGGGCTTCTCGCTGTATATTCCCCTTGAGGCAGCAAACTCGGGGTCCCTCCCACATACCTATTGCTGAGAGAAGCCTCCTCCTGAGGTGCTTCTGGGAAGTTGGCATACGTCTTGAGCCTAAGCCAGGGAATCAGCTCGCATCTCGAGACGATTTGGGGTACACGGAGCATTCCTCGAGTTGCTGTGCTGAAGTTGGTGTTCCTCTAGACTTGGGACAGTGTTCTCGGGGCATCTCTGGAGTTGCCTGAAGGAAGTCGAGCCACCGGTCGTGTTGAATGGGGAACGGGGAATGGCTCTGGAGTCAATGCAGGGGAATCGGGCCTCATCTCGAGTTGATTTGGGGCACATGGAGCTGCTTTGCGTTGCTGGGGTGACCTCAGGGTCCGTCTAGACTGGTGACAGTGTTCTTGGGGACTGTCTCGAGATCCATTAAGCAAGTCGAAGCTCCTGACTTGTTTGAATGGGATCACGGAATAGCTCTGCATGCACTGCAGGGGAATGGGGCCTCATCTCGCCTCTAGGGGGAAGTCTCATGGTTTTTCTCGAGTTGCGGCGGGGACCTGGGGTATGTTCTCGACTTACGGCGGGGATGGCCCTTCAAAACACGAGTTTCTTCAGTGACGTCAGGACTCCTGTCTAGTAATGAGGGACACCTCAGGAATCTCTTCGAGGCTTGGCAGGGCCAAAGGGACGCTTCTCGAGGTGAGGCAGGGCACCCAAGGACCCTTTCCAGAAGCCACAGGGATTTTGGGATTCCTATCAGTATTCAAGAGGAGTCAGGCATCGTCACCTTTTGAAGCAATGAACTCCGCGTGCCTCTCGAGGTGTCAGCGGGATGTGAGGGATTCCGTCAAAATGAGGCAGGGACCTAGGGCTTTCTCTAAGGTCTCCACAGCGGATTCAGACATCCCTTCATGTTGTGAGATGAAAGACGAGCCTGTATTCAAGCCACTGCAAGGAAATCCGGCCTCCTTTCAAGTTAGGGCTTCTCGCTGTATATTCCCCTTGAGGCAGCAAACTCGGGGTCCCTCCCACATACCTATTGCTGAGAGAAGCCTCCTCCGGAGGTGCTTCTGGGAATTTGGCATACGTCTTGAGCCTAAGCCAGGGAATCAGCTCGCATTTCGAGACGATTTGGGGTACACGGAGCATTCCTCGAGTTGCTGTGCTGAAGTTGGTGTTCCTCTAGACTTGGGACAGTGTTCTCGGGGCATCTCTGGAGTTGCCTGAAGGAAGTCGAGCCAGCGGTCGTGTTGAATGGGGAACGGGGAATGGCTCTGGAGTCAATGCAGGGGAATCGGGCCTCATCTCGAGTTGATTTGGGGCACATGGAGCTGCTTTGCGTTGCTGGGGTGACCTCAGGGTCCGTCTAGACTGGTGACAGTGTTCTTGGGGACTGTCTCGAGATCCATTAAGCAAGCCGAAGCTCCTGACTTGTTTGAATGGGATCACGGAATAGCTCTGCATGCACTGCAGGGGAATGGGGCCTCATCTCGCCTCTAGGGGGAAGTCTCATGGTTTTTCTCGAGTTGCGGCGGGGACCTGGGGTATGTTCTCGACTTACGGCGGGGATGGCCCTTCAAAACACGAGTTTCTTCAGTGACGTCAGGACTCCTGTCTAGTAACGAGGGACACCTCAGGAATCTCTTCGAGGCTTGGCAGGGCCAAAGGGACGCTTCTCGAGGTGAGGCAGGGCACCCAAGGACCCTTTCCAGTAGCCACAGGGATTTTGGGATTCCTATCAGTATTCAAGAGGAGTCAGGCATCGTCACCTTTTGAAGCAATGAACTCCGCGTGCCTCTCGAGGTGTCAGCGGGATGTGAGGCATTCCGTCAAAATGAGGCAGGGACCTAGGGCTTTCTCTAAGGTCTCCACAGGGGATTCAGACATCCCTTCATGTTGTGAGATGAAAGACGAGCCTGTATTCAAGCCACTGCAAGGAAATCCGGCCTCCTTTCAAGTTAGGGCTTCTCACTGTATATTCCCCTTGAGGCAGCAAACTCGGGGTCCCTCCCACATACCTATTGCTGAGAGAAGCCTCCTCCTGAGGTGCTTCTGGGAATTTGGCATACGTCTTGAGCCTAAGCCAGGGAATCAGCTCGCATCTCGAGACGATTTGGTGTACACGGAGCATTCCTCGAGTTGCTGTGCTGAAGTTGGTGTTCCTCTAGACTTGGGACAGTGTTCTCGGGGCATCTCTGGAGTTGCCTGAAGGAAGTCGAGCCAGCGGTCGTGTTGAATGGGGAACGGGGAATGGCTCTGGAGTCAATGCAGGGGAATCGGGCCTCATCTCGAGTTGATTTGGGGCACATGGAGCTGCTTTGCGTTGCTGGGGTGACCTCAGGGTCCGTCTAGACTGGTGACAGTGTTCTTGGGGACTGTCTCGAGATCCATTAAGCAAGCCGAAGCTCCTGACTTGTTTGAATGGGATCACGGAATAGCTCTGCATGCACTGCAGGGGAATGGGGCCTCATCTCGCCTCTAGGGGGAAGTCTCATGGTTTTTCTCGAGTTGCGGCGGGGACCTGGGGTATGTTCTCGACTTACGGCGGGGATGGCCCTTCAAAACACGAGTTTCTTCAGTGACGTCAGGACTCCTGTCTAGTAACGAGGGACACCTCAGGAATCTCTTCGAGGCTTGGCAGGGCCAAAGGGACGCTTCTCGAGGTGAGGCAGGGCACCCAAGGACCCTTTCCAGTAGCCACAGGGATTTTGGGATTCCTATCAGTATTCAAGAGGAGTCAGGCATCGTCACCTTTTGAAGCAATGAACTCCGCGTGCCTCTCGAGGTATCAGCGGGATGTGAGGCATTCCGTCAAAATGAGGCAGTGACCTAGGGCTTTCTCTAAGGTCTCCACAGGGGATTCAGACATCCCTTCATGTTTTGAGATGAAAGACGAGCCTGTATTCAAGCCACTGCAAGGAAATCCGGCCTCCTTTCAAGTTAGGGCTTCTCGCTGTATATTCCCCTTGAGGCAGCAAACTCGGGGTCCCTCCCACATACCTATTGCTGAGAGAAGCCTCCTCCTGAGGTGCTTCTGGGAAGTTGGCATACGTCTTGAGCCTAAGCCAGGGAATCAGCTCGCATCTCGAGACGATTTGGGGTACACGGAGCATTCCTCGAGTTGCTGTGCTGAAGTTGGTGTTCCTCTAGACTTGGGACAGTGTTCTCGGGGCATCTCTGGAGTTGCCTGAAGGAAGTCGAGCCACCGGTCGTGTTGAATGGGGAACGGGGAATGGCTCTGGAGTCAATGCAGGGGAATCGGGCCTCATCTCGAGTTGATTTGGGGCACATGGAGCTGCTTTGCGTTGCTGGGGTGACCTCAGGGTCCGTCTAGACTGGTGACAGTGTTCTTGGGGACTGTCTCGAGATCCATTAAGCAAGTCGAAGCTCCTGACTTGTTTGAATGGGATCACGGAATAGCTCTGCATGCACTGCAGGGGAATGGGGCCTCATCTCGCCTCTAGGGGGAAGTCTCATGGTTTTTCTCGAGTTGCGGCGGGGACCTGGGGTATGTTCTCGACTTACGGCGGGGATGGCCCTTCAAAACACGAGTTTCTTCAGTGACGTCAGGACTCCTGTCTAGTAATGAGGGACACCTCAGGAATCTCTTCGAGGCTTGGCAGGGCCAAAGGGACGCTTCTCGAGGTGAGGCAGGGCACCCAAGGACCCTTTCCAGAAGCCACAGGGATTTTGGGATTCCTATCAGTATTCAAGAGGAGTCAGGCATCGTCACCTTTTGAAGCAATGAACTCCGCGTGCCTCTCGAGGTGTCAGCGGGATGTGAGGGATTCCGTCAAAATGAGGCAGGGACCTAGGGCTTTCTCTAAGGTCTCCACAGGGGATTCAGACATCCCTTCATGTTGTGAGATGAAAGACGAGCCTGTATTCAAGCCACTGCAAGGAAATCCGGCCTCCTTTCAAGTTAGGGCTTCTCGCTGTATATTCCCCTTGAGGCAGCAAACTCGGGGTCCCTCCCACATACCTATTGCTGAGAGAAGCCTCCTCCGGAGGTGCTTCTGGGAATTTGGCATACGTCTTGAGCCTAAGCCAGGGAATCAGCTCGCATCTCGAGACGATTTGGGGTACACGGAGCATTCCTCGAGTTGCTGTGCTGAAGTTGGTGTTCCTCTAGACTTGGGACAGTGTTCTCGGGGCATCTCTGGAGTTGCCTGAAGGAAGTCGAGCCAGCGGTCGTGTTGAATGGGGAACGGGGAATGGCTCTGGAGTCAATGCAGGGGAATCGGGCCTCATCTCGAGTTGATTTGGGGCACATGGAGCTGCTTTGCGTTGCTGGGGTGACCTCAGGGTCCGTCTAGACTGGTGACAGTGTTCTTGGGGACTGTCTCGAGATCCATTAAGCAAGTCGAAGCTCCTGACTTGTTTGAATGGGATCACGGAATAGCTCTGCATGCACTGCAGGGGAATGGGGCCTCATCTCGCCTCTAGGGGGAAGTCTCATGGTTTTTCTCGAGTTGCGGCGGGGACCTGGGGTATGTTCTCGACTTACGGCGGGGATGGCCCTTCAAAACACGAGTTTCTTCAGTGACGTCAGGACTCCTGTCTAGTAACGAGGGACACCTCAGGAATCTCTTCGACGCTTGGCAGGGCCAAAGGGACGCTTCTCGAGGTGAGGCAGGGCACCCAAGGACCCTTTCCAGAAGCCACAGGGATTTTGGGATTCCTATCAGTATTCAAGAGGAGTCAGGCATCGTCACCTTTTGAAGCAATGAACTCCGCGTGCCTCTCGAGGTGTCAGCGGGATGTGAGGCATTCCGTCAAAATGAGGCAGGGACCTAGGGCTTTCTCTAAGGTCTCCACAGGGGATTCAGACATCCCTTCATGTTGTGAGATGAAAGACGAGCCTGTATTCAAGCCACTGCAAGGAAATCCGGCCTCCTTTCAAGTTAGGGCTTCTCGCTGTATATTCCCCTTGAGGCAGCAAACTCGGGGTCCCTCCCACATACCTATTGCTGAGAGAAGCCTCCTCCTGAGGTGCTTCTGGGAAGTTGGCATACGTCTTGAGCCTAAGCCAGGGAATCAGCTCGCATCTCGAGACGATTTGGGGTACACGGAGCATTCCTCGAGTTGCTGTGCTGAAGTTGGTGTTCCTCTAGACTTGGGACAGTGTTCTCGGGGCATCTCTGGAGTTGCCTGAAGGAAGTCGAGCCACCGGTCGTGTTGAATGGGGAACGGGGAATGGCTCTGGAGTCAATGCAGGGGAATCGGGCCTCATCTCGAGTTGATTTGGGGCACATGGAGCTGCTTTGCGTTGCTGGGGTGACCTCAGGGTCCGTCTAGACTGGTGACAGTGTTCTTGGGGTCTGTCTCGAGATCCATTAAGCAAGTCGAAGCTCCTGACTTGTTTGAATGGGATCACGGAATAGCTCTGCATGCACTGCAGGGGAATGGGGCCTCATCTCGCCTCTAGGGGGAAGTCTCATGGTTTTTCTCGAGTTGCGGCGGGGACCTGGGGTATGTTCTCGACTTACGGCGGGGATGGCCCTTCAAAACACGAGTTTCTTCAGTGACGTCAGGACTCCTGTCTAGTAATGAGGGACACCTCAGGAATCTCTTCGAGGCTTGGCAGGGCCAAAGGGACGCTTCTCGAGGTGAGGCAGGGCACCCAAGGACCCTTTCCAGAAGCCACAGGGATTTTGGGATTCCTATCAGTATTCAAGAGGAGTCAGGCATCGTCACCTTTTGAAGCAATGAACTCCGCGTGCCTCTCGAGGTGTCAGCGGGATGTGAGGGATTCCGTCAAAATGAGGCAGGGACCTAGGGCTTTCTCTAAGGTCTCCACAGCGGATTCAGACATCCCTTCATGTTGTGAGATGAAAGACGAGCCTGTATTCAAGCCACTGCAAGGAAATCCGGCCTCCTTTCAAGTTAGGGCTTCTCGCTGTATATTCCCCTTGAGGCAGCAAACTCGGGGTCCCTCCCACATACCTATTGCTGAGAGAAGCCTCCTCCGGAGGTGCTTCTGGGAATTTGGCATACGTCTTGAGCCTAAGCCAGGGAATCAGCTCGCATTTCGAGACGATTTGGGGTACACGGAGCATTCCTCGAGTTGCTGTGCTGAAGTTGGTGTTCCTCTAGACTTGGGACAGTGTTCTCGGGGCATCTCTGGAGTTGCCTGAAGGAAGTCGAGCCAGCGGTCGTGTTGAATGGGGAACGGGGAATGGCTCTGGAGTCAATGCAGGGGAATCGGGCCTCATCTCGAGTTGATTTGGGGCACATGGAGCTGCTTTGCGTTGCTGGGGTGACCTCAGGGTCCGTCTAGACTGGTGACAGTGTTCTTGGGGACTGTCTCGAGATCCATTAAGCAAGCCGAAGCTCCTGACTTGTTTGAATGGGATCACGGAATAGCTCTGCATGCACTGCAGGGGAATGGGGCCTCATCTCGCCTCTAGGGGGAAGTCTCATGGTTTTTCTCGAGTTGCGGCGGGGACCTGGGGTATGTTCTCGACTTACGGCGGGGATGGCCCTTCAAAACACGAGTTTCTTCAGTGACGTCAGGACTCCTGTCTAGTAACGAGGGACACCTCAGGAATCTCTTCGAGGCTTGGCAGGGCCAAAGGGACGCTTCTCGAGGTGAGGCAGGGCACCCAAGGACCCTTTCCAGTAGCCACAGGGATTTTGGGATTCCTATCAGTATTCAAGAGGAGTCAGGCATCGTCACCTTTTGAAGCAATGAACTCCGCGTGCCTCTCGAGGTGTCAGCGGGATGTGAGGCATTCCGTCAAAATGAGGCAGGGACCTAGGGCTTTCTCTAAGGTCTCCACAGGGGATTCAGACATCCCTTCATGTTGTGAGATGAAAGACGAGCCTGTATTCAAGCCACTGCAAGGAAATCCGGCCTCCTTTCAAGTTAGGGCTTCTCACTGTATATTCCCCTTGAGGCAGCAAACTCGGGGTCCCTCCCACATACCTATTGCTGAGAGAAGCCTCCTCCTGAGGTGCTTCTGGGAATTTGGCATACGTCTTGAGCCTAAGCCAGGGAATCAGCTCGCATCTCGAGACGATTTGGTGTACACGGAGCATTCCTCGAGTTGCTGTGCTGAAGTTGGTGTTCCTCTAGACTTGGGACAGTGTTCTCGGGGCATCTCTGGAGTTGCCTGAAGGAAGTCGAGCCAGCGGTCGTGTTGAATGGGGAACGGGGAATGGCTCTGGAGTCAATGCAGGGGAATCGGGCCTCATCTCGAGTTGATTTGGGGCACATGGAGCTGCTTTGCGTTGCTGGGGTGACCTCAGGGTCCGTCTAGACTGGTGACAGTGTTCTTGGGGACTGTCTCGAGATCCATTAAGCAAGCCGAAGCTCCTGACTTGTTTGAATGGGATCACGGAATAGCTCTGCATGCACTGCAGGGGAATGGGGCATCATCTCGCCTCTAGGGGGAAGTCTCATGGTTTTTCTCGAGTTGCGGCGGGGACCTGGGGTATGTTCTCGACTTACGGCGGGGATGGCCCTTCAAAACACGAGTTTCTTCAGTGACGTCAGGACTCCTGTCTAGTAACGAGGGACACCTCAGGAATCTCTTCGAGGCTTGGCAGGGCCAAAGGGACGCTTCTCGAGGTGAGGCAGGGCACCCAAGGACCCTTTCCAGTAGCCACAGGGATTTTGGGATTCCTTTCAGTATTCAAGAGGAGTCAGGCATCGTCACCTTTTGAAGCAATGAACTCCGCGTGCCTCTCGAGGTATCAGCGGGATGTGAGGCATTCCGTCAAAATGAGGCAGTGACCTAGGGCTTTCTCTAAGGTCTCCACAGGGGATTCAGACATCCCTTCATGTTTTGAGATGAAAGACGAGCCTGTATTCAAGCCACTGCAAGGAAATCCGGCCTCCTTTCAAGTTAGGGCTTCTCGCTGTATATTCCCCTTGAGGCAGCAAACTCGGGGTCCCTCCCACATACCTATTGCTGAGAGAAGCCTCCTCCTGAGGTGCTTCTGGGAAGTTGGCATACGTCTTGAGCCTAAGCCAGGGAATCAGCTCGCATCTCGAGACGATTTGGGGTACACGGAGCATTCCTCGAGTTGCTGTGCTGAAGTTGGTGTTCCTCTAGACTTGGGACAGTGTTCTCGGGGCATCTCTGGAGTTGCCTGAAGGAAGTCGAGCCACCGGTCGTGTTGAATGGGGAACGGGGAATGGCTCTGGAGTCAATGCAGGGGAATCGGGCCTCATCTCGAGTTGATTTGGGGCACATGGAGCTGCTTTGCGTTGCTGGGGTGACCTCAGGGTCCGTCTAGACTGGTGACAGTGTTCTTGGGGACTGTCTCGAGATCCATTAAGCAAGTCGAAGCTCCTGACTTGTTTGAATGGGATCACGGAATAGCTCTGCATGCACTGCAGGGGAATGGGGCCTCATCTCGCCTCTAGGGGGAAGTCTCATGGTTTTTCTCGAGTTGCGGCGGGGACCTGGGGTATGTTCTCGACTTACGGCGGGGATGGCCCTTCAAAACACGAGTTTCTTCAGTGACGTCAGGACTCCTGTCTAGTAATGAGGGACACCTCAGGAATCTCTTCGAGGCTTGGCAGGGCCAAAGGGACGCTTCTCGAGGTGAGGCAGGGCACCCAAGGACCCTTTCCAGAAGCCACAGGGATTTTGGGATTCCTATCAGTATTCAAGAGGAGTCAGGCATCGTCACCTTTTGAAGCAATGAACTCCGCGTGACTCTCGAGGTGTCAGCGGGATGTGAGGGATTCCGTCAAAATGAGGCAGGGACCTAGGGCTTTCTCTAAGGTCTCCACAGGGGATTCAGACATCCCTTCATGTTGTGAGATGAAAGACGAGCCTGTATTCAAGCCACTGCAAGGAAATCCGGCCTCCTTTCAAGTTAGGGCTTCTCGCTGTATATTCCCCTTGAGGCAGCAAACTCGGGGTCCCTCCCACATACCTATTGCTGAGAGAAGCCTCCTCCGGAGGTGCTTCTGGGAATTTGGCATACGTCTTGAGCCTAAGCCAGGGAATCAGCTCGCATCTCGAGACGATTTGGGGTACACGGAGCATTCCTCGAGTTGCTGTGCTGAAGTTGGTGTTCCTCTAGACTTGGGACAGTGTTCTCGGGGCATCTCTGGAGTTGCCTGAAGGAAGTCGAGCCAGCGGTCGTGTTGAATGGGGAACGGGGAATGGCTCTGGAGTCAATGCAGGGGAATCGGGCCTCATCTCGAGTTGATTTGGGGCACATGGAGCTGCTTTGCGTTGCTGGGGTGACCTCAGGGTCCGTCTAGACTGGTGACAGTGTTCTTGGGGACTGTCTCGAGATCCATTAAGCAAGCCGAAGCTCCTGACTTGTTTGAATGGGATCACGGAATAGCTCTGCATGCACTGCAGGGGAATGGGGCCTCATCTCGCCTCTAGGGGGAAGTCTCATGGTTTTTCTCGAGTTGCGGCGGGGACCTGGGGTATGTTCTCGACTTACGGCGGGGATGGCCCTTCAAAACACGAGTTTCTTCAGTGACGTCAGGACTCCTGTCTAGTAACGAGGGACACCTCAGGAATCTCTTCGAGGCTTGGCAGGGCCAAAGGGACGCTTCTCGAGGTGAGGCAGGGCACCCAAGGACCCTTTCCAGTAGCCACAGGGATTTTGGGATTCCTATCAGTATTCAAGAGGAGTCAGGCATCGTCACCTTTTGAAGCAATGAACTCCGCGTGCCTCTCGAGGTGTCAGCGGGATGTGAGGCATTCCGTCAAAATGAGGCAGGGACCTAGGGCTTTCTCTAAGGTCTCCACAGGGGATTCAGACATCCCTTCATGTTGTGAGATGAAAGACGAGCCTGTATTCAAGCCACTGCAAGGAAATCCGGCCTCCTTTCAAGTTAGGGCTTCTCACTGTATATTCCCCTTGAGGCAGCAAACTCGGGGTCCCTCCCACATACCTATTGCTGAGAGAAGCCTCCTCCTGAGGTGCTTCTGGGAATTTGGCATACGTCTTGAGCCTAAGCCAGGGAATCAGCTCGCATCTCGAGACGATTTGGTGTACACGGAGCATTCCTCGAGTTGCTGTGCTGAAGTTGGTGTTCCTCTAGACTTGGGACAGTGTTCTCGGGGCATCTCTGGAGTTGCCTGAAGGAAGTCGAGCCAGCGGTCGTGTTGAATGGGGAACGGGGAATGGCTCTGGAGTCAATGCAGGGGAATCGGGCCTCATCTCGAGTTGATTTGGGGCACATGGAGCTGCTTTGCGTTGCTGGGGTGACCTCAGGGTCCGTCTAGACTGGTGACAGTGTTCTTGGGGACTGTCTCGAGATCCATTAAGCAAGCCGAAGCTCCTGACTTGTTTGAATGGGATCACGGAATAGCTCTGCATGCACTGCAGGGGAATGGGGCCTCATCTCGCCTCTAGGGGGAAGTCTCATGGTTTTTCTCGAGTTGCGGCGGGGACCTGGGGTATGTTCTCGACTTACGGCGGGGATGGCCCTTCAAAACACGAGTTTCTTCAGTGACGTCAGGACTCCTGTCTAGTAACGAGGGACACCTCAGGAATCTCTTCGAGGCTTGGCAGGGCCAAAGGGACGCTTCTCGAGGTGAGGCAGGGCACCCAAGGACCCTTTCGAGTAGCCACAGGGATTTTGGGATTCCTATCAGTATTCAAGAGGAGTCAGGCATCGTCACCTTTTGAAGCAATGAACTCCGCGTGCCTCTCGAGGTGTCAGCGGGATGTGAGGCATTGCGTCAAAATGAGGTAGGGACCTAGGGCTTTCTCTAAGGTCTCCACAGCGGATTCAGACATCCCTTCATGTTGTGAGATGAAAGACGAGCCTGTATTCAAGCCACTGCAAGGAAATCCAGCCTCCTTTCAAGTTAGGGCTTCTCGCTGTATATTCCCCTTGAGGCAGCAAACTCGGGGTCCCTCCCACATACCTATTGCTGAGAGAAGCCTCCTCCTGAGGTGCTTCTGGGAAGTTGGCATACGTCTTGAGCCTAAGCCAGGGAATCAGCTCGCATCTCGAGACGATTTGGGGTACACGGAGCATTCCTCGAGTTGCTGTGCTGAAGTTGGTGTTCCTCTAGACTTGGGACAGTGTTCTCGGGGCATCTCTGGAGTTGCCTGAAGGAAGTCGAGCCACCGGTCGTGTTGAATGGGGAACGGGGAATGGCTCTGGAGTCAATGCAGGGGAATCGGGCCTCATCTCGAGTTGATTTGGGGCACATGGAGCTGCTTTGCGTTGCTGGGGTGACCTCAGGGTCCGTCTAGACTGGTGACAGTGTTCTTGGGGACTGTCTCGAGATCCATTAAGCAAGCCGAAGCTCCTGACTTGTTTGAATGGGATCACGGAATAGCTCTGCATGCACTGCAGGGGAATGGGGCCTCATCTCGCCTCTAGGGGGAAGTCTCATGGTTTTTCTCGAGTTGCGGCGGGGACCTGGGGTATGTTCTCGACTTACGGCGGGGATGGCCCTTCAAAACACGAGTTTCTTCAGTGACGTCAGGACTCCTGTCTAGTAACGAGGGACACCTCAGGAATCTCGTCGAGGCTTGGCAGGGCCAAAGGGACGCTTCTCGAGGTGAGGCAGGGCACCGAAGGACGCTTTCCAGTAGCCACCGGGATTTTGGGATTCCTATCAGTATTCAAGAGGAGTCAGGCATCGTCACCTTTTGAAGCAATGAACTCCGCGTGCCTCTCGAGGTGTCAGTGGGATGTGAGGCATTCCGTCAAAATGAGGCAGGGACCTAGGGCTTTCTCTAAGGTCTCCACAGGGGATTCAGACATCCCTTCATGTTGTGAGATGAAAGACGAGCCTGTATTCAAGCCACTGCAAGGAAATCCGGCCTCCTTTCAAGTTAGGGCTTCTCGCTGTATATTCCCCTTGAGGCAGCAAACTCGGGGTCCCTCCCACATACCTATTGCTGAGAGAAGCCTCCTCCTGAGGTGCTTCTGGGAAGTTGGCATACGTCTTGAGCCTAAGCCAGGGAATCAGCTCGCATCTCGAGACGATTTGGGGTACACGGAGCATTCCTCGAGTTGCTGTGCTGAAGTTGGTGTTCCTCTAGACTTGGGACAGTGTTCTCGGGGCATCTCTGGAGTTGCCTGAAGGAAGTCGAGCCACCGGTCGTGTTGAATGGGGAACGGGGAATGGCTCTGGAGTCAATGCAGGGGAATCGGGCCTCATCTCGAGTTGATTTGGGGCACATGGACCTGCTTTGCGTTGCTGGGGTGACCTCAGGGTCCGTCTAGACTGGTGACAGTGTTCTTGGGGACTGTCTCGAGATCCATTAAGCAAGTCGAAGCTCCTGACTTGTTTGAATGGGATCACGGAATAGCTCTGCATGCACTGCAGGGGAATGGGGCCTCATCTCGCCTCTAGGGGGAAGTCTCATGGTTTTTCTCGAGTTGCGGCGGGGACCTGGGGTATGTTCTCGACTTACGGCGGGGATGGCCCTTCAAAACACGAGTTTCTTCAGTGACGTCAGGACTCCTGTCTAGTAACGAGGGACACCTCAGGAATCTCTTCGAGGCTTGACAGCGCCAAAGGGACGCTTCTCGAGGTGAGGCAGGGCACCCAAGGACCCTTTCCAGTAGCCACAGGGATTTTGGGATTCCTATCAGTATTCAAGAGGAGTCAGGCATCGTCACCTTTTGAAGCAATGAACTCCGCGTGCCTCTCGAGGTGTCAGCGGGATGTGAGGCATTCCGTCAAAATGAGGCAGGGACCTAGGGCTTTCTCTAAGGTCTCCACAGGGGATTCAGACATCCCTTCATGTTGTGAGATGAAAGACGAGCCTGTATTCAAGCCACTGCAAGGAAATCCGGCCTCCTTTCAAGTTAGGGCTTCTCACTGTATATTCCCCTTGAGGCAGCAAACTCGGGGTCCCTCCCACATACCTATTGCTGAGAGAAGCCTCCTCCTGAGGTGCTTCTGGGAATTTGGCATACGTCTTGAGCCTAAGCCAGGGAATCAGCTCGCATCTCGAGACGATTTGGTGTACACGGAGCATTCCTCGAGTTGCTGTGCTGAAGTTGGTGTTCCTCTAGACTTGGGACAGTGTTCTCGGGGCATCTCTGGAGTTGCCTGAAGGAAGTCGAGCCAGCGGTCGTGTTGAATGGGGAACGGGGAATGGCTCTGGAGTCAATGCAGGGGAATCGGGCCTCATCTCGAGTTGATTTGGGCCACATGGAGCTGCTTTGCGTTGCTGGGGTGACCTCAGGGTCCGTCTAGACTGGTGACAGTGTTCTTGGGGACTGTCTCGAGATCCATTAAGCAAGCCGAAGCTCCTGACTTGTTTGAATGGGATCACGGAATAGCTCTGCATGCACTGCAGGGGAATGGGGCCTCATCTCGCCTCTAGGGGGAAGTCTCATGGTTTTTCTCGAGTTGCGGCGGGGACCTGGGGTATGTTCTCGACTTACGGCGGGGATGGCCCTTCAAAACACGAGTTTCTTCAGTGACGTCAGGACTCCTGTCTAGTAACGAGGGACACCTCAGGAATCTCTTCGAGGCTTGGCAGGGCCAAAGGGACGCTTCTCGAGGTGAGGCAGGGCACCCAAGGACCCTTTCGAGTAGCCACAGGGATTTTGGGATTCCTATCAGTATTCAAGAGGAGTCAGGCATCGTCACCTTTTGAAGCAATGAACTCCGCGTGCCTCTCGAGGTGTCAGCGGGATGTGAGGCATTGCGTCAAAATGAGGTAGGGACCTAGGGCTTTCTCTAAGGTCTCCACAGCGGATTCCGACATCCCTTCATGTTGTGAGATGAAAGACGAGCCTGTATTCAAGCCACTGCAAGGAAATCCAGCCTCCTTTCAAGTTAGGGCTTCTCGCTGTATATTCCCCTTGAGGCAGCAAACTCGGGGTCCCTCCCACATACCTATTGCTGAGAGAAGCCTCCTCCTGAGGTGCTTCTGGGAAGTTGGCATACGTCTTGAGCCTAAGCCAGGGAATCAGCTCGCATCTCGAGACGATTTGGGGTACACGGAGCATTCCTCGAGTTGCTGTGCTGAAGTTGGTGTTCCTCTAGACTTGGGACAGTGTTCTCGGGGCATCTCTGGAGTTGCCTGAAGGAAGTCGAGCCAGCGGTCGTGTTGAATGGGGAACGGGGAATGGCTCTGGAGTCAATGCAGGGGAATCGGGCCTCATCTCGAGTTGATTTGGGGCACATGGAGCTGCTTTGCGTTGCTGGGGTGACCTCAGGGTCCGTCTAGACTGGTGACAGTGTTCTTGGGGACTGTCTCGAGATCCATTAAGCAAGCCGAAGCTCCTGACTTGTTTGAATGGGATCACGGAATAGCTCTGCATGCACTGCAGGGGAATGGGGCCTCATCTCGCCTCTAGGGGGAAGTCTCATGGTTTTTCTCGAGTTGCGGCGGGGACCTGGGGTATGTTCTCGACTTACGGCGGGGATGGCCCTTCAAAACACGAGTTTCTTCAGTGACGTCAGGACTCCTGTCTAGTAACGAGGGACACCTCAGGAATCTCTTCGAGGCTTGGCAGGGCCAAAGGGACGCTTCTCGAGGTGAGGCAGGGCACCCAAGGACCCTTTCCAGTAGCCACCGGGATTTTGGGATTCCTATCAGTATTCAAGAGGAGTCAGGCATCGTCACCTTTTGAAGCAATGAACTCCGCGTGCCTCTCGAGGTGTCAGCGGGATGTGAGGCATTCCGTCAAAATGAGGCAGGGACCTAGGGCTTTCTCTAAGGTCTCCACAGGGGATTCAGACATCCCTTCATGTTGTGAGATGAAAGACGAGCCTGTATTCAAGCCACTGCAAGGAAATCCGGCCTCCTTTCAAGTTAGGGCTTCTCGCTGTATATTCCCCTTGAGGCAGCAAACTCGGGGTCCCTCCCACATACCTATTGCTGAGAGAAGCCTCCTCCTGAGGTGCTTCTGGGAAGTTGGCATACGTCTTGAGCCTAAGCCAGGGAATCAGCTCGCATCTCGAGACGATTTGGGGTACACGGAGCATTCCTCGAGTTGCTGTGCTGAAGTTGGTGTTCCTCTAGACTTGGGACAGTGTTCTCGGGGCATCTCTGGAGTTGCCTGAAGGAAGTCGAGCCACCGGTCGTGTTGAATGGGGAACGGGGAATGGCTCTGGAGTCAATGCAGGGGAATCGGGCCTCATCTCGAGTTGATTTGGGGCACATGGACCTGCTTTGCGTTGCTGGGGTGACCTCAGGGTCCGTCTAGACTGGTGACAGTGTTCTTGGGGACTGTCTCGAGATCCATTAAGCAAGTCGAAGCTCCTGACTTGTTTGAATGGGATCACGGAATAGCTCTGCATGCACTGCAGGGGAATGGGGCCTCATCTCGCCTCTAGGGGGAAGTCTCATGGTTTTTCTCGAGTTGCGGCGGGGACCTGGGGTATGTTCTCGACTTACGGCGGGGATGGCCCTTCAAAACACGAGTTTCTTCAGTGACGTCAGGACTCCTGTCTAGTAACGAGGGACACCTCAGGAATCTCTTCGAGGCTTGACAGCGCCAAAGGGACGCTTCTCGAGGTGAGGCAGGGCACCCAAGGACCCTTTCCAGTAGCCACAGGGATTTTGGGATTCCTATCAGTATTCAAGAGGAGTCAGGCATCGTCACCTTTTGAAGCAATGAACTCCGCGTGCCTCTCGAGGTGTCAGCGGGATGTGAGGCATTCCGTCAAAATGAGGCAGGGACCTAGGGCTTTCTCTAAGGTCTCCACAGGGGATTCAGACATCCCTTCATGTTGTGAGATGAAAGACGAGCCTGTATTCAAGCCACTGCAAGGAAATCCGGCCTCCTTTCAAGTTAGGGCTTCTCGCTGTATATTCCCCTTGAGGCAGCAAACTCGGGGTCCCTCCCACATACCTATTGCTGAGAGAAGCCTCCTCCGGAGGTGCTTCTGGGAATTTGGCATACGTCTTGAGCCTAAGCCAGGGAATCAGCTCGCATCTCGAGACGATTTGGGGTACACGGAGCATTCCTCGAGTTGCTGTGCTGAAGTTGGTGTTCCTCTAGACTTGGGAGAGTGTTCTCGGGGCATCTCTGGAGTTGCCTGAAGGAAGTCAAGCCAGCGGTCGTGTTGAATGGGGAACGGGGAATGGCTCTGGAGTCAATGCAGGGGAATCGGGCCTCATCTCGAGTTGATTTGGGGCACATGGAGCTGCTTTGCGTTGCTGGGGTGACCTCAGGGTCCGTCTAGACAGGTGACAGTGTTCTTGGGGACTGTCTCGAGATCCATTAAGCAAGCCGAAGCTCCTGACTTGTTTGAATGGGATCACGGAATAGCTCTGCATGCACTGCAGGGGAATGGGGCCTCATCTCGCCTCTAGGGGGAAGTCTCATGGTTTTTCTCGAGTTGCGGCGGGGACCTGGGGTATGTTCTCGACTTACGGCGGGGATGGCCCTTCAAAACACGAGTTTCTTCAGTGACGTCAGGACTCCTGTCTAGTAACGAGGGACACCTCAGGAATCTCTTCGAGGCTTGGCAGGGCCAAAGGGACGCTTCTCGAGGTGAGGCAGGGCACCCAAGGACCCTTTCCAGTAGCCACAGGGATTTTGGGATTCCTATCAGTATTCAAGAGGAGTCAGGCATCGTCACCTTTTGAAGCAATGAACTCCGCGTGCCTCTCGAGGTGTCAGCGGGATGTGAGGCATTGCGTCAAAATGAGGCAGGGACCTAGGGCTTTCTCTAAGGTCTCCACAGCGGATTCAGACATCCCTTCATGTTGTGAGATGAAAGACTAGCCTGTATTCAAGCCACTGCAAGGAAATCCAGCCTCCTTTCAAGTTAGGGCTTCTCGCTGTATATTCCCCTTGAGGCAGCAAACTCGGGGTCCCTCCCTCATACCTATTGCTGAGAGAAGCCTCCTCCTGAGGTGCTTCTGGGAAGTTGGCTACGTCTTGAGCCTAAGCCAGGGAATCAGCTCGCATCTCGAGACGATTTGGGGTACACGGAGCATTCCTCGAGTTGCTGTGCTGAAGTTGGTGTTCCTCTAGACTTGGGACAGTGTTCTCGGGGCATCTCTGGAGTTGCCTGAAGGAAGTCGAGCCACCGGTCGTGTTGAATGGGGAACGGGGAATGGCTCTGGAGTCAATGCAGGGGAATCGGGCCTCATCTCGAGTTGATTTGGGGCACATGGAGCTGCTTTGCGTTGCTGGGGTGACCTCAGGGTCCGTCTAGACTGGTGACAGTGTTCTTGGGGACTGTCTCGAGATCCATTAAGCAAGCCGAAGCTCCTGACTTGTTTGAATGGGATCACGGAATAGCTCTGCATGCACTGCAGGGGAATGGGGCCTCATCTCGCCTCTAGGGGGAAGTCTCATGGGTTTTCTCGAGTTGCGGCGGGGACCTGGGGTATGTTCTCGACTTACGGCGGGGATGGCCCTTCCAAACACGAGTTTCCTCAGTGACGTCAGGACTCCTGTCTAGTAACGAGGGACACCTCAGGAATCTCTTCGAGGCTTGGCAGGGCAAAAGGGACGCTTCTCGAGGTGAGGCAGGGCACCCAAGGACCCTTTCCAGTAGCCACAGGGATTTTGGGATTCCTATGAGTATTCAGGAGGAGTCAGGCATCGTCACCTTTTGAAGCAATGAACTCTGCGTGCCTCTCGAGGTGTCAGCGGGATGTGAGGCCTTCCGTCAAAATGAGGCAGGGCCTAGGGCTTTCTCTAAGGTCTCCACAGGGGATTCAGACATCCCTTCATGTTGTGAGATGAAAGACGAGCCTGTCTTCAAGCCACTGCAAGGAAATCCGGCCTCCTTTCAAGTTAGTGCTTCTCGCTGTATATTCCCCTTGAGGCAGCAAACTCGGGGTCCCTCCCACATACCTATTGCTGAGAGAAGCCTCCTCCTGAGGTGCTTCTGGAAAGTTGGCATACGCCTTGAGCCTAAGCCAGGAAATCAGCTCTCATCTCGAGACGATTTGGGGTACACGGAGCATTCCTCGAGTTGCTGTGCTGAAGTTGGTGTTCCTCTAGACTTGGGACAGTGTTCTCGGGGCATCTCTGGAGATGCCTGAAGGAAGTCGAGCCACCGGTTGTGTTGAATGGGGAACGGGGAATGGCTCTGGAGTCAATGCAGGGGAATCGGGCCTCATCTCGAGTTCATATGGGGGACATGGAGCTGCTTTGCGTTGCTGGGGTGACCTCAGGGTCCGTCTAGACTGGTGACAGTGTTCTTGGGGACTGTCTCGAGATCCGTTAAGCAAGTCGAAGCTCCTGACTTGTTTGAATGGGATCACGGAATAGCTCTGCATGCACTGCAGGGGAATGGGGCCTCATCTCGCCTCTAGGGGGAAGTCTCATGGGTTTTCTCGAGTTGTGGCGGGGACCTGGGGTATGTTCTCGACTTACGGCGGGGATGGCCCTTCCAAACACGAGTTTCCTCAGTGACGTCAGGACTCCTGTCTAGTAACGAGGGACACCTCAGGAATCTCTTCGAGGCTTGGCAGGGCAAAAGGGACGCTTCTCGAGGTGAGGCAGGGCACCCAAGGACCCTTTCCAGTAGCCACAGGGATTTTGGGATTCCTATGAGTATTCAGGAGGAGTCAGGCATCGTCACCTTTTGAAGCAATGAACTCCGCGTGCCTCTCGAGGTGTCAGCGGGATGTGAGGCCTTCCGTCAAAATGAGGCAGGGACCTAGGGCTTTCTCTAAGGTCTCCACAGGGGATTCAGACATCCCTTCATGTTGTGAGATGAAAGACGAGCCTGTCTTCAAGCCACTGCAAGGAAATCCGGCCTCCGTTCAAGTTAGGGCTTCTCGCTGTATATTCCCCTTGAGGCTGCAAACTCGGGGTCCCTCCCACATACCTATTGCTGAGAGAAGCCTCCTCCTGAGGTGCTTCTGGAAAGTTGGCATACGTCTTGAGCCTATCCAGGGAATCAGCTCTCATCTCGAGACGATTTGGGGTACACGGAGCATTCCTCGAGTTGCTGTGCTGAAGTTGGTGTTCCTCTAGACTTGGGACAGTGTTCTCGGGGCATCTCTGGAGATGCCTGAAGGAAGTCGAGCCACCGGTCGTGTTGAATGGGGAACGGGGAATGGCTCTGGAGTCAATGCAGGGGAATCGGGCCTCATCTCGGGTTGATTTGGGGCACATGGAGCTGCTTTGCGTTGCTGGGGTGACCTCAGGGTCCGTCTAGACTGGTGACAGTGTTCTTGGGGACTGTCTCGAGATCCGTTAAGCAAGTCGAAGCTCCTGACTTGTTTGAATGGGATCACGGAATAGCTCTGCATGCACTGCAGGGGAATGGGGCCTCATCTCGCCTCTAGGGGGAAGTCTCATGGGTTTTCTCGAGTTGCGGCGGGGACCTGGGGTATGTTCTCGACTAAGGCGGGGATGGCCCTTCCAAACACGAGTTTCCTCAGTGACGTCAGGACTCCTGTCTAGTAACGAGGGACACCTCAGGAATCTCTTCGAGGCTTGGCAGGGCAAAAGGGACGCTTCTCGAGGTGAGGCAGGGCACCCAAGGACCCTTTCCAGTAGCCACAGCGATTTTGGGATTCCTATGAGTATTCAGGAGGAGTCAGGCATCGTCACCTTTTGAAGCAATTAACTCCGCGTGCCTCTCGAGGTGTCAGCGGGATGTGAGGCCTTCCGTCAAAATGAGGCAGGGACCTAGGGCTTTCTCTAAGGTCTCCACAGGGGATTCAGACATCCCTTCATGTTGTGAGATGAAAGACGAGCCTGTCTTCAAGCCACTGCAAGGAAATCCGGCCTCCTTTCAAGTTAGGGCTTCTCGCTGTATATTCCCCTTGAGGCAGCAAACTCGGGGTCCCTCCCACATACCTATTGCTGAGAGAAGCCTCCTCCTGAGGTGCTTCTGGAAAGTTGGCATACGTCTTGAGCCTAAGCCAGGGAATCAGCTCTCATCTCGAGACGATTTGGGGTACACGGAGCATTCCTCGAGTTGCTGTGCTGAAGTTGGTGTTCCTCTAGACTTGGGACAGTGTTCTCGGGGCATCTCTGGAGATGGCTGAAGGAAGTCGAGCCACCGGTCGTGTTGAATGGGGAACGGGGAATGGCTCTGGAGTCAATGCAGGGGAATCGGGCCTCATCTTGGGTTGATTTGGGGCACATGGAGCTGCTTTGCGTTGCTGGGGTGACCTCAGGGTAGGTCTAGACTGGTGACAGTGTTCTTGGGGACTGTCTCGAGATCCGTTAAGCAAGTCGAAGCTCCTGACTTGTTTGAATGGGATCACGGAATAGCTCTGCATGCACTGCAGGGGAATGGGGCCTCATCTCGCCTCTAGGGGGAAGTCTCATGGGTTTTCTCGAGTTGCGGCGGGGACCTGGGGTATGTTCTCGACTTACGGCGGGGATGGCCCTTCCAAACACGAGTTTCCTCAGTGACGTCAGGACTCCTGTCTAGTAACGAGGGACACCTCAGGAATCTCTTCGAGGCTTGGCAGGGCAAAAGGGACGCTTCTCGAGGTGAGGCAGGGCACCCAAGGACCCTTTCCAGTAGCCACAGGGATTTGGGGATTCCTATGAGTACTCAGGAGGAGTCAGGCATCGTCACCTTTTGAAGCAATGAACTCCGCGTGCCTCTCGAGGTGTCAGCGGGATGTGAGGCCTTCCGTCAAAATGAGGCAGGGACCTAGGGCTTTCTCTAAGGTCTCCACAGGGGATTCAGACATCCCTTCATGTTGTGAGATGAAAGACGAGCCTGTCTTCAAGCCACTGCAAGGAAATCCGGCCTCCGTTCAAGTTAGGGCTTCTCGCTGTATATTCCCCTTGAGGCAGCAAACTCGGGGTCCCTCCCACATACCTATTGCTGAGAGAAGCCTCCTCCTGAGGTGCTTCTGGAAAGTTGGCATACGTCTTGAGCCTATCCAGGGAATCAGCTCTCATCTCGAGACGATTTGGGGTACACGGAGCATTCCTCGAGTTGCTGTGCTGAAGTTGGTGTTCCTCTAGACTTGGGACAGTGTTCTCGGGGCATCTCTGGAGATGCCTGAAGGAAGTCGAGCCACCGGTCGTGTTGAATGGGGAACGGGGAATGGCTCTGGAGTCAATGCAGGGGAATCGGGCCTCATCTCGGGTTGATTTGTGGCACATGGAGCTGCTTTGCGTTGCTGGGGTGACCTCAGGGTCCGTCTAGACTGGTGACAGTGTTCTTGGGGACTGTCTCGAGATCCGTTAAGCAAGTCGAAGCTCCTGACTTGTTTGAATGGGATCACGGAATAGCTCTGCATGCACTGCAGGGGAATGGGGCCTCATCTCGCCTCTAGGGGGAAGTCTCATGGGTTTTCTCGAGTTGCGGCGGGGACCTGGGGTATGTTCTCGACTTACGGCGGGGATGGCCCTTCCAAACACGAGTTTCCTCAGTGACGTCAGGACTCCTGTCTAGTAACCAGGGACACCTCACGAATCTCTTCGAGGCTTGGCAGGGCAAAAGGGACGCTTCTCGAGGTGAGGCAGGGCACCCAAGGACCCTTTCCAGTAGCCACAGGGATTTTGGGATTCCTATGAGTATTCAGGAGGAGTCAGGCATCGTCACCTTTTGAAGCAATGAACTCCGCGTGCCTCTCGAGGTGTCAGCGGGATGTGAGGCCTTCCGTCAAAATGAGGCAGGGACCTAGGGCTTTCTCTAAGGTCTCCACAGGGGATTCAGACATCCCTTCATGTTGTGAGATGAAAGACGAGCCTGTCTTCAAGCCACTGCAAGGAAATCCGGCCTCCTTTCAAGTTAGGGCTTCTCGCTATATATTCCCCTTGAGGCAGCAAACTCGGGGTCCCTCCCACATACCTATTGCTGAGAGAAGCCTCCTCCTGAGGTGCTTCTGGAAAGTTTCATACGTCTTGAGCCTAAGCCAGGGAATCAGCTCTCATCTCGAGACGATTTGGGGTACACGGAGCATTCCTCGAGTTGCTGTGCTGAAGTTGGTGTTCCTCTAGACTTGGGACAGTGTTCTCGGGGCATCTCTGGAGATGGCTGAAGGAAGTCGAGCCACCGGTCGTGTTGAATGGGGAACGGGGAATGGCTCTGGGGTCAATGCAGGGGAATCGGCCCTCATCTTGGGTTGATTTGGGGCACATGGAGCTGCTTTGCGTTGCTGGGGTGACCTCAGGGTCCGTCTAGACTGGTGACAGTGTTCTTGGGGACTGTCTCGAGATCCGTTAAGCAAGTCGAAGCTCCTGACTTGTTTGAATGGGATCACGGAATAGCTCTGCATGCACTGCAGGGGAATGGGGCCTCATCTCGCCTCTAGGGGGAAGTCTCATGGGTTTTCTCGAGTTGCGGCGGGGACCTGGGGTATGTTCTCGACTTACGGCGGGGATGGCCCTTCCAAACACGAGTTTCCTCAGTGACGTCAGGACTCCTGTCTAGTAACGAGGGACACCTCAGGAATCTCTTCGAGGCTTGGCAGGGCAAAAGGGACGCTTCTCGAGGTGAGGCAGGGCACCCAAGGACCCTTTCCAGTAGCCACAGCGATTTTGGGATTCCTATGAGTATTCAGGAGGAGTCAGGCATCGTCACCTTTTGAAGCAATGAACTCCGCGTGCCTCTCGAGGTGTCAGCGGGATGTGAGGCCTTCCGTCAAAATGAGGCAGGGAACTAGGGCTTTCTCTAAGGTCTCCACAGGGGATTCAGACATCCCTTCATGTTGTGAGATGAAAGACGAGCCTGTCTTCAAGCCACTGCAAGGAAATCCGGCCTCCGTTCAAGTTAGGGCTTCTCGCTGTATATTCCCCTTGAGGCAGCAAACTCGGGGTCCCTCCCACATACCTATTGCTGAGAGAAGCCTCCTCCTGAGGTGCTTCTGGAAAGTTGGCATACGTCTTGAGCCTATCCAGGGAATCAGCTCTCATCTCGAGACGATTTGTGGTACACGGAGCATTCCTCGAGTTGCTGTGCTGAAGTTGGTGTTCCTCTAGACTTGGGACAGTGTTCTCGGGGCATCTCTGGAGATGCCTGAAGGAAGTCGAGCCACCGGTCGTGTTGAATGGGGAACGGGGAATGGCTCTGGAGTCAATGCAGGGGAATCGGGCCTCATCTCGGGTTGATTTGTGGCACATGGAGCTGCTTTGCGTTGCTGGGGTGACCTCAGGGTCCGTCTAGACTGGTGACAGTGTTCTTGGGGACTGTCTCGAGATCCGTTAAGCAAGTCGAAGCTCCTGACTTGTTTGAATGGGATCACGGAATAGCTCTGCATGCACTGCAGGGGAATGGGGCCTCATCTCGCCTCTAGGGGGAAGTCTCATGGGTTTTCTCGAGTTGCGGCGGGGACCTGGGGTATGTTCTCGACTTACGGCGGGGATGGCCCTTCCAAACACGAGTTTCCTCAGTGACGTCAGGACTCCTGTCTAGTAACCAGGGACACCTCACGAATCTCTTCGAGGCTTGGCAGGGCAAAAGGGACGCTTCTCGAGGTGAGGCAGGGCACCCAAGGACCCTTTCCAGTAGCCACAGGGATTTTGGGATTCCTATGAGTATTCAGGAGGAGTCAGGCATCGTCACCTTTTGAAGCAATGAACTCCGCGTGCCTCTCGAGGTGTCAGCGGGATGTGAGGCCTTCCGTCAAAATGAGGCAGGGACCTAGGGCTTTCTCTAAGGTCTCCACAGGGGATTCAGACATCCCTTCATGTTGTGAGATGAAAGACGAGCCTGTCTTCAAGCCACTGCAAGGAAATCCGGCCTCCTTTCAAGTTAGGGCTTCTCGCTGTATATTCCCCTTGAGGCAGCAAACTCGGGGTCCCTCCCACATACCTATTGCTGAGAGAAGCCTCCTCCTGAGGTGCTTCTGGAAAGTTGGCATACGTCTTGAGCCTAAGCCAGGGAATCAGCTCTCATCTCGAGACGATTTGGGGTACACGGAGCATTCCTCGAGTTGCTGTGCTGAAGTTGGTGTTCCTCTAGACTTGGGAGTGTTCTCGGGGCATCTCTGGAGATGCCTGAAGGAAGTCGAGCCACCGGTCGTGTTGAATGGGGAACGGGGAATGGCTCTGGAGTCAATGCAGGGGAATCGGGCCTCATCTCGAGTTCATTTGGGGGACATGGAGCTGCTTTGCGTTGCTGGGGTGACCTCAGGGTCCGTCTAGACTGGTGACAGTGTTCTTGGGGACTGTCTCGAGATCCGTTAAGCAAGTCGAAGCTCCTGACTTGTTTGAATGGGATCACGGAATAGCTCTGCATGCACTGCAGGGGAATGGGGCCTCATCTCGCCTCTAGGGGGAAGTCTCATGGGTTTTCTCGAGTTGCGGCGGGGACCTGGGGTATGTTCTCGACTTACGGCGGGGATGGCCCTTCCAAACACGAGTTTCCTCAGTGACGTCAGGACTCCTGTCTAGTAACGAGGGACACCTCAGGAATCTCTTCGAGGCTTGGCAGGGCAAAAGGGACGCTTCTCGAGGTGAGGCAGGGCACCCAAGGACCCTTTCCAGTAGCCACAGGGATTTTGGGATTCCTATGAGTATTCAGGAGGAGTCAGGCATCGTCACCTTTTGAAGCAATGAACTCCGCGTGCCTCTCGAGGTGTCAGCGGGATGTGAGGCCTTCCGTCAAAATGAGGCAGGGACCTAGGGCTTTCTCTAAGGTCTCCACAGGGGATTCAGACATCCCTTCATTTTGTGAGATGAAAGACGAGCCTGTCTTCAAGCCACTGCAAGGAAATCCGGCCTCCTTTCAAGTTAGGGCTTCTCGCTGTATATTCCCCTTGAGGCAGCAAACTCGGGGTCCCTCCCACATACCTATTGCTGAGAGAAGCCTCCTCCTGAGGTGCTTCTGGAAAGTTGGCATACGTCTTGAGCCTAAGCCAGAGAATCAGCTCTCATCTCGAGACGATTTGGGGTACACGGAGCATTCCTCGAGTTGCTGAGCTGAAGTTGGTGTTCCTCTAGACTTGGGACAGTGTTCTCGGGGCATCTCTGGAGATGCCTGAAGGAAGTCGAGCCACCGGTCGTGTTGAATGGGGAACGGGGAATGGCTCTGGAGTCAATGCAGGGGAATCGGGCCTCATCTCGGGTTCATTTGGGGGACATGGAGCTGCTTTGCGTTGATGGGGTGACCTCAGGGTCCGTCTAGACTGGTGACAGTGTTCTTGGGGACTGTCTCGAGATCCGTTAAGCAAGTCGAAGCTCCTGACTTGTTTGAATGGGATCACGGAATAGCTCTGCATGCACTGCAGGGGAATGAGGCCTCATCTCGCCTCTAGGGGGAAGTCTCATGGGTTTTCTCGAGTTGCGGCGGGGACCTGGGATATGTTCTCGACTTACGGCGGGGATGGCCCTTCCAAACACGAGTTTCCTCAGTGACGTCAGGACTCCTGTCTAGTAACGAGGGACACCTCAGGAATCTCTTCGAGGCTTGGCAGGGCAAAAGGGACGCTTCTCGAGGTGAGGCAGGGCACCCAAGGACCCTTTCCAGTAGCCACAGGGATTTTGGGATTCCTATGAGTATTCAGGAGGAGTCAGGCATCGTCACCTTTTGAAGCAATGAACTCCGCGTGCCTCTCGAGGTGTCAGCGGGATGTGCGGCCTTCCGTCAAAATGAGGCAGGGACCTAGGGCTTTCTCTAAGGTCTCCACAGGGGATTCAGACATCCCTTCATGTTGTGAGATGAAAGACGAGCCTGTCTTCAAGCCACTGCAAGGAAATCCGGCCTCCTTTCAAGTTAGGGCTTCTCGCTGTATATTCCCCTTGAGGCAGCAAACTCGGGGTCCCTCCCACATACCTATTGCTGAGAGAAGCCTCCTCCTGAGGTGCTTCTGGAAAGTTGGCATACGTCTTGAGCCTAAGCCAGGGAATCAGCTCTCATCTCGAGACGATTTGGGGTACACGGAGCATTCCTCGAGTTGCTGTGCTGAAGTTGGTGTTCCTCTAGACTTGGGACAGTGTTCTCGGGGCATCTCTGGAGATGCCTGAAGGAAGTCGAGCCACCGGTCGTGTTGAATGGGGAACGGGGAATGGCTCTGGAGTCAATGCAGGGGAATCGGGCCTCATCTCGGGTTCATTTGGGGGACATGGAGCTGCTTTGCGTTGATGGGGTGACCTCAGGGTCCGTCTAGACTGGTGACAGTGTTCTTGGGGACTGTCTCGAGATCCGTTAAGCAAGTCGAAGCTCCTGACTTGTTTGAATGGGATCACGGAATAGCTCTGCATGCACTGCAGGGGAATGAGGCCTCATCTCGCCTCTAGGGGGAAGTCTCATGGGTTTTCTCGAGTTGCGGCGGGGACCTGGGGTATGTTCTCGACTTACGGCGGGGATGGCCCTTCCAAACACGAGTTTCCTCAGTGACGTCAGGACTCCTGTCTAGTAACGAGGGACACCTCAGGAATCTCTTCGAGGCTTGGCAGGGCAAAAGGGACGCTTCTCGAGGTGAGGCAGGGCACCCAAGGACCCTTTCCAGTAGCCACAGGGATTTTGGGATTCCTATGAGTATTCAGGAGGAGTCAGGCATCGTCACCTTTTGAAGCAATGAACTCCGCGTGCCTCTCGAGGTGTCAGCGGGATGTGAGGCCTTCCGTCAAAATGAGGCAGGGACCTAGGGCTTTCTCTAAGGTCTCCACAGGGGATTCAGACATCCCTTCATGTTGTGAGATGAAAGACGAGCCTGTCTTCAAGCCACTGCAAGGAAATCCGGCCTCCTTTCAAGTTAGGGCTTCTCGCTGTATATTCCCCTTGAGGCAGCAAACTCGGGGTCCCTCCCACATACCTATTGCTGAGAGAAGCCTCCTCCTGAGGTGCTTCTGGAAAGTTTCATACGTCTTGAGCCTAAGCCAGGGAATCAGCTCTCATCTCGAGACGATTTGGGGTACACGGAGCATTCCTCGAGTTGCTGTGCTGAAGTTGGTGTTCCTCTAGACTTGGGACAGTGTTCTCGGGGCATCTCTGGAGATGCCTGAAGGAAGTCGAGCCACCGGTTGTGTTGAATGGTGAACGGGGAATGGCTCTGGAGTCAATGCAGGGGAATCGGGCCTCATCTTGGGTTGATTTGGGGCACATGGAGCTGCTTTGCGTTGCTGGGGTGACCTCAGGGTCCGTCTAGACTGGTGACAGTGTTCTTGGGGACTGTCTAGAGATCCGTTAAGCAAGTCGAAGCTCCTGACTTGTTTGAATGGGATCACGGAATAGCTCTGCATGCACTGCAGGGGAATGGGGCCTCATCTCGCCTCTAGGGGGAAGTCTCATGGGTTTTCTCGAGTTGCGGCGGGGACCTGGGGTATGTTCTCGACTTACGGCGGGGATGGCCCTTCCAAACACGAGTTTCCTCAGTGACGTCAGGACTCCTGTCTAGTAACGAGGGACACCTCACGAATCTCTTCGAGGCTTGGCAGGGCAAAAGGGACGCTTCTCGAGGTGAGGCAGGGCACCCAAGGACCCTTTCCAGTAGCCACAGGGATTTTGGGATTCCTATGAGTATTCAGGAGGAGTCAGGCATCGTCACCTTTTGAAGCAATGAACTCCGCGTGCCTCTCGAGGTGTCAGCGGGATGTGAGGCCTTCCGTCAAAATGAGGCAGGGACCTAGATCTTTCTCTAAGGTCTCCACAGGGGATTCAGACATCCCTTCATGTTGTGAGATGAAAGACGAGCCTGTCTTCAAGCCACTGCAAGGAAATCCGGCCTCCTTTCAAGTTAGGGCTTCTCGCTGTATATTCCCCATGAGGCAGCAAACTCGGGGTCCCTCCCACATACCTATTGCTGAGAGAAGCCTCCTCCTGAGGTGCTTCTGGAAAGTTGGCATACGTCTTGAGCCTAAGCCAGGAAATCAGCTCTCATCTCGAGACGATTTGGGGTACACGGAGCATTCCTCGAGTTGCTGTGCTGAAGTTGGTGTTCCTCTAGACTTGGGACAGTGTTCTCGGGGCATCTCTGGAGATGCCTGAAGGAAGTCGAGCCACCGGTCGTGTTGAATGGGGAACGGGGAATGGCTCTGGCGTCAATGCAGGGGAATCGGGCCTCATCTCGAGTTCATTTGGGGGACATGGAGCTGCTTTGCGTTGCTGGGGTGACCTCAGGGTCCGTCTAGACTGGTGACAGTGTTCTTGGGGACTGTCTCGAGATCCGTTAAGCAAGTCGAAGCTCCTGACTTGTTTGAATGGGATCACGGAATAGCTCTGCATGCACTGCAGGGGAATGGGGCCTCATCTCGCCTCTAGGGGGAAGTCTCATGGGTTTTCTCGAGTTGCGGCGGGGACCTGGGGTATGTTCTCGACTTACGGCGGGGATGGCCCTTCCAAACACGAGTTTCCTCAGTGACGTCAGGACTCCTGTCTAGTAACGAGGGACACCTCAGGAATCTCTTCGAGGCTTGGCAGGGCAAAAGGGACGCTTCTCGAGGTGAGGCAGGGCACCCAAGGACCCTTTCCAGTAGCCACAGCGATTTTGGGATTCCTATGAGTATTCAGGAGGAGTCAGGCATCGTCACCTTTTGAAGCAATGAACTCCGCGTGCCTCTCGAGGTGTCAGCGGGATGTGAGGCCTTCCGTCAAAATGAGGCAGGGACCTAGGGCTTTCTCTAAGGTCTCCACAGGGGATTCAGACATCCCTTCATGTTGTGAGATGAAAGACGAGCCTGTCTTCAAGCCACTGCAAGGAAATCCGGCCTCCGTTCAAGTTAGGGCTTCTCGCTGTATATTCCCCTTGAGGCAGCAAACTCGGGGTCCCTCCCACATACCTATTGCTGAGAGAAGCCTCCTCCTGAGGTGCTTCTGGAAAGTTGGCATACGTCTTGAGCCTATCCAGGGAATCAGCTCTCATCTCGAGACGATTTGGGGTACACGGAGCATTCCTCGAGTTGCTGTGCTGAAGTTGGTGTTCCTCTAGACTTGGGACAGTGTTCTCGGGGCATCTCTGGAGATGCCTGAAGGAAGTCGAGCCACCGGTCGTGTTGAATGGGGAACGGGGAATGGCTCTGGAGTCAATGCAGGGGAATCGGGCCTCATCTCGGGTTCATTTGGGGGACATGGAGCTGCTTTGCGTTGATGGGGTGACCTCAGGGTCCGTCTAGACTGGTGACAGTGTTCTTGGGGACTGTCTCGAGATCCGTTAAGCAAGTCGAAGCTCCTGACTTGTTTGAATGGGATCACGGAATAGCTCTGCATGCACTGCAGGGGAATGAGGCCTCATCTCGCCTCTAGGGGGAAGTCTCATGGGTTTTCTCGAGTTGCGGCGGGGACCTGGGATATGTTCTCGACTTACGGCGGGGATGGCCCTTCCAAACACGAGTTTCCTCAGTGACGTCAGGACTCCTGTCTAGTAACGAGGGACACCTCAGGAAACTCTTCGAGGCTTGGCAGGGCAAAAGGGACGCTTCTCGAGGTGAGGCAGGGCACCCAAGGACCCTTTCCAGTAGCCACAGGGATTTTGGGATTCCTATGAGTATTCAGGAGGAGTCAGGCATCGTCACCTTTTGAAGCAATGAACTCCGCGTGCCTCTCGAGGTGTCAGCGGGATGTGAGGCCTTCCGTCAAAATGAGGCAGGGACCTAGGGCTTTCTCTAAGGTCTCCACAGGGGATTCAGACATCCCTTCATGTTGTGAGATGAAAGACGAGCCTGTCTTCAAGCCACTGCAAGGAAATCCGGCCTCCTTTCAAGTTAGGGCTTCTCGCTGTATATTCCCCTTGAGGCAGCAAACTCGGGGTCCCTCCCACATACCTATTGCTGAGAGAAGCCTCCTCCTGAGGTGCTTCTGGAAAGTTGGCATACGTCTTGAGCCTAAGCCAGAGAATCAGCTCTCATCTCGAGACGATTTGGGGTACACGGAGCATTCCTCGAGTTGCTGTGCTGAAGTTGGTGTTCCTCTAGACTTGGGACAGTGTTCTCGGGGCATCTCTGGAGATGCCTGAAGGAAGTCGAGCCACCGGTCGTGTTGAATGGGGAACGGGGAATGGCTCTGGAGTCAATGCAGGGGAATCGGGCCTCATCTCGGGTTCATTTGGGGGACATGGAGCTGCTTTGCGTTGATGGGGTGACCTCAGGGTCCGTCTAGACTGGTGACAGTGTTCTTGGGGACTGTCTCGAGATCCGTTAAGCAAGTCGAAGCTCCTGACTTGTTTGAATGGGATCACGGAATAGCTCTGCATGCACTGCAGGGGAATGAGGCCTCATCTCGCCTCTAGGGGGAAGTCTCATGGGTTTTCTCGAGTTGCGGCGGGGACCTGGGGTATGTTCTCGACTTACGGCGGGGATGGCCCTTCCAAACACGAGTTTCCTCAGTGACGTCAGGACTCCTGTCTAGTAACGAGGGACACCTCAGGAATCTCTTCGAGGCTTGGCAGGGCAAAAGGGACGCTTCTCGAGGTGAGGCAGGGCACCCAAGGACCCTTTCCAGTAGCCACAGGGATTTTGGGATTCCTATGAGTATTCAGGAGGAGTCAGGCATCGTCACCTTTTGAAGCAATGAACTCCGCGTGCCTCTCGAGGTGTCAGCGGGATGTGAGGCCTTCCGTCAAAATGAGGCAGGGACCTAGGGCTTTCTCTAAGGTCTCCACAGGGGATTCAGACATCCCTTCATGTTGTGAGATGAAAGACGAGCCTGTCTTCAAGCCACTGCAAGGAAATCCGGCCTCCTTTCAAGTTAGGGCTTCTCGCTGTATATTCCCCTTGAGGCAGCAAACTCGGGGTCCCTCCCACATACCTATTGCTGAGAGAAGCCTCCTCCTGAGGTGCTTCTGGAAAGTTTCATACGTCTTGAGCCTAAGCCAGGGAATCAGCTCTCATCTCGAGACGATTTGGGGTACACGGAGCATTCCTCGAGTTGCTGTGCTGAAGTTGGTGTTCCTCTAGACTTGGGACAGTGTTCTCGGGGCATCTCTGGAGATGCCTGAAGGAAGTCGAGCCACCGGTTGTGTTGAATGGTGAACGGGGAATGGCTCTGGAGTCAATGCAGGGGAATCGGGCCTCATCTTGGGTTGATTTGGGGCACATGGAGCTGCTTTGCGTTGCTGGGGTGACCTCAGGGTCCGTCTAGACTGGTGACAGTGTTCTTGGGGACTGTCTAGAGATCCGTTAAGCAAGTCGAAGCTCCTGACTTGTTTGAATGGGATCACGGAATAGCTCTGCATGCACTGCAGGGGAATGGGGCCTCATCTCGCCTCTAGGGGGAAGTCTCATGGGTTTTCTCGAGTTGCGGCGGGGACCTGGGGTATGTTCTCGACTTACGGCGGGGATGGCCCTTCCAAACACGAGTTTCCTCAGTGACGTCAGGACTCCTGTCTAGTAACGAGGGACACCTCACGAATCTCTTCGAGGCTTGGCAGGGCAAAAGGGACGCTTCTCGAGGTGAGGCAGGGCACCCAAGGACCCTTTCCAGTAGCCACAGGGATTTTGGGATTCCTATGAGTATTCAGGAGGAGTCAGGCATCGTCACCTTTTGAAGCAATGAACTCCGCGTGCCTCTCGAGGTGTCAGCGGGATGTGAGGCCTTCCGTCAAAATGAGGCAGGGACCTAGATCTTTCTCTAAGGTCTCCACAGGGGATTCAGACATCCCTTCATGTTGTGAGATGAAAGACGAGCCTGTCTTCAAGCCACTGCAAGGAAATCCGGCCTCCTTTCAAGTTAGGGCTTCTCGCTGTATATTCCCCATGAGGCAGCAAACTCGGGGTCCCTCCCACATACCTATTGCTGAGAGAAGCCTCCTCCTGAGGTGCTTCTGGAAAGTTGGCATACGTCTTGAGCCTAAGCCAGGAAATCAGCTCTCATCTCGAGACGATTTGGGGTACACGGAGCATTCCTCGAGTTGCTGTGCTGAAGTTGGTGTTCCTCTAGACTTGGGACAGTGTTCTCGGGGCATCTCTGGAGATGCCTGAAGGAAGTCGAGCCACCGGTCGTGTTGAATGGGGAACGGGGAATGGCTCTGGCGTCAATGCAGGGGAATCGGGCCTCATCTCGAGTTCATTTGGGGGACATGGAGCTGCTTTGCGTTGCTGGGGTGACCTCAGGGTCCGTCTAGACTGGTGACAGTGTTCTTGGGGACTGTCTCGAGATCCGTTAAGCAAGTCGAAGCTCCTGACTTGTTTGAATGGGATCACGGAATAGCTCTGCATGCACTGCAGGGGAATGGGGCCTCATCTCGCCTCTAGGGGGAAGTCTCATGGGTTTTCTCGAGTTGCGGCGGGGACCTGGGGTATGTTCTCGACTTACGGCGGGGATGGCCCTTCCAAACACGAGTTTCCTCAGTGACGTCAGGACTCCTGTCTAGTAACGAGGGACACCTCAGGAATCTCTTCGAGGCTTGGCAGGGCAAAAGGGACGCTTCTCGAGGTGAGGCAGGGCACCCAAGGACCCTTTCCAGTAGCCACAGGGATTTTGGGATTCCTATGAGTATTCAGGAGGAGTCAGGCATCGTCACCTTTTGAAGCAATGAACTCCGCGTGCCTCTCGAGGTGTCAGCGGGATGTGAGGCCTTCCGTCAAAATGAGGCAGGGACCTAGGGCTTTCTCTAAGGTCTCCACAGGGGATTCAGACATCCCTTCATGTTGTGAGATGAAAGACGAGCCTGTCTTCAAGCCACTGCAAGGAAATCCGGCCTCCGTTCAAGTTAGGGCTTCTCGCTGTATATTCCCCTTGAGGCAGCAAACTCGGGGTCCCTCCCACATACCTATTGCTGAGAGAAGCCTCCTCCTGAGGTGCTTCTGGAAAGTTGGCATACGTCTTGAGCCTATCCAGGGAATCAGCTCTCATCTCGAGACGATTTGGGGTACACGGAGCATTCCTCGAGTTGCTGTGCTGAAGTTGGTGTTCCTCTAGACTTGGGACAGTGTTCTCGGGGCATCTCTGGAGATGCCTGAAGGAAGTCGAGCCACCGGTCGTGTTGAATGGGGAACGGGGAATGGCTCTGGAGTCAATGCAGGGGAATCGGGCCTCATCTCGGGTTGATTTGGGGCACATGGAGCTGCTTTGCGTTGCTGGGGTGACCTCAGGGTCCGTCTAGACTGGTGACAGTGTTCTTGGGGACTGTCTCGAGATCCGTTAAGCAAGTCGAAGCTCCTGACTTGTTTGAATTTGATCACGGAATAGCTCTGCATGCACTGCAGGGGAATGGGGCCTCATCTCGCCTCTAGGGGGAAGTCTCATGGGTTTTCTCGAGTTGCGGCGGGGACCTGGGGTATGTTCTCGACTTACGGCGGGGATGGCCCTTCCAAACACGAGTTTCCTCAGTGACGTCAGGACTCCTGTCTAGTAACCAGGGACACCTCACGAATCTCTTCGAGGCTTGGCAGGGCAAAAGGGACGCTTCTCGAGGTGAGACAGGGCACCCAAGGACCCTTTCCAGTAGCCACAGGGATTTTGGGATTCCTATGAGTATTCAGGAGGAGTCAGGCATCGTCACCTTTTGAAGCAATGAACTCCGCGTGCCTCTCGAGGTGTCAGCGGGATGTGAGGCCTTCCGTCAAAATGAGGCAGGGACCTAGGGCTTTCTCTAAGGTCTCCACAGGGGATTCAGACATCCCTTCATGTTGTGAGATGAAAGACGAGCCTGTCTTCAAGCCGCTGCAAGGAAATCCGGCCTCCTTTCAAGTTAGGGCTTCTCGCTGTATATTCCCCTTGAGGCAGCAAACTCGGGGTCCCTCCCACATACCTATTGCTGAGAGAAGCCTCCTCCTGAGATGCTTCTGGAAAGTTGGCATACGTCTTGAGACTAAGCCAGAGAATCAGCTCTCATCTCGAGACGATTTGGGGTACACGGAGCTTTCCTCGAGTTGCTGTGCTGAAGTTGGTGTTCCTCTAGACTTGGGACAGTGTTCTCGGGGCATCTCTGGAGATGCCTGAAGGAAGTCGAGCCACCGGTCGTGTTGAATGGGCAACGGGGAATGGCTCTGGAGTCAATGCAGGGGAATCGGGCCTCATCTCGGGTTGATTTGGGGCACATGGAGCTGCTTTGCGTTGCTGGGGTGACCTCAGGGTCCGTCTAGACTGGTGACAGTGTTCTTGGGGACTGTCTCGAGATCCGTTAAGCAAGTCGAAGCTCCTGACTTGTTTGAATGGGATCACGGAATAGCTCTGCATGCACTGCAGGGGAATGGGGCCTCATCTCGCCTCTAGGGGGAAGTCTCATGGGTTTTCTCGAGTTGCGGCGGGGACCTGGGGTATGTTCTCGACTTACGGCGGGGATGGCCCTTCCAAACACGAGTTTCCTCAGTGACGTCAGGACTCCTGTCTAGTAACGAGGGACACCTCACGAATCTCTTCGAGGCTTGGCAGGGCAAAAGGGACGCTTCTCGAGGTGAGGCAGGGCACCCAAGGACCCTTTCCAGTAGCCACAGGGATTTTGGGATTCCTATGAGTATTCAGGAGGAGTCAGGCATCGTCACCTTTTGAAGCAATGAACTCCGCGTGCCTCTCGAGGTGTCAGCGGGATGTGAGGCCTTCCGTCAAAATGAGGCAGGGACCTAGGGCTTTCTCTAAGGTCTCCACAGGGGATTCAGACATCCCTTCATGTTGTGAGATGAAAGACGAGCCTGTCTTCAAGCCACTGCAAGGAAATCCGGCCTCCTTTCAAGTTAGGGCTTCTCGCTGTATATTCCCCTTGAGGCAGCAAACTCGGGGTCCCTCCCACATACCTATTGCTGAGAGAAGCCTCCTCCTGAGGTGCTTCTGGAAAGTTGGCATACGTCTTGAGCCTATCCAGGGAATCAGCTCTCATCTCGAGACGATTTGGGGTACACGGAGCATTCCTCGAGTTGCTGTGCTGAAGTTGGTGTTCCTCTAGACTTGGGACAGTGTTCTCGGGGCATCTCTGGAGATGCCTGAAGGAAGTCGAGCCACCGGTCGTGTTGAATGGGGAACGGGGAATGGCTCTGGAGTCAATGCAGGGGAATCGGGCCTCATCTCGGGTTGATTTGGGGCACATGGAGCTGCTTTGCGTTGCTGGGGTGACCTCAGGGTCCGTCTAGACTGGTGACAGTGTTCTTGGGGACTGTCTCGAGATCCGTTAAGCAAGTCGAAGCTCCTGACTTGTTTGAATGGGATCACGGAATAGCTCTGCATGCACTGCAGGGGAATGGGGCCTCATCTCGCCTCTAGGGGGAAGTCTCATGGGTTTTCTCGAGTTGCGGCGGGGACCTGGGGTATGTTCTCGACTTACGGCGGGGATGGCCCTTCCAAACACGAGTTTCCTCAGTGACGTCAGGACTCCTGTCTAGTAACGAGGGACACCTCAGGAATCTCTTCGAGGCTTGGCAGGGCAAAAGGGACGCTTCTCGAGGTGAGGCAGGGCACCCAAGGACCCTTTCCAGTAGCCACAGGGATTTTGGGATTCCTATGAGTATTCAGGAGGAGTCAGGCATCGTCACCTTTTGAAGCAATGAACTCCGCGTGCCTCTCGAGGTGTCAGCGGGATGTGAGGCCTTCCGTCAAAATGAGGCAGGGACCTAGGGCTTTCTCTAAGGTCTCCACAGGGGATTCAGACATCCCTTCATGTTGTGAGATGAAAGACGAGCCTGTCTTCAAGCCACTGCAAGGAAATCCGGCCTCCTTTCAAGTTAGGGCTTCTCGCTGTATATTCCCCTTGAGGCAGCAAACTCGGGGTCCCTCCCACATACCTATTGCTGAGAGAAGCCTCCTCCTGAGGTGCTTCTGGAAAGTTGGCATACGTCTTGAGACTAAGCCAGAGAATCAGCTCTCATCTCGAGACGATTTGGGGTACACGGAGCTTTCCTCGAGTTGCTGTGCTGAAGTTGGTGTTCCTCTAGACTTGGGACAGTGTTCTCGGGGCATCTCTGGAGATGCCTGAAGGAAGTCGAGCCACCGGTCGTGTTGAATGGGCAACGGGGAATGGCTCTGGAGTCAATGCAGGGGAATCGGGCCTCATCTCGGGTTGATTTGGGGCACATGGAGCTGCTTTGCGTTGCTGGGGTGACCTCAGGGTCCGTCTAGACTGGTGACAGTGTTCTTGGGGACTGTCTCGAGATCCGTTAAGCAAGTCGAAGCTCCTGACTTGTTTGAATGGGATCACGGAATAGCTCTGCATGCACTGCAGGGGAATGGGGCCTCATCTCGCCTCTAGGGGGAAGTCTCATGGGTTTTCTCGAGTTGCGGCGGGGACCTGGGGTATGTTCTCGACTTACGGCGGGGATGGCCCTTCCAAACACGAGTTTCCTCAGTGACGTCAGGACTCCTGTCTAGTAACGAGGGACACCTCAGGAATCTCTTCGAGGCTTGGCAGGGCAAAAGGGACGCTTCTCGAGGTGAGGCAGGGCACCCAAGGACCCTTTCCAGTAGCCACAGGGATTTTGGGATTCCTATGAGTATTCAGGAGGAGTCAGGCATCGTCACCTTTTGAAGCAATGAACTCCGCGTGCCTCTCGAGGTGTCAGCGGGATGTGAGGCCTTCCGTCAAAATGAGGCAGGGACCTAGGGCTTTCTCTAAGGTCTCCACAGGGGATTCAGACATCCCTTCATGTTGTGAGATGAAAGACGAGCCTGTCTTCAAGCCACTGCAAGGAAATCCGGCCTCCTTTCAAGTTAGGGCTTCTCGCTGTATATTCCCCTTGAGGCAGCAAACTCGGGGTCCCTCACACATACCTATTGCTGAGAGAAGCCTCCTCCTGAGATGCTTCTGGAAAGTTGGCATACGTCTTGAGACTAAGCCAGAGAATCAGCTCTCATCTCGAGACGATTTGGGGTACACGGAGCTTTCCTCGAGTTGCTGTGCTGAAGTTGGTGTTCCTCTAGACTTGGGACAGTGTTCTCGGGGCATCTCTGGAGATGCCTGAAGGAAGTCGAGCCACCGGTCGTGTTGAATGGGCAACGGGGAATGGCTCTGGAGTCAATGCAGGGGAATCGGGCCTCATCTCGGGTTGATTTGGGGCACATGGAGCTGCTTTGCGTTGCTGGGGTGACCTCAGGGTCCGTCTAGACTGGTGACAGTGTTCTTGGGGACTGTCTCGAGATCCGTTAAGCAAGTCGAAGCTCCTGACTTGTTTGAATGGGATCACGGAATAGCTCTGCATGCACTGCAGGGGAATGGGGCCTCATCTCGCCTCTAGGGGGAAGTCTCATGGGTTTTCTCGAGTTGCAGCGGGGACCTGGGGTATGTTCTCGACTTACGGCGGGGATGGCCCTTCCAAACACGAGTTTCCTCAGTGACGTCAGGACTCCTGTCTAGTAACGAGGGACACCTCAGGAATCTCTTCGAGGCTTGGCAGGGCAAAAGGGACGCTTCTCGAGGTGAGGCAGGGCACCCAAGGACCCTTTCCAGTAGCCACAGGGATTTTGGGATTCCTATGAGTATTCAGGAGGAGTCAGGCATCGTCACCTTTTGAAGCAATGAACTCCGCGTGCCTCTCGAGGTGTCAGCGGGATGTGAGGCCTTCCGTCAAAATGAGGCAGGGACCTAGGGCTTTCTCTAAGGTCTCCACAGGGGATTCAGACATCCCTTCATGTTGTGAGATGAAAGACGAGCCTGTCTTCAAGTCACTGCAAGGAAATCCGGCCTCCTTTCAAGTTAGGGCTTCTCGCTGTATATTCCCCTTGAGGCAGCAAACTCGGGGTCCCTCCCACATACCTATTGCTGAGAGAAGCCTCCTCCTGAGGTGCTTCTGGAAAGTTGGCATACGTCTTGAGCCTAAGCCAGGGAATCAGCTCTCATCTCGAGACGATTTGGGGTACACGGAGCATTCCTCGAGTTGCTGTGCTGAAGTTGGTGTTCCTCTAGACTTGGGACAGTGTTCTCGGGGCATCTCTGGAGATGCCTGAAGGAAGTCGAGCCACCGGTCGTGTTGAATGGGGAACGGGGAATGGCTCTGGAGTCAATGCAGGGGAATCGGGCCTCATCTTGGGTTGATTTGGGGCACATGGAGCTGCTTTGCGTTGCTGGGGTGACCTCAGGGTCCGTCTAGACTGGTGACAGTGTTCTTGGGGACTGTCTCGAGATCCGTTAAGCAAGTCGAAGCTCCTGACTTGTTTGAATGGGATCACGGAATAGCTCTGCATGCACTGCAGGGGAATGGGGCCTCATCTCGCCTCTAGGGGGAAGTCTCATGGGTTTTCTCGAGTTGCGGCGGGGACCTGGGGTATGTTCTCGACTTACGGCGGGGATGGCCCTTCCAAACACGAGTTTCCTCAGTGACGTCAGGACTCCTGTCTAGTAACGAGGGACACCTCAGGAATCTCTTCGAGGCTTGGCAGGGCAAAAGGGACGCTTCTCGAGGTGAGGCAGGGCACCCAAGGACCCTTTCCAGTAGCCACAGGGATTTTGGGATTCCTATGAGTATTCAGGAGGAGTCAGGCATCGTCACTTTTTGAAGCAATGAACTCCGCGTGCCTCTCGAGGTGTCAGCGGGATGTGAGGCCTTCCGTCAAAATGAGGCAGGGACCTAGGGCTTTCTCTAAGGTCTCCACAGGGGATTCAGACATCCCTTCATGTTGTGAGATGAAAGACGAGCCTGTCTTCAAGCCACTGCAAGGAAATCCGGCCTCCTTTCAAGTTAGGGCTTCTCGCTGTATATTCCCCTTGAGGCAGCAAACTCGGGGTCCCTCCCACATACCTATTGCTGAGAGAAGCCTCCTCCTGAGGTGCTTCTGGAAAGTTGGCATACGTCTTGAGCCTATCCAGGGAATCAGCTCTCATCTCGAGACGATTTGGGGTACACGGAGCATTCCTCGAGTTGCTGTGCTGAAGTTGGTGTTCCTCTAGACTTGGGACAGTGTTCTCGGGGCATCTCTGGAGATGCCTGAAGGAAGTCGAGCCACCGGTCGTGTTGAATGGGGAACGGGGAATGGCTCTGGAGTCAATGCAGGGGAATCGGGCCTCATCTCGGGTTGATTTGGGGCACATGGAGCTGCTTTGCGTTGCTGGGGTGACCTCAGGGTCCGTCTAGACTGGTGACAGTGTTCTTGGGGACTGTCTCGAGATCCGTTAAGCAAGTCGAAGCTCCTGACTTGTTTGAATGGGATCACGGAATAGCTCTGCATGCACTGCAGGGGAATGGGGCCTCATCTCGCCTCTAGGGGGAAGTCTCATGGGTTTTCTCGAGTTGCGGCGGGGACCTGGGATATGTTCTCGACTTACGGCGGGGATGGCCCTTCCAAACACGAGTTTCCTCAGTGACGTCAGGACTCCTGTCTAGTAACGAGGGACACCTCAGGAATCTCTTCGAGGCTTGGCAGGGCAAAAGGGACGCTTCTCGAGGTGAGGCAGGGCACCCAAGGACCCTTTCCAGTAGCCACAGGGATTTTGGGATTCCTATGAGTATTCAGGAGGAGTCAGGCATCGTCACCTTTTGAAGCAATGAACTCCGCGTGCCTCTCGAGGTGTCAGCGGGATGTGAGGCCTTCCGTCAAAATGAGGCAGGGACCTAGGGCTTTCTCTAAGGTCTCCACAGGGGATTCAGACATCCCTTCATGTTGTGAGATGAAAGACGAGCCTGTCTTCAAGCCACTGCAAGGAAATCCGGCCTCCTTTCAAGTTAGTGCTTCTCGCTGTATATTCCCCTTGAGGCAGCAAACTCGGGGTCCCTCCCACATACCTATTGCTGAGAGAAGCCTCCTCCTGAGGTGCTTCTGGAAAGTTGGCATACGCCTTGAGCCTAAGCCAGGAAATCAGCTCTCATCTCGAGACGATTTGGGGTACACGGAGCATTCCTCGAGTTGCTGTGCTGAAGTTGGTGTTCCTCTAGACTTGGGACAGTGTTCTCGGGGCATCTCTGGAGATGCCTGAAGGAAGTCGAGCCACCGGTTGTGTTGAATGGGGAATGGGGAATGGCTCTGGAGTCAATGCAGGGGAATCGGGCCTCATCTCGAGTTCATTTGGGGGACATGGAGCTGCTTTGCGTTGCTGGGGTGACCTCAGGGTCCGTCTAGACTGGTGACAGTGTTCTTGGGGACTGTCTCGAGATCCGTTAAGCAAGTCGAAGCTCCTGACTTGTTTGAATGGGATCACGGAATAGCTCTGCATGCACTGCAGGGGAATGGGGCCTCATCTCGCCTCTTGGGGGAAGTCTCATGGGTTTTCTCGAGTTGCGGCAGGGACCTGGGGTATGTTCTCGACTTACGGCGGGGATGGCCCTTCCAAACACGAGTTTCCTCAGTGACGTCAGGACTCCTGTCTAGTAACGAGGGACACCTCAGGAATCTCTTCGAGGCTTGGCAGGGCAAAAGGGACGCTTCTCGAGGTGAGGCAGGGCACCCAAGGACCCTTTCCAGTAGCCACAGGGATTTTGGGATTCCTATGAGTATTCAGGAGGAGTCAGGCATCGTCACCTTTTGAAGCAATGAACTCCGCGTGCCTCTCGAGGTGTCAGCGGGATGTGAGGCCTTCCGTCAAAATGAGGCAGGGACCTAGGGCTTTCTCTAAGGTCTCCACAGGGGATTCAGACATCCCTTCATGTTGTGAGATGAAAGACGAGCCTGTCTTCAAGTCACTGCAAGGAAATCCGGCCTCCGTTCAAGTTAGGGCTTCTCGCTGTATATTCCCCTTGAGGCAGCAAACTCGGGGTCCCTCCCACATACCTATTGCTGAGAGAAGCCTCCTCCTGAGGTGCTTCTGGAAAGTTGGCATACGTCTTGAGCCTATCCAGGGAATCAGCTCTCATCTCGAGACGATTTGGGGTACACGGAGCATTCCTCGAGTTGCTGTGCTGAAGTTGGTGTTCCTCTAGACTTGGGACAGTGTTCTCGGGGCATCTCTGGAGATGCCTGAAGGAAGTCGAGCCACCGGTCGTGTTGAATGGGGAACGGGGAATGGCTCTGGAGTCAATGCAGGGGAATCGGGCCTCATCTCGGGTTGATTTGGGGCACATGGAGCTGCTTTGCGTTGCTGGGGTGACCTCAGGGTCCGTCTAGACTGGTGACAGTGTTCTTGGGGACTGTCTCGAGATCCGTTAAGCAAGTCGAAGCTCCTGACTTGTTTGAATGGGATCACGGAATAGCTCTGCATGCACTGCAGGGGAATGGGGCCTCATCTCGCCTCTAGGGGGAAGTCTCATGGGTTTTCTCGAGTTGCGGCGGGGACCTGGGGTATGTTCTCGACTTACGGCGGGGATGGCCCTTCCAAACACGAGTTTCCTCAGTGACGTCAGGACTCCTGTCTAGTAACGAGGGACACCTCAGGAATCTCTTCGAGTCTTGGCAGGGCAAAAGGGACGCTTCTCGAGGTGAGGCAGGGCACCCAAGGACCCTTTCCAGTAGCCACAGGGATTTTGGGATTCCTATGAGTATTCAGGAGGAGTCAGGCATCGTCACCTTTTGAAGCAATGAACTCCGCGTGCCTCTCGAGGTGTCAGCGGGATGTGAGGCCTTCCGTCAAAATGAGGCAGGGACCTAGGGCTTTCTCTAAGGTCTCCACAGGGGATTCAGACATCCCTTCATGTTGTGAGATGAAAGACGAGCCTGTCTTCAAGTCACTGCAAGGAAATCCGGCCTCCTTTCAAGTTAGGGCTTCTCGCTGTATATTCCCCTTGAGGCAGCAAACTCGGGGTCCCTCCCACATACCTATTGCTGAGAGAAGCCTCCTCCTGAGGTGCTTCTGGAAAGTTGGCATACGTCTTGAGCCTAAGCCAGGGAATCAGCTCTCATCTCGAGACGATTTGGGGTACACGGAGCATTCCTCGAGTTGCTGTGCTGAAGTTGGTGTTCCTCTAGACTTGGGACAGTGTTCTCGGGGCATCTCTGGAGATGCCTGAAGGAAGTCGAGCCACCGGTCGTGTTGAATGGGGAACGGGGAATGGCTCTGGAGTCAATGCAGGGGAATCGGGCCTCATCTTGGGTTGATTTGGGGCACATGGAGCTGCTTTGCGTTGCTGGGGTGACCTCAGGGTCCGTCTAGACTGGTGACAGTGTTCTTGGGGACTGTCTCGAGATCCGTTAAGCAAGTCGAAGCTCCTGACTTGTTTGAATGGGATCACGGAATAGCTCTGCATGCACTGCAGGGGAATGGGGCCTCATCTCGCCTCTAGGGGGAAGTCTCATGGGTTTTCTCGAGTTGCGGCGGGGACCTGGGGTATGTTCTCGACTTACGGCGGGGATGGCCCTTCCAAACACGAGTTTCCTCAGTGACGTCAGGACTCCTGTCTAGTAACGAGGGACACCTCAGGAATCTCTTCGAGGCTTGGCAGGGCAAAAGGGACGCTTCTCGAGGTGAGGCAGGGCACCCAAGGACCCTTTCCAGTAGCCACAGGGATTTTGGGATTCCTATGAGTATTCAGGAGGAGTCAGGCATCGTCACCTTTTGAAGCAATGAACTCCGCGTGCCTCTCGAGGTGTCAGCGGGATGTGAGGCCTTCCGTCAAAATGAGGCAGGGACCTAGGGCTTTCTCTAAGGTCTCCACAGGGGATTCAGACATCCCTTCATGTTGTGAGATGAAAGACGAGCCTGTCTTCAAGCCACTGCAAGGAAATCCGGCCTCCTTTCAAGTTAGGGCTTCTCGCTGTATATTCCCCTTGAGGCAGCAAACTCGGGGTCCCTCCCACATACCTATTGCTGAGAGAAGCCTCCTCCTGAGGTGCTTCTGGAAAGTTGGCATACGTCTTGAGCCTATCCAGGGAATCAGCTCTCATCTCGAGACGATTTGGGGTACACGGAGCATTCCTCGAGTTGCTGTGCTGAAGTTGGTGTTCCTCTAGACTTGGGACAGTGTTCTCGGGGCATCTCTGGAGATGCCTGAAGGAAGTCGAGCCACCGGTCGTGTTGAATGGGGAACGGGGAATGGCTCTGGAGTCAATGCAGGGGAATCGGGCCTCATCTCGGGTTGATTTGGGGCACATGGAGCTGCTTTGCGTTGCTGGGGTGACCTCAGGGTCCGTCTAGACTGGTGACAGTGTTCTTGGGGACTGTCTCGAGATCCGTTAAGCAAGTCGAAGCTCCTGACTTGTTTGAATGGGATCACGGAATAGCTCTGCATGCACTGCAGGGGAATGGGGCCTCATCTCGCCTCTAGGGGGAAGTCTCATGGGTTTTCTCGAGTTGCGGCGGGGACCTGGGGTATGTTCTCGACTTACGGCGGGGATGGCCCTTCCAAACACGAGTTTCCTCAGTGACGTCAGGACTCCTGTCTAGTAACGAGGGACACCTCAGGAATCTCTTCGAGGCTTGGCAGGGCAAAAGGGACGCTTCTCGAGGTGAGGCAGGGCACCCAAGGACCCTTTCCAGTAGCCACAGGGATTTTGGGATTCCTATGAGTATTCAGGAGGAGTCAGGCATCGTCACCTTTTGAAGCAATGAACTCCGCGTGCCTCTCGAGGTGTCAGCGGGATGTGAGGCCTTCCGTCAAAATGAGGCAGGGACCTAGGGCTTTCTCTAAGGTCTCCACAGGGGATTCAGACATCCCTTCATGTTGTGAGATGAAAGACGAGCCTGTCTTCAAGCCACTGCAAGGAAATCCGGCCTCCTTTCAAGTTAGTGCTTCTCGCTGTATATTCCCCTTGAGGCAGCAAACTCGGGGTCCCTCCCACATACCTATTGCTGAGAGAAGCCTCCTCCTGAGGTGCTTCTGGAAAGTTGGCATACGCCTTGAGCCTAAGCCAGGAAATCAGCTCTCATCTCGAGACGATTTGGGGTACACGGAGCATTCCTCGAGTTGCTGTGCTGAAGTTGGTGTTCCTCTAGACTTGGGACAGTGTTCTCGGGGCATCTCTGGAGATGCCTGAAGGAAGTCGAGCCACCGGTTGTGTTGAATGGGGAATGGGGAATGGCTCTGGAGTCAATGCAGGGGAATCGGGCCTCATCTCGAGTTCATTTGGGGGACATGGAGCTGCTTTGCGTTGCTGGGGTGACCTCAGGGTCCGTCTAGACTGGTGACAGTGTTCTTGGGGACTGTCTCGAGATCCGTTAAGCAAGTCGAAGCTCCTGACTTGTTTGAATGGGATCACGGAATAGCTCTGCATGCACTGCAGGGGAATGGGGCCTCATCTCGCCTCTAGGGGGAAGTCTCATGGGTTTTCTCGAGTTGCGGCGGGGACCTGGGGTATGTTCTCGACTTACGGCGGGGATGGCCCTTCCAAACACGAGTTTCCTCAGTGACGTCAGGACTCCTGTCTAGTAACCAGGGACACCTCACGAATCTCTTCGAGGCTTGGCAGGGCAAAAGGGACGCTTCTCGAGGTGAGGCAGGGCACCCAAGGACCCTTTCCAGTAGCCACAGGGATTTTGGGATTCCTATGAGTATTCAGGAGGAGTCAGGCATCGTCACCTTTTGAAGCAATGAACTCCGCGTGCCTCTCGAGGTGTCAGCGGGATGTGAGGCCTTCCGTCAAAATGAGGCAGGGACCTAGGGCTTTCTCTAAGGTCTCCACAGGGGATTGAGACATCCCTTCATGTTGTGAGATGAAAGACGAGCCTGTCTTCAAGCCACTGCAAGGAAATCCGGCCTCCTTTCAAGTTAGGGCTTCTCGCTGTATATTCCCCTTGAGGCAGCAAACTCGGGGTCCCTCCCACATACCTATTGCTGAGAGAAGCCTCCTCCTGAGGTGCTTCTGGAAAGTTGGCATACGTCTTGAGCCTATCCAGGGAATCAGCTCTCATCTCGAGACGATTTGGGGTACACGGAGCATTCCTCGAGTTGCTGTGCTGAAGTTGGTGTTCCTCTAGACTTGGGACAGTGTTCTCGGGGCATCTCTGGAGATGCCTGAAGGAAGTCGAGCCACCGGTCGTGTTGAATGGGGAACGGGGAATGGCTCTGGAGTCAATGCAGGGGAATCGGGCCTCATCTCGGGTTGATTTGGGGCACATGGAGCTGCTTTGCGTTGCTGGGGTGACCTCAGGGTCCGTCTAGACTGGTGACAGTGTTCTTGGGGACTGTCTCGAGATCCGTTAAGCAAGTCGAAGCTCCTGACTTGTTTGAATGGGATCACGGAATAGCTCTGCATGCACTGCAGGGGAATGGGGCCTCATCTCGCCTCTAGGGGGAAGTCTCATGGGTTTTCTCGAGTTGCGGCGGGGACCTGGGATATGTTCTCGACTTACGGCGGGGATGGCCCTTCCAAACACGAGTTTCCTCAGTGACGTCAGGACTCCTGTCTAGTAACGAGGGACACCTCAGGAATCTCTTCGAGGCTTGGCAGGGCAAAAGGGACGCTTCTCGAGGTGAGGCAGGGCACCCAAGGACCCTTTCCAGTAGCCACAGGGATTTTGGGATTCCTATGAGTATTCAGGAGGAGTCAGGCATCGTCACCTTTTGAAGCAATGAACTCCGCGTGCCTCTCGAGGTGTCAGCGGGATGTGAGGCCTTCCGTCAAAATGAGGCAGGGACCTAGGGCTTTCTCTAAGGTCTCCACAGGGGATTCAGACATCCCTTCATGTTGTGAGATGAAAGACGAGCCTGTCTTCAAGCCACTGCAAGGAAATCCGGCCTCCTTTCAAGTTAGTGCTTCTCGCTGTATATTCCCCTTGAGGCAGCAAACTCGGGGTCCCTCCCACATACCTATTGCTGAGAGAAGCCTCCTCCTGAGGTGCTTCTGGAAAGTTGGCATACGCCTTGAGCCTAAGCCAGGAAATCAGCTCTCATCTCGAGACGATTTGGGGTACACGGAGCATTCCTCGAGTTGCTGTGCTGAAGTTGGTGTTCCTCTAGACTTGGGACAGTGTTCTCGGGGCATCTCTGGAGATGCCTGAAGGAAGTCGAGCCACCGGTTGTGTTGAATGGGGAATGGGGAATGGCTCTGGAGTCAATGCAGGGGAATCGGGCCTCATCTCGAGTTCATTTGGGGGACATGGAGCTGCTTTGCGTTGCTGGGGTGACCTCAGGGTCCGTCTAGACTGGTGACAGTGTTCTTGGGGACTGTCTCGAGATCCGTTAAGCAAGTCGAAGCTCCTGACTTGTTTGAATGGGATCACGGAATAGCTCTGCATGCACTGCAGGGGAATGGGGCCTCATCTCGCCTCTTGGGGGAAGTCTCATGGGTTTTCTCGAGTTGCGGCAGGGACCTGGGGTATGTTCTCGACTTACGGCGGGGATGGCCCTTCCAAACACGAGTTTCCTCAGTGACGTCAGGACTCCTGTCTAGTAACGAGGGACACCTCAGGAATCTCTTCGAGGCTTGGCAGGGCAAAAGGGACGCTTCTCGAGGTGAGGCAGGGCACCCAAGGACCCTTTCCAGTAGCCACAGGGATTTTGGGATTCCTATGAGTATTCAGGAGGAGTCAGGCATCGTCACCTTTTGAAGCAATGAACTCCGCGTGCCTCTCGAGGTGTCAGCGGGATGTGAGGCCTTCCGTCAAAATGAGGCAGGGACCTAGGGCTTTCTCTAAGGTCTCCACAGGGGATTCAGACATCCCTTCATGTTGTGAGATGAAAGACGAGCCTGTCTTCAAGCCACTGCAAGGAAATCCGGCCTCCTTTCAAGTTAGGGCTTCTCGCTGTATATTCCCCTTGAGGCAGCAAACTCGGGGTCCCTCCCACATACCTATTGCTGAGAGAAGCCTCCTCCTGAGGTGCTTCTGGAAAGTTGGCATACGTCTTGAGCCTATCCAGGGAATCAGCTCTCATCTCGAGACGATTTGGGGTACACGGAGCATTCCTCGAGTTGCTGTGCTGAAGTTGGTGTTCCTCTAGACTTGGGACAGTGTTCTCGGGGCATCTCTGGAGATGCCTGAAGGAAGTCGAGCCACCGGTCGTGTTGAATGGGGAACGGGGAATGGCTCTGGAGTCAATGCAGGGGAATCGGGCCTCATCTCGGGTTGATTTGGGGCACATGGAGCTGCTTTGCGTTGCTGGGGTGACCTCAGGGTCCGTCTAGACTGGTGACAGTGTTCTTGGGGACTGTCTCGAGATCCGTTAAGCAAGTCGAAGCTCCTGACTTGTTTGAATGGGATCACGGAATAGCTCTGCATGCACTGCAGGGGAATGGGGCCTCATCTCGCCTCTAGGGGGAAGTCTCATGGGTTTTCTCGAGTTGCGGCGGGGACCTGGGGTATGTTCTCGACTTACGGCGGGGATGGCCCTTCCAAACACGAGTTTCCTCAGTGACGTCAGGACTCCTGTCTAGTAACGAGGGACACCTCAGGAATCTCTTCGAGGCTTGGCAGGGCAAAAGGGACGCTTCTCGAGGTGAGGCAGGGCACCCAAGGACCCTTTCCAGTAGCCACAGGGATTTTGGGATTCCTATGAGTATTCAGGAGGAGTCAGGCATCGTCACCTTTTGAAGCAATGAACTCCGCGTGCCTCTCGAGGTGTCAGCGGGATGTGAGGCCTTGCGTCAAAATGAGGCAGGGACCTAGGGCTTTCTCTAAGGTCTCCACAGGGGATTCAGACATCCCTTCATGTTGTGAGATGAAAGACGAGCCTGTCTTCAAGCCACTGCAAGGAAATCCGGCCTCCTTTCAAGTTAGGGCTTCTCGCTGTATATTCCCCTTGAGGCAGCAAACTCGGGGTCCCTCCCACATACCTATTGCTGAGAGAAGCCTCCTCCTGAGGTGCTTCTGGAAAGTTGGCATACGCCTTGAGCCTAAGCCAGGAAATCAGCTCTCATCTCGAGACGATTTGGGGTACACGGAGCATTCCTCGAGTTGCTGTGCTGAAGTTGGTGTTCCTCTAGACTTGGGACAGTGTTCTCGGGGCATCTCTGGAGATGCCTGAAGGAAGTCGAGCCACCGGTTGTGTTGAATGGGGAATGGGGAATGGCTCTGGAGTCAATGCAGGGGAATCGGGCCTCATCTCGAGTTCATTTGGGGGACATGGAGCTGCTTTGCGTTGCTGGGGTGACCTCAGGGTCCGTCTAGACTGGTGACAGTGTTCTTGGGGACTGTCTCGAGATCCGTTAAGCAAGTCGAAGCTCCTGACTTGTTTGAATGGGATCACGGAATAGCTCTGCATGCACTGCAGGGGAATGGGGCCTCATCTCGCCTCTAGGGGGAAGTCTCATGGGTTTTCTCGAGTTGCGGCGGGGACCTGGGGTATGTTCTCGACTTACGGCGGGGATGGCCCTTCCAAACACGAGTTTCCTCAGTGACGTCAGGACTCCTGTCTAGTAACGAGGGACACCTCAGGAATCTCTTCGAGGCTTGGCAGGGCAAAAGGGACGCTTCTCGAGGTGAGGCAGGGCACCCAAGGACCCTTTCCAGTAGCCACAGGGATTTTGGGATTCCTATGAGTATTCAGGAGGAGTCAGGCATCGTCACCTTTTGAAGCAATGAACTCCGCGTGCCTCTCGAGGTGTCAGCGGGATGTGAGGCCTTCCGTCAAAATGAGGCAGGGACCTAGGGCTTTCTCTAAGGTCTCCACAGGGGATTCAGACATCCCTTCATGTTGTGAGATGAAAGACGAGCCTGTCTTCAAGCCACTGCAAGGAAATCCGGCCTCCTTTCAAGTTAGGGCTTCTCGCTGTATATTCCCCTTGAGGCAGCAAACTCGGGGTCCCTCCCACATACCTATTGCTGAGAGAAGCCTCCTCCTGAGGTGCTTCTGGAAAGTTGGCATACGTCTTGAGCCTATCCAGGGAATCAGCTCTCATCTCGAGACGATTTGGGGTACACGGAGCATTCCTCGAGTTGCTGTGCTGAAGTTGGTGTTCCTCTAGACTTGGGACAGTGTTCTCGGGGCATCTCTGGAGATGCCTGAAGGAAGTCGAGCCACCGGTCGTGTTGAATGGGGAACGGGGAATGGCTCTGGAGTCAATGCAGGGGAATCGGGCCTCATCTCGGGTTGATTTGGGGCACATGGAGCTGCTTTGCGTTGCTGGGGTGACCTCAGGGTCCGTCTAGACTGGTGACAGTGTTCTTGGGGACTGTCTCGAGATCCGTTAAGCAAGTCGAAGCTCCTGACTTGTTTGAATGGGATCACGGAATAGCTCTGCATGCACTGCAGGGGAATGGGGCCTCATCTCGCCTCTAGGGGGAAGTCTCATGGGTTTTCTCGAGTTGCGGCGGGGACCTGGGGTATGTTCTCGACTTACGGCGGGGATGGCCCTTCCAAACACGAGTTTCCTCAGTGACGTCAGGACTCCTGTCTAGTAACGAGGGACACCTCAGGAATCTCTTCGAGGCTTGGCAGGGCAAAAGGGACGCTTCTCGAGGTGAGGCAGGGCACCCAAGGACCCTTTCCAGTAGCCACAGGGATTTTGGGATTCCTATGAGTATTCAGGAGGAGTCAGGCATCGTCACCTTTTGAAGCAATGAACTCCGCGTGCCTCTCGAGGTGTCAGCGGGATGTGAGGCCTTCCGTCAAAATGAGGCAGGGACCTAGGGCTTTCTCTAAGGTCTCCACAGGGGATTCAGACATCCCTTCATGTTGTGAGATGAAAGACGAGCCTGTCTTCAAGCCACTGCAAGGAAATCCGGCCTCCTTTCAAGTTAGTGCTTCTCGCTGTATATTCCCCTTGAGGCAGCAAACTCGGGGTCCCTCCCACATACCTATTGCTGAGAGAAGCCTCCTCCTGAGGTGCTTCTGGAAAGTTGGCATACGCCTTGAGCCTAAGCCAGGAAATCAGCTCTCATCTCGAGACGATTTGGGGTACACGGAGCATTCCTCGAGTTGCTGTGCTGAAGTTGGTGTTCCTCTAGACTTGGGACAGTGTTCTCGGGGCATCTCTGGAGATGCCTGAAGGAAGTCGAGCCACCGGTTGTGTTGAATGGGGAATGGGGAATGGCTCTGGAGTCAATGCAGGGGAATCGGGCCTCATCTCGAGTTCATTTGGGGGACATGGAGCTGCTTTGCGTTGCTGGGGTGACCTCAGGGTCCGTCTAGACTGGTGACAGTGTTCTTGGGGACTGTCTCGAGATCCGTTAAGCAAGTCGAAGCTCCTGACTTGTTTGAATGGGATCACGGAATAGCTCTGCATGCACTGCAGGGGAATGGGGCCTCATCTCGCCTCTAGGGGGAAGTCTCATGGGTTTTCTCGAGTTGCGGCGGGGACCTGGGGTATGTTCTCGACTTACGGCGGGGATGGCCCTTCCAAACACGAGTTTCCTCAGTGACGTCAGGACTCCTGTCTAGTAACCAGGGACACCTCACGAATCTCTTCGAGGCTTGGCAGGGCAAAAGGGACGCTTCTCGAGGTGAGGCAGGGCACCCAAGGACCCTTTCCAGTAGCCACAGGGATTTTGGGATTCCTATGAGTATTCAGGAGGAGTCAGGCATCGTCACCTTTTGAAGCAATGAACTCCGCGTGCCTCTCGAGGTGTCAGCGGGATGTGAGGCCTTCCGTCAAAATGAGGCAGGGACCTAGGGCTTTCTCTAAGGTCTCCACAGGGGATTCAGACATCCCTTCATGTTGTGAGATGAAAGACGAGCCTGTCTTCAAGCCACTGCAAGGAAATCCGGCCTCCTTTCAAGTTAGGGCTTCTCGCTGTATATTCCCCTTGAGGCAGCAAACTCGGGGTCCCTCCCACATACCTATTGCTGAGAGAAGCCTCCTCCTGAGGTGCTTCTGGAAAGTTGGCATACGTCTTGAGCCTATCCAGGGAATCAGCTCTCATCTCGAGACGATTTGGGGTACACGGAGCATTCCTCGAGTTGCTGTGCTGAAGTTGGTGTTCCTCTAGACTTGGGACAGTGTTCTCGGGGCATCTCTGGAGATGCCTGAAGGAAGTCGAGCCACCGGTCGTGTTGAATGGGGAACGGGGAATGGCTCTGGAGTCAATGCAGGGGAATCGGGCCTCATCTCGGGTTGATTTGGGGCACATGGAGCTGCTTTGCGTTGCTGGGGTGACCTCAGGGTCCGTCTAGACTGGTGACAGTGTTCTTGGGGACTGTCTCGAGATCCGTTAAGCAAGTCGAAGCTCCTGACTTGTTTGAATGGGATCACGGAATAGCTCTGCATGCACTGCAGGGGAATGGGGCCTCATCTCGCCTCTAGGGGGAAGTCTCATGGGTTTTCTCGAGTTGCGGCGGGGACCTGGGATATGTTCTCGACTTACGGCGGGGATGGCCCTTCCAAACACGAGTTTCCTCAGTGACGTCAGGACTCCTGTCTAGTAACGAGGGACACCTCAGGAATCTCTTCGAGGCTTGGCAGGGCAAAAGGGACGCTTCTCGAGGTGAGGCAGGGCACCCAAGGACCCTTTCCAGTAGCCACAGGGATTTTGGGATTCCTATGAGTATTCAGGAGGAGTCAGGCATCGTCACCTTTTGAAGCAATGAACTCCGCGTGCCTCTCGAGGTGTCAGCGGGATGTGAGGCCTTCCGTCAAAATGAGGCAGGGACCTAGGGCTTTCTCTAAGGTCTCCACAGGGGATTCAGACATCCCTTCATGTTGTGAGATGAAAGACGAGCCTGTCTTCAAGCCACTGCAAGGAAATCCGGCCTCCTTTCAAGTTAGTGCTTCTCGCTGTATATTCCCCTTGAGGCAGCAAACTCGGGGTCCCTCCCACATACCTATTGCTGAGAGAAGCCTCCTCCTGAGGTGCTTCTGGAAAGTTGGCATACGCCTTGAGCCTAAGCCAGGAAATCAGCTCTCATCTCGAGACGATTTGGGGTACACGGAGCATTCCTCGAGTTGCTGTGCTGAAGTTGGTGTTCCTCTAGACTTGGGACAGTGTTCTCGGGGCATCTCTGGAGATGCCTGAAGGAAGTCGAGCCACCGGTTGTGTTGAATGGGGAATGGGGAATGGCTCTGGAGTCAATGCAGGGGAATCGGGCCTCATCTCGAGTTCATTTGGGGGACATGGAGCTGCTTTGCGTTGCTGGGGTGACCTCAGGGTCCGTCTAGACTGGTGACAGTGTTCTTGGGGACTGTCTCGAGATCCGTTAAGCAAGTCGAAGCTCCTGACTTGTTTGAATGGGATCACGGAATAGCTCTGCATGCACTGCAGGGGAATGGGGCCTCATCTCGCCTCTTGGGGGAAGTCTCATGGGTTTTCTCGAGTTGCGGCAGGGACCTGGGGTATGTTCTCGACTTACGGCGGGGATGGCCCTTCCAAACACGAGTTTCCTCAGTGACGTCAGGACTCCTGTCTAGTAACGAGGGACACCTCAGGAATCTCTTCGAGGCTTGGCAGGGCAAAAGGGACGCTTCTCGAGGTGAGGCAGGGCACCCAAGGACCCTTTCCAGTAGCCACAGGGATTTTGGGATTCCTATGAGTATTCAGGAGGAGTCAGGCATCGTCACCTTTTGAAGCAATGAACTCCGCGTGCCTCTCGAGGTGTCAGCGGGATGTGAGGCCTTCCGTCAAAATGAGGCAGGGACCTAGGGCTTTCTCTAAGGTCTCCACAGGGGATTCAGACATCCCTTCATGTTGTGAGATGAAAGACGAGCCTGTCTTCAAGTCACTGCAAGGAAATCCGGCCTCCGTTCAAGTTAGGGCTTCTCGCTGTATATTCCCCTTGAGGCAGCAAACTCGGGGTCCCTCCCACATACCTATTGCTGAGAGAAGCCTCCTCCTGAGGTGCTTCTGGAAAGTTGGCATACGTCTTGAGCCTATCCAGGGAATCAGCTCTCATCTCGAGACGATTTGGGGTACACGGAGCATTCCTCGAGTTGCTGTGCTGAAGTTGGTGTTCCTCTAGACTTGGGACAGTGTTCTCGGGGCATCTCTGGAGATGCCTGAAGGAAGTCGAGCCACCGGTCGTGTTGAATGGGGAACGGGGAATGGCTCTGGAGTCAATGCAGGGGAATCGGGCCTCATCTCGGGTTGATTTGGGGCACATGGAGCTGCTTTGCGTTGCTGGGGTGACCTCAGGGTCCGTCTAGACTGGTGACAGTGTTCTTGGGGACTGTCTCGAGATCCGTTAAGCAAGTCGAAGCTCCTGACTTGTTTGAATGGGATCACGGAATAGCTCTGCATGCACTGCAGGGGAATGGGGCCTCATCTCGCCTCTAGGGGGAAGTCTCATGGGTTTTCTCGAGTTGCGGCGGGGACCTGGGGTATGTTCTCGACTTACGGCGGGGATGGCCCTTCCAAACACGAGTTTCCTCAGTGACGTCAGGACTCCTGTCTAGTAACGAGGGACACCTCAGGAATCTCTTCGAGGCTTGGCAGGGCAAAAGGGACGCTTCTCGAGGTGAGGCAGGGCACCCAAGGACCCTTTCCAGTAGCCACAGGGATTTTGGGATTCCTATGAGTATTCAGGAGGAGTCAGGCATCGTCACCTTTTGAAGCAATGAACTCCGCGTGCCTCTCGAGGTGTCAGCGGGATGTGAGGCCTTCCGTCAAAATGAGGCAGGGACCTAGGGCTTTCTCTAAGGTCTCCACAGGGGATTCAGACATCCCTTCATGTTGTGAGATGAAAGACGAGCCTGTCTTCAAGTCACTGCAAGGAAATCCGGCCTCCTTTCAAGTTAGGGCTTCTCGCTGTATATTCCCCTTGAGGCAGCAAACTCGGGGTCCCTCCCACATACCTATTGCTGAGAGAAGCCTCCTCCTGAGGTGCTTCTGGAAAGTTGGCATACGTCTTGAGCCTAAGCCAGGGAATCAGCTCTCATCTCGAGACGATTTGGGGTACACGGAGCATTCCTCGAGTTGCTGTGCTGAAGTTGGTGTTCCTCTAGACTTGGGACAGTGTTCTCGGGGCATCTCTGGAGATGCCTGAAGGAAGTCGAGCCACCGGTCGTGTTGAATGGGGAACGGGGAATGGCTCTGGAGTCAATGCAGGGGAATCGGGCCTCATCTTGGGTTGATTTGGGGCACATGGAGCTGCTTTGCGTTGCTGGGGTGACCTCAGGGTCCGTCTAGACTGGTGACAGTGTTCTTGGGGACTGTCTCGAGATCCGTTAAGCAAGTCGAAGCTCCTGACTTGTTTGAATGGGATCACGGAATAGCTCTGCATGCACTGCAGGGGAATGGGGCCTCATCTCGCCTCTAGGGGGAAGTCTCATGGGTTTTCTCGAGTTGCGGCGGGGACCTGGGGTATGTTCTCGACTTACGGCGGGGATGGCCCTTCCAAACACGAGTTTCCTCAGTGACGTCAGGACTCCTGTCTAGTAACGAGGGACACCTCAGGAATCTCTTCGAGGCTTGGCAGGGCAAAAGGGACGCTTCTCGAGGTGAGGCAGGGCACCCAAGGACCCTTTCCAGTAGCCACAGGGATTTTGGGATTCCTATGAGTATTCAGGAAGAGTCAGGCATCGTCACCTTTTGAAGCAATGAACTCCGCGTGCCTCTCGAGGTGTCAGCGGGATGTGAGGCCTTCCGTCAAAATGAGGCAGGGACCTAGGGCTTTCTCTAAGGTCTCCACAGGGGATTCAGACATCCCTTCATGTTGTGAGATGAAAGACGAGCCTGTCTTCAAGCCACTGCAAGGAAATCCGGCCTCCTTTCAAGTTAGGGCTTCTCGCTGTATATTCCCCTTGAAGCAGCAAACTCGGGGTCCCTCCCACATACCTATTGCTGAGAGAAGCCTCCTCCTGAGGTGCTTCTGGAAAGTTGGCATACGTCTTGAGCCTATCCAGGGAATCAGCTCTCATCTCGAGACGATTTGGGGTACACGGAGCATTCCTCGAGTTGCTGTGCTGAAGTTGGTGTTCCTCTAGACTTGGGACAGTGTTCTCGGGGCATCTCTGGAGATGCCTGAAGGAAGTCGAGCCACCGGTCGTGTTGAATGGGGAACGGGGAATGGCTCTGGAGTCAATGCAGGGGAATCGGGCCTCATCTCGGGTTGATTTGGGGCACATGGAGCTGCTTTGCGTTGCTGGGGTGACCTCAGGGTCCGTCTAGACTGGTGACAGTGTTCTTGGGGACTGTCTCGAGATCCGTTAAGCAAGTCGAAGCTCCTGACTTGTTTGAATGGGATCACGGAATAGCTCTGCATGCACTGCAGGGGAATGGGGCCTCATCTCGCCTCTAGGGGGAAGTCTCATGGGTTTTCTCGAGTTGCGGCGGGGACCTGGGGTATGTTCTCGACTTACGGCGGGGATGGCCCTTCCAAACACGAGTTTCCTCAGTGACGTCAGGACTCCTGTCTAGTAACGAGGGACACCTCAGGAATCTCTTCGAGGCTTGGCAGGGCAAAAGGGACGCTTCTCGAGGTGAGGCAGGGCACCCAAGGACCCTTTCCAGTAGCCACAGGGATTTTGGGATTCCTATGAGTATTCAGGAGGAGTCAGGCATCGTCACCTTTTGAAGCAATGAACTCCGCGTGCCTCTCGAGGTGTCAGCGGGATGTGAGGCCTTCCGTCAAAATGAGGCAGGGACCTAGGGCTTTCTCTAAGGTCTCCACAGGGGATTCAGACATCCCTTCATGTTGTGAGATGAAAGACGAGCCTGTCTTCAAGCCACTGCAAGGAAATCCGGCCTCCTTTCAAGTTAGTGCTTCTCGCTGTATATTCCCCTTGAGGCAGCAAACTCGGGGTCCCTCCCACATACCTATTGCTGAGAGAAGCCTCCTCCTGAGGTGCTTCTGGAAAGTTGGCATACGCCTTGAGCCTAAGCCAGGAAATCAGCTCTCATCTCGAGACGATTTGGGGTACACGGAGCATTCCTCGAGTTGCTGTGCTGAAGTTGGTGTTCCTCTAGACTTGGGACAGTGTTCTCGGGGCATCTCTGGAGATGCCTGAAGGAAGTCGAGCCACCGGTTGTGTTGAATGGGGAATGGGGAATGGCTCTGGAGTCAATGCAGGGGAATCGGGCCTCATCTCGAGTTCATTTGGGGGACATGGAGCTGCTTTGCGTTGCTGGGGTGACCTCAGGGTCCGTCTAGACTGGTGACAGTGTTCTTGGGGACTGTCTCGAGATCCGTTAAGCAAGTCGAAGCTCCTGACTTGTTTGAATGGGATCACGGAATAGCTCTGCATGCACTGCAGGGGAATGGGGCCTCATCTCGCCTCTAGGGGGAAGTCTCATGGGTTTTCTCGAGTTGCGGCGGGGACCTGGGGTATGTTCTCGACTTACGGCGGGGATGGCCCTTCCAAACACGAGTTTCCTCAGTGACGTCAGGACTCCTGTCTAGTAACGAGGGACACCTCAGGAATCTCTTCGAGGCTTGGCAGGGCAAAAGGGACGCTTCTCGAGGTGAGGCAGGGCACCCAAGGACCCTTTCCAGTAGCCACAGGGATTTTGGGATTCCTATGAGTATTCAGGAGGAGTCAGGCATCGTCACCTTTTGAAGCAATGAACTCCGCGTGCCTCTCGAGGTGTCAGCGGGATGTGAGGCCTTCCGTCAAAATGAGGCAGGGACCTAGGGCTTTCTCTAAGGTCTCCACAGGGGATTCAGACATCCCTTCATGTTGTGAGATGAAAGACGAGCCTGTCTTCAAGTCACTGCAAGGAAATCCGGCCTCCGTTCAAGTTAGGGCTTCTCGCTGTATATTCCCCTTGAGGCAGCAAACTCGGGGTCCCTCCCACATACCTATTGCTGAGAGAAGCCTCCTCCTGAGGTGCTTCTGGAAAGTTGGCATACGTCTTGAGCCTATCCAGGGAATCAGCTCTCATCTCGAGACGATTTGGGGTACACGGAGCATTCCTCGAGTTGCTGTGCTGAAGTTGGTGTTCCTCTAGACTTGGGACAGTGTTCTCGGGGCATCTCTGGAGATGCCTGAAGGAAGTCGAGCCACCGGTCGTGTTGAATGGGGAACGGGGAATGGCTCTGGAGTCAATGCAGGGGAATCGGGCCTCATCTCGGGTTGATTTGGGGCACATGGAGCTGCTTTGCGTTGCTGGGGTGACCTCAGGGTCCGTCTAGACTGGTGACAGTGTTCTTGGGGACTGTCTCGAGATCCGTTAAGCAAGTCGAAGCTCCTGACTTGTTTGAATGGGATCACGGAATAGCTCTGCATGCACTGCAGGGGAATGGGGCCTCATCTCGCCTCTAGGGGGAAGTCTCATGGGTTTTCTCGAGTTGCGGCGGGGACCTGGGGTATGTTCTCGACTTACGGCGGGGATGGCCCTTCCAAACACGAGTTTCCTCAGTGACGTCAGGACTCCTGTCTAGTAACGAGGGACACCTCAGGAATCTCTTCGAGGCTTGGCAGGGCAAAAGGGACGCTTCTCGAGGTGAGGCAGGGCACCCAAGGACCCTTTCCAGTAGCCACAGGGATTTTGGGATTCCTATGAGTATTCAGGAGGAGTCAGGCATCGTCACCTTTTGAAGCAATGAACTCCGCGTGCCTCTCGAGGTGTCAGCGGGATGTGAGGCCTTCCGTCAAAATGAGGCAGGGACCTAGGGCTTTCTCTAAGGTCTCCACAGGGGATTCAGACATCCCTTCATGTTGTGAGATGAAAGACGAGCCTGTCTTCAAGCCACTGCAAGGAAATCCGGCCTCCTTTCAAGTTAGGGCTTCTCGCTGTATATTCCCCTTGAGGCAGCAAACTCGGGGTCCCTCCCACATACCTATTGCTGAGAGAAGCCTCCTCCTGAGGTGCTTCTGGAAAGTTGGCATACGTCTTGAGACTAAGCCAGAGAATCAGCTCTCATCTCGAGACGATTTGGGGTACACGGAGCTTTCCTCGAGTTGCTGTGCTGAAGTTGGTGTTCCTCTAGACTTGGGACAGTGTTCTCGGGGCATCTCTGGAGATGCCTGAAGGAAGTCGAGCCACCGGTCGTGTTGAATGGGGAACGGGGAATGGCTCTGGAGTCAATGCAGGGGAATCGGGCCTCATCTCGGGTTGATTTGGGGCACATGGAGCTGCTTTGCGTTGCTGGGGTGACCTCAGGGTCCGTCTAGACTGGTGACAGTGTTCTTGGGGACTGTCTCGAGATCCGTTAAGCAAGTCGAAGCTCCTGACTTGTTTGAATGGGATCACGGAATAGCTCTGCATGCACTGCAGGGGAATGGGGCCTCATCTCGCCTCTAGGGGGAAGTCTCATGGGTTTTCTCGAGTTGCGGCGGGGACCTGGGGTATGTTCTCGACTTACGGCGGGGATGGCCCTTCCAAACACGAGTTTCCTCAGTGACGTCAGGACTCCTGTCTAGTAACGAGGGACACCTCAGGAATCTCTTCGAGGCTTGGCAGGGCAAAAGGGACGCTTCTCGAGGTGAGGCAGGGCACCCAAGCACCCTTTCCAGTAGCCACAGGGATTTTGGGATTCCTATGAGTATTCAGGAGGAGTCAGGCATCGTCACCTTTTGAAGCAATGAACTCCGCGTGCCTCTCGAGGTGTCAGCGGGATGTGAGGCCTTCCGTCAAAATGAGGCAGGGACCTAGGGCTTTCTCTAAGGTCTCCACAGGGGATTCAGACATCCCTTCATGTTGTGAGATGAAAGACGAGCCTGTCTTCAAGCCACTGCAAGGAAATCCGGCCTCCTTTCAAGTTAGTGCTTCTCGCTGTATATTCCCCTTGAGGCAGCAAACTCGGGGTCCCTCCCACATACCTATTGCTGAGAGAAGCCTCCTCCTGAGGTGCTTCTGGAAAGTTGGCATACGCCTTGAGCCTAAGCCAGGAAATCAGCTCTCATCTCGAGACGATTTGAGGTACACGGAGCATTCCTCGAGTTGCTGTGCTGAAGTTGGTGTTCCTCTAGACTTGGGACAGTGTTCTCGGGGCATCTCTGGAGATGCCTGAAGGAAGTCGAGCCACCGGTTGTGTTGAATGGGGAATGGGGAATGGCTCTGGAGTCAATGCAGGGGAATCGGGCCTCATCTCGAGTTCATTTGGGGGACATGGAGCTGCTTTGCGTTGCTGGGGTGACCTCAGGGTCCGTCTAGACTGGTGACAGTGTTCTTGGGGACTGTCTCGAGATCCGTTAAGCAAGTCGAAGCTCCTGACTTGTTTGAATGGGATCACGGAATAGCTCTGCATGCACTGCAGGGGAATGGGGCCTCATCTCGCCTCTAGGGGGAAGTCTCATGGGTTTTCTCGAGTTGCGGCGGGGACCTGGGGTATGTTCTCGACTTACGGCGGGGATGGCCCTTCCAAACACGAGTTTCCTCAGTGACGTCAGGACTCCTGTCTAGTAACGAGGGACACCTCAGGAATCTCTTCGAGGCTTGGCAGGGCAAAAGGGACGCTTCTCGAGGTGAGGCAGGGCACCCAAGGACCCTTTCCAGTAGCCACAGGGATTTTGGGATTCCTATGAGTATTCAGGAGGAGTCAGGCATCGTCACCTTTTGAAGCAATGAACTCCGCGTGCCTCTCGAGGTGTCAGCGGGATGTGAGGCCTTCCGTCAAAATGAGGCAGGGACCTAGGGCTTTCTCTAAGGTCTCCACAGGGGATTCAGACATCCCTTCATGTTGTGAGATGAAAGACGAGCCTGTCTTCAAGTCACTGCAAGGAAATCCGGCCTCCGTTCAAGTTAGGGCTTCTCGCTGTATATTCCCCTTGAGGCAGCAAACTCGGGGTCCCTCCCACATACCTATTGCTGAGAGAAGCCTCCTCCTGAGGTGCTTCTGGAAAGTTGGCATACGTCTTGAGCCTATCCAGGGAATCAGCTCTCATCTCGAGACGATTTGGGGTACACGGAGCATTCCTCGAGTTGCTGTGCTGAAGTTGGTGTTCCTCTAGACTTGGGACAGTGTTCTCGGGGCATCTCTGGAGATGCCTGAAGGAAGTCGAGCCACCGGTCGTGTTGAATGGGGAACGGGGAATGGCTCTGGAGTCAATGCAGGGGAATCGGGCCTCATCTCGGGTTGATTTGGGGCACATGGAGCTGCTTTGCGTTGCTGGGGTGACCTCAGGGTCCGTCTAGACTGGTGACAGTGTTCTTGGGGACTGTCTCGAGATCCGTTAAGCAAGTCGAAGCTCCTGACTTGTTTGAATGGGATCACGGAATAGCTCTGCATGCACTGCAGGGGAATGGGGCCTCATCTCGCCTCTAGGGGGAAGTCTCATGGGTTTTCTCGAGTTGCGGCGGGGACCTGGGGTATGTTCTCGACTTACGGCGGGGATGGCCCTTCCAAACACGAGTTTCCTCAGTGACGTCAGGACTCCTGTCTAGTAACGAGGGACACCTCAGGAATCTCTTCGAGGCTTGGCAGGGCAAAAGGGACGCTTCTCGAGGTGAGGCAGGGCACCCAAGGACCCTTTCCAGTAGCCACAGGGATTTTGGGATTCCTATGAGTATTCAGGAGGAGTCAGGCATCGTCACCTTTTGAAGCAATGAACTCCGCGTGCCTCTCGAGGTGTCAGCGGGATGTGAGGCCTTCCGTCAAAATGAGGCAGGGACCTAGGGCTTTCTCTAAGGTCTCCACAGGGGATTCAGACATCCCTTCATGTTGTGAGATGAAAGACGAGCCTGTCTTCAAGCCACTGCAAGGAAATCCGGCCTCCTTTCAAGTTAGGGCTTCTCGCTGTATATTCCCCTTGAGGCAGCAAACTCGGGGTCCCTCCCACATACCTATTGCTGAGAGAAGCCTCCTCCTGAGGTGCTTCTGGAAAGTTGGCATACGTCTTGAGACTAAGCCAGAGAATCAGCTCTCATCTCGAGACGATTTGGGGTACACGGAGCTTTCCTCGAGTTGCTGTGCTGAAGTTGGTGTTCCTCTAGAATTGGGACAGTGTTCTCGGGGCATCTCTGGAGATGCCTGAAGGAAGTCGAGCCACCGGTCGTGTTGAATGGGCAACGGGGAATGGCTCTGGAGTCAATGCAGGGGAATCGGGCCTCATCTCGGGTTGATTTGGGGCACATGGAGCTGCTTTGCGTTGCTGGGGTGACCTCAGGGTCCGTCTAGACTGGTGACAGTGTTCTTGGGGACTGTCTCGAGATCCGTTAAGCAAGTCGAAGCTCCTGACTTGTTTGAATGGGATCACGGAATAGCTCTGCATGCACTGCAGGGGAATGGGGCCTCATCTCGCCTCTAGGGGGAAGTCTCATGGGTTTTCTCGAGTTGCGGCGGGGACCTGGGGTATGTTCTCGACTTACGGCGGGGATGGCCCTTCCAAACACGAGTTTCCTCAGTGACGTCAGGACTCCTGTCTAGTAACGAGGGACACCTCAGGAATCTCTTCGAGGCTTGGCAGGGCAAAAGGGACGCTTCTCGAGGTGAGGCAGGGCACCCAAGGACCCTTTCCAGTAGCCACAGGGATTTTGGGATTCCTATGAGTATTCAGGAGGAGTCAGGCATCGTCACCTTTTGAAGCAATGAACTCCGCGTGCCTCTCGAGGTGTCAGCGGGATGTGAGGCCTTCCGTCAAAATGAGGCAGGGACCTAGGGCTTTCTCTAAGGTCTCCACAGGGGATTCAGACATCCCTTCATGTTGTGAGATGAAAGACGAGCCTGTCTTCAAGCCACTGCAAGGAAATCCGGCCTCCTTTCAAGTTAGGGCTTCTCGCTGTATATTCCCCTTGAGGCAGCAAACTCGGGGTCCCTCCCACATACCTATTGCTGAGAGAAGCCTCCTCCTGAGGTGCTTCTGGAAAGTTGGCATACGTCTTGAGCCTAAGCCACGGAATCAGCTCTCATCTCGAGACGATTTGGGGTACACGGAGCATTCCTCGAGTTGCTGTGCTGAAGTTGGTGTTCCTCTAGACTTGGGACAGTGTTCTCGGGGCATCTCTGGAGATGCCTGAAGGAAGTTGAGCCACCGGTCGTGTTGAATGGGGAACGGGGAATGGCTCTGGAGTCAATGCAGGGGAATCGGGCCTCATCTTGGGTTGATTTGGGGCACATGGAGCTGCTTTGCGTTGCTGGGGTGACCTCAGGGTCCGTCTAGACTGGTGACAGTGTTCTTGGGGACTGTCTCGAGATCCGTTAAGCAAGTCGAAGCTCCTGACTTGTTTGAATGGGATCACGGAATAGCTCTGCATGCACTGCAGGGGAATGGGGCCTCATCTCGCCTCTAGGGGGAAGTCTCATGGGTTTTCTCGAGTTGCGGCGGGGACCTGGGGTATGTTCTCGACTTACGGCGGGGATGGCCCTTCCAAACACGAGTTTCCTCAGTGACGTCAGGACTCCTGTCTAGTAACGAGGGACACCTCACGAATCTCTTCGAGGCTTGGCAGGGCAAAAGGGACGCTTCTCGAGGTGAGGCAGGGCACCCAAGGACCCTTTCCAGTAGCCACAGGGATTTTGGGATTCCTATGAGTATTCAGGAGGAGTCAGGCATCGTCACCTTTTGAAGCAATGAACTCCGCGTGCCTCTCGAGGTGTCAGCGGGATGTGAGGCCTTCCGTCAAAATGAGGCAGGGACCTAGGGCTTTCTCTAAGGTCTCCACAGGGGATTCAGACATCCCTTCATGTTGTGAGATGAAAGACGAGCCTGTCTTCAAGCCACTGCAAGGAAATCCGGCCTCCTTTCAAGTTAGGGCTTCTCGCTGTATATTCCCCTTGAGGCAGCAAACTCGGGGTCCCTCCCACATACCTATTGCTGAGAGAAGCCTCCTCCTGAGGTGCTTCTGGAAAGTTGGCATACGTCTTGAGCCTATCCAGGGAATCAGCTCTCATCTCGAGACGATTTGGGGTACACGGAGCATTCCTCGAGTTGCTGTGCTGAAGTTGGTGTTCCTCTAGACTTGGGACAGTGTTCTCGGGGCATCTCTGGAGATGCCTGAAGGAAGTCGAGCCACCGGTCGTGTTGAATGGGGAACGGGGAATGGCTCTGGAGTCAATGCAGGGGAATCGGGCCTCATCTCGGGTTGATTTGGGGCACATGGAGCTGCTTTGCGTTGCTGGGGTGACCTCAGGGTCCGTCTAGACTGGTGACAGTGTTCTTGGGGACTGTCTCGAGATCCGTTAAGCAAGTCGAAGCTCCTGACTTGTTTGAATGGGATCACGGAATAGCTCTGCATGCACTGCAGGGGAATGGGGCCTCATCTCGCCTCTAGGGGGAAGTCTCATGGGTTTTCTCGAGTTGCGGCGGGGACCTGGGGTATGTTCTCGACTTACGGCGGGGATGGCCCTTCCAAACACGAGTTTCCTCAGTGACGTCAGGACTCCTGTCTAGTAACGAGGGACACCTCAGGAATCTCTTCGAGGCTTGGCAGGGCAAAAGGGACGCTTCTCGAGGTGAGGCAGGGCACCCAAGGACCCTTTCCAGTAGCCACAGGGATTTTGGGATTCCTATGAGTATTCAGGAGGAGTCAGGCATCGTCACCTTTTGAAGCAATGAACTCCGCGTGCCTCTCGAGGTGTCAGCGGGATGTGAGGCCTTCCGTCAAAATGAGGCAGGGACCTAGGGCTTTCTCTAAGGTCTCCACAGGGGATTCAGACATCCCTTCATGTTGTGAGATGAAAGACGAGCCTGTCTTCAAGCCACTGCAAGGAAATCCGGCCTCCTTTCAAGTTAGTGCTTCTCGCTGTATATTCCCCTTGAGGCAGCAAACTCGGGGTCCCTCCCACATACCTATTGCTGAGAGAAGCCTCCTCCTGAGGTGCTTCTGGAAAGTTGGCATACGCCTTGAGCCTAAGCCAGGAAATCAGCTCTCATCTCGAGACGATTTGGGGTACACGGAGCATTCCTCGAGTTGCTGTGCTGAAGTTGGTGTTCCTCTAGACTTGGGACAGTGTTCTCGGGGCATCTCTGGAGATGCCTGAAGGAAGTCGAGCCACCGGTCGTGTTGAATGGGGAACGGGGAATGGCTCTGGAGTCAATGCAGGGGAATCGGGCCTCATCTCGAGTTCATTTGGGGGACATGGAGCTGCTTTGCGTTGCTGGGGTGACCTCAGGGTCCGTCTAGACTGGTGACAGTGTTCTTGGGGACTGTCTCGAGATCCGTTAAGCAAGTCGAAGCTCCTGACTTGTTTGAATGGGATCACGGAATAGCTCTGCATGCACTGCAGGGGAATGGGGCCTCATCTCGCCTCTAGGGGGAAGTCTCATGGGTTTTCTCGAGTTGCGGCGGGGACCTGGGGTATGTTCTCGACTTACGGCGGGGATGGCCCTTCCAAACACGAGTTTCCTCAGTGACGTCAGGACTCCTGTCTAGTAACGAGGGACACCTCAGGAATCTCTTCGAGGCTTGGCAGGGCAAAAGGGACGCTTCTCGAGGTGAGGCAGGGCACCCAAGGACCCTTTCCAGTAGCCACAGGGATTTTGGGATTCCTATGAGTATTCAGGAGGAGTCAGGCATCGTCACCTTTTGAAGCAATGAACTCCGCGTGCCTCTCGAGGTGTCAGCGGGATGTGAGGCCTTCCGTCAAAATGAGGCAGGGACCTAGGGCTTTCTCTAAGGTCTCCACAGGGGATTCAGACATCCCTTCATGTTGTGAGATGAAAGACGAGCCTGTCTTCAAGCCACTGCAAGGAAATCCGGCCTCCTTTCAAGTTAGTGCTTCTCGCTGTATATTCCCCTTGAGGCAGCAAACTCGGGGTCCCTCCCACATACCTATTGCTGAGAGAAGCCTCCTCCTGAGGTGCTTCTGGAAAGTTGGCATACGCCTTGAGCCTAAGCCAGGAAATCAGCTCTCATCTCGAGACGATTTGGGGTACACGGAGCATTCCTCGAGTTGCTGTGCTGAAGTTGGTGTTCCTCTAGACTTGGGACAGTGTTCTCGGGGCATCTCTGGAGATGCCTGAAGGAAGTCGAGCCACCGGTCGTGTTGAATGGGGAACGGGGAATGGCTCTGGAGTCAATGCAGGGGAATCGGGCCTCATCTCGAGTTCATTTGGGGGACATGGAGCTGCTTTGCGTTGCTGGGGTGACCTCAGGGTCCGTCTAGACTGGTGACAGTGTTCTTGGGGACTGTCTCGAGATCCGTTAAGCAAGTCGAAGCTCCTGACTTGTTTGAATGGGATCACGGAATAGCTCTGCATGCACTGCAGGGGAATGGGGCCTCATCTCGCCTCTAGGGGGAAGTCTCATGGGTTTTCTCGAGTTGCGGCGGGGACCTGGGGTATGTTCTCGACTTACGGCGGGGATGGCCCTTCCAAACACGAGTTTCCTCAGTGACGTCAGGACTAATGTCTAGTAACGAGGGACACCTCAGGAATCTCTTCGAGGCTTGGCAGGGCAAAAGGGACGCTTCTCGAGGTGAGGCAGGGCACCCAAGGACCCTTTCCAGTAGCCACAGGGATTTTGGGATTCCTATGAGTATTCAGGAGGAGTCAGGCATCGTCACCTTTTGAAGCAATGAACTCCGCGTGCCTCTCGAGGTGTCAGCGGGATGTGAGGCCTTCCTTCAAAATGAGGCAGGGACCTAGGGCTTTCTCTAAGGTCTCCACAGGGCATTCAGACATCCCTTCATGTTGTGAGATGAAAGACGAGCCTGTCTTCAAGCCACTGCAAGGAAATCCGGCCTCCTTTCAAGTTAGGGCTTCTCGCTGTATATTCCCCTTGAGGCAGCAAACTTGGGGTCCCTCCCACATACCTATTGCTGAGAGAAGCCTCCTCCTGAGGTGCTTCTGGAAAGTTGGCATACGTCTTGAGCCTAAGCCAGGGAATCAGCTCTCATCTCGAGACGATTTGGGGTACACGGAGCATTCCTCGAGTTGCTGTGCTGAAGTTGGTGTTCCTCTAGACTTGGGACAGTGTTCTCGGGGCATCTCTGGAGATGCCTGAAGGAAGTCGAGCCACCGGTCGTGTTGAATGGGGAACGGGGAATGGCTCTGGAGTCAATGCAGGGGAATCGGGCCTCATCTTGGGTTGATTTGGGGCACATGGAGCTGCTTTGCGTTGCTGGGGTGACCTCAGGGTCCGTCTAGACTGGTGACAGTGTTCTTGGGGACTGTCTCGAGATCCGTTAAGCAAGTCGAAGCTCCTGACTTGTTTGAATGGGATCACGGAATAGCTCTGCATGCACTGCAGGGGAATGGGGCCTCATCTCGCCTCTAGGGGGAAGTCTCATGGGTTTTCTCGAGTTGCGGCGGGGACCTGGGGTATGTTCTCGACTTACGGCGGGGATGGCCCTTCCAAACACGAGTTTCCTCAGTGACGTCAGGACTCCTGTCTAGTAACGAGGGACACCTCAGGAATCTCTTCGAGGCTTGGCAGGGCAAAAGGGACGCTTCTCGAGGTGAGGCAGGGCACCCAAGGACCCTTTCCAGTAGCCACAGGGATTTTGGGATTCCTATGAGTATTCAGGAGGAGTCAGGCATCGTCACCTTTTGAAGCAATGAACTCCGCGTGCCTCTCGAGGTGTCAGCGGGATGTGAGGCCTTCCGTCAAAATGAGGCAGGGACCTAGGGCTTTCTCTAAGGTCTCCACAGGGGATTCAGACATCCCTTCATGTTGTGAGATGAAAGACGAGCCTGTCTTCAAGCCACTGCAAGGAAATCCGGCCTCCTTTCAAGTTAGGGCTTCTCGCTGTATATTCCCTTTGAGGCAGCAAACTCGGGGTCCCTCCCACATACCTATTGCTGAGAGAAGCCTCCTCCTGAGGTGCTTCTGGAAAGTTGGCATACGTCTTGAGCCTAAGCCAGGGAATCAGCTCTCATCTCGAGACGATTTGGGGTACACGGAGCATTCCTCGAGTTGCTGTGCTGAAGTTGGTGTTCCTCTAGACTTGGGACAGTGTTCTCGGGGCATCTCTGGAGATGCCTGAAGGAAGTCGAGCCACCGGTCGTGTTGAATGGGGAACGGGGAATGGCTCTGGAGTCAATGCAGGGGAATCGGGCCTCATCTCGGGTTCATTTGGGGGACATGGAGCTGCTTTGCGTTGATGGGGTGACCTCAGGGTCCGTCTAGACTGGTGACAGTGTTCTTGGGGACTGTCTCGAGATCCGTTAAGCAAGTCGAAGCTCCTGACTTGTTTGAATGGGATCACGGAATAGCTCTGCATGCACTGCAGGGGAATGAGGCCTCATCTCGCCTCTAGGGGGAAGTCTCATGGGTTTTCTCGAGTTGCGGCGGGGACCTGGGGTATGTTCTCGACTTACGGCGGGGATGGCCCTTCCAAACACGAGTTTCCTCAGTGACGTCAGGACTCCTGTCTAGTAATGAGGGACACCTCAGGAATCTCTTCGAGGCTTGGCAGGGCAAAAGGGACGCTTCTCGAGGTGAGGCAGGGCACCCAAGGACCCTTTCCAGTAGCCACAGGGATTTTGGGATTCCTATGAGTATTCAGGAGGAGTCAGGCATCGTCACCTTTTGAAGCAATGAACTCCGCGTGCCTCTCGAGGTGTCAGCGGGATGTGAGGCCTTCCGTCAAAATGAGGCAGGGACCTAGGGCTTTCTCTAAGGTCTCCACAGGGGATTCAGACATCCCTTCATGTTGTGAGATGAAAGACGAGCCTGTCTTCAAGCCACTGCAAGGAAATCCGGCCTCCTTTCAAGTTAGGGCTTCTCGCTGTATATTCCCCTTGAGGCAGCAAACTCGGGGTCCCTCCCACATACCTATTGCTGAGAGAAGCCTCCTCCTGAGGTGCTTCTGGAAAGTTTCATACGTCTTGAGCCTAAGCCAGGGAATCAGCTCTCATCTCGAGACGATTTGGGGTACACGGAGCATTCCTCGAGTTGCTGTGCTGAAGTTGGTGTTCCTCTAGACTTGGGACAGTGTTCTCGGGGCATCTCTGGAGATGCCTGAAGGAAGTCGAGCCACCGGTTGTGTTGAATGGTGAACGGGGAATGGCTCTGGAGTCAATGCAGGGGAATCGGGCCTCATCTTGGGTTGATTTGGGGCACATGGAGCTGCTTTGCGTTGCTGGGGTGACCTCAGGGTCCGTCTAGACTGGTGACAGTGTTCTTGGGGACTGTCTCGAGATCCGTTAAGCAAGTCGAAGCTCCTGACTTGTTTGAATGGGATCACGGAATAGCTCTGCATGCACTGCAGGGGAATGGGGCCTCATCTCGCCTCTAGGGGGAAGTCTCATGGGTTTTCTCGAGTTGCGGCGGGGACCTGGGGTATGTTCTCGACTTACGGCGGGGATGGCCCTTCCAAACACGAGTTTCCTCAGTGACGTCAGGACTCCTGTCTAGTAACGAGGGACACCTCAGGAATCTCTTCGAGGCTTGGCAGGGCAAAAGGGACGCTTCTCGAGGTGAGGCAGGGCACCCAAGGACCCTTTCCAGTAGCCACAGGGATTTTGGGATTCCTATGAGTATTCAGGAGGAGTCAGGCATCGTCACCTTTTGAAGCAATGAACTCCGCGTGCCTCTCGAGGTGTCAGCGGGATGTGAGGCCTTCCGTCAAAATGAGGCAGGGACCTAGGGCTTTCTCTAAGGTCTCCACAGGGGATTCAGACATCCCTTCATGTTGTGAGATGAAAGACGAGCCTGTCTTCAAGCCACTGCAAGGAAATCCGGCCTCCTTTCAAGTTAGGGCTTCTCGCTGTATATTCCCCTTGAGGCAGCAAACTCGGGGTCCCTCCCACATACCTATTGCTGAGAGAAGCCTCCTCCTGAGGTGCTTCTGGAAAGTTGGCATACGTCTTGAGCCTAAGCCAGGAAATCAGCTCTCATCTCGAGACGATTTGGGGTACACGGAGCATTCCTCGAGTTGCTGTGCTGAAGTTGGTGTTCCTCTAGACTTGGGACAGTGTTCTCGGGGCATCTCTGGAGATGCCTGAAGGAAGTCGAGACACCGGTCGTGTTGAATGGGGAACGGGGAATGGCTCTGGAGTCAATGCAGGGGAATCGGGCCTCATCTCGAGTTCATTTGGGGGACATGGAGCTGCTTTGCGTTGCTGGGGTGACCTCAGGGTCCGTCTAGACTGGTGACAGTGTTCTTGGGGACTGTCTCGAGATCCGTTAAGCAAGTCGAAGCTCCTGACTTGTTTGAATGGGATCACGGAATAGCTCTGCATGCACTGCAGGGGAATGGGGCCTCATCTCGCCTCTAGGGGGAAGTCTCATGGGTTTTCTCGAGTTGCGGCGGGGACCTGGGGTATGTTCTCGACTTACGGCGGGGATGGCCCTTCCAAACACGAGTTTCCTCAGTGACGTCAGGACTCCTGTCTAGTAACGAGGGACACCTCAGGAATCTCTTCGAGGCTTGGCAGGGCAAAAGGGACGCTTCTCGAGGTGAGGCAGGGCACCCAAGGACCCTTTCCAGTAGCCACAGCGATTTTGGTATTCCTATGAGTATTCAGGAGGAGTCAGGCATCGTCACCTTTTGAAGCAATGAACTCCGCGTGCCTCTCGAGGTGTCAGCGGGATGTGAGGCCTTCCGTCAAAATGAGGCAGGGACCTAGGGCTTTCTCTAAGGTCTCCACAGGGGATTCAGACATCCCTTCATGTTGTGAGATGAAAGACGAGCCTGTCTTCAAGCCACTGCAAGGAAATCCGGCCTCCTTTCAAGTTAGGGCTTCTCGCTGTATATTCCCCTTGAGGCAGCAAACTCGGGGTCCCTCCCACATACCTATTGCTGAGAGAAGCCTCCTCCTGAGGTGCTTCTGGAAAGTTGGCATACGTCTTGAGCCTATCCAGGGAATCAGCTTTCATCTCGAGACGATTTGGGGTACACGGACCATTCCTCGAGTTGCTGTGCTGAAGTGGGTGTTCCTCTAGACTTGGGACAGTGTTCTCGGGGCATCTCTGGAGATGCCTGAAGGAATTCGAGCCACCGGTCGTGTTGAATGGGGAACGGGGAATGGCTCTGGAGTCAATGCAGGGGAATCGGGCCTCATCTCGGGTTGATTTGGGGCACATGGAGCTGCTTTGCGTTGCTGGGGTGACCTCAGGGTCCGTCTAGACTGGTGAGAGTGTTCTTGGGGACTGTCTCGAGATCCGTTAAGCAAGTCGAAGCTCCTGACTTGTTTGAATGGGATCACGGAATAGCTCTGCATGCACTGCAGGGGAATGGGGCCTCATCTCGCCTCTAGGGGGAAGTCTCATGGGTTTTCTCGAGTTGCGGCGGGGACCTGGGGTATGTTCTCGACTTACGGCGGGGATGGCCCTTCCAAACACGAGTTTCCTCAGTGACGTCAGGACTCCTGTCTAGTAACGAGGGACACCTCAGGAATCTCTTCGAGGCTTGGCAGGGCAAAAGGGACGCTTCTCGAGGTGAGGCAGGGCACCCAAGGACCCTTTCCAGTAGCCACAGGGATTTTGGGATTCCTATGAGTATTCAGGAGGAGTCAGGCATCGTCACCTTTTGAAGCAATGAACTCCGCGTGCCTCTCGAGGTGTCAGCGGGATGTGAGGCCTTCCGTCAAAATGAGGCAGGGACCTAGGGCTTTCTCTAAGGTCTCCACAGGGGATTCAGACATCCCTTCATGTTGTGAGATGAAAGACGAGCCTGTCTTCAAGCCACTGCAAGGAAATCCGGCCTCCTTTCAAGTTAGGGCTTCTCGCTGTATATTCCCCTTGAGGCAGCAAACTCGGGGTCCCTCCCACATACCTATTGCTGAGAGAAGCCTCCTCCTGAGGTGCTTCTGGAAAGTTGGCATACGTCTTGAGCCTAAGCCAGGGAATCAGCTCTCATCTCGAGACGATTTGGGGTACACGGAGCATTCCTCGAGTTGCTGTGCTGAAGTTGGTGTTCCTCTAGACTTGGGACAGTGTTCTCGGGGCATCTCTGGAGATGGCTGAAGGAAGTCGAGCCACCGGTCGTGTTGAATGGGGAACGGGGAATGGCTCTGGAGTCAATGCAGGGGAATCGGGCCTCATCTTGGGTTGATTTGGGGCACATGGAGCTGCTTTGCGTTGCTGGGGTGACCTCAGGGTCCGTCTAGACTGGTGACAGTGTTATTGGGGACTGTCTCGAGATCCGTTAAGCAAGTCGAAGCTCCTGACTTGTTTGAATGGGATCACGGAATAGCTCTGCATGCACTGCAGGGGAATGGGGCCTCATCTCGCCTCTAGGGGGAAGTCTCATGGGTTTTCTCGAGTTGCGGCGGGGACCTGGGGTATGTTCTCGACTTACGGCGGGGATGGCCCTTCCAAACACGAGTTTCCTCAGTGACGTCAGGACTCCTGTCTAGTAACGAGGGACACCTCAGGAATCTCTTCGAGGCTTGGCAGGGCAAAAGGGACGCTTCTCGAGGTGAGGCAGGGCACCCAAGGACCCTTTCCAGTAGCCACAGGGATTTTGGGATTCCTATGAGTACTCAGGAGGAGTCAGGCATCGTCACCTTTTGAAGCAATGAACTCCGCGTGCCTCTCGAGGTGTCAGCGGGATGTGAGGCCTTCCGTCAAAATGAGGTAGGGACCTAGGGCTTTCTCTAAGGTCTCCACAGGGGATTCAGACATCCCTTCATGTTGTGAGATGAAAGACGAGCCTGTCTTCAAGCCACTGCAAGGAAATCCGGCCTCCTTTCAAGTTAGGGCTTCTCGCTGTATATTCCCCTTGAGGCAGCAAACTCAGGGTCCCTCCCACATACCTATTGCTGAGAGAAGCCTCCTCCTGAGGTGCTTCTGGAAAGTTGGCATACGTCTTGAGACTAAGCCAGAGAATCAGCTCTCATCTCGAGACGATTTCGGATACACGGAGCATTCCTCGAGTTGCTGTGCTGAAGTTGGTGTTCCTCTAGACTTGGGACAGTGTTCTCGGGGCATCTCTGGAGATGCCTGAAGGAAGTCGAGCCACCGGTCGTGTTGAATGGGGAACGGTGAATGGCTCTGGAGTCAATGCAGGGGAATCGGGCCTCATCTCGGGTTGATTTGGGGCACATGGAGCTGCTTTGCGTTGCTGGGGTGACCTCAGGGTCCGTCTAGACTGGTGACAGTGTTCTTGGGGACTGTCTCGAGATCCGTTAAGCAAGTCGAAGCTCCTGACTTGTTTGAATGGGATTACAGAATAGCTCTGCATGCACTGCAGGGGAATGGGGCCTCATCTCGCCTCTAGGGGGAAGTCTCATGGGTTTTCTCGAGTTGCGGCGGGGACCTGGGGTATGTTCTCGACTTACGGCGGGGATGGCCCTTCCAAACACGAGTTTCCTCAGTGACGTCAGGACTCCTGTCTAGTAACGAGGGACACCTCAGGAATCTCTTCGAGGCTTGGCAGGGCAAAAGGGACGCTTCTCGAGGTGAGGCAGGGCACCCAAGGACCCTTTCCAGTAGCCACAGGGATTTTGGGATTCCTATGAGTATTCAGGAGGAGTCAGGCATCGTCACCTTTTGAAGCAATGAACTCCGCGTGCCTCTCGAGGTGTCAGCGGGATGTGAGGCCTTCCGTCAAAATGAGGCAGGGACCTAGGGCTTTCTCTAAGGTCTCCACAGGGGATTCAGACATCCCTTCATGTTGTGAGATGAAAGACGAGCCTGTCTTCAAGCCACTGCAAGGAAATCCGGCCTCCTTTCAAGTTAGGGCTTCTCGCTGTATATTCCCCTTGAGGCAGCAAACTTGGGGTCCCTCCCACATACCTATTGCTGAGAGAAGCCTCCTCCTGAGGTGCTTCTGGAAAGTTTCATACGTCTTGAGCCTAAGCCAGGGAATCAGCTCTCATCTCGAGACGATTTGGGGTACACGGAGCATTCCTCGAGTTGCTGTGCTGAAGTTGGTGTTCCTCTAGACTTGGGACAGTGTTCTCGGGGCATCTCTGGAGATGGCTGAAGGAAGTCGAGCCACCGGTCGTGTTGAATGGGGAACGGGGAATGGCTCTGGAGTCAATGCAGGGGAATCGGGCCTCATCTTGGGTTGATTTGGGGCACATGGAGCTGCTTTGCGTTGCTGGGGTGACCTCAGGGTCCGTCTAGACTGGTGACAGTGTTCTTGGGGACTGTCTCGAGATCCGTTAAGCAAGTCGAAGCTCCTGACTTGTTTGAATGGGATCACGGAATAGCTCTGCATGCACTGCAGGGGAATGGGGCCTCATCTCGCCTCTAGGGGGAAGTCTCATGGGTTTTCTCGAGTTGCGGCGGGGACCTGGGGTATGTTCTCGACTTACGGCGGGGATGGCCCTTCCAAACACGAGTTTCCTCAGTGACGTCAGGACTCCTGTCTAGTAACGAGGGACACCTCAGGAATCTCTTCGAGGCTTGGCAGGGCAAAAGGGACGCTTCTCGAGGTGAGGCAGGGCACCCAAGGACCCTTTCCAGTAGCCACAGCGATTTTGGGATTCCTATGAGTATTCAGGAGGAGTCAGGCATCGTCACCTTTTGAAGCAATGAACTCCGCGTGCCTCTCGAGGTGTCAGCGGGATGTGAGGCCTTCCGTCAAAATGAGGCAGGGACCTAGGGCTTTCTCTAAGGTCTCCACAGGGGATTCAGACATCCCTTCATGTTGTGAGATGAAAGACGAGCCTGTCTTCAAGCCACTGCAAGGAAATCCGGCCTCCGTTCAAGTTAGGGCTTCTCGCTGTATATTCCCCTTGAGGCAGCAAACTCGGGGTCCCTCCCACATACCTATTGCTGAGAGAAGCCTCCTCCTGAGGTGCTTCTGGAAAGTTGGCATACGTCTTGAGCCTATCCAGGGAATCAGCTCTCATCTCGAGACGATTTGGTGTACACGGAGCATTCCTCGAGTTGCTGTGCTGAAGTTGGTGTTCCTCTAGACTTGGGACAGTGTTCTCGGGGCATCTCTGGAGATGCCTGAAGGAAGTCGAGCCATCGGTCGTGTTGAATGGGGAACGGGGAATGGCTCTGGAGTCAATGCAGGGGAATCGGGCCTCATCTCGGGTTGATTTGTGGCACATGGAGCTGCTTTGCGTTGCTGGGGTGACCTCAGGGTCCGTCTAGACTGGTGACAGTGTTCTTGGGGACTGTCTCGAGATCCGTTAAGCAAGTCGAAGCTCCTGACTTGTTTGAATGGGATCACGGAATAGCTCTGCATGCACTGCAGGGGAATGGGGCCTCATCTCGCCTCTAGGGGGAAGTCTCATGGGTTTTCTCGAGTTGCGGCGGGGACCTGGGGTATGTTCTCGACTTACGGCGGGGATGGCCCTTCCAAACACGAGTTTCCTCAGTGACGTCAGGACTCCTGTCTAGTAACCAGGGACACCTCACGAATCTCTTCGAGGCTTGGCAGGGCAAAAGGGACGCTTCTCGAGGTGAGGCAGGGCACCCAAGGACCCTTTCCATTAGCCACAGGGATTTTGGGATTCCTATGAGTATTCAGGAGGAGTCAGGCATCGTCACCTTTTGAAGCAATGAACTCCGCGTGCCTCTCGAGGTGTCAGCGGGATGTGAGGCCTTCCGTCAAAATGAGGCAGGGACCTAGGGCTTTCTCTAAGGTCTCCACAGGGGATTCAGACATCCCTTCATGTTGTGAGATGAAAGACGAGCCTGTCTTCAAGCCACTGCAAGGAAATCCGGCCTCCTTTCAAGTTAGGGCTTCTCGCTGTATATTCCCCTTGAGGCAGCAAACTCGGGGTCCCTCCCACATACCTATTGCTGAGAGAAGCCTCCTCCTGAGGTGCTTCTGGAAAGTTGGCATACGTCTTGAGCCTAAGCCAGGGAATCAGCTCTCATCTCGAGACGATTTGGGGTACACGGAGCATTCCTCGAGTTGCTGTGCTGAAGTTGGTGTTCCTCTAGACTTGGGAGTGTTCTCGGGGCATCTCTGGAGATGCCTGAAGGAAGTCGAGCCACCGGTCGTGTTGAATGGGGAACGGGGAATGGCTCTGGAGTCAATGCAGGGGAATCGGGCCTCATCTCGAGTTCATTTGGGGGACATGGAGCTGCTTTGCGTTGCTGGGGTGACCTCAGGGTCCGTCTAGACTGGTGACAGTGTTCTTGGGGACTGTCTCGAGATCCGTTAAGCAAGTCGAAGCTCCTGACTTGTTTGAATGGGATCACGGAATAGCTCTGCATGCACTGCAGGGGAATGGGGCCTCATCTCGCCTCTAGGGGGAAGTCTCATGGGTTTTCTCGAGTTGCGGCGGGGACCTGGGGTATGTTCTCGACTTACGGCGGGGATGGCCCTTCCAAACACGAGTTTCCTCAGTGACGTCAGGACTCCTGTCTAGTAACGAGGGACACCTCAGGAATCTCTTCGAGGCTTGGCAGGGCAAAAGGGACGCTTCTCGAGGTGAGGCAGGGCACCCAAGGACCCTTTCCAGTAGCCACAGGGATTTTGGGATTCCTATGAGTATTCAGGAGGAGTCAGGCATCGTCACCTTTTGAAGCAATGAACTCCGCGTGCCTCTCGAGGTGTCAGCGGGATGTGAGGCCTTCCGTCAAAATGAGGCAGGGACCTAGGGCTTTCTCTAAGGTCTCCACAGGGGATTCAGACATCCCTTCATGTTGTGAGATGAAAGACGAGCCTGTCTTCAAGCCACTGCAAGGAAATCCGGCCTCCTTTCAAGTTAGGGCTTCTCGCTGTATATTCCCCTTGAGGCAGCAAACTCGGGGTCCCTCCCACATACCTATTGCTGAGAGAAGCCTCCTCCTGAGGTGCTTCTGGAAAGTTGGCATACGTCTTGAGCCTAAGCCAGGGAATCAGCTCTCATCTCGAGACGATTTGGGGTACACGGAGCATTCCTCGAGTTGCTGTGCTGAAGTTGGTGTTCCTCTAGACTTGGGAGTGTTCTCGGGGAATCTCTGGAGATGCCTGAAGGAAGTCGAGCCACCGGTCGTGTTGAATGGGGAACGGGGAATGGCTCTGGAGTCAATGCAGGGGAATCGGGCCTCATCTCGAGTTCATTTGGGGGAGATGGAGCTGCTTTGCGTTGCTGGGGTGACCTCAGGGTCCGTCTAGACTGGTGACAGTGTTCTTGGGGACTGTCTCGAGATCCGTTAAGCAAGTCGAAGCTCCTGACTTGTTTGAATGGGATCACGGAATAGCTCTGCATGCACTGCAGGGGAATGGGGCCTCATCTCGCCTCTAGGGGGAAGTCTCATGGGTTTTCTCGAGTTGCGGCGGGGACCTGGGGTATGTTCTCGACTTACGGCGGGGATGGCCCTTCCAAACACGAGTTTCCTCAGTGACGTCAGGACTCCTGTCTAGTAACGAGGGACACCTCAGGAATCTCTTCGAGGCTTGGCAGGGCAAAAGGGACGCTTCTCGAGGTGAGGCAGGGCACCCAAGGACCCTTTCCAGTAGCCACAGGGATTTTGGGATTCCTATGAGTATTCAGGAGGAGTCAGGCATCGTCACCTTTTGAAGCAATGAACTCCGCGTGCCTCTCGAGGTGTCAGCGGGATGTGAGGCCTTCCGTCAAAATGAGGCAGGGACCTAGGGCTTTCTCTAAGGTCTCCACAGGGGATTCAGACATCCCTTCATGTTGTGAGATGAAAGACGAGCCTGTCTTCAAGCCACTGCAAGGAAATCCGGCCTCCTTTCAAGTTAGGGCTTCTCGCTGTATATTCCCCTTGAGGCAGCAAACTCGGGGTCCCTCCCACATACCTATTGCTGAGAGAAGCCTCCTCCTGAGGTGCTTCTGGAAAGTTGGCATACGTCTTGAGCCTAAGCCAGGAAATCAGCTCTCATCTCGAGACGATTTGGGGTACACGGAGCATTCCTCGAGTTGCTGTGCTGAAGTTGGTGTTCCTCTAGACTTGGGACAGTGTTCTCGGGGCATCTCTGGAGATGCCTGAAGGAAGTCGAGCCACCGGTCGTGTTGAATGGGGAACGGGGAATGGCTCTGGAGTCAATGCAGGGGAATCGGGCCTCATCTCGAGTTCATTTGGGGGACATGGAGCTGCTTTGCGTTGCTGGGGTGACCTCAGGGTCCGTCTAGACTGGTGACAGTGTTCTTGGGGACTGTCTCGAGATCCGTTAAGCAAGTCGAAGCTCCTGACTTGTTTGAATGGGATCACGGAATAGCTCTGCATGCACTGCAGGGGAATGGGGCCTCATCTCGCCTCTAGGGGGAAGTCTCATGGGTTTTCTCGAGTTGCGGCGGGGACCTGGGGTATGTTCTCGACTTACGGCGGGGATGGCCCTTCCAAACACGAGTTTCCTCAGTGACGTCAGGACTCCTGTCTAGTAACGAGGGACACCTCAGGAATCTCTTCGAGGCTTGGCAGGGCAAAAGGGACGCTTCTCGAGGTGAGGCAGGGCACCCAAGGACCCTTTCCAGTAGCCACAGCGATTTTGGGATTCCTATGAGTATTCAGGAGGAGTCAGGCATCGTCACCTTTTGAAGCAATGAACTCCGCGTGCCTCTCGAGGTGTCAGCGGGATGTGAGGCCTTCCGTCAAAATGAGGCAGGGACCTAGGGCTTTCTCTAAGGTCTCCACAGGGGATTCAGACATCCCTTCATGTTGTGAGATGAAAGACGAGCCTGTCTTCAAGCCACTGCAAGGAAATCCGGCCTCCGTTCAAGTTAGGGCTTCTCGCTGTATATTCCCCTTGAGGCAGCAAACTCGGGGTCCCTCCCACATACCTATTGCTGAGAGAAGCCTCCTCCTGAGGTGCTTCTGGAAAGTTGGCATACGTCTTGAGCCTATCCAGGGAATCAGCTTTCATCTCGAGACGATTTGGGGTACACGGACCATTCCTCGAGTTGCTGTGCTGAAGTTGGTGTTCCTCTAGACTTGGGACAGTGTTCTCGGGGCATCTCTGGAGATGCCTGAAGGAAGTCGAGCCACCGGTCGTGTTGAATGGGGAACGGGGAATGGCTCTGGAGTCAATGCAGGGGAATCGGGCCTCATCTCGGGTTGATTTGGGGCACATGGAGCTGCTTTGCGTTGCTGGGGTGACCTCAGGGTCCGTCTAGACTGGTGACAGTGTTCTTGGGGACTGTCTCGAGATCCGTTAAGCAAGTCGAAGCTCCTGACTTGTTTGAATGGGATCACGGAATAGCTCTGCATGCACTGCAGGGGAATGGGGCCTCATCTCGCCTCTAGGGGGAAGTCTCATGGGTTTTCTCGAGTTGCGGCGGGGACCTGGGGTATGTTCTCGACATACGGCGGGGATGGCCCTTCCAAACACGAGTTTCCTCAGTGACGTCAGGACTCCTGTCTAGTAACGAGGGACACCTCAGGAATCTCTTCGAGGCTTGGCAGGGCAAAAGGGACGCTTCTCGAGGTGAGGCAGGGCACCCAAGGACCCTTTCCAGTAGCCACAGGGATTTTGGGATTCCTATGAGTATTCAGGAGGAGTCAGGCATCGTCACCTTTTGAAGCAATGAACTCCGCGTGCCTCTCGAGGTGTCAGCGGGATGTGAGGCCTTCCGTCAAAATGAGGCAGGGACCTAGGGCTTTCTCTAAGGTCTCCACAGGGGATTCAGACATCCCTTCATGTTGTGAGATGAAAGACGAGCCTGTCTTCAAGCCACTGCAAGGAAATCCGGCCTCCGTTCAAGTTAGGGCTTCTCGCTGTATATTCCCCTTGAGGCAGCAAACTCGGGGTCCCTCCCACATACCTATTGCTGAGAGAAGCCTCCTCCTGAGGTGCTTCTGGAAAGTTGGCATACGTCTTGAGCCTATCCAGGGAATCAGCTCTCATCTCGAGACGATTTGGGGTACACGGAGCATTCCTCGAGTTGCTGTGCTGAAGTTGGTGTTCCTCTAGACTTGGGACAGTGTTCTCGGGGCATCTCTGGAGATGCCTGAAGGAAGTCGAGCCACCGGTCGTGTTGAATGGGGAACGGGGAATGGCTCTGGAGTCAATGCAGGGGAATCGGGCCTCATCTCGGGTTGATTTGGGGCACATGGAGCTGCTTTGCGTTGCTGGGGTGACCTCAGGGTCCGTCTAGACTGGTGACAGTGTTCTTGGGGACTGTCTCGAGATCCGTTAAGCAAGTCGAAGCTCCTGACTTGTTTGAATGGGATCACGGAATAGCTCTGCATGCACTGCAGGGGAATGGGGCCTCATCTCGCCTCTAGGGGGAAGTCTCATGGGTTTTCTCGAGTTGCGGCGGGGACCTGGGGTATGTTCTCGACTTACGGCGGGGATGGCCCTTCCAAACACGAGTTTCCTCAGTGACGTCAGGACTCCTGTCTAGTAACCAGGGACACCTCACGAATCTCTTCGAGGCTTGGCAGGGCAAAAGGGACGCTTCTCGAGGTGAGGCAGGGCACCCAAGGACCCTTTCCAGTAGCCACAGGGATTTTGGGATTCCTATGAGTATTCAGGAGGAGTCAGGCATCGTCACCTTTTGAAGCAATGAACTCCGCGTGCCTCTCGAGGTGTCAGCGGGATGTGAGGCCTTCCGTCAAAATGAGGCAGGGACCTAGGGCTTTCTCTAAGGTCTCCACAGGGGATTCAGACATCCCTTCATGTTGTGAGATGAAAGACGAGCCTGTCTTCAAGCCACTGCAAGGAAATCCGGCCTCCTTTCAAGTTAGGGCTTCTCGCTGTATATTCCCCTTGAGGCAGCAAACTCGGGGTTCCTCCCACATACCTATTGCTGAGAGAAGCCTCCTCCTGAGGTGCTTCTGGAAAGTTGGCATACGTCTTGAGCCTACGCCAGGGAATCAGCTCTCATCTCGAGACGATTTGGGGTACACGGAGCATTCCTCGAGTTGCTGGGCTGAAGTTGGTGTTCCTCTAGACTTGGGACAGTGTTCTCGGGGCATCTCTGGAGATGCCTGAAGGAAGTCGAGCCACCGGTCGTGTTGAATGGGGAACGGGGAATGGCTCTGGAGTCAATGCAGGGGAATCGGGCCTCATCTCGAGTTCATTTGGGGGACATGGAGCTGCTTTGCGTTGCTGGGGTGACCTCAGGGTCCGTCTAGACTGGTGACAGTGTTCTTGGGGACTGTCTCGAGATCCGTTAAGCAAGTCGAAGCTCCTGACTTGTTTGAATGGGATCACGGAATAGCTCTGCATGCACTGCAGGGGAATGGGGCCTCATCTCGCCTCTAGGGGGAAGTCTCATGGGTTTTCTCGAGTTGCGGCGGGGACCTGGGGTATGTTCTCGACTTACGGCGGGGATGGCCCTTCCAAACACGAGTTTCCTCAGTGACGTCAGGACTCCTGTCTAGTAACGAGGGACACCTCACGAATCTCTTCGAGGCTTGGCAGGGCAAAAGGGACGCTTCTCGAGGTGAGGCAGGGCACCCAAGGACCCTTTCCAGTAGCCACAGGGATTTTGGGATTCCTATGAGTATTCAGGAGGAGTCAGGCATCGTCACCTTTTGAAGCAATGAACTCCGCGTGCCTCTCGAGGTGTCAGCGGGATGTGAGGCCTTCCGTCAAAATGAGGCAGGGACCTAGGGCTTTCTCTAAGGTCTCCACAGGGGATTCAGACATCCCTTCATGTTGTGAGATGAAAGACGAGCCTGTCTTCAAGCCACTGCAAGGAAATCCGGCCTCCTTTCAAGTTAGGGCTTCTCGCTGTATATTCCCCTTGAGGCAGCAAACTCGGGGTCCCTCCCACATACCTATTGCTGAGAGAAGCCTCCTCCTGAGGTGCTTCTGGAAAGTTGGCATACGTCTTGAGCCTAAGCCAGGGAATCAGCTCTCATCTCGAGAGGATTTGGGGTACACGGAGCATTCCTCGAGTTGCTGTGCTGAAGTTGGTGTTCCTCTAGACTTGGGACAGTGTTCTCGGGGCATCTCTGGAGATGCCTGAAGGAAGTCGAGCCACCGGTCGTGTTGAATGGGGAACGGGGAATGGCTCTGGAGTCAATGCAGGGGAATCGGGCCTCATCTCGGGTTCATTTGGGGGACATGGAGCTGCTTTGCGTTGATGGGGTAACCTCAGGGTCCGTCTAGACTGGTGACAGTGTTCTTGGGGACTGTCTCGAGATCCGTTAAGCAAGTCGAAGCTCCTGACTTGTTTGAATGGGATCACGGAATAGCTCTGCATGCACTGCAGGGGAATGGGGCCTCATCTCGCCTCTAGGGGGAAGTCTCATGGGTTTTCTCGAGTTGCGGCGGGGACCTGGGGTATGTTCTCGACTTACGGCGGGGATGGCCCTTCCAAACACGAGTTTCCTCAGTGACGTCAGGACTCCTGTCTAGTAACGAGGGACACCTCAGGAATCTCTTCGAGGCTTGGCAGGGCAAAAGGGACGCTTCTCGAGGTGAGGCAGGGCACCCAAGGACCCTTTCCAGTAGCCACAGGGATTTTGGGATTCCTATGAGTATTCAGGAGGAGTCAGGCATCGTCACCTTTTGAAGCAATGAACTCCGCGTGCCTCTCGAGGTGTCAGCGGGATGTGAGGCCTTCCGTCAAAATGAGGCAGGGACCTAGGGCTTTCTCTAAGGTCTCCACAGGGGATTCAGACATCCCTTCATGTTGTGAGATGAAAGACGAGCCTGTCTTCAAGCCACTGCAAGGAAATCCGGCCTCCTTTCAAGTTAGGGCTTCTCGCTGTATATTCCCCTTGAGGCAGCAAACTCGGGGTCCCTCCCACATACCTATTGCTGAGAGAAGCCTCCTCCTGAGGTGCTTCTGGAAAGTTTCATACGTCTTGAGCCTAAGCCAGGGAATCAGCTCTCATCTCGAGACGATTTGGGGTACACGGAGCATTCCTCGAGTTGCTGTGCTGAAGTTGGTGTTCCTCTAGACTTGGGACAGTGTTCTCGGGGCATCTCTGGAGATGCCTGAAGGAAGTCGAGCCACCGGTTGTGTTGAATGGGGAACGGGGAATGGCTCTGGAGTCAATGCAGGGGAATCGGGCCTCATCTTGTGTTGATTTGGGGCACATGGAGCTGCTTTGCGTTGCTGGGGTGACCTCAGGGTCCGTCTAGACTGGTGACAGTGTTCTTGGGGACTGTCTCGAGATCCGTTAAGCAAGTCGAAGCTCCTGACTTGTTTGAATGGGATCACGGAATAGCTCTGCATGCACTGCAGGGGAATGGGGCCTCATCTCGCCTCTAGGGGGAAGTCTCATGGGTTTTCTCGAGTTGCGGCGGGGACCTGGGGTATGTTCTCGACTTACGGCGGGGATGGCCCTTCCAAACACGAGTTTCCTCAGTGACGTCAGGACTCCTGTCTAGTAACGAGGGACACCTCAGGAATCTCTTCGAGGCTTGGCAGGGCAAAAGGGACGCTTCTCGAGGTGAGGCAGGGCACCCAAGGACCCTTTCCAGTAGCCACAGGGATTTTGGGATTCCTATGAGTATTCAGGAGGAGTCAGGCATCGTCACCTTTTGAAGCAATGAACTCCGCGTGCCTCTCGAGGTGTCAGCGGGATGTGAGGCCTTCCGTCAAAATGAGGCAGGGACCTAGGGCTTTCTCTAAGGTCTCCACAGGGGATTCAGACATCCCTTCATGTTGTGAGATGAAAGACGAGCCTGTCTTCAAGCCACTGCAAGGAAATCCGGCCTCCTTTCAAGTTAGGGCTTCTCGCTGTATATTCCCCTTGAGGCAGCAAACTCGGGGTCCCTCCCACATACCTATTGCTGAGAGAAGCCTCCTCCTGAGGTGCTTCTGGAAAGTTTCATACGTCTTGAGCCTAAGCCAGGGAATCAGCTCTCATCTCGAGACGATTTGGGGTACACGGAGCATTCCTCGAGTTGCTGTGCTGAAGTTGGTGTTCCTCTAGACTTGGGACAGTGTTCTCGGGGCATCTCTGGAGATGCCTGAAGGAAGTCGAGCCACCGGTCGTGTTGAATGGGGAACGGGGAATGGCTCTGGAGTCAATGCAGGGGAATCGGGTCTCATCTTGGGTTGATTTGGGGCACATGGAGCTGCTTTGCGTTGCTGGGGTGACCTCAGGGTCCGTCTAGACTGGTGACAGTGTTCTTGGGGACTGTCTCGAGATCCGTTAAGCAAGTCGAAGCTCCTGACTTGTTTGAATGGGATCACGGAATAGCTCTGCATGCACTGCAGGGGAATGGGGCCTCATCTCGCCTCTAGGGGGAAGTCTCATGGGTTTTCTCGAGTTGCGGCAGGGACCTGGGGTATGTTCTCGACTTACGGCGGGGATGGCCCTTCCAAACACGAGTTTCCTCAGTGACGTCAGGACTCCTGTCTAGTAACCAGGGAAACCTCACGAATCTCTTCGAGGCTTGGCAGGGCAAAAGGGACGCTTCTCGAGGTGAGGCAGGGCACCCAAGGACCCTTTCCAGTAGCCACAGGGATTTTGGGATTCCTATGAGTATTCAGGAGGAGTCAGGCATCGTCACCTTTTGAAGCAATGAACTCTGCGTGCCTCTCGAGGTGTCAGCGGGATGTGAGGCCTTCCGTCAAAATGAGGCAGGGACCTAGGGCTTTCTCTAAGGTCTCCACAGGGGATTCAGACATCCCTTCATGTTGTGAGATGAAAGACGAGCCTGTCTTCAAGCCACTGCAAGGAAATCCGGCCTCCTTTCAAGTTAGGGCTTCTCGCTGTATATTCCCCTTGAGGCAGCAAACTCGGGGTCCCTCCCACATACCTATTGCTGAGAGAAGCCTCCTCCTGAGGTGCTTCTGGAAAGTTGGCATACGTCTCGAGCCTAAGCCAGGGAATCAGCTCTCATCTCGAGACGATTTGGGGTACACGGAGCATTCCTCGAGTTGCTGTGCTGAAGTTGGTGTTCCTCTAGACTTGGGACAGTGTTCTCGGGGCATCTCTGGAGATGCCTGAAGGAAGTCGAGCCACCGGTCGTGTTGAATGGGGAACGGGGAATGGCTCTGGAGTCAATGCAGGGGAATCGGGCCTCATCTCGAGTTCATTTGGGGGACATGGAGCTGCTTTGCGTTGCTGGGGTGACCTCAGGGTCCGTCTAGACTGGTGACAGTGTTCTTGGGGACTGTCTCGAGATCCGTTAAGCAAGTCGAAGCTCCTGACTTGTTTGAATGGGATCACGGAATAGCTCTGCATGCACTGCAGGGGAATGGGGCCTCATCTCGCCTCTAGGGGGAAGTCTCATGGGTTTTCTCGAGTTGCGGCGGGGACCTGGGGTATGTTCTCGACTTACGGCGGGGATGGCCCTTCCAAACACGAGTTTCTTCAGTGACGTCAGGACTCCTCTCTAGTAACGAGGGACACCTCAGGAATCTCTTCGAGGCTTGGCAGGGCAAAAGGGACGCTTCTCGAGGTGAGGCAGGGCACCCAAGGACCCTTTCCAGTAGCCACAGGGATTTTGGGATTCTATGAGTATTCAGGAGGAGTCAGGCATCGTCACCTTTTGAAGCAGTGAACTCCGCGTGCCTCTCGAGGTGTCAGCGGGATGTGAGGCCTTCCGTCAAAATGAGGCAGGGACCTAGGGCTTTCTCTAAGGTCTCCACAGGGGATTCAGACATCCCTTCATGTTGTGAGATGAAAGACGAGCCTGTCTTCAAGCCACTGCAAGGAAATCCGGCCTCCTTTCAAGTTAGGGGTTCTCGCTGTATATTCCCCTTGAGGCAGCAAACTCGGGGTCCCTCCCACATACCTATTGCTGAGAGAAGCCTCCTCCTGAGGTGCTTCTGGAAAGTTGGCATACGTCTCGAGCCTAAGCCAGGGAATCAGCTCTCATCTCGAGACGATTTGGGGTACACGGAGCATTCCTCGAGTTGCTGTGCTGAAGTTGGTGTTCCTCTAGACTTGGGACAGTGTTCTCGGGGCATCTCTGGAGATGCCTGAAGGAAGTCGAGCCACCGGTCGTGTTGAATGGGGAACGGGGAATGGCTCTGGAGTCAATGCAGGGGAATCGGGCCTCATCTCGGGTTGATTTGGGGCACATGGAGCTGCTTTGCGTTGCTGGGGTGACCTCAGGGTCCGTCTAGACTGGTGACAGTGTTCTTGGGGACTGTCTCGAGATCCGTTAAGCAAGTCGAAGCTCCTGACTTGTTTGAATGGGATCACGGAATAGCTCTGCATGCACTGCAGGGGAATGGGGCCTCATCTCGCCTCTAGGGGGAAGTCTCATGGGTTTTCTCGAGTTGCGGCGGGGACCTGGGGTATGTTCTCGACTTACGGCGGGGATGGCCCTTCCAAACACGAGTTTCCTCAGTGACGTCAGGACTCCTGTCTAGTAACGAGGGACACCTCAGGAATCTCTTCGAGGCTTGGCAGGGCAAAAGGGACGCTTCTCGAGGTGAGGCAGGGCACCCAAGGACCCTTTCCAGTAGCCACAGCGATTTTGGGATTCCTATGAGTATTCAGGAGGAGTCAGGCATCGTCACCTTTTGAAGCAATGAACTCCGCGTGCCTCTCGAGGTGTCAGCGGGATGTGAGGCCTTCTGTCAAAATGAGGCAGGGACCTAGGGCTTTCTCTAAGGTCTCCACAGGGGATTCAGACATCCCTTCATGTTGTGAGATGAAAGACGAGCCTGTCTTCAAGCCACTGCAAGGAAATCCGGCCTCCGTTCAAGTTAGGGCTTCTCGCTGTATATTCCCCTTGAGGCAGCAAAATCGGGGTCCCTCCCACATACCTATTGCTGAGAGAAGCCTCCTCCTGAGGTGCTTCTGGAAAGTTGGCATACGTCTTGAGCCTATCCAGGGAATCAGCTCTCATCTCGAGACGATTTGGGGTACACGGAGCATTCCTCGAGTTGCTGTGCTGAAGTTGGTGTTCCTCTAGACTTGGGACAGTGTTCTCGGGGCATCTCTGGAGATGCCTGAAGGAAGTCGAGCCACCGTTCGTGTTGAATGGGGAACGGGGAATGGCTCTGGAGTCAATGCAGGGGAATCGGGCCTCATCTCGGGTTGATTTGGGGCACATGGAGCTGCTTTGCGTTGCTGGGGTGACCTCAGGGTCCGTCTAGACTGGTGACAGTGTTCTTGGGGACTGTCTCGAGATCCGTTAAGCAAGTCGAAGCTCCTGACTTGTTTGAATGGGATCACGGAATAGCTCTGCATGCACTGCAGGGGAATGGGGCCTCATCTCGCCTCTAGGGGGAAGTCTCATGGGTTTTCTCGAGTTGCGGCGGGGACCTGGGGTATGTTCTCGACTTACGGCGGGGATGGCCCTTCCAAACACGAGTTTCCTCAGTGACGTCAGGACTCCTGTCTAGTAACGAGGGACACCTCAGGAATCTCTTCGAGGCTTGGCAGGGCAAAAGGGACGCTTCTCGAGGTGAGGCAGGGCACCCAAGGACCCTTTCCAGTAGCCACAGGGATTTTGGGATTCCTATGAGTATTCAGGAGGAGTCAGGCATCGTCACCTTTTGAAGCAATGAACTCCGCGTGCCTCTCGAGGTGTCAGCGGGATGTGAGGCCTTGCGTCAAAATGAGGCAGGGACCTAGGGCTTTCTCTAAGGTCTCCACAGGGGATTCAGACATCCCTTCATGTTGTGAGATGAAAGACGAGCCTGTCTTCAAGCCACTGCAAGGAAATCCGGCCTCCCTTCAAGTTAGGGCTTCTCGCTGTATATTCCCCTTGAGGCAGCAAACTCGGGGTCCCTCCCACATACCTATTGCTGAGAGAAGCCTCCTCCTGAGGTGCTTCTGGAAAGTTGGCATACGTCTTGAGCCTATCCAGGGAATCAGCTCTCATCTCGAGACGATTTGGGGTACACGGAGCATTCCTCGAGTTGCTGTGCTGAAGTTGGTGTTCCTCTAGACTTGGGACAGTGTTCTCGGGGCATCTCTGGAGATGCCTGAAGGAAGTCGAGCCACCGGTCGTGTTGAATGGGGAACGGGGAATGGCTCTGGAGTCAATGCAGGGGAATCGGGCCTCATCTCGGGTTGATTTGGGGCACATGGAGCTGCTTTGCGTTGCTGGGGTGACCTCAGGGTCCGTCTAGACTGGTGACAGTGTTCTTGGGGACTGTCTCGAGATCCGTTAAGCAAGTCGAAGCTCCTGACTTGTTTGAATGGGATCACGGAATAGCTCTGCATGCACTGCAGGGGAATGGGGCCTCATCTCGCCTCTAGGGGGAAGTCTCATGGGTTTTCTCGAGTTGCGGCGGGGACCTGGGGTATGTTCTCGACTTACGGCGGGGATGGCCCTTCCAAACACGAGTTTCCTCAGTGACGTCAGGACTCCTGTCTAGTAACGAGGGACACCTCAGGAATCTCTTCGAGGCTTGGCAGGGCAAAAGGGACGCTTCTCGAGGTGAGGCAGGGCACCCAAGGACCCTTTCCAGTAGCCACAGGGATTTTGGGATTCCTATGAGTATTCAGGAGGAGTCAGGCATCGTCACCTTTTGAAGCAATGAACTCCGCGTGCCTCTCGAGGTGTCAGCGGGATGTGAGGCCTTCCGTCAAAATGAGGCAGGGACCTAGGGCTTTCTCTAAGGTCTCCACAGGGGATTCAGACATCCCTTCATGTTGTGAGATGAAAGACGAGCCTGTCTTCAAGCCACTGCAAGGAAATCCGGCCTCCGTTCAAGTTAGGGCTTCTCGCTGTATATTCCCCTTGAGGCAGCAAACTCGGGGTCCCTCCCACATACCTATTGCTGAGAGAAGCCTCCTCCTGAGGTGCTTCTGGAAAGTTGGCATACGTCTTGAGCCTATCCAGGGAATCACCTCTCATCTCGAGACGATTTGGGGTACACGGAGCATTCCTCGAGTTGCTGTGCTGAAGTTGGTGTTCCTCTAGACTTGGGACAGTGTTCTCGGGGCATCTCTGGAGATGCCTGAAGGAAGTCGAGCCACCGGTCGTGTTGAATGGGGAACGGGGAATGGCTCTGGAGTCAATGCAGGGGAATCGGGCCTCATCTCGGGTTGATTTGGGGCACATGGAGCTGCTTTGCGTTGCTGGGGTGACCTCAGGGTCCGTCTAGACTGGTGACAGTGTTCTTGGGGACTGTCTCGAGATCCGTTAAGCAAGTCGAAGCTCCTGACTTGTTTGAATGGGATCACGGAATAGCTCTGCATGCACTGCAGGGGAATGGGGCCTCATCTCGCCTCTAGGGGGAAGTCTCATGGGTTTTCTCGAGTTGCGGCGGGGACCTGGGGTATGTTCTCGACTTACGGCGGGGATGGCCCTTCCAAACACGAGTTTCCTCAGTGACGTCAGGACTCCTGTCTAGTAACGAGGGACACCTCAGGAATCTCTTCGAGGCTTGGCAGGGCAAAAGGGACGCTTCTCGAGGTGAGGCAGGGCACCCAAGGACCCTTTCCAGTAGCCACAGGGATTTTGGGATTCCTATGAGTATTCAGGAGGAGTCAGGCATCGTCACCTTTTGAAGCAATGAACTCCGCGTGCCTCTCGAGGTGTCAGCGGGATGTGAGGCCTTCCGTCAAAATGAGGCAGGGACCTAGGGCTTTCTCTAAGGTCTCCACAGGGGATTCAGACATCCCTTCATGTTGTGAGATGAAAGACGAGCCTGTCTTCAAGCCACTGCAAGGAAATCCGGCCTCCTTTCAAGTTAGGGCTTCTCGCTGTATATTCCCCTTGAGGCAGCAAACTCGGGGTCCCTCCCACATACCTATTGCTGAGAGAAGCCTCCTCCTGAGGTGCTTCTGGAAAGTTGGCATACGTCTTGAGCCTAAGCCAGGGAATCAGCTCTCATCTCGAGACGATTTGGGGTACACGAAGCATTCCTCGAGGTGCTGTGCTGAAGTTGGTGTTCCTCTACACATGGGACAGTGTTCTCAGGGCATCTCTGGAGATGCCTGAAGGAGGTCGAGCCACCGGTCGTGTTGAATAGGGAACGGGGAATGGCTCTGGAGTCAATGCAGGGGAATCGGGCCTCATCTCGGGTTCATTTGGGGGACATGGAGCTGCTTTGCGTTGCTGCAGTGACCTCAGGGTCCGTCTAGACTGGTGACAGTGTTCTTGGGGACTGTCTCGAGATCCGTTAAGCAAGTCGAAGCTCCTGACTTGTTTGAATGGGATCACGGAATAGCTCTGCATGCACTGCAGGGGAATGGGGCCTCATCTCGCCTCTAGGGGGAAGTCTCATGGTTTTTCTCGAGTTGCGGCGGGGACCTGGGGTATGTTCTCGACTTACGGCGGGGATGGCCCTTCCAAACACGAGTTTCCTCAGTGACGTCAGGACTCCTGTCTAGTAACGAGGGACACCTCAGGAATCTCTTCGAGGCTTGGCAGGGCAAAAGGGACGCTTCTCGAGGTGAGGCAGGGCACCCAAGGACCCTTTCCAGTAGCCACAGGGATTTTGGGATTCCTATGAGTATTCAGGAGGAGTCAGGCATCGTCACCTTTTGAAGCAATGAACTCCGAATGCCTCTCGAGGTGTCAGCGGGATGTGAGGCCTTCCGTCAAAATGAGGCAGGGACCTAGGGCTTTCTCTAAGGTCTCCACAGGGGATTCAGACATCCCTTCATGTTGTGAGATGAAAGACGAGCCTGTCTTCAAGCCACTGCAAGGAAATCCGGCCTCCGTTCAAGTTAGGGCTTCTCGCTGTATATTCCCCTTGAGGCAGCAAAATCGGGGTCCCTCCCACATACCTATTGCTGAGAGAAGCCTCCTCCTGAGGTGCTTCTGGAAAGTTGGCATACGTCTTGAGCCTATCCAGGGAATCAGCTCTCATCTCGAGACGATTTGGGGTACACGGAGCATTCCTCGAGTTGCTGTGCTGAAGTTGGTGTTCCTCTAGACTTGGGACAGTGTTCTCGGGGCATCTCTGGAGATGCCTGAAGGAAGTCGAGCCACCGTTCGTGTTGAATGGGGAACGGGGAATGGCTCTGGAGTCAATGCAGGGGAATCGGGCCTCATCTCGGGTTGATTTGGGGCACATGGAGCTGCTTTGCGTTGCTGGGGTGACCTCAGGGTCCGTCTAGACTGGTGACAGTGTTCTTGGGGACTGTCTCGAGATCCGTTAAGCAAGTCGAAGCTCCTGACTTGTTTGAATGGGATCACGGAATAGCTCTGCATGCACTGCAGGGGAATGGGGCCTCATCTCGCCTCTAGGGGGAAGTCTCATGGGTTTTCTCGAGTTGCGGCGGGGACCTGGGGTATGTTCTCGACTTACGGCGGGGATGGCCCTTCCAAACACGAGTTTCCTCAGTGACGTCAGGACTCCTGTCTAGTAACGAGGGACACCTCAGGAATCTCTTCGAGGCTTGGCAGGGCAAAAGGGACGCTTCTCGAGGTGAGGCAGGGCACCCAAGGACCCTTTCCAGTAGCCACAGGGATTTTGGGATTCCTATGAGTATTCAGGAGGAGTCAGGCATCGTCACCTTTTGAAGCAATGAACTCCGCGTGCCTCTCGAGGTGTCAGCGGGATGTGAGGCCTTGCGTCAAAATGAGGCAGGGACCTAGGGCTTTCTCTAAGGTCTCCACAGGGGATTCAGACATCCCTTCATGTTGTGAGATGAAAGACGAGCCTGTCTTCAAGCCACTGCAAGGAAATCCGGCCTCCCTTCAAGTTAGGGCTTCTCGCTGTATATTCCCCTTGAGGCAGCAAACTCGGGGTCCCTCCCACATACCTATTGCTGAGAGAAGCCTCCTCCTGAGGTGCTTCTGGAAAGTTGGCATACGTCTTGAGCCTATCCAGGGAATCAGCTCTCATCTCGAGACGATTTGGGGTACACGGAGCATTCCTCGAGTTGCTGTGCTGAAGTTGGTGTTCCTCTAGACTTGGGACAGTGTTCTCGGGGCATCTCTGGAGATGCCTGAAGGAAGTCGAGCCACCGGTCGTGTTGAATGGGGAACGGGGAATGGCTCTGGAGTCAATGCAGGGGAATCGGGCCTCATCTCGGGTTGATTTGGGGCACATGGAGCTGCTTTGCGTTGCTGGGGTGACCTCAGGGTCCGTCTAGACTGGTGACAGTGTTCTTGGGGACTGTCTCGAGATCCGTTAAGCAAGTCGAAGCTCCTGACTTGTTTGAATGGGATCACGGAATAGCTCTGCATGCACTGCAGGGGAATGGGGCCTCATCTCGCCTCTAGGGGGAAGTCTCATGGGTTTTCTCGAGTTGCGGCGGGGACCTGGGGTATGTTCTCGACTTACGGCGGGGATGGCCCTTCCAAACACGAGTTTCCTCAGTGACGTCAGGACTCCTGTCTAGTAACGAGGGACACCTCAGGAATCTCTTCGAGGCTTGGCAGGGCAAAAGGGACGCTTCTCGAGGTGAGGCAGGGCACCCAAGGACCCTTTCCAGTAGCCACAGGGATTTTGGGATTCCTATGAGTATTCAGGAGGAGTCAGGCATCGTCACCTTTTGAAGCAATGAACTCCGCGTGCCTCTCGAGGTGTCAGCGGGATGTGAGGCCTTCCGTCAAAATGAGGCAGGGACCTAGGGCTTTCTCTAAGGTCTCCACAGGGGATTCAGACATCCCTTCATGTTGTGAGATGAAAGACGAGCCTGTCTTCAAGCCACTGCAAGGAAATCCGGCCTCCGTTCAAGTTAGGGCTTCTCGCTGTATATTCCCCTTGAGGCAGCAAACTCGGGGTCCCTCCCACATACCTATTGCTGAGAGAAGCCTCCTCCTGAGGTGCTTCTGGAAAGTTGGCATACGTCTTGAGCCTATCCAGGGAATCACCTCTCATCTCGAGACGATTTGGGGTACACGGAGCATTCCTCGAGTTGCTGTGCTGAAGTTGGTGTTCCTCTAGACTTGGGACAGTGTTCTCGGGGCATCTCTGGAGATGCCTGAAGGAAGTCGAGCCACCGGTCGTGTTGAATGGGGAACGGGGAATGGCTCTGGAGTCAATGCAGGGGAATCGGGCCTCATCTCGGGTTGATTTGGGGCACATGGAGCTGCTTTGCGTTGCTGGGGTGACCTCAGGGTCCGTCTAGACTGGTGACAGTGTTCTTGGGGACTGTCTCGAGATCCGTTAAGCAAGTCGAAGCTCCTGACTTGTTTGAATGGGATCACGGAATAGCTCTGCATGCACTGCAGGGGAATGGGGCCTCATCTCGCCTCTAGGGGGAAGTCTCATGGGTTTTCTCGAGTTGCGGCGGGGACCTGGGGTATGTTCTCGACTTACGGCGGGGATGGCCCTTCCAAACACGAGTTTCCTCAGTGACGTCAGGACTCCTGTCTAGTAACGAGGGACACCTCAGGAATCTCTTCGAGGCTTGGCAGGGCAAAAGGGACGCTTCTCGAGGTGAGGCAGGGCACCCAAGGACCCTTTCCAGTAGCCACAGGGATTTTGGGATTCCTATGAGTATTCAGGAGGAGTCAGGCATCGTCACCTTTTGAAGCAATGAACTCCGCGTGCCTCTCGAGGTGTCAGCGGGATGTGAGGCCTTCCGTCAAAATGAGGCAGGGACCTAGGGCTTTCTCTAAGGTCTCCACAGGGGATTCAGACATCCCTTCATGTTGTGAGATGAAAGACGAGCCTGTCTTCAAGCCACTGCAAGGAAATCCGGCCTCCTTTCAAGTTAGGGCTTCTCGCTGTATATTCCCCTTGAGGCAGCAAACTCGGGGTCCCTCCCACATACCTATTGCTGAGAGAAGCCTCCTCCTGAGGTGCTTCTGGAAAGTTGGCATACGTCTTGAGCCTAAGCCAGGGAATCAGCTCTCATCTCGAGACGATTTGGGGTACACGAAGCATTCCTCGAGGTGCTGTGCTGAAGTTGGTGTTCCTCTACACATGGGACAGTGTTCTCAGGGCATCTCTGGAGATGCCTGAAGGAGGTCGAGCCACCGGTCGTGTTGAATAGGGAACGGGGAATGGCTCTGGAGTCAATGCAGGGGAATCGGGCCTCATCTCGGGTTCATTTGGGGGACATGGAGCTGCTTTGCGTTGCTGCAGTGACCTCAGGGTCCGTCTAGACTGGTGACAGTGTTCTTGGGGACTGTCTCGAGATCCGTTAAGCAAGTCGAAGCTCCTGACTTGTTTGAATGGGATCACGGAATAGCTCTGCATGCACTGCAGGGGAATGGGGCCTCATCTCGCCTCTAGGGGGAAGTCTCATGGTTTTTCTCGAGTTGCGGCGGGGACCTGGGGTATGTTCTCGACTTACGGCGGGGATGGCCCTTCCAAACACGAGTTTCCTCAGTGACGTCAGGACTCCTGTCTAGTAACGAGGGACACCTCAGGAATCTCTTCGAGGCTTGGCAGGGCAAAAGGGACGCTTCTCGAGGTGAGGCAGGGCACCCAAGGACCCTTTCCAGTAGCCACAGGGATTTTGGGATTCCTATGAGTATTCAGGAGGAGTCAGGCATCGTCACCTTTTGAAGCAATGAACTCCGAATGCCTCTCGAGGTGTCAGCGGGATGTGAGGCCTTCCGTCAAAATGAGGCAGGGACCTAGGGCTTTCTCTAAGGTCTCCACAGGGGATTCAGACATCCCTTCATGTTGTGAGATGAAAGACGAGCCTGTCTTCAAGCCACTGCAAGGAAATCCGGCCTCCTTTCAAGTTAGGGCTTCTCGCTGTATATTCCCCTTGAGGCAGCAAACTCGGGGTCCCTCCCACATACCTATTGCTGAGAGAAGCCTCCTCCTGAGGTGCTTCTGGAAAGTTGGCATACGTCTTGAGCCTAAGCCAGGGAATCAGCTCTCATCTCGAGACGATTTGGGGTACACGGAGCATTCCTCGAGTTGCTGTGCTGAAGTTGGTGTTCCTCTAGACTTGGGACAGTGTTCTCGGGGCATCTCTGGAGATGCCTGAAGGAAGTCGCGCCACCGGTCGTGTTGAATGGGGAACGAGGAATGGCTCTGGAGTCAATGCAGGGGAATCGGGCCTCATCTCGGGTTCATTTGGGCGACATGGAGCTGCTTTGCGTTGCTGGGGTGACCTCAGGGTCCGTCTAGACTGGTGACAGTGTTCTTGGGGACTGTCTCGAGATCCGTTAAGCAATTCGAAGCTCCTGACTTGTTTGAATGGGATCACGGAATAGCTCTGCATGCACTGCAGGGGAATGGGGCCTCATCTCGCCTCTAGGGGGAAGTCTCATGGGTTTTCTCGAGTTGCGGCGGGGACCTGGGGTATGTTCTCGACTTACGGCGGGGATGGCCCTTCCAAACACGAGTTTCCTCAGTGACGTCAGGACTCCTGTCTAGTAACGAGGGACACCTCAGGAATCTCTTCGAGGCTTGGCAGGGCAAAAGGGACGCTTCTCGAGGTGAGGCAGGGCACCCAAGGACCCTTTCCAGTAGCCACAGGGATTTTGGGATTCCTATGAGTATTCAGGAGGAGTCAGGCATCGTCACCTTTTGAAGCAATGAACTCCGCGTGCCTCTCGAGGTGTCAGCGGGATGTGAGGCCTTCCGTCAAAATGAGGCAGGGACCTAGGGCTTTCTCTAAGGTCTCCACAGGGGATTCAGACATCCCTTCATGTTGTGAGATGAAAGACGAGCCTGTCTTCAAGCCACTGCAAGGAAATCCGGCCTCCTTTCAAGTTAGGGCTTCTCGCTGTATATTCCCCTTGAGGCAGCAAACTCGGGGTCCCTCCCACATACCTATTGCTGAGAGAAGCCTCCTCCTGAGGTGCTTCTGGAAAGTTGGCATACGTCTTGAGCCTAAGCCAGGGAATCAGCTCTCATCTCGAGACGATTTGGGGTACACGGAGCATTCCTCGAGGTGCTGTGCTGAAGTTGGTGTTCCTCTACACATGGGACAGTGTTCTCAGGGCATCTCTGGAGATGCCTGAAGGAGGTCGAGCCACCGGTCGTGTTGAATAGGGAACGGGGAATGGCTCTGGAGTCAATGCAGGGGAATCGGGCCTCATCTCGGGTTCATTTGGGGGACATGGAGCTGCTTTGCGTTGCTGCAGTGACCTCAGGGTCCGTCTAGACTGGTGACAGTGTTCTTGGGGACTGTCTCGAGATCCGTTAAGCAAGTCGAAGCTCCTGACTTGTTTGAATGGGATCACGGAATAGCTCTGCATGCACTGCAGGGGAATGGGGCCTCATCTCGCCTCTAGGGGGAAGTCTCATGGTTTTTCTCGAGTTGCGGCGGGGACCTGGGGTATGTTCTCGACTTACGGCGGGGATGGCCCTTCCAAACACGAGTTTCCTCAGTGACGTCAGGACTCCTGTCTAGTAACGAGGGACACCTCAGGAATCTCTTCGAGGCTTGGCAGGGCAAAAGGGATGCTTCTCGAGGTGAGGCAGGGCACCCAAGGACCCTTTCCAGTAGCCACAGGGATTTTGGGATTCCTATGAGTATTCAGGAGGAGTCAGGCATCGTCACCTTTTGAAGCAATGAACTCCGCGTGCCTCTCGAGGTGTCAGCGGGATGTGAGGCCTTCCGTCAAAATGAGGCAGGGACCTAGGGCTTTCTCTAAGGTCTCCACAGGGGATTCAGACATCCCTTCATGTTGTGAGATGAAAGACGAGCCTGTCTTCAAGCCACTGCAAGGAAATCCGGCCTCCTTTCAAGTTAGGGCTTCTCGCTGTATATTCCCCTTGAGGCAGCAAACTCGGGGTCCCTCCCACATACCTATTGCTGAGAGAAGCCTCCTCCTGAGGTGCTTCTGGAAAGTTGGCATACGTCTTGAGCCTAAGCCAGGGAATCAGCTCTCATCTCGAGACGATTTGGGGTACACGGAGCATTCCTCGAGTTGCTGTGCTGAAGTTGGTGTTCCTCTAGACTTGGGACAGTGTTCTCGGGGCATCTCTGGAGATGCCTGAAGGAAGTCGAGCCACCGGTCGTGTTGAATGGGGAACGGGGAATGGCTCTGGGGTCAATGCAGTTGAATCGGGCCTCATCTCGGGTTCATTTGGGCGACATGGAGCTGCTTTGCGTTGATGGGGTGACCTCAGGGTCCGTCTAGACTGGTGACAGTGTTCTTGGGGACTGTCTCGAGATCCGTTAAGCAATTCGAAGCTCCTGACTTGTTTGAATGGGATCACGGAATAGCTCTGCATGCACTGCAGGGGAATGGGGCCTCATCTCGCCTCTAGGGGGAAGTCTCATGGGTTTTCTCGAGTTGCGGCGGGGACCTGGGGTATGTTCTCGACTTACGGCGGGGATGGCCCTTCCAAACACGAGTTTCCTCAGTGACGTCAGGACTCCTGTCTAGTAACGAGGGACACCTCAGGAATCTCTTCGAGGCTTGGCAGGGCAAAAGGGACGCTTCTCGAGGTGAGGCAGGGCACCCAAGGACCCTTTCCAGTAGCCACAGGGATTTTGGGATTCCTATGAGTATTCAGGAGGAGTCAGGCATCGTCACCTTTTGAAGCAATGAACTCCGCGTGCCTCTCGAGGTGTCAGCGGGATGTGAGGCCTTCCGTCAAAATGAGGCAGGGACCTAGGGCTTTCTCTAAGGTCTCCACAGGGGATTCAGACATCCCTTCATGTTGTGAGATGAAAGACGAGCCTGTCTTCAAGCCACTGCAAGGAAATCCGGCCTCCTTTCAAGTTAGGGCTTCTCGCTGTATATTCCCCTTGAGGCAGCAAACTCGGGGTCCCTCCCACATACCTATTGCTGAGAGAAGCCTCCTCCTGATGTGCTTCTGGAAAGTTGGCATACGTCTTGAGCCTAAGCCAGGGAATCAGCTCTCATCTCGAAACGATTTGGGGTACACGGAGCATTCCTCGAGTTGCTGTGCTGAAGTTGGTGTTCCTCTAGACTTGGGACAGTGTTCTCGGGGCATCTCTGGAGATGCCTGAAGGAAGTCGAGCCACCGGTTGTGTTGAATGGGGAACGGGGAATGGCTCTGGAGTCAATGCAGGGGAATCGGGCCTCATCTTGGGTTGATTTGGGGAACATGGAGCTGCTTTGCGTTGCTGGGGTGACCTCAGGGTCCGTCTAGACTGGTGACAGTGTTCTTGGGGACTGTCTCGAGATCCGTTAAGCAAGTCGAAGCTCCTGACTTGTTTGAATGGGATCACGGAATAGCTCTGCATGCACTGCAGGGGAATGGGGCCTCATCTCGCCTCTAGGGGGAAGTCTCATGGGTTTTCTCGAGTTGCGGCGGGGACCTGGGGTATGTTCTCGACTTACGGCGGGGATGGCCCTTCCAAACACGAGTTTCCTCAGTGACGTCAGGACTCCTGTCTAGTAACGAGGGACACCTCAGGAATCTCTTCGAGGCTTGGCAGGGCAAAAGGGACGCTTCTCGAGGTGAGGCAGGGCACCCAAGGACCCTTTCCAGTAGCCACAGGGATTTTGGGATTCCTATGAGTATTCAGGAGGAGTCAGGCATCGTCACCTTTTGAAGCAATGAACTCCGCGTGCCTCTCGAGGTGTCAGCGGGATGTGAGGCCTTCCGTCAAAATGAGGCAGGGACCTAGGGCTTTCTCTAAGGTCTCCACAGGGGATTCAGACATCCCTTCATGTTGTGAGATGAAAGACGAGCCTGTCTTCAAGCCACTGCAAGGAAATCCGGCCTCCTTTCAAGTTAGGGCTTCTCGCTGTATATTCCCCTTGAGGCAGCAAACTCGGGGTCCCTCCCACATACCTATTGCTGAGAGAAGCCTCCTCCTGAGGTGCTTCTGGAAAGTTGGCATACGTCTCAAGCCTAAGCCAGGGAATCAGCTCTCATCTCGAGACGATTTGGGGTACACGGAGCATTCCTCGAGTTGCTGTGCTGAAGTTGGTGTTCCTCTAGACTTGGGACAGTGTTCTCGGGGCATCTCTGGAGATGCCTGAAGGAAGTCGAGCCACCGGTCGTGTTGAATGGGGAACGGGGAATGGCTCTGGAGTCAATGCAGGGGAATCGGGCCTCATCTCGGGTTGATTTGGGGCACATGGAGCTTCTTTGCGTTGCTGGGGTGACCTCAGGGTCCGTCTAGACTGGTGACAGTGTTCTTGGGGACTGTCTCGAGATCCGTTAAGCAAGTCGAAGCTCCTGACTTGTTTGAATGGGATCACGGAATAGCTCTGCATGCACTGCAGGGGAATGGGGCCTCATCTCGCCTCTAGGGGGAAGCCTCATGGGTTTTCTCGAGTTGCGGCGGGGACCTGGGGTATGTTCTCGACTTACGGCGGGGATGGCCCTTCCAAACACGAGTTTCCTCAGTGACGTCAGGACTCCTGTCTAGTAACGAGGGACACCTCAGGAATCTCTTCGAGGCTTGGCAGGGCAAAAGGGACGCTTCTCGAGGTGAGGCAGGGCACCCAAGGACCCTTTCCAGTAGCCACAGGGATTTTGGGATTCCTATGAGTATTCAGGAGGAGTCAGGCATCGTCACCTTTTGAAGCAATGAACTCCGCGTGCCTCTCGAGGTGTCAGCTAGATGTGAGGCCTTCCGTCAAAATGAGGCAGGGACCTAGGGCTTTCTCTAAGGTCTCCACAGGGGATTCAGACATCCCTTCATGTTGTGAGATGAAAGACGAGCCTGTATTCAAGCCACTGCAAGGAAATCCGGCCTCCTTTCAAGTTAGGGCTTCTCGCTGTATATTCCCCTTGAGGCAGCAAACTCGGGGTCCATCCCACATACCTATTGCTGAGAGAAGCCTCCTCCTGAGGTGCTTCTGGAAAGTTGGCATACGTCTTGAGCCTAAGCCAGGGAATCAGCTCTCATCTCGAGACGATTTGGGGTACACGGAGCATTCCTCGAGTTGCTGTGCTGAAGTTGGTATTCCTCTAGACTTGGGACAGTGTTCTCGGGGCATCTCTGGAGATGCCTGAAGGAAGTCGAGCCACCGGTCGTGTTGAATGGGGAACGGGGAATGGCTCTGGAGTCAATGCAGGGGAATCGGGCCTCATCTCGAGTTCACTTGGGGGACATGGAGCTGCTTTGCGTTGCTGGGGTGACCTCAGGGTCCGTCTAGACTGGTGACAGTGTTCTTGGGGACTGTCTCGAGATCCGTTAAGCAAGTCGAAGCTCCTGACTTGTTTGAATGGGATCACGGAATAGCTCTGCATGCACTGCAGGGGAATGGGGCCTCATCTCGCCTCTAGGGGGAAGTCTCATGGGTTTTCTCGAGTTGCGGCGGGGACCTGGGGTATGTTCTCGACTTACGGCGGGGATGGCCCTTCCAAACACGAGTTTCCTCAGTGACGTCAGGACTCCTGTCTAGTAACGAGGGACACCTCAGGAATCTCTTCGAGGCTTGGCAGGGCAAAAGGGACGCTTCTCGAGGTGAGGCAGGGCACCCAAGGACCCTTTCCAGTAGCCACAGGGATTTTGGGATTCCTATGAGTATTCAGGAGGAGTCAGGCATCGTCACCTTTTGAAGCAATGAACTCCGCGTGCCTCTCGAGGTGTCAGCGGGATGTGAGGCCTTCCGTCAAAATGAGGCAGGGACCTAGGGCTTTCTCTAAGGTCTCCACAGGGGATTCAGACATCCCTTCATGTTGTGAGATGAAAGACGAGCCTGTCTTCAAGCCACTGCAAGGAAATCCGGCCTCCTTTCAAGTTAGGGCTTCTCGCTGTATATTCCCCTTGAGGCAGCAAACTCGGGGTCCCTCCCACATACCTATTGCTGAGAGAAGCCTCCTCCTGAGGTGCTTCTGGAAAGTTTCATACGTCTTGAGCCTAAGCCAGGGAATCAGCTCTCATCTCGAGACGATTTGGGGTACATGGAGCATTCCTCGAGTTGCTGTGCTGAAGTTGGTGTTCCTCTAGACTTGGGACAGTGTTCTCGGGGCATCTCTGGAGATGCCTGAAGGAAGTCGAGCCACCGGTTGTGTTGAATGGGGAACGGGGAATGGCTCTGGAGTCAATGCAGGGGAATCGGGCCTCATCTTGGGTTGAATTGGGGAACATGGAGCTGCTTTGCGTTGCTGGGGTGACCTCAGGGTCCGTCTAGACTGGTGACAGTGTTCTTGGGGACTGTCTCGAGATCCGTTAAGCAAGTCGAAGCTCCTGACTTGTTTGAATGGGATCACGGAATAGCTCTGCATGCACTGCAGGGGAATGGGGCCTCATCTCGCCTCTAGGGGGAAGTCTCATGGGTTTTCTCGAGTTGCGGCGGGGACCTGGGGTATGTTCTCGACTTACGGCGGGGATGGCCCTTCCAAACACGAGTTTCCTCAGTGACGTCAGGACTCCTGTCTAGTAACGAGGGACACCTCAGGAATCTCTTCGAGGCTTGGCAGGGCAAAAGGGACGCTTCTCGAGGTGAGGCAGGGCACTCAAGGACCCTTTCCAGTAGCCACAGGGATTTTGGGATTCCTATGAGTATTCAGGAGGAGTCAGGCATCGTCACCTTTTGAAGCAATGAACTCCGCGTGCCTCTCGAGGTGTCAGCGGGATGTGAGGCCTTCCGTCAAAATGAGGCAGGGACTTAGGGCTTTCTCTAAGGTCTCCACAGGGGATTCAGGCATCCCTTCATGTTGTGAGATGAAAGACGAGCCTGTCTTCAAGCCACTGCAAGGAAATCCGGCCTCCTTTCAAGTTAGGGCTTCTCGCTGTATATTCCCCTTGAGGCAGCAAACTCGGGGTCCCTCCCACATACCTATTGCTGAGAGAAGCCTCCTCCTGAGGTGCTTCTGGAAAGTTGGCATACGTCTTGAGCCTAAGCCAGGGAATCAGCTCTCATCTCGAGACGATTTGGGGTACACGGAGCATTCCTCGAGTTGCTGTGCTGAAGTTGGTGTTCCTCTAGACTTGGGACAGTGTTCTCGGGGCATCTCTGGAGATGCCTGAAGGAAGTCGAGCCACCGGTCGTGTTGAATGGGGAACGGGGAATGGCTCTGGAGTCAATGCAGGGGAATCGGGCCTCATCTCGAGTTCACTTGGGGGACATGGAGCTGCTTTGCGTTGCTGGGGTGACCTCAGGGTCCGTCTAGACTGGTGACAGTGTTCTTGGGGACTGTCTCGAGATCCGTTAAGCAAGTCGAAGCTCCTGACTTGTTTGAATGGGATCACGGAATAGCTCTGCATGCACTGCAGGGGAATGGGGCCTCATCTCGCCTCTAGGGGGAAGTCTCATGGGTTTTCTCGAGTTGCGGCGGGGACCTGGGGTATGTTCTCGACTTACGGCGGGGATGGCCCTTCCAAACACGAGTTTCCTCAGTGACGTCAGGACTCCTGTCTAGTAACGAGGGACACCTCAGGAATCTCTTCGAGGCTTGGCAGGGCAAAAGGGACGCTTCTCGAGGTGAGGCAGGGCACCCAAGGACCCTTTCCAGTAGCCACAGGGATTTTGGGATTCCTATGAGTATTCAGGAGGAGTCAGGCATCGTCACCTTTTGAAGCAATGAACTCCGCGTGCCTCTCGAGGTGTCAGCGGGATGTGAGGCCTTCCGTCAAAATGAGGCAGGGACCTAGGGCTTTCTCTAAGGTCTCCACAGGGGATTCAGACATCCCTTCATGTTGTGAGATGAAAGACGAGCCTGTCTTCAAGCCACTGCAAGGAAATCCGGCCTCCTTTCAAGTTAGGGCTTCTCGCTGTATATTCCCCTTGAGGCAGCAAACTCGGGGTCCCTCCCACATACCTATTGCTGAGAGAAGCCTCCTCCTGAGGTGCTTCTGGAAAGTTTCATACGTCTTGAGCCTAAGCCAGGGAATCAGCTCTCATCTCGAGACGATTTGGGGTACATGGAGCATTCCTCGAGTTGCTGTGCTGAAGTTGGTGTTCCTCTAGACTTGGGACAGTGTTCTCGGGGCATCTCTGGAGATGCCTGAAGGAAGTCGAGCCACCGGTTGTGTTGAATGGGGAACGGGGAATGGCTCTGGAGTCAATGCAGGGGAATCGGGCCTCATCTTGGGTTGAATTGGGGAACATGGAGCTGCTTTGCGTTGCTGGGGTGACCTCAGGGTCCGTCTAGACTGGTGACAGTGTTCTTGGGGACTGTCTCGAGATCCGTTAAGCAAGTCGAAGCTCCTGACTTGTTTGAATGGGATCACGGAATAGCTCTGCATGCACTGCAGGGGAATGGGGCCTCATCTCGCCTCTAGGGGGAAGTCTCATGGGTTTTCTCGAGTTGCGGCGGGGACCTGGGGTATGTTCTCGACTTACGGCGGGGATGGCCCTTCCAAACACGAGTTTCCTCAGTGACGTCAGGACTCCTGTCTAGTAACGAGGGACACCTCAGGAATCTCTTCGAGGCTTGGCAGGGCAAAAGGGACGCTTCTCGAGGTGAGGCAGGGCACTCAAGGACCCTTTCCAGTAGCCACAGGGATTTTGGGATTCCTATGAGTATTCAGGAGGAGTCAGGCATCGTCACCTTTTGAAGCAATGAACTCCGCGTGCCTCTCGAGGTGTCAGCGGGATGTGAGGCCTTCCGTCAAAATGAGGCAGGGACTTAGGGCTTTCTCTAAGGTCTCCACAGGGGATTCAGGCATCCCTTCATGTTGTGAGATGAAAGACGAGCCTGTCTTCAAGCCACTGCAAGGAAATCCGGCCTCCTTTCAAGTTAGGGCTTCTCGCTGTATATTCCCCTTGAGGCAGCAAACTCGGGGTCCCTCCCACATACCTATTGCTGAGAGAAGCCTCCTCCTGAGGTGCTTCTGGAAAGTTGGCATACGTCTTGAGCCTAAGCCAGGGAATCAGCTCTCATCTCGAGACGATTTGGGGTACACGGAGCATTCCTCGAGTTGCTGTGCTGAAGTTGGTGTTCCTCTAGACTTGGGACAGTGTTCTCGGGGCATCTCTGGAGATGCCTGAAGGAAGTCGAGCCACCGGTCTTGTTGAATGGGGAACGGGGAATGGCTCTGGAGTCAATGCAGGGGAATCGGGCATCATCTCGGGTTGATTTGGGGCACATGGAGCTGCTTTGCCTTGCTGGGGTGACCTCAGGTTCCGTCTAGACTGGTGACAGTGTTCTTGGGGACTGTCTCGAGATCCGTTAAGCAAGTCGAAGCTCCTGACTTGTTTGAATGGGATCACGGAATAGCTCTGCATGCACTGCAGGGGAATGGGGCCTCATCTCGCCTCTAGGGGGAAGTCTCATGGGTTTTCTCGAGTTGCGGCGGGGACCTGGGGTATGTTCTCGACTTACGGCGGGGATGGCCCTTCCAAACACGAGTTTCCTCAGTGACGTCAGGACTCCTGTCTAGTAACGAGGGACACCTCAGGAATCTCTTCGAGGCTTGGCAGGGCAAAAGGGACGCTTCTCGAGGTGAGGCAGGGCACCCAAGGACCCTTTCCAGTAGCCACAGGGATTTTGGGATTCCTATGAGTATTCAGGAGGAGTCAGGCATCGTCACCTTTTGAAGCAATGAACTCCGCGTGCCTCTCGAGGTGTCAGCGGGATGTGAGGCCTTCCGTAAAAATGAGGCAGGGACCTAGGGCTTTCTCTAAGGTCTCCACAGGGGATTCAGACATCCCTTCATGTTGTGAGATGAAAGACGAGCCTGTCTTCAAGCCACTGCAAGGAAATCCGGCCTCCTTTCAAGTTAGGGCTTCTCGCTGTATATTCCCCTTGAGGCAGCAAACTCGGGGTCCCTCCCACATACCTATTGCTGAGAGAAGCCTCCTCCTGAGGTGCTTCTGGAAAGTTGGCATACGTCTCAAGCCTAAGCCAGGGAATCAGCTCTCATCTCGAGACGATTTGGGGTACACGGAGCATTCCTCGAGTTGCTGTGCTGAAGTTGGTGTTCCTCTAGACTTGGGACAGTGTTCTCGGGGCATCTCTGGAGATGCCTGAAGGAAGTCGAGCCACCGGTCGTGTTGAATGGGGAACGGGGAATGGCTCTGGAGTCAATGCAGGGGAATCGGGCCTCATCTCGGGTTGATTTGGGGCACATGGAGCTTCTTTGCGTTGCTGGGGTGACCTCAGGGTCCGTCTAGACTGGTGACAGTGTTCTTGGGGACTGTCTCGAGATCCGTTAAGCAAGTCGAAGATCCTGACTTGTTTGAATGGGATCACGGAATAGCTCTGCATGCACTGCAGGGGAATGGGGCCTCATCTCGCCTCTAGGGGGAAGCCTCATGGGTTTTCTCGAGTTGCGGCGGGGACCTGGGGTATGTTCTCGACTTACGGCGGGGATGGCCCTTCCAAACACGAGTTTCCTCAGTGACGTCAGGACTCCTGTCTAGTAACGAGGGACACCTCAGGAATCTCTTCGAGGCTTGGCAGGGCAAAAGGGACGCTTCTCGAGGTGAGGCAGGGCACCCAAGGACCCTTTCCAGTAGCCACAGGGATTTTGGGATTCCTATGAGTATTCAGGAGGAGTCAGGCATCGTCACCTTTTGAAGCAATGAACTCCGCGTGCCTCTCGAGGTGTCAGCGGATGTGAGGCCTTCCGTCAAAATGAGGCAGGGACCTAGGGCTTTCTCTAAGGTCTCCACAGGGGATTCAGACATCCCTTCATGTTGTGAGATGAAAGACGAGCCTGTATTCAAGCCACTGCAAGGAAATCCGGCCTCCTTTCAAGTTAGGGCTTCTCGCTGTATATTCCCCTTGAGGCAGCAAACTCGGGGTCCCTCCCACATACCTATTGCTGAGAGAAGCCTCCTCCTGATGTGCTTCTGGAAAGTTGGCATACGTCTTGAGCCTGAGCCAGGGAATCAGCTCTCATCTCGAGACGATTTGGGGTACACGGAGCATTCCTCGAGTTGCTGTGCTGAAGTTGGTATTCCTCTAGACTTGGGACAGTGTTCTCGGGGCATCTCTGGAGATGCCTGAAGGAAGTCGAGCCACCGGTCGTGTTGAATGGGGAACGGGGAATGGCTCTGGAGTCAATGCAGGGGAATCGGGCCTCATCTCGGGTTGATTTGGGGCACATGGAGCTTCTTTGCGTTGCTGGGGTGACCTCAGGGTCCGTCTAGACTGGTGACAGTGTTCTTGGGGACTGTCTCGAGATCCGTTAAGCAAGTCGAAGCTCCTGACTTGTTTGAATGGGATCACGGAATAGCTCTGCATGCACTGCAGGGGAATGGGGCCTCATCTCGCCTCTAGGGGGAAGCCTCATGGGTTTTCTCGAGTTGCGGCGGGGACCTGGGGTATGTTCTCGACTTACGGCGGGGATGGCCCTTCCAAACACGAGTTTCCTCAGTGACGTCAGGACTCCTGTCTAGTAACGAGGGACACCTCAGGAATCTCTTCGAGGCTTGGCAGGGCAAAAGGGACGCTTCTCGAGGTGAGGCAGGGCACCCAAGGACCCTTTCCAGTAGCCACAGGGATTTTGGGATTCCTATGAGTATTCAGGAGGAGTCAGGCATCGTCACCTTTTGAAGCAATGAACTCCGCGTGCCTCTCGAGGTGTCAGCGGATGTGAGGCCTTCCGTCAAAATGAGGCAGGGACCTAGGGCTTTCTCTAAGGTCTCCACAGGGGATTCAGACATCCCTTCATGTTGTGAGATGAAAGACGAGCCTGTATTCAAGCCACTGCAAGGAAATCCGGCCTCCTTTCAAGTTAGGGCTTCTCGCTGTATATTCCCCTTGAGGCAGCAAACTCGGGGTCCCTCCCACATACCTATTGCTGAGAGAAGCCTCCTCCTGATGTGCTTCTGGAAAGTTGGCATACGTCTTGAGCCTAAGCCAGGGAATCAGCTCTCATCTCGAGACGATTTGGGGTACACGGAGCATTCCTCGAGTTGCTGTGCTGAAGTTGGTATTCCTCTAGACTTGGGACAGTGTTCTCGGGACATCTCTGGAGATGCCTGAAGGAAGTCGAGCCACCGGTCGTGTTGAATGGGGAACGGGGAATGGCTCTGGAGTCAATGCAGGGGAATCGGGCCTCATCTCGAGTTCACTTGGGGGACATGGAGCTGCTTTGCGTTGCTGGGGTGACCTCAGGGACCGTCTAGACTGGTGACAGTGTTCTTGGGGACTGTCTCGAGATCCGTTAAGCAAGTCGAAGCTCCTGACTTGTTTGAATGGGATCACGGAATAGCTCTGCATGCACTGCAGGGGAATGGGGCCTCATCTCGCCTCTAGGGGGAAGTCTCATGGGTTTTCTCGAGTTGCGGCGGGGACCTGGGGTATGTTCTCGACTTACGGCGGGGATGGCCCTTCCAAACACGAGTTTCCTCAGTGACGTCAGGACTCCTGTCTAGTAACGAGGGACACCTCAGGAATCTCTTCGAGGCGTGGCAGGGCAAAAGGGACGCTTCTCGAGGTGAGGCAGGGCACCCAAGGACCCTTTCCAGTAGCCACAGGGATTTTGGGATTCCTATGAGTATTCAGGAGGAGTCAGGCATCGTCACCTTTTGAAGCAATGAACTCCGCGTGCCTCTCGAGGTGTCAGCGGGATGTGAGGCCTTCCGTCAAAATGAGGCAGGGACCTAGGGCTTTCTCTAAGGTCTCCACAGGGGATTCAGACATCCCTTCATGTTGTGAGATGAAAGACGAGCCTGTCTTCAAGCCACTGCAAGGAAATCCGGCCTCCTTTCAAATTAGGGCTTCTCGCTGTATATTCCCCTTGAGGCAGCAAACTCGGGGTCCCTCCCACATACCTATTGCTGAGAGAAGCCTCCCCCTGAGGTGCTTCTGGAAAGTTGGCATACGTCTTGAGCCTAAGCCAGGGAATCAGCTCTCATCTCGAGACGATTTGGGGTACACGGAGCATTCCTCGAGTTGCTGTGCTGAAGTTGGTGTTCCTCTAGACTTGGGACAGTGTTCTCGGGGCATCTCTGGAGATGCCTGAAGGAAGTCGAGCCACCGGTCGTGTTGAATGGGGAACGGGGAATGGCTCTGGAGTCAATGCAGGGGAATCGGGCCTCATCTCGGGTTGATTTGGGGCACATGGAGCTGCTTTGCGTTGCTGGGGTGACCTCAGGGTCCGTCTAGACTGGTGACAGTGTTCTTGGGGACTGTCTCGAGATCCGTTAAGCAAGTCGAAGCTCCTGACTTGTTTGAATGGGATCACGGAATAGCTCTGCATGCACTGCAGGGGAATGGGGCCTCATCTCGCCTCTAGGGGGAAGTCTCATGGGTTTTCTCGAGTTGCGGCGGGGACCTGGGGTATGTTCTCGACTTACGGCGGGGATGGCCCTTCCAAACACGAGTTTCCTCAGTGACGTCAGGACTCCTGTCTAGTAACGAGGGACACCTCAGGAATCTCTTCGAGGCTTGGCAGGGCAAAAGGGACGCTTCTCGAGGTGAGGCAGGGCACCCAAGGACCCTTTCCAGTAGCCACAGGGATTTTGGGATTCCTATGAGTATTCAGGAGGAGTCAGGCATCGTCACCTTTTGAAGCAATGAACTCCGCGTGCCTCTCGAGGTGTCAGCGGGATGTGAGGCCTTCCGTCAAAATGAGGCAGGGACCTAGGGCTTTCTCTAAGGTCTCCACAGGGGATTCAGACATCCCTTCATGTTGTGAGATGAAAGACGAGCCTGTCTTCAAGCCACTGCAAGGAAATCCGGCCTCCTTTCAAGTTAGGGCTTCTCGCTGTATATTCCCCTTGAGGCAGCAAACTCGGGGTCCCTCCCACATACCTATTGCTGAGAGAAGCCTCCTCCTGAGGTGCTTCTGGAAAGTTGGCATACGTCTTGAGCCTAAGCCAGGGAATCAGCTCTCATCTCGAGACGATTTGGGGTACACGGGGCATTCCTCGAGGTGCTGTGCTGAAGTTGGTGTTCCTCTAGACTTGGGACAGTGTTCTCGGGGCATCTCTGGAGATGCCTGAAGGAAGTCGAGCCACCGGTCGTGTTGAATGGGGAACGGGGAATGGCTCTGGAGTCAATGCAGGGGAATCGAGCCTCATCTCGAGTTCATTTGGTGACATGGAGCTGCTTTGCGTTGCTGGGGTGACCTCAGGGTCCGTCTAGACTGGTGACAGTGTTCTTGGGGACTGTCTCGAGATCCGTTAAGCAAGTCGAAGCTCCTGACTTGTTTGAAAGGTATCACGGAATAGCTCTGCATGCACTGCAGGGGAATGGGGCCTCATCTCGCCTCTAGGGGGAAGTCTCATGGGTTTTCTCGAGTTGCGGCGGGGACCTGGGGTATGTTCTCGACTTACGGCGGGGATGGCCCTTCCAAACACGAGTTTCCTCAGTGACGTCAGGACTCCTGTCTAGTAACGAGGGACACCTCAGGAATCTCTTCGAGGCTTGGCAGGGCAAAAGGGACGCTTCTCGAGGTGAGGCAGGGCACCCAAGGACCCTTTCCAGTAGCCACAGGGATTTTGGGATTCCTATGAGTATTCAGGAGGAGTCAGGCATCGTCACCTTTTGAAGCAATGAACTCCGCGTGCCTCTCGAGGTGTCAGCGGGATGTGAGGCCTTCCGTCAAAATGAGGCAGGGACCTAGGGCTTTCTCTAAGGTCTCCACAGGGGATTCAGACATCCCTTCATGTTGTGAGATGAAAGACGAGCCTGTCTTCAAGCCACTGCAAGGAAATCCGGCCTCCTTTCAAGTTAGGGCTTCTCGCTGTATATTCCCCTTGAGGCAGCAAACTCGGGGTCCCTCCCACATACCTATTGCTGAGAGAAGCCTCCCCCTGAGGTGCTTCTGGAAAGTTGGCATACGTCTTGAGCCTAAGCCAGGGAATCAGCTCTCATCTCGAGACGATTTGGGGTACATGGAGCATTCCTCGAGTTGCTGTGCTGAAGTTGGTGTTCCTCTAGACTTGGGACAGTGTTCTCGGGGCATCTCTGGAGATGCCTGAAGGAAGTCGAGCCACCGGTCGTGTTGAATGGGGAACGGGGAATGGCTCTGGAGTCAATGCAGGGGAATCGGGCCTCATCTCGGGTTGATTTGGGGCACATGGAGCTGCTTTGCGTTGCTGGGGTGACCTCAGGGTCCGTCTAGACTGGTGACAGTGTTCTTGGGGACTGTCTCGAGATCCGTTAAGCAAGTCGAAGCTCCTGACTTGTTTGAATGGGATCACGGAATAGCTCTGCATGCACTGCAGGGGAATGGGGCCTCATCTCGCCTCTAGGGGGAAGTCTCATGGGTTTTCTCGAGTTGCGGCGGGGACCTGGGGTATGTTCTCGACTTACGGCGGGGATGGCCCTTCCAAACACGAGTTTCCTCAGTGACGTCAGGACTCCTGTCTAGTAACGAGGGACACCTCAGGAATCTCTTCGAGGCTTGGCAGGGCAAAAGGGACGCTTCTCGAGGTGAGGCAGGGCACCCAAGGACCCTTTCCAGTAGCCACAGGGATTTTGGGATTCCTATGAGTATTCAGGAGGAGTCAGGCATCGTCACCTTTTGAAGCAATGAACTCCGCGTGCCTCTCGAGGTGTCAGCGGGATGTGAGGCCTTCCGTCAAAATGAGGCAGGGACCTAGGGCTTTCTCTAAGGTCTCCACAGGGGATTCAGACATCCCTTCATGTTGTGAGATGAAAGACGAGCCTGTATTCAAGCCACTGCAAGGAAATCCGGCCTCCTTTCAAGTTAGGGCTTCTCGCTGTATATTCCCCTTGAGGCAGCAAACTCGGGGTCCCTCCCACATACCTATTGCTGAGAGAAGCCTCCCCCTGAGGTGCTTCTGGAAAGTTGGCATACGTCTTGAGCCTAAGCCAGGGAATCAGCTCTCATCTCGAGACGATTTGGGGTACACGGAGCATTCCTCGAGTTGCTGTGCTGAAGTTGGTGTTCCTCTAGACTTGGGACAGTGTTCTCGGGGCATCTCTGGAGATGCCTGAAGGAAGTCGAGCCACCGGTCGTGTTGAATGGGGAACGGGGAATGGCTCTGGAGTCAATGCAGGGGAATCGGGCCTCATCTCGGGTTGATTTGGGGCACATGGAGCTGCTTTGCGTTGCTGGGGTGACCTCAGGGTCCGTCTAGACTGGTGACAGTGTTCTTGGGGACTGTCTCGAGATCCGTTAAGCAAGTCGAAGCTCCTGACTTGTTTGAATGGGATCACGGAATAGCTCTGCATGCACTGCAGGGGAATGGGGCCTCATCTCGCCTCTAGGGGGAAGTCTCATGGGTTTTCTCGAGTTGCGGCGGGGACCTGGGGTATGTTCTCGACTTACGGCGGGGATGGCCCTTCCAAACACGAGTTTCCTCAGTGACGTCAGGACTCCTGTCTAGTAACGAGGGACACCTCAGGAATCTCTTCGAGGCTTGGCAGGGCAAAAGGGACGCTTCTCGAGGTGAGGCAGGGCACCCAAGGACCCTTTCCAGTAGCCACAGGGATTTTGGGATTCCTATGAGTATTCAGGAGGAGTCAGGCATCGTCACCTTTTGAAGCAATGAACTCCGCGTGCCTCTCGAGGTGTCAGCGGGATGTGAGGCCTTCCGTCAAAATGAGGCAGGGACCTAGGGCTTTCTCTAAGGTCTCCACAGGGGATTCAGACATCCCTTCATGTTGTGAGATGAAAGACGAGCCTGTCTTCAAGCCACTGCAAGGAAATCCGGCCTCCTTTCAAGTTAGGGCTTCTCGCTGTATATTCCCCTTGAGGCAGCAAACTCGGGGTCCCTCCCACATACCTATTGCTGAGAGAAGCCTCCTCCTGAGGTGCTTCTGGAAAGCTGGCATACGTCTTGAGCCTAAGCCAGGGAATCAGCTCTCATCTCGAGACGATTTGGGGTACACGGGGCATTCCTCGAGGTGCTGTGCTGAAGTTGGTGTTCCTCTAGACTTGGGACAGTGTTCTCGGGGCATCTCTGGAGATGCCTGAAGGAAGTCGAGCCACCGGTCGTGTTGAATGGGGAACGGGGAATGGCTCTGGAGTCAATGCAGGTGAATCGAGCCTCATCTCGAGTTCATTTGGTGACATGGAGCTGCTTTGCGTTGCTGGGGTGACCTCAGGGTCCGTCTAGACTGGTGACAGTGTTCTTGGGGACTGTCTCGAGATCCGTTAAGCAAGTCGAAGCTCCTGACTTGTTTGAAAGGGATCACGGAATAGCTCTGCATGCACTGCAGGGGAATGGGGCCTCATCTCGCCTCTAGGGGGAAGTCTCATGGGTTTTCTCGAGTTGCGGCGGGGACCTGGGGTATGTTCTCGACTTACGGCGGGGATGGCCCTTCCAAACACGAGTTTCCTCAGTGACGTCAGGACTCCTGTCTAGTAACGAGGGACACCTCAGGAATCTCTTCGAGGCGTGGCAGGGCAAAAGGGACGCTTCTCGAGGTGAGGCAGGGCACCCAAGGACCCTTTCCAGTAGCCACAGGGATTTTGGGATTCCTATGAGTATTCAGGAGGAGTCAGGCATCGTCACCTTTTGAAGCAATGAACTCCGCGTGCCTCTCGAGGTGTCAGCGGGATGTGAGGCCTTCCGTCAAAATGAGGCAGGGACCTAGGGCTTTCTCTAAGGTCTCCACAGGGGATTCAGACATCCCTTCATGTTGTGAGATGAAAGACGAGCCTGTCTTCAAGCCACTGCAAGGAAATCCGGCCTCCTTTCAAGTTAGGGCTTCTCGCTGTATATTCCCCTTGAGGCAGCAAACTCGGGGTCCCTCCCACATACCTATTGCTGAGAGAAGCCTCCCCCTGAGGTGCTTCTGGAAAGTTGGCATACGTCTTGAGCCTAAGCCAGGGAATCAGCTCTCATCTCGAGACGATTTGGGGTACACGGAGCATTCCTCGAGTTGCTGTGCTGAAGTTGGTGTTCCTCTAGACTTGGGACAGTGTTCTCGGGGCATCTCTGGAGATGCCTGAAGGAAGTCGAGCCACCGGTCGTGTTGAATGGGGAACGGGGAATGGCTCTGGAGTCAATGCAGGGGAATCGGGCCTCATCTCGGGTTGATTTGGGGCACATGGAGCTGCTTTGCGTTGCTGGGGTGACCTCAGGGTCCGTCTAGACTGGTGACAGTGTTCTTGGGGACTGTCTCGAGATCCGTTAAGCAAGTCGAAGCTCCTGACTTGTTTGAATGGGATCACGGAATAGCTCTGCATGCACTGCAGGGGAATGGGGCCTCATCTCGCCTCTAGGGGGAAGTCTCATGGGTTTTCTCGAGTTGCGGCGGGGACCTGGGGTATGTTCTCGACTTACGGCGTGGATGGCCCTTCCAAACACGAGTTTCCTCAGTGACGTCAGGACTCCTGTCTAGTAACGAGGGACACCTCAGGAATCTCTTCGAGGCTTGGCAGGGCAAAAGGGACGCTTCTCGAGGTGAGGCAGGGCACCCAAGGACCCTTTCCAGTAGCCACAGGGATTTTGGGATTCCTATGAGTATTCAGGAGGAGTCAGGCATCGTCACCTTTTGAAGCAATGAACTCCGCGTGCCTCTCGAGGTGTCAGCGGGATGTGAGGCCTTCCGTCAAAATGAGGCAGGGACCTAGGGCTTTCTCTAAGGTCTCCACAGGGGATTCAGACATCCCTTCATGTTGTGAGATGAAAGACGAGCCTGTCTTCAAGCCACTGCAAGGAAATCCGGCCTCCTTTCAAGTCAGGGCTTCTCGCTGTATATTCCCCTTGAGGCAGCAAACTCGGGGTCCCTCCCACATACCTATTGCTGAGAGAAGCCTCCTCCTGAGGTGCTTCTGGAAAGTTGGCATACGTCTTGAGCCTAAGCCAGGGAATCAGCTCTCATCTCGAGACGATTTGGGGTACACGGGGCATTCCTCGAGGTGCTGTGCTGAAGTTGGTGTTCCTCTAGACTTGGGACAGTGTTCTCGGGGCATCTCTGGAGATGCCTGAAGGAAGTCGAGCCACCGGTCGTGTTGAATGGGGAACGGGGAATGGCTCTGGAGTCAATGCAGGGGAATCGAGCCTCATCTCGAGTTCATTTGGTGACATGGAGCTGCTTTGCGTTGCTGGGGTGACCTCAGGGTCCGTCTAGACTGGTGACAGTGTTCTTGGGGACTGTCTCGAGATCCGTTAAGCAAGTCGAAGCTCCTGACTTGTTTGAAAGGGATCACGGAATAGCTCTGCATGCACTGCAGGGGAATGGGGCCTCATCTCGCCTCTAGGGGGAAGTCTCATGGGTTTTCTCGAGTTGCGGCGGGGACCTGGGGTATGTTCTCGACTTACGGCGGGGATGGCCCTTCCAAACACGAGTTTCCTCAGTGACGTCAGGACTCCTGTCTAGTAACGAGGGACACCTCAGGAATCTCTTCGAGGCGTGGCAGGGCAAAAGGGACGCTTCTCGAGGTGAGGCAGGGCACCCAAGGACCCTTTCCAGTAGCCACAGGGATTTTGGGATTCCTATGAGTATTCAGGAGGAGTCAGGCATCGTCACCTTTTGAAGCAATGAACTCCGCGTGCCTCTCGAGGTGTCAGCGGGATGTGAGGCCTTCCGTCAAAATGAGGCAGGGACCTAGGGCTTTCTCTAAGGTCTCCACAGGGGATTCAGACATCCCTTCATGTTGTGAGATGAAAGACGAGCCTGTCTTCAAGCCACTGCAAGGAAATCCGGCCTCCTTTCAAGTTAGGGCTTCTCGCTGTATATTCCCCTTGAGGCAGCAAACTCGGGGTCCCTCCCACATACCTATTGCTGAGAGAAGCCTCCCCCTGAGGTGCTTCTGGAAAGTTGGCATACGTCTTGAGCCTAAGCCAGGGAATCAGCTCTCATCTCGAGACGATTTGGGGTACACGGAGCATTCCTCGAGTTGCTGTGCTGAAGTTGGTGTTCCTCTAGACTTGGGACAGTGTTCTCGGGGCATCTCTGGAGATGCCTGAAGGAAGTCGAGCCACCGGTCGTGTTGAATGGGGAACGGGGAATGGCTCTGGAGTCAATGCAGGGGAATCGGGCCTCATCTCGGGTTGATTTGGGGCACATGGAGCTGCTTTGCGTTGCTGGGGTGACCTCAGGGTCCGTCTAGACTGGTGACAGTGTTCTTGGGGACTGTCTCGAGATCCGTTAAGCAAGTCGAAGCTCCTGACTTGTTTGAATGGGATCACGGAATAGCTCTGCATGCACTGCAGGGGAATGGGGCCTCATCTCGCCTCTAGGGGGAAGTCTCATGGGTTTTCTCGAGTTGCGGCGGGGACCTGGGGTATGTTCTCGACTTACGGCGGGGATGGCCCTTCCAAACACGAGTTTCCTCAGTGACGTCAGGACTCCTGTCTAGTAACGAGGGACACCTCAGGAATCTCTTCGAGGCTTGGCAGGGCAAAAGGGACGCTTCTCGAGGTGAGGCAGGGCACCCAAGGACCCTTTCCAGTAGCCACAGGGATTTTGGGATTCCTATGAGTATTCAGGAGGAGTCAGGCATCGTCACCTTTTGAAGCAATGAACTCCGCGTGCCTCTCGAGGTGTCAGCGGGATGTGAGGCCTTCCGTCAAAATGAGGCAGGGACCTAGGGCTTTCTCTAAGGTCTCCACAGGGGATTCAGACATCCCTTCATGTTGTGAGATGAAAGACGAGCCTGTCTTCAAGCCACTGCAAGGAAATCCGGCCTCCTTTCAAGTTAGGGCTTCTCGCTGTATATTCCCCTTGAGGCAGCAAACTCGGGGTCCCTCCCACATACCTATTGCTGAGAGAAGCCTCCTCCTGAGGTGCTTCTGGAAAGTTGGCATACGTCTTGAGCCTAAGCCAGGGAATCAGCTTTCATCTCGAGACGATTTGGGGTACACGGGGCATTCCTCGGGGTGCTGTGCTGAAGTTGGTGTTCCTCTAGACTTGGGACAGTGTTCTCGGGGCATCTCTGGAGATGCCTGAAGGAAGTCGAGCCACCGGTCGTGTTGAATGGGGAACGGGGAATGGCTCTGGAGTCAATGCAGGGGAATCGAGCCTCATCTCGAGTTCATTTGGTGACATGGAGCTGCTTTGCGTTGCTGGGGTGACCTCAGGGTCCGTCTAGACTGGTGACAGTGTTCTTGGGGACTGTCTCGAGATCCGTTAAGCAAGTCGAAGCTCCTGACTTGTTTGAAAGGGATCACGGAATAGCTCTGCATGCACTGCAGGGGAATGGGGCCTCATCTCGCCTCTAGGGGGAAGTCTCATGGGTTTTCTCGAGTTGCGGCGGGGACCTGGGGTATGTTCTCGACTTACGGCGGGGATGGCCCTTCCAAACACGAGTTTCCTCAGTGACGTCAGGACTCCTGTCTAGTAACGAGGGACACCTCAGGAATCTCTTCGAGGCGTGGCAGGGCAAAAGGGACGCTTCTCGAGGTGAGGCAGGGCACCCAAGGACCCTTTCCAGTAGCCACAGGGATTTTGGGATTCCTATGAGTATTCAGGAGGAGTCAGGCATCGTCACCTTTTGAAGCAATGAACTCCGCGTGCCTCTCGAGGTGTCAGCGGGATGTGAGGCCTTCCGTCAAAATGAGGCAGGGACCTAGGGCTTTCTCTAAGGTCTCCACAGGGGATTCAGACATCCCTTCATGTTGTGAGATGAAAGACGAGCCTGTCTTCAAGCCACTGCAAGGAAATCCGGCCTCCTTTCAAGTTAGGGCTTCTCGCTGTATATTCCCCTTGAGGCAGCAAACTCGGGGTCCCTCCCACATACCTATTGCTGAGAGAAGCCTCCCCCTGAGGTGCTTCTGGAAAGTTGGCATACGTCTTGAGCCTAAGCCAGGGAATCAGCTCTCATCTCGAGACGATTTGGGGTACACGGAGCATTCCTCGAGTTGCTGTGCTGAAGTTGGTGTTCCTCTAGACTTGGGACAGTGTTCTCGGGGCATCTCTGGAGATGCCTGAAGGAAGTCGAGCCACCGGTCGTGTTGAATGGGGAACGGGGAATGGCTCTGGAGTCAATGCAGGGGAATCGGGCCTCATCTCGGGTTGATTTGGGGCACATGGAGCTGCTTTGCGTTGCTGGGGTGACCTCAGGGTCCGTCTAGACTGGTGACAGTGTTCTTGGGGACTGTCTCGAGGTCCGTTAAGCAAGTCGAAGCTCCTGACTTGTTTGAATGGGATCACGGAATAGCTCTGCATGCACTGCAGGGGAATGGGGCCTCATCTCGCCTCTAGGGGGAAGTCTCATGGGTTTTCTCGAGTTGCGGCGGGGACCTGGGGTATGTTCTCGACTTACGGCGTGGATGGCCCTTCCAAACACGAGTTTCCTCAGTGACGTCAGGACTCCTGTCTAGTAACGAGGGACACCTCAGGAATCTCTTCGAGGCTTGGCAGGGCAAAAGGGACGCTTCTCGAGGTGAGGCAGGGCACCCAAGGACCCTTTCCAGTAGCCACAGGGATTTTGGGATTCCTATGAGTATTCAGGAGGAGTCAGGCATCGTCACCTTTTGAAGCAATGAACTCCGCGTGCCTCTCGAGGTGTCAGCGGGATGTGAGGCCTTCCGTCAAAATGAGGCAGGGACCTAGGGCTTTCTCTAAGGTCTCCACAGGGGATTCAGACATCCCTTCATGTTGTGAGATGAAAGACGAGCCTGTCTTCAAGCCACTGCAAGGAAATCCGGCCTCCTTTCAAGTCAGGGCTTCTCGCTGTATATTCCCCTTGAGGCAGCAAACTCGGGGTCCCTCCCACATACCTATTGCTGAGAGAAGCCTCCCCCTGAGGTGCTTCTGGAAAGTTGGCATACGTCTTGAGCCTAAGCCAGGGAATCAGCTCTCATCTCGAGACGATTTGTGGTACACGGAGCATTCCTCGAGTTGCTGTGCTGAAGTTGGTGTTCCTCTAGACTTGGGACAGTGTTCTCGGGGCATCTCTGGAGATGCCTGAAGGAAGTCGAGCCACCGGTCGTGTTGAATGGGGAACGGGGAATGGCTCTGGAGTCAATGCAGGGGAATCGGGCCTCATCTCGGGTTGATTTGGGGCACATGGAGCTGCTTTGCGTTGCTGGGGTGACCTCAGGGTCCGTCTAGACTGGTGACAGTGTTCTTGGGGACTGTCTCGAGATCCGTTAAGCAAGTCGAAGCTCCTGACTTGTTTGAATGGGATCACGGAATAGCTCTGCATGCACTGCAGGGGAATGGGGCCTCATCTCGCCTCTAGGGGGAAGTCTCATGGGTTTTCTCGAGTTGCGGCGGGGACATGGGGTATGATCTCGACTTACGGCGGGGATGGCCCTTCCAAACACGAGTTTCCTCAGTGACGTCAGGACTCCTGTCTAGTAACCAGGGACACCTCACGAATCTCTTTGAGGTTTGGCAGGGCAAAAGGGACGCTTCTCGAGGTGAGGCAGGGCACCCAAGGACCCTTTCCAGTAGCCACAGGGATTTTGGGATTCCTATGAGTATTCAGGAGGAGTCAGGCATCGTCACCTTTTGAAGCAATGAACTCCGCGTGCCTCTCGAGGTGTCAGCGGGATGTGAGGCCTTCCGTCAAAATGAGGCAGGGACCTAGGGCTTTCTCTAAGGTCTCCACAGGGGATTCAGACATCCCTTCATGTTGTGAGATGAAAGACGAGCCTGTCTTCAAGCCACTGCAAGGAAATCCGGCCTCCTTTCAAGTTAGGGCTTCTCGCTGTATATTCCCCTTGAGGCAGCAAACTCGGGGTCCCTCCCACATACCTATTGCTGAGAGAAGCCTCCTCCTGAGGTGCTTCTGGAAAGCTGGCATACGTCTTGAGCCTAAGCCAGGGAATCAGCTCTCATCTCGAGACGATTTGGGGTACACGGGGCATTCCTCGAGTTGCTGTGCTGAAGTTGGTGTTCCTCTAGACTTGGGACAGTGTTCTCGGGGCATCTCTGGAGATGCCTGAAGGAAGTCGAGCCACCGGTCGTGTTGAATGGGGAACGGGGAATGGCTCTGGAGTCAATGCAGGGGAATCGAGCCTCATCTCGAGTTCATTTGGTGACATGGAGCTGCTTTGCGTTGCTGGGGTGACCTCAGGGTCCGTCTAGACTGGTGACAGTGTTCTTGGGGACTGTCTCGAGATCCGTTAAGCAAGTCGAAGCTCCTGACTTGTTTGAAAGGGATCACGGAATAGCTCTGCATGCACTGCAGGGGAATGGGGCCTCATCTCGCCTCTAGGGGGAAGTCTCATGGGTTTTCTCGAGTTGCGGCGGGGACCTGGGGTATGTTCTCGACTTACGGCGGGGATGGCCCTTCCAAACACGAGTTTCCTCAGTGACGTCAGGACTCCTGTCTAGTAACGAGGGACACCTCAGGAATCTCTTCGAGGCGTGGCAGGGCAAAAGGGACGCTTCTCGAGGTGAGGCAGGGCACCCAAGGACCCTTTCCAGTAGCCACAGGGATTTTGGGATTCCTATGAGTATTCAGGAGGAGTCAGGCATCGTCACCTTTTGAAGCAATGAACTCCGCGTGCCTCTCGAGGTGTCAGCGGGATGTGAGGCCTTCCGTCAAAATGAGGCAGGGACCTAGGGCTTTCTCTAAGGTCTCCACAGGGGATTCAGACATCCCTTCATGTTGTGAGATGAAAGACGAGCCTGTCTTCAAGCCACTGCAAGGAAATCCGGCCTCCTTTCAAGTTAGGGCTTCTCGCTGTATATTCCCCTTGAGGCAGCAAACTCGGGGTCCCTCCCACATACCTATTGCTGAGAGAAGCCTCCCCCTGAGGTGCTTCTGGAAAGTTGGCATACGTCTTGAGCCTAAGCCAGGGAATCAGCTCTCATCTCGAGACGATTTGGGGTACACGGAGCATTCCTCGAGTTGCTGTGCTGAAGTTGGTGTTCCTCTAGACTTGGGACAGTGTTCTCGGGGCAGTCGAGCCACCGGTCGTGTTGAATGGGGAACGGGGAATGGCTCTGGAGTCAATGCAGGGGAATCGGGCCTCATCTCGGGTTGATTTGGGGCACATGGAGCTGCTTTGCGTTGCTGGGGTGACCTCAGGGTCCGTCTAGACTGGTGACAGTGTTCTTGGGGACTGTCTCGAGATCCGTTAAGCAAGTCGAAGCTCCTGACTTGTTTGAATGGGATCACGGAATAGCTCTGCATGCACTGCAGGGGAATGGGGCCTCATCTCGCCTCTAGGGGGAAGTCTCATGGGTTTTCTCGAGTTGCGGCGGGGACCTGGGGTATGTTCTCGACTTACGGCGGGGATGGCCCTTCCAAACACGAGTTTCCTCAGTGACGTCAGGACTCCTGTCTAGTAACGAGGGACACCTCAGGAATCTCTTCGAGGCTTGGCAGGGCAAAAGGGACGCTTCTCGAGGTGAGGCAGGGCACCCAAGGACCCTTTCCAGTAGCCACAGGGATTTTGGGATTCCTATGAGTATTCAGGAGGAGTCAGGCATCGTCACCTTTTGAAGCAATGAACTCCGCGTGCCTCTCGAGGTGTCAGCGGGATGTGAGGCCTTCCGTCAAAATGAGGCAGGGACCTAGGGCTTTCTCTAAGGTCTCCACAGGGGATTCAGACATCCCTTCATGTTGTGAGATGAAAGACGAGCCTGTCTTCAAGCCACTGCAAGGAAATCCGGCCTCCTTTCAAGTTAGGGCTTCTCGCTGTATATTCCCCTTGAGGCAGCAAACTCGGGGTCCCTCCCACATACCTATTGCTGAGAGAAGCCTCCTCCTGAGGTGCTTCTGGAAAGTTGGCATACGTCTTGAGCCTAAGCCAGGGAATCAGCTCTCATCTCGAGACGATTTGGGGTACACGGGGCATTCCTCGAGGTGCTGTGCTGAAGTTGGTGTTCCTCTAGACTTGGGACAGTGTTCTCGGGGCATCTCTGGAGATGCCTGAAGGAAGTCGAGCCACCGGTCGTGTTGAATGGGGAACGGGGAATGGCTCTGGAGTCAATGCAGGGGAATCGAGCCTCATCTCGAGTTCATTTGGTGACATGGAGCTGCTTTGCGTTGCTGGGGTGACCTCAGGGTCCGTCTAGACTGGTGACAGTGTTCTTGGGGACTGTCTCGAGATCCGTTAAGCAAGTCGAAGCTCCTGACTTGTTTGAAAGGGATCACGGAATAGCTCTGCATGCACTGCAGGGGAATGGGGCCTCATCTCGCCTCTAGGGGGAAGTCTCATGGGTTTTCTCGAGTTGCGGCGGGGACCTGGGGTATGTTCTCGACTTACGGCGGGGATGGCCCTTCCAAACACGAGTTTCCTCAGTGACGTCAGGACTCCTGTCTAGTAACGAGGGACACCTCAGGAATCTCTTCGAGGCTTGGCAGGGCAAAAGGGACGCTTCTCGAGGTGAGGCAGGGCACCCAAGGACCCTTTCCAGTAGCCACAGGGATTTTGGGATTCCTATGAGTATTCAGGAGGAGTCAGGCATCGTCACCTTTTGAAGCAATGAACTCCGCGTGCCTCTCGAGGTGTCAGCGGGATGTGAGGCCTTCCGTCAAAATGAGGCAGGGACCTAGGGCTTTCTCTAAGGTCTCCACAGGGGATTCAGACATCCCTTCATGTTGTGAGATGAAAGACGAGCCTGTCTTCAAGCCACTGCAAGGAAATCCGGCCTCCTTTCAAATTAGGGCTTCTCGCTGTATATTCCCCTTGAGGCAGCAAACTCGGGGTCCCTCCCACATACCTATTGCTGAGAGAAGCCTCCCCCTGAGGTGCTTCTGGAAAGTTGGCATACGTCTTGAGCCTAAGCCAGGGAATCAGCTCTCATCTCGAGACGATTTGGGGTACACGGAGCATTCCTCGAGTTGCTGTGCTGAAGTTGGTGTTCCTCTAGACTTGGGACAGTGTTCTCGGGGCATCTCTGGAGATGCCTGAAGGAAGTCGAGCCACCGGTCGTGTTGAATGGGGAACGGGGAATGGCTCTGGAGTCAATGCAGGGGAATCGGGCCTCATCTCGGGTTGATTTGGGGCACATGGAGCTGCTTTGCGTTGCTGGGGTGACCTCAGGGTCCGTCTAGACTGGTGACAGTGTTCTTGGGGACTGTCTCGAGATCCGTTAAGCAAGTCGAAGCTCCTGACTTGTTTGAAAGGGATCACGGAATAGCTCTGCATGCACTGCAGGGGAATGGGGCCTCATCTCGCCTCTAGGGGGAAGTCTCATGGGTTTTCTCGAGTTGCGGCGGGGACCTGGGGTATGTTCTCGACTTACGGCGGGGATGGCCCTTCCAAACACGAGTTTCCTCAGTGACGTCAGGACTCCTGTCTAGTAACGAGGGACACCTCAGGAATCTCTTCGAGGCTTGGCAGGGCAAAAGGGACGCTTCTCGAGGTGAGGCAGGGCACCCAAGGACCCTTTCCAGTAGCCACAGGGATTTTGGGATTCCTATGAGTATTCAGGAGGAGTCAGGCATCGTCACCTTTTGAAGCAATGAACTCCGCGTGCCTCTCGAGGTGTCAGCGGGATGTGAGGCCTTCCGTCAAAATGAGGCAGGGACCTAGGGCTTTCTCTAAGGTCTCCACAGGGGATTCAGACATCCCTTCATGTTGTGAGATGAAAGACGAGCCTGTCTTCAAGCCACTGCAAGGAAATCCGGCCTCCTTTCAAGTTAGGGCTTCTCGCTGTATATTCCCCTTGAGGCAGCAAACTCGGGGTCCCTCCCACATACCTATTGCTGAGAGAAGCCTCCCCCTGAGGTGCTTCTGGAAAGTTGGCATACGTCTTGAGCCTAAGCCAGGGAATCAGCTCTCATCTCGAGACGATTTGGGGTACATGGAGCATTCCTCGAGTTGCTGTGCTGAAGTTGGTGTTCCTCTAGACTTGGGACAGTGTTCTCGGGGCATCTCTGGAGATGCCTGAAGGAAGTCGAGCCACCGGTCGTGTTGAATGGGGAACGGGGAATGGCTCTGGAGTCAATGCAGGGGAATCGGGCCTCATCTCGGGTTGATTTGGGGCACATGGAGCTGCTTTGCGTTGCTGGGGTGACCTCAGGGTCCGTCTAGACTGGTGACAGTGTTCTTGGGGACTGTCTCGAGATCCGTTAAGCAAGTCGAAGCTCCTGACTTGTTTGAATGGGATCACGGAATAGCTCTGCATGCACTGCAGGGGAATGGGGCCTCATCTCGCCTCTAGGGGGAAGTCTCATGGGTTTTCTTGAGTTGCGGCGGGGACCTGGGGTATGTTCTCGACTTACGGCGGGGATGGCCCTTCCAAACACGAGTTTCCTCAGTGACGTCAGGACTCCTGTCTAGTAACGAGGGACACCTCAGGAATCTCTTCGAGGCTTGGCAGGGCAAAAGGGACGCTTCTCGAGGTGAGGCAGGGCACCCAAGGACCCTTTCCAGTAGCCACAGGGATTTTGGGATTCCTATGAGTATTCAGGAGGAGTCAGGCATCGTCACCTTTTGAAGCAATGAACTCCGCGTGCCTCTCGAGGTGTCAGCGGGATGTGAGGCCTTCCGTCAAAATGAGGCAGGGACCTAGGGCTTTCTCTAAGGTCTCCACAGGGGATTCAGACATCCCTTCATGTTGTGAGATGAAAGACGAGCCTGTCTTCAAGCCACTGCAAGGAAATCCGGCCTCCTTTCAAGTTAGGGCTTCTCGCTGTATATTCCCCTTGAGGCAGCAAACTCGGGGTCCCTCCCACATACCTATTGCTGAGAGAAGCCTCCTCCTGAGGTGCTTCTGGAAAGTTGGCATACGTCTTGAGCCTAAGCCAGGGAATCAGCTCTCATCTCGAGACGATTTGGGGTACACGGGGCATTCCTCGAGGTGCTGTGCTGAAGTTGGTGTTCCTCTAGACTTGGGACAGTGTTCTCGGGGCATCTCTGGAGATGCCTGAAGGAAGTCGAGCCACCGGTCGTGTTGAATGGGGAACGGGGAATGGCTCTGGAGTCAATGCAGGTGAATCGAGCCTCATCTCGAGTTCATTTGGTGACATGGAGCTGCTTTGCGTTGCTGGGGTGACCTCAGGGTCCGTCTAGACTGGTGACAGTGTTCTTGGGGACTGTCTCGAGATCCGTTAAGCAAGTCGAAGCTCCTGACTTGTTTGAAAGGGATCACGGAATAGCTCTGCATGCACTGCAGGGGAATGGGGCCTCATCTCGCCTCTAGGGGGAAGTCTCATGGGTTTTCTCGAGTTGCGGCGGGGACCTGGGGTATGTTCTCGACTTACGGCGGGGATGGCCCTTCCAAACACGAGTTTCCTCAGTGACGTCAGGACTCCTGTCTAGTAACGAGGGACACCTCAGGAATCTCTTCGAGGCGTGGCAGGGCAAAAGGGACGCTTCTCGAGGTGAGGCAGGGCACCCAAGGACCCTTTCCAGTAGCCACAGGGATTTTGGGATTCCTATGAGTATTCAGGAGGAGTCAGGCATCGTCACCTTTTGAAGCAATGAACTCCGCGTGCCTCTCGAGGTGTCAGCGGGATGTGAGGCCTTCCGTCAAAATGAGGCAGGGACCTAGGGCTTTCTCTAAGGTCTCCACAGGGGATTCAGACATCCCTTCATGTTGTGAGATGAAAGACGAGCCTGTCTTCAAGCCACTGCAAGGAAATCCGGCCTCCTTTCAAGTTAGGGCTTCTCGCTGTATATTCCCCTTGAGGCAGCAAACTCGGGGTCCCTCCCACATACCTATTGCTGAGAGAAGCCTCCCCCTGAGGTGCTTCTGGAAAGTTGGCATACGTCTTGAGCCTAAGCCAGGGAATCAGCTCTCATCTCGAGACGATTTGGGGTACACGGAGCATTCCTCGAGTTGCTGTGCTGAAGTTGGTGTTCCTCTAGACTTGGGACAGTGTTCTCGGGGCATCTCTGGAGATGCCTGAAGGAAGTCGAGCCACCGGTCGTGTTGAATGGGGAACGGGGAATGGCTCTGGAGTCAATGCAGGGGAATCGGGCCTCATCTCGGGTTGATTTGGGGCACATGGAGCTGCTTTGCGTTGCTGGGGTGACCTCAGGGTCCGTCTAGACTGGTGACAGTGTTCTTGGGGACTGTCTCGAGATCCGTTAAGCAAGTCGAAGCTCCTGACTTGTTTGAATGGGATCACGGAATAGCTCTGCATGCACTGCAGGGGAATGGGGCCTCATCTCGCCTCTAGGGGGAAGTCTCATGGGTTTTCTCGAGTTGCGGCGGGGACATGGGGTATGTTCTCGACTTGCGGCGGGGATGGCCCTTCCAAACACGAGTTTCCTCAGTGACGTCAGGACTCCTGTCTAGTAACCAGGGACACCTCACGAATCTCTTCGAGGCTTGGCAGGGCAAAAGGGACGCTTCTCGAGGTGAGGCAGGGCACCCAAGGACCCTTTCCAGTAGCCACAGGGATTTTGGGATTCCTATGGGTATTCAGGAGGAGTCAGGCATCGTCACCTTTTGAAGCAATGAACTCCGCGTGCCTCTCGAGGTGTCAGCGGGATGTGAGGCCTTCCGTCAAAATGAGGCAGGGACCTAGGGCTTTCTCTAAGGTCTCCACAGGGGATTCAGACATCCCTTCATGTTGTGAGATGAAAGACGAGCCTGTCTTCAAGCCACTGCAAGGAAATCCGGCCTCCTTTCAAGTTAGGGCTTCTCGCTGTATATTCCCCTTGAGGCAGCAAACTCGGGGTCCCTCCCACATACCTATTGCTGAGAGAAGCCTCCTCCTGAGGTGCTTCTGGAAAGTTGGCATACGTCTTGAGCCTAAGCCAGGGAATCAGCTCTCATCTCGAGACGATTTGGTGTACACGGGGCATTCCTCGAGTTGCTGTGCTGAAGTTGGTGTTCCTCTAGACTTGGGACAGTGTTCTCGGGGCATCTCTGGAGATGCCTGAAGGAAGTCGAGCCACCGGTCGTGTTGAATGGGGAACGGGGAATGGCTCTGGAGTCAATGCAGGGGAATCGAGCCTCATCTCGAGTTCATTTGGTGACATGGAGCTGCTTTGCGTTGCTGGGGTGACCTCAGGGTCCGTCTAGACTGGTGACAGTGTTCTTGGGGACTGTCTCGAGATCCGTTAAGCAAGTCGAAGCTCCTGACTTGTTTGAAAGGGATCTCGGAATAGCTCTGCATGCACTGCAGGGGAATGGGGCCTCATCTCGCCTCTAGGGGGAAGTCTCATGGGTTTTCTCGAGTTGCGAAGGGGACCTGGGGTATGTTCTCGACTTACGGCGGGGATGGCCCTTCCAAACACGAGTTTCCTCAGTGACGTCAGGACTCCTGTCTAGTAACGAGGGACACCTCAGGAATCTCTTCGAGGCGTGGCAGGGCAAAAGGGACGCTTCTCGAGGTGAGGCAGGGCACCCAAGGACCCTTTCCAGTAGCCACAGGGATTTTGGGATTCCTATGAGTATTCAGGAGGAGTCAGGCATCGTCACCTTTTGAAGCAATGAACTCCGCGTGCCTCTCGAGGTGTCAGCGGGATGTGAGGCCTTCCGTCAAAATGAGGCAGGGACCTAGGGCTTTCTCTAAGGTCTCCACAGGGGATTCAGACATCCCTTCATGTTGTGAGATGAAAGACGAGCCTGTATTCAAGCCACTGCAAGGAAATCCGGCCTCCTTTCAAGTTAGGGATTCTCGCTGTATATTCCCCTTGAGGCAGCAAACTCGGGGTCCCTCCCACATACCTATTGCTGAGAGAAGCCTCCCCCTGAGGTGCTTCTGGAAAGTTGGCATACGTCTTGAGCCTAAGCCAGGGAATCAGCTCTCATCTCGAGACGATTTGGGGTACACGGAGCATTCCTCGAGTTGCTGTGCTGAAGTTGGTGTTCCTCTAGACTTGGGACAGTGTTCTCGGGGCATCTCTGGAGATGCCTGAAGGAAGTCGAGCCACCGGTCGTGTTGAATGGGGAACGGGGAATGGCTCTGGAGTCAATGCAGGGGAATCGGGCCTCATCTCGGGTTGATTTGGGGCACATGGAGCTGCTTTGCGTTGCTGGGGTGACCTCAGGGTCCGTCTAGACTGGTGACAGTGTTCTTGGGGACTGTCTCGAGATCCGTTAAGCAAGTCGAAGCTCCTGACTTGTTTGAATGGGATCACGGAATAGCTCTGCATGCACTGCAGGGGAATGGGGCCTCATCTCGCCTCTAGGGGGAAGTCTCATGGGTTTTCTCGAGTTGCGGCGGGGACCTGGGGTATGTTCTCGACTTACGGCGGGGATGGCCCTTCCAAACACGAGTTTCCTCAGTGACGTCAGGACTCCTGTCTAGTAACGAGGGACACCTCAGGAATCTCTTCGAGGCTTGGCAGGGCAAAAGGGACGCTTCTCGAGGTGAGGCAGGGCACCCAAGGACCCTTTCCAGTAGCCACAGGGATTTTGGGATTCCTATGAGTATTCAGGAGGAGTCAGGCATCGTCACCTTTTGAAGCAATGAACTCCGCGTGCCTCTCGAGGTGTCAGCGGGATGTGAGGCCTTCCGTCAAAATGAGGCAGGGACCTAGGGCTTTCTCTAAGGTCTCCACAGGGGATTCAGACATCCCTTCATGTTGTGAGATGAAAGACGAGCCTGTCTTCAAGCCACTGCAAGGAAATCCGGCCTCCTTTCAAGTTAGGGCTTCTCGCTGTATATTCCCCTTGAGGCAGCAAACTCGGGGTCCCTCCCACATACCTATTGCTGAGAGAAGCCTCCTCCTGAGGTGCTTCTGGAAAGTTGGCATACGTCTTGAGCCTAAGCCAGGGAATCAGCTCTCATCTCGAGACGATTTGGGGTACACGGGGCATTCCTCGAGTTGCTGTGCTGAAGTTGGTGTTCCTCTAGACTTGGGACAGTGTTCTCGGGGCATCTCTGGAGATGCCTGAAGGAAGTCGAGCCACCGGTCGTGTTGAATGGGGAACGGGGAATGGCTCTGGAGTCAATGCAGGGGAATCGAGCCTCATCTCGAGTTCATTTGGTGACATGGAGCTGCTTTGCGTTGCTGGGGTGACCTCAGGGTCCGTCTAGACTGGTGACAGTGTTCTTGGGGACTGTCTCGAGATCCGTTAAGCAAGTCGAAGCTCCTGACTTGTTTGAAAGGGATCACGGAATAGCTCTGCATGCACTGCAGGGGAATGGGGCCTCATCTCGCCTCTAGGGGGAAGTCTCATGGGTTTTCTCGAGTTGCGGCGGGGACCTGGGGTATGTTCTCGACTTACGGCGGGGATGGCCCTTCCAAACACGAGTTTCCTCAGTGACGTCAGGACTCCTGTCTAGTAACGAGGGACACCTCAGGAATCTCTTCTAGGCTTGGCAGGGCAAAAGGGACGCTTCTCGAGGTGAGGCAGGGCACCCAAGGACCCTTTCCAGTAGCCACAGGGATTTTGGGATTCCTATGAGTATTCAGGAGGAGTCAGGCATCGTCACCTTTTGAAGCAATGAACTCCGCGTGCCTCTCGAGGTGTCAGCGGGATGTGAGGCCTTCCGTCAAAATGAGGCAGGGACCTAGGGCTTTCTCTAAGGTCTCCACAGGGGATTCAGACATCCCTTCATGTAGTGAGATGAAAGACGAGCCTGTCTTCAAGCCACTGCAAGGAAATCCAGCCTCCTTTCAAGTTAGGGCTTCTCGCTGTATATTCCCCTTGAGGCAGCAAACTCGGGGTCCCTCCCACATACCTATTGCTGAGAGAAGCCTCCTCCTGAGGTGCTTCTGGAAAGTTGGCATACGTCTTGAGCCTAAGCCAGGGAATCAGCTCTCATCTCGAGACGATTTGGGGTACACGGAGCATTCCTCGAGTTGCTGTGCTGAAGTTGGTGTTCCTCTAGACTTGGGACAGTGTTCTTGGGGCATCTCTGGAGATGCCTGAAGGAAGTCGAGCCACCGGTCCTGTTGAATGGGCAACGGGGAATGGCTCTGGAGTCAATGCAGGGGAATCGGGCCTCATCTCGAGTTCATTTGGGGGACATGGAGCTGCTTTGCGTTGCTGGGGTGACCTCAGGGTCCGTCTAGACTGGTGACAGTGTTCTTGGGGACTGTCTCGAGATCCGTTAAGCAAGTCGAAGCTCCTGACTTGTTTGAATGGGATCACGGAATAGCTCTGCATGCACTGCAGGGGAATGGGGCCTCATCTCGCCTCTAGGGGGAAGTCTCATGGGTTTTCTCGAGTTGCGGCGGGGACCTGGGGTATGTTCTCGACTTACGGCGGGGATGGCCCTTCCAAACACGAGTTTCCTCAGTGACGTCAGGACTCCTGTCTAGTAACGAGGGACACCTCAGGAATCTCTTCGAGGCTTGGCAGGGCAAAAGGGACGCTTCTCGAGGTGAGGCAGGGCACCCAAGGACCCTTTCCAGTAGCCACAGGGATTTTGGGATTCCTATGAGTATTCAGGAGGAGTCAGGCATCGTCACCTTTTGAAGCAATGAACTCCGCGTGCCTCTCGAGGTGTCAGCGGGATGTGAGGCCTTCCGTCAAAATGAGGCAGGGAACTAGGGCTTTCTCTAAGGTCTCCACAGGGGATTCAGACATCCCTTCATGTTGTGAGATGAAAGACGAGCCTGTCTTCAAGCCACTGCAAGGAAATCCGGCCTCCTTTCAAGTTAGGGCTTCTTGCTGTATATTCCCCTTGAGGCAGCAAACTCGGGGTCCCTCCCACATACCTATTGCTGAGAGAAGCCTCCCCCTGAGGTGCTTCTGGAAAGTTGGCATACGTCTTGAGCCTAAGCCAGGGAATCAGCTCTCATCTCGAGACGATTTGGGGTACACGGAGCATTCCTCGAGTTGCTGTGCTGAAGTTGGTGTTCCTCTAGACTTGGGACAGTGTTCTCGGGGCATCTCTGGAGATGCCTGAAGGAAGTCGAGCCACCGGTCGTGTTGAATGGGGAACGGGGAATGGCTCTGGAGTCAATGCAGGGGAATCGGGCCTCATCTCGGGTTGATTTGAGGCACATGGAGCTGCTTTGCGTTGCTGGGGTGACCTCAGGGTCCGTCTAGACTGGTGACAGTGTTCTTGGGGACTGTCTCGAGATCCGTTAAGCAAGTCGAAGCTCCTGACTTGTTTGAATGGGATCACGGAATAGCTCTGCATGCACTGCAGGGGAATGGGGCCTCATCTCGCCTCTAGGGGGAAGTCTCATGGGTTTTCTCGAGTTGCGGCGGGGACATGGGGTATGTTCTCGACTTACGGCGGGGATGGCCCTTCCAAACACGAGTTTCCTCAGTGACGTCAGGACTCCTGTCTAGTAACGAGGGACACCTCAGGAATCTCTTCGAGGCTTGGCAGGGCAAAAGGGACGCTTCTCGAGGTGAGGCAGGGCACCCAAGGACCCTTTCCAGTAGCCACAGGGATTTTGGGATTCCTATGAGTATTCAGGAGGAGTCAGGCATCGTCACCTTTTGAAGCAATGAACTCCGCGTGCCTCTCGAGGTGTCAGCGGGATGTGAGGCCTTCCGTCAAAATGAGGCAGGGACCTAGGGCTTTATCTAAGGTCTCCACAGGGGATTCAGACATCCCTTCATGTTGTGAGATGAAAGACGAGCCTGTCTTCAAGCCACTGCAAGGAAATCCGGCCTCCTTTCAAGTTAGGGCTTCTCGCTGTATATTCCCCTTGAGGCAGCAAACTCGGGGTCCCTCCCACATACCTATTGCTGAGAGAAGCCTCCTCCTGAGGTGCTTCTGGAAAGTTGGCATACGTCTTGAGCCTAAGCCAGGGAATCAGCTCTCATCTCGAGACGATTTGGGGTACACGGGGCATTCCTCGAGTTGCTGTGCTGAAGTTGGTGTTCCTCTAGACTTGGGACAGTGTTCTCGGGGCATCTCTGGAGATGCCTGAAGGAAGTCGAGCCACCGGTCGTGTTGAATGGGGAACGGGGAATGGCTCTGGAGTCAATGCAGGGGAATCGGGCCTCATCTCGGGTTGATTTGGGGCACATGGAGCTGCTTTGCGTTGCTGGGGTGACCTCAGGGTCCGTCTAGACTGGTGACAGTGTTCTTGGGGACTGTCTCGAGATCCGTTAAGCAAGTCGAAGCTCCTGACTTGTTTGAATGGGATCACGGAATAGCTCTGCATGCACTGCAGGGGAATGGGGCCTCATCTCGCCTCTAGGGGGAAGTCTCATGGGTTTTCTCGAGTTGCGGCGGGGACCTGGGGTATGTTCTCGACTTACGGCGGGGATGGCCCTTCCAAACACGAGTTTCCTCAGTGACGTCAGGACTCCTGTCTAGTAACGAGGGACACCTCAGGAATCTCTTCGAGGCGTGGCAGGGCAAAAGGGACGCTTCTCGAGGTGAGGCAGGGCACCCAAGGACCCTTTCCAGTAGCCACAGGGATTTTGGGATTCCTATGAGTATTCAGGAGGAGTCAGGCATCGTCACCTTTTGAAGCAATGAACTCCGCGTGCCTCTCGAGGTGTCAGCGGGATGTGAGGCCTTCCGTCAAAATGAGGCAGGGACCTAGGGCTTTCTCTAAGGTCTCCACAGGGGATTCAGACATCCCTTCATGTTGTGAGATGAAAGACGAGCCTGTCTTCAAGCCACTGCAAGGAAATCCGGCCTCCTTTCAAGTTAGGGCTTCTCGCTGTATATTCCCCTTGAGGCAGCAAACTCGGGGTCCCTCCCACATACCTATTGCTGAGAGAAGCCTCCCCCTGAGGTGCTTCTGGAAAGTTGGCATACGTCTTGAGCCTAAGCCAGGGAATCAGCTCTCATCTCGAGACGATTTGGGGTACACGGAGCATTCCTCGAGTTGCTGTGCTGAAGTTGGTGTTCCTCTAGACTTGGGACAGTGTTCTCGGGGCATCTCTGGAGATGCCTGAAGGAAGTCGAGCCACCGGTCGTGTTGAATGGGGAACGGGGAATGGCTCTGGAGTCAATGCAGGGGAATCGGGCCTCATCTCGGGTTGATTTGGGGCACATGGAGCTGCTTTGCGTTGCTGGGGTGACCTCAGGGTCCGTCTAGACTGGTGACAGTGTTCTTGGGGACTGTCTCGAGATCCGTTAAGCAAGTCGAAGCTCCTGACTTGTTTGAATGGGATCACGGAATAGCTCTGCATGCACTGCAGGGGAATGGGGCCTCATCTCGCCTCTAGGGGGAAGTCTCATGGGTTTTCTCGAGTTGCGGCGGGGACCTGGGGTATGTTCTCGACTTACGGCGGGGATGGCCCTTCCAAACACGAGTTTCCTCAGTGACGTCAGGACTCCTGTCTAGTAACGAGGGACACCTCAGGAATCTCTTCGAGGCTTGGCAGGGCAAAAGGGACGCTTCTCGAGGTGAGGCAGGGCACCCAAGGACCCTTTCCAGTAGCCACAGGGATTTTGGGATTCCTATGAGTATTCAGGAGGAGTCAGGCATCGTCACCTTTTGAAGCAATGAACTCCGCGTGCCTCTCGAGGTGTCAGCGGGATGTGAGGCCTTCCGTCAAAATGAGGCAGGGACCTAGGGCTTTCTCTAAGGTCTCCACAGGGGATTCAGACATCCCTTCATGTTGTGAGATGAAAGACGAGCCTGTCTTCAAGCCACTGCAAGGAAATCCGGCCTCCTTTCAAGTTAGGGCTTCTCGCTGTATATTCCCCTTGAGGCAGCAAACTCGGGGTCCCTCCCACATACCTATTGCTGAGAGAAGCCTCCTCCTGAGGTGCTTCTGGAAAGTTGGCATACGTCTTGAGCCTAAGCCAGGGAATCAGCTCTCATCTCGAGACGATTTGGGGTACACGGGGCATTCCTCGAGGTGCTGTGCTGAAGTTGGTGTTCCTCTAGACTTGGGACAGTGTTCTCGGGGCATCTCTGGAGATGCCTGAAGGAAGTCGAGCCACCGGTCGTGTTGAATGGGGAACGGGGAATGGCTCTGGAGTCAATGCAGGGGAATCGAGCCTCATCTCGAGTTCATTTGGTGACATGGAGCTGCTTTGCGTTGCTGGGGTGACCTCAGGGTCCGTCTAGACTGGTGACAGTGTTCTTGGGGACTGTCTCGAGATCCGTTAAGCAAGTCGAAGCTCCTGACTTGTTTGAAAGGGATCACGGAATAGCTCTGCATGCACTGCAGGGGAATGGGGCCTCATCTCGCCTCTAGGGGGAAGTCTCATGGGTTTTCTCGAGTTGCGGCGGGGACCTGGGGTATGTTCTCGACTTACGGCGGGGATGGCCCTTCCAAACACGAGTTTCCTCAGTGACGTCAGGACTCCTGTCTAGTAACGAGGGACACCTCAGGAATCTCTTCGAGGCGTGGCAGGGCAAAAGGGACGCTTCTCGAGGTGAGGCAGGGCACCCAAGGACCCTTTCCAGTAGCCACAGGGATTTTGGGATTCCTATGAGTATTCAGGAGGAGTCAGGCATCGTCACCTTTTGAAGCAATGAACTCCGCGTGCCTCTCGAGGTGTCAGCGGGATGTGAGGCCTTCCGTCAAAATGAGGCAGGGACCTAGGGCTTTCTATAAGGTCTCCACAGGGGATTCAGACATCCCTTCATGTTGTGAGATGAAAGACGAGCCTGTCTTCAAGCCACTGCAAGGAAATCCGGCCTCCTTTCAAGTTAGGGCTTCTCGCTGTATATTCCCCTTGAGGCAGCAAACTCGGGGTCCCTCCCACATACCTATTGCTGAGAGAAGCCTCCTCCTGAGGTGCTTCTGGAAAGTTGGCATACGTCTTGAGCCTAAGCCAGTGAATCAGCTCTCATCTCGAGACGATTTGGGGTACACGGGGCATTCCTCGAGTTGCTGTGCTGAAGTTGCTGTTCCTCTAGACTTGGGACAGTGTTCTCGGGGCATCTCTGGAGATGCCTGAAGGAAGTCGAGCCACCGGTCGTGTTGAATGGGGAACGGGGAATGGCTCTGGAGTAAATGCAGGGGAATCGAGCCTCATCTCGAGTTCATTTGGTGACATGGAGCTGCTTTGCGTTGCTGGGGTGAACTCAGGGTCCGTCTAGACTGGTGACAGTGTTCTTGGGGACTGTCTCGAGATCCGTTAAGCAAGTCGAAGCTCCTGACTTGTTTGAAAGGGATCACGGAATAGCTCTGCATGCACTGCAGGGGAATGGGGCCTCATCTCGCCTCTAGGGGGAAGTCTCATCGGTTTTCTCGAGTTGCGGCGGGGACCTGGGGTATGTTCTCGACTTACGGCGGGGATGGCCCTTCCAAACACGAGTTTCCTCAGTGACGTCAGGACTCCTGTCTAGTAACGAGGGACACCTCAGGAATCTCTTCGAGGCGTGGCAGGGCAAAAGGGACGCTTCTCGAGGTGAGGCAGGGCACCCAAGGACCCTTTCCAGTAGCCACAGGGATTTTGGGATTCCTATGAGTATTCAGGAGGAGTCAGGCATCGTCACCTTTTGAAGCAATGAACTCCGCGTGCCTCTCGAGGTGTCAGCGGGATGTGAGGCCTTCCGTCAAAATGAGGCAGGGACCTAGGGCTTTCTCTAAGGTCTCCACAGGGGATTCAGACATCCCTTCATGTTGTGAGATGAAAGACGAGCCTGTCTTCAAGCCACTGCAAGGAAATCCGGCCTCCTTTCAAGTTAGGGCTTCTCGCTGTATATTCCCCTTGAGGCAGCAAACTCGGGGTCCCTCCCACATACCTATTGCTGAGAGAAGCCTCCCCCTGAGGTGCTTCTGGAAAGTTGGCATACGTCTTGAGCCTAAGCCAGGGAATCAGCTCTCATCTCGAGACGATTTGGGGTACACGGAGCATTCCTCGAGTTGCTGTGCTGAAGTTGGTGTTCCTCTAGACTTGGGACAGTGTTCTCGGGGCATCTCTGGAGATGCCTGAAGGAAGTCGAGCCACCGGTCGTGTTGAATGGGGAACGGGGAATGGCTCTGGAGTCAATGCAGGGGAATCGGGCCTCATCTCGGGTTGATTTGGGGCACATGGAGCTGCTTTGCGTTGCTGGGGTGACCTCAGGGTCCGTCTAGACTGGTGACAGTGTTCTTGGGGACTGTCTCGAGATCCGTTAAGCAAGTCGAAGCTCCTGACTTGTTTGAATGGGATCACGGAATAGCTCTGCATGCACTGCAGGGGAATGGGGCCTCATCTCGCCTCTAGGGGGAAGTCTCATGGGTTTTCTCGAGTTGCGGCGGGGACCTGGGGTATGTTCTCGACTTACGGCGGGGATGGCCCTTCCAAACACGAGTTTCCTCAGTGACGTCAGGACTCCTGTCTAGTAACGAGGGACACCTCAGGAATCTCTTCGAGGCTTGGCAGGGCAAAAGGGACGCTTCTCGAGGTGAGGCAGGGCACCCAAGGACCCTTTCCAGTAGCCACAGGGATTTTGGGATTCCTATGAGTATTCAGGAGGAGTCAGGCATCGTCACCTTTTGAAGCAATGAACTCCGCGTGCCTCTCGAGGTGTCAGCGGGATGTGAGGCCTTCCGTCAAAATGAGGCAGGGACCTAGGGCTTTCTCTAAGGTCTCCACAGGGGATTCAGACATCCCTTCATGTTGTGAGATGAAAGACGAGCCTGTCTTCAAGCCACTGCAAGGAAATCCGGCCTCCTTTCAAGTTAGGGCTTCTCGCTGTATATTCCCCTTGAGGCAGCAAACTCGGGGTCCCTCCCACATACCTATTGCTGAGAGAAGCCTCCTCCTGAGGTGCTTCTGGAAAGTTGGCATACGTCTTGAGCCTAAGCCAGGGAATCAGCTCTCATCTCGAGACGATTTGGGGTACACGGGGCATTCCTCGAGTTGCTGTGCTGAAGTTGGTGTTCCTCTAGACTTGGGACAGTGTTCTCGGGGCATCTCTGGAGATGCCTGAAGGAAGTCGAGCCACCGGTCGTGTTGAATGGGGAACGGGGAATGGCTCTGGAGTCAATGCAGGGGAATCGAGCCTCATCTCGAGTTCATTTGGTGACATGGAGCTGCTTTGCGTTGCTGGGGTGACCTCAGGGTCCGTCTAGACTGGTGACAGTGTTCTTGGGGACTGTCTCGAGATCCGTTAAGTAAGTCGAAGCTCCTGACTTGTTTGAAAGGGATCACGGAATAGCTCTGCATGCACTGCAGGGGAATGGGGCCTCATCTCGCCTCTAGGGGGAAGTCTCATGGGTTTTCTCGAGTTGCGGCGGGGACCTGGGGTATGTTCTCGACTTACGGCGGGGATGGCCCTTCCAAACACGAGTTTCCTCAGTGACGTCAGGACTCCTGTCTAGTAACGAGGGACACCTCAGGAATCTCTTCTAGGCTTGGCAGGGCAAAAGGGACGCTTCTCGAGGTGAGGCAGGGCACCCAAGGACCCTTTCCAGTAGCCACAGGGATTTTGGGATTCCTATGAGTATTCAGGAGGAGTCAGGCATCGTCACCTTTTGAAGCAATGAACTCCGCGTGCCTCTCGAGGTGTCAGCGGGATGTGAGGCCTTCCGTCAAAATGAGGCAGGGACCTAGGGCTTTCTCTAAGGTCTCCACAGGGGATTCAGACATCCCTTCATGTTGTGAGATGAAAGACGAGCCTGTCTTCAAGCCACTGCAAGGAAATCCGGCCTCCTTTCAAGTTAGGGCTTCTCGCTGTATATTCCCCTTGAGGCAGCAAACTCGGGGTCCCTCCCACATACCTATTGCTGAGAGAAGCCTCCTCCTGAGGTGCTTCTGGAAAGTTGGCATACGTCTTGAGCCTAAGCCAGGGAATCAGCTCTCATCTCGAGACGATTTGGGGTACACGGAGCATTCCTCGAGTTGCTGTGCTGAAGTTGGCGTTCCTCTAGACTTGGGACAGTGTTCTTGGGGCATCTCTGGAGATGCCTGAAGGAAGTCGAGCCACCGGTCCTGTTGAATGGGCAACAGGGAATGGCTCTGGAGTCAATGCAGGGGAATCGGGCCTCATCTCGAGTTCATTTGGGGGACATGGAGCTGCTTTACGTTGCTGGGGTGACCTCAGGGTCCGTCTAGACTGGTGACAGTGTTCTTGGGGACTGTCTCGAGATCCGTTAAGCAAGTCGAAGCTCCTGACTTGTTTGAATGGGATCACGGAATAGCTCTGCATGCACTGCAGGGGAATGGGGCCTCATCTCGCCTCTAGGGGGAAGTCTCATGGGTTTTCTCGAGTTGCGGCGGGGACCTGGGGTATGTTCTCGACTTACGGCGGGGATGGCCCTTCCAAACACGAGTTTCCTCAGTGACGTCAGGACTCCTGTCTAGTAACGAGGGACACCTCAGGAATCTCTTCGAGGCTTGGCAGGGCAAAAGGGACGCTTCTCGAGGTGAGGCAGGGCACCCAAAGACCCTTTCCAGTAGCCACAGGGATTTTGGGATTCCTATGAGTATTCAGGAGGAGTCAGGCATCGTCACCTTTTGAAGCAATGAACTCCGCGTGCCTCTCGAGGTGTCAGCGGGATGTGAGGCCTTCCGTCAAAATGAGGCAGGGACCTAGGGCTTTCTCTAAGGTCTCCACAGGGGATTCAGACATCCCTTCATGTTGTGAGATGAAAGACGAGCCTGTCTTCAAGCCACTGCAAGGAAATCCGGCCTCCTTTCAAGTTAGGGCTTCTCGCTGTATATTCCCCTTGAGGCAGCAAACTCGGGGTCCCTCCCACATACCTATTGCTGAGAGAAGCCTCCTCCTGAGGTGCTTCTGGAAAGTTGGCATACGTCTCGAGCCTAAGCCAGGGAATCAGCTCTCATCTCGAGACAATTTGGGGTACACGGAGCATTCCTCGAGTTGCTGTGCTGAAGTTGGTGTTCCTCTAGACTTGGGACAGTGTTCTCGGGGCATCTCTGGAGATGCCTGAAGGAAGTCGAGCCACCGGTCGTGTTGAATGGGGAACGGGGAATGGCTCTGGAGTCAATGCAGGGGAATCGGGCCTCATCTCGGGTTGATTTGGGGCACATGGAGCTGCTTTGCGTTGCTGGGGTGACCTCAGGGTCCGTCTAGACTGGTGACAGTGTTCTTGGGGACTGTCTCGAGATCCGTTAAGCAAGTCGAAGCTCCTGACTTGTTTGAATGGGATCACGGAATAGCTCTGCATGCACTGCAGGGGAATGGGGCCTCATCTCGCCTCTAGGGGGAAGTCTCATGGGTTTTCTCGAGTTGCGGCGGGGACCTGGGGTATGTTCTCGACTTACGGCGGGGATGGCCCTTCCAAACACGAGTTTCCTCAGTGACGTCAGGACTCCTGTCTAGTAACGAGGGACACCTCAGGAATCTCTTCGAGGCTTGGCAGGGCAAAAGGGACGCTTCTCGAGGTGAGGCAGGGCACCCAAGGACCCTTTCCAGTAGCCACAGGGATTTTGGGATTCCTATGAGTATTCAGGAGGAGTCAGGCATCGTCACCTTTTGAAGCAATGAACTCCGCGTGCCTCTCGAGGTGTCAGCGGGATGTGAGGCCTTCCGTCAAAATGAGGCAGGGACCTAGGGCTTTCTCTAAGGTCTACACAGGGGATTCAGACATCCCTTCATGTTGTGAGATGAAAGACGAGCCTGTCTTCAAGCCACTGCAAGGAAATCCGGCCTCCTTTCAAGTTAGGGCTTCTCGCTGTATATTCCCCTTGAGGCAGCAAACTCGGGGTCTCTCCCACATACCTATTGCTGAGAGAAGCCTCCTCCTGAGGTGCTTCTGGAAAGTTGGCATACGTCTTGAGCCTAAGCCAGGGAATCAGCTCTCATCTCGAGACGATTTGGGGTACACGGAGCATTCCTCGAGTTGCTGTGCTGAAGTTGGTGTTCCTCTAGACTTGGGACAGTGTTCTCGGGGCATCTCTGGAGATGCCTGAAGGAAGTCAAGCCACCGGTCTTGTTGAATGGGCAACGGGGAATGGCTCTGGAGTCAATGCAGGGGAATCGGGCCTCATCTCGGGTTGATTTGGGGCACATGGAGCTGCTTTGCGTTGCTGGGGTGACCTCAGGGTCCGTCTAGACTGGGGACAGTGTTCTTGGGGACTGTCTCGAGATCCGTTAAGCAAGTCGAAGCTCCTGACTTGTTTGAATGGGATCACGGAATAGCTCTGCATGCACTGCAGGGGAATGGGGCCTCATCTCGCCTCTAGGGGGAAGTCTCATGGGTTTTCTCGAGTTGCGGCGGGGACCTGGGGTATGTTCTCGACTTACGGCGGGGATGGCCCTTCCAAACACGAGTTTCCTCAGTGACGTCAGGACTCCTGTCTAGTAACGAGGGACACCTCAGGAATCTCTTCGAGGCTTGGCAGGGCAAAAGGGACGCTTCTCGAGGTGAGGCAGGGCACCCAAGGACCCTTTCCAGTAGCCACAGGGATTTTGGGATTCCTATGAGTATTCAGGAGGAGTCAGGCATCGTCACCTTTTGAAGCAATGAACTCCGCGTGCCTCTCGAGGTGTCAGCGGGATGTGAGGCCTTCCGTCAAAATGAGGCAGGGACCTAGGGCTTTCTCTAAGGTCTCCACAGGGGATTCAGACATCCCTTCATGTTGTGAGATGAAAGACGAGCCTGTCTTCAAGCCACTGCAAGGAAATCCGGCCTCCTTTCAAGTTAGGGCTTCTCGCTGTATATTCCCCTTGAGGCAGCAAACTCGGGGTCCCTCCCACATACCTATTGCTGAGAGAAGCCTCCTCCTGAGGTGCTTCTGGAAAGTTGGCATACGTCTTGAGCCTAAGCCAGGGAATCAGCTCTCATCTCGAGACGATTTGGGGTACACGGAGCATTCCTCGAGTTGCTGTGCTGAAGTTGGTGTTCCTCTAGACTTGGGACAGTGTTCTCGGGGCATCTCTGGAGATGCCTGAAGGAAGTCGAGCCACCGGTCGTGTTGAATGGGGAACGGGGAATGGCTCTGGAGTCAATGCAGGGGAATCGGGCCTCATCTCGGGTTGATTTGGGGCACATGGAGCTGCTTTGCGTTGCTGGGGTGACCTCAGGGTCCGTCTAGACTGGTGACAGTGTTCTTGGGGACTGTCTCGAGATCCGTTAAGCAAGTCGAAGCTCCTGACTTGTTTGAATGGGATCACGGAATAGCTCTGCATGCACTGCAGGGGAATGGGGCCTCATCTCGCCTCTAGGGGAAAGTCTCATGGGTTTTCTCGAGTTGCGGCGGGGACCTGGGGTATGTTCTCGACTTATGGCGGGGATGGCCCTTCCAAACACGAGTTTCCTCAGTGACGTCAGGACTCCTGTCTAGTAACGAGGGACACCTCAGGAATCTCTTCGAGGCTTGGCAGGGCAAAAGGGACGCTTCTCGAGGTGAGGCAGGGCACCCAAGGACCCTTTCCAGTAGCCACAGGGATTTTGGGATTCCTATGAGTATTCAGGAGGAGTCAGGCATCGTCACCTTTTGAAGCAATGAACTCCGCGTGCCTCTCGAGGTGTCAGCGGGATGTGAGGCCTTCCGTCAAAATGAGGCAGGGACCTAGGGCTTTCTCTAAGGTCTACACAGGGGATTCAGACACCCCTTCATGTTGTGAGATGAAAGACGAGCCTGTCTTCAAGCCACTGCAAGGAAATCCGGCCTCCTTTCAAGTTAGGGCTTCTCGCTGTATATTCCCCTTGAGGCAGCAAACTCGGGGTCTCTCCCACATACCTATTGCTGAGAGAAGCCTCCTCCTGAGGTGCTTCTGGAAAGTTGGCATACGTCTTGAGCCTAAGCCAGGGAATCAGCTCTCATCTCGAGACGATTTGGGGTACACGGAGCATTCCTCGAGTTGCTGTGCTGAAGTTGGTGTTCCTCTAGACTTGGGACAGTGTTCTCGGGGCATCTCTGGAGATGCCTGAAGGAAGTCAAGCCACCGGTCGTGTTGAATGGGCAACGGGGAATGGCTCTGGAGTCAATGCAGGGGAATCGGGCCTCATCTCGGGTTGATTTGGGGCACATGGAGCTGCTTTGCGTTGCTGGGGTGACCTCAGGGTCCGTCTAGACTGGGGACAGTGTTCTTGGGGACTGTCTCGAGATCCGTTAAGCAAGTCGAAGCTCCTGACTTGTTTGAATGGGATCACGGAATAGCTCTGCATGCACTGCAGGGGAATGGGGCCTCATCTCGCCTCTAGGGGGAAGTCTCATGGGTTTTCTCGAGTTGCGGCGGGGACCTGGGGTATGTTCTCGACTTACGGCGGGGATGGCCCTTCCAAACACGAGTTTCCTCAGTGACGTCAGGACTCCTGTCTAGTAACGAGGGACACCTCAGGAATCTCTTCGAGGCTTGGCAGGGCAAAAGGGACGCTTCTCGAGGTGAGGCAGGGCACCCAAGGACCCTTTCCAGTAGCCACAGGGATTTTGGGATTCCTATGAGTATTCAGGAGGAGTCAGGCATCGTCACAATTTGAAGCAATGAACTCCGCGTGCCTCTCGAGGTGTCAGCGGGATGTGAGGCCTTCCGTCAAAATGAGGCAGGGACCTAGGGCTTTCTCTAAGGTCTCCACAGGGGATTCAGACATCCCTTCATGTTGTGAGATGAAAGAGGAGCCTGTCTTCAAGCCACTGCAAGGAAATCCGGCCTCCTTTCAAGTTAGGGCTTCTCGCTGTATATTCCCCTTGAGGCAGCAAACTCGGGGTCCCTCCCACATACCTATTGCTGAGAGAAGCCTCCTCCTGAGGTGCTTCTGGAAAGTTGGCATACGTCTTGAGCCTAAGCCAGGGAATCAGCTCTCATCTCGAGACGATTTGGGGTACACGGAGCATTCCTCGAGTTGCTGTGCTGAAGTTGGTGTTCCTCTAGACTTGGGACAGTGTTCTCGGGGCATCTCTGGAGATGCCTGAAGGAAGTCGAGCCACCGGTCGTGTTGAATGGGGAACGGGGAATGGCTCTGGAGTCAATGCAGGGGAATCGGGCCTCATCTCGGGTTGATTTGGGGCACATGGAGCTGCTTTGCGTTGCTGGGGTGACCTCAGGGTCCGTCTAGACTGGTGACAGTGTTCTTGGGGACTGTCTCGAGATCCGTTAAGCAAGTCGAAGCTCCTGACTTGTTTGAATGGGATCACGGAATAGCTCTGCATGCACTGCAGGGGAATGGGGCCTCATCTCGCCTCTAGGGGAAAGTCTCATGGGTTTTCTCGAGTTGCGGCGGGGACCTGGGGTATGTTCTCGACTTACGGCGGGGATGGCCCTTCCAAACACGAGTTTCCTCAGTGACGTCAGGACTCCTGTCTAGTAACGAGGGACACCTCAGGAATCTCTTCGAGGCTTGGCAGGGCAAAAGGGACGCTTCTCGAGGTGAGGCAGGGCACCCAAGGACCCTTTCCAGTAGCCACAGGGATTTTGGGATTCCTATGAGTATTCAGGAGGAGTCAGGCATCGTCACCTTTTGAAGCAATGAACTCCGCGTGCCTCTCGAGGTGTCAGCGGGATGTGAGGCCTTCCGTCAAAATGAGGCAGGGACCTAGGGCTTTCTCTAAGGTCTCCACAGGGGATTCAGACATCCCTTCATGTTGTGAGATGAAAGACGAGCCTGTCTTCAAGCCACTGCAAGGAAATCCGGCCTCCTTTCAAGTTAGGGCTTCTCGCTGTATATTCCCCTTGAGGCAGCAAACTCGGGGTCCCTCCCACATACCTATTGCTGAGAGAAGCCTCCTCCTGAGGTGCTTCTGGAAAGTTGGCATACGTCTTGAGCCTAAGCCAGGGAATCAGCTCTCATCTCGAGACGATTTGGGGTACACGGAGCATTCCTCGAGTTGCTGTGCTGAAGTTGGTGTTCCTCTAGACTTGGGACAGTGTTCTCGGGGCATCTCTGGAGATGCCTGAAGCAAGTCGAGCCACCGGTCGTGTTGAATGGGCAACGGGGAATGGCTCTGGAGTCAATGCAGGGGAATCGGGCCTCATCTTAGGTTGATTTGGGGCACATGGAGCTGCTTTGCGTTGCTGAGGTGACCTCAGGGTCCGTCTAGACTGGTGACAGTGTTCTTGGGGACTGTCTCGAGATCCGTTAAGCAAGTCGAAGCTCCTGACTTGTTTGAATGGGATCACGGAATAGCTCTGCATGCACTGCAGGGGAATGGGGCCTCATCTCGCCTCTAGGGGGAAGTCTCATGGGTTTTCTCGAGTTGCGGCGGGGACCTGGGGTATGTTCTCGACTTACGGCGGGGATGGCCCTTCCAAACACGAGTTTCCTCAGTGACGTCAGGACTCCTGTCTAGTAACGAGGGACACCTCAGGAATCTCTTCGAGGCTTGGCAGGGCAAAAGGGACGCTTCTCGAGGTGAGGCAGGGCACCCAAGGACCCTTTCCAGTAGCCACAGGGATTTTGGGATTCCTATGAGTATTCAGGAGGAGTCAGGCATCGTCACCTTTTGAAGCAATGAACTCCGCGTGCCTCTCGAGGTGTCAGCGGGATGTGAGGCCTTCCGTCAAAATGAGGCAGGGACCTAGGGCTTTCTCTAAGGTCTCCACAGGGGATTCAGACATCCCTTCATGTTGTGAGATGAAAGACGAGCCTGTCTTCAAGCCACTGCAAGGAAATCCGGCCTCCTTTCAAGTTAGGGCTTCTCGCTGTATATTCCCCTTGAGGCAGCAAACTCGGGGTCCCTCCCACATACCTATTGCTGAGAGAAGCCTCCTCCTGAGGTGCTTCTGGAAAGTTGGCATACGTCTTGAGCCTAAGCCAGGGAATCAGCTCTCATCTCGAGACGATTTGGGGTACACGGAGCATTCCTCGAGTTGCTGTGCTGAAGTTGGTGTTCCTCTAGACTTGGGACAGTGTTCTCGGGGCATCTCTGGAGATGCCTGAAGGAAGTCGAGCCACCGGTCGTGTTGAATGGGCAACGGGGAATGGCTCTGGAGTCAATGCAGGGGAATCGGGCCTCATCTCGGGTTGATTTGGGGCACATGGAGCTGCTTTGCGTTGCTGGGGTGACCTCAGGGTCCGTCTAGACTGGTGACAGTGTTCTTGGGGACTGTCTCGAGATCCGTTAAGCAAGTCGAAGCTCCTGACTTGTTTGAATGGGATCACGGAATAGCTCTGCATGCACTGCAGGGGAATGGGGCCTCATCTCGCCTCTAGGGGGAAGTCTCATGGGTTTTCTCGAGTTGCGGCGGGGACCTGGGGTATGTTCTCGACTTACGGCGGGGATGGCCCTTCCAAACACGAGTTTCCTCAGTGACGTCAGGACTCCTGTCTAGTAACGAGGGACACCTCAGGAATCTCTTCGAGGCTTGGCAGGGCAAAAGGGACGCTTCTCGAGGTGAGGCAGGGCACCCAAGGACCCTTTCCAGTAGCCACAGGGATTTTGGGATTCCTATGAGTATTCAGGAGGAGTCAGGCATCGTCACAATTTGAAGCAATGAACTCCGCGTGCCTCTCGAGGTGTCAGCGGGATGTGAGGCCTTCCGTCAAAATGAGGCAGGGACCTAGGGCTTTCTCTAAGGTCTCCACAGGGGATTCAGACATCCCTTCATGTTGTGAGATGAAAGACGAGCCTGTCTTCAAGCCACTGCAAGGAAATCCGGCCTCCTTTCAAGTTAGGGCTTCTCGCTGTATATTCCCCTTGAGGCAGCAAACTCGGGGTCCCTCCCACATACCTATTGCTGAGAGAAGCCTCCTCCTGAGGTGCTTCTGGAAAGTTGGCATACGTCTTGAGCCTAAGCCAGGGAATCAGCTCTCATCTCGAGACGATTTGGGGTACACGGAGCATTCCTCGAGTTGCTGTGCTGAAGGTGGTGTTCCTCTAGACTTGGGACAGTGTTCTCGGGGCATCTCTGGAGATGCCTGAAATAAGTCGAGCCACCGTTCGTGTTGAATGGGGAACGGGGAATGGCTCTGGAGTCAATGCAGGGGAATCGGGCCTCATCTCGGGTTGATTTGGGGCACATGGAGCTGCTTTGCATTGCTGGGGTGACCTCAGGGTCCGTCTAGACTGGTGACAGTGTTCTTGGGGACTGTCTCGAGATCCGTTAAGCAAGTCGAAGCTCCTGACTTGTTTGAATGGGATCACGGAATAGCTCTGCATGCACTGCAGGGGAATGGGGCCTCATCTCGCCTCTAGGGGGAAGTCTCATGGGTTTTCTCGAGTTGCGGCGGGGACCTGGGGTATGTTCTCGACTTACGGCGGGGATGGCCCTTCCAAACACGAGTTTCCTCAGTGACGTCAGGACTCCTGTCTAGTAACGAGGGACACCTCAGGAATCTCTTCGAGGCTTGGCAGGGCAAAAGGGACGCTTCTCGAGGTGAGGCAGGGCACCCAAGGACCCTTTCCAGTAGCCACAGGGATTTTGGGATTCCTATGAGTATTCAGGAGGAGTCAGGCATCGTCACCTTTTGAAGCAATGAACTCCGCGTGCCTCTCGAGGTGTCAGCGGGATGTGAGGCCTTCCGTCAAAATGAGGCAGGGACCTAGGGCTTTCTCTAAGGTCTCCACAGGGGATTCAGACATCCCTTCATGTTGTGAGATGAAAGACGAGCCTGTCTTCAAGCCACTGCAAGGAAATCCGGCCTCCTTTCAAGTTAGGGCTTCTCGCTGTATATTCCCCTTGAGGCAGCAAACTCGGGGTCCCTCCCACATTCCTATTGCTGAGAGAAGCCTCCTCCTGAGGTGCTTCTGGAAAGTTGGCATACGTCTTGAGCCTAAGCCAGGGAATCAGCTCTCATCTCGAGACGATTTGGGGTACACGGAGCATTCCTCGAGTTGCTGTGCTGAAGTTGGTGTTCCTCTAGACTTGGGACAGTGTTCTCGGGGCATCTCTGGAGATGCCTGAAGGAAGTCGAGCCACCGGTCGTGTTGAATGGGGAACGGGGAATGGCTCTGTAGTCAATGCAGGGGAATCGGGCCTCATCTCGGGTTGATTTGGGGCACATGGAGCTGCTTTGCGTTGCTGGGGTGACCTCAGGGGCCGTCTAGACTGGTGACAGTGTTCTTGGGGACTGTCTCGAGATCCGTTAAGCAAGTCGAAGCTCCTGACTTGTTTGAATGGGATCACGGAATAGCTCTGCATGCACTGCAGGGGAATGGGGCCTCATCTCGCCTCTAGGGGAAAGTCTCATGGGTTTTCTCGAGTTGCGGCGGGGACCTGGGGTATGTTCTCGACTTACGGCGGGGATGGCCCTTCCAAACACGAGTTTCCTCAGTGACGTCAGGACTCCTGTCTAGTAACGAGGGACACCTCAGGAATCTCTTCGAGGCTTGGCAGGGCAAAAGGGACGCTTCTCGAGGTGAGGCAGGGCACCCAAGGACCCTTTCCAGTAGCCACAGGGATTTTGGGATTCCTATGAGTATTCAGGAGGAGTCAGGCATCGTCACAATTTGAAGCAATGAACTCCGCGTGCCTCTCGAGGTGTCAGCGGGATGTGAGGCCTTCCGTCAAAATGAGGCAGGGACCTAGGGCTTTCTCTAAGGTCTCCACAGGGGATTCAGACATCCCTTCATGTTGTGAGATGAAAGAGGAGCCTGTCTTCAAGCCACTGCAAGGAAATCCGGCCTCCTTTCAAGTTAGGGCTTCTCGCTGTATATTCCCCTTGAGGCAGCAAACTCGGGGTCCCTCCCACATACCTATTGCTGAGAGAAGCCTCCTCCTGAGGTGCTTCTGGAAAGTTGGCATACGTCTTGAGCCTAAGCCAGGGAATCAGCTCTCATCTCGAGACGATTTGGGGTACACGGAGCATTCCTCGAGTTGCTGTGCTGAAGTTGGTGTTCCTCTAGACTTGGGACAGTGTTCTCGGGGCATCTCTGGAGATGCCTGAAGGAAGTCGAGCCACCGGTCGTGTTGAATGGGGAACGGGGAATGGCTCTGGAGTCAATGCAGGGGAATCGGGCCTCATCTCGGGTTGATTTGGGGCACATGGAGCTGCTTTGCGTTGCTGGGGTGACCTCAGGGTCCGTCTAGACTGGTGACAGTGTTCTTGGGGACTGTCTCGAGATCCGTTAAGCAAGTCGAAGCTCCTGACTTGTTTGAATGGGATCACAGAATAGCTCTGCATGCACTGCAGGGGAATGGGGCCTCATCTCGCCTCTAGGGGAAAGTCTCATGGGTTTTCTCGAGTTGCGGCGGGGACCTGGGGTATGTTCTCGACTTACGGCGGGGATGGCCCTTCCAAACACGAGTTTCCTCAGTGACGTCAGGACTCCTGTCTAGTAACGAGGGACACCTCAGGAATCTCTTCGAGGCTTGGCAGGGCAAAAGGGACGCTTCTCGAGGTGAGGCAGGGCACCCAAGGACCCTTTCCAGTAGCCACAGGGATTTTGGGATTCCTATGAGTATTCAGGAGGAGTCAGGCATCGTCACAATTTGAAGCAATGATCTCCGCGTGCCTCTCGAGGTGTCAGCGGGATGTGAGGCCTTCCGTCAAAATGAGGCAGGGACCTAGGGCTTTCTCTAAGGTCTCCACAGGGGATTCAGACATCCCTTCATGTTGTGAGATGAAAGACGAGCCTGTCTTCAAGCCACTGCAAGGAAATCCGGCCTCCTTTCAAGTTAGGGCTTCTCGCTGTATATTCCCCTTGAGGCAGCAAACTCGGGGTCCCTCCCACATACCTATTGCTGAGAGAAGCCTCCTCCTGAGGTGCTTCTGGAAAGTTGGCATACGTCTTGAGCCTAAGCCAGGGAATCAGCTCTCATCTCGAGACGATTTGGGGTACACGGAGCATTCCTCGAGTTGCTGTGCTGAAGGTGGTGTTCCTCTAGACTTGGGACAGTGTTCTCGGGGCATCTCTGGAGATGCCTGAAAGAAGTCGAGCCACCGTTCGTGTTGAATGGGGAACGGGGAATGGCTCTGGAGTCAATGCAGGGGAATCGGGCCTCATCTCGGGTTGATTTGGGGCACATGGAGCTGCTTTGCGTTGCTGGGGTGACCTCAGGGTCCGTCTAGACTGGTGACAGTGTTCTTGGGGACTGTCTCGAGATCCGTTAAGCAAGTCGAAGCTCCTGACTTGTTTGAATGGGATCACGGAATAGCTCTGCATGCACTGCAGGGGAATGGGGCCTCATCTCGCCTCTAGGGGGAAGTCTCATGGTTTTTCTCGAGTTGCGGCGGGGACCTGGGGTATGTTCTCGACTTACGGCGGGGATGGCCCTTCCAAACACGAGTTTCCTCAGTGACGTCAGGACTCCTGTCTAGTAACGAGGGACACCTCAGGAATCTCTTCGAGGCTTGGCAGGGCAAAAGGGACGCTTCTCGAGGTGAGGCAGGGCACCCAAGGACCCTTTCCAGTAGCCACAGGGATTTTGGGATTCCTATGAGTATTCAGGAGGAGTCAGGCATCGTCACCTTTTGAAGCAATGAACTCCGCGTGCCTCTCGAGGTGTCAGCGGGATGTGAGGCCTTCCGTCAAAATGAGGCAGGGACCTAGGGCTTTCTCTAAGGTCTCCACAGGGGATTCAGACATCCCTTCATGTTGTGAGATGAAAGACGAGCCTGTCTTCAAGCCACTGCAAGGAAATCCGGCCTCCTTTCAAGTTAGGGCTTCTCGCTGTATATTCCCCTTGAGGCAGCAAACTCGGGGTCCCTCCCACATTCCTATTGCTGAGAGAAGCCTCCTCCTGAGGTGCTTCTGGAAAGTTGGCATACGTCTTGAGCCTAAGCCAGGGAATCAGCTCTCATCTCGAGACGATTTGGGGTACACGGAGCATTCCTCGAGTTGCTGTGCTGAAGTTGGTGTTCCTCTAGACTTGGGACAGTGTTCTCGGGGCATCTCTGGAGATGCCTGAAGGAAGTCGAGCCACCGGTCGTGTTGAATGGGGAACGGGGAATGGCTCTGGAGTCAATGCAGGGGAATCGGGCCTCATCTCGGGTTGATTTGGGGCACATGGAGCTGCTTTGCGTTGCTGGGGTGACCTCAGGGTCCGTCTAGACTGGTGACAGTGTTCTTGGGGACTGTCTCGAGATCCGTTAAGCAAGTCGAAGCTCCTGACTTGTTTGAATGGGATCACGGAATAGCTCTGCATGCACTGCAGGGGAATGGGGCCTCATCTCGCCTCTAGGGGGAAGTCTCATGGGTTTTCTCGAGTTGCGGCGGGGACCTGGGGTATGTTCTCGACTTACGGCGGGGATGGCCCTTCCAAACACGAGTTTCCTCAGTGACGTCAGGACTCCTGTCTAGTAACGAGGGACACCTCAGGAATCTCTTCGAGGCTTGGCAGGGCAAAAGGGACGCTTCTCGAGGTGAGGCAGGGCACCCAAGGACCCTTTCCAGTAGCCACAGGGATTTTGGGATTCCTATGAGTATTCAGGAGGAGTCAGGCATCGTCACCTTTTGAAGCAATGAACTCCGCGTGCCTCTCGAGGTGTCAGCGGGATGTGAGGCCTTCCGTCAAAATGAGGCAGGGACCTAGGGCTTTCTCTAAGGTCTCCACAGGGGATTCAGACACCCCTTCATGTTGTGAGATGAAAGACGAGCCTGTCTTCAAGCCACTGCAAGGAAATCCGGCCTCCTTTCAAGTTAGGGCTTCTCGCTGTATATTCCCCTTGAGGCAGCAAACTCGGGGTCCCTCCCACATTCCTATTGCTGAGAGAAGCCTCCTCCTGAGGTGCTTCTGGAAAGTTGGCATACGTCTTGAGCCTAAGCCAGGGAATCAGCTCTCATCTCGAGACGATTTGGGGTACACGGAGCATTCCTCGAGTTGCTGTGCTGAAGTTGGTGTTCCTCTAGACTTGGGACAGTGTTCTCGGGGCATCTCTGGAGATGCCTGAGGGAAGTCGAGCCACCGGTCGTGTTGAATGGGGAACGGGGAATGGCTCTGGAGTCAATGCAGGGGAATCGGGCCTCATCTCGGGTTGATTTGGGGCACATGGAGCTGCTTTGCGTTGCTGGGGTGACCTCAGGGTCCGTCTAGACTGGTGACAGTGTTCTTGGGGACTGTCTCGAGATCCGTCAAGCAAGTCGAAGCTCCTGACTTGTTTGAATGGGATCACGGAATAGCTCTGCATGCACTGCAGGGGAATGGGGCCTCATCTCGCCTCTAGGGGAAAGTCTCATGGGTTTTCTCGAGTTGCGGCGGGGACCTGGGGTATGTTCTCGACTTACGGCGGGGATGGCCCTTCCAAACACGAGTTTCCTCAGTGACGTCAGGACTCCTGTCTAGTAACGAGGGACACCTCAGGAATCTCTTCGAGGCTTGGCAGGGCAAAAGGGACGCTTCTCGAGGTGAGGCAGGGCACCCAAGGACCCTTTCCAGTAGCCACAGGGATTTTGGGATTCCTATGAGTATTCAGGAGGAGTCAGGCATCGTCACAATTTGAAGCAATGAACTCCGCGTGCCTCTCGAGGTGTCAGCGGGATGTGAGGCCTTCCGTCAAAATGAGGCAGGGACCTAGGGCTTTCTCTAAGGTCTCCACAGGGGATTCAGACATCCCTTCATGTTGTGAGATGAAAGAGGAGCCTGTCTTCAAGCCACTGCAAGGAAATCCGGCCTCCTTTCAAGTTAGGGCTTCTCGCTGTATATTCCCCTTGAGGCAGCAAACTCGGGGTCCCTCCCACATACCTATTGCTGAGAGAAGCCTCCTCCTGAGGTGCTTCTGGAAAGTTGGCATACGTCTTGAGCCTAAGCCAGGGAATCAGCTCTCATCTCGAGACGATTTGGGGTACACGGAGCATTCCTCGAGTTGCTGTGCTGAAGTTGGTGTTCCTCTAGACTTGGGACAGTGTTCTCGGGGCATCTCTGGAGATGCCTGAAGGAAGTCGAGCCACCGGTTGTGTTGAATGGGGAACGGGGAATGGCTCTGGAGTCAATGCAGGGGAATCGGGCCTCATCTCGGGTTGATTTGGGGCACATGGAGCTGCTTTGCGTTGCTGGGGTGACCTCAGGGTCCGTCTAGACTGGTGACAGTGTTCTTGGGGACTGTCTCGAGATCCGTTAAGCAAGTCGAAGCTCCTGACTTGTTTGAATGGGATCACGGAATAGCTCTGCATGCACTGCAGGGGAATGGGGCCTCATCTCGCCTCTAGGGGGAAGTCTCATGGGTTTTCTTAGTTGCGGCGGGGACCTGGGGTATGTTCTCGACTTACGGCGGGGATGGCCCTTCCAAACACGAGTTTCCTCAGTGACGTCAGGACTCCTGTCTAGTAACGAGGGACACCTCAGGAATCTCTTCGAGGCTTGGCAGGGCAAAAGGGACGCTTCTCGAGGTGAGGCAGGGCACCCAAGGACCCTTTCCAGTAGCCACAGGGATTTTGGGATTCCTATGAGTATTCAGGAGGAGTCAGGCATCGTCACAATTTGAAGCAATGATCTCCGCGTGCCTCTCGAGGTGTCAGCGGGATGTGAGGCCTTCCGTCAAAATGAGGCAGGGACCTAGGGCTTTCTCTAAGGTCTCCACAGGGGATTCAGACATCCCTTCATGTTGTGAGATGAAAGACGAGCCTGTCTTCAAGCCACTGCAAGGAAATCCGGCCTCCTTTCAAGTTAGGGCTTCTCGCTGTATATTCCCCTTGAGGCAGCAAACTCGGGGTCCCTCCCACATACCTATTGCTGAGAGAAGCCTCCTCCTGAGGTGCTTCTGGAAAGTTGGCATACGTCTTGAGCCTAAGCCAGGGAATCAGCTCTCATCTCGAGACGATTTGGGGTACACGGAGCATTCCTCGAGTTGCTGTGCTGAAGGTGGTGTTCCTCTAGACTTGGGACAGTGTTCTCGGGGCATCTCTGGAGATGCCTGAAAGAAGTCGAGCCACCGTTCGTGTTGAATGGGGAACGGGGAATGGCTCTGGAGTCAATGCAGGGGAATCGGGCCTCATCTCGGGTTGATTTGGGGCACATGGAGCTGCTTTGCGTTGCTGGGGTGACCTCAGGGTCCGTCTAGACTGGTGACAGTGTTCTTGGGGACTGTCTCGAGATCCGTTAAGCAAGTCGAAGCTCCTGACTTGTTTGAATGGGATCACGGAATAGCTCTGCATGCACTGCAGGGGAATGGGGCCTCATCTCGCCTCTAGGGGGAAGTCTCATGGTTTTTCTCGAGTTGCGGCGGGGACCTGGGGTATGTTCTCGACTTACGGCGGGGATGGCCCTTCCAAACACGAGTTTCCTCAGTGACGTCAGGACTCCTGTCTAGTAACGAGGGACACCTCAGGAATCTCTTCGAGGCTTGGCAGGGCAAAAGGGACGCTTCTCGAGGTGAGGCAGGGCACCCAAGGACCCTTTCCAGTAGCCACAGGGATTTTGGGATTCCTATGAGTATTCAGGAGGAGTCAGGCATCGTCACCTTTTGAAGCAATGAACTCCGCGTGCCTCTCGAGGTGTCAGCGGGATGTGAGGCCTTCCGTCAAAATGAGGCAGGGACCTAGGGCTTTCTCTAAGGTCTCCACAGGGGATTCAGACATCCCTTCATGTTGTGAGATGAAAGACGAGCCTGTCTTCAAGCCACTGCAAGGAAATCCGGCCTCCTTTCAAGTTAGGGCTTCTCGCTGTATATTCCCCTTGAGGCAGCAAACTCGGGGTCCCTCCCACATTCCTATTGCTGAGAGAAGCCTCCTCCTGAGGTGCTTCTGGAAAGTTGGCATACGTCTTGAGCCTAAGCCAGGGAATCAGCTCTCATCTCGAGACGATTTGGGGTACACGGAGCATTCCTCGAGTTGCTGTGCTGAAGTTGGTGTTCCTCTAGACTTGGGACAGTGTTCTCGGGGCATCTCTGGAGATGCCTGAAGGAAGTCGAGCCACCGGTCGTGTTGAATGGGGAACGGGGAATGGCTCTGGAGTCAATGCAGGGGAATCGGGCCTCATCTCGGGTTGATTTGGGGCACATGGAGCTGCTTTGCGTTGCTGGGGTGACCTCAGGGTCCGTCTAGACTGGTGACAGTGTTCTTGGGGACTGTCTCGAGATCCGTTAAGCAAGTCGAAGCTCCTGACTTGTTTGAATGGGATCACGGAATAGCTCTGCATGCACTGCAGGGGAATGGGGCCTCATCTCGCCTCTAGGGGGAAGTCTCATGGGTTTTCTCGAGTTGCGGCGGGGACCTGGGGTATGTTCTCGACTTACGGCGGGGATGGCCCTTCCAAACACGAGTTTCCTCAGTGACGTCAGGACTCCTGTCTAGTAACGAGGGACACCTCAGGAATCTCTTCGAGGCTTGGCAGGGCAAAAGGGACGCTTCTCGAGGTGAGGCAGGGCACCCAAGGACCCTTTCCAGTAGCCACAGGGATTTTGGGATTCCTATGAGTATTCAGGAGGAGTCAGGCATCGTCACCTTTTGAAGCAATGAACTCCGCGTGCCTCTCGAGGTGTCAGCGGGATGTGAGGCCTTCCGTCAAAATGAGGCAGGGACCTAGGGCTTTCTCTAAGGTCTCCACAGGGGATTCAGACATCCCTTCATGTTGTGAGATGAAAGACGAGCCTGTCTTCAAGCCACTGCAAGGAAATCCGGCCTCCTTTCAAGTTAGGGCTTCTCGCTGTATATTCCCCTTGAGGCAGCAAACTCGGGGTCCCTCCCACATTCCTATTGCTGAGAGAAGCCTCCTCCTGAGGTGCTTCTGGAAAGTTGGCATACGTCTTGAGCCTAAGCCAGGGAATCAGCTCTCATCTCGAGACGATTTGGGGTACACGGAGCATTCCTCGAGTTGCTGTGCTGAAGTTGGTGTTCCTCTAGACTTGGGACAGTGTTCTCGGGGCATCTCTGGAGATGCCTGAAGGAAGTCGAGCCACCGGTCGTGTTGAATGGGGAACGGGGAATGGCTCTGGAGTCAATGCAGGGGAATCGGGCCTCATCTCGGGTTGATTTGGGGCACATGGAGCTGCTTTGCGTTGCTGGGGTGACCTCAGGGGCCGTCTAGACTGGTGACAGTGTTCTTGGGGACTGTCTCGAGATCCGTTAAGCAAGTCGAAGCTCCTGACTTGTTTGAATGGGATCACGGAATAGCTCTGCATGCACTGCAGGGGAATGGGGCCTCATCTCGCCTCTAGGGGAAAGTCTCATGGGTTTTCTCGAGTTGCGGCGGGGACCTGGGGTATGTTCTCGACTTACGGCGGGGATGGCCCTTCCAAACACGAGTTTCCTCAGTGACGTCAGGACTCCTGTCTAGTAACGAGGGACACCTCAGGAATCTCTTCGAGGCTTGGCAGGGCAAAAGGGACGCTTCTCGAGGTGAGGCAGGGCACCCAAGGACCCTTTCCAGTAGCCACAGGGATTTTGGGATTCCTATGAGTATTCAGGAGGAGTCAGGCATCGTCACAATTTGAAGCAATGAACTCCGCGTGCCTCTCGAGGTGTCAGCGGGATGTGAGGCCTTCCGTCAAAATGAGGCAGGGACCTAGGGCTTTCTCTAAGGTCTCCACAGGGGATTCAGACATCCCTTCATGTTGTGAGATGAAAGAGGAGCCTGTCTTCAAGCCACTGCAAGGAAATCCGGCCTCCTTTCAAGTTAGGGCTTCTCGCTGTATATTCCCCTTGAGGCAGCAAACTCGGGGTCCCTCCCACATACCTATTGCTGAGAGAAGCCTCCTCCTGAGGTGCTTCTGGAAAGTTGGCATACGTCTTGAGCCTAAGCCAGGGAATCAGCTGTCATCTCGAGACGATTTGGGGTACACGGAGCATTCCTCGAGTTGCTGTGCTGAAGTTGGTGTTCCTCTAGACTTGGGACAGTGTTCTCGGGGCATCTCTGGAGATGCCTGAAGGAAGTCGAGCCACCGGTCGTGTTGAATGGGGAACGGGGAATGGCTCTGGAGTCAATGCAGGGGAATCGGGCCTCATCTCGGGTTGATTTGGGGCACATGGAGCTGCTTTGCGTTGCTGGGGTGACCTCAGGGTCCGTCTAGACTGGTGACAGTGTTCTTGGGGACTGTCTCGAGATCCGTTAAGCAAGTCGAAGCTCCTGACTTGTTTGAATGGGATCACGGAATAGCTCTGCATGCACTGCAGGGGAATGGGGCCTCATCTCGCCTCTAGGGGGAAGTCTCATGGGTTTTCTCGAGTTGCGGCGGGGACCTGGGGTATGTTCTCGACTTACGGCGGGGATGGCCCTTCCAAACACGAGTTTCCTCAGTGACGTCAGGACTCCTGTCTAGTAACGAGGGACACCTCAGGAATCTCTTCGAGGCTTGGCAGGGCAAAAGGGACGCTTCTCGAGGTGAGGCAGGGCACCCAAGGACCCTTTCCAGTAGCCACAGGGATTTTGGGATTCCTATGAGTATTCAGGAGGAGTCAGGCATCGTCACAATTTGAAGCAATGAACTCCGCGTGCCTCTCGAGGTGTCAGCGGGATGTGAGGCCTTCCGTCAAAATGAGGCAGGGACCTAGGGCTTTCTCTAAGGTCTCCACAGGGGATTCAGACATCCCTTCATGTTGTGAGATGAAAGAGGAGCCTGTCTTCAAGCCACTGCAAGGAAATCCGGCCTCCTTTCAAGTTAGGGCTTCTCGCTGTATATTCCCCTTGAGGCAGCAAACTCGGGGTCCCTCCCACATACCTATTGCTGAGAGAAGCCTCCTCCTGAGGTGCTTCTGGAAAGTTGGCATACGTCTTGAGCCTAAGCCAGGGAATCAGCTCTCATCTCGAGACGATTTGGGGTACACGGAGCATTCCTCGAGTTGCTGTGCTGAAGTTGGTGTTCCTCTAGACTTGGGACAGTGTTCTCGGGGCATCTCTGGAGATGCCTGAAGGAAGTCGAGCCACCGGTCGTGTTGAATGGGGAACGGGGAATGGCTCTGGAGTCAATGCAGGGGAATCGGGCCTCATCTCGGGTTGATTTGGGGCACATGGAGCTGCTTTGCGTTGCTGGGGTGACCTCAGGGTCCGTCTAGACTGGTGACAGTGTTCTTGGGGACTGTCTCGAGATCCGTTAAGCAAGTCGAAGCTCCTGACTTGTTTGAATGGGATCACGGAATAGCTCTGCATGCACTGCAGGGGAATGGGGCCTCATCTCGCCTCTAGGGGAAAGTCTCATGGGTTTTCTCGAGTTGCGGCGGGGACCTGGGGTATGTTCTCGACTTAAGGCGGGGATGGCCCTTCCAAACACGAGTTTCCTCAGTGACGTCAGGACTCCTGTCTAGTAACGAGGGACACCTCAGGAATCTCTTCGAGGCTTGGCAGGGCAAAAGGGACGCTTCTCGAGGTGAGGCAGGGCACCCAAGGACCCTTTCCAGTAGCCACAGGGATTTTGGGATTCCTATGAGTATTCAGGAGGAGTCAGGCATCGTCACCTTTTGAAGCAATGAACTCCGCGTGCCTCTCGAGGTGTCAGCGGGATGTGAGGCCTTCCGTCAAAATGAGGCAGGGACCTAGGGCTTTCTCTAAGGTCTCCACAGGGGATTCAGACATCCCTTCATGTTGTGAGATGAAAGACGAGCCTGTCTTCAAGCCACTGCAAGGAAATCCGGCCTCCTTTCAAGTTAGGGCTTCTCGCTGTATATTCCCCTTGAGGCAGCAAACTCGGGGTCCCTCCCACATTCCTATTGCTGAGAGAAGCCTCCTCCTGAGGTGCTTCTGGAAAGTTGGCATACGTCTTGAGCCTAAGCCAAGGAATCAGCTCTCATCTCGAGACGATTTGGGGTACACGGAGCATTCCTCGAGTTGCTGTGCTGAAGTTGGTGTTCCTCTAGACTTGGGACAGTGTTCTCGGGGCATCTCTGGAGATGCCTGAAGGAAGTCGAGCCACCGGTCGTGTTGAATGGGGAACGGGGAATGGCTCTGGAGTCAATGCAGGGGAATCGGGCCTCATCTCGGGTTGATTTGGGGCACATGGAGCTGCTTTGCGTTGCTGGGGTGACCTCAGGGTCCGTCTAGACTGGTGACAGTGTTCTTGGGGACTGTCTCGAGATCCGTTAAGCAAGTCGAAGCTCCTGACTTGTTTGAATGGGATCACGGAATAGCTCTGCATGCACTGCAGGGGAATGGGGCCTCATCTCGCCTCTAGGGGAAAGTCTCATGGTTTTTCTCGAGTTGCGGCGGGGACCTGGGGTATGTTCTCGACTTACGGCGGGGATGGCCCTTCCAAACACGAGTTTCCTCAGTGACGTCAGGACTCCTGTCTAGTAACGAGGGACACCTCAGGAATCTCTTCGAGGCTTGGCAGGGCAAAAGGGACGCTTCTCGAGGTGAGGCAGGGCACCCAAGGACCCTTTCCAGTAGCCACAGGGATTTTGGGATTCCTATGAGTATTCAGGAGGAGTCAGGCATCGTCACCTTTTGAAGCAATGAACTCCGCGTGCCTCTCGAGGTGTCAGCGGGATGTGAGGCCTTCCGTCAAAATGAGGCAGGGACCTAGGGCTTTCTCTAAGGTCTCCACAGGGGATTCAGACATCCCTTCATGTTGTGAGATGAAAGACGAGCCTGTCTTCAAGCCACTGCAAGGAAATCCGGCCTCCTTTCAAGTTAGGGCTTCTCGCTGTATATTCCCCTTGAGGCAGCAAACTCGGGGTCCCTCCCACATTCCTATTGCTGAGAGAAGCCTCCTCCTGAGGTGCTTCTGGAAAGTTGGCATACGTCTTGAGCCTAAGCCAGGGAATCAGCTCTCATCTCGAGACGATTTGGGGTACACGGAGCATTCCTCGAGTTGCTGTGCTGAAGGTGGTGTTCCTCTAGACTTGGGACAGTGTTCTCGGGGCATCTCTGGAGATGCCTGAAGGAAGTCGAGCCACCGGTCGTGTTGAATGGGGAACGGGGAATGGCTCTGGAGTCAATGCAGGGGAATCGGGCCTCATCTCGGGTTGATTTGGGGCACATGGAGCTGCTTTGCGTTGCTGGGGTGACCTCAGGGGCCGTCTAGACTGGTGACAGTGTTCTTGGGGACTGTCTCGAGATCCGTTAAGCAAGTCGAAGCTCCTGACTTGTTTGAATGGGATCACGGAATAGCTCTGCATGCACTGCAGGGGAATGGGGCCTCATCTCGCCTCTAGGGGAAAGTCTCATGGGTTTTCTCGAGTTGCGGCGGGGACCTGGGGTATGTTCTCGACTTACGGCGGGGATGGCCCTTCCAAACACGAGTTTCCTCAGTGACGTCAGGACTCCTGTCTAGTAACGAGGGACACCTCAGGAATCTCTTCGAGGCTTGGCAGGGCAAAAGGGACGCTTCTCGAGGTGAGGCAGGGCACCCAAGGACCCTTTCCAGTAGCCACAGGGATTTTGGGATTCCTATGAGTATTCAGGAGGAGTCAGGCATCGTCACAATTTGAAGCAATGAACTCCGCGTGCCTCTCGAGGTGTCAGCGGGATGTGAGGCCTTCCGTCAAAATGAGGCAGGGACCTAGGGCTTTCTCTAAGGTCTCCACAGGGGATTCAGACATCCCTTCATGTTGTGAGATGAAAGAGGAGCCTGTCTTCAAGCCACTGCAAGGAAATCCGGCCTCCTTTCAAGTTAGGGCTTCTCGCTGTATATTCCCCTTGAGGCAGCAAACTCGGGGTCCCTCCCACATACCTATTGCTGAGAGAAGCCTCCTCCTGAGGTGCTTCTGGAAAGTTGGCATACGTCTTGAGCCTAAGCCAGGGAATCAGCTCTCATCTCGAGACGATTTGGGGTACACGGAGCATTCCTCGAGTTGCTGTGCTGAAGTTGGTGTTCCTCTAGACTTGGGACAGTGTTCTCGGGGCATCTCTGGAGATGCCTGAAGGAAGTCGAGCCACCGGTCGTGTTGAATGGGGAACGGGGAATGGCTCTGGAGTCAATGCAGGGGAATCGGGCCTCATCTCGGGTTGATTTGGGGCACATGGAGCTGCTTTGCGTTGCTGGGGTGACCTCAGGGTCCGTCTAGACTGGTGACAGTGTTCTTGGGGACTGTCTCGAGATCCGTTAAGCAAGTCGAAGCTCCTGACTTGTTTGAATGGGATCACGGAATAGCTCTGCATGCACTGCAGGGGAATGGGGCCTCATCTCGCCTCTAGGGGAAAGTCTCATGGGTTTTCTCGAGTTGCGGCGGGGACCTGGGGTATTTTCTCGACTTACGGCGGGGATGGCCCTTCCAAACACGAGTTTCCTCAGTGACGTCAGGACTCCTGTCTAGTAACGAGGGACACCTCAGGAATCTCTTCGAGGCTTGGCAGGGCAAAAGGGACGCTTCTCGAGGTGAGGCAGGGCACCCAAGGACCCTTTCCAGTAGCCACAGGGATTTTGGGATTCCTATGAGTATTCAGGAGGAGTCAGGCATCGTCACAATTTGAAGCAATGATCTCCGCGTGCCTCTCGAGGTGTCAGCGGGATGTGAGGCCTTCCGTCAAAATGAGGCAGGGACCTAGGGCTTTCTCTAAGGTCTCCACAGGGGATTCAGACATCCCTTCATGTTGTGAGATGAAAGACGAGCCTGTCTTCAAGCCACTGCAAGGAAATCCGGCCTCCTTTCAAGTTAGGGCTTCTCGCTGTATATTCCCCTTGAGGCAGCAAACTCGGGGTCCCTCCCACATACCTATTGCTGAGAGAAGCCTCCTCCTGAGGTGCTTCTGGAAAGTTGGCATACGTCTTGAGCCTAAGCCAGGGAATCAGCTCTCATCTCGAGACGATTTGGGGTACACGGAGCATTCCTCGAGTTGCTGTGCTGAAGGTGGTGTTCCTCTAGACTTGGGACAGTGTTCTCGGGGCATCTCTGGAGATGCCTGAAGGAAGTCGAGCCACCGTTCGTGTTGAATGGGGAACGGGGAATGGCTCTGGAGTCAATGCAGGGGAATCGGGCCTCATCTCGGGTTGATTTGGGGCACATGGAGCTGCTTTGCGTTGCTGGGGTGACCTCAGGGTCCGTCTAGACTGGTGACAGTGTTCTTGGGGACTGTCTCGAGATCCGTTAAGCAAGTCGAAGCTCCTGACTTGTTTGAATGGGATCACGGAATAGCTCTGCATGCACTGCAGGGGAATGGGGCCTCATCTCGCCTCTAGGGGGAAGTCTCATGGTTTTTCTCGAGTTGCGGCGGGGACCTGGGGTATGTTCTCGACTTACGGCGGGGATGGCCCTTCCAAACACGAGTTTCCTCAGTGACGTCAGGACTCCTGTCTAGTAACGAGGGACACCTCAGGAATCTCTTCGAGGCTTGGCAGGGCAAAAGGGACGCTTCTCGAGGTGAGGCAGGGCACCCAAGGACCCTTTCCAGTAGCCACAGGGATTTTGGGATTCCTATGAGTATTCAGGAGGAGTCAGGCATCGTCACAATTTGAAGCAATGAACTCCGCGTGCCTCTCGAGGTGTCAGCGGGATGTGAGGCCTTCCGTCAAAATGAGGCAGGGACCTAGGGCTTTCTCTAAGGTCTCCACAGGGGATTCAGACATCCCTTCATGTTGTGAGATGAAAGAGGAGCCTGTCTTCAAGCCACTGCAAGGAAATCCGGCCTCCTTTCAAGTTAGGGCTTCTCGCTGTATATTCCCCTTGAGGCAGCAAACTCGGGGTCCCTCCCACATACCTATTGCTGAGAGAAGCCTCCTCCTGAGGTGCTTCTGGAAAGTTGGCATACGTCTTGAGCCTAAGCCAGGGAATCAGCTCTCATCTCGAGACGATTTGGGGTACACGGAGCATTCCTCGAGTTGCTGTGCTGAAGTTGGTGTTCCTCTAGACTTGGGACAGTGTTCTCGGGGCATCTCTGGAGATGCCTGAAGGAAGTCGAGCCACCGGTCGTGTTGAATGGGGAACGGGGAATGGCTCTGGAGTCAATGCAGGGGAATCGGGCCTCATCTCGGGTTGATTTGGGGCACATGGAGCTGCTTTGCGTTGCTGGGGTGACCTCAGGGTCCGTCTAGACTGGTGACAGTGTTCTTGGGGACTGTCTCGAGATCCGTTAAGCAAGTCGAAGCTCCTGACTTGTTTGAATGGGATCACGGAATAGCTCTGCATGCACTGCAGGGGAATGGGGCCTCATCTCGCCTCTAGGGGAAAGTCTCATGGGTTTTCTCGAGTTGCGGCGGGGACCTTGGGTATGTTCTCGACTTACGGCGGGGATGGCCCTTCCAAACACGAGTTTCCTCAGTGACGTCAGGACTCCTGTCTAGTAACGAGGGACACCTCAGGAATCTCTTCGAGGCTTGGCAGGGCAAAAGGGACGCTTCTCGAGGTGAGGCAGGGCACCCAAGGACCCTTTCCAGTAGCCACAGGGATTTTGGGATTCCTATGAGTATTCAGGAGGAGTCAGGCATCGTCACCTTTTGAAGCAATGAACTCCGCGTGCCTCTCGAGGTGTCAGCGGGATGTGAGGCCTTCCGTCAAAATGAGGCAGGGACCTAGGGCTTTCTCTAAGGTCTCCACAGGGGATTCAGACATCCCTTCATGTTGTGAGATGAAAGACGAGCCTGTCTTCAAGCCACTGCAAGGAAATCCGGCCTCCTTTCAAGTTAGGGCTTCTCGCTGTATATTCCCCTTGAGGCAGCAAACTCGGGGTCCCTCCCACATTCCTATTGCTGAGAGAAGCCTCCTCCTGAGGTGCTTCTGGAAAGTTGGCATACGTCTTGAGCCTAAGCCAGGGAATCAGCTCTCATCTCGAGACGATTTGGGGTACACGGAGCATTCCTCGAGTTGCTGTGCTGAAGTTGGTGTTCCTCTAGACTTGGGACAGTGTTCTCGGGGCATCTCTGGAGATGCCTGAAGGAAGTCGAGCCACCGGTCGTGTTGAATGGGGAACGGGGAATGGCTCTGGAGTCAATGCAGGGGAATCGGGCCTCATCTCGGGTTGATTTGGGGCACATGGAGCTGCTTTGCGTTGCTGGGGTGACCTCAGGGTCCGTCTAGACTGGTGACAGTGTTCTTGGGGACTGTCTCGAGATCCGTTAAGCAAGTCGAAGCTCCTGACTTGTTTGAATGGGATCACGGAATAGCTCTGCATGCACTGCAGGGGAATGGGGCCTCATCTCGCCTCTAGGGGGAAGTCTCATGGGTTTTCTCGAGTTGCGGCGGGGACCTGGGGTATGTTCTCGACTTACGGCGGGGATGGCCCTTCCAAACACGAGTTTCCTCAGTGACGTCAGGACTCCTGTCTAGTAACGAGGGACACCTCAGGAATCTCTTCGAGGCTTGGCAGGGCAAAAGGGACGCTTCTCGAGGTGAGGCAGGGCACCCAAGGACCCTTTCCAGTAGCCACAGGGATTTTGGGATTCCTATGAGTATTCAGGAGGAGTCAGGCATCGTCACAATTTGAAGCAATGAACTCCGCGTGCCTCTCGAGGTGTCAGCGGGATGTGAGGCCTTCCGTCAAAATGAGGCAGGGACCTAGGGCTTTCTCTAAGGTCTCCACAGGGGATTCAGACATCCCTTCATGTTGTGAGATGAAAGAGGAGCCTGTCTTCAAGCCACTGCAAGGAAATCCGGCCTCCTTTCAAGTTAGGGCTTCTCGCTGTATATTCCCCTTGAGGCAGCAAACTCGGGGTCCCTCCCACATACCTATTGCTGAGAGAAGCCTCCTCCTGAGGTGCTTCTGGAAAGTTGGCATACGTCTTGAGCCTAAGCCAGGGAATCAGCTCTCATCTCGAGACGATTTGGGGTACACGGAGCATTCCTCGAGTTGCTGTGCTGAAGTTGGTGTTCCTCTAGACTTGGGACAGTGTTCTCGGGGCATCTCTGGAGATGCCTGAAGGAAGTCGAGCCACCGGTCGTGTTGAATGGGGAACGGGGAATGGCTCTGGAGTCAATGCAGGGGAATCGGGCCTCATCTCGGGTTGATTTGGGGCACATGGAGCTGCTTTGCGTTGCTGGGGTGACCTCAGGGTCCGTCTAGACTGGTGACAGTGTTCTTGGGGACTGTCTCGAGATCCGTTAAGCAAGTCGAAGCTCCTGACTTGTTTGAATGGGATCACGGAATAGCTCTGCATGCACTGCAGGGGAATGGGGCCTCATCTCGCCTCTAGGGGAAAGTCTCATGGGTTTTCTCGAGTTGCGGCGGGGACCTGGGGTATGTTCTCGACTTACGGCGGGGATGGCCCTTCCAAACACGAGTTTCCTCAGTGACGTCAGGACTCCTGTCTAGTAACGAGGGACACCTCAGGAATCTCTTCGAGGCTTGGCAGGGCAAAAGGGACGCTTCTCGAGGTGAGGCAGGGCACCCAAGGACCCTTTCCAGTAGCCACAGGGATTTTGGGATTCCTATGAGTATTCAGGAGGAGTCAGGCATCGTCACCTTTTGAAGCAATGAACTCCGCGTGCCTCTCGAGGTGTCAGCGGGATGTGAGGCCTTCCGTCAAAATGAGGCAGGGACCTAGGGCTTTCTCTAAGGTCTCCACAGGGGATTCAGACATCCCTTCATGTTGTGAGATGAAAGACGAGCCTGTCTTCAAGCCACTGCAAGGAAATCCGGCCTCCTTTCAAGTTAGGGCTTCTCGCTGTATATTCCCCTTGAGGCAGCAAACTCGGGGTCCCTCCCACATTCCTATTGCTGAGAGAAGCCTCCTCCTGAGGTGCTTCTGGAACGTTGGCATACGTCTTGAGCCTAAGCCAGGGAATCAGCTCTCATCTCGAGACGATTTGGGGTACACGGAGCATTCCTCGAGTTGCTGTGCTGAAGTTGGTGTTCCTCTAGACTTGGGACAGTGTTCTCGGGGCATCTCTGGAGATGCCTGAAGGAAGTCGAGCCACCGGTCGTGTTGAATGGGGAACGGGGAATGGCTCTGGAGTCAATGCAGGGGAATCGGGCCTCATCTCGGGTTGATATGGGGCACATGGAGCTGCTTTGCGTTGCTGGGGTGACCTCAGGGTCCGTCTAGACTGGTGACAGTGTTCTTGGGGACTGTCTCGAGATCCGTTAAGCAAGTCGAAGCTCCTGACTTGTTTGAATGGGATCACGGAATAGCTCTGCATGCACTGCAGGGGAATGGGGCCTCATCTCGCCTCTAGGGGAAAGTCTCATGGGTTTTCTCGAGTTGCGGCGGGGACCTGGGGTATGTTCTCGACTTACGGCGGGGATGGCCCTTCCAAACACGAGTTTCCTCAGTGACGTCAGGACTCCTGTCTAGTAACGAGGGACACCTCAGGAATCTCTTCGAGGCTTGGCAGGGCAAAAGGGACGCTTCTCGAGGTGAGGCAGGGCACCCAAGGACCCTTTCCAGTAGCCACAGGGATTTTGGGATTCCTATGAGTATTCAGGAGGAGTCAGGCATCGTCACCTTTTGAAGCAATGAACTCCGCGTGCCTCTCGAGGTGTCAGCGGGATGTGAGGCCTTCCGTCAAAATGAGGCAGGGACCTAGGGCTTTCTCTAAGGTCTCCACAGGGGATTCAGACATCCCTTCATGTTGTGAGATGAAAGACGAGCCTGTCTTCAAGCCACTGCAAGGAAATCCGGCCTCCTTTCAAGTTAGGGCTTCTCGCTGTATATTCCCCTTGAGGCAGCAAACTCGGGGTCCCTCCCACATTCCTATTGCTGAGAGAAGCCTCCTCCTGAGGTGCTTCTGGAAAGTTGGCATACGTCTTGAGCCTAAGCCAGGGAATCAGCTCTCATCTCGAGACGATTTGGGGTACACGGAGCATTCCTCGAGTTGCTGTGCTGAAGTTGGTGTTCCTCTAGACTTGGGACAGTGTTCTCGGGGCATCTCTGGAGATGCCTGAAGCAAGTCGAGCCACCGGTCGTGTTGAATGGGCAACGGGGAATGGCTCTGGAGTCAATGCAGGGGAATCGGGCCTCATCTTAGGTTGATTTGGGGCACATGGAGCTGCTTTGCGTTGCTGAGGTGACCTCAGGGTCCGTCTAGACTGGTGACAGTGTTCTTGGGGACTGTCTCGAGATCCGTTAAGCAAGTCGAAGCTCCGGACTTGTTTGAATGGGATCACGGAATAGCTCTGCATGCACTGCAGGGTAATGGGGCCTCATCTCGCCTCTAGGGGGAAGTCTCATGGGTTTTCTCGAGTTGCGGCGGGGACCTGGGGTATGTTCTCGACTTACGGCGGGGATGGCCCTTCCAAACACGAGTTTCCTCAGTGACGTCAGGACTCCTGTCTAGTAACGAGGGACACCTCAGGAATCTCTTCGAGGCTTGGCAGGGCAAAAGGGACGCTTCTCGAGGTGAGGCAGGGCACCCAAGGACCCTTTCCAGTAGCCACAGGGATTTTGGGATTCCTATGAGTATTCAGGAGGAGTCAGGCATCGTCACAATTTGAAGCAATGAACTCCGCGTGCCTCTCGAGGTGTCAGCGGGATGTGAGGCCTTCCGTCAAAATGAGGCAGGGACCTAGGGCTTTCTCTAAGGTCTCCACAGGGGATTCAGACATCCCTTCATGTTGTGAGATGAAAGAGGAGCCTGTCTTCAAGCCACTGCAAGGAAATCCGGCCTCCTTTCAAGTTAGGGCTTCTCGCTGTATATTCCCCTTGAGGCAGCAAACTCGGGGTCCCTCCCACATACCTATTGCTGAGAGAAGCCTCCTCCTGAGGTGCTTCTGGAAAGTTGGCATACGTCTTGAGCCTAAGCCAGGGAATCAGCTCTCATCTCGAGACGATTTGGGGTACACGGAGCATTCCTCGAGTTGCTGTGCTGAAGTTGGTGTTCCTCTAGACTTGGGACAGTGTTCTCGGGGCATCTCTGGAGATGCCTGAAGGAAGTCGAGCCACCGGTCGTGTTGAATGGGGAACGGGGAATGGCTCTGGAGTCAATGCAGGGGAATCGGGCCTCATCTCGGGTTGATTTGGGGCACATGGAGCTGCTTTGCGTTGCTGGGGTGACCTCAGGGTCCGTCTAGACTGGTGACAGTGTTCTTGGGGACTGTCTCGAGATCCGTTAAGCAAGTCGAAGCTCCTGACTTGTTTGAATGGGATCACGGAATAGCTCTGCATGCACTGCAGGGGAATGGGGCCTCATCTCGCCTCTAGGGGAAAGTCTCATGGGTTTTCTCGAGTTGCGGCGGGGACCTGGGGTATGTTCTCGACTTACGGCGGGGATGGCCCTTCCAAACACGAGTTTCCTCAGTGACGTCAGGACTCCTGTCTAGTAACGAGGGACACCTCAGGAATCTCTTCGAGGCTTGGCAGGGCAAAAGGGACGCTTCTCGAGGTGAGGCAGGGCACCCAAGGACCCTTTCCAGTAGCCACAGGGATTTTGGGATTCCTATGAGTATTCAGGAGGAGTCAGGCATCGTCACCTTTTGAAGCAATGAACTCCGCGTGCCTCTCGAGGTGTCAGCGGGATGTGAGGCCTTCCGTCAAAATGAGGCAGGGACCTAGGGCTTTCTCTAAGGTCTCCACAGGGGATTCAGACATCCCTTCATGTTGTGAGATGAAAGACGAGCCTGTCTTCAAGCCACTGCAAGGAAATCCGGCCTCCTTTCAAGTTAGGGCTTCTCGCTGTATATTCCCCTTGAGGCAGCAAACTCGGGGTCCCTCCCACATTCCTATTGCTGAGAGAAGCCTCCTCCTGAGGTGCTTCTGGAAAGTTGGCATACGTCTTGAGCCTAAGCCAGGGAATCAGCTCTCATCTCGAGACGATTTGGGGTACACGGAGCATTCCTCGAGTTGCTGTGCTGAAGTTGGTGTTCCTCTAGACTTGGGACAGTGTTCTCGGGGCATCTCTGGAGATGCCTGAAGGAAGTCGAGCCACCGGTCGTGTTGAATGGGGAACGGGGAATGGCTCTGGAGTCAATGCAGGGGAATCGGGCCTCATCTCGGGTTGATTTGGGGCACATGGAGCTGCTTTGCGTTGCTGGGGTGACCTCAGGGTCCGTCTAGACTGGTGACAGTGTTCTTGGGGACTGTCTCGAGATCCGTTAAGCAAGTCGAAGCTCCTGACTTGTTTGAATGGGATCACGGAATAGCTCTGCATGCACTGCAGGGGAATGGGGCCTCATCTCGCCTCTAGGGGAAAGTCTCATGGGTTTTCTCGAGTTGCGGCGGGGACCTGGGGTATGTTCTCGACTTACGGCGGGGATGGCCCTTCCAAACACGAGTTTCCTCAGTGACGTCAGGACTCCTGTCTAGTAACGAGGGACACCTCAGGAATCTCTTCGAGGCTTGGCAGGGCAAAAGGGACGCTTCTCGAGGTGAGGCAGGGCACCCAAGGACCCTTTCCAGTAGCCACAGGGATTTTGGGATTCCTATGAGTATTCAGGAGGAGTCAGGCATCGTCACAATTTGAAGCAATGAACTCCGCGTGCCTCTCGAGGTGTCAGCGGGATGTGAGGCCTTCCGTCAAAATGAGGCAGGGACCTAGGGCTTTCTCTAAGGTCTCCACAGGGGATTCAGACATCCCTTCATGTTGTGAGATGAAAGAGGAGCCTGTCTTCAAGCCACTGCCAGGAAATCCGGCCTCCTTTCAAGTTAGGGCTTCTCGCTGTATATTCCCCTTGAGGCAGCAAACTCGGGGTCCCTCCCACATACCTATTGCTGAGAGAAGCCTCCTCCTGAGGTGCTTCTGGAAAGTTGGCATACGTCTTGAGCCTAAGCCAGGGAATCAGCTCTCATCTCGAGACGATTTGGGGTACACGGAGCATTCCTCGAGTTGCTGTGCTGAAGTTGGTGTTCCTCTAGACTTGGGACAGTGTTCTCGGGGCATCTCTGGAGATGCCTGAAGGAAGTCGAGCCACCGGTCGTGTTGAATGGGGAACGGGGAATGGCTCTGGAGTCAATGCAGGGGAATCGGGCCTCATCTCGGGTTGATTTGGGGCACATGGAGCTGCTTTGCGTTGCTGGGGTGACCTCAGGGTCCGTCTAGACTGGTGACAGTGTTCTTGGGGACTGTCTCGAGATCCGTTAAGCAAGTCGAAGCTCCTGACTTGTTTGAATGGGATCACGGAATAGCTCTGCATGCACTGCAGGGGAATGGGGCCTCATCTCGCCTCTAGGGGAAAGTCTCATGGGTTTTCTCGAGTTGCGGCGGGGACCTGGGGTATGTTCTCGACTTACGGCGGGGATGGCCCTTCCAAACACGAGTTTCCTCAGTGACGTCAGGACTCCTGTCTAGTAACGAGGGACACCTCAGGAATCTCTTCGAGGCTTGGCAGGGCAAAAGGGACGCTTCTCGAGGTGAGGCAGGGCACCCAAGGACCCTTTCCAGTAGCCACAGGGATTTTGGGATTCCTATGAGTATTCAGGAGGAGTCAGGCATCGTCACCTTTTGAAGCAATGAACTCCGCGTGCCTCTCGAGGTGTCAGCGGGATGTGAGGCCTTCCGTCAAAATGAGGCAGGGACCTAGGGCTTTCTCTAAGGTCTCCACAGGGGATTCAGACATCCCTTCATGTTGTGAGATGAAAGACGAGCCTGTCTTCAAGCCACTGCAAGGAAATCCGGCCTCCTTTCAAGTTAGGGCTTCTCGCTGTATATTCCCCTTGAGGCAGCAAACTCGGGGTCCCTCCCACATTCCTATTGCTGAGAGAAGCCTCCTCCTGAGGTGCTTCTGGAACGTTGGCATACGTCTTGAGCCTAAGCCAGGGAATCAGCTCTCATCTCGAGACGATTTGGGGTACACGGAGCATTCCTCGAGTTGCTGTGCTGAAGTTGGTGTTCCTCTAGACTTGGGACAGTGTTCTCGGGGCATCTCTGGAGATGCCTGAAGGAAGTCGAGCCACCGGTCGTGTTGAATGGGGAACGGGGAATGGCTCTGGAGTCAATGCAGGGGAATCGGGCCTCATCTCGGGTTGATTTGGGGCACATGGAGCTGCTTTGCGTTGCTGGGGTGACCTCAGGGTCCGTCTAGACTGGTGACAGTGTTCTTGGGGACTGTCTCGAGATCCGTTAAGCAAGTCGAAGCTCCTGACTTGTTTGAATGGGATCACGGAATAGCTCTGCATGCACTGCAGGGGAATGGGGCCTCATCTCGCCTCTAGGGGAAAGTCTCATGGGTTTTCTCGAGTTGCGGCGGGGACCTGGGGTATGTTCTCGACTTACGGCGGGGATGGCCCTTCCAAACACGAGTTTCCTCAGTGACGTCAGGACTCCTGTCTAGTAACGAGGGACACCTCAGGAATCTCTTCGAGGCTTGGCAGGGCAAAAGGGACGCTTCTCGAGGTGAGGCAGGGCACCCAAGGACCCTTTCCAGTAGCCACAGGGATTTTGGGATTCCTATGAGTATTCAGGAGGAGTCAGGCATCGTCACCTTTTGAAGCAATGAACTCCGCGTGCCTCTCGAGGTGTCAGCGGGATGTGAGGCCTTCCGTCAAAATGAGGCAGGGACCTAGGGCTTTCTCTAAGGTCTCCACAGGGGATTCAGACATCCCTTCATGTTGTGAGATGAAAGACGAGCCTGTCTTCAAGCCACTGCAAGGAAATCCGGCCTCCTTTCAAGTTAGGGCTTCTCGCTGTATATTCCCCTTGAGGCAGCAAACTCGGGGTCCCTCCCACATTCCTATTGCTGAGAGAAGCCTCCTCCTGAGGTGCTTCTGGAAAGTTGGCATACGTCTTGAGCCTAAGCCAGGGAATCAGCTCTCATCTCGAGACGATTTGGGGTACACGGAGCATTCCTCGAGTTGCTGTGCTGAAGTTGGTGTTCCTCTAGACTTGGGACAGTGTTCTCGGGGCATCTCTGGAGATGCCTGAAGCAAGTCGAGCCACCGGTCGTGTTGAATGGGCAACGGGGAATGGCTCTGGAGTCAATGCAGGGGAATCGGGCCTCATCTTAGGTTGATTTGGGGCACATGGAGCTGCTTTGCGTTGCTGAGGTGACCTCAGGGTCCGTCTAGACTGGTGACAGTGTTCTTGGGGACTGTCTCGAGATCCGTTAAGCAAGTCGAAGCTCCGGACTTGTTTGAATGGGATCACGGAATAGCTCTGCATGCACTGCAGGGTAATGGGGCCTCATCTCGCCTCTAGGGGGAAGTCTCATGGGTTTTCTCGAGTTGCGGCGGGGACCTGGGGTATGTTCTCGACTTACGGCGGGGATGGCCCTTCCAAACACGAGTTTCCTCAGTGACGTCAGGACTCCTGTCTAGTAACGAGGGACACCTCAGGAATCTCTTCGAGGCTTGGCAGGGCAAAAGGGACGCTTCTCGAGGTGAGGCAGGGCACCCAAGGACCCTTTCCAGTAGCCACAGGGATTTTGGGATTCCTATGAGTATTCAGGAGGAGTCAGGCATCGTCACAATTTGAAGCAATGAACTCCGCGTGCCTCTCGAGGTGTCAGCGGGATGTGAGGCCTTCCGTCAAAATGAGGCAGGGACCTAGGGCTTTCTCTAAGGTCTCCACAGGGGATTCAGACATCCCTTCATGTTGTGAGATGAAAGAGGAGCCTGTCTTCAAGCCACTGCAAGGAAATCCGGCCTCCTTTCAAGTTAGGGCTTCTCGCTGTATATTCCCCTTGAGGCAGCAAACTCGGGGTCCCTCCCACATACCTATTGCTGAGAGAAGCCTCCTCCTGAGGTGCTTCTGGAAAGTTGGCATACGTCTTGAGCCTAAGCCAGGGAATCAGCTCTCATCTCGAGACGATTTGGGGTACACGGAGCATTCCTCGAGTTGCTGTGCTGAAGTTGGTGTTCCTCTAGACTTGGGACAGTGTTCTCGGGGCATCTCTGGAGATGCCTGAAGGAAGTCGAGCCACCGGTCGTGTTGAATGGGGAACGGGGAATGGCTCTGGAGTCAATGCAGGGGAATCGGGCCTCATCTCGGGTTGATTTGGGGCACATGGAGCTGCTTTGCGTTGCTGGGGTGACCTCAGGGTCCATCTAGACTGGTGACAGTGTTCTTGGGGACTGTCTCGAGATCCGTTAAGCAAGTCGAAGCTCCTGACTTGTTTGAATGGGATCACGGAATAGCTCTGCATGCACTGCAGGGGAATGGGGCCTCATCTCGCCTCTAGGGGAAAGTCTCATGGGTTTTCTCGAGTTGCGGCGGGGACCTGGGGTATGTTCTCGACTTACGGCGGGGATGGCCCTTCCAAACACGAGTTTCCTCAGTGACGTCAGGACTCCTGTCTAGTAACGAGGGACACCTCAGGAATCTCTTCGAGGCTTGGCAGGGCAAAAGGGACGCTTCTCGAGGTGAGGCAGGGCACCCAAGGACCCTTTCCAGTAGCCACAGGGATTTTGGAATTCCTATGAGTATTCAGGAGGAGTCAGGCATCGTCACCTTTTGAAGCAATGAACTCCGCGTGCCTCTCGAGGTGTCAGCGGGATGTGAGGCCTTCCGTCAAAATGAGGCAGGGACCTAGGGCTTTCTCTAAGGTCTCCACAGGGGATTCAGACATCCCTTCATGTTGTGAGATGAAAGACGAGCCTGTCTTCAAGCCACTGCAAGGAAATCCGGCCTCCTTTCAAGTTAGGGCTTCTCGCTGTATATTCCCCTTGAGGCAGCAAACTCGCTGTCCCTCCCACATACCTATTGCTGAGAGAAGCCTCCTCCTGAGGTGCTTCTGGAAAGTTGGCATACGTCTTGAGCCTAAGCCAGGGAATCAGCTCTCATCTCGAGACGATTTGGGGTACACGGAGCATTCCTCGAGTTGCTGTGCTGAAGTTGGTGTTCCTCTAGACTTGGGACAGTGTTCTCGGGGCATCTCTGGAGATGCCTGAAGGAAGTCAAGCCACCGGTCGTGTTGAATGGGCAACGGGGAATGGCTCTGGAGTCAATGCAGGGGAATCGGGCCTCATCTCGGGTTGATTTGGGGCACATGGAGCTGCTTTGCGTTGCTGGGGTGACCTCAGGGTCCGTCTAGACTGGTGACAGTGTTCTTGGGGACTGTCTCGAGATCCGTTAAGCAAGTCGAAGCTCCTGACTTGTTTGAATGGGATCACGGAATAGCTCTGCATGCACTGCAGGGTAATGGGGCCTCATCTCGCCTCTAGGGGGAAGTCTCATGGGTTTTCTCGAGTTGCGGCGGGGACCTGGGGTATGTTCTCGACTTACGGCGGGGATGGCCCTTCCAAACACGAGTTTCCTCAGTGACGTCAGGACTCCTGTCTAGTAACGAGGGACACCTCAGGAATCTCTTCGAGGCTTGGCAGGGCAAAAGGGACGCTTCTCGAGGTGAGGCAGGGCACCCAAGGACCCTTTCCAGTAGCCACAGGGATTTTGGGATTCCTATGAGTATTCAGGAGGAGTCAGGCATCGTCACAATTTGAAGCAATGATCTCCGCGTGCCTCTCGAGGTGTCAGCGGGATGTGAGGCCTTCCGTCAAAATGAGGCAGGGACCTAGGGCTTTCTCTAAGGTCTCCACAGGGGATTCAGACATCCCTTCATGTTGTGAGATGAAAGACGAGCCTGTCTTCAAGCCACTGCAAGGAAATCCGGCCTCCTTTCAAGTTAGGGCTTCTCGCTGTATATTCCCCTTGAGGCAGCAAACTCGGGGTCCCTCCCACATACCTATTGCTGAGAGAAGCCTCCTCCTGAGGTGCTTCTGGAAAGTTGGCATACGTCTTGAGCCTAAGCCAGGGAATCAGCTCTCATCTCGAGACGATTTGGGGTACACGGAGCATTCCTCGAGTTGCTGTGCTGAAGGTGGTGTTCCTCTAGACTTGGGACAGTGTTCTCGGGGCATCTCTGGAGATGCCTGAAAGAAGTCGAGCCACCGTTCGTGTTGAATGGGGAACGGGGAATGGCTCTGGAGTCAATGCAGGGGAATCGGGCCTCATCTTGGGTTGATTTGGGGCACATGGAGCTGCTTTGCGTTGCTGGGGTGACCTCAGGGTCCGTCTAGACTGGTGACAGTGTTCTTGGGGACTGTCTCGAGATCCGTTAAGCAAGTCGAAGCTCCTGACTTGTTTGAATGGGATCACGGAATAGCTCTGCATGCACTGCAGGGGAATGGGGCCTCATCTCGCCTCTAGGGGGAAGTCTCATGGTTTTTCTCGAGTTGCGGCGGGGACCTGGGGTATGTTCTCGACTTACGGCGGGGATGGCCCTTCCAAACACGAGTTTCCTCAGTGACGTCAGGACTCCTGTCTAGTAACGAGGGACACCTCAGGAATCTCTTCGAGGCTTGGCAGGGCAAAAGGGACGCTTCTCGAGGTGAGGCAGGGCACCCAAGGACCCTTTCCAGTAGCCACAGGGATTTTGGGATTCCTATGAGTATTCAGGAGGAGTCAGGCATCGTCACCTTTTGAAGCAATGAACTCCGCGTGCCTCTCGAGGTGTCAGCGGGATGTGAGGCCTTCCGTCAAAATGAGGCAGGGACCTAGGGCTTTCTCTAAGGTCTCCACAGGGGATTCAGACATCCCTTCATGTTGTGAGATGAAAGACGAGCCTGTCTTCAAGCCACTGCAAGGAAATCCGGCCTCCTTTCAAGTTAGGGCTTCTCGCTGTATATTCCCCTTGAGGCAGCAAACTCGGGGTCCCTCCCACATACCTATTGCTGAGAGAAGCCTCCTCCTGAGGTGCTTCTGGAAAGTTGGCATACGTCTTGAGCCTAAGCCAGGGAATCAGCTCTCATCTCGAGACGATTTGGGGTACACGGAGCATTCCTCGAGTTGCTGTGCTGAAGTTGGTGTTCCTCTAGACTTGGGACAGTGTTCTCGGGGCATCTCTGGAGATGCCTGAAGGAAGTCGAGCCACCGGTCGTGTTGAATGGGGAACGGGGAATGGCTCTGGAGTCAATGCAGGGGAATCGGGCCTCATCTCGGGTTGATTTGGGGCACATGGAGCTGCTTTGCGTTGCTGGGGTGACCTCAGGGTCCGTCTAGACTGGTGACAGTGTTCTTGGGGACTGTCTCGAGATCCGTTAAGCAAGTCGAAGGTCCTGACTTGTTTGAATGGGATCACGGAATAGCTCTGCATGCACTGCAGGGGAATGGGGCCTCATCTCGCCTCTAGGGGAAAGTCTCATGGGTTTTCTCGAGTTGCGGCGGGGACCTGGGGTATGTTCTCGACTTACGGCGGGGATGGCCCTTCCAAACACGAGTTTCCTCAGTGACGTCAGGACTCCTGTCTAGTAACGAGGGACACCTCAGGAATCTCTTCGAGGCTTGGCAGGGCAAAAGGGACGCTTCTCGAGGTGAGGCAGGGCACCCAAGGACCCTTTCCAGTAGCCACAGGGATTTTGGGATTCCTATGAGTATTCAGGAGGAGTCAGGCATCGTCACAATTTGAAGCAATGAACTCCGCGTGCCTCTCGAGGTGTCAGCGGGATGTGAGGCCTTCCGTCAAAATGAGGCAGGGACCTAGGGCTTTCTCTAAGGTCTCCACAGGGGATTCAGACATCCCTTCATGTTGTGAGATGAAAGAGGAGCCTGTCTTCAAGCCACTGCAAGGAAATCCGGCCTCCTTTCAAGTTAGGGCTTCTCGCTGTATATTCCCCTTGAGGCAGCAAACTCGGGGTCCCTCCCACATACCTATTGCTGAGAGAAGCCTCCTCCTGAGGTGCTTCTGGAAAGTTGGCATACGTCTTGAGCCTAAGCCAGGGAATCAGCTCTCATCTCGAGACGATTTGGGGTACACGGAGCATTCCTCGAGTTGCTGTGCTGAAGTTGGTGTTCCTCTAGACTTGGGACAGTGTTCTCGGGGCATCTCTGGAGATGCCTGAAGGAAGTCGAGCCACCGGTCGTGTTGAATGGGGAACGGGGAATGGCTCTGGAGTCAATGCAGGGGAATCGGGCCTCATCTCGGGTTGATTTGGGGCACATGGAGCTGCTTTGCGTTGCTGGGGTGACCTCAGGGTCCGTCTAGACTGGTGACAGTGTTCTTGGGGACTGTCTCGAGATCCGTTAAGCAAGTCGAAGCTCCTGACTTGTTTGAATGGGATCACGGAATAGCTCTGCATGCACTGCAGGGGAATGGGGCCTCATCTCGCCTCTAGGGGAAAGTCTCATGGGTTTTCTCGAGTTGCGGCGGGGACCTGGGGTATGTTCTCGACTTACGGCGGGGATGGCCCTTCCAAACACGAGTTTCCTCAGTGACGTCAGGACTCCTGTCTAGTAACGAGGGACACCTCAGGAATCTCTTCGAGGCTTGGCAGGGCAAAAGGGACGCTTCTCGAGGTGAGGCAGGGCACCCAAGGACCCTTTCCAGTAGCCACAGGGATTTTGGGATTCCTATGAGTATTCAGGAGGAGTCAGGCATCGTCACAATTTGAAGCAATGAACTCCGCGTGCCTCTCGAGGTGTCAGCGGGATGTGAGGCCTTCCGTCAAAATGAGGCAGGGACCTAGGGCTTTCTCTAAGGTCTCCACAGGGGATTCAGACATCCCTTCATGTTGTGAGATGAAAGAGGAGCCTGTCTTCAAGCCACTGCAAGGAAATCCGGCCTCCTTTCAAGTTAGGGCTTCTCGCTGTATATTCCCCTTGAGGCAGCAAACTCGGGGTCCCTCCCACATACCTATTGCTGAGAGAAGCCTCCTCCTGAGGTGCTTCTGGAAAGTTGGCATACGTCTTGAGCCTAAGCCAGGGAATCAGCTCTCATCTCGAGACGATTTGGGGTACACGGAGCATTCCTCGAGTTGCTGTGCTGAAGTTGGTGTTCCTCTAGACTTGGGACAGTGTTCTCGGGGCATCTCTGGAGATGCCTGAAGGAAGTCGAGCCACCGGTCGTGTTGAATGGGGAACGGGGAATGGCTCTGGAGTCAATGCAGGGGAATCGGGCCTCATCTCGGGTTGATTTGGGGCACATGGAGCTGCTTTGCGTTGCTGGGGTGACCTCAGGGTCCGTCTAGACTGGTGACAGTGTTCTTGGGGACTGTCTCGAGATCCGTTAAGCAAGTCGAAGCTCCTGACTTGTTTGAATGGGATCACGGAATAGCTCTGCATGCACTGCAGGGGAATGGGGCCTCATCTCGCCTCTAGGGGAAAGTCTCATGGGTTTTCTCGAGTTGCGGCGGGGACCTGGGGTATGTTCTCGACTTACGGCGGGGATGGCCCTTCCAAACACGAGTTTCCTCAGTGACGTCAGGACTCCTGTCTAGTAACGAGGGACACCTCAGGAATCTCTTCGAGGCTTGGCAGGGCAAAAGGGACGCTTCTCGAGGTGAGGCAGGGCACCCAAGGACCCTTTCCAGTAGCCACAGGGATTTTGGGATTCCTATGAGTATTCAGGAGGAGTCAGGCATCGTCACAATTTGAAGCAATGATCTCCGCGTGCCTCTCGAGGTGTCAGCGGGATGTGAGGCCTTCCGTCAAAATGAGGCAGGGACCTAGGGCTTTCTCTAAGGTCTCCACAGGGGATTCAGACATCCCTTCATGTTGTGAGATGAAAGACGAGCCTGTCTTCAAGCCACTGCAAGGAAATCCGGCCTCCTTTCAAGTTAGGGCTTCTCGCTGTATATTCCCCTTGAGGCAGCAAACTCGGGGTCCCTCCCACATACCTATTGCTGAGAGAAGCCTCCTCCTGAGGTGCTTCTGGAAAGTTGGCATACGTCTTGAGCCTAAGCCAGGGAATCAGCTCTCATCTCGAGACGATTTGGGGTACACGGAGCATTCCTCGAGTTGCTGTGCTGAAGGTGGTGTTCCTCTAGACTTGGGACAGTGTTCTCGGGGCATCTCTGGAGATGCCTGAAAGAAGTCGAGCCACCGTTCGTGTTGAATGGGGAACGGGGAATGGCTCTGGAGTCAATGCAGGGGAATCGGGCCTCATCTCGGGTTGATTTGGGGCACATGGAGCTGCTTTGCGTTGCTGGGGTGACCTCAGGGTCCGTCTAGACTGGTGACAGTGTTCTTGGGGACTGTCTCGAGATCCGTTAAGCAAGTCGAAGCTCCTGACTTGTTTGAATGGTATCACGGAATAGCTCTGCATGCACTGCAGGGGAATGGGGCCTCATCTCGCCTCTAGGGGGAAGTCTCATGGTTTTTCTCGAGTTGCGGCGGGGACCTGGGGTATGTTCTCGACTTACGGCGGGGATGGCCCTTCCAAACACGAGTTTCCTCAGTGACGTCAGGACTCCTGTCTAGTAACGAGGGACACCTCAGGAATCTCTTCGAGGCTTGGCAGGGCAAAAGGGACGCTTCTCGAGGTGAGGCAGGGCACCCAAGGACCCTTTCCAGTAGCCACAGGGATTTTGGGATTCCTATGAGTATTCAGGAGGAGTCAGGCATCGTCACCTTTTGAAGCAATGAACTCCGCGTGCCTCTCGAGGTGTCAGCGGGATGTGAGGCCTTCCGTCAAAATGAGGCAGGGACCTAGGGCTTTCTCTAAGGTCTCCACAGGGGATTCAGACATCCCTTCATGTTGTGAGATGAAAGACGAGCCTGTCTTCAAGCCACTGCAAGGAAATCCGGCCTCCTTTCAAGTTAGGGCTTCTCGCTGTATATTCCCCTTGAGGCAGCAAACTCGGGGTCCCTCCCACATACCTATTGCTGAGAGAAGCCTCCTCCTGAGGTGCTTCTGGAAAGTTGGCATACGTCTTGAGCCTAAGCCAGGGAATCAGCTCTCATCTCGAGACGATTTGGGGTACACGGAGCATTCCTCGAGTTGCTGTGCTGAAGTTGGTGTTCCTCTAGACTTGGGACAGTGTTCTCGGGGCATCTCTGGAGATGCCTGAAGGAAGTCGAGCCACCGGTCGTGTTGAATGGGGAACGGGGAATGGCTCTGGAGTCAATGCAGGGGAATCGGGCCTCATCTCGGGTTGATTTGGGGCACATGGAGCTGCTTTGCGTTGCTGGGGTGACCTCAGGGTCCGTCTAGACTGGTGACAGTGTTCTTGGGGACTGTCTCGAGATCCGTTAAGCAAGTCGAAGCTCCTGACTTGTTTGAATGGGATCACGGAATAGCTCTGCATGCACTGCAGGGGAATGGGGCCTCATCTCGCCTCTAGGGGAAAGTCTCATGGGTTTTCTCGAGTTGCGGCGGGGACCTGGGGTATGTTCTCGACTTACGGCGGGGATGGCCCTTCCAAACACGAGTTTCCTCAGTGACGTCAGGACTCCTGTCTAGTAACGAGGGACACCTCAGGAATCTCTTCGAGGCTTGGCAGGGCAAAAGGGACGCTTCTCGAGGTGAGGCAGGGCACCCAAGGACCCTTTCCAGTAGCCACAGGGATTTTGGGATTCCTATGAGTATTCAGGAGGAGTCAGGCATCGTCACAATTTGAAGCAATGAACTCCGCGTGCCTCTCGAGGTGTCAGCGGGATGTGAGGCCTTCCGTCAAAATGAGGCAGGGACCTAGGGCTTTCTCTAAGGTCTCCACAGGGGATTCAGACATCCCTTCATGTTGTGAGATGAAAGAGGAGCCTGTCTTCAAGCCACTGCAAGGAAATCCGGCCTCCTTTCAAGTTAGGGCTTCTCGCTGTATATTCCCCTTGAGGCAGCAAACTCGGGGTCCCTCCCACATACCTATTGCTGAGAGAAGCCTCCTCCTGAGGTGCTTCTGGAAAGTTGGCATACGTCTTGAGCCTAAGCCAGGGAATCAGCTCTCATCTCGAGACGATTTGGGGTACACGGAGCATTCCTCGAGTTGCTGTGCTGAAGTTGGTGTTCCTCTAGACTTGGGACAGTGTTCTCGGGGCATCTCTGGAGATGCCTGAAGGAAGTCGAGCCACCGGTCGTGTTGAATGGGGAACGGGGAATGGCTCTGGAGTCAATGCAGGGGAATCGGGCCTCATCTCGGGTTGATTTGGGGCACATGGAGCTGCTTTGCGTTGCTGGGGTGACCTCAGGGTCCGTCTAGACTGGTGACAGTGTTCTTGGGGACTGTCTCGAGATCCGTTAAGCAAGTCGAAGCTCCTGACTTGTTTGAATGGGATCACGGAATAGCTCTGCATGCACTGCAGGGGAATGGGGCCTCATCTCGCCTCTAGGGGAAAGTCTCATGGGTTTTCTCGAGTTGCGGCGGGGACCTGGGGTATGTTCTCGACTTACGGCGGGGATGGCCCTTCCAAACACGAGTTTCCTCAGTGACGTCAGGACTCCTGTCTAGTAACGAGGGACACCTCAGGAATCTCTTCGAGGCTTGGCAGGGCAAAAGGGACGCTTCTCGAGGTGAGGCAGGGCACCCAAGGACCCTTTCCAGTAGCCACAGGGATTTTGGGATTCCTATGAGTATTCAGGAGGAGTCAGGCATCGTCACCTTTTGAAGCAATGAACTCCGCGTGCCTCTCGAGGTGTCAGCGGGATGTGAGGCCTTCCGTCAAAATGAGGCAGGGACCTAGGGCTTTCTCTAAGGTCTCCACAGGGGATTCAGACATCCCTTCATGTTGTGAGATGAAAGACGAGCCTGTCTTCAAGCCACTGCAAGGAAATCCGGCCTCCTTTCAAGTTAGGGCTTCTCGCTGTATATTCCCCTTGAGGCAGCAAACTCGGGGTCCCTCCCACATTCCTATTGCTGAGAGAAGCCTCCTCCTGAGGTGCTTCTGGAAAGTTGGCATACGTCTTGAGCCTAAGCCAGGGAATCAGCTCTCATCTCGAGACGATTTGGGGTACACGGAGCATTCCTCGAGTTGCTGTGCTGAAGTTGGTGTTCCTCTAGACTTGGGACAGTGTTCTCGGGGCATCTCTGGAGATGCCTGAAGGAAGTCGAGCCACCGGTCGTGTTGAATGGGGAACGGGGAATGGCTCTGGAGTCAATGCAGGGGAATCGGGCCTCATCTCGGGTTGATTTGGGGCACATGGAGCTGCTTTGCGTTGCTGGGGTGACCTCAGGGTCCGTCTAGACTGGTGACAGTGTTCTTGGGGACTGTCTCGAGATCCGTTAAGCAAGTCGAAGCTCCTGACTTGTTTGAATGGGATCACGGAATAGCTCTGCATGCACTGCAGGGGAATGGGGCCTCATCTCGCCTCTAGGGGAAAGTCTCATGGGTTTTCTCGAGTTGCGGCGGGGACCTGGGGTATGTTCTCGACTTACGGCGGGGATGGCCCTTCCAAACACGAGTTTCCTCAGTGACGTCAGGACTCCTGTCTAGTAACGAGGGACACCTCAGGAATCTCTTCGAGGCTTGGCAGGGCAAAAGGGACGCTTCTCGAGGTGAGGCAGGGCACCCAAGGACCCTTTCCAGTAGCCACAGGGATTTTGGGATTCCTATGAGTATTCAGGAGGAGTCAGGCATCGTCACAATTTGAAGCAATGAACTCCGCGTGCCTCTCGAGGTGTCAGCGGGATGTGAGGCCTTCCGTCAAAATGAGGCAGGGACCTAGGGCTTTCTCTAAGGTCTCCACAGGGGATTCAGACATCCCTTCATGTTGTGAGATGAAAGAGGAGCCTGTCTTCAAGCCACTGCAAGGAAATCCGGCCTCCTTTCAAGTTAGGGCTTCTCGCTGTATATTCCCCTTGAGGCAGCAAACTCGGGGTCCCTCCCACATACCTATTGCTGAGAGAAGCCTCCTCCTGAGGTGCTTCTGGAAAGTTGGCATACGTCTTGAGCCTAAGCCAGGGAATCAGCTCTCATCTCGAGACGATTTGGGGTACACGGAGCATTCCTCGAGTTGCTGTGCTGAAGTTGGTGTTCCTCTAGACTTGGGACAGTGTTCTCGGGGCATCTCTGGAGATGCCTGAAGGAAGTCGAGCCACCGGTCGTGTTGAATGGGGAACGGGGAATGGCTCTGGAGTCAATGCAGGGGAATCGGGCCTCATCTCGGGTTGATTTGGGGCACATGGAGCTGCTTTGCGTTGCTGGGGTGACCTCAGGGTCCGTCTAGACTGGTGACAGTGTTCTTGGGGACTGTCTCGAGATCCGTTAAGCAAGTCGAAGCTCCTGACTTGTTTGAATGGGATCACGGAATAGCTCTGCATGCACTGCAGGGGAATGGGGCCTCATCTCGCCTCTAGGGGAAAGTCTCATGGGTTTTCTCGAGTTGCGGCGGGGACCTGGGGTATGTTCTCGACTTACGGCGGGGATGGCCCTTCCAAACACGAGTTTCCTCAGTGACGTCAGGACTCCTGTCTAGTAACGAGGGACACCTCAGGAATCTCTTCGAGGCTTGGCAGGGCAAAAGGGACGCTTCTCGAGGTGAGGCAGGGCACCCAAGGACCCTTTCCAGTAGCCACAGGGATTTTGGGATTCCTATGAGTATTCAGGAGGAGTCAGGCATCGTCACCTTTTGAAGCAATGAACTCCGCGTGCCTCTCGAGGTGTCAGCGGGATGTGAGGCCTTCCGTCAAAATGAGGCAGGGACCTAGGGCTTTCTCTAAGGTCTCCACAGGGGATTCAGACATCCCTTCATGTTGTGAGATGAAAGACGAGCCTGTCTTCAAGCCACTGCAAGGAAATCCGGCCTCCTTTCAAGTTAGGGCTTCTCGCTGTATATTCCCCTTGAGGCAGCAAACTCGGGGTCCCTCCCACATTCCTATTGCTGAGAGAAGCCTCCTCCTGAGGTGCTTCTGGAAAGTTGGCATACGTCTTGAGCCTAAGCCAGGGAATCAGCTCTCATCTCGAGACGATTTGGGGTACACGGAGCATTCCTCGAGTTGCTGTGCTGAAGTTGGTGTTCCTCTAGACTTGGGACAGTGTTCTCGGGGCATCTCTGGAGATGCCTGAAGGAAGTCGAGCCACCGGTCGTGTTGAATGGGGAACGGGGAATGGCTCTGGAGTCAATGCAGGGGAATCGGGCCTCATCTCGGGTTGATTTGGGGCACATGGAGCTGCTTTGCGTTGCTGGGGTGACCTCAGGGTCCGTCTAGACTGGTGACAGTGTTCTTGGGGACTGTCTCGAGATCCGTTAAGCAAGTCGAAGCTCCTGACTTGTTTGAATGGGATCACGGAATAGCTCTGCATGCACTGCAGGGGAATGGGGCCTCATCTCGCCTATAGGGGAAAGTCTCATGGGTTTTCTCGAGTTGCGGCGGGGACCTGGGGTATGTTCTCGACTTACGGCGGGGATGGCCCTTCCAAACACGAGTTTCCTCAGTGACGTCAGGACTCCTGTCTAGTAACGAGGGACACCTCAGGAATCTCTTCGAGGCTTGGCAGGGCAAAAGGGACGCTTCTCGAGGTGAGGCAGGGCACCCAAGGACCCTTTCCAGTAGCCACAGGGATTTTGGGATTCCTATGAGTATTCAGGAGGAGTCAGGCATCGTCACAATTTGAAGCAATGAACTCCGCGTGCCTCTCGAGGTGTCAGCGGGATGTGAGGCCTTCCGTCAAAATGAGGCAGGGACCTAGGGCTTTCTCTAAGGTCTCCACAGGGGATTCAGACATCCCTTCATGTTGTGAGATGAAAGAGGAGCCTGTCTTCAAGCCACTGCAAGGAAATCCGGCCTCCTTTCAAGTTAGGGCTTCTCGCTGTATATTCCCCTTGAGGCAGCAAACTCGGGGTCCCTCCCACATACCTATTGCTGAGAGAAGCCTCCTCCTGAGGTGCTTCTGGAAAGTTGGCATACGTCTTGAGCCTAAGCCAGGGAATCAGCTCTCATCTCGAGACGATTTGGGGTACACGGAGCATTCCTCGAGTTGCTGTGCTGAAGTTGGTGTTCCTCTAGACTTGGGACAGTGTTCTCGGGGCATCTCTGGAGATGCCTGAAGGAAGTCGAGCCACCGGTCGTGTTGAATGGGGAACGGGGAATGGCTCTGGAGTCAATGCAGGGGAATCGGGCCTCATCTCGGGTTGATTTGGGGCACATGGAGCTGCTTTGCGTTGCTGGGGTGACCTCAGGGTCCGTCTAGACTGGTGACAGTGTTCTTGGGGACTGTCTCGAGATCCGTTAAGCAAGTCGAAGCTCCTGACTTGTTTGAATGGGATCACGGAATAGCTCTGCATACACTGCAGGGGAATGGGGCCTCATCTCGCCTCTAGGGGAAAGTCTCATGGGTTTTCTCGAGTTGCGGCGGGGACCTGGGGTATGTTCTCGACTTACGGCGTGGATGGCCCTTCCAAACACGAGTTTCCTCAGTGACGTCAGGACTCCTGTCTAGTAACGAGGGACACCTCAGGAATCTCTTCGAGGCTTGGCAGGGCAAAAGGGACGCTTCTCGAGGTGAGGCAGGGCACCCAAGGACCCTTTCCAGTAGCCACAGGGATTTTGGGATTCCTATGAGTATTCAGGAGGAGTCAGGCATCGTCACCTTTTGAAGCAATGAACTCCGCGTGCCTCTCGAGGTGTCAGCGGGATGTGAGGCCTTCCGTCAAAATGAGGCAGGGACCTAGGGCTTTCTCTAAGGTCTCCACAGGGGATTCAGACATCCCTTCATGTTGTGAGATAAAAGACGAGCCTGTCTTCAAGCCACTGCAAGGAAATCCGGCCTCCTTTCAAGTTAGGGCTTCTCGCTGTATATTCCCCTTGAGGCAGCAAACTCGGGGTCCCTCCCACATTCCTATTGCTGAGAGAAGCCTCCTCCTGAGGTGCTTCTGGAAAGTTGGCATACGTCTTGAGCCTAAGCCAGGGAATCAGCTCTCATCTCGAGACGATTTGGGGTACACGGAGCATTCCTCGAGTTGCTGTGCTGAAGTTGGTGTTCCTCTAGACTTGGGACAGTGTTCTCGGGGCATCTCTGGAGATGCCTGAAGGAAGTCGAGCCACCGGTCGTGTTGAATGGGGAACGGGGAATGGCTCTGGAGTCAATGCAGGGGAATCGGGCCTCATCTCGGGTTGATTTGGGGCACATGGAGCTGCTTTGCGTTGCTGGGGTGACCTCAGGGTCCGTCTAGACTGGTGACAGTGTTCTTGGGGACTGTCTCGAGATCCGTTAAGCAAGTCGAAGCTCCTGACTTGTTTGAATGGGATCACGGAATAGCTCTGCATGCACTGCAGGGGAATGGGGCCTCATCTCGCCTCTAGGGGAAAGTCTCATGGGTTTTCTCGAGTTGCGGCGGGGACCTGGGGTATGTTCTCGACTTACGGCGGGGATGGCCCTTCCAAACACGAGTTTCCTCAGTGACGTCAGGACTCCTGTCTAGTAACGAGGGACACCTCAGGAATCTCTTCGAGGCTTGGCAGGGCAAAAGGGACGCTTCTCGAGGTGAGGCAGGGCACCCAAGGACCCTTTCCAGTAGCCACAGGGATTTTGGGATTCCTATGAGTATTCAGGAGGAGTCAGGCATCGTCACAATTTGAAGCAATGAACTCCGCGTGCCTCTCGAGGTGTCAGCGGGATGTGAGGCCTTCCGTCAAAATGAGGCAGGGACCTAGGGCTTTCTCTAAGGTCTCCACAGGGGATTCAGACATCCCTTCATGTTGTGAGATGAAAGAGGAGCCTGTCTTCAAGCCACTGCAAGGAAATCCGGCCTCCTTTCAAGTTAGGGCTTCTCGCTGTATATTCCCCTTGAGGCAGCAAACTCGGGGTCCCTCCCACATACCTATTGCTGAGAGAAGCCTCCTCCTGAGGTGCTTCTGGAAAGTTGGCATACGTCTTGAGCCTAAGCCAGGGAATCAGCTCTCATCTCGAGACGATTTGGGGTACACGGAGCATTCCTCGAGTTGCTGTGCTGAAGTTGGTGTTCCTCTAGACTTGGGACAGTGTTCTCGGGGCATCTCTGGAGATGCCTGAAGGAAGTCGAGCCACCGGTCGTGTTGAATGGGGAAAGGGGAATGGCTCTGGAGTCAATGCAGGGGAATCGGGCCTCATCTCGGGTTGATTTGGGGCACATGGAGCTGCTTTGCGTTGCTGGGGTGACCTCAGGGTCCGTCTAGACTGGTGACAGTGTTCTTGGGGACTGTCTCGAGATCCGTTAGGCAAGTCGAAGCTCCTGACTTGTTTGAATGGGATCACGGAATAGCTCTGCATGCACTGCAGGGGAATGGGGCCTCATCTCGCCTCTAGGGGGAAGTCTCATGGGTTTTCTCGAGTTGCGGCGGGGACCTGGGGTATGTTCTCGACTTACGGCGGGGATGGCCCTTCCAAACACGAGTTTCCTCAGTGACGTCAGGACTCCTGTCTAGTAACGAGGGACACCTCAGGAATCTCTTCGAGGCTTGGCAGGGCAAAAGGGACGCTTCTCGAGGTGAGGCAGGGCACCCAAGGACCCTTTCCAGTACCACAGGGATTTTGGGATTCCTATGAGTATTCAGGAGGAGTCAGGCATCGTCACCTTTTGAAGCAATGAACTCCGCGTGCCTCTCGAGGTGTCAGCGGGATGTGAGGCCTTCCGTCAAAATGAGGCAGGGACCTAGGGCTTTCTCTAAGGTCTCCACAGGGGATTCAGACATCCCTTCATGTTGTGAGATGAAAGACGAGCCTGTCTTCAAGCCACTGCAAGGAAATCCGGCCTCCTTTCAGGTTAGGGCTTCTCGCTGTATATTCCCCTTGAGGCAGCAAACTCGGGGTCCCTCCCACATACCTATTGCTGAGAGAAGCCTCCTCCTGAGGTGCTTCTGGAAAGTTGGCATACGTCTTGAGCCTAAGCCAGGGAATCAGCTCTCATCTCGAGACGATTTGGGGTACACGGAGCATTCCTCGAGTTGCTGTGCTGAAGTTGGTGTTCCTCTAGACTTGGGACAGTGTTCTCGGGGCATCTCTGGAGATACCTGAAGGAAGTCGAGCCACCGGTCGTGTTGAATGGGGAACGGGGAATGGCTCTGGAGTCAATGCAGGGGAATCGGGCCTCATCTCGGGTTGATTTGGGGCACATGGAGCTGCTTTGCGTTGCTGGGGTGACCTCAGGGTCCGTCTAGACTGGTGACAGTGTTCTTGGGGACTGTCTCGAGATCCGTTAAGCAAGTCGAAGCTCCTGACTTGTTTGAATGGGATCACGGAATAGCTCTGCATGCACTGCAGGGGAATGGGGCCTCATCTCGCCTCTAGGGGGAAGTCTCATGGGTTTTCTCGAGTTGCGGCGGGGACCTGGGGTATGTTCTCGACTTACGGCGGGGATGGCCCTTCCAAACACGAGTTTCCTCAGTGACGTCAGGACTCCTGTCTAGTAACGAGGGACACCTCAGGAATCTCTTCGAGGCTTGGCAGGGCAAAAGGGACGCTTCTGGAGGTGAGGCAGGGCACCCAAGGACCCTTTCCAGTAGCCACAGGGATTTTGGGATTCCTATGAGTATTCAGGAGGAGTCAGGCATCGTCACCTTTTGAAGCAATGAACTCCGCGTGTCTCTCGAGGTGTCAGCGGGATGTGAGGCCTTCCGTCAAAATGAGGCAGGGACCTAGGGCTTTCTCTAAGGTCTCCACAGGGGATTCAGACATCCCTTCATGTTGTGAGATGAAAGACGAGCCTGTCTTCAAGCCACTGCAAGGAAATCCGGCCTCCTTTCAAGTTAGGGCTTCTCGCTGTATATTCCCCTTGAGGCAGCAAACTCGGGGTCCCTCCCACATACCTATTGCTGAGAGAAGCCTCCTCCTGAGGTGCTTCTGGAAAGTTGGCATACGTCTTGAGCCTAAGCCAGGGAATCAGCTCTCATCTCGAGACGATTTGGGGTACACGGAGCATTCCTCGAGTTGCTGTGCTGAAGTTGGTGTTCCTCTAGACTTGGGACAGTGTTCTCGGGGCATCTCTGGAGATGCCTGAAGGAAGTCGAGCCACCGGTCGTGTTGAATGGGCAACGGGGAAAGGCTCTGGAGTCAATGCAGGGGAATCGGGCCTCATCTCGGGTTGATTTGGGGCACATGGAGCTGCTTTGCGTTGCTGGGGTGTCCTCAGGGTCCGTCTAGACTGTCGACAGTGTTCTTGGGGACTGTCTCGAGATCCGTTAAGCAAGTCGAAGCTCCTGACTTGTTTGAATGGGATCACGGAATAGCTCTGCATGCACTGCAGGGGAATGGGGCCTCATCTCGCCTCTAGGGGGAAGTCTCATGGGTTTTCTCGAGTTGCGGCGGGGACCTGGGGTATGATCTCGACTTACGGCGGGGATGGCCCTTCCAAACACGAGTTTCCTCAGTGACGTCAGGACTCCTGTCTAGTAACGAGGGACACCTCAGGAATCTCTTCGAGGCTTGTCAGGGCAAAAGGGACGCTTCTCGAGGTGAGGCAGGGCACCCAAGGACCCTTTCCAGTAGCCACAGGGATTTTGGGATTCCTATGAGTATTCAGGAGGAGTCAGGCATCGTCACCTTTTGAAGCAATGAACTCCCCGTGCCTCTCGAGGTGTCAGCGGGATGTGAGGCCTTCCGTCAAAATGAGGCAGGGACCTAGGGCTTTCTCTAAGGTCTCCACAGGGGATTCAGACATCCCTTCATGTTGTGAGATGAAAGACGAGCCTGTCTTCAAGCCACTGCAAGGAAATCCGGCCTCCTTTCAAGTTAGGGCTTCTCGCTGTATATTCCCCTTGAGGCAGCAAACTCGGGGTCCCTCCCACATACCTATTGCTGAGAGAAGCCTCCTCCTGAGGTGCTTCTGGAAAGTTGGCATACGTCTTGAGCCTAAGCCAGGGAATCAGCTCTCATCTCGAGACGATTTGGGGTACACGGAGCATTCCTCGAGTTGCTGTGCTGAAGTTGGTGTTCCTCTAGACTTGGGACAGTGTTCTCGGGGCATCTCTGGAGATGCCTGAAGGAAGTCGAGCCACCGGTCGTGTTGAATGGGCAACGGGGAATGGCTCTGGAGTCAATGCAGGGGAATCGGGCCTCATCTCGGGTTGATTTGGGGCACATGGAGCTGCTTTGCGTTGCTGGGGTGACCTCAGGGTCCGTCTAGACTGGTGACAGTGTTCTTGGGGACTGTCTCGAGATCCGTTAAGCAAGTCGAAGCTCCTGACTTGTTTGAATGGGATCACGGAATAGCTCTGCATGCACTGCAGGGGAATGGGGCCTCATCTCGCCTCTAGGGGGAAGTCTCATGGGTTTTCTCGAGTTGCGGCGGGGACCTGGGGTATGTTCTCGACTTACGGCGGGGATGGCCCTTCCAAACACGAGTTTCCTCAGTGACGTCAGGACTCCTGTCTAGTAACGAGGGACACCTCAGGAATCTCTTCGAGGCTTGGCAGGGCAAAAGGGACGCTTCTCGAGGTGAGGCAGGGCACCCAAGGACCCTTTCCAGTAGCCACAGGGATTTTGGGATTCCTATGAGTATTCAGGAGGAGTCAGGCATCGTCACCTTTTGAAGCAATGAACTCCCCGTGTCTCTCGAGGTGTCAGCGGGATGTGAGGCCTTCCGTCAAAATGAGGCAGGGACCTAGGGCTTTCTCTAAGGTCTCCACAGGGGATTCAGACATCCCTTCATGTTGTGAGATGAAAGACGAGCCTGTCTTCAAGCCACTGCAAGGAAATCCGGCCTCCTTTCAAGTTAGGGCTTCTCGCTGTATATTCCCCTTGAGGCAGCAAACTCGGGGTCCCTCCCACATACCTATTGCTGAGAGAAGCCTCCTCCTGAGGTGCTTCTGGAAAGTTGGCATACGTCTTGAGCCTAAGCCAGGGAATCAGCTCTCATCTCGAGACGATTTGGGGTACACGGAGCATTCCTCGAGTTGCTGTGCTGAAGTTGGTGTTCCTCTAGACTTGGGACAGTGTTCTCGGGGCATCTCTGGAGATGCCTGAAGGAAGTCGAGCCACCGGTCGTGTTGAATGGGGAACGGGGAATGGCTCTGGAGTCAATGCAGGGGAATCGGGCCTCATCTCGGGTTGATTTGGGGCACATGGAGCTGCTTTGCGTTGCTGGGGTGACCTCAGGGTCCGTCTAGACTGGTGACAGTGTTCTTGGGGACTGTCTCGAGATCCGTTAAGCAAGTCGAAGCTCCTGACTTGTTTGAATGGGATCACGGAATAGCTCTGCATGCACTGCAGGGGAATGGGGCCTCATCTCGCCTCTAGGGGGAAGTCTCATGGGTTTTCTCGAGTTGCGGCGGGGACCTGGGGTATGTTCTCGACTTACGGCGGGGATGGCCCTTCCAAACACGAGTTTCCTCAGTGACGTCAGGACTCCTGTCTAGTAACGAGGGACACCTCAGGAATCTCTTCGAGGCTTGGCAGGGCAAAAGGGACGCTTCTCGAGGTGAGGCAGGGCACCCAAGGACCCTTTCCAGTAGCCACAGGGATTTTGGGATTCCTATGAGTATTCAGGAGGAGTCAGGCATCGTCACAATTTGAAGCAATGAACTCCGCGTGCCTCTCGAGGTGTCAGCGGGATGTGAGGCCTTCCGTCAAAATGAGGCAGAGACCTAGGGCTTTCTCTAAGGTCTCCACAGTGGATTCAGACATCCCTTCATGTTGTGAGATGAAAGACGAGCCTGTCTTCAAGCCACTACAAGGAAATCCGGCCTCCTTTCAAGTTAGGGCTTCTCGCTGTATATTCCCCTTGAGGCAGCAAACTCGGGGTCCCTCCCACATACCTATTGCTGAGAGAAGCCTCCTCCTGAGGTGCTTCTGGAAAGTTGGCATACGTCTTGAGCCTAAGCCAGGGAATCAGCTCTCATCTCGAGACGATTTGGGGTACACGGAGCATTCCTCGAGTTGCTGTGCTGAAGTTGGTGTTCCTCTAGACTTGGGACAGTGTTCTCGGGGCATCTCTGGAGATGCCTGAAGGAAGTCGAGCCACCGGTCGTGTTGAATGGGCAACGGGGAATGGCTCTGGAGTCAATGCAGGGGAATCGGGCCTCATCTCGGGTTGATTTGGGGCACATGGAGCTGCTTTGCGTTGCTGGGGTGACCTCAGGGTCCGTCTAGACTGGTGACAGTGTTCTTGGGGACTGTCTCGAGATCCGTTAAGCAAGTCGAAGCTCCTGACTTGTTTGAATGGGATCACGGAATAGCTCTGCATGCACTGCAGGGGAATGGGGCCTCATCTCGCCTCTAGGGGGAAGTCTCATGGGTTTTCTCGAGTTGCGGCGGGGACCTGGGGTATGTTCTCGACTTACGGCGGGGATGGCCCTTCCAAACACGAGTTTCCTCAGTGACGTCAGGACTCCTGTCTAGTAACGAGGGACACCTCAGGAATCTCTTCGAGGCTTGGCAGGGCAAAAGGGACGCTTCTCGAGGTGAGGCAGGGCACCCAAGGACCCTTTCCAGTAGCCACAGGGATTTTGGGATTCCTATGAGTATTCAGGAGGAGTCAGGCATCGTCACCTTTTGAAGCAATGAACTCCCCGTGTCTCTCGAGGTGTCAGCGGGATGTGAGGCCTTCCGTCAAAATGAGGCAGGGACCTAGGGCTTTCTCTAAGGTCTCCACAGGGGATTCAGACATCCCTTCATGTTGTGAGATGAAAGACGAGCCTGTCTTCAAGCCACTGCAAGGAAATCCGGCCTCCTTTCAAGTTAGGGCTTCTCGCTGTATATTCCCCTTGAGGCAGCAAACTCGGGGTCCCTCCCACATACCTATTGCTGAGAGAAGCCTCCTCCTGAGGTGCTTCTGGAAAGTTGGCATACGTCTTGAGCCTAAGCCAGGGAATCAGCTCTCATCTCGAGACGATTTGGGGTACACGGAGCATTCCTCGAGTTGCTGTGCTGAAGTTGGTGTTCCTCTAGACTTGGGACAGTGTTCTCGGGGCATCTCTGGAGATGCCTGAAGGAAGTCGAGCCACCGGTCGTGTTGAATGGGGAACGGGGAATGGCTCTGGAGTCAATGCAGGGGAATCGGGCCTCGTCTCGGGTTGATTTGGGGCACATGGAGCTGCTTTGCGTTGCTGGGGTGACCTCAGGGTCCGTCTAGACTGGTGACAGTGTTCTTGGGGACTGTCTCGAGATCCGTTAAGCAAGTCGAAGCTCCTGACTTGTTTGAATGGGATCACGGAATAGCTCTGCATGCACTGCAGGGGAATGGGGCCTCATCTCGCCTCTAGGGGGAAGTCTCATGGGTTTTCTCGAGTTGCGGCGGGGACCTGGGGTATGTTCTCGACTTACGGCGGGGATGGCCCTTCCAAACACGAGTTTCCTCAGTGACGTCAGGACTCCTGTCTAGTAACGAGGGACACCTCAGGAATCTCTTCGAGGCTTGGCAGGGCAAAAGGGACGCTTCTCGAGGTGAGGCAGGGCACCCAAGGACCCTTTCCAGTACCACAGGGATTTTGGGATTCCTATGAGTATTCAGGAGGAGTCAGGCATCGTCACCTTTTGAAGCAATGAACTCCGCGTACCTCTCGAGGTGTCAGCGGGATGTGAGGCCTTCCGTCAAAATGAGGCAGGGACCTAGGGCTTTCTCTAAGGTCTCCACAGGGGATTCAGACATCCCTTCATGTCGTGAGATGAAAGACGAGCCTGTCTTCAAGCCACTGCAAGGAAATCCGGCCTCCTTTCAGGTTAGGGCTTCTCGCAGTATATTCCCCTTGAGGCAGCAAACTCGGGGTCCCTCCCACATACCTATTGCTGAGAGAAGCCTCCTCCTGAGGTGCTTCTGGAAAGTTGGCATACGTCTTGAGCCTAAGCCAGGGAATCAGCTCTCATCTCGAGACGATTTGGGGTACACGGAGCATTCCTCGAGTTGCTGTGCTGAAGTTGGTGTTCCTCTAGACTTGGGACAGTGTTCTCGGGGCATCTCTGGAGATGCCTGAAGGAAGTCGAGCCACCGGTCGTGTTGAATGGGCAACGGGGAAAGGCTCTGGAGTCAATGCAGGGGAATCGGGCCTCATCTCGGGTTGATTTGGGGCACATGGAGCTGCTTTGCGTTGCTGGGGTGTCCTCAGGGTCCGTCTAGACTGTCGACAGTGTTCTTGGGGACTGTCTCGAGATCCGTTAAGCAAGTCGAAGCTCCTGACTTGTTTGAATGGGATCACGGAATAGCTCTGCATGCACTGCAGGGGAATGGGGCCTCATCTCGCCTCTAGGGGGAAGTCTCATGGGTTTTCTCGAGTTGCGGCGGGGACCTGGGGTATGATCTCGACTTACGGCGGGGATGGCCCTTCCAAACACGAGTTTCCTCAGTGACGTCAGGACTCCTGTCTAGTAACGAGGGACACCTCAGGAATCTCTTCGAGGCTTGTCAGGGCAAAAGGGACGCTTCTCGAGGTGAGGCAGGGCACCCAAGGACCCTTTCCAGTAGCCACAGGGATTTTGGGATTCCTATGAGTATTCAGGAGGAGTCAGGCATCGTCACCTTTTGAAGCAATGAACTCCCCGTGCCTCTCGAGGTGTCAGCGGGATGTGAGGCCTTCCGTCAAAATGAGGCAGGGACCTAGGGCTTTCTCTAAGGTCTCCACAGGGGATTCAGACATCCCTTCATGTTGTGAGATGAAAGACGAGCCTGTCTTCAAGCCACTGCAAGGAAATCCGGCCTCCTTTCAAGTTAGGGCTTCTCGCTGTATATTCCCCTTGAGGCAGCAAACTCGGGGTCCCTCCCACATACCTATTGCTGAGAGAAGCCTCCTCCTGAGGTGCTTCTGGAAAGTTGGCATACGTCTTGAGCCTAAGCCAGGGAATCAGCTCTCATCTCGAGACGATTTGGGGTACACGGAGCATTCCTCGAGTTGCTGTGCTGAAGTTGGTGTTCCTCTAGACTTGGGACAGTGTTCTCGGGGCATCTCTGGAGATGCCTGAAGGAAGTCGAGCCACCGGTCGTGTTGAATGGGCAACGGGGAATGGCTCTGGAGTCAATGCAGGGGAATCGGGCCTCATCTCGGGTTGATTTGGGGCACATGGAGCTGCTTTGCGTTGCTGGGGTGACCTCAGGGTCCGTCTAGACTGGTGACAGTGTTCTTGGGGACTGTCTCGAGATCCGTTAAGCAAGTCGAAGCTCCTGACTTGTTTGAATGGGATCACGGAATAGCTCTGCATGCACTGCAGGGGAATGGGGCCTCATCTCGCCTCTAGGGGGAAGTCTCATGGGTTTTCTCGAGTTGCGGCGGGGACCTGGGGTATGTTCTCGACTTACGGCGGGGATGGCCCTTCCAAACACGAGTTTCCTCAGTGACGTCAGGACTCCTGTCTAGTAACGAGGGACACCTCAGGAATCTCTTCGAGGCTTGGCAGGGCAAAAGGGACGCTTCTCGAGGTGAGGCAGGGCACCCAAGGACCCTTTCCAGTAGCCACAGGGATTTTGGGATTCCTATGAGTATTCAGGAGGAGTCAGGCATCGTCACCTTTTGAAGCAATGAACTCCCCGTGTCTCTCGAGGTGTCAGCGGGATGTGAGGCCTTCCGTCAAAATGAGGCAGGGACCTAGGGCTTTCTCTAAGGTCTCCACAGGGGATTCAGACATCCCTTCATGTTGTGAGATGAAAGACGAGCCTGTCTTCAAGCCACTGCAAGGAAATCCGGCCTCCTTTCAAGTTAGGGCTTCTCGCTGTATATTCCCCTTGAGGCAGCAAACTCGGGGTCCCTCCCACATACCTATTGCTGAGAGAAGCCTCCTCCTGAGGTGCTTCTGGAAAGTTGGCATACGTCTTGAGCCTAAGCCAGGGAATCAGCTCTCATCTCGAGACGATTTGGGGTACACGGAGCATTCCTCGAGTTGCTGTGCTGAAGTTGGTGTTCCTCTAGACTTGGGACAGTGTTCTCGGGGCATCTCTGGAGATGCCTGAAGGAAGTCGAGCCACCGGTCGTGTTGAATGGGGAACGGGGAATGGCTCTGGAGTCAATGCAGGGGAATCGGGCCTCATCTCGGGTTGATTTGGGGCACATGGAGCTGCTTTGCGTTGCTGGGGTGACCTCAGGGTCCGTCTAGACTGGTGACAGTGTTCTTGGGGACTGTCTCGAGATCCGTTAAGCAAGTCGAAGCTCCTGACTTGTTTGAATGGGATCACGGAATAGCTCTGCATGCACTGCAGGGGAATGGGGCCTCATCTCGCCTCTAGGGGGAAGTCTCATGGGTTTTCTCGAGTTGCGGCGGGGACCTGGGGTATGTTCTCGACTTACGGCGGGGATGGCCCTTCCAAACACGAGTTTCCTCAGTGACGTCAGGACTCCTGTCTAGTAACGAGGGACACCTCAGGAATCTCTTCGAGGCTTGGCAGGGCAAAAGGGACGCTTCTCGAGGTGAGGCAGGGCACCCAAGGACCCTTTCCAGTAGCCACAGGGATTTTGGGATTCCTATGAGTATTCAGGAGGAGTCAGGCATCGTCACAATTTGAAGCAATGAACTCCGCGTGCCTCTCGAGGTGTCAGCGGGATGTGAGGCCTTCCGTCAAAATGAGGCAGAGACCTAGGGCTTTCTCTAAGGTCTCCACAGTGGATTCAGACATCCCTTCATGTTGTGAGATGAAAGACGAGCCTGTCTTCAAGCCACTACAAGGAAATCCGGCCTCCTTTCAAGTTAGGGCTTCTCGCTGTATATTCCCCTTGAGGCAGCAAACTCGGGGTCCCTCCCACATACCTATTGCTGAGAGAAGCCTCCTCCTGAGGTGCTTCTGGAAAGTTGGCATACGTCTTGAGCCTAAGCCAGGGAATCAGCTCTCATCTCGAGACGATTTGGGGTACACGGAGCATTCCTCGAGTTGCTGTGCTGAAGTTGGTGTTCCTCTAGACTTGGGACAGTGTTCTCGGGGCATCTCTGGAGATGCCTGAAGGAAGTCGAGCCACCGGTCGTGTTGAATGGGCAACGGGGAATGGCTCTGGAGTCAATGCAGGGGAATCGGGCCTCATCTCGGGTTGATTTGGGGCACATGGAGCTGCTTTGCGTTGCTGGGGTGACCTCAGGGTCCGTCTAGACTGGTGACAGTGTTCTTGGGGACTGTCTCGAGATCCGTTAAGCAAGTCGAAGCTCCTGACTTGTTTGAATGGGATCACGGAATAGCTCTGCATGCACTGCAGGGGAATGGGGCCTCATCTCGCCTCTAGGGGGAAGTCTCATGGGTTTTCTCGAGTTGCGGCGGGGACCTGGGGTATGTTCTCGACTTACGGCGGGGATGGCCCTTCCAAACACGAGTTTCCTCAGTGACGTCAGGACTCCTGTCTAGTAACGAGGGACACCTCAGGAATCTCTTCGAGGCTTGGCAGGGCAAAAGGGACGCTTCTCGAGGTGAGGCAGGGCACCCAAGGACCCTTTCCAGTAGCCACAGGGATTTTGGGATTCCTATGAGTATTCAGGAGGAGTCAGGCATCGTCACCTTTTGAAGCAATGAACTCCCCGTGTCTCTCGAGGTGTCAGCGGGATGTGAGGCCTTCCGTCAAAATGAGGCAGGGACCTAGGGCTTTCTCTAAGGTCTCCACAGGGGATTCAGACATCCCTTCATGTTGTGAGATGAAAGACGAGCCTGTCTTCAAGCCACTGCAAGGAAATCCGGCCTCCTTTCAAGTTAGTGCTTCTCGCTGTATATTCCCCTTGAGGCAGCAAACTCGGGGTCCCTCCCACATACCTATTGCTGAGAGAAGCCTCCTCCTGAGGTGCTTCTGGAAAGTTGGCATACGTCTTGAGCCTAAGCCAGGGAATCAGCTCTCATCTCGAGACGATTTGGGGTACACGGAGCATTCCTCGAGTTGCTGTGCTGAAGTTGGTGTTCCTCTAGACTTGGGACAGTGTTCTCGGGGCATCTCTGGAGATGCCTGAAGGAAGTCGAGCCACCGGTCGTGTTGAATGGGGAACGGGGAATGGCTCTGGAGTCAATGCAGGGGAATCGGGCCTCGTCTCGGGTTGATTTGGGGCACATGGAGCTGCTTTGCGTTGCTGGGGTGACCTCAGGGTCCGTCTAGACTGGTGACAGTGTTCTTGGGGACTGTCTCGAGATCCGTTAAGCAAGTCGAAGCTCCTGACTTGTTTGAATGGGATCACGGAATAGCTCTGCATGCACTGCAGGGGAATGGGGCCTCATCTCGCCTCTAGGGGGAAGTCTCATGGGTTTTCTCGAGTTGCGGCGGGGACCTGGGGTATGTTCTCGACTTACGGCGGGGATGGCCCTTCCAAACACGAGTTTCCTCAGTGACGTCAGGACTCCTGTCTAGTAACGAGGGACACCTCAGGAATCTCTTCGAGGCTTGGCAGGGCAAAAGGGACGCTTCTCGAGGTGAGGCAGGGCACCCAAGGACCCTTTCCAGTACCACAGGGATTTTGGGATTCCTATGAGTATTCAGGAGGAGTCAGGCATCGTCACCTTTTGAAGCAATGAACTCCGCGTACCTCTCGAGGTGTCAGCGGGATGTGAGGCCTTCCGTCAAAATGAGGCAGGGACCTAGGGCTTTCTCTAAGGTCTCCACAGGGGATTCAGACATCCCTTCATGTCGTGAGATGAAAGACGAGCCTGTCTTCAAGCCACTGCAAGGAAATCCGGCCTCCTTTCAGGTTAGGGCTTCTCGCAGTATATTCCCCTTGAGGCAGCAAACTCGGGGTCCCTCCCACATACCTATTGCTGAGAGAAGCCTCCTCCTGAGGTGCTTCTGGAAAGTTGGCATACGTCTTGAGCCTAAGCCAGGGAATCAGCTCTCATCTCGAGACGATTTGGGGTACACGGAGCATTCCTCGAGTTGCTGTGCTGAAGTTGGTGTTCCTCTAGACTTGGGACAGTGTTCTCGGGGCATCTCTGGAGATACCTGAAGGAAGTCGAGCCACCGGTCGTGTTGAATGGGGAACGGGGAATGGCTCTGGAGTCAATGCAGGGGAATCGGGCCTCATCTCGGGTTGATTTGGGGCACATGGAGCTGCTTTGCGTTGCTGGGGTGACCTCAGGGTCCGTCTAGACTGGTGACAGTGTTCTTGGGGACTGTCTCGAGATCCGTTAAGCAAGTCGAAGCTCCTGACTTGTTTGAATGGGATCACGGAATAGCTCTGCATGCACTGCAGGGGAATGGGGCCTCATCTCGCCTCTAGGGGGAAGTCTCATGGGTTTTCTCGAGTTGCGGCGGGGACCTGGGGTATGTTCTCGACTTACGGCGGGGATGGCCCTTCCAAACACGAGTTTCCTCAGTGACGTCAGGACTCCTGTCTAGTAACGAGGGACACCTCAGGAATCTCTTCGAGGCTTGGCAGGGCAAAAGGGACGCTTCTGGAGGTGAGGCAGGGCACCCAAGGACCCTTTCCAGTAGCCACAGGGATTTTGGGATTCCTATGAGTATTCAGGAGGAGTCAGGCATCGTCACCTTTTGAAGCAATGAACTCCCCGTGTCTCTCGAGGTGTCAGCGGGATGTGAGGCCTTCCGTCAAAATGAGGCAGGGACCTAGGGCTTTCTCTAAGGTCTCCACAGGGGATTCAGACATCCCTTCATGTTGTGAGATGAAAGACGAGCCTGTCTTCAAGCCACTGCAAGGAAATCCGGCCTCCTTTCAAGTTAGGGCTTCTCGCTGTATATTCCCCTTGAGGCAGCAAACTCGGGGTCCCTCCCACATACCTATTGCTGAGAGAAGCCTCCTCCTGAGGTGCTTCTGGAAAGTTGGCATACGTCTTGAGCCTAAGCCAGGGAATCAGCTCTCATCTCGAGACGATTTGGGGTACACGGAGCATTCCTCGAGTTGCTGTGCTGAAGTTGGTGTTCCTCTAGACTTGGGACAGTGTTCTCGGGGCATCTCTGGAGATGCCTGAAGGAAGTCGAGCCACCGGTCGTGTTGAATGGGCAACGGGGAAAGGCTCTGGAGTCAATGCAGGGGAATCGGGCCTCATCTCGGGTTGATTTGGGGCACATGGAGCTGCTTTGCGTTGCTGGGGTGTCCTCAGGGTCCGTCTAGACTGGTGACAGTGTTCTTGGGGACTGTCTCGAGATCCGTTAAGCAAGTCGAAGCTCCTGACTTGTTTGAATGGGATCACGGAATAGCTCTGCATGCACTGCAGGGGAATGGGGCCTCATCTCGCCTCTAGGGGGAAGTCTCATGGGTTTTCTCGAGTTGCGGCGGGGACCTGGGGTATGATCTCGACTTACGGCGGGGATGGCCCTTCCAAACACGAGTTTCCTCAGTGACGTCAGGACTCCTGTCTAGTAACGAGGGACACCTCAGGAATCTCTTCGAGGCTTGGCAGGGCAAAAGGGACGCTTCTCGAGGTGAGGCAGGGCACCCAAGGACCCTTTCCAGTAGCCACAGGGATTTTGGGATTCCTATGAGTATTCAGGAGGAGTCAGGCATCGTCACCTTTTGAAGCAATGAACTCCCCGTGCCTCTCGAGGTGTCAGCGGGATGTGAGGCCTTCCGTCAAAATGAGGCAGGGACCTAGGGCTTTCTCTAAGGTCTCCACAGGGGATTCAGACATCCCTTCATGTTGTGAGATGAAAGACGAGCCTGTCTTCAAGCCACTGCAAGGAAATCCGGCCTCCTTTCAAGTTAGGGCTTCTCGCTGTATATTCCCCTTGAGGCAGCAAACTCGGGGTCCCTCCCACATACCTATTGCTGAGAGAAGCCTCCTCCTGAGGTGCTTCTGGAAAGTTGGCATACGTCTTGAGCCTAAGCCAGGGAATCAGCTCTCATCTCGAGACGATTTGGGGTACACGGAGCATTCCTCGAGTTGCTGTGCTGAAGTTGGTGTTCCTCTAGACTTGGGACAGTGTTCTCGGGGCATCTCTGGAGATGCCTGAAGGAAGTCGAGCCACCGGTCGTGTTGAATGGGGAACGGGGAATGGCTCTGGAGTCAATGCAGGGGAATCGGGCCTCATCTCGGGTTGATTTGGGGCACATGGAGCTGCTTTGCGTTGCTGGGGTGACCTCAGGGTCCGTCTAGACTGGTGACAGTGTTCTTCGGGACTGTCTCGAGATCCGTTAAGCAAGTCGAAGCTCCTGACTTGTTTGAATGGGATCACGGAATAGCTCTGCATGCACTGCAGGGGAATGGGGCCTCATCTCGCCTCTAGGGGGAAGTCTCATGGGTTTTCTCGAGTTGCGGCGGGGACCTGGGGTATGTTCTCGACTTACGGCGGGGATGGCCCTTCCAAACACGAGTTTCCTCAGTGACGTCAGGACTCCTGTCTAGTAACGAGGGACACCTCAGGAATCTCTTCGAGGCTTGGCAGGGCAAAAGGGACGCTTCTCGAGGTGAGGCAGGGCACCCAAGGACCCTTTCCAGTAGCCACAGGGATTTTGGGATTCCTATGAGTATTCAGGAGGAGTCAGGCATCGTCACCTTTTGAAGCAATGAACTCCGCGTGCCTCTCGAGGTGTCAGCGGGATGTGAGGCCTTCCGTCAAAATGATGCAGGGACCTAGGGCTTTCTCTAAGGTCTCCACAGGGGATTCAGACATCCCTTCATGTTGTGAGATGAAAGACGAGCCTGTCTTCAAGCCACTGCAAGGAAATCCGGCCTCCTTTCAAGTTAGGGCTTCTCGCTGTATATTCCCCTTGAGGCAGCAAACTCGGGGTCCCTCCCACATACCTATTGCTGAGAGAAGCCTCCTCCTGAGGTGCTTCTGGAAAGTTGGCATACGTCTTGAGCCTAAGCCAGGGAATCAGCTCTCATCTCGAGACGATTTGGGGTACACGGAGCATTCCTCGAGTTGCTGTGCTGAAGTTGGTGTTCCTCTAGACTTGGGACAGTGTTCTCGGGGCATCTCTGGAGATGCCTGAAGGAAGTCGAGCCACCGGTCGTGTTGAATGGGGAACGGGGAATGGCTCTGGAGTCAATGCAGGGGAATCGGGCCTCATCTCGGGTTGATTTGGGGCACATGGAGCTGCTTTGCGTTGCTGGGGTGACCTCAGGGTCCGTCTAGACTGGTGACAGTGTTCTTGGGGACTGTCTCGAGATCCGTTAAGCAAGTCGAAGCTCCTGACTTGTTTGAATGGGATCACGGAATAGCTCTGCATGCACTGCAGGGGAATGGGGCCTCATCTCGCCTCTAGGGGGAAGTCTCATGGGTTTTCTCGAGTTGCGGCGGGGACCTGGGGTATGTTCTCGACTTACGGCGGGGATGGCCCTTCCAAACACGAGTTTCCTCAGTGACGTCAGGACTACTGTCTAGTAACGAGGGACACCTCAGGAATCTCTTCGAGGCTTGGCAGGGCAAAAGGGACGCTTCTCGAGGTGAGGCAGGGCACCCAAGGACCCTTTCCAGTAGCCACAGGGATTTTGGGATTCCTATGAGTATTCAGGAGGAGTCAGGCATCGTCACCTTTTGAAGCAATGAACTCCGCGTGCCTCTCGAGGTGTCAGCGGGATGTGAGGCCTTCCGTCAAAATGAGGCAGGGACCTAGGGCTTTCTCTAAGGTCTCCACAGGGGATTCAGACATCCCTTCATGTTGTGAGATGAAAGACGAGCCTGTCTTCAAGCCACTGCAAGGAAATCCGGCCTCCTTTCAAGTTAGGGCTTCTCGCTGTATATTCCCCTTGAGGCAGCAAACTCGGGGTCCCTCCCACATACCTATTGCTGAGAGAAGCCTCCTCCTGAGGTGCTTCTGGAAAGTTGGCATACGTCTTGAGCCTAAGCCAGGGAATCAGCTCTCATCTCGAGACGATTTGGGGTACACGGAGCATTCCTCGAGTTGCTGTGCTGAAGTTGGTGTTCCTCTAGACTTGGGACAGTGTTCTCGGGGCATCTCTGGAGATACCTGAAGGAAGTCGAGCCACCGGTCGTGTTGAATGGGGAACGGGGAATGGCTCTGGAGTCAATGCAGGGGAATCGGGCCTCATCTCGGGTTGATTTGGGGCACATGGAGCTGCTTTGCGTTGCTGGGGTGACCTCAGGGTCCGTCTAGACTGGTGACAGTGTTCTTGGGGACTGTCTCGAGATCCGTTAAGCAAGTCGAAGCTCCTGACTTGTTTGAATGGGATCACGGAATAGCTCTGCATGCACTGCAGGGGAATGGGGCCTCATCTCGCCTCTAGGGGGAAGTCTCATGGGTTTTCTCGAGTTGCGGCGGGGACCTGGGGTATGTTCTCGACTTACGGCGGGGATGGCCCTTCCAAACACGAGTTTCCTCAGTGACGTCAGGACTCCTGTCTAGTAACGAGGGACACCTCAGGAATCTCTTCGAGGCTTGGCAGGGCAAAAGGGACGCTTCTCGAGGTGAGGCAGGGCACCCAAGGACCCATTCCAGTAGCCACAGGTATTTTGGGATTCCTATGAGTATTCAGGAGGAGTCAGGCATCGTCACAATTTGAAGCAATGAACTCCGCGTGCCTCTCGAGGTGTCAGCGGGATGTGAGGCCTTCCGTCAAAATGAGGCAGGGACCTAGGGCTTTCTCTAAGGTCTCCTCAGGGGATTCAGACATCCCTTCATGTTGTGAGATGAAAGACGAGCCTGTCTTCAAGCCACTGCAAGGAAATCCGGCCTCCTTTCAAGTTAGGGCTTCTCGCTGTATATTCCCCTTGAGGCAGCAAACTCGGGGTCCCTCCCACATACCTATTGCTGAGAGAAGCCTCCTCCTGAGGTGCTTCTGGAAAGTTGGCATACGTCTTGAGCCTAAGCCAGGGAATCAGCTCTCATCTCGAGACGATTTGGGGTACACGGAGCATTCCTCGAGTTGCTGTGCTGAAGTTGGTGTTCCTCTAGACTTGGGACAGTGTTCTCGGGGCATCTCTGGAGATGCCTGAAGGAAGTCGAGCCACCGGTCGTGTTGAATGGGGAACGGGGAATGGCTCTGGAGTCAATGCAGGGGAATCGGGCCTCATCTCGGGTTGATTTGGGGCACATGGAGCTGCTTTGCGTTGCTGGGGTGACCTCAGGGTCCGTCTAGACTGGTGACAGTGTTCTTGGGGACTGTCTCGAGATCCGTTAAGCAAGTCGAAGCTCCTGACTTGTTTGAATGGGATCACGGAATAGCTCTGCATGCACTGCAGGGGAATGGGGCCTCATCTCGCCTCTAGGGGGAAGTCTCATGGGTTTTCTCGAGTTGCGGCGGGGACCTGGGGTATGTTCTCGACTTACGGCGGGGATGGCCCTTCCAAACACGAGTTTCCTCAGTGACGTCAGGACTCCTGTCTAGTAACGAGGGACACCTCAGGAATCTCTTCGAGGCTTGGCAGGGCAAAAGGGACGCTTCTCGAGGTGAGGCAGGGCACCCAAGGACCCTTTCCAGTAGCCACAGGGATTTTGGGATTCCTATGAGTATTCAGGAGGAGTCAGGCATCGTCACCTTTTGAAGCAATGAACTCCGCGTGCCTCTCGAGGTGTCAGCGGGATGTGAGGCCTTCCGTCAAAATGAGGCAGGGACCTAGGGCTTTCTCTAAGGTCTCCACAGGGGATTCAGACATCCCTTCATGTTGTGAGATGAAAGACGAGCCTGTCTTCAAGCCACTGCAAGGAAATCCGGCCTCCTTTCAAGTTAGGGCTTCTCGCTGTATATTCCCCTTGAGGCAGCAAACTCGGGGTCCCTCCCACATACCTATTGCTGAGAGAAGCCTCCTCCTGAGGTGCTTCTGGAAAGTTGGCATACGTCTTGAGCCTAAGCCAGGGAATCAGCTCTCATCTCGAGACGATTTGGGGTACACGGAGCATTCCTCGAGTTGCTGTGCTGAAGTTGGTGTTCCTCTAGACTTGGGACAGTGTTCTCGGGGCATCTCTGGAGATGCCTGAAGGAAGTCGAGCCACCGGTCGTGTTGAATGGGGAACGGGGAATGGCTCTGGAGTCAATGCAGGGGAATCGGGCCTCATCTCGGGTTGATTTGGGGCACATGGAGCTGCTTTGCGTTGCTGGGGTGACCTCAGGGTCCGTCTAGACTGGTGACAGTGTTCTTGGGGACTGTCTCGAGATCCGTTAAGCAAGTCGAAGCTCCTGACTTGTTTGAATGGGATCACGGAATAGCTCTGCATGCACTGCAGGGGAATGGGGCCTCATCTCGCCTCTAGGGGGAAGTCTCATGGGTTTTCTCGAGTTGCGGCGGGGACCTGGGGTATGTTCTCGACTTACGGCGGGGATGGCCCTTCCAAACACGAGTTTCCTCAGTGACGTCAGGACTCCTGTCTAGTAACGAGGGACACCTCAGGAATCTCTTCGAGGCTTGGCAGGGCAAAAGGGACGCTTCTCGAGGTGAGGCAGGGCACCCAAGGACCCTTTCCAGTAGCCACAGGGATTTTGGGATTCCTATGAGTATTCAGGAGGAGTCAGGCATCGTCACCTTTTGAAGCAATGAACTCCGCGTGCCTCTCGAGGTGTCAGCGGGATGTGAGGCCTTCCGTCAAAATGAGGCAGGGACCTAGGGCTTTCTCTAAGGTCTCCACAGGGGATTCAGACATCCCTTCATGTTGTGAGATGAAAGACGAGCCTGTCTTCAAGCCACTGCAAGGAAATCCGGCCTCCTTTCAAGTTAGGGCTTCTCGCTGTATATTCCCCTTGAGGCAGCAAACTCGGGGTCCCTCCCACATACCTATTGCTGAGAGAAGCCTCCTCCTGAGGTGCTTCTGGAAAGTTGGCATACGTCTTGAGCCTAAGCCAGGGAATCAGCTCTCATCTCGAGACGATTTGGGGTACACGGAGCATTCCTCGAGTTGCTGTGCTGAAGTTGGTGTTCCTCTAGACTTGGGACAGTGTTCTCGGGGCATCTCTGGAGATGCCTGAAGGAAGTCGAGCCACCGGTCGTGTTGAATGTGGAACGGGGAATGGTTCTAGAGTCAATGCAGGGGAATCGGGCCTCATCTCAGGTTGATTTGGGGCACATGGAGCTGCTTTGCGTTGCTGGGGTGACCTCAGGGTCCGTCTAGACTGGTGACAGTGTTCTTGGGGACTGTCTCGAGATCCGTTAAGCAAGTCGAAGCTCCTGACTTGTTTGAATGGGATCACGGAATAGCTCTGCATGCACTGCAGGGGAATGGGGCCTCATCTCGCATCTAGGGGGAAGTCTCATGGGTTTTCTCGAGTTGCGGCGGGGACCTGGGGTATGTTCTCGACTTACGGCGGGGATGGCCCTTCCAAACACGAGTTTCCTCAGTGACGTCAGGACTCCTGTCTAGTAACGAGGAACACCTCAGGAATCTCTTCGAGGCTTGGCAGGGCAAAAGGGACGCTTCTCGAGGTGAGGCAGGGCACCCAAGGACCCTTTCCAGTAGCCACAGGGATTTTGGGATTCCTATGAGTATTCAGGAGGAGTCAGGCATCGTCACCTTTTGAAGCAATGAACTCCGCGTGCCTCTCGAGGTGTCAGCGGGATGTGAGGCCTTCCGTCAAAATGAGGCAGGGACCTAGGGCTTTCTCTAAGGTCTCCACAGGGGATTCAGACATCCCTTCATGTTGTGAGATGAAAGACGAGCCTGTCTTCAAGCCACTGCAAGGAAATCCGGCCTCCTTTCAAGTTAGGGCTTCTCGCTGTATATTCCCCTTGAGGCAGCAAACTCGGGGTCCCTCCCACATACCTATTGCTGAGAGAAGCCTCCTCCTGAGGTGCTTCTGGAAAGTTGGCATACGTCTTGAGCCTAAGCCAGGGAATCAGCTCTCATCTCGAGACGATTTGGGGGACACGGAGCATTCCTCGAGTTGCTGTGCTGAAGTTGGTGTTCCTCTAGACTTGGGACAGTGTTCTCGGGGCATCTCTGGAGATGCCTGAAGGAAGTCGAGCCACCGGTCGTGTTGCATGGGCAACGGGGAATGGCTCTGGAGTCAATGCAGGGGAATCGGGCCTCATCTCGGTTTGATTTGGGGCACATGGAGCTGCTTTGCGTTGCTGGGGTGACCTCAGGGTCCGTCTAGACTGGTGACAGTGTTCTTGGGGACTGTCTCGAGATCCGTTAAGCAAGTCGAAGCTCCTGACTTGTTTGAATGGGATCACGGAATAGCTCTGCATGCACTGCAGGGGAATGGGGCCTCATCTCGCCTCTAGGGGAAAGTCTCATGGGTTTTCTCGAGTTGCGGCGGGGACCTGGGGTATGTTCTCGACTTACGGCGGGGATGGCCCTTCCAAACACGAGTTTCCTCAGTGACGTCAGGACTCCTGTCTAGTAACGAGGGACACCTCAGGAATCTCTTCGAGGCTTGGCAGGGCAAAAGGGACGCTTCTCGAGGTGAGGCAGGGCACCCAAGGACCCTTTCCAGTAGCCACAGGGATTTTGGGATTCCTATGAGTATTCAGGAGGAGTCAGGCATCGTCACCTTTTGAAGCAATGAACTCCGCGTGCCTCTCGAGGTGTCAGCGGGATGTGAGGCCTTCCGTCAAAATGAGGCAGGGACCTAGGGCTTTCTCTAAGGTCTCCACAGGGGATTCAGACATCCCTTCATGTTGTGAGATGAAAGACGAGCCTGTCTTCAAGCCACTGCAAGGAAATCCGGCCTCCTTTCAAGTTAGGGCTTCTCGCTGTATATTCCCCTTGAGGCAGCAAACTCGGGGTCCCTCCCACATACCTATTGCTGAGAGAAGCCTCCTCCTGAGGTGCTTCTGGAAAGTTGGCATACGTCTCGAGCCTAAGCCAGGGAATCAGCTCTCATCTCGAGACGATTTGGGGTACACGGAGCATTCCTCGAGTTGCTGTGCTGAAGTTGGTGTTCCTCTAGACTTGGGACAGTGTTCTCGGGGCATCTCTGGAGATGCCTGAAGGAAGTCGAGCCACCGGTCTTGTTGAATGGGGAATGGGGAATGGCTCTGTAGTCAATGCAGGGGAATCGGGCCTCATCTCGGGTTGATTTGGGGCACATGGAGCTGCTTTGCGTTGCTGGGGTGACCTCAGGGTCCGTCTAGACTGGTGACAGTGTTCTTGGGGACTGTCTCGAGATCCGTTAAGCAAGTCGAAGCTCCTGACTTGTTTGAATGGGATCACGGAATAGCTCTGCATGCACTGCAGGGGAATGGGGCCTCATCTCGCCTCTAGGGGGAAGTCTCATGGGTTTTCTCGAGTTGCGGCGGGGACCTGGGGTATGTTCTCGACTTACGGCGGGGATGGCCCTTCCAAACACGAGTTTCCTCAGTGACGTCAGGACTCCTGTCTAGTAACGAGGGACACCTCAGGAATCTCTTCGAGGCTTGGCAGGGCAAAAGGGACGCTTCTCGAGGTGAGGCAGGGCACCCAAGGACCCTTTCCAGTAGCCACAGGGATTTTGGGATTCCTATGAGTATTCAGGAGGAGTCAGGCATCGTCACCTTTTGAAGCAATGAACTCCGCGTGCCTCTCGAGGTGTCAGCGGGATGTGAGGCCTTCCGTCAAAATGAGGCAGGGACCTAGGGCTTTCTCTAAGGTCTCCACAGGGGATTCAGACATCCCTTCATGTTGTGAGATGAAAGACGAGCCTGTCTTCAAGCCACTGCAAGGAAATCCGGCCTCCTTTCAAGTTAGGGCTTCTCGCTGTATATTCCCCTTGAGGCAGCAAACTCGGGGTCCCTCCCACATACCTATTGCTGAGAGAAGCCTCCTCCTGAGGTGCTTCTGGAAAGTTGGCATACGTCTTGAGCCTAAGCCAGGGAATCAGCTCTCATCTCGAGACGATTTGGGGTACACGGAGCATTCCTCGAGTTGCTGTGCTGAAGTTGGTGTTCCTCTAGACTTGGGACAGTGTTCTCGGGGCATCTCTGGAGATGCCTGAAGGAAGTCGAGCCACCGGTCGTGTTGAATGTGGAACGGGGAATGGTTCTGGAGTCAATGCAGGGGAATCGGGCCTCATCTCAGGTTGATTTGGGGCACATGGAGCTGCTTTGCGTTGCTGGGGTGACCTCAGGGTCCGTCTAGACTGGTGACAGTGTTCTTGGGGACTGTCTCGAGATCCGTTAAGCAAGTCGAAGCTCCTGACTTGTTTGAATGGGATCACGGAATAGCTCTGCATGCACTGCAGGGGAATGGGGCCTCATCTCGCATCTAGGGGGAAGTCTCATGGGTTTTCTCGAGTTGCGGCGGGGACCTGGGGTATGTTCTCGACTTACGGCGGGGATGGCCCTTCCAAACACGAGTTTCCTCAGTGACGTCAGGACTCCTGTCTAGTAACGAGGAACACCTCAGGAATCTCTTCGAGGCTTGGCAGGGCAAAAGGGACGCTTCTCGAGGTGAGGCAGGGCACCCAAGGACCCTTTCCAGTAGCCACAGGGATTTTGGGATTCCTATGAGTATTCAGGAGGAGTCAGGCATCGTCACCTTTTGAAGCAATGAACTCCGCGTGCCTCTCGAGGTGTCAGCGGGATGTGAGGCCTTCCGTCAAAATGAGGCAGGGACCTAGGGCTTTCTCTAAGGTCTCCACAGGGGATTCAGACATCCCTTCATGTTGTGAGATGAAAGAGGAGCCTGTCTTCAAGCCACTGCAAGGAAATCCGGCCTCCTTTCAAGTTAGGGCTTCTCGCTGTATATTCCCCTTGAGGCAGCAAACTCGGGGTCCCTCCCACATACCTATTGCTGAGAGAAGCCTCCTCCTGAGGTGCTTCTGGAAAGTTGGCATACGTCTTGAGCCTAAGCCAGGGAATCAGCTCTCATCTCGAGACGATTTGGGGTACACGGAGCATTCCTCGAGTTGCTGTGCTGAAGTTGGTGTTCCTCTAGACTTGGGACAGTGTTCTCGGGGCATCTCTGGAGATGCCTGAAGGAAGTCGAGCCACCGGTCGTGTTGCATGGGCAACGGGGAATGGCTCTGGAGTCAATGCAGGGGAATCGGGCCTCATCTCGGTTTGATTTGGGGCACATGGAGCTGCTTTGCGTTGCTGGGGTGACCTCAGGGTCCGTCTAGACTGGTGACAGTGTTCTTGGGGACTGTCTCGAGATCCGTTAAGCAAGTCGAAGCTCCTGACTTGTTTGAATGGGATCACGGAATAGCTCTGCATGCACTGCAGGGGAATGGGGCCTCATCTCGCCTCTAGGGGAAAGTCTCATGGGTTTTCTCGAGTTGCGGCGGGGACCTGGGGTATGTTCTCGACTTACGGCGGGGATGGCCCTTCCAAACACGAGTTTCCTCAGTGACGTCAGGACTCCTGTCTAGTAACGAGGGACACCTCAGGAATCTCTTCGAGGCTTGGCAGGGCAAAAGGGACGCTTCTCGAGGTGAGGCAGGGCACCCAAGGACCCTTTCCAGTAGCCACAGGGATTTTGGGATTCCTATGAGTATTCAGGAGGAGTCAGGCATCGTCACCTTTTGAAGCAATGAACTCCGCGTGCCTCTCGAGGTGTCAGCGGGATGTGAGGCCTTCCGTCAAAATGAGGCAGGGACCTAGGGCTTTCTCTAAGGTCTCCACAGGGGATTCAGACATCCCTTCATGTTGTGAGATGAAAGACGAGCCTGTCTTCAAGCCACTGCAAGGAAATCCGGCCTCCTTTCAAGTTAGGGCTTCTCGCTGTATATTCCCCTTGAGGCAGCAAACTCGGGGTCCCTCCCACATACCTATTGCTGAGAGAAGCCTCCTCCTGAGGTGCTTCTGGAAAGTTGGCATACGTCTCGAGCCTAAGCCAGGGAATCAGCTCTCATCTCGAGACGATTTGGGGTACACGGAGCATTCCTCGAGTTGCTGTGCTGAAGTTGGTGTTCCTCTAGACTTGGGACAGTGTTCTCGGGGCATCTCTGGAGATGCCTGAAGGAAGTCGAGCCACCGGTCGTGTTGAATGGGGAACGGGGAATGGCTCTGGAGTCAATCCAGGGGAATCGGGCCTCATCTCGGTTTGATTTGGGGCACATGGAGCTGCTTTGCGTTGCTGGGGTGACCTCAGGGTCCGTCTAGACTGGTGACAGTGTTCTTGGGGACTGTCTCGAGATCCGTTAAGCAAGTCGAAGCTCCTGACTTGTTTGAATGGGATCACGGAATAGCTCTGCATGCACTGCAGGGGAATGGGGCCTCATCTCGCCTCTAGGGGGAAGTCTCATGGGTTTTCTCGAGTTGCGGCGGGGACCTGGGGTATGTTCTCGACTTACGGCGGGGATGGCCCTTCCAAACACGAGTTTCCTCAGTGACGTCAGGACTCCTGTCTAGTAACGAGGGACACCTCAGGAATCTCTTCGAGGCTTGGCAGGGCAAAAGGGACGCTTCTCGAGGTGAGGCAGGGCACCCAAGGACCCTTTCCAGTAGCCACAGGGATTTTGGGATTCCTATGAGTATTCAGGAGGAGTCAGGCATCGTCACCTTTTGAAGCAATGAACTCTGCGTGCCTCTCGAGGTGTCAGCGGGATGTGAGGCCTTCCGTCAAAATGAGGCAGGGACCTAGGGCTTTCTCTAAGGTCTCCACAGGGGATTCAGACATCCCTTCATGTTGTGAGATGAAAGACGAGCCTGTCTTCAAGCCACTGCAAGGAAATCCGGCCTCCTTTCAAGTTAGGGCTTCTCGCTGTATATTCCCCTTGAGGCAGCAAACTCGGGGTCCCTCCCACATACCTATTGCTGAGAGAAGCCTCCTCCTGAGGTGCTTCTGGAAAGTTGGCATACGTCTTGAGCCTAAGCCAGGGAATCAGCTCTCATCTCGAGACGATTTGGGGTACACGGAGCATTCCTCGAGTTGCTGTGCTGAAGTTGGTGTTCCTCTAGACTTGGGACAGTGTTCTCGGGGCATCTCTGGAGATGCCTGAAGGAAGTCGAGCCACCGGTCGTGTTGAATGGGGAACGGGGAATGGCTCTGGAGTCAATGCAGGGGAATCGGGCCTCATCTCGGGTTGATTTGGGGCACATGGAACTGCCTGGCGTTGCTGGGGTGACCTCAGGGTCCGTCTAGACTGGTGACAGTGTTCTTGGGGACTGTCTCGAGATCCGTTAAGCAAGTCGAAGCTCCTGACTTGTTTGAATGGGATCACGGAATAGCTCTGCATGCACTGCAGGGGAATGGGGCCTCATCTCGCCTCTAGGGGGAAGTCTCATGGGTTTTCTCGAGTTGCGGCGGGGACCTGGGGTATGTTCTCGACTTACGGCGGGGATGGCCCTTCCAAACACGAGTTTCCTCAGTGACGTCAGGACTCCTGTCTAGTAACGAGGGACACCTCAGGAATCTCTTCGAGGCTTGGCAGGGCAAAAGGGACGCTTCTCGAGGTGAGGCAGGGCACCCAAGGACCCTTTCCAGTAGCCACAGGGATTTTGGGATTCCTATGAGTATTCAGGAGGAGTCAGGCATCGTCACCTTTTGAAGCAATGAACTCCGCGTGCCTCTCGAGGTGTCAGCGGGATGTGAGGCCTTCCGTCAAAATGAGGCAGGGACCTAGGGCTTTCTCTAAGGTCTCCACAGGGGATTCAGACATCCCTTCATGTTGTGAGATGAAAGACGAGCCTGTCTTCAAGCCACTGCAAGGAAATCCGGCCTCCTTTTAAGTTAGGGCTTCTCGCTGTATATTCCCCTTGAGGCAGCAAACTCGGGGTCCCTCCCACATACCTATTGCTGAGAGAAGCCTCCTCCTGAGGTGCTTCTGGAAAGTTGGCATACGTCTTGAGCCTAAGCCAGGGAATCAGCTCTCATCTCGAGACGATTTGGGGTACACGTAGCATTCCTCGAGTTGCTGTGCTGAAGTTGGTGTTCCTCTAGACTTGGGACAGTGTTCTCGGGGCATCTCTGGAGATGCCTGAAGGAAGTCGAGCCACCGGTCGTGTTGAATGGGGAACGGGGAATGGCTCTGGAGTCAATGCAGGGGAATCGGGCCTCATCTCGGGTTGATTTGGGGCACATGGAACTGCTTTGCGTTGCTGGGGTGACCTCAGGGTCCGTCTAGACTGGTGACAGTGTTCTTGGGGACTGTCTCGAGATCCGTTAAGCAAGTCGAAGCTCCTGACTTGTTTGAATGGGATCACGGAATAGCTCTGCATGCACTGCAGGGGAATGGGGCCTCATCTCGCCTCTAGGGGGAAGTCTCATGGGTTTTCTCGAGTTGCGGCGGGGACCTGGGGTATGTTCTCGACTTACGGCGGGGATGGCCCTTCCAAACACGAGTTTCCTCAGTGACGTCAGGACTCCTGTCTAGTAACGAGGGACACCTCAGGAATCTCTTCGAGGCTTGGCAGGGCAAAAGGGACGCTTCTCGAGGTGAGGCAGGGCACCCAAGGACCCTTTCCAGTAGCCACAGGGATTTTGGGATTCCTATGAGTATTCAGGAGGAGTCAGGCATCGTCACCTTTTGAAGCAATGAACTCCGCGTGCCTCTCGAGGTGTCAGCGGGATGTGAGGCCTTCCGTCAAAATGAGGGAGGGACCTAGGGCTTTCTCTAAGATCTCCATAGGGGATTCAGACATCCCTTCATGTTGTGAGATGAAAGACGAGCCTGTCTTCAAGCCACTGCAAGGAAATCCGGCCTCCTTTCAAGTTAGGGCTTCTCGCTGTATATTCCCCTTGAGGCAGCAAACTCGGGGTCCCTCCCACATACCTATTGCTGAGAGAAGCCTCCTCCTGAGGTTCTTCTGGAAAGTTTCATACGTCTTGAGCCTAACCCAGGGAATCAGCTCTCATCTCGAGACGATTTGGGGTACACGGAGCATTCCTCGAGTTGCTGTGCTGAAGTTGGTGTTCCTCTAGACTTGGGACAGTGTTCTCGGGGCATCTCTGGAGATGCCTGAAGGAAGTCGAGCCACCGGTCGTGTTGAATGGGGAACGGGGAATGGCTCTGGAGTCAATGCAGGGGAATCGGGCCTCATCTCAGGTTGATTTGGGGCACATGGAACTGCTTTGCGTTGCTGGGGTGACCTCAGGGTCCGTCTAGACTGGTGACAGTGTTCTTGGGGACTGTCTCGAGATCCGTTAAGCAAGTCGAAGCTCCTGACTTGTTTGAATGGGATCACGGAATAGCTCTGCATGCACTGCAGGGGAATGGGGCCTCATCTCGCCTCTAGGGGGAAGTCTCATGGGTTTTCTCGAGTTGCGGCGGGGACCTGGGGTATGTTCTCGACTTACGGCGGGGATGGCCCTTCCAAACACGAGTTTCCTCAGTGACGTCAGGACTCCTGTCTAGTAACGAGGGACACCTCAGGAATCTCTTCGAGGCTTGGCAGGGCAAAAGGGACGCTTCTCGAGGTGAGGCAGGGCACCCAAGGACCCTTTCCAGTAGCCACAGGGATTTTGGGATTCCTATGAGTATTCAGGAGGAGTCAGGCATCGTCACCTTTTGAAGCAATGAACTCCGCGTGCCTCTCGAGGTGTCAGCGGGATGTGAGGCCTTCCGTCAAAATGAGGCAGGGACCTAGGGCTTTCTCTAAGGTCTCCACAGGGGATTCAGACATCCCTTCATGTTGTGAGATGAAAGACGAGCCTGTCTTCAAGCCACTGCAAGGAAATCCGGCCTCCTTTCAAGTTAGGGCTTCTCGCTGTATATTCCCCTTGAGGCAGCAAACTCGGGGTCCCTCCCACATACCTATTGCTGAGAGAAGCCTCCCCCTGAGGTGCTTCTGGAAAGTTGGCATACGTCTTGAGCCTAAGCCAGGGAATCAGCTCTCATCTCGAGATGATTTGGGGTACACGGAGCATTCCTCGAGTTGCTGTGCTGAAGTTGGTGTTCCTCTAGACTTGGGACAGTGTTCTCGGGGCATCTCTGGAGATGCCTGAAGGAAGTCGAGCCACCGGTCGTGTTGAATGGGGAACGGGGAATGGCTCTGGAGTCAATGCAGGGGAATCGGGCCTCATCTCGGGTTGATTTGGGGCACATGGAGCTGCTTTGCGTTGCTGGGGTGACCTCAGGGTCCGTCTAGACTGGTGACAGTGTTCTTGGGGACTGTCTCGAGATCCGTTAAGCAAGTCGAAGCTCCTGACTTGTTTGAATGGGATCACGGAATAGCTCTGCATGCACTGCAGGGGAATGGGGCCTCATCTCGCCTCTAGGGGGAAGTCTCATGGGTTTTCTCGAGTTGCGGCGGGGACCTGGGGTATGTTCTCGACTTACGGCGGGGATGGCCCTTCCAAACACGAGTTTCCTCAGTGACGTCAGGACTCCTGTCTAGTAACGAGGGACACCTCAGGAATCTCTTCGAGGCTTGGCAGGGCAAAAGGGACGCTTCTCGAGGTGAGGCAGGGCACCCAAGGACCCTTTCCAGTAGCCACAGGGATTTTGGGATTCCTATGAGTATTCAGGAGGAGTCAGGCATCGTCACCTTTTGAAGCAATGAACTCCGCGTGCCTCTCGAGGTGTCAGCGGGATGTGAGGCCTTCCGTCAAAATGAGGCAGGGACCTAGGGCTTTCTCTAAGGTCTCCACAGGGGATTCAGACATCCCTTCATGTTGTGAGATGAAAGACGAGCCTGTCTTCAAGCCACTGCAAGGAAATCCGGCCTCCTTTCAAGTTAGGGCTTCTCGCTGTATATTCCCCTTGAGGCAGCAAACTCGGGGTCCCTCCCACATACCTATTGCTGAGAGAAGCCTCCTCCTGAGGTGCTTCTGGAAAGTTGGCATACGTCTCGAGCCTAAGCCAGGGAATCAGCTCTCATCTCGAGACGATTTGGGGTACACGGAGCATTCCTCGAGTTGCTGTGCTGAAGTTGGTGTTCCTCTAGACTTGGGACAGTGTTCTCGGGGCATCTCTGGAGATGCCTGAAGGAAGTCGAGCCACCGGTCGTGTTGAATGGGGAACGGGGAATGGCTCTGGAGTCAATGCAGGGGAATCGGGCCTCATCTCGGGTTGATTTGGGGCACATGGATCTGCTTTGCGTTGCTGGGGTGACCTCAGGGTCCGTCTAGACTGGTGACAGTGTTCTTGGGGACTGTCTCGAGATCCGTTAAGCAAGTCGAAGCTCCTGACTGGTTTGAATGGGATCACGGAATAGCTCTGCATGCACTGCAGGGGAATGGGGCCTCATCTCGCCTCTAGGGGGAAGTCTCATGGTTTTTCTCGAGTTGCGGCGGGGACCTGGGGTATGTTCTCGACTTACGGCGAGGATGGCCCTTCCAAACACGAGTTTCCTCAGTGACGTCAGGACTCCTGTCTAGTAACGAGGGACACCTCAGGAATCTCTTCGAGGCTTGGCAGGGCAAAAGGGACGCTTCTAGAGGTGAGGCAGGGCACCCAAGGACCCTTTCCAGTAGCCACAGGGATTTTGGGATTCCTATGAGTATTCAGGAGGAGTCAGGCATCGTCACCTTTTGAAGCAATGAACTCCGCGTGCCTCTCGAGGTGTCAGCGGGATGTGAGGCCTTCCGTCAAAATGAGGCAGGGACCTAGGGCTTTCTCTAAGGTCTCCACAGGGGATTCAGACATCCCTTCATGTTGTGAGATGAAAGACGAGCCTGTCTTCAAGCCACTGCAAGGAAATCCGGCCTCCTTTCAAGTTAGGGCTTCTCGCTGTATATTCCCCTTGAGGCAGCAAACTCGGGGTCCCTCCCACATACCTATTGCTGAGAGAAGCCTCCTCCTGAGGTGCTTCTGGAAAGTTGGCATACGTCTCGAGCCTAAGCCAGGGAATCAGCTCTCATCTCGAGACGATTTGGGGTACACGGAGCATTCCTCGAGTTGCTGTGCTGAAGTTGGTGTTCCTCTAGACTTGGGACAGTGTTCTCGGGGCATCTCTGGAGATGCCTGAAGGAAGTCGAGCCACCGGTCATGTTGAATGGGGAACGGGGAATGGCTCTGGAGTCAATGCAGGGGAATCGGGCCTCATCTCAAGTTCATTTGGTGGACATGGAGCTGCTTTGCGTTGCTGGGGTGACCTCAGGGTCCGTCTAGACTGGTGACAGTGTTCTTGGGGACTGTCTCGAGATCCGTTAAGCAAGTCGAAGCTCCTGACTTGTTTGAATGGGATCACGGAATAGCTCTGCATGCACTGCAGGGGAATGGGGCCTCATCTCGCCTCTAGGGGGAAGTCTCATGGGTTTTCTCGAGTTGCGGCGGGGACCTGGGGTATGTTCTCGACTTACGGCGGGGATGGCCCTTCCAAACACGAGTTTCCTCAGTGACGTCAGGACTCCTGTCTAGTAACGAGGGACACCTCAGGAATCTCTTCGAGGCTTGGCAGGGCAAAAGGGACGCTTCTCGAGGTGAGGCAGGGCACCCAAGGACCCTTTCCAGTAGCCACAGGGATTTTGGGATTCCTATGAGTATTCAGGAGGAGTCAGGCATCGTCACCTTTTGAAGCAATGAACTCTGCGTGCCTCTCGAGGTGTCAGCGGGATGTGAGGCCTTCCGTCAAAATGAGGCAGGGACCTAGGGCTTTCTCTAAGGTCTCCACAGGGGATTCAGACATCCCTTCATGTTGTGAGATGAAAGACGAGCCTGTCTTCAAGCCACTGCAAGGAAATCCGGCCTCCTTTCAAGTTAGGGCTTCTCGCTGTATATTCCCCTTGAGGCAGCAAACTCGGGGTCCCTCCCACATACCTATTGCTGAGAGAAGCCTCCTCCTGAGGTGCTTCTGGAAAGTTGGCATACGTCTTGAGCCTAAGCCAGGGAATCAGCTCTCATCTCGAGACGATTTGGGGTACACGGAGCATTCCTCGAGTTGCTGTGCTGAAGTTGGTGTTCCTCTAGACTTGGGACAGTGTTCTCGGGGCATCTCTGGAGATGCCTGAAGGAAGTCGAGCCACCGGTCGTGTTGAATGGGGAACGGGGAATGGCTCTGGAGTCAATGCAGGGGAATCGGGCCTCATCTCGGGTTGATTTGGGGCACATGGAGCTGCTTTGCGTTGCTGGGGTGACCTCAGGGTCCGTCTAGACTGGTGACAGTGTTCTTGGGGACTGTCTCGAGATCCGTTAAGCAAGTCGAAGCTCCTGACTGGTTTGAATGGGATCACGGAATAGCTCTGCATGCACTGCAGGGGAATGGGGCCTCATCTCGCCTCTAGGGGGAAGTCTCATGGTTTTTCTCGAGTTGCGGCGGGGACCTGGGGTATGTTCTCGACTTACGGCGAGGATGGCCCTTCCAAACACGAGTTTCCTCAGTGACGTCAGGACTCCTGTCTAGTAACGAGGGACACCTCAGGAATCTCTTCGAGGCTTGGCAGGGCAAAAGGGACGCTTCTAGAGGTGAGGCAGGGCACCCAAGGACCCTTTCCAGTAGCCACAGGGATTTTGGGATTCCTATGAGTATTCAGGAGGAGTCAGGCATCGTCACCTTTTGAAGCAATGAACTCCGCGTGCCTCTCGAGGTGTCAGCGGGATGTGAGGCCTTCCGTCAAAATGAGGCAGGGACCTAGGGCTTTCTCTAAGGTCTCCACAGGGGATTCAGACATCCCTTCATGTTGTGAGATGAAAGACGAGCCTGTCTTCAAGCCACTGCAAGGAAATCCGGCCTCCTTTCAAGTTAGGGCTTCTCGCTGTATATTCCCCTTGAGGCAGCAAACTCGGGGTCCCTCCCACATACCTATTGCTGAGAGAAGCCTCCTCCTGAGGTGCTTCTGGAAAGTTGGCATACGTCTCGAGCCTAAGCCAGGGAATCAGCTCTCATCTCGAGACGATTTGGGGTACACGGAGCATTCCTCGAGTTGCTGTGCTGAAGTTGGTGTTCCTCTAGACTTGGGACAGTGTTCTCGGGGCATCTCTGGAGATGCCTGAAGGAAGTCGAGCCACCGGTCATGTTGAATGGGGAACGGGGAATGGCTCTGGAGTCAATGCAGGGGAATCGGGCCTCATCTCAAGTTCATTTGGTGGACATGGAGCAGCTTTGCGTTGCTGGGGTGACCTCAGGGTCCGTCTAGACTGGTGACAGTGTTCTTGGGGACTGTCTCGAGATCCGTTAAGCAAGTCGAAGCTCCTGACTTGTTTGAATGGGATCACGGAATAGCTCTGCATGCACTGCAGGGGAATGGGGCCTCATCTCGCCTCTAGGGGGAAGTCTCATGGGTTTTCTCGAGTTGCGGCGGGGACCTGGGGTATGTTCTCGACTTACGGCGGGGATGGCCCTTCCAAACACGAGTTTCCTCAGTGACGTCAGGACTCCTGTCTAGTAACGAGGGACACCTCAGGAATCTCTTCGAGGCTTGGCAGGGCAAAAGGGACGCTTCTCGAGGTGAGGCAGGGCACCCAAGGACCCTTTCCAGTAGCCACAGGGATTTTGGGATTCCTATGAGTATTCAGGAGGAGTCAGGCATCGTCACCTTTTGAAGCAATGAACTCTGCGTGCCTCTCGAGGTGTCAGCGGGATGTGAGGCCTTCCGTCAAAATGAGGCAGGGACCTAGGGCTTTCTCTAAGGTCTCCACAGGGGATTCAGACATCCCTTCATGTTGTGAGATGAAAGACGAGCCTGTCTTCAAGCCACTGCAAGGAAATCCGGCCTCCTTTCAAGTTAGGGCTTCTCGCTGTATATTCCCCTTGAGGCAGCAAACTCGGGGTCCCTCCCACATACCTATTGCTGAGAGAAGCCTCCTCCTGAGGTGCTTCTGGAAAGTTGGCATACGTCTTGAGCCTAAGCCAGGGAATCAGCTCTCATCTCGAGACGATTTGGGGTACACGGAGCATTCCTCGAGTTGCTGTGCTGAAGTTGGTGTTCCTCTAGACTTGGGACAGTGTTCTCGGGGCATCTCTGGAGATGCCTGAAGGAAGTCGAGCCACCGGTCGTGTTGAATGGGGAACGGGGAATGGCTCTGGAGTCAATGCAGGGGAATCGGGCCTCATCTCGGGTTGATTTGGGGCACATGGAACTGCCTGGCGTTGCTGGGGTGACCTCAGGGAACGTCTAGACTGGTGACAGTGTTCTTGGGGACTGTCTCGAGATCCGTTAAGCAAGTCGAAGCTCCTGACTTGTTTGAATGGGATCACGGAATAGCTCTGCATGCACTGCAGGGGAATGGGGCCTCATCTCGCCTCTAGGGGGAAGTCTCATGGGTTTTCTCGAGTTGCGGCGGGGACCTGGGGTATGTTCTCGACTTACGGCGGGGATGGCCCTTCCAAACACGAGTTTCCTCAGTGACGTCAGGACTCCTGTCTAGTAACGAGGGACACCTCAGGAATCTCTTCGAGGCTTGGCAGGGCAAAAGGGACGCTTCTCGAGGTGAGGCAGGGCACCCAAGGACCCTTTCCAGTAGCCACAGGGATTTTGGGATTCCTATGAGTATTCAGGAGGAGTCAGGCATCGTCACCTTTTGAAGCAATGAACTCCGCGTGCCTCTCGAGGTGTCAGCGGGATGTGAGGCCTTCCGTCAAAATGAGGCAGGGACCTAGGGCTTTTTCTAAGGTCTCCACAGGGGATTCAGACATCCCTTCATGTTGTGAGATGAAAGACGAGCCTGTCTTCAAGCCACTGCAAGGAAATCCGGCCTCCTTTCAAGTTAGGGCTTCTCGCTGTATATTCCCCTTGAGGCAGCAAACTCGGGGTCCCTCCCACATACCTATTGCTGAGAGAAGCCTCCTCCTGAGGTGCTTCTGGAAAGTTGGCATACGTCTTGAGCCTAAGCCAGGGAATCAGCTCTCATCTCGAGACGATTTGGGGTACACGTAGCATTCCTCGAGTTGCTGTGCTGAAGTTGGTGTTCCTCTAGACTTGGGACAGTGTTCTCGGGGCATCTCTGGAGATGCCTGAAGGAAGTCGAGCCACCGGTCGTGTTGAATGGGCAACGGGGAATGGCTCTGGAGTCAATGCAGGGGAATCGGGCCTCATCTCGGGTTGATTTGGGGCACATGGAACTGCTTTGCGTTGCTGGGGTGACCTCAGGGTCCGTCTAGACTGGTGACAGTGTTCTTGGGGACTGTCTCGAGATCCGTTAAGCAAGTCGAAGCTCCTGACTTGTTTGAATGGGATCACGGAATAGCTCTGCATGCACTGCAGGGGAATGGGGCCTCATCTCGCCTCTAGGGGGAAGTCTCATGGGTTTTCTCGAGTTGCGGCGGGGACCTGGGGTATGTTCTCGACTTACGGCGGGGATGGCCCTTCCAAACACGAGTTTCCTCAGTGACGTCAGGACTCCTGTCTAGTAACGAGGGACACCTCAGGAATCTCTTCGAGGCTTGGCAGGGCAAAAGGGACGCTTCTCGAGGTGAGGCAGGGCACCCAAGGACCCTTTCCAGTAGCCACAGGGATTTTGGGATTCCTATGAGTATTCAGGAGGAGTCAGGCATCGTCACCTTTTGAAGCAATGAACTCCGCGTGCCTCTCGAGGTGTCAGCGGGATGTGAGGCCTTCCGTCAAAATGAGGGAGGGACCTAGGGCTTTCTCTAAGATCTCCATAGGGGATTCAGACATCCCTTCATGTTGTGAGATGAAAGACGAGCCTGTCTTCAAGCCACTGCAAGGAAATCCGGCCTCGTTTCAAGTTAGGGCTTCTCGCTGTATATTCCCCTTGAGGCAGCAAACTCGGGGTCCCTCCCACATACCTATTGCTGAGAGAAGCCTCCTCCTGAGGTTCTTCTGGAAAGTTTCATACGTCTTGAGCCTAACCCAGGGAATCAGCTCTCATCTCGAGACGATTTGGGGTACACGGAGCATTCCTCGAGTTGCTGTGCTGAAGTTGGTGTTCCTCTAGACTTGGGACAGTGTTCTCGGGGCATCTCTGGAGATGCCTGAAGGAAGTCGAGCCACCGGTCGTGTTGAATGGGGAACGGGGAATGGCTCTGGAGTCAATGCAGGGGAATCGGGCCTCATCTCAGGTTGATTTGGGGCACATGGAACTGCTTTGCGTTGCTGGGGTGACCTCAGGGTCCGTCTAGACTGGTGACAGTGTTCTTGGGGACTGTCTCGAGATCCGTTAAGCAAGTCGAAGCTCCTGACTTGTTTGAATGGGATCACGGAATAGCTCTGCATGCACTGCAGGGGAATGGGGCCTCATCTCGCCTCTAGGGGGAAGTCTCATGGGTTTTCTCGAGTTGCGGCGGGGACCTGGGGTATGTTCTCGACTTACGGCGGGGATGGCCCTTCCAAACACGAGTTTCCTCAGTGACGTCAGGACTCCTGTCTAGTAACGAGGGACACCTCAGGAATCTCTTCGAGGCTTGGCAGGGCAAAAGGGACGCTTCTCGAGGTGAGGCAGGGCACCCAAGGACCCTTTCCAGTAGCCACAGGGATTTTGGGATTCCTATGAGTATTCAGGAGGAGTCAGGCATCGTCACCTTTTGAAGCAATGAACTCCGCGTGCCTCTCGAGGTGTCAGCGGGATGTGAGGCCTTCCGTCAAAATGAGGCAGGGACCTAGGGCTTTCTCTAAGGTCTCCACAGGGGATTCAGACATCCCTTCATGTTGTGAGATGAAAGACGAGCCTGTCTTCAAGCCACTGCAAGGAAATCCGGCCTCCTTTCAAGTTAGGGCTTCTCGCTGTATATTCCCCTTGAGGCAGCAAACTCGGGGTCCCTCCCACATACCTATTGCTGAGAGAAGCCTCCTCCTGAGGTGCTTCTGGAAAGTTGGCATATGTCTCGAGCCTAAGCCAGGGAATCAGCTCTCATCTCGAGACGATTTGGGGTACACGGAGCATTCCTCGAGTTGCTGTGCTGAAGTTGGTGTTCCTCTAGACTTGGGACAGTGTTCTCGGGGCATCTCTGGAGATGCCTGAAGGAAGTCGAGCCACCGGTCATGTTGAATGGGGAACGGGGAATGGCTCTGGAGTCAATGCAGGGGAATCGGGCCTCATCTCAAGTTCATTTGGTGGACATGGAGCTGCTTTGCGTTGCTGGGGTGACCTCAGGGTCCGTCTAGACTGGTGACAGTGTTCTTGGGGACTGTCTCGAGATCCGTTAAGCAAGTCGAAGCTCCTGACTTGTTTGAATGGGATCACGGAATAGCTCTGCATGCACTGCAGGGGAATGGGGCCTCATCTCGCCTCTAGGGGGAAGTCTCATGGGTTTTCTCGAGTTGCGGCGGGGACCTGGGGTATGTTCTCGACTTACGGCGGGGATGGCCCTTCCAAACACGAGTTTCCTCAGTGACGTCAGGACTCCTGTCTAGTAACGAGGGACACCTCAGGAATCTCTTCGAGGCTTGGCAGGGCAAAAGGGACGCTTCTCGAGGTGAGGCAGGGCACCCAAGGACCCTTTCCAGTAGCCACAGGGATTTTGGGATTCCTATGAGTATTCAGGAGGAGTCAGGCATCGTCACCTTTTGAAGCAATGAACTCCGCGTGCCTCTCGAGGTGTCAGCGGGATGTGAGGCCTTCCGTCAAAATGAGGCAGGGACCTAGGGCTTTCTCTAAGGTCTCCACAGGGGATTCAGACATCCCTTCATGTTGTGAGATGAAAGACGAGCCTGTCTTCAAGCCACTGCAAGGAAATCCGGCCTCCTTTCAAGTTAGGGCTTCTCGCTGTATATTCCCCTTGAGGCAGCAAACTCGGGGTCCCTCCCACATACCTATTGCTGAGAGAAGCCTCCTCCTGAGGTGCTTCTGGAAAGTTGGCATACGTCTTGAGCCTAAGCCAGGGAATCAGCTCTCATCTCGAGACGATTTGGGGTACACGGAGCATTCCTCGAGTTGCTGTGCTGAAGTTGGTGTTCCTCTAGACTTGGGACAGTGTTCTCGGGGCATCTCTGGAGATGCCTGAAGGAAGTCGAGCCACCGGTCGTGTTGAATGGGGAACGGGGAATGGCTCTGGAGTCAATGCAGGGGAATCGGGCCTCATCTCGGGTTGATTTGGGGCACATGGAGCTGCTTTGCGTTGCTGGGGTGACCTCAGGGTCCGTCTAGACTGGTGACAGTGTTCTTGGGGACTGTCTCGAGATCCGTTAAGCAAGTCGAAGCTCCTGACTTGTTTGAATGGGATCACGGAATAGCTCTGCATGCACTGCAGGGGAATGGGGCCTCATCTCGCCTCTAGGGGGAAGTCTCATGGGTTTTCTCGAGTTGCGGCGGGGACCTGGGGTATGTTCTCGACTTACGGCGGGGATGGCCCTTCCAAACACGAGTTTCCTCAGTGACGTCAGGACTCCTGTCTAGTAACGAGGGACACCTCAGGAATCTCTACTAGGCTTGGCAGGGCAAAAGGGACGCTTCTCGAGGTGAGGCAGGGCACCCAAGGACCCTTTCCAGTAGCCACAGGGATTTTGGGATTCCTATGAGTATTCAGGAGGAGTCAGGCATCGTCACCTTTTGAAGCAATGAACTCCGCGTGCCTCTCGAGGTGTCAGCGGGATGTGAGGCCTTCCGTCAAAATGAGGCAGGGACCTAGGGCTTTCTCTAAGGTCTCCACAGGGGATTCAGACATCCCTTCATGTTGTGAGATGAAAGACGAGCCTGTCTTCAAGCCACTGCAAGGAAATCCGGCCTCCTTTCAAGTTAGGGCTTCTCGCTGTATATTCCCCTTGAGGCAGCAAACTCGGGGTCCCTCCCACATACCTATTGCTGAGAGAAGCCTCCTCCTGAGGTGCTTCTGGAAAGTTGGCATACGTCTTGAGCCTAAGCCAGGGAATCAGCTCTCATCTCGAGACGATTTGGGGTACACGGAGCATTCCTCGATTTGCTGTGCTGAAGTTGGTGTTCCTCTAGACTTGGGACAGTGTTCTCGGGGCATCTCTGGAGATGCCTGAAGGAAGTCGAGCCACCGGTCGTGTTGAATGGGGAACGGGGAATGGCTCTGGAGTCAATGCAGGGGAATCGGGCCTCATCTCGGGTTGATTTGGGGCACATGGAACTGCTTTGCGTTGCTGGGGTGACCTCAGGGTCCGTCTAGACTGGTGACAGTGTTCTTGGGGACTGTCTCGAGATCCGTTAAGCAAGTCGAAGCTCCTGACTTGTTTGAATGGGATCACGGAATAGCTCTGCATGCACTGCAGGGGAATGGGGCCTCATCTCGCCTCTAGGGGGAAGTCTCATGGGTTTTCTCGAGTTGCGGCGGGGACCTGGGGTATGTTCTCGACTTACGGCGGGGATGGCCCTTCCAAACACGAGTTTCCTCAGTGACGTCAGGACTCCTGTCTAGTAACGAGGGACACCTCAGGAATCTCTTCGAGGCTTGGCAGGGCAAAAGGGACGCTTCTCGAGGTGAGGCAGGGCACCCAAGGACCCTTTCCAGTAGCCACAGGGATTTTGGGATTCCTATGAGTATTCAGGAGGAGTCAGGCATCGTCACCTTTTGAAGCAATGAACTCCGCGTGCCTCTCGAGGTGTCAGCGGGATGTGAGGCCTTCCGTCAAAATGAGGCAGGGACCTAGGGCTTTCTCTAAGGTCTCCACAGGGGATTCAGACATCCCTTCATGTTGTGAGATGAAAGACGAGCCTGTCTTCAAGCCACTGCAAGGAAATCCGGCCTCCTTTCAAGTTAGGGCTTCTCGCTGTATATTCCCCTTGAGGCAGCAAACTCGGGGTCCCTCCCACATACCTATTGCTGAGAGAAGCCTCCTCCTGAGGTGCTTCTGGAAAGTTGGCATACGTCTCGAGCCTAAGCCAGGGAATCAGCTCTCATCTCGAGACGATTTGGGGTACACGGAGCATTCCTCGAGTTGCTGTGCTGAAGTTGGTGTTCCTCTAGACTTGGGACAGTGTTCTCGGGGCATCTCTGGAGTTGCCTGAAGGAAGTCGAGCCACCGGTCATGTTGAATGGGGAACGGGGAATGGCTCTGGAGTCAATGCAGGGGAATCGGGCCTCATCTCAAGTTCATTTGGTGGACATGGAGCTGCTTTGCGTTGCTGGGGTGACCTCAGGGTCCGTCTAGACTGGTGACAGTGTTCTTGGGGACTGTCTCGAGATCCGTTAAGCAAGTCGAAGCTCCTGACTTGTTTGAATGGGATCACGGAATAGCTCTGCATGCACTGCAGGGGAATGGGGCCTCATCTCGCCTCTAGGGGGAAGTCTCATGGGTTTTCTCGAGTTGCGGCGGGGACCTGGGGTATGTTCTCGACTTACGGCGGGGATGGCCCTTCCAAACACGAGTTTCCTCAGTGACGTCAGGACTCCTGTCTAGTAACGAGGGACACCTCAGGAATCTCTTCGAGGCTTGGCAGGGCAAAAGGGACGCTTCTCGAGGTGAGGCAGGGCACCCAAGGACCCTTTCCAGTAGCCACAGGGATTTTGGGATTCCTATGAGTATTCAGGAGGAGTCAGGCATCGTCACCTTTTGAAGCAATGAACTCCGCGTGCCTCTCGAGGTGTCAGCGGGATGTGAGGCCTTCCGTCAAAATGAGGCAGGGACCTAGGGCTTTCTCTAAGGTCTCCACAGGGGATTCAGACATCCCTTCATGTTGTGAGATGAAAGACGAGCCTGTCTTCAAGCCACTGCAAGGAAATCCGGCCTCCTTTCAAGTTAGGGCTTCTCGCTGTATATTCCCCTTGAGGCAGCAAACTCGGGGTCCCTCCCACATACCTATTGCTGAGAGAAGCCTCCTCCTGAGGTGCTTCTGGAAAGTTGGCATACGTCTTGAGCCTAAGCCAGGGAATCAGCTCTCATCTCGAGACGATTTGGGGTACACGGAGCATTCCTCGAGTTGCTGTGCTGAAGTTGGTGTTCCTCTAGACTTGGGACAGTGTTCTCGGGGCATCTCTGGAGATGCCTGAAGGAAGTCGAGCCACCGGTCGTGTTGAATGGGGAACGGGGAATGGCTCTGGAGTCAATGCAGGGGAATCGGGCCTCATCTCGGGTTGATTTGGGGCACATGGAACTGCTTTGCGTTGCTGGGGTGACCTCAGGGTCCGTCTAGACTGGTGACAGTGTTCTTGGGGACTGTCTCGAGATCCGTTAAGCAAGTCGAAGCTCCTGACTTGTTTGAATGGGATCACGGAATAGCTCTGCATGCACTGCAGGGGAATGGGGCCTCATCTCGCCTCTAGGGGGAAGTCTCATGGGTTTTCTCGAGTTGCGGCGGGGACCTGGGGTATGTTCTCGACTTACGGCGGGGATGGCCCTTCCAAACACGAGTTTCCTCAGTGACGTCAGGACTCCTGTCTAGTAACGAGGGACACCTCAGGAATCTCTTCGAGGCTTGGCAGGGCAAAAGGGACGCTTCTCGAGGTGAGGCAGGGCACCCAAGGACCCTTTCCAGTAGCCACAGGGATTTTGGGATTCCTATGAGTATTCAGGAGGAGTCAGGCATCGTCACCTTTTGAAGCAATGAACTCCGCGTGCCTCTCGAGGTGTCAGCGGGATGTGAGGCCTTCCTTCAAAATGAGGCAGGGACCTAGGGCTTTCTCTAAGGTCTCCACAGGGGATTCAGACATCCCTTCATGTTGTGAGATGAAAGACGAGCCTGTCTTCAAGCCACTGCAAGGAAATCCGGCCTCCTTTCAAGTTAGGGCTTCTCGCTGTATATTCCCCTTGAGGCAGCAAACTCGGGGTCCCTCCCACATACCTATTGATGAGAGAAGCCTCCTCCTGAGGTGCTTCTGGAAAGTTGGCATACGTCTTGAGCCTAAGCCAGGGAATCAGCTCTCATCTCGAGACGATTTGGGGTACACGGAGCATTCCTCGAGTTGCTGTGCTGAAGTTGGTGTTCCTCTAGACTTGGGACAGTGTTCTCGGGGCATCTCTGGAGATGCCTGAAGGAAGTCGAGCCACCGGTCGTGTTGAATGGGGAACGGGGAATGGCTCTGGAGTCAATGCAGGGGAATCGGGCCTCATCTCGGGTTGATTTGGGGCACATGGAACTGCTTTGCGTTGCTGGGGTGACCTCAGGGTCCGTCTAGACTGGTGACAGTGTTCTTGGGGACTGTCTCGAGATCCGTTAAGCAAGTCGAAGCTCCTGACTTGTTTGAATGGGATCACGGAATAGCTCTGCATGCACTGCAGGGGAATGGGGCCTCATCTCGCCTCTAGGGGGAAGTCTCATGGGTTTTCTCGAGTTGCGGCGGGGACCTGGGGTATGTTCTCGACTTACGGCGGGGATGGCCCTTCCAAACACGAGTTTCCTCAGTGACGTCAGGACTCCTGTCTAGTAACGAGGGACACCTCAGGAATCTCTTCGAGGCTTGGCAGGGCAAAAGGGACGCTTCTCGAGGTGAGGCAGGGCACCCAAGGACCCTTTCCAGTAGCCACAGGGATTTTGGGATTCCTATGAGTATTCAGGAGGAGTCAGGCATCGTCACCTTTTGAAGCAATGAACTCCGCGTGCCTCTCGAGGTGTCAGCGGGATGTGAGGCCTTCCGTCAAAATGAGGCAGGGACCTAGGGCTTTCTCTAAGGTCTCCACAGGGGATTCAGACATCCCTTCATGTTGTGAGATGAAAGACGAGCCTGTCTTCAAGCCACTGCAAGGAAATCCGGCCTCCTTTCAAGTTAGGGCTTCTCGCTGTATATTCCCCTTGAGGCAGCAAACTCGGGGTCCCTCCCACATACCTATTGCTGAGAGAAGCCTCCTCCTGAGGTGCTTCTGGAAAGTTGGCATACGTCTCGAGCCTAAGCCAGGGAATCAGCTCTCATCTCGAGACGATTTGGGGTACACGGAGCATTCCTCGAGTTGCTGTGCTGAAGTTGGTGTTCCTCTAGACTTGGGACAGTGTTCTCGGGGCATCTCTGGAGATGCCTGAAGGAAGTCGAGCCACCGGTCATGTTGAATGGGGAACGGGGAATGGCTCTGGAGTCAATGCAGGGGAATCGGGCCTCATCTCAAGTTCATTTGGTGGACATGGAGCTGCTTTGCGTTGCTGGGGTGACCTCAGGGTCCGTCTAGACTGGTGACAGTGTTCTTGGGGACTGTCTCGAGATCCGTTAAGCAAGTCGAAGCTCCTGACTTGTTTGAATGGGATCACGGAATAGCTCTGCATGCACTGCAGGGGAATGGGGCCTCATCTCGCCTCTAGGGGGAAGTCTCATGGGTTTTCTCGAGTTGCGGCGGGGACCTGGGGTATGTTCTCGACTTACGGCGGGGATGGCCCTTCCAAACACGAGTTTCCTCAGTGACGTCAGGACTCCTGTCTAGTAACGAGGGACACCTCAGGAATCTCTTCGAGGCTTGGCAGGGCAAAAGGGACGCTTCTCGAGGTGAGGCAGGGCACCCAAGGACCCTTTCCAGTAGCCACAGGGATTTTGGGATTCCTATGAGTATTCAGGAGGAGTCAGGCATCGTCACCTTTTGAAGCAATGAACTCCGCGTGCCTCTCGAGGTGTCAGCGGGATGTGAGGCCTTCCGTCAAAATGAGGCAGGGACCTAGGGCTTTCTCTAAGGTCTCCACAGGGGATTCAGACATCCCTTCATGTTGTGAGATGAAAGACGAGCCTGTCTTCAAGCCACTGCAAGGAAATCCGGCCTCCTTTCAAGTTAGGGCTTCTCGCTGTATATTCCCCTTGAGGCAGCAAACTCGGGGTCCCTCCCACATACCTATTGATGAGAGAAGCCTCCTCCTGAGGTGCTTCTGGAAAGTTGGCATACGTCTTGAGCCTAAGCCAGGGAATCAGCTCTCATCTCGAGACGATTTTGGGTACACGGAGCATTCCTCGAGTTGCTGTGCTGAAGTTGGTGTTCCTCTAGACTTGGGACAGTGTTCTCGGGGCATCTCTGGAGATGCCTGAAGGAAGTCGAGCCACCGGTCGTGTTGAATGGGGAACGGGGAATGGCTCTGGAGTCAATGCAGGGGAATCGGGCCTCATCTCGGGTTGATTTGGGGCACATGGAACTGCTTTGCGTTGCTGGGGTGACCTCAGGGTCCGTCTAGACTGGTGACAGTGTTCTTGGGGACTGTCTCGAGATCCGTTAAGCAAGTCGAAGCTCCTGACTTGTTTGAATGGGATCACGGAATAGCTCTGCATGCACTGCAGGGGAATGGGGCCTCATCTCGCCTCTAGGGGGAAGTCTCATGGGTTTTCTCGAGTTGCGGCGGGGACCTGGGGTATGTTCTCGACTTACGGCGGGGATGGCCCTTCCAAACACGAGTTTCCTCAGTGACGTCAGGACTCCTGTCTAGTAACGAGGGACACCTCAGGAATCTCTTCGAGGCTTGGCAGGGCAAAAGGGACGCTTCTCGAGGTGAGGCAGGGCACCCAAGGACCCTTTCCAGTAGCCACAGGGATTTTGGGATTCCTATGAGTATTCAGGAGGAGTCAGGCATCGTCACCTTTTGAAGCAATGAACTCCGCGTGCCTCTCGAGGTGTCAGCGGGATGTGAGGCCTTCCGTCAAAATGAGGCAGGGACCTAGGGCTTTCTCTAAGGTCTCCACAGGGGATTCAGACATCCCTTCATGTTGTGAGATGAAAGACGAGCCTGTCTTCAAGCCACTGCAAGGAAATCCGGCCTCCTTTCAAGTTAGGGCTTCTCGCTGTATATTCCCCTTGAGGCAGCAAACTCGGGGTCCCTCCCACATACCTATTGCTGAGAGAAGCCTCCTCCTGAGGTGCTTCTGGAAAGTTGGCATACGTCTCGAGCCTAAGCCAGGGAATCAGCTCTCATCTCGAGACGATTTGGGGTACACGGAGCATTCCTCGAGTTGCTGTGCTGAAGTTGGTGTTCCTCTAGACTTGGGACAGTGTTCTCGGGGCATCTCTGGAGATGCCTGAAGGAAGTCGAGCCACCGGTCATGTTGAATGGGGAACGGGGAATGGCTCTGGAGTCAATGCAGGGGAATCGGGCCTCATCTCAAGTTCATTTGGTGGACATGGAGCTGCTTTGCGTTGCTGGGGTGACCTCAGGGTCCGTCTAGACTGGTGACAGTGTTCTTGGGGACTGTCTCGAGATCCGTTAAGCAAGTCGAAGCTCCTGACTTGTTTGAATGGGATCACGGAATAGCTCTGCATGCACTGCAGGGGAATGGGGCCTCATCTCGCCTCTAGGGGGAAGTCTCATGGGTTTTCTCGAGTTGCGGCGGGGACCTGGGGTATGTTCTCGACTTACGGCGGGGATGGCCCTTCCAAACACGAGTTTCCTCAGTGACGTCAGGACTCCTGTCTAGTAACGAGGGACACCTCAGTAATCTCTTCGAGGCTTGGCAGGGCAAAAGGGACGCTTCTCGAGGTGAGGCAGGGCACCCAAGGACCCTTTCCAGTAGCCACAGGGATTTTGGGATTCCTATGAGTATTCAGGAGGAGTCAGGCATCGTCACCTTTTGAAGCAATGAACTCCGCGTGCCTCTCGAGGTGTCAGCGGGATGTGAGGCCTTCCGTCAAAATGAGGCAGGGACCTAGGGCTTTCTCTAAGGTCTCCACAGGGGATTCAGACATCCCTTCATGTTGTGAGATGAAAGACGAGCCTGTCTTCAAGCCACTGCAAGGAAATCCGGCCTCCTTTCAAGTTAGGGCTTCTCGCTGTATATTCCCCTTGAGGCAGCAAACTCGGGGTCCCTCCCACATACCTATTGCTGAGAGAAGCCTCCTCCTGAGGTGCTTCTGGAAAGTTGGCATACGTCTTGAGCCTAAGCCAGGGAATCAGCTCTCATCTCGAGACGATTTGGGGTACACGGAGCATTCCTCGAGTTGCTGTGCTGAAGTTGGTGTTCCTCTAGACTTGGGACAGTGTTCTCGGGGCATCTCTGGAGATGCCTGAAGGAAGTCGAGCCACCGGTCGTGTTGAATGGGCAACGGGGAATGGCTCTGGAGTCAATGTAGGGGAATCGGGTCTCATCTTCGGTTGATTTGGGGCACATGGAGCTGCTTTGCGTTGCTGGGGTGACCTCAGGGTCCGTCTAGACTGGTGACAGTGTTCTTGGGGACTGTCTCGAGATCCGTTAAGCAAGTCGAAGCTCCTGACTTGTTTGAATGGGATCACGGAATAGCTCTGCATGCACTGCAGGGGAATGGGGCCTCATCTCACCTCTAGGGGGAAGTCTCATGGGTTTTCTCGAGTTGCGGCGGGGACCTGGGGTATGTTCTCGACTTACGGCGGGGATGGCCCTTCCAAACACGAGTTTCCTCAGTGACGTCAGGACTCCTGTCTAGTAACGAGGGACACCTCAGGAATCTCTTCGAGGCTTGGCAGGGCAAAAGGGACGCTTCTCGAGGTGAGGCAGGGCACCCAAGGACCCTTTCCAGTAGCCACAGGGATTTTGGGATTCCTATGAGTATTCAGGAGGAGTCAGGCATCGTCACCTTTTGAAGCAATGAACTCCGCGTGCCTCTCGAGGTGACAGCTTGATGTGAGGCCTTCCGTCAAAATGAGGCAGGGACCTAGGGCTTTCTCTAAGGTCTCCACAGGGGATTCAGACATCCCTTCATGTTGTGAGATGAAAGACGAGCCTGTCTTCAAGCCACTGCAAGGAAATCCGGCCTCCTTTCAAGTTAGGGCTTCTCGCTGTATATTCCCCTTGAGGCAGCAAACACGGGGTCCCTCCCACATACCTATTGCTGAGAGAAGCCTCCTCCTGAGGTGCTTCTGGAAAGTTGGCATACGTCTTGAGCCTAAGCCAGGGAATCAGCTCTCATCTCGAGACGATTTGGGGTACACGGAGCATTCCTCGAGTTGCTGTGCTGAAGTTGGTGTTCCTCTAGACTTGGGACAGTGTTCTCGGGGCATCTCTGGAGATGCCTGAAGGAAGTCGAGCCACCGGTCGTGTTGAATGGGCAACGGGGAATGGCTCTGGAGTCAATGTAGGGGAATCGGGCCTCATCTTCGGTTGATTTGGGGCACATGGAGCTGCTTTGCGTTGCTGGGGTGACCTCAGGGTCCGTCTAGACTGGTGACAGTGTTCTTGGGGACTGTCTCGAGATCCGTTAAGCAAGTCGAAGCTCCTGACTTGTTTGAATGGGATCACGGAATAGCTCTGCATGCACTGCAGGGGAATGGGGCCTCATCTCACCTCTAGGGGGAAGTCTCATGGGTTTTCTCGAGTTGCGGCGGGGACCTGGGGTATGTTCTCGACTTACGGCGGGGATGGCCCTTCCAAACACGAGTTTCCTCAGTGACGTCAGGACTCCTGTCTAGTAACGAGGGACACCTCAGGAATCTCTTCGAGGCTTGGCAGGGCAAAAGGGACGCTTCTCGAGGTGAGGCAGGGCACCCAAGGACCCTTTCCAGTAGCCACAGGGATTTTGGGATTCCTCTGAGTATTCAGGAGGAGTCAGGCATCGTCACCTTTTGAAGCAATGAACTCCGCGTGCCTCTCGAGGTGACAGCTTGATGTGAGGCCTTCCGTCAAAATGAGGCAGGGACCTAGGGCTTTCTCTAAGGTCTCCACAGGGGATTCAGACATCCCTTCATGTTGTGAGATGAAAGACGAGCCAGTCTTCAAGCCACTGCAAGGAAATCCGGCCTCCTTTCAAGTTAGGGCTTCTCGCTGTATATTCCCCTTGAGGCAGCAAACTCGGGGTCCCTCCCACATACCTATTGCTGAGAGAAGCCTCCTCCTGAGGTGCTTCTGGAAAGTTGGCATACGTCTTGAGCCTAAGCCAGGGAATCAGCTCTCATCTCGAGACGATTTGGGGTACACGGAGCATTCCTCGAGTTGCTGTGCTGAAGTTGGTGTTCCTCTAGACTTGGGGCAGTGTTCTCGGGGCATCTCTGGAGATGCCTGAAGGAAGTCGAGCCACCGGTCGTGTTGAATGGGGAACGGGGAATGGCTCTGGAGTCAATGCAGGGGAATCGGGCCTCATCTCGAGTTCATTTGGGGGACATGGAGCTGCTTTGCGTTGCTGTGGTGACCTCAGGGTCTGTCTAGACTGGTGACAGTGTTCTTGGGGACTGTCTCGAGATCCGTTAAGCAAGTCGCAGCTCCTGACTTGTTTGAATGGGATCACGGAATAGCTCTGCATGCACTGCAGGGGAATGGGGCCTCATCTCGCCTCTAGGGGGAAGTCTCATGGGTTTTCTCGAGTTGCGGCGGGGACCTGGGGTATGTTCTCGACTTACGGCGGGGATGGCCCTTCCAAACACGAGTTTCCTCAGTGACGTCAGGACTCCTGTCTAGTAACGAGGGACACCTCAGGAATCTCTTCGAGGCTTGGCAGGGCAAAAGGCACGCTTCTCGAGGTGAGGCAGGGCACCCAAGGACCCTTTCCAGTAGCCACAGGGATTTTGGGATTCCTATGAGTATTCAGGAGGAGTCAGGCATCGTCACCTTTTGAAGCAATGAACTCCGCGTGCCTCTCGAGGTGTCAGCGGGATGTGAGGCCTTCCGTCAAAATGAGGCAGGGACCTAGGGCTTTCTCTAAGATCTCCATAGGGGATTCAGACATCCCTTCATGTTGTGAGATGAAAGACGAGCCTGTCTTCAAGCCACTGCAAGGAAATCCGGCCTCCTTTCAAGTTAGGGCTTCTCGCTGTATATTCCCCTTGAGGCAGCAAACTCGGGGTCCCTCCCACATACCTATTGCTAAGAGAAGCCTCCTCCTGAGGTTCTTCTGGAAAGTTTCATACGTCTTGAGCCTAACCCAGGGAATCAGCTCTCATCTCGAGACGATTTGGGTTACACGGAGCATTCCTCGAGTTGCTGTGCTGAAGTTGGTGTTCCTCTAGACTTGGGACAGTGTTCTCGGGGCATCTCTGGAGATGCCTGAAGGAAGTCGAGCCACCGGTCGTGTTGAATGGGGAACGGGGAATGGCTCTGGAGTCAATGCAGGGGAATCGGGCCTCATCTTGGGTTGATTTGGGGCACATGGAGCTGCTTTGCTCTGCTGGGGTGACCTTAGGGTCCGTCTAGACTGGTGACAGTGTTCTTGGGGACTGTCTCGAGATCCGTTAAGCAAGTCGAAGCTCCTGACTTGTTTGAATGGGATCACGGAATAGCTCTGCATGCACTGCAGGGGAATGGGGCCTCATCTCGCCTCTAGGGGGAAGTCTCATGGGTTTTCTCGAGTTGCGGCGGGGACCTGGGGTATGTTCTCGACTTACGGCGGGGATGGCCCTTCCAAACACGAGTTTCCTCAGTGACGTCAGGACTCCTGTCTAGTAACGAGGGACACCTCAGGAATCTCTTCGAGGCTTGGCAGGGCAAAAGGGACGCTTCTCGAGGTGAGGCAGGGCACCCAAGGACCCTTTCCAGTAGCCACAGGGATTTTGGGATTCCTATGAGTATTCAGGAGGAGTCAGGCATCGTCACCTTTTGAAGCAATGAACTCCGCGTGCCTCTCGAGGTGTCAGCGGGATGTGAGGCCTTCCGTCAAAATGAGGCAGGGACCTAGGGCTTTCTCTAAGGTCTCCACAGGGGATTCAGACATCCCTTCATGTTGTGAGATGAAAGACGAGCCTGTCTTCAAGCCACTGCAAGGAAATCCGGCCTCCATTCAAGTTAGGGCTTCTCGCTGTATATTCCCCTTGAGGCAGCAAACTCGGGGTCTCTCCCAAATACCTATTGCTGAGAGAAGCCTCCTCCTGAGGTGCTTCTGGAAAGTTTCATACGTCTTGAGCCTAAGCCAGGGAATCAGCTCTCATCTCGAGACGATTTGGGGTACACGGAGCATTCCTCGAGTTGCTGTGCTGAAGTTGGTGTTCCTCTAGACTTGGGACAGTGTTCTCGGGGCATCTCTGGAGATGCCTGAAGGAAGTCGAGCCACCGGTCGTGTTGAATGGGCAACGGGGAATGGCTCTGGAGTCAATGTAGGGGAATCGGGCCTCATCTTCGGTTGATTTGGGGCACATGGAGCTGCTTTGCGTTGCTGGGGTGACCTCAGGGTCCGTCTAGACTGGTGACAGTGTTCTTGGGGACTGTCTCGAGATCCGTTAAGCAAGTCGAAGCTCCTGACTTGTTTGAATGGGATCACGGAATAGCTCTGCATGCACTGCAGGGGAATGGGGCCTCATCTCACCTCTAGGGGGAAGTCTCATGGGTTTTCTCGAGTTGCGGCGGGGACCTGGGGTATGTTCTCGACTTACTGCGGGGATGGCCCTTCCAAACACGAGTTTCCTCAGTGACGTCAGGACTCCTGTCTAGTAACGAGGGACACCTCAGGAATCTCTTCGAGGCTTGGCAGGGCAAAAGGGACGCTTCTCGAGGTGAGGCAGGGCACCCAAGGACCCTTTCCAGTAGCCACAGGGATTTTGGGATTCCTCTGAGTATTCAGGAGGAGTCAGGCATCGTCACCTTTTGAAGCAATGAACTCCGCGTGCCTCTCGAGGTGACAGCTTGATGTGAGGCCTTCCGTCAAAATGAGGCAGGGACCTAGGGCTTTCTCTAAGGTCTCCACAGGGGATTCAGACATCCCTTCATGTTGTGAGATGAAAGACGAGCCTGTCTTCAAGCCACTGCAAGGAAATCCGGCCTCCTTTCAAGTTAGGGCTTCTCGCTGTATATTCCCCTTGAGGCAGCAAACTCGGGGTCCCTCCCACATACCTATTGCTGAGAGAAGCCTCCTCCTGAGGTGCTTCTGGAAAGTTGGCATACGTCTTGAGCCTAATCCAGGGAATCAGCTCTCATCTCGAGACGATTTGGGGTACACGGAGCATTCCTCGAGTTGCTGTGCTGAAGTTGGTGTTCCTCTAGACTTGGGGCAGTGTTCTCGGGGCATCTCTGGAGATGCCTGAAGGAAGTCGAGCCACCGGTCGTGTTGAATGGGGAACGGGGAATGGCTCTGGAGTCAATGCAGGGGAATCGGGCCTCATCTCGAGTTCATTTGGTGACATGGAGCTGCTTTGCGTTGCTGGGGTGACCTCAGGGTCCGTCTAGACTGGTGACAGTGTTCTTGGGGACTGTCTCGAGATCCGTTAAGCAAGTCGAAGCTCCTGACTTGTTTGAATGGGATCACGGAATAGCTCTGCATGCACTGCAGGGGAATGGGGCCTCATCTCGCCTCTAGGGGGAAGTCTCATGGGTTTTCTCGAGTTGCGGCGGGGACCTGGGGTATGTTCTCGACTTACGGCGGGGATGGCCCTTCCAAACACGAGTTTCCTCAGTGACGTCAGGACTCCTGTCTAGTAACGAGGGACACCTCAGGAATCTCTTCGAGGCTTGGCAGGGCAAAAGGCACGCTTCTCGAGGTGAGGCAGGGCACCCAAGGACCCTTTCCAGTAGCCACAGGGATTTTGGGATTCCTATGAGTATTCAGGAGGAGTCAGGCATCGTCACCTTTTGAAGCAATGAACTCCGCGTGCCTCTCGAGGTGTCAGCGGGATGTGAGGCCTTCCGTCAAAATGAGGCAGGGACCTAGGGCTTTCTCTAAGATCTCCATAGGGGATTCAGACATCCCTTCATGTTGTGAGATGAAAGACGAGCCTGTCTTCAAGCCACTGCAAGGAAATCCGGCCTCCTTTCAAGTTAGGGCTTCTCGCTGTATATTCCCCTTGAGGCAGCAAACTCGGGGTCCCTCCCACATACCTATTGCTGAGAGAAGCCTCCTCCTGAGGTTCTTCTGGAAAGTTTCATACGTCTTGAGCCTAACCCAGGGAATCAGCTCTCATCTCGAGACGATTTGGGTTACACGGAGCATTCCTCGAGTTGCTGTGCTGAAGTTGGTGTTCCTCTAGACTTGGGACAGTGTTCTCGGGGCATCTCTGGAGATGCCTGAAGGAAGTCGAGCCACCGGTCGTGTTGAATGGGGAACGGGGAATGGCTCTGGAGTCAATGCAGGGGAATCGGGCCTCATCTTGGGTTGATTTGGGGCACATGGAGCTGCTTTGCTTTGCTGGGGTGACCTTAGGGTCCGTCTAGACTGGTGACAGTGTTCTTGGGGACTGTCTCGAGATCCGTTAAGCAAGTCGAAGCTCCTGACTTGTTTGAATGGGATCACGGAATAGCTCTGCATGCACTGCAGGGGAATGGGGCCTCATCTCGCCTCTAGGGGGAAGTCTCATGGGTTTTCTCGAGTTGCGGCGGGGACCTGGGGTATGTTCTCGACTTACGGCGGGGATGGCCCTTCCAAACACGAGTTTCCTCAGTGACGTCAGGACTCCTGTCTAGTAACGAGGGACACCTCAGGAATCTCTTCGAGGCTTGGCAGGGCAAAAGGGACGCTTCTCGAGGTGAGGCAGGGCACCCAAGGACCCTTTCCAGTAGCCACAGGGATTTTGGGATTCCTATGAGTATTCAGGAGGAGTCAGGCATCGTCACCTTTTGAAGCAATGAACTCCGCGTGCCTCTCGAGGTGTCAGCGGGATGTGAGGCCTTCCGTCAAAATGAGGCAGGGACCTAGGGCTTTCTCTAAGGTCTCCACAGGGGATTCAGACATCCCTTCATGTTGTGAGATGAAAGACGAGCCTGTCTTCAAGCCACTGCAAGGAAATCCGGCCTCCTTTCAAGTTAGGGCTTCTCGCTGTATATTCCCCTTGAGGCAGCAAACTCGGGGTCTCTCCCAAATACCTATTGCTGAGAGAAGCCTCCTCCTGAGGTGCTTCTGGAAAGTTTCATACGTCTTGAGCCTAAGCCAGGGAATCAGCTCTCATCTCGAGACGATTTGGGGTACACGGAGCATTCCTCGAGTTGCTGTGCTGAAGTTGGTGTTCCTCTAGACTTGGGACAGTGTTCTCGGGGCATCTCTGGAGATGCCTGAAGGAAGTCGAGCCACCGGTCGTGTTGAATGGGCAACGGGGAATGGCTCTGGAGTCAATGTAGGGGAATCGGGCCTCATCTTCGGTTGATTTGGGGCACATGGAGCTGCTTTGCGTTGCTGGGGTGACCTCAGGGTCCGTCTAGACTGGTGACAGTGTTCTTGGGGACTGTCTCGAGATCCGTTAAGCAAGTCGAAACTCCTGACTTGTTTGAATGGGATCACGGAATAGCTCTGCATGCACTGCAGGGGAATGGGGCCTCATCTCACCTCTAGGGGGAAGTCTCATGGGTTTTCTCGAGTTGCGGCGGGGACCTGGGGTATGTTCTCGACTTACGGCAGGGATGGCCCTTCCAAACACGAGTTTCCTCAGTGACGTCAGGACTCCTGTCTAGTAACGAGGGACACCTCAGGAATCTCTTCGAGGCTTGGCAGGGCAAAAGGGACGCTTCTCGAGGTGAGGCAGGGCACCCAAGGACCCTTTCCAGTAGCCACAGGGATTTTGGGATTCCTCTGAGTATTCAGGAGGAGTCAGGCATCGTCACCTTTTGAAGCAATGAACTCCGCGTGCCTCTCGAGGTGACAGCTTGATGTGAGGCCTTCCGTCAAAATGAGGCAGGGACCTAGGGCTTTCTCTAAGGTCTCCACAGGGGATTCAGACATCCCTTCATGTTGTGAGATGAAAGACGAGCCTGTCTTCAAGCCACTGCAAGGAAATCCGGCCTCCTTTCAAGTTAGGGCTTCTCGCTGTATATTCCCCTTGAGGCAGCAAACTCGGGGTCCCTCCCACATACCTATTGCTGAGAGAAGCCTCCTCCTGAGGTGCTTCTGGAAAGTTGGCATACGTCTTGAGCCTAAGCCAGGGAATCAGCTCTCATCTCGAGACGATTTGGGGTACACGGAGCATTCCTCGAGTTGCTGTGCTGAAGTTGGTGTTCCTCTAGACTTGGGACAGTGTTCTCGGGGCATCTCTGGAGATGCCTGAAGGAAGTCGAGCCACCGGTCGTGTTGAATGGGCAACGGGGAATGGCTCTGGAGTCAATGTAGGGGAATCGGGCCTCATCTTCGGTTGATTTGGGGCACATGGAGCTGCTTTGCGTTGCTGGGGTGACCTCAGGGTCCGTCTAGACTGGTGACAGTGTTCTTGGGGACTGTCTCGAGATCCGTTAAGCAAGTCGAAGCTCCTGACTTGTTTGAATGGGATCACGGAATAGCTCTGCATGCACTGCAGGGGAATGGGGCCTCATCTCACCTCTAGGGGGAAGTCTCATGGGTTTTCTCGAGTTGCGGCGGGGACCTGGGGTATGTTCTCGACTTACGGCGGGGATGGCCCTTCCAAACACGAGTTTCCTCAGTGACGTCAGGACTCCTGTCTAGTAACGAGGGACACCTCAGGAATCTCTTCGAGGCTTGGCAGGGCAAAAGGGACGCTTCTCGAGGTGAGGCAGGGCACCCAAGGACCCTTTCCAGTAGCCACAGGGATTTTGGGATTCCTCTGAGTATTCAGGAGGAGTCAGGCATCGTCACCTTTTGAAGCAATGAACTCCGCGTGCCTCTCGAGGTGACAGCTTGATGTGAGGCCTTCCGTCAAAATGAGGCAGGGACCTAGGGCTTTCTCTAAGGTCTCCACAGGGGATTCAGACATCCCTTCATGTTGTGAGATGAAAGACGAGCCTGTCTTCAAGCCACTGCAAGGAAATCCGGCCTCCTTTCAAGTTAGGGCTTCTCGCTGTATATTCCCCTTGAGGCAGCAAACTCGGGGTCCCTCCCACATACCTATTGCTGAGAGAAGCCTCCTCCTGAGGTGCTTCTGGAAAGTTGGCATACGTCTTGAGCCTAAGCCAGGGAATCAGCTCTCATCTCGAGACGATTTGGGGTACACGGAGCATTCCTCGAGTTGCTGTGCTGAAGTTGGTGTTCCTCTAGACTTGGGGCAGTGTTCTCGGGGCATCTCTGGAGATGCCTGAAGGAAGTCGAGCCACCGGTCGTGTTGAATGGGGAACGGGGAATGGCTCTGGAGTCAATGCAGGGGAATCGGGCCTCATCTCGAGTTCATTTGGGGGACATGGAGCTGCTTTGCGTTGCTGGGGTGACCTCAGGGTCCGTCTAGACTGGTGACAGTGTTCTTGGGGACTGTCTCGAGATCCGTTAAGCAAGTCGAAGCTCCTGACTTGTTTGAATGGGATCACGGAATAGCTCTGCATGCACTGCAGGGGAATGGGGCCTCATCTCGCCTCTAGGGGGAAGTCTCATGGGTTTTCTCGAGTTGCGGCGGGGACCTGGGGTATGTTCTCGACTTACGGCGGGGATGGCCCTTCCAAACACGAGTTTCCTCAGTGACGTCAGGACTCCTGTCTAGTAACGAGGGACACCTCAGGAATCTCTTCGAGGCTTGGCAGGGCAAAAGGGACGCTTCTCGAGGTGAGGCAGGGCACCCAAGGACCCTTTCCAGTAGCCACAGGGATTTTGGGATTCCTATGAGTATTCAGGAGGAGTCAGGCATCGTCACCTTTTGAAGCAATGAACTCCGCGTGCCTCTCGAGGTGTCAGCGGGATGTGAGGCCTTCCGTCAAAATGAGGCAGGGACCTAGGGCTTTCTCTAAGATCTCCATAGGGGATTCAGACATCCCTTCATGTTGTGAGATGAAAGACGAGCCTGTCTTCAAGCCACTGCAAGGAAATCCGGCCTCCTTTCAAGTTAGGGCTTCTCGCTGTATATTCCCCTTGAGGCAGCAAACTCGGGGTCCCTCCCACATACCTATTGCTGAGAGAAGCCTCCTCCTGAGGTTCTTCTGGAAAGTTTCATACGTCTTGAGCCTAACCCAGGGAATCAGCTCTCATCTCGAGACGATTTGGGTTACACGGAGCATTCCTCGAGTTGCTGTGCTGAAGTTGGTGTTCCTCTAGACTTGGGACAGTGTTCTCGGGGCATCTCTGGAGATGCCTGAAGGAAGTCGAGCCACCGGTCGTGTTGAATGGGGAACGGGGAATGGCTCTGGAGTCAATGCAGGGGAATCGGGCCTCATCTTGGGTTGATTTGGGGCACATGGTGCTGCTTTGCTTTGCTGGGGTGACCTTAGGGTCCGTCTAGACTGGTGACAGTGTTCTTGGGGACTGTCTCGAGATCCGTTAAGCAAGTCGAAGCTCCTGACTTGTTTGAATGGGATCACGGAATAGCTCTGCATGCACTGCAGGGGAATGGGGCCTCATCTCGCCTCTAGGGGGAAGTCTCATGGGTTTTCTCGAGTTGCGGCGGGGACCTGGGGTATGTTCTCGACTTACGGCGGGGATGGCCCTTCCAAACACGAGTTTCCTCAGTGACGTCAGGACTCCTGTCTAGTAACGAGGGACACCTCAGGAATCTCTTCGAGGCTTGGCAGGGCAAAAGGGACGCTTCTCGAGGTGAGGCAGGGCACCCAAGGACCCTTTCCAGTAGCCACAGGGATTTTGGGATTCCTATGAGTATTCAGGAGGAGTCAGGCATCGTCACCTTTTGAAGCAATGAACTCCGCGTGCCTCTCGAGGTGTCAGCGGGATGTGAGGCCTTCCGTCAAAATGAGGCAGGGACCTAGGGCTTTCTCTAAGGTCTCCACAGGGGATTCAGACATCCCTTCATGTTGTGAGATGAAAGACGAGCCTGTCTTCAAGCCACTGCAAGGAAATCCGGCCTCCTTTCAAGTTAGGGCTTCTCGCTGTATATTCCCCTTGAGGCAGCAAACTCGGGGTCTCTCCCAAATACCTATTGCTGAGAGAAGCCTCCTCCTGAGGTGCTTCTGGAAAGTTTCATACGTCTTGAGCCTAAGCCAGGGAATCAGCTCTCATCTCGAGACGATTTGGGGTACACGGAGCATTCCTCGAGTTGCTGTGCTGAAGTTGGTGTTCCTCTAGACTTGGGACAGTGTTCTCGGGGCATCTCTGGAGATGCCTGAAGGAAGTCGAGCCACCGGTCGTGTTGAATGGGCAACGGGGAATGGCTCTGGAGTCAATGTAGGGGAATCGGGCCTCATCTTCGGTTGATTTGGGGCACATGGAGCTGCTTTGCGTTGCTGGGGTGACCTCAGGGTCCGTCTAGACTGGTGACAGTGTTCTTGGGGACTGTCTCGAGATCCGTTAAGCAAGTCGAAGCTCCTGACTTGTTTGAATGGGATCACGGAATAGCTCTGCATGCACTGCAGGGGAATGGGGCCTCATCTCACCTCTAGGGGGAAGTCTCATGGGTTTTCTCGAGTTGCGGCGGGGACCTGGGGTATGTTCTCGACTTACGGCGGGGATGGCCCTTCCAAACACGAGTTTCCTCAGTGACGTCAGGACTCCTGTCTAGTAACGAGGGACACCTCAGGAATCTCTTCGAGGCTTGGCAGGGCAAAAGGGACGCTTCTCGAGGTGAGGCAGGGCACCCAAGGACCCTTTCCAGTAGCCACAGGGATTTTGGGATTCCTCTGAGTATTCAGGAGGAGTCAGGCATCGTCACCTTTTGAAGCAATGAACTCCGCGTGCCTCTCGAGGTGACAGCTTGATGTGAGGCCTTCCGTCAAAATGAGGCAGGGACCTAGGGCTTTCTCTAAGGTCTCCACAGGGGATTCAGACATCCCTTCATGTTGTGAGATGAAAGACGAGCCTGTCTTCAAGCCACTGCAAGGAAATCCGGCCTCCTTTCAAGTTAGGGCTTCTCGCTGTATATTCCCCTTGAGGCAGCAAACTCGGGGTCCCTCCCACATACCTATTGCTGAGAGAAGCCTCCTCCTGAGGTGCTTCTGGAAAGTTGGCATACGTCTTGAGCCTAAGCCAGGGAATCAGCTCTCATCTCGAGACGATTTGGGGTACACGGAGCATTCCTCGAGTTGCTGTGCTGAAGTTGGTGTTCCTCTAGACTTGGGACAGTGTTCTCGGGGCATCTCTGGAGATGCCTGAAGGAAGTCGAGCCACCGGTCGTGTTGAATGGGCAACGGGGAATGGCTCTGGAGTCAATGTAGGGGAATCGGGCCTCATCTTCGGTTGATTTGGGGCACATGGAGCTGCTTTGCGTTGCTGGGGTGACCTCAGGGTCCGTCTAGACTGGTGACAGTGTTCTTGGGGACTGTCTCGAGATCCGTTAAGCAAGTCGAAGCTCCTGACTTGTTTGAATGGGATCACGGAATAGCTCTGCATGCACTGCAGGGGAATGGGGCCTCATCTCACCTCTAGGGGGAAGTCTCATGGGTTTTCTCGAGTTGCGGCGGGGACCTGGGGTATGTTCTCGACTTACGGCGGGGATGGCCCTTCCAAACACGAGTTTCCTCAGTGACGTCAGGACTCCTGTCTAGTAACGAGGGACACCTCAGGAATCTCTTCGAGGCTTGGCAGGGCAAAAGGGACGCTTCTCGAGGTGAGGCAGGGCACCCAAGGACCCTTTCCAGTAGCCACAGGGATTTTGGGATTCCTCTGAGTATTCAGGAGGAGTCAGGCATCGTCACCTTTTGAAGCAATGAACTCCGCGTGCCTCTCGAGGTGACAGCTTGATGTGAGGCCTTCCGTCAAAATGAGGCAGGGACCTAGGGCTTTCTCTAAGGTCTCCACAGGGGATTCAGACATCCCTTCATGTTGTGAGATGAAAGACGAGCCTGTCTTCAAGCCACTGCAAGGAAATCCGGCCTCCTTTCAAGTTAGGGCTTCTCGCTGTATATTCCCCTTGAGGCAGCAAACTCGGGGTCCCTCCCACATACCTATTGCTGAGAGAAGCCTCCTCCTGAGGTGCTTCTGGAAAGTTGGCATACGTCTTGAGCCTAAGCCAGGGAATCAGCTCTCATCTCGAGACGATTTGGGGTACACGGAGCATTCCTCGAGTTGCTGTGCTGAAGTTGGTGTTCCTCTAGACTTGGGGCAGTGTTCTCGGGGCATCTCTGGAGATGCCTGAAGGAAGTCGAGCCACCGGTCGTGTTGAATGGGGAACGGGGAATGGCTCTGGAGTCAATGCAGGGGAATCGGGCCTCATCTCGAGTTCATTTGGGGGACATGGAGCTGCTTTGCGTTGCTGGGGTGACCTCAGGGTCCGTCTAGACTGGTGACAGTGTTCTTGGGGACTGTCTCGAGATCCGTTAAGCAAGTCGAAGCTCCTGACTTGTTTGAATGGGATCACGGAATAGCTCTGCATGCACTGCAGGGGAATGGGGCCTCATCTCGCCTCTAGGGGGAAGTCTCATGGGTTTTCTCGAGTTGCGGCGGGGACCTGGGGTATGTTCTCGACTTATGGCGGGGATGGCCCTTCCAAACACGAGTTTCCTCAGTGACGTCAGGACTCCTGTCTATTAACGAGGGACACCTCAGGAATCTCTTCGAGGCTTGGCAGGGCAAAAGGGACGCTTCTCGAGGTGAGGCAGGGCACCCAAGGACCCTTTCCAGTAGCCACAGGGATTTTGGGATTCCTATGAGTATTCAGGAGGAGTCAGGCATCGTCACCTTTTGAAGCAATGAACTCCGCGTGCCTCTCGAGGTGTCAGCGGGATGTGAGGCCTTCCGTCAAAATGAGGCAGGGACCTAGGGCTTTCTCTAAGATCTCCATAGGGGATTCAGACATCCCTTCATGTTGTGAGATGAAAGACGAGCCTGTCTTCAAGCCACTGCAAGGAAATCCGGCCTCCTTTCAAGTTAGGGCTTCTCGCTGTATATTCCCCTTGAGGCAGCAAACTCGGGGTCCCTCCCACATACCTATTGCTGAGAGAAGCCTCCTCCTGAGGTTCTTCTGGAAAGTTTCATACGTCTTGAGCCTAACCCAGGGAATCAGCTCTCATCTCGAGACGATTTGGGTTACACGGAGCATTCCTCGAGTTGCTGTGCTGAAGTTGGTGTTCCTCTAGACTTGGGACAGTGTTCTCGGGGCATCTCTGGAGATGCCTGAAGGAAGTCGAGCCACCGGTCGTGTTGAATGGGGAACGGGGAATGGCTCTGGAGTCAATGCAGGGGAATCGGGCCTCATCTTGGGTTGATTTGGGGCACATGGAGCTGCTTTGCTTTGCTGGGGTGACCTCAGGGTCCGTCTAGACTGGTGACAGTGTTCTTGGGGACTGTCTCGAGATCCGTTAAGCAAGTCGAAGCTCCTGACTTGTTTGAATGGGATCACGGAATAGCTCTGCATGCACTGCAGGGGAATGGGGCCTCATCTCACCTCTAGGGGGAAGTCTCATGGGTTTTCTCGAGTTGCGGCGGGGACCTGGGGTATGTTCTCGACTTACGGCGGGGATGGCCCTTCCAAACACGAGTTTCCTCAGTGACGTCAGGACTCCTGTCTAGTAACGAGGGACACCTCAGGAATCTCTTCGAGGCTTGGCAGGGCAAAAGGGACGCTTCTCGAGGTGAGGCAGGGCACCCAAGGACCCTTTCCAGTAGCCACAGGGATTTTGGGATTCCTATGAGTATTCAGGAGGAGTCAGGCATCGTCACCTTTTGAAGCAATGAACTCCGCGTGCCTCTCGAGGTGTCAGCGGGATGTGAGGCCTTCCGTCAAAATGAGGCAGGGACCTAGGGCTTTCTCTAAGGTCTCCACAGGGGATTCAGACATCCCTTCATGTTGTGAGATGAAAGACGAGCCTGTCTTCAAGCCACTGCAAGGAAATCCGGCCTCCTTTCAAGTTAGGGCTTCTCGCTGTATATTCCCCTTGAGGCAGCAAACTCGGGGTCCCTCCCACATACCTATTGCTGAGAGAAGCCTCCTCCTGAGGTGCTTCTGGAAAGTTGGCATACGTCTTGAGCCTAAGCCAGGGAATCAGCTCTCATCTCGAGACGATTTGGGGTACACGGAGCATTCCTCGAGTTGCTGTGCTGAAGTTGGTGTTCCTCTAGACTTGGGACAGTGTTCTCGGGGCATCTCTGGAGATGCCTGAAGGAAGTCGAGCCACCGGTCGTGTTGAATGGGGAAAGGGGAATGGCTCTGGAGTCAATGCAGGGGAATCGGGCCTCATCTCGGGTTGATTTGGGGCACATGGAACTGCTTGGCGTTGCTGGGGTGACCTCAGGGTCCGTCTAGACTGGTGACAGTGTTCTTGGGGACTGTCTCGAGATCCGTTAAGCAAGTCGAAGCTCCTGACTTGTTTGAATGGGATCACGGAATAGCTCTGCATGCACTGCAGGGGAATGGGGCCTCATCTCGCCTCTAGGGGAAAGTCTCATGGGTTTTCTCGAGTTGCGGCGGGGACCTGGGGTATGTTCTCGACTTACGGCGGGGATGGCCCTTCCAAACACGAGTTTCCTCAGTGACGTCAGGACTCCTGTCTAGTAACGAGGGACACCTCAGGAATCTCTTCGAGGCTTGGCAGGGCAAAAGGGACGCTTCTCGAGGTGAGGCAGGGCACCCAAGGACCCTTTCCAGTAGCCACAGGGATTTTGGGATTCCTATGAGTATTCAGGAGGAGTCAGGCATCGTCACCTTTTGAAGCAATGAACTCCTCGTGCCTCTCGAGGTGTCAGCGGGATGTGAGGCCGTCCGTCAAAATGAGGCAGGGACCTAGGGCTTTCTCTAAGGTCTCCACAGGGGATTCAGACATCCCTTCATGTTGTGAGATGAAAGACGAGCCTGTCTTCAAGCCACTGCAAGGAAATCCGGCCTCCTTTCAAGTTAGGGCTTCTCGCTGTATATTCCCCTTGAGGCAGCAAACTCGGGGTCCCTCCCACATTCCTATTGCTGAGAGAAGCCTCCTCCTGAGGTGCTTCTGGAAAGTTGGCATACGTCTTGAGCCTAAGCCAGGGAATCAGCTCTCATCTCGAGACGATTTGGGGTACACGGAGCATTCCTCGAGTTGCTGTGCTGAAGTTGGTGTTCCTCTAGACTTGGGACAGTGTTCTCGGGGCATCTCTGGAGATGCCTGAAGGAAGTCGAGCCACCGGTCGTGTTGAATGGGGAACGGGGAATGGCTCTGGAGTCAATGCAGGGGAATCGGGCCTCATCTCGGGTTGATTTGGGGCACATGGAGCTGCTTTGCGTTGCTGGGGTGACCTCAGGGTCCGTCTAGACTGGTGACAGTGTTCTTGGGGACTGTCTCGAGACCCGTTAAGCAAGTCGAAGCTCCTGACTTGTTTGAATGGGATCACGGAATAGCTCTGCATGCACTGCAGGGGAATGGGGCCTCATCTCGCCTCTAGGGGGAAGTCTCATGGGTTTTCTCGAGTTGCGGCGGGGACCTGGGGTATGTTCTCGACTTACGGCGGGGATGGCCCTTCCAAACACGAGTTTCCTCAGTGACGTCAGGACTCCTGTCTATTAACGAGGGACACCTCAGGAATCTCTTCGAGGCTTGGCAGGGCAAAAGGGACGCTTCTCGAGGTGAGGCAGGGCACCCAAGGACCCTTTCCAGTAGCCACAGGGATTTTGGGATTCCTATGAGTATTCAGGAGGAGTCAGGCATCGTCACCTTTTGAAGCAATGAACTCCGCGTGCCTCTCGAGGTGTCAGCGGGATGTGAGGCCTTCCGTCAAAATGAGGCAGGGACCTAGGGCTTTCTCTAAGATCTCCATAGGGGATTCAGACATCCCTTCATGTTGTGAGATGAAAGACGAGCCTGTCTTCAAGCCACTGCAAGGAAATCCGGCCTCCTTTCAAGTTAGGGCTTCTCGCTGTATATTCCCCTTGAGGCAGCAAACTCGGGGTCCCTCCCACATACCTATTGCTGAGAGAAGCCTCCTCCTGAGGTTCTTCTGGAAAGTTTCATACGTCTTGAGCCTAACCCAGGGAATCAGCTCTCATCTCGAGACGATTTGGGTTACACGGAGCATTCCTCGAGTTGCTGTGCTGAAGTTGGTGTTCCTCTAGACTTGGGACAGTGTTCTCGGGGCATCTCTGGAGATGCCTGAAGGAAGTCGAGCCACCGGTCGTGTTGAATGGGGAACGGGGAATGGCTCTGGAGTCAATGCAGGGGAATCGGGCCTCATCTTGGGTTGATTTGGGGCACATGGAGCTGCTTTGCTTTGCTGGGGTGACCTCAGGGTCCGTCTAGACTGGTGACAGTGTTCTTGGGGACTGTCTCGAGATCCGTTAAGCAAGTCGAAGCTCCTGACTTGTTTGAATGGGATCACGGAATAGCTCTGCATGCACTGCAGGGGAATGGGGCCTCATCTCACCTCTAGGGGGAAGTCTCATGGGTTTTCTCGAGTTGCGGCGGGGACCTGGGGTATGTTCTCGACTTACGGCGGGGATGGCCCTTCCAAACACGAGTTTCCTCAGTGACGTCAGGACTCCTGTCTAGTAACGAGGGACACCTCAGGAATCTCTTCGAGGCTTGGCAGGGCAAAAGGGACGCTTCTCGAGGTGAGGCAGGGCACCCAAGGACCCTTTCCAGTAGCCAAAGGTTTTTGGGATTCCTCTGAGTATTCAGGAGGAGTCAGGCATCGTCACCTTTTGAAGCAATGAACTCCGCGTGCCTCTCGAGGTGACAGCTTGATGTGAGGCCTTCCGTCAAAATGAGGCAGGGACCTAGGGCTTTCTCTAAGGTCTCCACAGGGGATTCAGACATCCCTTCATGTTGTGAGATGAAAGACGAGCCTGTCTTCAAGCCACTGCAAGGAAATCCGGCCTCCTTTCAAGTTAGGGCTTCTCGCTGTATATTCCCCTTGAGGCAGCAAACTCGGGGTCCCTCCCACATACCTATTGCTGAGAGAAGCCTCCTCCTGAGGTGCTTCTGGAAAGTTGGCATACGTCTTGAGCCTAAGCCAGGGAATCAGCTCTCATCTCGAGACGATTTGGGGTACACGGAGCATTCCTCGAGTTGCTGTGCTGAAGTTGGTGTTCCTCTAGACTTGGGACAGTGTTCTCGGGGCATCTCTGGAGATGCCTGAAGGAAGTCGAGCCACCGGTCGTGTTGAATGGGCAACGGGGAATGGCTCTGGAGTCAATGTAGGGGAATCGGGCCTCATCTTCGGTTGATTTGGGGCACATGGAGCTGCTTTGCGTTGCTGGGGTGACCTCAGGGTCCGTCTAGACTGGTGACAGTGTTCTTGGGGACTGTCTCGAGATCCGTTAAGCAAGTCGAAGCTCCTGACTTGTTTGAATGGGATCACGGAATAGCTCTGCATGCACTGCAGGGGAATGGGGCCTCATCTCACCTCTAGGGGGAAGTCTCATGGGTTTTCTCGAGTTGCGGCGGGGACCTGGGGTATGTTCTCGACTTAGGGCGGGGATGGCCCTTCCAAACACGAGTTTCCTCAGTGACGTCAGGACTCCTGTCTAGTAACGAGGGACACCTCAGGAATCTCTTCGAGGCTTGGCAGGGCAAAAGGGACGCTTCTCGAGGTGAGGCAGGGCACCCAAGGACCCTTTCCAGTAGCCACAGGGATTTTGGGATTCCTCTGAGTATTCAGGAGGAGTCAGGCATCGTCACCTTTTGAAGCAATGAACTCCGCGTGCCTCTCGAGGTGACAGCTTGATGTGAGGCCTTCCGTCAAAATGAGGCAGGGACCTAGGGCTTTCTCTAAGGTCTCCACAGGGGATTCAGACATCCCTTCATGTTGTGAGATGAAAGACGAGCCTGTCTTCAAGCCACTGCAAGGAAATCCGGCCTCCTTTCAAGTTAGGGCTTCTCGCTGTATATTCCCCTTGAGGCAGCAAACTCGGGGTCCCTCCCACATACCTATTGCTGAGAGAAGCCTCCTCCTGAGGTGCTTCTGGAAAGTTGGCATACGTCTTGAGCCTAAGCCAGGGAATCAGCTCTCATCTCGAGACGATTTGGGGTACACGGAGCATTCCTCGAGTTGCTGTGCTGAAGTTGGTGTTCCTCTAGACTTGGGGCAGTGTTCTCGGGGCATCTCTGGAGATGCCTGAAGGAAGTCGAGCCACCGGTCGTGTTGAATGGGGAACGGGGAATGGCTCTGGAGTCAATGCAGGGGAATCGGGCCTCATCTCGAGTTCATTTGGGGGACATGGAGCTGCTTTGCGTTGCTGGGGTGACCTCAGGGTCCGTCTAGACTGGTGACAGTGTTCTTGGGGACTGTCTCGAGATCCGTTAAGCAAGTCGAAGCTCCTGACTTGTTTGAATGGGATCACGGAATAGCTCTGCATGCACTGCAGGGGAATGGGGCCTCATCTCGCCTCTAGGGGGAAGTCTCATGGGTTTTCTCGAGTTGCGGCGGGGACCTGGGGTATGTTCTCGACTTACGGCGGGGATGGCCCTTCCAAACACGAGTTTCCTCAGTGACGTCAGGACTCCTGTCTAGTAACGAGGGACACCTCAGGAATCTCTTCGAGGCTTGGCAGGGCAAAAGGGACGCTTCTCGAGGTGAGGCAGGGCACCCAAGGACCCTTTCCAGTAGCCACAGGGATTTTGGGATTCCTATGAGTATTCAGGAGGAGTCAGGCATCGTCACCTTTTGAAGCAATGAACTCCGCGTGCCTCTCGAGGTGTCAGCGGGATGTGAGGCCTTCCGTCAAAATGAGGCAGGGACCTAGGGCTTTCTCTAAGATCTCCATAGGGGATTCAGACATCCCTTCATGTTGTGAGATGAAAGACGAGCCTGTCTTCAAGCCACTGCAAGGAAATCCGGCCTCCTTTCAAGTTAGGGCTTCTCGCTGTATATTCCCCTTGAGGCAGCAAACTCGGGGTCCCTCCCACATACCTATTGCTGAGAGAAGCCTCCTCCTGAGGTTCTTCTGGAAAGTTTCATACGTCTTGAGCCTAACCCAGGGAATCAGCTCTCATCTCGAGACGATTTGGGTTACACGGAGCATTCCTCGAGTTGCTGTGCTGAAGTTGGTGTTCCTCTAGACTTGGGACAGTGTTCTCGGGGCATCTCTGGAGATGCCTGAAGGAAGTCGAGCCACCGGTCGTGTTGAATGGGGAACGGGGAATGGCTCTGGAGTCAATGCAGGGGAATCGGGCCTCATCTTGGGTTGATTTGGGGCACATGGAGCTGCTTTGCTTTGCTGGGGTGACCTTAGGGTCCGTCTAGACTGGTGACAGTGTTCTTGGGGACTGTCTCGAGATCCGTTAAGCAAGTCGAAGCTCCTGACTTGTTTGAATGGGATCACGGAATAGCTCTGCATGCACTGCAGGGGAATGGGGCCTCATCTCGCCTCTAGGGGGAAGTCTCATGGGTTTTCTCGAGTTGCGGCGGGGACCTGGGGTATGTTCTCGACTTACGGCGGGGATGGCCCTTCCAAACACGAGTTTCCTCAGTGACGTCAGGACTCCTGTCTAGTAAAGAGGGACACCTCAGGAATCTCTTCGAGGCTTGGCAGGGCAAAAGGGACGCTTCTCGAGGTGAGGCAGGGCACCCAAGGACCCTTTCCAGTAGCCACAGGGATTTTGGGATTCCTATGAGTATTCAGGAGGAGTCAGGCATCGTCACCTTTTGAAGCAATGAACTCCGCGTGCCTCTCGAGGTGTCAGCGGGATGTGAGGCCTTCCGTCAAAATGAGGCAGGGACCTAGGGCTTTCTCTAAGGTCTCCACAGGGGATTCAGACATCCCTTCATGTTGTGAGATGAAAGACGAGCCTGTCTTCAAGCCACTGCAAGGAAATCCGGCCTCCTTTCAAGTTAGGGCTTCTCGCTGTATATTCCCCTTGAGGCAGCAAACTCGGGGTCTCTCCCAAATACCTATTGCTGAGAGAAGCCTCCTCCTGAGGTGCTTCTGGAAAGTTTCATACGTCTTGAGCCTAAGCCAGGGAATCAGCTCTCATCTCGAGACGATTTGGGGTACACGGAGCATTCCTCGAGTTGCTGTGCTGAAGTTGGTGTTCCTCTAGACTTGGGACAGTGTTCTCGGGGCATCTCTGGAGATGCCTGAAGGAAGTCGAGCCACCGGTCGTGTTGAATGGGCAACGGGGAATGGCTCTGGAGTCAATGTAGGGGAATCGGGCCTCATCTTCGGTTGATTTGGGGCACATGGAGCTGCTTTGCGTTGCTGGGGTGACCTCAGGGTCCGTCTAGACTGGTGACAGTGTTCTTGGGGACTGTCTCGAGATCCGTTAAGCAAGTCGAAGCTCCTGACTTGTTTGAATGGGATCACGGAATAGCTCTGCATGCACTGCAGGGGAATGGGGCCTCATCTCACCTCTAGGGGGAAGTCTCATGGGTTTTCTCGAGTTGCGGCGGGGACCTGGGGTATGTTCTCGACTTACGGCGGGGATGGCCCTTCCAAACACGAGTTTCCTCAGTGACGTCAGGACTCCTGTCTAGTAACGAGGGACACCTCAGGAATCTCTTCGAGGCTTGGCAGGGCAAAAGGGACGCTTCTCGAGGTGAGGCAGGGCACCCAAGGACCCTTTCCAGTAGCCACAGGGATTTTGGGATTCCTCTGAGTATTCAGGAGGAGTCAGGCATCGTCACCTTTTGAAGCAATGAACTCCGCGTGCCTCTCGAGGTGACAGCTTGATGTGAGGCCTTCCGTCAAAATGAGGCAGGGACCTAGGGCTTTCTCTAAGGTCTCCACAGGGGATTCAGACATCCCTTCATGTTGTGAGATGAAAGACGAGCCTGTCTTCAAGCCACTGCAAGGAAATCCGGCCTCCTTTCAAGTTAGGGCTTCTCGCTGTATATTCCCCTTGAGGCAGCAAACTCGGGGTCCCTCCCACATACCTATTGCTGAGAGAAGCCTCCTCCTGAGGTGCTTCTGGAAAGTTGGCATACGTCTTGAGCCTAAGCCAGGGAATCAGCTCTCATCTCGAGACGATTTGGGGTACACGGAGCATTCCTCGAGTTGCTGTGCTGAAGTTGGTGTTCCTCTAGACTTGGGACAGTGTTCTCGGGGCATCTCTGGAGATGCCTGAAGGAAGTCGAGCCACCGGTCGTGTTGAATGGGCAACGGGGAATGGCTCTGGAGTCAATGTAGGGGAATCGGGCCTCATCTTCGGTTGATTTGGGGCACATGGAGCTGCTTTGCGTTGCTGGGGTGACCTCAGGGTCCGTCTAGACTGGTGACAGTGTTCTTGGGGACTGTCTCGAGATCCGTTAAGCAAGTCGAAGCTCCTGACTTGTTTGAATGGGATCACGGAATAGCTCTGCATGCACTGCAGGGGAATGGGGCCTCATCTCACCTCTAGGGGGAAGTCTCATGGGTTTTCTCGAGTTGCGGCGGGGACCTGGGGTATGTTCTCGACTTACGGCGGGGATGGCCCTTCCAAACACGAGTTTCCTCAGTGACGTCAGGACTCCTGTCTAGTAACGAGGGACACCTCAGGAATCTCTTCGAGGCTTGGCAGGGCAAAAGGGACGCTTCTCGAGGTGAGGCAGGGCACCCAAGGACCCTTTCCAGTAGCCACAGGGATTTTGGGATTCCTATGAGTATTCAGGAGGAGTCAGGCATCGTCACCTTTTGAAGCAATGAACTCCGCGTGCCTCTCGAGGTGTCAGCGGGATGTGAGGCCTTCCGTCAAAATGAGGCAGGGACCTAGGGCTTTCTCTAAGGTCTCCACAGGGGATTCAGACATCCCTTCATGTTGTGAGATGAAAGACGAGCCTGTCTTCAAGCCACTGCAAGGAAATCCGGCCTCCTTTCAAGTTAGGGCTTCTCGCTGTATATTCCCCTTGAGGCAGCAAACTCGGGGTCTCTCCCAAATACCTATTGCTGAGAGAAGCCTCCTCCTGAGGTGCTTCTGGAAAGTTTCATACGTCTTGAGCCTAAGCCAGGGAATCAGCTCTCATCTCGAGACGATTTGGGGTACACGGAGCATTCCTCGAGTTGCTGTGCTGAAGTTGGTGTTCCTCTAGACTTGGGACAGTGTTCTCGGGGCATCTCTGGAGATGCCTGAAGGAAGTCGAGCCACCGGTCGTGTTGAATGGGCAACGGGGAATGGCTCTGGAGTCAATGTAGGGGAATCGGGCCTCATCTTCGGTTGATTTGGGGCACATGGAGCTGCTTTGCGTTGCTGGGGTGACCTCAGGGTCCGTCTAGACTGGTGACAGTGTTCTTGGGGACTGTCTCGAGATCCGTTAAGCAAGTCGAAGCTCCTGACTTGTTTGAATGGGATCACGGAATAGCTCTGCATGCACTGCAGGGGAATGGGGCCTCATCTCACCTCTAGGGGGAAGTCTCATGGGTTTTCTCGAGTTGCGGCGGGGACCTGGGGTATGTTCTCGACTTACGGCGGGGATGGCCCTTCCAAACACGAGTTTCCTCAGTGACGTCAGGACTCCTGTCTAGTAACGAGGGACACCTCAGGAATCTCTTCGAGGCTTGGCAGGGCAAAAGGGACGCTTCTCGAGGTGAGGCAGGGCACCCAAGGACCCTTTCCAGTAGCCAAAGGTTTTTGGGATTCCTCTGAGTATTCAGGAGGAGTCAGGCATCGTCACCTTTTGAAGCAATGAACTCCGCGTGCCTCTCGAGGTGACAGCTTGATGTGAGGCCTTCCGTCAAAATGAGGCAGGGACCTAGGGCTTTCTCTAAGGTCTCCACAGGGGATTCAGACATCCCTTCATGTTGTGAGATGAAAGACGAGCCTGTCTTCAAGCCACTGCAAGGAAATCCGGCCTCCTTTCAAGTTAGGGCTTCTCGCTGTATATTCCCCTTGAGGCAGCAAACTCGGGGTCCCTCCCACATACCTATTGCTGAGAGAAGCCTCCTCCTGAGGTGCTTCTGGAAAGTTGGCATACGTCTTGAGCCTAAGCCAGGGAATCAGCTCTCATCTCGAGACGATTTGGGGTACACGGAGCATTCCTCGAGTTGCTGTGCTGAAGTTGGTGTTCCTCTAGACTTGGGACAGTGTTCTCGGGGCATCTCTGGAGATGCCTGAAGGAAGTCGAGCCACCGGTCGTGTTGAATGGGCAACGGGGAATGGCTCTGGAGTCAATGTAGGGGAATCGGGCCTCATCTTCGGTTGATTTGGGGCACATGGAGCTGCTTTGCGTTGCTGGGGTGACCTCAGGGTCCGTCTAGACTGGTGACAGTGTTCTTGGGGACTGTCTCGAGATCCGTTAAGCAAGTCGAAGCTCCTGACTTGTTTGAATGGGATCACGGAATAGCTCTGCATGCACTGCAGGGGAATGGGGCCTCATCTCACCTCTAGGGGGAAGTCTCATGGGTTTTCTCGAGTTGCGGCGGGGACCTGGGGTATGTTCTCGACTTACGGCGGGGATGGCCCTTCCAAACACGAGTTTCCTCAGTGACGTCAGGACTCCTGTCTAGTAACGAGGGACACCTCAGGAATCTCTTCGAGGCTTGGCAGGGCAAAAGGGACGCTTCTCGAGGTGAGGCAGGGCACCCAAGGACCCTTTCCAGTAGCCACAGGGATTTTGGGATTCCTATGAGTATTCAGGAGGAGTCAGGCATCGTCACCTTTTGAAGCAATGAACTCCGCGTGCCTCTCGAGGTGTCAGCGGGATGTGAGGCCTTCCGTCAAAATGAGGCAGGGACCTAGGGCTTTCTCTAAGGTCTCCACAGGGGATTCAGACATCCCTTCATGTTGTGAGATGAAAGACGAGCCTGTCTTCAAGCCACTGCAAGGAAATCCGGCCTCCTTTCAAGTTAGGGCTTCTCGCTGTATATTCCCCTTGAGGCAGCAAACTCGGGGTCTCTCCCAAATACCTATTGCTGAGAGAAGCCTCCTCCTGAGGTGCTTCTGGAAAGTTTCATACGTCTTGAGCCTAAGCCAGGGAATCAGCTCTCATCTCGAGACGATTTGGGGTACACGGAGCATTCCTCGAGTTGCTGTGCTGAAGTTGGTGTTCCTCTAGACTTGGGACAGTGTTCTCGGGGCATCTCTGGAGATGCCTGAAGGAAGTCGAGCCACCGGTCGTGTTGAATGGGCAACGGGGAATGGCTCTGGAGTCAATGTAGGGGAATCGGGCCTCATCTTCGGTTGATTTGGGGCACATGGAGCTGCTTTGCGTTGCTGGGGTGACCTCAGGGTCCGTCTAGACTGGTGACAGTGTTCTTGGGGACTGTCTCGAGATCCGTTAAGCAAGTCGAAGCTCCTGACTTGTTTGAATGGGATCACGGAATAGCTCTGCATGCACTGCAGGGGAATGGGGCCTCATCTCACCTCTAGGGGGAAGTCTCATGGGTTTTCTCGAGTTGCGGCGGGGACCTGGGGTATGTTCTCGACTTACGGCGGGGATGGCCCTTCCAAACACGAGTTTCCTCAGTGACGTCAGGACTCCTGTCTAGTAACGAGGGACACCTCAGGAATCTCTTCGAGGCTTGGCAGGGCAAAAGGGACGCTTCTCGAGGTGAGGCAGGGCACCCAAGGACCCTTTCCAGTAGCCAAAGGTTTTTGGGATTCCTCTGAGTATTCAGGAGGAGTCAGGCATCGTCACCTTTTGAAGCAATGAACTCCGCGTGCCTCTCGAGGTGACAGCTTGATGTGAGGCCTTCCGTCAAAATGAGGCAGGGACCTAGGGCTTTCTCTAAGGTCTCCACAGGGGATTCAGACATCCCTTCATGTTGTGAGATGAAAGACGAGCCTGTCTTCAAGCCACTGCAAGGAAATCCGGCCTCCTTTCAAGTTAGGGCTTCTCGCTGTATATTCCCCTTGAGGCAGCAAACTCGGGGTCCCTCCCACATACCTATTGCTGAGAGAAGCCTCCTCCTGAGGTGCTTCTGGAAAGTTGGCATACGTCTTGAGCCTAAGCCAGGGAATCAGCTCTCATCTCGAGACGATTTGGGGTACACGGAGCATTCCTCGAGTTGCTGTGCTGAAGTTGGTGTTCCTCTAGACTTGGGACAGTGTTCTCGGGGCATCTCTGGAGATGCCTGAAGGAAGTCGAGCCACCGGTCGTGTTGAATGGGCAACGGGGAATGGCTCTGGAGTCAATGTAGGGGAATCGGGCCTCATCTTCGGTTGATTTGGGGCACATGGAGCTGCTTTGCGTTGCTGGGGTGACCTCAGGGTCCGTCTAGACTGGTGACAGTGTTCTTGGGGACTGTCTCGAGATCCGTTAAGCAAGTCGAAGCTCCTGACTTGTTTGAATGGGATCACGGAATAGCTCTGCATGCACTGCAGGGGAATGGGGCCTCATCTCACCTCTAGGGGGAAGTCTCATGGGTTTTCTCGAGTTGCGGCGGGGACCTGGGGTATGTTCTCGACTTAGGGCGGGGATGGCCCTTCCAAACACGAGTTTCCTCAGTGACGTCAGGACTCCTGTCTAGTAACGAGGGACACCTCAGGAATCTCTTCGAGGCTTGGCAGGGCAAAAGGGACGCTTCTCGAGGTGAGGCAGGGCACCCAAGGACCCTTTCCAGTAGCCACAGGGATTTTGGGATTCCTCTGAGTATTCAGGAGGAGTCAGGCATCGTCACCTTTTGAAGCAATGAACTCCGCGTGCCTCTCGAGGTGACAGCTTGATGTGAGGCCTTCCGTCAAAATGAGGCAGGGACCTAGGGCTTTCTCTAAGGTCTCCACAGGGGATTCAGACATCCCTTCATGTTGTGAGATGAAAGACGAGCCTGTCTTCAAGCCACTGCAAGGAAATCCGGCCTCCTTTCAAGTTAGGGCTTCTCGCTGTATATTCCCCTTGAGGCAGCAAACTCGGGGTCCCTCCCACATACCTATTGCTGAGAGAAGCCTCCTCCTGAGGTGCTTCTGGAAAGTTGGCATACGTCTTGAGCCTAAGCCAGGGAATCAGCTCTCATCTCGAGACGATTTGGGGTACACGGAGCATTCCTCGAGTTGCTGTGCTGAAGTTGGTGTTCCTCTAGACTTGGGGCAGTGTTCTCGGGGCATCTCTGGAGATGCCTGAAGGAAGTCGAGCCACCGGTCGTGTTGAATGGGGAACGGGGAATGGCTCTGGAGTCAATGCAGGGGAATCGGGCCTCATCTCGAGTTCATTTGGGGGACATGGAGCTGCTTTGCGTTGCTGGGGTGACCTCAGGGTCCGTCTAGACTGGTGACAGTGTTCTTGGGGACTGTCTCGAGATCCGTTAAGCAAGTCGAAGCTCCTGACTTGTTTGAATGGGATCACGGAATAGCTCTGCATGCACTGCAGGGGAATGGGGCCTCATCTCGCCTCTAGGGGGAAGTCTCATGGGTTTTCTCGAGTTGCGGCGGGGACCTGGGGTATGTTCTCGACTTACGGCGGGGATGGCCCTTCCAAACACGAGTTTCCTCAGTGACGTCAGGACTCCTGTCTAGTAACGAGGGACACCTCAGGAATCTCTTCGAGGCTTGGCAGGGCAAAAGGGACGCTTCTCGAGGTGAGGCAGGGCACCCAAGGACCCTTTCCAGTAGCCACAGGGATTTTGGGATTCCTATGAGTATTCAGGAGGAGTCAGGCATCGTCACCTTTTGAAGCAATGAACTCCGCGTGCCTCTCGAGGTGTCAGCGGGATGTGAGGCCTTCCGTCAAAATGAGGCAGGGACCTAGGGCTTTCTCTAAGATCTCCATAGGGGATTCAGACATCCCTTCATGTTGTGAGATGAAAGACGAGCCTGTCTTCAAGCCACTGCAAGGAAATCCGGCCTCCTTTCAAGTTAGGGCTTCTCGCTGTATATTCCCCTTGAGGCAGCAAACTCGGGGTCCCTCCCACATACCTATTGCTGAGAGAAGCCTCCTCCTGAGGTTCTTCTGGAAAGTTTCATACGTCTTGAGCCTAACCCAGGGAATCAGCTCTCATCTCGAGACGATTTGGGTTACACGGAGCATTCCTCGAGTTGCTGTGCTGAAGTTGGTGTTCCTCTAGACTTGGGACAGTGTTCTCGGGGCATCTCTGGAGATGCCTGAAGGAAGTCGAGCCACCGGTCGTGTTGAATGGGGAACGGGGAATGGCTCTGGAGTCAATGCAGGGGAATCGGGCCTCATCTTGGGTTGATTTGGGGCACATGGAGCTGCTTTGCTTTGCTGGGGTGACCTTAGGGTCCGTCTAGACTGGTGACAGTGTTCTTGGGGACTGTCTCGAGATCCGTTAAGCAAGTCGAAGCTCCTGACTTGTTTGAATGGGATCACGGAATAGCTCTGCATGCACTGCAGGGGAATGGGGCCTCATCTCGCCTCTAGGGGGAAGTCTCATGGGTTTTCTCGAGTTGCGGCGGGGACCTGGGGTATGTTCTCGACTTACGGCGGGGATGGCCCTTCCAAACACGAGTTTCCTCAGTGACGTCAGGACTCCTGTCTAGTAAAGAGGGACACCTCAGGAATCTCTTCGAGGCTTGGCAGGGCAAAAGGGACGCTTCTCGAGGTGAGGCAGGGCACCCAAGGACCCTTTCCAGTAGCCACAGGGATTTTGGGATTCCTATGAGTATTCAGGAGGAGTCAGGCATCGTCACCTTTTGAAGCAATGAACTCCGCGTGCCTCTCGAGGTGTCAGCGGGATGTGAGGCCTTCCGTCAAAATGAGGCAGGGACCTAGGGCTTTCTCTAAGGTCTCCACAGGGGATTCAGACATCCCTTCATGTTGTGAGATGAAAGACGAGCCTGTCTTCAAGCCACTGCAAGGAAATCCGGCCTCCTTTCAAGTTAGGGCTTCTCGCTGTATATTCCCCTTGAGGCAGCAAACTCGGGGTCTCTCCCAAATACCTATTGCTGAGAGAAGCCTCCTCCTGAGGTGCTTCTGGAAAGTTTCATACGTCTTGAGCCTAAGCCAGGGAATCAGCTCTCATCTCGAGACGATTTGGGGTACACGGAGCATTCCTCGAGTTGCTGTGCTGAAGTTGGTGTTCCTCTAGACTTGGGACAGTGTTCTCGGGGCATCTCTGGAGATGCCTGAAGGAAGTCGAGCCACCGGTCGTGTTGAATGGGCAACGGGGAATGGCTCTGGAGTCAATGTAGGGGAATCGGGCCTCATCTTCGGTTGATTTGGGGCACATGGAGCTGCTTTGCGTTGCTGGGGTGACCTCAGGGTCCGTCTAGACTGGTGACAGTGTTCTTGGGGACTGTCTCGAGATCCGTTAAGCAAGTCGAAGCTCCTGACTTGTTTGAATGGGATCACGGAATAGCTCTGCATGCACTGCAGGGGAATGGGGCCTCATCTCACCTCTAGGGGGAAGTCTCATGGGTTTTCTCGAGTTGCGGCGGGGACCTGGGGTATGTTCTCGACTTACGGCGGGGATGGCCCTTCCAAACACGAGTTTCCTCAGTGACGTCAGGACTCCTGTCTAGTAACGAGGGACACCTCAGGAATCTCTTCGAGGCTTGGCAGGGCAAAAGGGACGCTTCTCGAGGTGAGGCAGGGCACCCAAGGACCCTTTCCAGTAGCCACAGGGATTTTGGGATTCCTCTGAGTATTCAGGAGGAGTCAGGCATCGTCACCTTTTGAAGCAATGAACTCCGCGTGCCTCTCGAGGTGACAGCTTGATGTGAGGCCTTCCGTCAAAATGAGGCAGGGACCTAGGGCTTTCTCTAAGGTCTCCACAGGGGATTCAGACATCCCTTCATGTTGTGAGATGAAAGACGAGCCTGTCTTCAAGCCACTGCAAGGAAATCCGGCCTCCTTTCAAGTTAGGGCTTCTCGCTGTATATTCCCCTTGAGGCAGCAAACTCGGGGTCCCTCCCACATACCTATTGCTGAGAGAAGCCTCCTCCTGAGGTGCTTCTGGAAAGTTGGCATACGTCTTGAGCCTAAGCCAGGGAATCAGCTCTCATCTCGAGACGATTTGGGGTACACGGAGCATTCCTCGAGTTGCTGTGCTGAAGTTGGTGTTCCTCTAGACTTGGGACAGTGTTCTCGGGGCATCTCTGGAGATGCCTGAAGGAAGTCGAGCCACCGGTCGTGTTGAATGGGCAACGGGGAATGGCTCTGGAGTCAATGTAGGGGAATCGGGCCTCATCTTCGGTTGATTTGGGGCACATGGAGCTGCTTTGCGTTGCTGGGGTGACCTCAGGGTCCGTCTAGACTGGTGACAGTGTTCTTGGGGACTGTCTCGAGATCCGTTAAGCAAGTCGAAGCTCCTGACTTGTTTGAATGGGATCACGGAATAGCTCTGCATGCACTGCAGGGGAATGGGGCCTCATCTCACCTCTAGGGGGAAGTCTCATGGGTTTTCTCGAGTTGCGGCGGGGACCTGGGGTATGTTCTCGACTTACGGCGGGGATGGCCCTTCCAAACACGAGTTTCCTCAGTGACGTCAGGACTCCTGTCTAGTAACGAGGGACACCTCAGGAATCTCTTCGAGGCTTGGCAGGGCAAAAGGGACGCTTCTCGAGGTGAGGCAGGGCACCCAAGGACCCTTTCCAGTAGCCACAGGGATTTTGGGATTCCTCTGAGTATTCAGGAGGAGTCAGGCATCGTCACCTTTTGAAGCAATGAACTCCGCGTGCCTCTCGAGGTGACAGCTTGATGTGAGGCCTTCCGTCAAAATGAGGCAGGGACCTAGGGCTTTCTCTAAGGTCTCCACAGGGGATTCAGACATCCCTTCATGTTGTGAGATGAAAGACGAGCCTGTCTTCAAGCCACTGCAAGGAAATCCGGCCTCCTTTCAAGTTAGGGCTTCTCGCTGTATATTCCCCTTGAGGCAGCAAACTCGGGGTCCCTCCCACATACCTATTGCTGAGAGAAGCCTCCTCCTGAGGTGCTTCTGGAAAGTTGGCATACGTCTTGAGCCTAAGCCAGGGAATCAGCTCTCATCTCGAGACGATTTGGGGTACACGGAGCATTCCTCGAGTTGCTGTGCTGAAGTTGGTGTTCCTCTAGACTTGGGGCAGTGTTCTCGGGGCATCTCTGGAGATGCCTGAAGGAAGTCGAGCCACCGGTCGTGTTGAATGGGGAACGGGGAATGGCTCTGGAGTCAATGCAGGGGAATCGGGCCTCATCTCGAGTTCATTTGGGGGACATGGAGCTGCTTTGCGTTGCTGGGGTGACCTCAGGGTCCGTCTAGACTGGTGACAGTGTTCTTGGGGACTGTCTCGAGATCCGTTAAGCAAGTCGAAGCTCCTGACTTGTTTGAATGGGATCACGGAATAGCTCTGCATGCACTGCAGGGGAATGGAGCCTCATCTCGCCTCTAGGGGGAAGTCTCATGGGTTTTCTCGAGTTGCGGCGGGGACCTGGGGTATGTTCTCGACTTACGGCGGGGATGGCCCTTCCAAACACGAGTTTCCTCAGTGACGTCAGGACTCCTGTCTAGTAACGAGGGACACCTCAGGAATCTCTTCGAGGCTTGGCAGGGCAAAAGGGACGCTTCTCGAGGTGAGGCAGGGCACCCAAGGACCCTTTCCAGTAGCCACAGGGATTTTGGGATTCCTATGAGTATTCAGGAGGAGTCAGGCATCGTCACCTTTTGAAGCAATGAACTCCGCGTGCCTCTCGAGGTGTCAGCGGGATGTGAGGCCTTCCGTCAAAATGAGGCAGGGACCTAGGGCTTTCTCTAAGATCTCCATAGGGGATTCAGACATCCCTTCATGTTGTGAGATGAAAGACGAGCCTGTCTTCAAGCCACTGCAAGGAAATCCGGCCTCCTTTCAAGTTAGGGCTTCTCGCTGTATATTCCCCTTGAGGCAGCAAACTCGGGGTCCCTCCCACATACCTATTGCTGAGAGAAGCCTCCTCCTGAGGTTCTTCTGGAAAGTTTCATACGTCTTGAGCCTAAGCCAGGGAATCAGCTCTCATCTCGAGACGATTTGGGTTACACGGAGCATTCCTCGAGTTGCTGTGCTGAAGTTGGTGTTCCTCTAGACTTGGGACAGTGTTCTCGGGGCATCTCTGGAGATGCCTGAAGGAAGTCGAGCCACCGGTCGTGTTGAATGGGGAACGGGGAATGGCTCTGGAGTCAATGCAGGGGAATCGGGCCTCATCTTGGGTTGATTTGGGGCACATGGAGCTGCTTTGCTTTGCTGGGGTGACCTCAGGGTCCGTCTAGACTGGTGACAGTGTTCTTGGGGACTGTCTCGAGATCCGTTAAGCAAGTCGAAGCTCCTGACTTGTTTGAATGGGATCACGGAATAGCTCTGCATGCACTGCAGGGGAATGGGGCCTCATCTCGCCTCTAGGGGGAAGTCTCATGGGTTTTCTCGAGTTGCGGCGGGGACCTGGGGTATGTTCTCGACTTACGGCGGGGATGGCCCTTCCAAACACGAGTTTCCTCAGTGACGTCAGGACTCCTGTCTAGTAACGAGGGACACCTCAGGAATCTCTTCGAGGCTTGGCAGGGCAAAAGGGACGCTTCTCGAGGTGAGGCAGGGCACCCAAGGACCCTTTCCAGTAGCCACAGGGATTTTGGGATTCCTATGAGTATTCAGGAGGAGTCAGGCATCGTCACCTTTTGAAGCAATGAACTCCGCGTGCCTCTCGAGGTGTCAGCGGGATGTGAGGCCTTCCGTCAAAATGAGGCAGGGACCTAGGGCTTTCTCTAAGGTCTCCACAGGGGATTCAGACATCCCTTCATGTTGTGAGATGAAAGACGAGCCTGTCTTCAAGCCACTGCAAGGAAATCCGGCCTCCTTTCAAGTTAGGGCTTCTCGCTGTATATTCCCCTTGAGGCAGCAAACTCGGGGTCTCTCCCAAATACCTATTGCTGAGAGAAGCCTCCTCCTGAGGTGCTTCTGGAAAGTTTCATACGTCTTGAGCCTAAGCCAGGGAATCAGCTCTCATCTCGAGACGATTTGGGGTACACGGAGCATTCCTCGAGTTGCTGTGCTGAAGTTGGTGTTCCTCTAGACTTGGGACAGTGTTCTCGGGGCATCTCTGGAGATGCCTGAAGGAAGTCGAGCCACCGGTCGTGTTGAATGGGCAACGGGGAATGGCTCTGGAGTCAATGTAGGGGAATCGGGCCTCATCTTCGGTTGATTTGGGGCACATGGAGCTGCTTTGCGTTGCTGGGGTGACCTCAGGGTCCGTCTAGACTGGTGACAGTGTTCTTGGGGACTGTCTCGAGATCCGTTAAGCAAGTCGAAGCTCCTGACTTGTTTGAATGGGATCACGGAATAGCTCTGCATGCACTGCAGGGGAATGGGGCCTCATCTCACCTCTAGGGGGAAGTCTCATGGGTTTTCTCGAGTTGCGGCGGGGACCTGGGGTATGTTCTCGACTTACGGCGGGGATGGCCCTTCCAAACACGAGTTTCCTCAGTGACGTCAGGACTCCTGTCTAGTAACGAGGGACACCTCAGGAATCTCTTCGAGGCTTGGCAGGGCAAAAGGGACGCTTCTCGAGGTGAGGCAGGGCACCCAAGGACCCTTTCCAGTAGCCACAGGGATTTTGGGATTCCTCTGAGTATTCAGGAGGAGTCAGGCATCGTCACCTTTTGAAGCAATGAACTCCGCGTGCCTCTCGAGGTGACAGCTTGATGTGAGGCCTTCCGTCAAAATGAGGCAGGGACCTAGGGCTTTCTCTAAGGTCTCCACAGGGGATTCAGACATCCCTTCATGTTGTGAGATGAAAGACGAGCCTGTCTTCAAGCCACTGCAAGGAAATCCGGCCTCCTTTCAAGTTAGGGCTTCTCGCTGTATATTCCCCTTGAGGCAGCAAACTCGGGGTCCCTCCCACATACCTATTGCTGAGAGAAGCCTCCTCCTGAGGTGCTTCTGGAAAGTTGGCATACGTCTTGAGCCTAAGCCAGGGAATCAGCTCTCATCTCGAGACGATTTGGGGTACACGGAGCATTCCTCGAGTTGCTGTGCTGAAGTTGGTGTTCCTCTAGACTTGGGACAGTGTTCTCGGGGCATCTCTGGAGATGCCTGAAGGAAGTCGAGCCACCGGTCGTGTTGAATGGGCAACGGGGAATGGCTCTGGAGTCAATGTAGGGGAATCGGGCCTCATCTTCGGTTGATTTGGGGCACATGGAGCTGCTTTGCGTTGCTGGGGTGACCTCAGGGTCCGTCTAGACTGGTGACAGTGTTCTTGGGGACTGTCTCGAGATCCGTTAAGCAAGTCGAAGCTCCTGACTTGTTTGAATGGGATCACGGAATAGCTCTGCATGCACTGCAGGGGAATGGGGCCTCATCTCACCTCTAGGGGGAAGTCTCATGGGTTTTCTCGAGTTGCGGCGGGGACCTGGGGTATGTTCTCGACTTACGGCGGGGATGGCCCTTCCAAACACGAGTTTCCTCAGTGACGTCAGGACTCCTGTCTAGTAACGAGGGACACCTCAGGAATCTCTTCGAGGCTTGGCAGGGCAAAAGGGACGCTTCTCGAGGTGAGGCAGGGCACCCAAGGACCCTTTCCAGTAGCCACAGGGATTTTGGGATTCCTCTGAGTATTCAGGAGGAGTCAGGCATCGTCACCTTTTGAAGCAATGAACTCCGCGTGCCTCTCGAGGTGACAGCTTGATGTGAGGCCTTCCGTCAAAATGAGGCAGGGACCTAGGGCTTTCTCTAAGGTCTCCACAGGGGATTCAGACATCCCTTCATGTTGTGAGATGAAAGACGAGCCTGTCTTCAAGCCACTGCAAGGAAATCCGGCCTCCTTTCAAGTTAGGGCTTCTCGCTGTATATTCCCCTTGAGGCAGCAAACTCGGGGTCCCTCCCACATACCTATTGCTGAGAGAAGCCTCCTCCTGAGGTGCTTCTGGAAAGTTGGCATACGTCTTGAGCCTAAGCCAGGGAATCAGCTCTCATCTCGAGACGATTTGGGGTACACGGAGCATTCCTCGAGTTGCTGTGCTGAAGTTGGTGTTCCTCTAGACTTGGGGCAGTGTTCTCGGGGCATCTCTGGAGATGCCTGAAGGAAGTCGAGCCACCGGTCGTGTTGAATGGGGAACGGGGAATGGCTCTGGAGTCAATGCAGGGGAATCGGGCCTCATCTCGAGTTCATTTGGGGGACATGGAGCTGCTTTGCGTTGCTGGGGTGACCTCAGGGTCCGTCTAGACTGGTGACAGTGTTCTTGGGGACTGTCTCGAGATCCGTTAAGCAAGTCGAAGCTCCTGACTTGTTTGAATGGGATCACGGAATAGCTCTGCATGCACTGCAGGGGAATGGGGCCTCATCTCGCCTCTAGGGGGAAGTCTCATGGGTTTTCTCGAGTTGCGGCGGGGACCTGGGGTATGTTCTCGACTTACGGCGGGGATGGCCCTTCCAAACACGAGTTTCCTCAGTGACGTCAGGACTCCTGTCTAGTAACGAGGGACACCTCAGGAATCTCTTCGAGGCTTGGCAGGGCAAAAGGGACGCTTCTCGAGGTGAGGCAGGGCACCCAAGGACCCTTTCCAGTAGCCACAGGGATTTTGGGATTCCTATGAGTATTCAGGTGGAGTCAGGCATCGTCACCTTTTGAAGCAATGAACTCCGCGTGCCTCTCGAGGTGTCAGCGGGATGTGAGGCCTTCCGTCAAAATGAGGCAGGGACCTAGGGCTTTCTCTAAGATCTCCATAGGGGATTCAGACATCCCTTCATGTTGTGAGATGAAAGACGAGCCTGTCTTCAAGCCACTGCAAGGAAATCCGGCCTCCTTTCAAGTTAGGGCTTCTCGCTGTATATTCCCCTTGAGGCAGCAAACTCGGGGTCCCTCCCACATACCTATTGCTGAGAGAAGCCTCCTCCTGAGGTTCTTCTGGAAAGTTTCATACGTCTTGAGCCTAACCCAGGGAATCAGCTCTCATCTCGAGACGATTTGGGTTACACGGAGCATTCCTCGAGTTGCTGTGCTGAAGTTGGTGTTCCTCTAGACTTGGGACAGTGTTCTCGGGGCATCTCTGGAGATGCCTGAAGGAAGTCGAGCCACCGGTCGTGTTGAATGGGGAACGGGGAATGGCTCTGGAGTCAATGCAGGGGAATCGGGCCTCATCTTGGGTTGATTTGGGGCACATGGAGCTGCTTTGCTTTGCTGGGGTGACCTTAGGGTCCGTCTAGACTGGTGACAGTGTTCTTGGGGACTGTCTCGAGATCCGTTAAGCAAGTCGAAGCTCCTGACTTGTTTGAATGGGATCACGGAATAGCTCTGCATGCACTGCAGGGGAATGGGGCCTCATCTCGCCTCTAGGGGGAAGTCTCATGGGTTTTCTCGAGTTGCGGCGGGGACCTGGGGTATGTTCTCGACTTACGGCGGGGATGGCCCTTCCAAACACGAGTTTCCTCAGTGACGTCAGGACTCCTGTCTAGTAACGAGGGACACCTCAGGAATCTCTTCGAGGCTTGGCAGGGCAAAAGGGACGCTTCTCGAGGTGAGGCAGGGCACCCAAGGACCCTTTCCAGTAGCCACAGGGATTTTGGGATTCCTATGAGTATTCAGGAGGAGTCAGGCATCGTCACCTTTTGAAGCAATGAACTCCGCGTGCCTCTCGAGGTGTCAGCGGGATGTGAGGCCTTCCGTCAAAATGAGGCAGGGACCTAGGGCTTTCTCTAAGGTCTCCACAGGGGATTCAGACATCCCTTCATGTTGTGAGATGAAAGACGAGCCTGTCTTCAAGCCACTGCAAGGAAATCCGGCCTCCTTTCAAGTTAGGGCTTCTCGCTGTATATTCCCCTTGAGGCAGCAAACTCGGGGTCTCTCCCAAATACCTATTGCTGAGAGAAGCCTCCTCCTGAGGTGCTTCTGGAAAGTTTCATACGTCTTGAGCCTAAGCCAGGGAATCAGCTCTCATCTCGAGACGATTTGGGGTACACGGAGCATTCCTCGAGTTGCTGTGCTGAAGTTGGTGTTCCTCTAGACTTGGGACAGTGTTCTCGGGGCATCTCTGGAGATGCCTGAAGGAAGTCGAGCCACCGGTCGTGTTGAATGGGCAACGGGGAATGGCTCTGGAGTCAATGTAGGGGAATCGGGCCTCATCTTCGGTTGATTTGGGGCACATGGAGCTGCTTTGCGTTGCTGGGGTGACCTCAGGGTCCGTCTAGACTGGTGACAGTGTTCTTGGGGACTGTCTCGAGATCCGTTAAGCAAGTCGAAGCTCCTGACTTGTTTGAATGGGATCACGGAATAGCTCTGCATGCACTGCAGGGGAATGGGGCCTCATCTCACCTCTAGGGGGAAGTCTCATGGGTTTTCTCGAGTTGCGGCGGGGACCTGGGGTATGTTCTCGACTTACGGCGGGGATGGCCCTTCCAAACACGAGTTTCCTCAGTGACGTCAGGACTCCTGTCTAGTAACGAAGGACACCTCAGGAATCTCTTCGAGGCTTGGCAGGGCAAAAGGGACGCTTCTCGAGGTGAGGCAGGGCACCCAAGGACCCTTTCCAGTAGCCACAGGGATTTTGGGATTCCTCTGAGTATTCAGGAGGAGTCAGGCATCGTCACCTTTTGAAGCAATGAACTCCGCGTGCCTCTCGAGGTGACAGCTTGATGTGAGGCCTTCCGTCAAAATGAGGCAGGGACCTAGGGCTTTCTCTAAGGTCTCCACAGGGGATTCAGACATCCCTTCATGTTGTGAGATGAAAGACGAGCCTGTCTTCAAGCCACTGCAAGGAAATCCGGCCTCCTTTCAAGTTAGGGCTTCTCGCTGTATATTCCCCTTGAGGCAGCAAACTCGGGGTCCCTCCCACATACCTATTGCTGAGAGAAGCCTCCTCCTGAGGTGCTTCTGGAAAGTTGGCATACGTCTTGAGCCTAAGCCAGGGAATCAGCTCTCATCTCGAGACGATTTGGGGTACACGGAGCATTCCTCGAGTTGCTGTGCTGAAGTTGGTGTTCCTCTAGACTTGGGACAGTGTTCTCGGGGCATCTCTGGAGATGCCTGAAGGAAGTCGAGCCACCGGTCGTGTTGAATGGGCAACGGGGAATGGCTCTGGAGTCAATGTAGGGGAATCGGGCCTCATCTTCGGTTGATTTGGGGCACATGGAGCTGCTTTGCGTTGCTGGGGTGACCTCAGGGTCCGTCTAGACTGGTGACAGTGTTCTTGGGGACTGTCTCGAGATCCGTTAAGCAAGTCGAAGCTCCTGACTTGTTTGAATGGGATCACGGAATAGCTCTGCATGCACTGCAGGGGAATGGGGCCTCATCTCACCTCTAGGGGGAAGTCTCATGGGTTTTCTCGAGTTGCGGCGGGGACCTGGGGTATGTTCTCGACTTACGGCGGGGATGGCCCTTCCAAACACGAGTTTCCTCAGTGACGTCAGGACTCCTGTCTAGTAACGAGGGACACCTCAGGAATCTCTTCGAGGCTTGGCAGGGCAAAAGGGACGCTTCTCGAGGTGAGGCAGGGCACCCAAGGACCCTTTCCAGTAGCCACAGGGATTTTGGGATTCCTCTGAGTATTCAGGAGGAGTCAGGCATCGTCACCTTTTGAAGCAATGAACTCCGCGTGCCTCTCGAGGTGACAGCTTGATGTGAGGCCTTCCGTCAAAATGAGGCAGGGACCTAGGGCTTTCTCTAAGGTCTCCACAGGGGATTCAGACATCCCTTCATGTTGTGAGATGAAAGACGAGCCTGTCTTCAAGCCACTGCAAGGAAATCCGGCCTCCTTTCAAGTTAGGGCTTCTCGCTGTATATTCCCCTTGAGGCAGCAAACTCGGGGTCCCTCCCACATACCTATTGCTGAGAGAAGCCTCCTCCTGAGGTGCTTCTGGAAAGTTGGCATACGTCTTGAGCCTAAGCCAGGGAATCAGCTCTCATCTCGAGACGATTTGGGGTACACGGAGCATTCCTCGAGTTGCTGTGCTGAAGTTGGTGTTCCTCTAGACTTGGGGCAGTGTTCTCGGGGCATCTCTGGAGATGCCTGAAGGAAGTCGAGCCACCGGTCGTGTTGAATGGGGAACGGGGAATGGCTCTGGAGTCAATGCAGGGTAATCGGGCCTCATCTCAGGTTGATTTGGGGCACATGGAGCTGCTTTGCGTTGCTGGGGTGACCTCAGGGTCCGTCTAGACTGGTGACAGTGTTCTTGGGGACTGTCTCGAGATCCGTTAAGCAAGTCGAAGCTCCTGACTTGTTTGAATGGGATCACGGAATAGCTCTGCATGCACTGCAGGGGAATGGGGCCTCATCTCGCCTCTAGGGGAAAGTCTCATGGGTTTTCTCGAGTTGCGGCGGGGACCTGGGGTATGTTCTCGACTTACGGCGGGGATGGCCCTTCCAAACACGAGTTTCCTCAGTGACGTCAGGACTCCTGTCTAGTAACGAGGGACACCTCAGGAATCTCTTCGAGGCTTGGCAGGGCAAAAGGGACGCTTCTCGAGGTGAGGCAGGGCACCCAAGGACCCTTTCCAGTAGCCACAGGGATTTTGGGATTCCTATGAGTATTCAGGAGGAGTCAGGCATCGTCACCTTTTGAAGCAATGAACTCCGCGTGCCTCTCGAGGTGTCAGCGGGATGTGAGGCCTTCCGTCAAAATGAGGCAGGGACCTAGGGCTTTCTCTAAGATCTCCATAGGGGATTCAGACATCCCTTCATGTTGTGAGATGAAAGACGAGCCTGTCTTCAAGCCACTGCAAGGAAATCCGGCCTCCTTTCAAGTTAGGGCTTCTCGCTGTATATTCCCCTTGAGGCAGCAAACTCGGGGTCCCTCCCACATACCTATTGCTGAGAGAAGCCTCCTCCTGAGGTGCTTCTGGAAAGTTGGCATACGTCTTGAGCCTAAGCCAGGGAATCAGCTCTCATCTCGAGACGATTTGGGGTACACGGTGCATTCCTCGAGTTGCTGTGCTGAAGTTGGTGTTCCTCTAGACTTGGGACAGTGTTCTCGGGGCATCTCTGGAGATGCCTGAAAGAAGTCGAGCCACCGTTCGTGTTGAATGGGGAACGGGGAATGGCTCTGGAGTCAATGCAGGGGAATCGGGCCTCATCTTGGGTTGATTTGGGGCACATGGAGCTGCTTTGCGTTGCTGGGGTGACCTCAGGGTCCGTCTAGACTGGTGACAGTGTTCTTGGGGACTGTCTCGAGATCCGTTAAGCAAGTCGAAGCTCCTGACTTGTTTGAATGGGATCACGGAATAGCTCTGCATGCACTGCAGGGGAATGGGGCCTCATCTCGCCTCTAGGGGGAAGTCTCATGGGTTTTCTCGAGTTGCGGCGGGGACCTGGGGTATGTTCTCGACTTACGGCGGGGATGGCCCTTCCAAACACGAGTTTCCTCAGTGACGTCAGGACTCCTGTCTAGTAACGAGGGACACCTCAGGAATCTCTTTGAGGCTTGGCAGGGCAAAAGGGACGCTTCTCGAGGTGAGGCAGGGCACCCAAGGACCCTTTCCAGTAGCCACAGGGATTTTGGGATTCCTATGAGTATTCAGGAGGAGTCAGGCATCGTCACCTTTTGAAGCAATGAACTCCGCGTGCCTCTCGAGGTGTCAGCGGGATGTGAAGCCTTCCGTCAAAATGAGGCAGGGACCTAGGGCTTTCTCTAAGGTCTCCACAGGGGATTCAGACATCCCTTCATGTTGTGAGATGAAAGAGGAGCCTGTCTTCAAGCCACTGCAAGGAAATCCGGCCTCCTTTCAAGTTAGGGCTTCTCGCTGTATATTCCCCTTGAGGCAGCAAACTCGGGGTCCCTCCCACATACCTATTGCTGAGAGAAGCCTCCTCCTGAGGTGCTTATGGAAAGTTGGCATACGTCTTGAGCCTAAGCCAGGGAATCAGCTCTCATCTCGAGACGATTTGGGGTACACGGAGCATTCCTCGAGTTGCTGTGCTGAAGTTGGTGTTCCTCTAGACTTGGGACAGTGTTCTCGGGGCATCTCTGGAGATGCCTGAAAGAAGTCGAGCCACCGTTCGTGTTGAATGGGGAACGGGGAATGGCTCTGGAGTCAATGCAGGGGAATCGGGCCTCATCTTCGGTTGATTTGGGGCACATGGAGCTGCTTTGCGTTGCTGGGGTGACCTCAGGGTCCGTCTAGACTGGTGACAGTGTTCTTGGGGACTGTCTCGAGATCCGTTAAGCAAGTCGAAGCTCCTGACTTGTTTGAATGGGATCACGGAATAGCTCTGCATGCACTGCAGGGGAATGGGGCCTCATCTCGCCTCTAGGGGGAAGTCTCATGGGTTTTCTTGAGTTGCGGCGGGGACCTGGGGTATATTCTCGACTTACGGCGGGGATGGCCCTTCCAAACACGAGTTTCCTCAGTGACGTCAGGACTCCTGTCTAGTAACGAGGGACACCTCAGGAATCTCTTCGAGGCTTGGCAGGGCAAAAGGGACGCTTCTCGAGGTGAGGCAGGGCACCCAAGGACCCTTTCCAGTAGCCACAGGGATTTTGGGATTCCTATGAGTATTCAGGAGGAGTCAGGCATCGTCACCTTTTGAAGCAATGAACTCCGCGTGCCTCTCGAGGTGTCAGCGGGATGTGAGGCCTTCCGTCAAAATGAGGCAGGGACCTAGGGCTTTCTCTAAGGTCTCCACAGGGGATTCAGACATCCCTTCATGTTGTGAGATGAAAGACGAGCCTGTCTTCAAGCCACTGCAAGGAAATCCGGCCTCCTTTCAAGTTAGGGCTTCTCGCTGTATATTCCCCTTGAGGCAGCAAACTCGGGGTCCCTCCCACATACATATTGCTGAGAGAAGCCTCCTCCTGAGGTGCTTCTGGAAAGTTGGCATACGTCTTGAGCCTAAGCCAGGGAATCAGCTCTCATCTCGAGACGATTTGGGGTACACGGAGCATTCCTCGAGTTGCTGTGCTGAAGTTGGTGTTCCTCTAGACTTGGGACAGTGTTCTCGGGGCATCTCTGGAGATGCCTGAAGGAAGTCAAGCCACCGGTCGTGTTGAATGGGCAACGGGGAATGGCTCTGGAGTCAATGCAGGGGAATCGGGCCTCATCTCGGGTTGATTTGGGGCACATGGAGCTGCTTTGCGTTGCTGGGGTGACCTCAGGGTCCGTCTAGACTGGTGACAGTGTTCTTTGGGACTGTCTCGAGATCCGTTAAGCAAGTCGAAGCTCCTGACTTGTTTGAATGGGATCACGGAATAGCTCTGCATGCACTGCAGGGGAATGGGGCCTCATCTCGCCTCTAGGGGGAAGTCTCATGGGTTTTCTCGAGTTGCGGCGGGGACCTGGGGTATGTTCTCGACTTACGGCGGGGATGGCCCTTCCAAACACGAGTTTCCTCAGTGACGTCAGGACTCCTGTCTAGTAACGAGGGACACCTCAGGAATCTCTTCGAGGCTTGGCAGGGCAAAAGGGACGCTTCTCGAGGTGAGGCAGGGCACCCAAGGACCCTTTCCAGTAGCCACAGGGATTTTGGGATTCCTATGAGTATTCAGGAGGAGTCAGGCATCGTCACAATTTGAAGCAATGAACTCCGCGTGCCTCTCGAGGTGTCAGCGGGATGTGAGGCCTTCCGTCAAAATGAGGCAGGGACCTAGGGCTTTCTCTAAGGTCTCCACAGGGGATTCAGACATCCCTTCATGTTGTGAGATGAAAGAGGAGCCTGTCTTCAAGCCACTGCAAGGAAATCCGGCCTCCTTTCAAGTTAGGGCTTCTCGCTGTATATTCCCCTTGAGGCAGCAAACTCGGGGTCCCTCCCACATACCTATTGCTGAGAGAAGCCTCCTCCTGAGGTGCTTCTGGAAAGTTGGCATACGTCTTGAGCCTAAGCCAGGGAATCAGCTCTCATCTCGAGACGATTTGGGGTACACGGAGCATTCCTCGAGTTGCTGTGCTGAAGTTGGTGTTCCTCTAGACTTGGGACAGTGTTCTCGGGGCATCTCTGGAGATGCCTGAAGGAAGTCGAGCCACCGGTCGTGTTGAATGGGGAACGGGGAATGGCTCTGGAGTCAATGCAGGGGAATCGGGCCTCATCTCGGGTTGATTTGGGGCACATGGAGCTGCTTTGCGTTGCTGGGGTGACCTCAGGGTCCGTCTAGACTGGTGACAGTGTTCTTGGGGACTGTCTCGAGATCCGTTAAGCAAGTCGAAGCTCCTGACTTGTTTGAATGGGATCACGGAATAGCTCTGCATGCACTGCAGGGGAATGGGGCCTCATCTCGCCTCTAGGGGAAAGTCTCATGGGTTTTCTCGAGTTGCGGCGGGGACCTGGGGTATGTTCTCGACTTACGGCAGGGATGGCCCTTCCAAACACGAGTTTCCTCAGTGACGTCAGGACTCCTGTCTAGTAACGAGGGACACCTCAGGAATCTCTTCGAGGCTTGGCAGGGCAAAAGGGACGCTTCTCGAGGTGAGGCAGGGCACCCAAGGACCCTTTCCAGTAGCCACAGGGATTTTGGGATTCCTATGAGTATTCAGGAGGAGTCAGGCATCGTCACCTTTTGAAGCAATGAACTCCGCGTGCCTCTCGAGGTGTCAGCGAGATGTGAGGCCTTCCGTCAAAATGAGGCAGGGACCTAGGGCTTTCTCTAAGGTCTCCACAGGGGATTCAGACATCCCTTCATGTTGTGAGATGAAAGACGAGCCTGTCTTCAAGCCACTGCAAGGAAATCCGGCCTCCTTTCAAGTTAGGGCTTCTCGCTGTATATTCCCCTTGAGGCAGCAAACTCGGGGTCCCTCCCACATACCTATTGCTGAGAGAAGCCTCCTCCTGAGGTGCTTCTGGAAAGTTGGCATACGTCTTGAGCCTAAGCCAGGGAATCAGCTCTCATCTCGAGACGATTTGGGGTACACGGAGCATTCCTCGAGTTGCTGTGCTGAAGTTGGTGTTCCTCTAGACTTGGGACAGTGTTCTCGGGGCATCTCTGGAGATGCCTGAAGGAAGTCGAGCCACCGGTCGTGTTGAATGGGGAACGGGGAATGGCTCTGGAGTCAATGCAGGGGAATCGGGCCTCATCTCGAGTTCATTTGGTGGACATGGAGCTGCTTTGCATTGCTGGGGTGACCTCAGGGTCCGTCTAGACTGGTGACAGTGTTCTTGGGGACTGTCTCGAGATCCGTTAAGCAAGTCGAAGCTCCTGACTTGTTTGAATGGGATCACGGAATAGCTCTGCATGCACTGCAGGGGAATGGGGCCTCATCTCGCCTCTAGGGGGAAGTCTCATGGGTTTTCTCGAGTTGCGGCGGGGACCTGGGGTATGTTCTCGACTTACGGCGGGGATGGCCCTTCCAAACACGAGTTTCTTCAGTGACGTCAGGACTCCTGTCTAGTAACGAGGGACACCTCAGGAATCTCTTCGAGGCTTGGCAGGGCAAAAGGGACGCTTCTCGAGGTGAGGCAGGGCACCCAAGGACCCTTTCCAGTAGCCACAGGGATTTTGGGATTCCTATGAGTGTTCAGGAGGAGTCAGGCATCGTCACCTTTTGAAGCAATGAACTCCGCGTGCCTCTCGAGGTGTCAGCGGGATGTGAGGCCTTCCGTCAAAATGAGGCAGGGACCTAGGGCTTTCTCTAAGGTCTCCACAGGGGATTCAGACATCCCTTCATGTTGTGAGATGAAAGACGAGCCTGTCTTCAAGCCACTGCAAGGAAATCCGGCCTCCTTTCAAGTTAGGGCTTCTCGCTGTATATTCCCCTTGAGGCAGCAAACTCGGGGTCCCTCCCACATACCTATTGCTGAGAGAAGCCTCCTCCTGAGGTGCTTCTGGAAAGTTGGCATACGTCTTGAGCCTAAGCCAGGGAATCAGCTCTCATCTCGAGACGATTTGGGGTACACGGAGCATTCCTCGAGTTGCTGTGCTGAAGTTGGTGTTCGTCTAGACTTGGGACAGTGTTCTCGGGGCATCTCTGGAGATGCCTGAAGGAAGTCGAGCCACCGTTCGTGTTGAATGGGGAACGGGGAATGGCTCTGGAGTCAATGCAGGGGAATCGGGCCTCATCTCGGGTTGATTTGGGGCACATGGAGCTGCTTTGCGTTGCTGGGGTGACCTCAGGGTCCGTCTAGACTGGTGACAGTGTTCTTGGGGACTGTCTCGAGATCCGTTAAGCAAGTCGAAGCTCCTGACTTGTTTGAATGGGATCACGGAATAGCTCTGCATGCACTGCAGGGGAATGGGGCCTCATCTCGCCTCTAGGGGGAAGTCTCATGGTTTTTCTCGAGTTGCGGCGGGGACCTGGAGTATGTTCTCGACTTACGGCGGGGATGGCCCTTCCAAACACGAGTTTCCTCAGTGACGTCAGGACTCCTGTCTAGTAACGAGGGACACCTCAGGAATCTCTTCGAGGCTTGGCAGGGCAAAAGGGACGCTTCTCGAGGTGAGGCAGGGCACCCAAGGACCCTTTCCAGTAGCCACAGGGATTTTGGGATTCCTATGAGTATTCAGGAGGAGTCAGGCATCGTCACCTTTTGAAGCAATGAACTCCGCGTGCCTCTCGAGGTGTCAGCGGGATGTGAGGCCTTCCGTCAAAATGAGGCAGGGACCTAGGGCTTTCTCTAAGGTCTCCACAGGGGATTCAGACATCCCTTCATGTTGTGAGATGAAAGACGAGCCTGTCTTCAAGCCACTGCAAGGAAATCCGGCCTCCTTTCAAGTTAGGGCTTCTCGCTGTATATTCCCCTTGAGGCAGCAAACTCGGGGTCCCTCCCACATACCTATTGCTGAGAGAAGCCTCCTCCTGAGGTGCTTCTGGAAAGTTGGCATACGTCTTGAGCCTAAGCCAGGGAATCAGCTCTCATCTCGAGACGATTTGGGGTACACGGAGCATTCCTCGAGTTGCTGTGCTGAAGTTGGTGTTCCTCTAGACTTGGGACAGTGTTCTCGGGGCATCTCTGGAGATACCTGAAGGAAGTCGAGCCACCGGTCGTGTTGAATGGGGAACGGGGAATGGCTCTGGAGTCAATGCAGGGGAATCGGGCCTCATCTCGGGTTGATTTGGGGCACATGGAGCTGCTTTGCATTGCTGGGGTGACCTCAGGGTCCGTCTAGACTGGTGACAGTGTTCTTGGGGACTGTCTCGAGATCCGTTAAGCAAGTCGAAGCTCCTGACTTGTTTGAATGGGATCACGGAATAGCTCTGCATGCACTGCAGGGGAATGGGGCCTCATCTCGCCTCTAGGGGGAAGTCTCATGGGTTTTCTCGAGTTGCGGCGGGGACCTGGGGTATGTTCTCGACTTACGGCGGGGATGGCCCTTCCAAACACGAGTTTCCTCAGTGACGTCAGGACTCCTGTCTAGTAACGAGGGACACCTCAGGAATCTCTTCGAGGCTTGGCAGGGCAAAAGGGACGCTTCTCGAGGTGAGGCAGGGCACCCAAGGACCCTTTCCAGTAGCCACAGGGATTTTGGGATTCCTATGAGTATTCAGGAGGAGTCAGGCATCGTCACCTTTTGAAGCAATGAACTCCGCGTGCCTCTCGAGGTGTCAGCGGGATGTGAGGCCTTCCGTCAAAATGAGGCAGGGACCTAGGGCTTTCTCTAAGGTCTCCACAGGGGATTCAGACATCCCTTCATGTTGTGAGATGAAAGACGAGCCTGTCTTCAAGCCACTGCAAGGAAATCCGGCCTCCTTTCAAGTTAGGGCTTCTCGCTGTATATTCCCCTTGAGGCAGCAAACTCGGGGTCCCTCCCACATTCCTATTGCTGAGAGAAGCCTCCTCCTGAGGTGCTTCTGGAAAGTTGGCATACGTCTTGAGCCTAAGCCAGGGAATCAGCTCTCATCTCGAGACGATTTGGGGTACACGGAGCATTCCTCGAGTTGCTGTGCTGAAGTTGGTGTTCCTCTAGACTTGGGACAGTGTTCTCGGGGCATCTCTGGAGATGCCTGAAGGAAGTCGAGCCACCGGTCGTGTTGAATGGGCAACAGGGAATGGCTCTGGAGTCAATGCAGGGGAATCGGGCCTCATCTCGGGTTGATTTGGGGCACATGGAGCTGCTTTGCGTTGCTGGGGTGACCTCAGGGTCCGTCTAGACTGGTGACAGTGTTCTTGGGGACTGTCTCGAGATCCGTTAAGCAAGTCGAAGCTCCTGACTTGTTTGAATGGGATCACGGAATAGCTCGGCATGCACTGCAGGGGAATGGGGCCTCATCTCGCCTCTAGGGGAAAGTCTCATGGGTTTTCTCGAGTTGCGGCGGGGACCTGGGGTATGTTCTCGACTTAGGGCGGGGATGGCCCTTCCAAACACGAGTTTCCTCAGTGACGTCAGGACTCCTGTCTAGTAACGAGGGACACCTCAGGAATCTCTTCGAGGCTTGGCAGGGCAAAAGGGACGCTTCTCGAGGTGAGGCAGGGCACCCAAGGACCCTTTCCAGTAGCCACAGGGATTTTGGGATTCCTATGAGTATTCAGGAGGAGTCAGGCATCGTCACCTTTTGAAGCAATGAACTCCGCGTGCCTCTCGAGGTGTCAGCGGGATGTGAGGCCTTCCGTCAAAATGAGGCAGGGACCTAGGTCTTTCTCTAAGGTCTCCACAGGGGATTCAGACATCCCTTCATGTTGTGAGATGAAAGACGAGCCTGTCTTCAAGCCACTGCAAGGAAATCCGGCCTCCTTTCAAGTTAGGGCTTCTCGCTGTATATTCCCCTTGAGGCAGCAAACTCGGGGTCCCTCCCACATACCTATTGCTGAGAGAAGCCTCCTCCTGAGGTGCTTCTGGAAAGTTGGCATACGTCTTGAGCCTAAGCCAGGGAATCAGCTCTCATCTCGAGACGATTTGGGGTACACGGAGCATTCCTCGAGTTGCTGTGCTGAAGTTGGTGTTCCTCTAGACTTGGGACAGTGTTCTCGGGGCATCTCTGGAGATGCCTGAAGGAAGTCGAGCCACCGGTCGTGTTGAATGGGGAACGGGGAATGGCTCTGTAGTCAATGCAGGGGAATCGGGCCTCATCTCGGGTTGATTTGGGGCACATGGAGCTGCTTTGCCTTGCTGGGGTGACCTCAGGGTCCGTCTAGACTGGTGAAAGTGTTCTTGGGGACTGTCTCGAGATCCGTTAAGCAAGTCGAAGCTCCTGACTTGTTTGAATGGGATCACGGAATAGCTCTGCATGCACTGCAGGGGAATGGGGCCTCATCTCGCCTCTAGGGGGAAGTCTCATGGGTTTTCTCGAGTTGCGGCGGGGACCTGGGGTATGTTCTCGACTTACGGCGGGGATTGCCCTTCCAAACACGAGTTTCCTCAGTGACGTCAGGACTCCTGTCTAGTAACGAGGGACACCTCAGGAATCTCTTCGAGGCTTGGCAGGGCAAAAGGGACGCTTCTCGAGGTGAGGCAGGGCACCCAAGGACCCTTTCCAGTAGCCACAGGGATTTTGGGATTCCTATGAGTATTCAGGAGGAGTCAGGCATCGTCACCTTTTGAAGCAATGAACTCCGCGTGCCTCTCGAGGTGTCAGCGGGATGTGAGGCCTTCCGTCAAAATGAGGCAGGGACCTAGGGCTTTCTCTAAGGTCTCCACAGGGGATTCAGACATCCCTTCATGTTGTGAGATGAAAGACGAGCCTGTCTTCAAGCCACTGCAAGGAAATCCGGCCTCCATTCAAGTTAGGGCTTCTCGCTGTATATTCCCCTTGAGGCAGCAAACTCGGAGTCCCTCCCACATTCCTATTGCTGAGAGAAGCCTCCTCCTGAGGTGCTTCTGGAAAGTTGGCATACGTCTTGAGCCTAAGCCAGGGAATCAGCTCTCATCTCGAGACGATTTGGGGTACACGGTGCATTCCTCGAGTTGCTGTGCTGAAGTTGGTGTTCCTCTAGACTTGGGACAGTGTTCTCGGGGCATCTCTGGAAATGCCTGAAAGAAGTCGAGCCACCGTTCGTGTTGAATGGGGAACGGGGAATGGCTCTGGAGTCAATGCAGGGGAATCGGGCCTCATCTTGGGTTGATTTGGGGCACATGGAGCTGCTTTGCGTTGCTGGGGTGACCTCAGGGTCCGTCTAGACTGGTGACAGTGTTCTTGGGGACTGTCTCGAGATCCGTTAAGCAAGTCGAAGCTCCTGACTTGTTTGAATGGGATCACGGAATAGCTCTGCATGCACTGCAGGGGAATGGGGCCTCATCTCGCCTCTAGGGGGAAGTCTCATGGGTTTTCTCGAGTTGCGGCGGGGACCTGGGGTATGTTCTCGACTTACGGCGGGGATGGCCCTTCCAAACACGAGTTTCCTCAGTGACGTCAGGACTCCTGTCTAGTAACGAGGGACACCTCAGGAATCTCTTTGAGGCTTGGCAGGGCAAAAGGGACGCTTCTCGAGGTGAGGCAGGGCACCCAAGGACCCTTTCCAGTAGCCACAGGGATTTTGGGATTCCTATGAGTATTCAGGAGGAGTCAGGCATCGTCACCTTTTGAAGCAATGAACTCCGCGTGCCTCTCGAGGTGTCAGCGGGATGTGAAGCCTTCCGTCAAAATGAGGCAGGGACCTAGGGCTTTCTCTAAGGTCTCCACAGGGGATTCAGACATCCCTTCATGTTGTGAGATGAAAGAGGAGCCTGTCTTCAAGCCACTGCAAGGAAATCCGGCCTCCTTTCAAGTTAGGGCTTCTCGCTGTATATTCCCCTTGAGGCAGCAAACTCGGGGTCCCTTCCACATACCTATTGCTGAGAGAAGCCTCCTCCTGAGGTGCTTATGGAAAGTTGGCATACGTCTTGAGCCTAAGCCAGGGAATCAGCTCTCATCTCGAGACGATTTGGGGTACACGGAGCATTCCTCGAGTTGCTGTGCTGAAGTTGGTGTTCCTCTAGACTTGGGACAGTGTTCTCGGGGCATCTCTGGAGATGCCTGAAAGAAGTCGAGCCACCGTTCGTGTTGAATGGGGAACGGGGAATGGCTCTGGAGTCAATGCAGGGGAATCGGGCCTCATCTTGGGTTGATTTGGGGCACATGGAGCTGCTTTGCGTTGCTGGGGTGACCTCAGGGTCCGTCTAGACTGGTGACAGTGTTCTTGGGGACTGTCTCGAGATCCGTTAAGCAAGTCGAAGCTCCTGACTTGTTTGAATGGGATCACGGAATAGCTCTGCATGCACTGCAGGGGAATGGGGCCTCATCTCGCCTCTAGGGGGAAGTTTCATGGGTTTTCTTGAGTTGCGGCGGGGACCTGGGGTATATTCTCGACTTACGGCGGGGATGGCCCTTCCAAACACGAGTTTCCTCAGTGACGTCAGGACTCCTGTCTAGTAACGAGGGACACCTCAGGAATCTCTTCGAGGCTTGGCAGGGCAAAAGGGACGCTTCTCGAGGTGAGGCAGGGCACCCAAGGACCCTTTCCAGTAGCCACAGGGATTTTGGGATTCCTATGAGTATTCAGGAGGAGTCAGGCATCGTCACCTTTTGAAGCAATGAACTCCGCGTGCCTCTCGAGGTGTCAGCGGGATGTGAGGCCTTCCGTCAAAATGAGGCAGGGACCTAGGGCTTTCTCTAAGGTCTCCACAGGGGATTCAGACATCCCTTCATGTTGTGAGATGAAAGACGAGCCTGTCTTCAAGCCACTGCAAGGAAATCCGGCCTCCTTTCAAGTTAGGGCTTCTCGCTGTATATTCCCCTTGAGGCAGCAAACTCGGGGTCCCTCCCACATACCTATTGCTGAGAGAAGCCTCCTCCTGAGGTGCTTCTGGAAAGTTGGCATACGTCTTGAGCCTAAGCCAGGGAATCAGCTCTCATCTCGAGACGATTTGGGGTACACGGAGCATTCCTCGAGTTGCTGTGCTGAAGTTGGTGTTCCTCTAGACTTGGGACAGTGTTCTCGGGGCATCTCTGGAGATACCTGAAGGAAGTCGAGCCACCGGTCGTGTTGAATGGGGAACGGGGAATGGTTCTGGAGTCAATGCAGGGGAATCGGGCCTCATCTCGGGTTGATTTGGGGCACATGGAGCTGCTTTGCGTTGCTGGGGTGACCTCAGGGTCCGTCTAGACTGGTGACAGTGTTCTTGGGGACTGTCTCGAGATCCGTTAAGCAAGTCGAAGCTCCTGACTTGTTTGAATGGGATCACGGAATAGCTCTGCATGCACTGCAGGGGAATGGGGCCTCATCTCGCCTCTAGGGGGAAGTCTCATGGGTTTTCTCGAGTTGCGGCGGGGACCTGGGGTATGTTCTCGATTTACGGCGGGGATGGCCCTTCCAAACACGAGTTTCCTCAGTGACGTCAGGACTCCTGTCTAGTAACGAGGGACACCTCAGGAATCTCTTCGAGGCTTGGCAGGGCAAAAGGGACGCTTCTCGAGGTGAGGCAGGGCACCCAAGGACCCTTTCCAGTAGCCACAGGGATTTTGGGATTCCTATGAGTATTGAGGAGGAGTCAGGCATCGTCACCTTTTGAAGCAATGAACTCCGCGTGCCTCTCGAGGTGTCAGCGGGATGTGAGGCCTTCCGTCAAAATGAGGCAGGGACCTAGGGCTTTCTCTAAGGTCTCCACAGGGGATTCAGACATCCCTTCATGTTGTGAGATGAAAGACGAGCCTGTCTTCAAGCCACTGCAAGGAAATCCGGCCTCCTTTCAAGTTAGGGCTTCTCGCTGTATATTCCCCTTGAGGCAGCAAACTCGGGGTCCCTCCCACATACCTATTGCTGAGAGAAGCCTCCTCCTGAGGTGCTTCTGGAAAGTTGGCATACGTCTTGAGCCTAAGCCAGGGAATCAGCTCTCATCTCGAGACGATTTGGGGTACACGGAGCATTCCTCGAGTTGCTGTGCTGAAGTTGGTGTTCCTCTAGACTTGGGACAGTGTTCTCGGGGCATCTCTGGAGATGCCTGAAGGAAGTCGAGCCACCGGTCGTGTTGAATGGGGAACGGGGAATGGCTCTGGAGTCAATGCAGGGGAATCGGGCCTCATCTCGGGTTGATTTGGGGCACATGGAGCTGCTTTGCGTTGCTGGGGTGACCTCAGGGTCCGTCTAGACTGGTGACAGTGTTCTTGGGGACTGTCTCGAGATCCTTTAAGCAAGTCGAAGCTCCTGACTTGTTTGAATGGGATCACGGAATAGCTTTGCATGCACTGCAGGGGAATGGGGCCTCATCTCGCCTCTAGGGGGAAGTCTCATGGTTTTTCTCGAGTTGCGGCGGGGACCTGGGGTATGTTCTCGACTTACGGCGGGGATGGCCCTTCCAAACACGAGTTTCCTCAGTGACGTCAGGACTCCTGTCTAGTAACGAGGGACACCTCAGGAATCTCTTCGAGGCTTGGCAGGGCAAAAGGGACGCTTCTCGAGGTGAGGCAGGGCACCCAAGGACCCTTTCCAGTAGCCACAGGGATTTTGGGATTCCTATGAGTATTCAGGAGGAGTCAGGCATCGTCACCTTTTGAAGCAATGAACTCCGCGTGCCTCTCGAGGTGTCAGCGGGATGTGAGGCCTTCCGTCAAAATGAGGCAGGGACCTAGGGCTTTCTCTAAGGTCTCCACAGGGGATTCAGACATCCCTTCATGTTGTGAGATGAAAGACGAGCCTGTCTTCAAGCCACTGCAAGGAAATCCGGCCTCCTTTCAAGTTAGGGCTTCTCGCTGTATATTCCCCTTGAGGCAGCAAACTCGGGGTCCCTCCCACATACCTATTGCTGAGAGAAGCCTCCTCCTGAGGTGCTTCTGGAAAGTTGGCATACGTCTTGAGCCTAAGCCAGGGAATCAGCTCTCATCTCGAGACGATTTGGGGTACACGGAGCATTCCTCGAGTTGCTGTGCTGAAGTCGGTGTTCCTCTAGACTTGGGACAGTGTTCTCGGGGCATCTCTGGAGATGCCTGAAGGAAGTCGAGCCACCGGTCGTGTTGAATGGGCAACGGGGAATGGCTCTGGAGTCAATGCAGGGGAATCGGGCCTCATCTCGGGTTGATTTGGGGCACATGGAGCTGCTTTGCGTTGCTGGGGTGACCTCAGGGTCCGTCTAGACTGGTGACAGTGTTCTTGGGGACTGTCTCGAGATCCGTTAAGCAAGTCGAAGCTCCTGACTTGTTTGAATGGGATCACGGAATAGCTCGGCATGCACTGCAGGGGAATGGGGCCTCATCTCGCCTCTAGGGGAAAGTCTCATGGGTTTTCTCGAGTTGCGGCGGGGACCTGGGGTATGTTCTCGACTTAGGGCGGGGATGGCCCTTCCAAACACGAGTTTCCTCAGTGACGTCAGGACTCCTGTCTAGTAACGAGGGACACCTCAGGAATCTCTTCGAGGCTTGGCAGGGCAAAAGGGACGCTTCTCGAGGTGAGGCAGGGCACCCAAGGACCCTTTCCAGTAGCCACAGGGATTTTGGGATTCCTATGAGTATTCAGGAGGAGTCAGGCATCGTCACCTTTTGAAGCAATGAACTCCGCGTGCCTCTCGAGGTGTCAGCGGGATGTGAGGCCTTCCGTCAAAATGAGGCAGGGACCTAGGTCTTTCTCTAAGGTCTCCACAGGGGATTCAGACATCCCTTCATGTTGTGAGATGAAAGACGAGCCTGTCTTCAAGCCACTGCAAGGAAATCCGGCCTCCTTTCAAGTTAGGGCTTCTCGCTGTATATTCCCCTTGAGGCAGCAAACTCGGGGTCCCTCCCACATACCTATTGCTGAGAGAAGCCTCCTCCTGAGGTGCTTCTGGAAAGTTGGCATACGTCTTGAGCCTAAGCCAGGGAATCAGCTCTCATCTCGAGACGATTTGGGGTACACGGAGCATTCCTCGAGTTGCTGTGCTGAAGTTGGTGTTCCTCTAGACTTGGGACAGTGTTCTCGGGGCATCTCTGGAGATGCCTGAAGGAAGTCGAGCCACCGGTCGTGTTGAATGGGGAACGGGGAATGGCTCTGTAGTCAATGCAGGGGAATCGGGCCTCATCTCGGGTTGATTTGGGGCACATGGAGCTGCTTTGCGTTGCTGGGGTGACCTCAGGGTCCGTCTAGACTGGTGACAGTGTTCTTGGGGACTGTCTCGAGATCCGTTAAGCAAGTCGAAGCTCCTGACTTGTTTGAATGGGATCACGGAATAGCTCTGCATGCACTGCAGGGGAATGGGGCCTCATCTCGCCTCTAGGGGGAAGTCTCATGGGTTTTCTCGAGTTGCGGCGGGGACCTGGGGTATGTTCTCGACTTACGGCGGGGATGGCCCTTCCAAACACGAGTTTCCTCAGTGACGTCAGGACTCCTGTCTAGTAACGAGGGACACCTCAGGAATCTCTTCGAGGCTTGGCAGGGCAAAAGGGACGCTTCTCGAGGTGAGGCAGGGCACCCAAGGACCCTTTCCAGTAGCCACAGGGATTTTGGGATTCCTATGAGTATTCAGGAGGAGTCAGGCATCGTCACCTTTTGAAGCAATGAACTCCGCGTGCCTCTCGAGGTGTCAGCGGGATGTGAGGCCTTCCGTCAAAATGAGGCAGGGACCTAGGGCTTTCTCTAAGGTCTCCACAGGGGATTCAGACATCCCTTCATGTTGTGAGATGAAAGACGAGCCTGTCTTCAAGCCACTGCAAGGAAATCCGGCCTCCATTCAAGTTAGGGCTTCTCGCTGTATATTCCCCTTGAGGCAGCAAACTCGGAGTCCCTCCCACATTCCTATTGCTGAGAGAAGCCTCCTCCTGAGGTGCTTCTGGAAAGTTGGCATACGTCTTGAGCCTAAGCCAGGGAATCAGCTCTCATCTCGAGACGATTTGGGGTACACGGAGCATTCCTCGAGTTGCTGTGCTGAAGTTGGTGTTCCTCTAGACTTGGGACAGTGTTCTCGGGGCATCTCTGGAGATGCCTGAAAGAAGTCGAGCCACCGTTCGTGTTGAATGGGGAACGGGGAATGGCTCTGGAGTCAATGCAGGGGAATCGGGCCTCATCTTGGGTTGATTTGGGGCACATGGAGCTGCTTTGCGTTGCTGGGGTGACCTCAGGGTCCGTCTAGACTGGTGACAGTGTTCTTGGGGACTGTCTCGAGATCCGTTAAGCAAGTCGAAGCTCCTGACTTGTTTGAATGGGATCACGGAATAGCTCTGCATGCACTGCAGGGGAATGGGGCCTCATCTCGCCTCTAGGGGGAAGTCTCATGGGTTTTCTTGAGTTGCGGCGGGGACCTGGGGTATATTCTCGACTTACGGCGGGGATGGCCCTTCCAAACACGAGTTTCCTCAGTGACGTCAGGACTCCTGTCTAGTAACGAGGGACACCTCAGGAATCTCTTCGAGGCTTGGCAGGGCAAAAGGGACGCTTCTCGAGGTGAGGCAGGGCACCCAAGGACCCTTTCCAGTAGCCACAGGGATTTTGGGATTCCTATGAGTATTCAGGAGGAGTCAGGCATCGTCACCTTTTGAAGCAATGAACTCCGCGTGCCTCTCGAGGTGTCAGCGGGATGTGAGGCCTTCCGTCAAAATGAGGCAGGGACCTAGGGCTTTCTCTAAGGTCTCCACAGGGGATTCAGACATCCCTTCATGTTGTGAGATGAAAGACGAGCCTGTCTTCAAGCCACTGCAAGGAAATCCGGCCTCCTTTCAAGTTAGGGCTTCTCGCTGTATATTCCCCTTGAGGCAGCAAACTCGGGGTCCCTCCCACATACATATTGCTGAGAGAAGCCTCCTCCTGAGGTGCTTCTGGAAAGTTGGCATACGTCTTGAGCCTAAGCCAGGGAATCAGCTCTCATCTCGAGACGATTTGGGGTACACGGAGCATTCCTCGAGTTGCTGTGCTGAAGTTGGTGTTCCTCTAGACTTGGGACAGTGTTCTCGGGGCATCTCTGGAGATGCCTGAAGGAAGTCAAGCCACCGGTCGTGTTGAATGGGCAACGGGGAATGGCTCTGGAGTCAATGCAGGGGAATCGGGCCTCATCTCGGGTTGATTTGGGGCACATGGAGCTGCTTTGCGTTGCTGGGGTGACCTCAGGGTCCGTCTAGACTGGTGACAGTGTTCTTTGGGACTGTCTCGAGATCCGTTAAGCAAGTCGAAGCTCCTGACTTGTTTGAATGGGATCACGGAATAGCTCTGCATGCACTGCAGGGGAATGGGGCCTCATCTCGCCTCTAGGGGGAAGTCTCATGGGTTTTCTCGAGTTGCGGCGGGGACCTGGGGTATGTTCTCGACTTACGGCGGGGATGGCCCTTCCAAACACGAGTTTCCTCAGTGACGTCAGGACTCCTGTCTAGTAACGAGGGACACCTCAGGAATCTCTTCGAGGCTTGGCAGGGCAAAAGGGACGCTTCTCGAAGTGAGGCAGGGCACCCAAGGACCCTTTCCAGTAGCCACAGGGATTTTGGGATTCCTATGAGTATTCAGGAGGAGTCAGGCATCGTCACAATTTGAAGCAATGAACTCCGCGTGCCTCTCGAGGTGTCAGCGGGATGTGAGGCCTTCCGTCAAAATGAGGCAGGGACCTAGGGCTTTCTCTAAGGTCTCCACAGGGGATTCAGACATCCCTTCATGTTGTGAGATGAAAGAGGAGCCTGTCTTCAAGCCACTGCAAGGAAATCCGGCCTCCTTTCAAGTTAGGGCTTCTCGCTGTATATTCCCCTTGAGGCAGCAAACTCGGGGTCCCTCCCACATACCTATTGCTGAGAGAAGCCTCCTCCTGAGGTGCTTCTGGAAAGTTGGCATACGTCTTGAGCCTAAGCCAGGGAATCAGCTCTCATCTCGAGACGATTTGGGGGTACACGGAGCATTCCTCGAGTTGCTGTGCTGAAGTTGGTGTTCCTCTAGACTTGGGACAGTGTTCTCGGGGCATCTCTGGAGATGCCTGAAGGAAGTCGAGCCACCGGTCGTGTTGAATGGGGAACGGGGAATGGCTCTGGAGTCAATGCAGGGGAATCGGGCCTCATCTCGGGTTGATTTGGGGCACATGGAGCTGCTTTGCGTTGCTGGGGTGACCTCAGGGTCCGTCTAGACTGGTGACAGTGTTCTTGGGGACTGTCTCGAGATCCGTTAAGCAAGTCGAAGCTCCTGACTTGTTTGAATGGGATCACGGAATAGCTCTGCATGCACTGCAGGGGAATGGGGCCTCATCTCGCCTCTAGGGGGAAGTCTCATGGGTTTTCTCGAGTTGCGGCGGGGACCTGGGGTATGTTCTCGACTTACGGCGGGGATGGCCCTTCCAAACACGAGTTTCTTCAGTGACGTCAGGACTCCTGTCTAGTAACGAGGGACACCTCAGGAATCTCTTCGAGGCTTGGCAGGGCAAAAGGGACGCTTCTCGAGGTGAGGCAGGGCACCCAAGGACCCTTTCCAGTAGCCACAGGGATTTTGGGATTCCTATGAGTGTTCAGGAGGAGTCAGGCATCGTCACCTTTTGAAGCAATGAACTCCGCGTGCCTCTCGAGGTGTCAGCGGGATGTGAGGCCTTCCGTCAAAATGAGGCAGGGACCTAGGGCTTTCTCTAAGGTCTCCACAGGGGATTCAGACATCCCTTCATGTTGTGAGATGAAAGACGAGCCTGTCTTCAAGCCACTGCAAGGAAATCCGGCCTCCTTTCAAGTTAGGGCTTCTCGCTGTATATTCCCCTTGAGGCAGCAAACTCGGGGTCCCTCCCACATACCTATTGCTGAGAGAAGCCTCCTCCTGAGGTGCTTCTGGAAAGTTGGCATACGTCTTGAGCCTAAGCCAGGGAATCAGCTCTCATCTCGAGACGATTTGGGGTACACGGAGCATTCCTCGAGTTGCTGTGCTGAAGTTGGTGTTCCTCTAGACTTGGGACAGTGTTCTCGGGGCATCTCTGGAGATGCCTGAAAGAAGTCGAGCCACCGTTCGTGTTGAATGGGGAACGGGGAATGGCTCTGGAGTCAATGCAGGGGAATCGGGCCTCATCTCGGGTTGATTTGGGGCACATGGAGCTGCTTTGCGTTGCTGGGGTGACCTCAGGGTCCGTCTAGACTGGTGACAGTGTTCTTGGGGACTGTCTCGAGATCCGTTAAGCAAGTCGAAGCTCCTGACTTGTTTGAATGGGATCACGGAATAGCTCTGCATGCACTGCAGGGGAATGGGGCCTCATCTCGCCTCTAGGGGGAAGTCTCATGGTTTTTCTCGAGTTGCGGCGGGGACCTGGAGTATGTTCTCGACTTACGGCGGGGATGGCCCTTCCAAACACGAGTTTCCTCAGTGACGTCAGGACTCCTGTCTAGTAACGAGGGACACCTCAGGAATCTCTTCGAGGCTTGGCAGGGCAAAAGGGACGCTTCTCGAGGTGAGGCAGGGCACCCAAGGACCCTTTCCAGTAGCCACAGGGATTTTGGGATTCCTATGAGTATTCAGGAGGAGTCAGGCATCGTCACCTTTTGAAGCAATGAACTCCGCGTGCCTCTCGAGGTGTCAGCGGGATGTGAGGCCTTCCGTCAAAATGAGGCAGGGACCTAGGGCTTTCTCTAAGGTCTCCACAGGGGATTCAGACATCCCTTCATGTTGTGAGATGAAAGACGAGCCTGTCTTCAAGCCACTGCAAGGAAATCCGGCCTCCTTTCAAGTTAGGGCTTCTCGCTGTATATTCCCCTTGAGGCAGCAAACTCGGGGTCCCTCCCACATACCTATTGCTGAGAGAAGCCTCCTCCTGAGGTGCTTCTGGAAAGTTGGCATACGTCTTGAGCCTAAGCCAGGGAATCAGCTCTCATCTCGAGACGATTTGGGGTACACGGAGCATTCCTCGAGTTGCTGTGCTGAAGTTGGTGTTCCTCTAGACTTGGGACAGTGTTCTCGGGGCATCTCTGGAGATACCTGAAGGAAGTCGAGCCACCGGTCGTGTTGAATGGGGAACGGGGAATGGCTCTGGAGTCAATGCAGGGGAATCGGGCCTCATCTCGGGTTGATTTGGGGCACATGGAGCTGCTTTGCGTTGCTGGGGTGACCTCAGGGTCCGTCTAGACTGGTGACAGTGTTCTTGGGGACTGTCTCGAGATCCGTTAAGCAAGTCGAAGCTCCTGACTTGTTTGAATGGGATCACGGAATAGCTCTGCATGCACTGCAGGGGAATGGGGCCTCATCTCGCCTCTAGGGGGAAGTCTCATGGGTTTTCTCGAGTTGCGGCGGGGACCTGGGGTATGTTCTCGACTTACGGCGGGGATGGCCCTTCCAAACACGAGTTTCCTCAGTGACGTCAGGACTCCTGTCTAGTAACGAGGGACACCTCAGGAATCTCTTCGAGGCTTGGCAGGGCAAAAGGGACGCTTCTCGAGGTGAGGCAGGGCACCCAAGGACCCTTTCCAGTAGCCACAGGGATTTTGGGATTCCTATGAGTATTCAGGAGGAGTCAGGCATCGTCACCTTTTGAAGCAATGAACTCCGCGTGCCTCTCGAGGTGTCAGCGGGATGTGAGGCCTTCCGTCAAAATGAGGCAGGGACCTAGGGCTTTCTCTAAGGTCTCCACAGGGGATTCAGACATCCCTTCATGTTGTGAGATGAAAGACGAGCCTGTCTTCAAGCCACTGCAAGGAAATCCGGCCTCCTTTCAAGTTAGGGCTTCTCGCTGTATATTCCCCTTGAGGCAGCAAACTCGGGGTCCCTCCCACATACCTATTGCTGAGAGAAGCCTCCTCCTGAGGTGCTTCTGGAAAGTTGGCATACGTCTTGAGCCTAAGCCAGGGAATCAGCTCTCATCTCGAGACGATTTGGGGTACACGGAGCATTCCTCGAGTTGCTGTGCTGAAGTTGGTGTTCCTCTAGACTTGGGACAGTGTTCTCGGGGCATCTCTGGAGATGCCAGAAGGAAGTCGAGCCACCGGTCGTGTTGAATGGGCAACGGGGAATGGCTCTGGAGTCAATGCAGGGGAATCGGGCCTCATCTCGGGTTGATTTGGGGCACATGGAGCTGCTTTGCGTTGCTGGGGTGACCTCAGGGTCCGTCTAGACTGGTGACAGTGTTCTTTGGGACTGTCTCGAGATCCGTTAAGCAAGTCGAAGCTCCTGACTTGTTTGAATGGGATCACGGAATAGCTCTGCATGCACTGCAGGGGAATGGGGCCTCATCTCGCCTCTAGGGGGAAGTCTCATGGGTTTTCTCGAGTTGCGGCGGGGACCTGGGGTATGTTCTCGACTTACGGCGGGGATGGCCCTTCCAAACACGAGTTTCCTCAGTGACGTCAGGACTCCTGTCTAGTAACGAGGGACACCTCAGGAATCTCTTCGAGGCTTGGCAGGGCAAAAGGGACGCTTCTCGAAGTGAGGCAGGGCACCCAAGGACCCTTTCCAGTAGCCACAGGGATTTTGGGATTCCTATGAGTATTCAGGAGGAGTCAGGCATCGTCACAATTTGAAGCAATGAACTCCGCGTGCCTCTCGAGGTGTCAGCGGGATGTGAGGCCTTCCGTCAAAATGAGGCAGGGACCTAGGGCTTTCTCTAAGGTCTCCACAGGGGATTCAGACATCCCTTCATGTTGTGAGATGAAAGAGGAGCCTGTCTTCAAGCCACTGCAAGGAAATCCGGCCTCCTTTCAAGTTAGGGCTTCTCGCTGTATATTCCCCTTGAGGCAGCAAACTCGGGGTCCCTCCCACATACCTATTGCTGAGAGAAGCCTCCTCCTGAGGTGCTTCTGGAAAGTTGGCATACGTCTTGAGCCTAAGCCAGGGAATCAGCTCTCATCTCGAGACGATTTGGGGGTACACGGAGCATTCCTCGAGTTGCTGTGCTGAAGTTGGTGTTCCTCTAGACTTGGGACAGTGTTCTCGGGGCATCTCTGGAGATGCCTGAAGGAAGTCGAGCCACCGGTCGTGTTGAATGGGGAACGGGGAATGGCTCTGGAGTCAATGCAGGGGAATCGGGCCTCATCTCGGGTTGATTTGGGGCACATGGAGCTGCTTTGCGTTGCTGGGGTGACCTCAGGGTCCGTCTAGACTGGTGACAGTGTTCTTGGGGACTGTCTCGAGATCCGTTAAGCAAGTCGAAGCTCCTGACTTGTTTGAATGGGATCACGGAATAGCTCTGCATGCACTGCAGGGGAATGGGGCCTCATCTCGCCTCTAGGGGGAAGTCTCATGGGTTTTCTCGAGTTGCGGCGGGGACCTGGGGTATGTTCTCGACTTACGGCGGGGATGGCCCTTCCAAACACGAGTTTCTTCAGTGACGTCAGGACTCCTGTCTAGTAACGAGGGACACCTCAGGAATCTCTTCGAGGCTTGGCAGGGCAAAAGGGACGCTTCTCGAGGTGAGGCAGGGCACCCAAGGACCCTTTCCAGTAGCCACAGGGATTTTGGGATTCCTATGAGTATTCAGGAGGAGTCAGGCATCGTCACCTTTTGAAGCAATGAACTCCGCGTGCCTCTCGAGGTGTCAGCGGGATGTGAGGCCTTCCGTCAAAATGAGGCAGGGACCTAGGGCTTTCTCTAAGGTCTCCACAGGGGATTCAGACATCCCTTCATGTTGTGAGATGAAAGACGAGCCTGTCTTCAAGCCACTGCAAGGAAATCCGGCCTCCTTTCAAGTTAGGGCTTCTCGCTGTATATTCCCCTTGAGGCAGCAAACTCGGGGTCCCTCCCACATACCTATTGCTGAGAGAAGCCTCCTCCTGAGGTGCTTCTGGAAAGTTGGCATACGTCTTGAGCCTAAGCCAGGGAATCAGCTCTCATCTCGAGACGATTTGGGGTACACGGAGCATTCCTCGAGTTGCTGTGCTGAAGTTGGTGTTCCTCTAGACTTGGGACAGTGTTCTCGGGGCATCTCTGGAGATGCCTGAAAGAAGTCGAGCCACCGTTCGTGTTGAATGGGGAACGGGGAATGGCTCTGGAGTCAATGCAGGGGAATCGGGCCTCATCTCGGGTTGATTTGGGGCACATGGAGCTGCTTTGCGTTGCTGGGGTGACCTCAGGGTCCGTCTAGACTGGTGACAGTGTTCTTGGGGACTGTCTCGAGATCCGTTAAGCAAGTCGAAGCTCCTGACTTGTTTGAATGGGATCACGGAATAGCTCTGCATGCACTGCAGGGGAATGGGGCCTCATCTCGCCTCTAGGGGGAAGTCTCATGGTTTTTCTCGAGTTGCGGCGGGGACCTGGAGTATGTTCTCGACTTACGGCGGGGATGGCCCTTCCAAACACGAGTTTCCTCAGTGACGTCAGGACTCCTGTCTAGTAACGAGGGACACCTCAGGAATCTCTTCGAGGCTTGGCAGGGCAAAAGGGACGCTTCTCGAGGTGAGGCAGGGCACCCAAGGACCCTTTCCAGTAGCCACAGGGATTTTGGGATTCCTATGAGTATTCAGGAGGAGTCAGGCATCGTCACCTTTTGAAGCAATGAACTCCGCGTGCCTCTCGAGGTGTCAGCGGGATGTGAGGCCTTCCGTCAAAATGAGGCAGGGACCTAGGGCTTTCTCTAAGGTCTCCACAGGGGATTCAGACATCCCTTCATGTTGTGAGATGAAAGACGAGCCTGTCTTCAAGCCACTGCAAGGAAATCCGGCCTCCTTTCAAGTTAGGGCTTCTCGCTGTATATTCCCCTTGAGGCAGCAAACTCGGGGTCCCTCCCACATACCTATTGCTGAGAGAAGCCTCCTCCTGAGGTGCTTCTGGAAAGTTGGCATACGTCTTGAGCCTAAGCCAGGGAATCAGCTCTCATCTCGAGACGATTTGGGGTACACGGAGCATTCCTCGAGTTGCTGTGCTGAAGTTGGTGTTCCTCTAGACTTGGGACAGTGTTCTCGGGGCATCTCTGGAGATACCTGAAGGAAGTCGAGCCACCGGTCGTGTTGAATGGGGAACGGGGAATGGCTCTGGAGTCAATGCAGGGGAATCGGGCCTCATCTCGGGTTGATTTGGGGCACATGGAGCTGCTTTGCGTTGCTGGGGTGACCTCAGGGTCCGTCTAGACTGGTGACAGTGTTCTTGGGGACTGTCTCGAGATCCGTTAAGCAAGTCGAAGCTCCTGACTTGTTTGAATGGGATCACGGAATAGCTCTGCATGCACTGCAGGGGAATGGGGCCTCATCTCGCCTCTAGGGGGAAGTCTCATGGGTTTTCTCGAGTTGCGGCGGGGACCTGGGGTATGTTCTCGACTTAGGGCGGGGATGGCCCTTCCAAACACGAGTTTCCTCAGTGACGTCAGGACTCCTGTCTAGTAACGAGGGACACCTCAGGAATCTCTTCGAGGCTTGGCAGGGAAAAAGGGACGCTTCTCGAGGTGAGGCAGGGCACCCAAGGACCCTTTCCAGTAGCCACAGGGATTTTGGGATTCCTATGAGTATTCAGGAGGAGTCAGGCATCGTCACCTTTTGAAGCAATGAACTCCGCGTGCCTCTCGAGGTGTCAGCGGGATGTGAGGCCTTCCGTCAAAATGAGGCAGGGACCTAGGGCTTTCTCTAAGGTCTCCACAGGGGATTCAGACATCCCTTCATGTTGTGAGATGAAAGACGAGCCTGTCTTCAAGCCACTGCAAGGAAATCCGGCCTCCTTTCAAGTTAGGGCTTCTCGCTGTATATTCCCCTTGAGGCAGCAAACTCGGGGTCCCTCCCACATACCTATTGCTGAGAGAAGCCTCCTCCTGAGGTGCTTCTGGAAAGTTGGCATACGTCTTGAGCCTAAGCGAGGGAATCAGCTCTCATCTCGAGACGATTTGGGGTACACGGAGCATTCCTCGAGTTGCTGTGCTGAAGTTGGTGTTCCTCTAGACTTGGGACAGTGTTCTCGGGGCATCTCTGGAGATGCCAGAAGGAAGTCGAGCCACCGGTCGTGTTGAATGGGCAACGGGGAATGGCTCTGGAGTCAATGCAGGGGAATCGGGCCTCATCTCGGGTTGATTTGGGGCACATGGAGCTGCTTTGCGTTGCTGGGGTGACCTCAGGGTCCGTCTAGACTGGTGACAGTGTTCTTGGGGACTGTCTCGAGATCCTTTAAGCAAGTCGAAGCTCCTGACTTGTTTGAATGGGATCACGGAATAGCTTTGCATGCACTGCAGGGGAATGGGGCCTCATCTCGCCTCTAGGGGGAAGTCTCATGGTTTTTCTCGAGTTGCGGCGGGGACCTGGGGTATGTTCTCGACTTACGGCGGGGATGGCCCTTCCAAACACGAGTTTCCTCAGTGACGTCAGGACTCCTGTCTAGTAACGAGGGACACCTCAGGAATCTCTTCGAGGCTTGGCAGGGCAAAAGGGACGCTTCTCGAGGTGAGGCAGGGCACCCAAGGACCCTTTCCAGTAGCCACAGGGATTTTGGGATTCCTATGAGTATTCAGGAGGAGTCAGGCATCGTCACCTTTTGAAGCAATGAACTCCGCGTGCCTCTCGAGGTGTCAGCGGGATGTGAGGCCTTCCGTCAAAATGAGGCAGGGACCTAGGGCTTTCTCTAAGGTCTCCACAGGGGATTCAGACATCCCTTCATGTTGTGAGATGAAAGACGAGCCTGTCTTCAAGCCACTGCAAGGAAATCCGGCCTCCTTTCAAGTTAGGGCTTCTCGCTGTATATTCCCCTTGAGGCAGCAAACTCGGGGTCCCTCCCACATTCCTATTGCTGAGAGAAGCCTCCTCCTGAGGTGCTTCTGGAAAGTTGGCATACGTCTTGAGCCTAAGCCAGGGAATCAGCTCTCATCTCGAGACGATTTGGGGTACACGGAGCATTCCTCGAGTTGCTGTGCTGAAGTTGGTGTTCCTCTAGACTTGGGACAGTGTTCTCGGGGCATCTCTGGAGATGCCTGAAGGAAGTCGAGCCACCGGTCGTGTTGAATGGGCAACGGGGAATGGCTCTGGAGTCAATGCAGGGGAATCGGGCCTCATCTCGGGTTGATTTGGGGCACATGGAGCTGCTTTGCGTTGCTGGGGTGACCTCAGGGTCCGTCTAGACTGGTGACAGTGTTCTTGGGGACTGTCTCGAGATCCGTTAAGCAAGTCGAAGCTCCTGACTTGTTTGAATGGGATCACGGAATAGCTCTGCATGCACTGCAGGGGAATGGGGCCTCATCTCGCCTCTAGGGGAAAGTCTCATGGGTTTTCTCGAGTTGCGGCGGGGACCTGGGGTATGTTCTCGACTTACGGCGGGGATGGCCCTTCCAAACACGAGTTTCCTCAGTGACGTCAGGACTCCTGTCTAGTAACGAGGGACACCTCAGGAATCTCTTCGAGGCTTGGCAGGGCAAAAGGGACGCTTCTCGTGGTGAGGCAGGGCACCCAAGGACCCTTTCCAGTAGCCACAGGGATTTTGGGATTCCTATGAGTATTCAGGAGGAGTCAGGCATCGTCACCTTTTGAAGCAATGAACTCCGCGTGCCTCTCGAGGTGTCAGCGGGATGTGAGGCCTTCCGTCAAAATGAGGCAGGGACCTAGGGCTTTCTCTAAGGTCTCCACAGGGGATTCAGACATCCCTTCATGTTGTGAGATGAAAGACGAGCCTGTCTTCAAGCCACTGCAAGGAAATCCGGCCTCCTTTCAAGTTAGGGCTTCTCGCTGTATATTCCCCTTGAGGCAGCAAACTCGGGGTCCCTCCCACATACCTATTGCTGAGAGAAGCCTCCTCCTGAGGTGCTTCTGGAAAGTTGGCATACGTCTTGAGCCTAAGCGAGGGAATCAGCTCTCATCTCGAGACGATTTGGGGTACACGGAGCATTCCTCGAGTTGCTGTGCTGAAGTTGGTGTTCCTCTAGACTTGGGACAGTGTTC